AGATTCCTGATTGTGCTCCTTGCTGGACCTCCTTCGCGATGAGGACTTGCCAGACTCGGAGGGGTGCTCGCTGCCACTACTCTTGCGGTGCTTGGACTTGTGCCTCCGCTCCGACCTGTCTCGGTCCCTAGACTTGGACATGACGGCCCTCTCCCTGTCGGTAAGCTCAGACCGGCTCTTGCTGCGCACCTTGTCTGCGACAGCGGCAGCGGCCAGGCCGGCAGCGGCGCCACCCAAGACCTCTCTGGTCCGCGAGGGGCTCTTGCTGCGCTTCTCGTCATACCGTGACGGACCTGACCCGTCCAGAAAGCTGTCGGTAGGGATGGCGGAGATATCAGACATGTTGCCGGGTTGGTAAGAGGCTTTGCTGTCGGCAGCAGGGATCAGAGGACTGGCGGGGCGGCGGCGGCGTTGCTGACGTCCACCCGAGTCGATGTCGACCTCGATGGGGTTCCTCGACACATTGGACTCCTCGGTGGCAGACTGGTAAGAAGCCATGCTTCGCGCGTCCTCGGCGTCGCCGGCACTTGAGATAGACAATGCCTCGTCGGACCTGAGCTGGGTCGGGGTCAGAGAAGCGGCAGCACGGTCAGTACGACGGGTCAGCGAGGCTTTGCGACCGCTGGACGACTTGGTCTCTGTGATCTGGATGTGATCTGTCTTGCGGTTCTTGGACGGGGTGAGGCGCACGCGCACGCTTGGCTTGCGGTTGCCGCTGCTGGCGCCTGGGCTGTTGGTGGTGACTTTGCCACCCTCGAAGTACTCGATCAGGAGGGAGGTCTGTGATTTGTTGGACTTGTGGCCACGGGTCTTGATGGTGACGGGTGTGCCGTCCTCGGGGAGAGAGTAGGACGACTTCTCGTCGGTGGGCTTGGAGACGTCAGAGGGCGCGAGGTCCGACTTGGTGATGGTCGACTCAGACTCCTCGGTGGGGGCTGGGAGTGGAGGCGCCTTCTTCGAGTCGACACCCATGCTTGCTGGCTGGGAAAGTCCACAACTATGAGTGGACAAATTGCACGGTGAGGTAACGGTGTCACTCAATTCCCGTCTTGGGAGTGCGCACTCCCCTCTTTGTTTCCCAGACCAAGGTTTGGTTCACCCCCCGGCAGCCAGCAGAGAGAAGAGAAGGCTTACTGCACCATGCAGGTAAAGGTGGAAGAGGACGAGAAAGCGTGAACGAGGGCAAGAATTCGGTCAATACCGTCTGGGCTTGTTGGATTGCTGCAGGTCGAGGAGCGTTTTGATTGCTTTGCCTTGATCAAGACATGGAGTGCAGGGGGGGAAGAAGAAGGGAAAAAAAAATAATAAAATCAAGGAATATTCCCAACAAAGCTGCTGGTGGTGGTGGCGGCTGCTGCTGAAATGCGGCAAGTAAGCGTTTGGAAGCCTTGTTTATGGAGCTTTGACAACCTCGGGGGTTAACAAAAAAAAGCAGCAGGGAAGTCGGGAATCGAGATGCAGTGGTGGTGGTGACACTTACACAGCTAGAGAAACTGAGAAACGTGTGACTAAGTTGGGGCGAGAGTGAATGAATGCTGCCGGTTGTGCCGTAAGGACGGACGGACGGAGAAAGATTGTTTGAAGGTGTAGCTGCTGCTCGTCTGAGGAAATTCCAGGTAGCAGCAGTAATCAAAGGAGGACAGAGAGGTCGATGTAGGTCTGGGGTTGAGAGGCGCGCGGTGGTGGGAGGGGAGGGATTGTAGCTTCTTGGGTTGCACTTCAGCTTTGGGATCCCCAGCCTTCGCAATAAAATAATGGGACCAGGGCCCGGGACGGCACAAAGGTGATACGACACCACAGAGGCGGCCCTGCAAGAGAGACAGAACACGCCAACTGCCCAACGAAGATAGTGAGTCCGATGACTTGGCCCCTGAGCGAAGCTAGAATGATTGAATGGAGACGAGATGCAGACTGTCGAAACGTGAAAGAAGAAAGAGTTGAGAAACAATTTTCCTCCCTGTGCCTTCCTCTCTCTCTCGTTGGAGAATTGAAAGGGTTGTGTTGAGTGAGGTAAGTGAGGGGTTGGGGTTCTAGCCCAGCAGGTGCCAGGTTTGGTGAAGATTCGAATTCGAGGCCACGGCAGCGGTGCCGAAGGGGGGAGGGGGGGGGACCAGGCACCCAGGACACGCCCCGTGCTACTGCAAGAAAGATTGCACCTAAGAATATCTTTCCTCCTTGCAGCCTTTCCACTGCAGACGTTCCTACTTGTGCCTGCGTGAGTGGGTGTGATTCTGTTACATTGGGGAAGGGAGGGAAAAGGTCTGTCACTACCCTAATCTAGATAGAAAAAATAAATGAAATAGTTCACTGCCGGATTTTACTCTGCCCCTCTCCTCATCCATACCGTAGACTGTAGGATAGAAGATAACGATGATGATGATAATCATGATGGAGCCTACAGGAGAGCGAGAAGAGGCACATCACAGCTCGCTCCGGTTTCCCAGCGGGTTCTGCTTTGCACAGGGGCCACAAGTGCACAGGGGCACAGGGCTACAGGGGTGGGGTTGGGATGTTCTAGGGGCGGGGCTTAGAACGGGCGCGCGCAGGTTGCTGAGCTGGCGCCAATCGAGCAAGAAAGAATGGTCCTCTCGGCAACAGGTGTGGGTGCAGCCCATGTGAGAGATATGCAGGGACATGGGTCCCAAGGAACACATACTATGCACGAGAGGAAGAGAGAGCCCGTTCCCCTCGTTTCGTCTCGTCCTGTCAAGTCATCTTTTTCTTTTCTTCTCTTTTTTTCTTTTGCTTCTTTTGATGGGCCCGTTAAAAAGAAGCTGGGGTATACCCTGAGAAACTTTTACCGCCTATGAGTCCTCCTGATGTTTGACAAGCTGGGGACTTGTTGGCGTGTGAACGCGTAGTTTGGATAACTTTACTTTGGCAGGCCTGCACTGGTAAGTATACATAGTCCAACTAAAGAGGCGGTGGGACGACGCTACATTACGCCTGTTTCTTTTTCTTCTTTCCTTGAGGATCATCAGGCCCGGTCACTCTACGACGAACATACTTGCCTGGCTTCCCCCCCCCCCCCCCCCACTCCTTGGTCCTATATCCACACATTTTCTGCTTTGAAAGAAAGAAAGAAAAAAAAAAGGTCAGATCATACTTTCATCCATCGATTCATGTCGCCCAACCTGTGCCTGCCTGTCATCAGCCAAGTGAGGTCATGGCTAAAACATCCCAAAAGCCCAGTCTGGGTCCACTACCCGTACCCGCCGAGGCCCCGCTCTCCCGCCTTCAGACATTAGAAATTGGCTCGAGCACATCCTTGCTAAAAATCCATTCTGTCGGGAAAAAAGAGAAATAACAAGGGAGTTGGAGCCTTTCCCAGCCTCGCTGGACCCGCACATGACGAAGCTGTGTTTACTGTACTATGTACAGACATGGTAGCAAGAGGTCGTAAACTTTTCCCCCCTTCCCTTACTGGAGCGGCGGCGGCGGGAAAATGGAGAACTGAACTGATGAATCTCTCTAAGACCGCGTGTATATGTGCGTGCGTTGGTGTCTGGGTGGCGCCATCATGGCTGCCCTGGCACCAGTGACGGTCTGGATAACACGAGAGAGGGAGAGATCATCAGACTGCCAACTTTCCCAATGTCGAGACTAAAATGTGAAGGGAAGGGGTAATAAGTCGCGCCATGGCAAATGCTGCTCTGCGCAGCCTCGTCTCCACCACCACCACAGCTGGTCTTTCTGCGCCTCCAGACGGGATCCAACTTCCTCTCCTCCCTGTGTCTGCCATGCTGCTACACAGTACCAACATAGTAAACCACCCCCCCCCCCCCCGGTTTATCCCATCCCCACCAACACTGACTTGATCGTCTGTGTTAAGATCTTTTGGACTCACCTACTCGAAGGGTACTTAGTGGTGGCAAAGAGCACCATCACTATGCGCGGTCCGGACCAAGCTATACGAATTGGTGAGCCGCACACATACACACATACACTACCAACACTTGGCCGTCTGGATCTTTCCTCTCTCTCTCTCCTCAATGACTAAACAAGAAGGGAAAGACTTTTTTTTTTTTTTTAAAAAAAAAAAAAAAAGATACAAAAGGCTGTAGTCGTTGGCCTCTCGGTTCGTTCCGATGGGCCGCGCCCTGCCGGGCATTCCAGACCGGATCGATGTCTCGAGTCTTTCCCGAGACTCTTGCATTCCGCATCCTGAGAATGGAGGATGAGGCCCCTTCGCGCCTGACATTTTCCCTTGTGGAAGAAAAAAAAAATGCCCTTCATTTTTACTAGTCTATCAAGAAATAACGCAGATACGTAGATTGATGGCGAGTAATCCTCCGCAGGTGACCAGACTCAATTTGTGATGCGCCGTGTGCAAGCCTTAAGCCGGGGCAAATTTTGATGCCATGTCAGCAGCGGCAACCTGCAGCTAGGTTTTGGCAAGATGATGGGCAGGAAAGCATGTCTCAGTCCGACACCGCCGAAGGCGTTGGCTTGCTCTTGCGTCGGCCAGCTGCGTCAGATTTTGCGTACATGGGCAGGGGGCGGTCCGCATCGTTGAGCATTGCTCGACTTGTTCACGCCGCGGCGCGGAGGGCCTCTGATTTGAACCCCTGTGTCTTCACTCAAATATCCGATCACGAGAACGATACCATTGTCTTGGGTGATTTGGAAAGTAAATTTTGGTTGACTATATATTCTTGGTAAGCTGTTCAAGGTGCCTGTGACAATCGCGGTCTCTACCAAATCTCTCAATGCAATATCGGTCATGAAAACGCTGATGGTGGTGGGATGCTAATCGTCAACCGTTCAAGACGGAGCAGGTCTCGTATGCTGTGTAACTGCCTCCTCTTTTTGTTCCTCTCGTTCTCAGCCCGTTCCATACTGATAACCCACCCATCTCTCCTTTGAAAACCAACCATGCCAAAACTCCAGCCCAGCTGGGGCATACAAGTATGTAAAGAGCAACAGACCAATCAAGAACTTCTCAAAGAAAGAAAAGAAAAGAAACGGGCTATATGAATGCCCATCTACCCAATCCGTTCTCAAAGCATTTCTTTTATCGTCTTGTTGTGAGTCAGATGTGTAGGAAAGCCTCCTGCGAGGACGATCCTCATGAGTTCGATCTTGGCCGAGAGCGCCCAGCTATCGATCGTGACCTTTTGCTTGCCCACAAAAATGGTTTCCCTGTACCCGAACTCGTTGAGATCATCTCCATGTGCGCTGTTGACCATCGATCCGCCCTTGTTCGGATTGGACGTCGGCCGCCCAGCGGTCGAGTAGCCTGGACCCTTGCCCCGTTCCAGACCCGTCGCGATACTGCTAAAATCACTCTTCAAGTGCCGTTTGTCGCGCTTCGACATGCCCCTTGCATCCCGGGAGATGTCTCGCATCTGCTGCGCGAGCCTCCTGGGGTCATACTGGAAATTCATCTTCTCGCCGCTCTCCTCCTCCAACTCGCGCGCCGACTCGAACAGCAGCGCAATGTTGGTGCCCGACGCCGTCTGTACGTAGGCGTCGTTGCTATCGAGCTGCTCCACGAACGCCTCCATTGCCTGCTCGCTCTGGTCTGACAGATCCTCGAGGTGCGCTGCGATAAACCCCCAACTTTTGAGCGCGGCCACAACTATGCCCGCAGAGTCTGGCGCGGCGGCTGTGTGGCCGTCGCTCTCGACGATCGTGATCATGTACTGTAGCATGTCCTCTGCCGCCGGAATCGAGCCGTCGCCGTACATGGCCGCTGTGGCGAGGGTATAGAGTGCGGCTATCTTCACCTCCTCGCTCTCGTCATCTTGTTCGACTGTCGACGTGAGCGCGGAAATGTGGCGGTCGAGCACGCTTTCCGTCGGGTTGGTGAGGATAGTGACGGCGAGGGCCTTGACGGCGAGGGCTCGTTCTGTCGGGCTGCCGCCGGACTTGACGGCGCGGACGAGTCCCAGGACGAGGTCGTCCATGGAGTCCTGGATCTCTGACTGTGCGAAGTAGTGGCGGACTAGGTGAAGGTATGATCTGAGCATGTCCTCCCGCTCCTGGTTGCTCATTTTCTTGCGCTCGCCACTCCGGCCGCCCGCGACGATCTGGCTCACACGCGCATGGAGCCTCTCCATCCAGACCAGCCCGCTGGCGCCGTCCGGGGCGTCGGAGCCAGGGTCGGAGCCAGAGAAGGTGCTCATGGTCATGGTGTCTTCAAGATCGGACTCGTCAGAGTTGGAGTCGTCCGAGCCGTAGTGGCTGCCGGCGCGCGAGACATTGCGCGAACCACGGGGCGAGTGACCAGGGGATGTGACGGGCGTGCCGGTCTTGGAATCGGGTCGCGAGCGCGCCTTGCGGGACATGGTCTTGCCGCTCTCGAGGAGGGCTTTCTTGCGGAGGTCGTGCATAGTAAAAGACGACCGTCGAACAACGTGTTAGGTGTGGTATGCTTGTACGGCCTTGCCTGCTGTGATCAGGCGTTTGATGTGAAGGTGTGGACTGCTCGAAAAGTCTGAATCAGGATTGTATCGTGTATGCTAAATACGGCGAATGACCGAGGCGTCTGTGTTGTTGCTGTGATGCAAAGACGGAGAGGCAGTTGGTGGACGAAATCGGATTCAGAACAAAATCCATGGAGATGATGAATATATTATTCAGACCGTCGTAGACTGGTACTATTGAGGGCTTGCGGAAAGCTGTTGTTGGTGATTCTTGGTTTGACAGCTCGTGGCTTTCGTCAGTGCAGTGGGTAAGTTGAAGCAAAAGAGAGAGAAGTTGACTTCAAAAAACAACATCAACATAAATCTGTGGAATGTGCGCCAGGCAGGGACACACCATGGCGCCGTAACCTAGTGCGACTGGTGGGTAGCCTGATAGTGTTGCTTTGGAGGGGTACGGAAGAAAGCCCAAGCCTGCTGACATTGCCCAATTTGGTCCGCGGCCCAGTTACAATGCGCCACCACCAGGGAATGGCATCCAATGGTACTCATGCTGTACTATAGTAGTTGTCTTGTCACCTGCCCTCTTTTGACATCTTCTCGACCATGCACTACTCTATAAATCAGCCGGTGCAGATAATTCAGCATGTTGACTGCGCCGTCTCGTATGGATTTTGCCTTCTCTCCTGTATTCTCTGACATGCGTCTTCGTTCCTTGCGGTTCTCTTCTTGCTTTCTTTCGTGCTCCTTGTGTAAGCTTTTCTTGGTGCCAGACTTGTACTACGGGGCACGAGGTAGTCTTCCCAATGCCAGAGTGAAGATTCGATCCACCTTGGGTACTCAAGCTTACCGTAGCACTCGTAGTAATCATGTCCTAGCCAAAACCCCTCGGCATGCCTGACTGAATGGCGGATTCCAGTGGGTCGCCAGTGGTCTGTGCACGTGCGCATGTTAAAGTGGTTGCTTGAGCTTGCCCCGCCTTATCCGCCAACCCCGCCGCCAACAATAGGCTGCCAGACCCAAAGCGTCATCCCTGCCTCTTCCCCCTCCTTCTCATCTGCTTGAGGCAATGGTCACGCAAGACGGTAAAAGGGCTACCGAGAGTTCACGTATGACAACTGTGCAGCTGAGGCTTGCAAGAAGAAACGGAGAACAAATGGTGATGGACTACCTAGGTATTCTCCTCAGGGATTATAGAAGGGGGCTGTCAGCAGGCCGTGAGTCGGGAGTCATGCCGTGGCCCACTGATAAGACACCCTTCCTCAGTTGGCAATGAGATCAACCTCAGCTCATGTATAGCACAATGCTTTGTACTGCTTGCTAGGCTTCTTAGGGGCGACTATGCGAAGCAGCTCCCATCCCCTCCGCATTTCTGCTTCCCGTGGCTGCTGTCTCAGTAGAGCCTCCCAGTAGCATACGATACAGTGCTGTACTATCTAATATAAACAGTAACCCGCCCATACCGGCGATCCGGGATGCAATAGCGTGAATGGGCATCTTCAAGGGAAATCCCATCGAGATATATGATATTAGTAGTATTGCAGTTTGAGGGAAGAGTCAGAAGGCTGTAGGCAGAAGCAAGAATCAGAACGAGGCTCTCGGTCCTTCTAGTCCCAAGTAAGCCCGCCATCGATGATCCTGAGTACTATTGTATACAGTAGTACTACGGTACAGTTGTCAACACGGGCTACAGCTGGGGGGTATGACCATCCATCTCAAACCAAGTCATGCACTTTTAAGTTCGTACAGCTCGCTGCCTGGGCCACTTACTCCTTACCCCCTCAGGCCCCTCAAGCTGAGCACCAAAAAGTACTGTACCATGAAGTCTAAGTAGGCAGGGATGCAGGGAACTGGAGAGACAGCTGCAACCTGCCCTAGCCTGACCCCACTTTGCACTCGTCAACCACATCGACTGCATACACCACCTCCTGGAACTTCCAGGCTTCACACTCGTCGCCTTATCTTCTTTACACCCACCCGCTGGCGGCTATCCCTCCATTTTCTCGCCAGTTTTCTTTGAACTTCCTTCTCCACCACTCCTTCTCGATCATCTCAACAAAACCTTTAGCCACTTCATGATACGGTATCAACTGCCGCCCTGCGCTCTAATTGCCCCTCCCGAAATCCTCCGTCCACCTGTTCGCCTCGTTCTGGTGCCGCCGCTGTTCCTGCATCCGGCCTAAAGCTATAACACGCCCGCTTTCAACCTGACCCAGTGTGGTCTATGCCAGCTGCGCGGCCTCGAACCATCCAACAGTCATGAATCACACAGGCATGGAGGAGGAGGAGGACAGAGGTGAGCAGCTCCCCACTACTTGAGTCCAGTCCAGCCCAGCCAGCCCGTCTCCTCGATCCATCCCATCAGCACAGCCGCTTAGCTCTCCTTTCCCCGCCTTGTTTGCCTTGTCTGCTCGCCCTCCTGTCTGTGTACGCCAGATTTAAGCTCGGGTTTCTCTCTGCTCTCTGGCTTCTATCCACAAGTCACAAACCATCAAGGGCTAATGTTGAATTGCTTCTCGTCACAGTCGTCGTCAGGCTCTCCATCGTGACTCCTAACGATATCTCGTTCCCAGAGAGACGAATCGTCCTGACCAAGTCCCGCCCTTTGGTAAGGATCGGCCGGTCTAGTAATCGTCCCTACCTCGATATCCAGTGTGCTGTTGACAACGGCTGGTTCGACTCTCCCGTCATGAGCAGACATCACGCTGAGATCAAGGCCGAATTTCGCAACAAGGCAAGCTGTTCTTCACACTCCTGCAACGCTGGTCGTTCATTAACGCATCAGTAGGCTATAACAATTCGGGACTCAAGCTCCATGCACGGCACTTACCTGAATAACGTCAAGATATGCTCCGAAAGGACGCTGCGCGCTAACGACCAGCTCCTCTTCGGCGTGCCTGTATATCGCAACGAGCGGACCTTCCAGCCGGCTACCATGAAGGTGAATTCAGTGGCATTCATCGATGCGTGAGTTGAGATTCTCTTCTTTGTCATATAGCGTTCAGTTGTGCTCATTTTGCTCAAAGTGATCGGCCTACTACCTCTCCCAACCGTGTGTTCACAGTCCCTGATGACTGTTCGACCGACGACAATGAGCTTCTCGATGAGTCTATGGACGAGCCGCTGCCGAACTGTAGCGTTGGTCCGGCCAACAATCACAACGAGAAGGACGTATCGCACCCGGAGCCTTCCGACATCCGTCAGACATCGATCCCTCAAGTCGATGGGGCCATAGATCTTATCTCTGATGCGGAATCTGCTCACGGAGCCGGCTCGGAAAGCTACGAGGAATCAATCCTTCTTTCAGACGATGATATCATGTGCTCTGAGGCGGAAGGCTCACTAGAGTCTCTCGATCTCAGCGACATCTCTGAACACCGGGTGGAAGAAGCCATATCGGCCTATAGGCACACGTTCTCGCCAGATTCGGCAGGAGAGCTCACAGACGGCGATTCTGACGACCACTCGTCTCTTTCCGGGAACGAAGCGGAAGGCGTCTTTCTATACGATACAGATTCAGATGATATGAATGCTGTAGAGCCGTCCGACATGACACGCTTGTCTGAACATCCTGGAGAGCCTCGTGAGCCATCCTCACTCCACCCACTTTATTCCCAGGCCCCTGATTCTACGGTTCACCGTCTTCCTTCTCTGAACACGATGTTCCCACCCGGAGAATGGGACTCCATCCCAAGGACGGAGCCTTTCAGCGGTATCACGGCGCCAGTGGTCACGCATGAAGTGGATATGCTCGGCGCCGGCCCTCGGGCTCCCAGTCCGTCTGATGCAGCTCTCCCCCACGGCCCTCGCCGTACGGGTGTAGCCAGCAACAACCCTCAGGGACTCTCCAGTCTCGTTGAGAAGGGCCGAGCCGAGGCATCTGATGAAGGCATTTCAGCCGCGACCATGGGCCAGAAGAGCGGGAAGCCAATCTTCTTCGAAGCCAGGGAGCATAACAAGCTGGCCATTGCCCGCATCACGGACCAAGCTTCAGCACCTGAGCCTACTTCTCCCGTGTCTATGATCCAATCCTCCACGTCCAATCGCGAGACGTCTTGTGTCGATAAATCAGCAGGTAGTGAGGCCCAGCCGTTGGCACGCATTCCGATGCCCCCCTCCCTCCCACACAACCACGCGGTTGAGGACGAACGTGGCGAAGCTTCCATGGCGAACCATCGAAACTCAGCTGCATCATGGGCTGATTACGATCCATATGGTTTTGAGCCTGCCTCCGCGTACGAACTACATCTATTGAAACTACGAAGGAACGAGCAGGCCAGTGACGCTCCATCGATCGTCCCGAACCAAGACGTCCAAGCGGACACTGTCCCGATATCGGGGGACCTGCATCAGGATTACGGTCTGGATAAGGAGGATGAAGCGAGCAAGCAGAAAGACAACAAGGGGAAGCGGAAGGCGGCTGAGATATCCGAGCTGAGTGAGGCCGACCTTGCCTGGGCTCGACGTACCCTGATGCCGGAGACTATCAACGAGTCCCAGGTCAACGAAGTGCCTCGCACACCCCCACCGCGCCCAACTCTTTTCCAATCTCCTCTTCCTTCCCCTCCTACAACCCCAGGAGAGACTGGCCAAGTGGAAGCGAGGCCGGCGAAGAGGATGAGGAAGTTCGCCGAACGGGTTGGTTATGCCGCACTTGGTGGTGCCACAGTCGGTGCTGTGGTTCTGACGTCACTCATTTACACTGCCCCCACGTTTGTCTAAGGAGCTATTTAGTCTTCACACTACCTACCTTCTTTACAGTTCTTGTCTGCCGCGGTGTTTGCCGAGCAGAGTGATTAGGGGGTCGGCGTCAGGAGGGATAATGATGACCTTTTCTCCTTTTTTCCCTTTTGTGCTGCTGGAATGGAGGGTCTAACGATGCAGCCGTCCAACAATCGATCTTCCTTGTTTTACGGGATACTTTTATCTGCTAGGCTTGTCCGTTTTTGAATTTTCGATGGACTGAGATTGGAGGACAGGGGCTTCGTCCATTACATTTCATGAGGCGAGGACACCCTCGACTCTACCACCGACCGGTCACGAAATCACTCGATAGATATCCTTTTCAATACAACGATGCTATTTAAACCAGGAAGAAGAGAAAAAGATAGAAAGGTTGGCAAACGCGGTGAAAGTTTCGATATATCATGTTACGTAGGAATCATCGGTACTGGACCAGAGTCATGTGCGTTGAGCATTTGGGGTTTAGTAGCAGTACCTCGCTACTTATTGTATCTGCGCTGGTCACCTGAAATGGTAATACGCAGTGATGGAGACTCGAATTCAGTGCCTCTGCATATGAATTCATCTTTTAGTTACAAAATCAACGAGTTTCATGAACCAATTCATATACTGTTGAGGACGTCCTCAACAGGACATGTAGACCATACTCTCAAAGTATCGTTAAGACTTGGAAAAGCTGACATTGATTCACTTGGTGATTGGCGGAGGAGATCCCTGTCACCAAAGTTACCTGGTGGGCCACGGCTCCGCAATCGGTCCTAGATTTAGCTTGACTCTTTTGACATTTCTTGGGGGGGAAACAAATCGATTTTTCTCGATCGCGCCGTTTGAAGCGGTCACCTTCGATACATCGGTGCATCCTTTGCCCAAAGATGAGGTCAATTGATGCTGCGAGACGTTCGGGAGCGCTGGTGAGGGTAAGTTTCCGTCCAATACCAAATTCCTCTCCCGCTAAGATTCTATCTTTCCAAATACTTAACAATCCATATTTCTCCTTCATGACAGAGCGCCGCCCTCCAAATCCGCCGCCCTCTGCCAAGCAGCACCCGCCGCCTCCTCTCGACGGGACCAGCGCTGCCGCCGACCTACGAGACCCTCTACAACAAGTATGCCGAGGTGCGACGGGTTCTCGGGGCCCAGCGCCTCACCCTGGCCGAGAAGATCCTCTACTCCCACCTCGACAAGCCCGAAGAGAACCTCCTCTCCAACACCAATGGCGGGCGCGACATCCGCGGCCGCGCCAATCTGCAGCTCAAGCCGGACCGTGTTAACATGCAGGACGCCTCCGCCCAGATGGCCCTGCTGCAGTTCATGGCGTGCGACCTGCCGCGGACCGCGATCCCGGCCTCCATCCACTGTGACCACCTGATCGTCGGCGAGCGCGGCGCCGACAAGGACCTGGAGGAAGGGCTGAGCGCCAACCGCGAGGTCTTTGACTTCCTCGAGAGCGCTGGCAAGAAGTACGGCGTCGACTTTTGGCCTCCTGGCGCCGGTATCATCCACCAGACTGTGCTCGAGAACTACGCCCGCCCGGGCCTTATGATGCTGGGCACCGACAGCCACACGCCCAACGCCGGTGGACTATGCACAATTGCTATCGGTGTCGGTGGTGCCGACGCAGTGGAGGCCCTCGTCGGCGCTCCGTGGGAGCTTAAGGCCCCGAAGGTGCTGGGTGTCAGGTTGACGGGCAAGCTGAACGACTGGGTTGCCCCGAAGGACGTGATCCTGCACCTGGCCGGCAAGCTGACCGTGAGAGGCGGGACGGGTTTCGTTATTGAATACTTGTACTGTTCCCCTGTTCCCCTTCCTCCCTCTATAACTTGACAGTTATCATTTGAAGTCATGATGCTAACATGTACCAGTGGCAAGTACTCTTTCGCACCTTCCGCAACATGATGAGGACGACGTCTCCTCGTGACTGCCTTTTACCCACGTCTCTGTGTTTCTTGCCTTCTCCTCTGCCCTTGTCTACTGAAGCATGTTTATCATAAGATACAGCATCACTAATATTCTTAACATTATAGGTCCTGGTGTCGAGACCCTGAGTCTTACCGGCATGGCGACTATCTGCAATATGGTTTGTAGAGCCTGTTCGAACTTTGTTGGAGCAGGGTTCCAAGCTAATTGTGTTATTGTTTGACAGGGTGCCGAAGTGGGTGCGACGACGTCGATTTTCCCGTTCACGGAAGCCTCAGCACGATATCTGGAGGCCACGAGGAGAGGGGACCTGGCGAGCGCTGCCAAGATCTTCCAGAACTTCCCTGGCGTAGGCAACTCGGACGACGCATACTTCAGGTTCAAGGCGGATGAGGGCGCCGAGTACGACCAGCTGATCGAGATCAACCTGTCCGAGCTTGAACCACACATCAACGGACCACACACCCCCGACCTGTCAACACCATTGTCGCAGTTCAAGAAGACGGTGCAGGAAGAGAACTGGCCAGAGAAAGTCTCGGCAGGATTAATAGGAAGCTGCACAAACAGCTCGTACGAAGACATGACGCGCGTGGAGAGCATCGTCAAGGCTGCAGAGGCAGCGGGACTCAAGCCAGCCACAGACTTCTACGTCACACCTGGTAGCGAGCAGATCCGGGCGACTCTTGAGCGCGATGGTGTCCTCGATACTTTTACAGATGCAGGCGGCATCGTGCTCTCGAATGCGTGCGGGCCGTGCATTGGGCAGTGGAAGCGGCGCGACGGCGTCGAGAAGGGAACGCCGAATGCCATCTTCACCTCGTATAACCGCAACTTCCGTGGCCGCAACGACGGCAACCTCGAGACGATGAACTTCCTCGCGAGCCCCGAGATCGTGACCGCTATGGCTTTCGCCGGGTCGACGACGTTCAATCCCATAACGGACACGCTCCCGACGCCCGATGGCAAGGACTTCCGTTTCCCGGCGCCCAAGGGCGTGGAGGACCCCAAGACCCCCTTCGAGTTCGGCAACGAGACCTTCAAGGTTGCGAGCCAGGAACCTGACGCTAGTGTCCAGGTGGCCATTTCTCCCGACTCCCAGCGTCTAGCTCTGCTGGACCCCTTCGATCCTTTCCCAACATCCGACCTGACCGGCCTCCGTGTGCTCGTCAAGGTCAAGGGCAAGTGCACGACCGACACCATCTCGGCTGCGGGGCCTTGGCTCAAGTACAAGGGCCACCTGCCCAACATCGCCACCAACACACTCAACACGGCTGTCAACGCCGCGACCGGCGAGGTCAACGCTGCGTACGATCTTGATGGGTCGCGCAGCACGATCCCAGAGCTCATGCGCAAGTGGAAGGAGGCCCAGCGGCCCTGGCTTGTCCTGGCCGAGCACAACTACGGTGAGGGCTCGGCCCGTGAGCATGCTGCTCTGCAGCCACGGTACCTAGGCGCCCGCATCATCGTGTGCAAGAGCTTCGCGCGCATCCACGAGACGAACCTCAAGAAGCAGGGCGTCGTCCCACTGACTCTCGAGAATGAGGCCGACTATGACAGGATCGACGCGCTGGACGAGGTCGACACTATTGGTCTGTACGAGATGCTGCTGAATAAGGGCCAGGGCGAGGTTCGGCTGAGGGTGCGCAAGAACGGAAGCGGGGAGACCTTTGAGGTGCCTGTAAAACATGCCGTTAGCCGCGACCAGGCGGGTTTCATTCTTGCGGGCAGTGCCCTGAATCTGCTGTCGAAGGGTATATAAGAAGAGGGAAGTTGTAGAAAGAACGAAACAGGCAAGAGCTAAGAAGGAGTGGGAAAATGAACAGGAGAGAAACGGTCCTAGAAAAGAAAGACATCCCTTTTGGGAGGGGGGGACTGGGCGGTATACTCATGTTGATCAAAAATTGGCCAGTCTGCGGCATGTAAAATGGGAGACAGGGCGTAAATTATATTAGGTCTGAAAGGTCAAAAAGCTCGGCGTTGGTCGATCCAATTCATTCTCATGTGTATTCAACACACTGAACAAATTTAGCCTTGATCAGGAATGATCCGGGCACAAGATTCCTATCCTGATTTACCTTGACTTGCGAGTATAGAGGGCTTGGTACTATTCATTTACTTTGCAAGGCTCAAACGGCACGGCCTCACGACGCTCTCGACAGATACATGGAACCCTGGAACTTTGATGGTTGATGGTCCGATGCGCTCTGCACGAAGGGGAGAGCCTGTGTGTTTATTTACCTGCCACCGTAAAGGCGCTTGTCATGACCCTCAAGCAGTTCTTCGCAGTGTTGGCCAGTCCCTGCCTGCTTGAGAAGCACTTTGTGCACGTATGAATACAAGTTAATTTGAACTTGCCAGTATGCCATTGACTCAAACTACAACCCTCCTGAACCCCGTTTGTCTCCCCTGTCTCTCTGACAATGCCCGCCATACTTATTCAATCAGTGCTCGATAATTAATATCTATCCAGAATCTGGTTTGGTAGCGATGCCCCACATTGAGAAGAGAGGGAAAAAAGAAAAAAATACTGGCTTGCAAGAAACTATGACTCAAACCTCACGGCCGAGCCTGCACAGGATGAGAACAAAAATGGTACGACGTAGGTTTCCCGAATAAATAATAGTACAGCAGAGGTATTATGCAATGAGCCACTAAGCCGCCTTGAAGACAACCCGAACTTGGACCTAGCACTACGACCAGCGCTGCAGAGACTCTAACACTACTCTCGCTGCTGCCGATGCTCTAGCGTGCAGACGAGTGCAGATGGGAAACAAAGTATGAACCCGATTCGACTTGACTTTTTAGACATTTGCCCGATCGTCTACTTGTGTTAGGAAATTGTTCTGGAGTGGTAGTTTGGTTTCGAAGCCTTGCGACTTAGATAGTGCGAAAAGCCTGCGATTTGCTGAGCTTAGGGTTAGGGCGTGTACAGCCTTGCCTAGGCCTAGATGGCCAATCGTAATTATTTGCAAAGTTTGTATCAAATAACAAGTCTTTCTACGAGTGCCACATGATGAAGACTCTTGAATCTAGAATAAAGATGATTGAACGTATATTCTTGATGTCAGACCAGTATATTGGCCCTACCTTGATGTCCTGAAGTTGCCTGTAGTCTCTCACAACAATTGAGGAGTATGCCTTTTCCGTCAGTTCTGAGCGCTTCTTACCAGTACCAGAAGCGATTGCGCGCCTGAAGCGCTGTGAATATTTTTCTCTCCCCCTATGAAGTTCATGCACTACTGCACAGGATGCCTGTGTATTCTCTTCCCTCAGCAGCCCTGGTAAATCGTCCGGCTGCCCTGACTCTTTGTGCGACGACTTCTGATGCAGCTGATTATAATTACTGCATCATAGTGCGCAAGTCGCATATCTCCTATAGTGGCGTGTTCTCCATCTCGGGCCGCCCAGTTTATGATCTTTAAGATGCAAAACAATTTTCCCGTCAGTGCCCGACCGGCTTTCGTCTAACGTATGGCCGCTTGGTCCTCACAGGAGTCGCTGGGGCTGCAGCGGGCTGTTCGATCATGCTGTTCTGACCACGAAACCAGCGCAATGCGCCTACCCAGTTCTCATTGTTGCGGACGCGGTCTGGTAGGCTCTCCTCGAAATCCTCAGGACTCTCTTGAGCCCGTTGTTGTTTCAATCTCTGCGCTGCCTTACCTAAATTCGCTTTTCTTCCTCCGCGGGCCTTGATTTCCTCCTCTTTCTGCAGATACCACGCTTCTGAGTGCGGTCTGGTTCGATGAGTTCGGGGATCCAAATGGTCAAATCGAACATGGCCTTCCTGCACCTGACGCCCTTGTTGGTCGCATCGCTTCTCAACCATGGGTGGAACAACTTGAGAGGAGCCCTGCTGTCCGTATATATAGGAATCTAGGATCGACGTGTCTTTCTCTTCAACTAGACGCCGCCGTTGTCTCTCCAACGGCGGTGTACTTGCAGCGGGTCGGGCTTTGGAGGACCGTGAGGCAGACATCGTTTCGCTCTGGCTAGCCTTTGTCTTGGTAGGTGTTGTTTTGACGGAAATCTCTTTGTTGCCCTCCAACTTAGCAAGAGGTGCCTTGAAAGGCTGTGCTTCCTCAATTGATGCGTTGATAGAGACATTATTGGCGTTGGCCTCATCGCCAGAACTGCCCCAACTCGCAATGCCAGTTGGTTCTTCATCCAGGCTGGGCCGTGGTTCTTCATTAAGCCTCGGAAGTTGTGGCCGTACACCAGGTATCGAGTTGCTGAGGGGGGTTCTGAGGTACTCAGTGTATGAAGATGGAGCACTCAGTGGATTCTCTTGGGCTTTTGTGGTGTTGGTATCCATCATTTGCAAATCATCATGAAATCTCGGTAATTGACTGGGCACAGCGTTCGAAGCCCCATTCTGCTTGCCGTCGTAAGCGAATGCCTTTGGCAGGGCAAGAGGCGAAGGAAATGGCGCAGAATTGAAACCAGCGCCATCGAAGGTTGGTGAGATTGCCCGCTGCTTCTTGTTGGCGGAGCCCTCGATTGGCGGCGATCGCGAGTTCACGGCTCTCTGCGACGTGATCTTGCTTGACAGATGGCCGCTCCGCAATTCTGCAGACATTTGGGCATTCAAGATCCTTTCGCCAGGGTACAATGGACGCCTCTTATTAGCCGTCTTCCTGGCGGTCGCCTTAGCCTCCAGGGTTTTCCGGTTGGCCGAGACAACTGGTTCGTGTGGAATTCGAGCGCCGTTACTTTGTACAGGACGATGAGACTCAAAAGATAGTCTGTCGGAATTCCTGGCCGACTTGGGGACAAGTCCCATTAGGTGATGCGTGCATGCGACATTGCCTTTAGCTGCATCCTGGTCGCAGTTGGGAACGCGGCATTTCGCCCTCGCCCAGTAGCTATCCGCCTCATCGTCCGATAACAGGAAAGGATTGCTGCTGTTGCTGCTACTGCTGTTGGTACCAGGTGGAAAGCTGTCACCAGGTGGGAACATCGTCGCAAGATCTACCAAGGGGTAGATTGGATCTTTCTTTCTTGGCTTCCGAGTTGCGTCCTCCGCTGCAATCCCATCATTCCTTGGCAGATTTTTGGTGTCTCCGGCCTGATCGCGATTGCGACACCACGAGCAGATAAAGCTAGGAATAAGTCAGCTGGCTAGCTTTTGAGAAACGAGACATGAAAGTTATGGGAAGTGGAATATAGAGAATGTTGACGAGGGAGTAGTGGCAGGGTGCCGTCTGTGAGGGCAGGTCCTCTTCTTGTTCAGAGATGTGATGGTGATAAAATGACTTGTTCGGCTTGTGGTGGGGTCGGGCGCTTACGCCCCGACGCGTGAGAGACCCAGGTCCATTCGGTTGTCTAGCAGGCACGTTTCTGCACGGACGGGTGGCGATTGAGCTGCGCGATGGCTTCAACTTACAGATATTGCGGGGGTGGCCGATGACACGTCTGGTGATAAGTCCTTCCGCATCGACTGCATGGAACGAGGACTTTGTTTCCCTGCTCAGGGTGATTGCAAATCATGCATTTCAAGCCTTCCGCGGCCCGGCCGAGCTGAGGCTCGAGCTGCGCGGGCATGGCGCCAGGTTAGCAAGCCCACTAGAGAGCCCTAAATAAGGGCTTGGGAAGAAAGACAAGGCAAAAAAAAAAAAAAAAAAAAAAGAGAAAAGCGACCCAGATTTTCGTATGAATGACCCGGCAGGCGTCTCAGATCTTTTCAGTCTCTTGAGTGAGTCGTCACCCTGTGCGAGCTGCAGCGGCTTCGTTGATGGTCGGCCCAAGGATACCAGACGCGTGCAAAACAAGGTTTTGCCGAGAAATGGTGCGTGTGGTGGTGTAAAATGTGTGCCGCAGCCTTTGGCCCTGCCTTATGGCGGCGGTTCAAGGTTGGACTCCGGTAAGCGGCTGGTAATACGGATTGATGTTCCATACAACCCAACCCACTTGCGCCCAGGCGACGAAAGCGAAGGCTCGAGCTTTGTGGCCTGGAGAGGAGAAGAAAGAGGAGGGGAAGGAGGACGATAGCGACGTGACGTGGTGTCCTGGCAGTGGCAGCGCAGAACAAAACAACAGCCGAGCAAGTGGCTGGGTAGATGAGATTGGGGATCTTGGGCAGAAGCAACAACAAAACCAGAGGGCCCATGAACAGTCCGACCTTTTACCATTTGAGCATCATTGACAGCCTGCCAGGAATCAAGAAAACGACAGTGGAACAGGGGGGTTTAAAGACGCACGGATAGAGACAACAGGATGAGTAAGAAAAATGCAAGGGAGAAGAACAGTTTAAGGACATACCGATCAAATTGCGCGCGCCCCCGAGTATGCAGTTGGACGGCCGTTGTCAAAATGGGAAAGTTGAGGGCGGCAGAGGGAGATTGAAGGACCCGAGCCGGGCTGGTTGTATGGAAATAAGGAAACGAGTTGCCGGCGCAAAAGAAAGTAAGTAGAAGTAACAGGAGTAATAGTAGTGGTGGTAGTAGCAGCAGTAGTAGTATATCGCACGAGCCCTGACTGACTAGTAGTATTTCTCTTTGGAAATCAAGAGTCCTTGGGGCCGGCTGCTTGTAGAGGCAATCAAATGTAGTAGTAGTTGTTGTTTGCATCGAATTCTTTGAAAGGACAAACGTATCCAATTGCAACCCAACAACAACAGCTGTGAGGCTGACAAGAGCATCGCCAGATTCTCCCGGCAAGACTTGAAGTGTTTGGTCCAGTTTACTAATTGCGTCGGCTAGAAATCGCAATAGGCCTGGAAGGAAGGGGGTTGGGTGAAGTGAAAGAATTTCAAATTGTTTTGAGAGAAATAGAAGGACCAATGCCTGTGTGCCTGCCTATTGAATACGTGCTGGCCTTCCGCTGCGGGAAATGGCCAAGTGGGACCAGCTCTTCTCTTCTTCTCTCATACTAGCATACTGCCCCTCTTCACCGCCTGAGCTTATGCCATAGGGGGCTTAGCGTCAATACAGGTCGCATCGTTTAGAGCCAGATTCGATACCTGAACAATGCTGTCGCGCAACGTCAGGCACAAGCCGCCGTCGAGTGGCATTTACCTTTCGAGACTATAATCTGACTTGAACGAATTGTGCTTTATAGGTTCCTGGCCTCTTTCCCTCTCTCTGCATATTTGTGCGCGTGTCCCTGTGTAATTTTCCTTGAGACTCTACCTGTTCGCCTTCTCGCCTTGCTCTTTCATTTTATTCTATTTTTTATGGTAAGACCTCTATCGACGCCTCTGTGCGACCAAGGGGTCTGTCCACTATGGATTTCCTCAAGTCTGCTGTGGCATCTGCCATTGCCAAGGGCCCTGCATTCCCATATACCTTTGGAGATATTGTCGACGTCGACCAGTCCATCTGGACCTTGCATAATGGCACCCGGCGAGTACGTATGAATCTGCACACTCCATAGACGTACTAGATGACTGATGGCGCACGTTCAGGAAGACGGTTCCAACTGCAGTATCTTCTCGTTCGACATCAACGCCAACCGCTCCCTCCTTCCCCTTGCGAAGAATGCCCTCAAGAAGCTGCGCACATTACGGCACCCCGGTGTGATCAAGGTGCTGGACACGGTCGAGGTACTACCAGACACTGTGCAACGAATACCATATGGCGGCTGATGATGGCTCGAAACCCAGACCGACACGTATATCTACATTGCCACAGAGCGCCTGGTGCCCCTGCGCTGGCATGTCAAACGGAAAAGCTTGAGTCCCGAGACTTTAAAATGGGGCATATATACAGTCGCGGTACGATGAAGCATGCTATAGGGAGACTCTGTGAGGCTTGTGGGCTGACAAAGAATCTAGCGAACTGTCAAATTCATCAACGACGAGGCTTCTTCTATCCATGGCAACGTGAGGGTTGGTTCCGTATACACATCAGAAAGCGGAGAATGGAAACTGGGAGGCTTCGAGATCCTGAGCAACGTCAAAGACGATGATGCCATCATATATGTACGTCCTCAATGAGGTCTTGTTATCCTCGCACGGCTGACATTTCTACTTTAGAACTATGGTAGTCTGATACCCGACTCGGCGCGATACTCGCCACCTGAACTTCGATCCGGTTGGGATGCCATCAAGAGAGCTCCTCACTCTGCCGTTGATTCCTTCAACACCGGTATCCTCATCTTCGAATCATTTAATGGGGATTACTCAGGTCCGGAACAAGCTGGTCAGACGAAGAATGTACCACCGAGCATGCACGCGAGCTATAAGCGCCTGGTCAATGCCAGCCCAAAGTCACGACTGAGTGTGGCCCATTTCATAGAACAGGGCTCTCGCCGCGGCTCGTTCTTTGACACGCCACTTATAAAATTGACTGATGGAGTTGACAGCCTTGGTATTAAATCTGCCGAAGAGCGCGAAGCTTTCCTCGAGTAAGTCGAATTGTGTAGAGTGTTGAGTTAGAAGAGTGACGAGAGGAATAAGATACTGACGAGATACGCGCCAGTGATCTTGATCAATTGACGGACGACTTCCCTGAAGATTTCTTCAAGGAAAAGGTTCTGCCAGAGCTGCTCAAATCTGTCGAATTTGGTGGTGGAGGCGCCAAGGCTTTCGGCGTCGTCATGAAGATTGCGACCAAGCTCTCTGATGATGACTTCGATACAAAGATTACGCCCGTGGTAATTCGCCTCTTTCAGAATCCCGACAGAGCCATCCGCGTCTGTCTGCTTGACAACCTGCCTTCGATGATCGATAGATTGTCGCAGAAGATCGTCAACGACAAGATATTCCCAAACCTAGTGTCCGGGTTTACGGATCTGGCTCCTGTCGTCAGAGAACAGACACTCAAGTCTGTCCTCACAATAGTCGGGAAGCTATCCGACCGCACTATCAACGGAGAGCTTCTGAAATGTCTTGCCAAGACTGCAAATGACGAGCAGCCTGGCATTCGTACGAATACGACCATATGCCTTGGCAAGATTGCAAAGAACCTGGGCACATCTTCAAGAAGCAAGGTCCTCATTGCTGCCTTCACTCGCTCTATACGCGACCCTTTCGTCCATGCAAGAAATGCCTCTCTCATGGCTCTTGCCGTCACGGGCGACTGCTTTAGTGACGAAGACTGCGCGTTGAGGATCTTGCCAGCAATCTGCCCACTACTCATAGACAAGGAGAAGCTTATTCGAGATCAAGCTGTCAAGACGATGGATGTGTACGTAGGGAAAATCAAGAAGGCCGCTTCTGACATGCCCGACACTGCGCTTCCACCGCAGCAGCTGGGCGCGAACGCGCCACGCATGAGCACCCCCGTGGGGACTGAGTCGTCTGCTCCATCCTGGGCTGGATGGGCTATCTCCTCATTTACCAACAAAATGTCGCAAGCTGCAGGCGAAATTCAGCCGACATCGTCCAACAGCCCGACACCTGCGCCAGATGCGAAACGTCCTGCACCAGTGACAACTTCTTCAGCATCCACTCTCCACCGGCAAGCAATGAAATCACCCACGTTTCCCGCAGCCTCGAGACCATCGTCGAGCAGCAATGCCGGAGGCGAGACCTTCTTCGCCGATTCTGTGCCAGCGGATGACGCTTGGGGCGACACCGGCGATGACGCATGGGGCGATGATACTGATACCGCTAATGCCTGGGGAGACATGGAGGATATGGACGACGACAACACGGGTGCTGCATCAATGACTTCGTCCACAACGCTTTCGGCACCCAAGAAGGATCTACCGACCCGCAATATCAGCAGCAGGGGCAGCGGGAGCGGAAGCGCAAAGCCGTTTGGCGGTGATGACGATGAGCCAGACTTTGCAGGGTGGCTGGCTGCGCAGTCCAAATCAAAGAGTGCAACCAAGCCACTGCCAAAAGGGCTCAGCAAGTCGAATGGCAAGACCACAACAACTGCTACAACAAAGAAGCCTGCCCCCAAACCAGCTGCTAAACCAGCTGCCAAAGTTGCGCCGGCGAAGAAGATTGATATGAAGCCCAAAGAGTCGGAGGAGGATGGCTGGGGTGATGCGTGGTAGCGGTGAAGGCAACAGGCCCGGGCATCTGAATCTATAATGTGTTATTACATCGTCTGGAAGTTCTTAGGCGAGCGTCTCTTTGCATAATATGTGGTAAGGCGTTCTGGGGACTTGGATAACAATGGGATGGCTGATAGTATCCTATCTGAATAGGATAGGATGGTGACATTGGATAGAACGTTTTGCTGGCATACACGATGTCCAAGGATGCGGACATATCACAAAATTGCAACAAGGCAAAGTCAAAGTAATTTCCATTTGAAGGTCATCCGTAGTCCTTTGTAAACGCCACCATACACCCTGCGATGCTCCATCCAATTCCGAGTATGCGACGTCTGTAACGGAAAGCTTGATCGACTTGTCGACTGCCTCCAGTGTAGAGCATTGCATACGATTCGTATTCCAGAGCAGTTATAAATAACTGTTCTCTTAGCGCGCAGACAAAAAACTGATTCAACCTTTAGCGCGCCTCCGAGTAGTCATTCAGCGCGACACAGACCGCGCCGCGGTGGTGGCCATTGTACTGGCGGATGATCTGCTGGCTGTGCAGCTCCCACAGGCGGGCGTAGTGATCAGAGCAAGCCGTGACCAGGTAGGCCGAGTCGGCGCTGAAGGCGCAGTCCCAGACCCAGCGCTGGTGGCCGGTCAGCGTGGCCTCCAGTGGGAAGGGGCGCGGGGATCCGTTCTCGTCGGGCTCGGCGGCCTTCTCTGGGTCGACCTCCCAGATCTTGGCGGTGTGGTCGGCCGAGCAGGTGGCTAGCTTCTTGACGTCCGGGGAGAGCAGGATGCGCGTGATGTACTCCTTGTGTGCGTTAAAGTGGGTGATGGGCTGCAGCTCGGTGCGGTCAAAGGTCTGGATGAGGGACCAGACGAAGACGTTGCCCTGGGGGTTTCAGGATAATAGTCAGAAGAAACCGTTACGTTCGGTTACGAGACGACATGAAGAGAGGGGAGGGAAGGCGATGCTTGTAGAACATGATAAGGGCATGACGTACATTGTTATTGGCGGCGCACAGCAGTGTGCCATCCGTGGCAACCGTGACACTCGACACGCTCACGTCCTCCTCGGGGATCAGCTCATGGCTGCAGTTGTTCTCGGCGAGGTCCCAGACGCGCACGCTGCCGGACCTGTCGCAGCTGATGATCTCGCCCTGGTTGGGGTGGATGACGACGTCGTTGGCGGGGCTGCCGTGGTTGTAGCTGCGCTGGATAGTGCCGCTGCGGGTCTCCCAGATCTTGACGGTGCCGTCCTCGGAGCTCGTGACCATCCACTTGCCCTCGCAGTGGAACGCGACGCCCGTGATGTTGCCCGTGTGGCCCTCAAAGGTCAGCAGCGCGTTCGGGTTGGTCGACTTGATGTCGAACAGCTTCACCGTGTGGTGGCCCGCGGCCGCGAGGAAGCGCTTGTCGGGCGAGATGCACAGACGGTTCACCTGCGAGTCTGGATGCTGGATTGTGCGGGAGCAGATGCCGGAGAGGGCCTCCCAGAACCTGTGGTGGTGGGACAAACGGGTTGCGATGGTCAGCGTCACGCGCGCTCAGCAAGGGGCACAGGGCGACGCGAGGGCGTGTCGCGACGAGGGAAGAAAGGAGGAGGAGACGCCGTGCGAGAGGACATATACGAACCGTATGGTGTGATCATAACCGGCTGAGACGCAGAGAATGTTAGCAGGATCACTGCGTTGCGCCATGGTGGGCGGTTGGAATGTGGTGGTCACGCAGGTGTAGATTGAAGATGGAGGCTCTGCTTACCGGTACAGAGAATGACCGACATGTTGACAGAGGAAGGGTTAAGTCAACCTCCTCTCCATCATTTGGAGATTTCAACCGTCGTGGCCAAAAGGGATTGGAAGTCCTGTCGTCTTTGCTCGTGGGCGACGAGGTTGAGGATGTTCAAGCTTGGTGGGAACTGTATTGTAATGAGGCTCAAACAAGGGTGTGCAGCTGGAGTGACGTTCTGAGTGGGGGGAGGGGACGTCAGGGTCTCCCCTCCTAGAGCCTAGAGGTTACACCCCTGTAAAGCTACTCTCACAGCACTTCTCCGCAATGTCCAAGCTGCGCAACATGTTCTCTTCGCAAAACGTGCCTCTCAGCACATTTGCTTCGTATGATGAGATAAGCCTGGTTTTACAGAGATTTCATCCATAGCAATACTGCCACCTGAAAGTGAGAACAGAGAGGGGCTAGCACAGGCGGGATTAGCATACGCTTGTTAGTATTATCGGCTGTATATCAATTCTTGAATATATGGGAGTCCAGGTTCAAGATGGAAGAAGGCATATGTGAGACACAGACTCTAGTGAACTTCTACTTTTGGATGATTGAGGTCAGTCTTGAATGTGAACTTCCTGCTCTGCCTTCCAAAAAGGCTTAGATACTTGACTCAAGAAAAGAACAGCTGGATGAAGACGTGACTTGTAAGTATAGTAGTGGCATAATCATGAACACCAAAGGCTCCCAGAATTATTGTTACAGTTACACAATCCCCTAACAAACAAACTGCCTTCAATCTCCCTTCAATCATTTGCCAGTCATTCTCTTATGTTCATACTTTAACAGCCTCGATGATCTCTCTCACCACACGAGATGTGCTCAGCAGATTTCCTCTGACCTTCACTCACCATTGATGATAAGGCATTTCGCCCTGCCATCTGAAGTCAGTCCCTCACTCTACTAGACCATCTCAGACTTCCTAACAAGAGAAGAAGAAAAGAAAAAGAGCATACTTACCTCTCCTCATCAACCTTATAAACCACCCAAGTAGCCTCCCGGGCGCCCCAGCAAGTCCGTAGGTCTACAGCACCTAAATCGTCAAAACTCGTAAACATCTTGGCCCGGCCAGTACTATTCAGATACAGCGGGTCTGAAAAGAACTAAAAGAACTTCGGCTCTTGCTTAAGTATTTGGGACCAGCACCTCCTTCACCGCCAGCAGGTGGCTCACCCACCCACGCCCACGGACAGAGACCGCAACTAGCTTGGAGTGGGACTTGACCGCCTCAAGAAGTAGCTTTCTCTTCTCCCCTGGAGTCAATGAGTCACCGTCAACGGCATCGCAGAAAGCTACCATCTCGGCCATGAACGCGTTGAAGCAGTCGGTCCTGCCACGCTGGAACTGTCGCTGGTTCACTACATCTAGGACTGTTACTGGGTGATAGCTACATAGTTTGCGGATTGCAATCTGCAGGACTACCTGGAGAAGTGAACACGATGCAATCTTTTATGCTCGTAAATATGCGGTGCTGAGGCCAGTATGGTCGAATCAGGTGTATGAATCGCCTACAGTCGTTACGAGATGGTGCGCCCGACGCTGAGCGGTCATCCAGATGTCTCGTCTAAGACCGGCTTCGAGATGAGAGGACAGTACGTAAAAGCATCGTGCCGTGAAAGCATTGGCGGAGAAGGGGGAGACAGAGAAGGGTTTGGAATAGGCAGGGTTGACTGTCTTGCAGAGGCCAGCCAGAGTAGGCCAGTCAATCATGGCGTGCTGGCAGAATGTCGAAGCAACGCCAGATTCTTGGCCCACATATCGCTGTTGCCTGTGGCTATTGCAGGCGCCCAGTACGTACCTTCGGGTGTCTGCTCTAGCATGGCGCCATAGACTGCCTGGAGCTGCGCTTGGGAGAGCCAATGTCCAAGCCCGATACACTGAGGCATCACATTGAGATAGTCTCTCGCAACCTCTCCCGAGTCGAGAGAGAGCTTGTATTTGAAGGCCGCCTGCGTGATCAAGACTGCCTGATCTGCTTGGGCATGACTTGCTGCACTGAGCGGAAGTAACCCAAATAAATGATGTCGCCTGGCATTCATCTCCCGCGGCCGAATACAATTGAATTTGTTGTACAGGTCAATAATTCAGTTGTCAAGATCATAGTCACATTGCTCCAGTCGGGCTTGTATCTTTTCACCGATACCCCTGGTAAAAGCAGCTCTGCCACCACCTCTTGTGTGTGTTTGAGATCCTCATTACTCCCAAGATGGGCGATTGTTTCGAATCCTCTGACCGTGTCTATCATAAGAACATAGATCGGTCATTGAGGCTGCACTGTCAGGCTTTAGACGTTTGGTGAATGTGAAAACATTGAATCCAATGGCTGGTCCTCGTTCTAATTACCACATACATCCGCTTCCATCTTTCCCAAGGTCTTTCAAAGACAGCTATTTGTAGATGAGGGTAGAGGCCATCGTCCAACTAGTTACTGTTTGGATACAAATTCAATGGTGATATTTCCCATCAGATTCAATGCGTCTCTTTGGACCGTTACCGCTCGAGGTACTATTATAAGATTCTGGTACAAACTCACAACGATAGTATGACGCCGTAAGGACAGCCAGCACACATTTATCTGAGCCACTAGTTTTATCATTGTTCATTCCAGACTTAGGTATATGGTTAGCTGTATACTTTATCCAGGGAGTCTTTCATCATTAAGCTGAGCCTGTCTGTGCTCTGAATTATCCATGGAAATCAAATCGACTCTTGTCAAGTTATTTACATCAACAATAATGTATGAGTTTCATCACAACCGATATCAGAACCTTTTTCCAAATAAATGAAAAAGAAAGCAAGAAAGAAAGAGGAAGAGAGGAGCCCGAGGGTGGAGAGGGGGGCAGGGGACCATCAGAACAAAATTGGACGCCTCTATCTACCTGTTACCAAAGAGCGTACTTGATATACTATTAAGTTCTCGTCATTCAGATCAGAAAGAATTCTTGAGGGGTAACTGTGTCAAAGTCTGGCAGTGGAAATAAGGAAAACCGAAGTACAGTCGAAGCATACTTTTGGCCCGCAGACCCTGCAGATCCTCGACCTTATGAGTGACATGTGCGATATCATTAGGGAGTAACAGTAACAGAGAAAGCAACAATGAGGCCATGTCATTTCTCGGAATGCAGATGGGCTGTCATCTAGCACAACATGTCACCGTATGATCACGAAGGAACCTCGTCAGTCGTCCTTGGGACTCTTTCTTGAAACGAAGCTCAACACGTAGACTGTGCTACCGACCTTCCGCTATGACATGTTTGGAACTAAGTTATATGATTGTCCCGAGTGCTTAAGGATATAGTTCGCGGGGATCAGAAGGATGAGTGTGTCGACTCGAATAATTATGCCGGGTGGTGTCGTGATGACAATCAAGGCAAGGACCAGTCAAGGAGGGGTCGAAGAAACGCGTGCAGTATTTTCAACGGACCACAGAAATCTTATAGTTAACACCTACACAACGACTTCCAAAACACTTGGTGCATAATCGGATGACAATATCACGGCTGACTTGAACGTTCCATCAACCTCTGTGAGGCTCTTCACCTTTCGACAAATCATACGCATTACAAACAGCAAATGAACAGTTCGTGAATCTTGCACAACCATGTTCAAAATGGTGTTCCGACGCCTTATAGCTCTAACCGACACCATCTCGAATCCTCCTCATGACATTGCGAACTACGCCGCCCCTGACGCAGTATGACCTCTCTTAGACGACTTTCCAGAAGAACGACCTCCAGACCTCTGATGACTGGTTGGTGGCGGCTGGTGTCCAGGGGGCGGTCTATGATCCGATGATGTGGAAGCGGAAGCCTGGCCTTTGTTTAGCTTTGGTTTATTCGGACAGTCAATCAGTTTGGTTCCAGAGCCATGGCAGTCAGAATGAGGCCTAAGTACAAGTTACTTAGCAGTGTGCTGTTGAAAGTCTGACTAATAGAAAGGCAAGACCAGATACTAGCTAAGATAAGGCACAGAGACCTCATTACTCACATGCCGTATTTCTTGATGTACATATAGCTTCCTCCGCATTCACAAGGAACTGGATGTTGGCCATTGATACAACCGCAGACGTAGTCCACAGTGTTGGGCAAGGTTGGTTCATGAATATCGGTCACATAGTATTGGTTGGACATTGTAAGAAGAGGATGCGGGATTCTTTTAAGAATTTATTGTTTTCTGACAGAGGATGAAACTTTAACGACTAGTTAAGAATGGCGATATCATGACTTGGAATGAAAGAGCAGTTTTAATCAGTATCCAGACCGACCGTTGAAGATCAAAGACGGTTCAGTCTTTATATAGGGTCTTATTATGTCGTACAAGGCTAACATGGACTCCTAGCAATATCAGGCAGTCGGTAGCAAAAGCAATAACTTCAAGACGAAGAAATTAGCCTCATGTGTCTCATTTCTAGATCAGTGTAGGGATCGCCGATATGTACACAAATACCACAGAAAAGTCAGATGAGCCAAAACATCGTAAAGTACCACAAGTAACTTTTAACCCTACTCACAAAGAGTGAAATTGCCGTTGAAGGGTCACAAACTGCATAAGAGGAATGACTTCAGGGATGGCCCCGATAATGTTGTATCATCTAGTGGTATTGGTGCCAATAACTTGGCCAAGTCAAAGGCTAGAAGCACTATGAGGGATTTTTGCTCAAGCCTCGTCGAGGAGTTTGGAGGCCTTGTATAGACCCTGACGACATAAGAACATGAGAACGTACTAGTAGCAGCTGAGTGTGACTTGTAAGTGTCTAGGACGCCTCCCTTAATGGGCAGGGTCTGTTTCAAGCAGGTGATGGGTTTGGAGGACTGTGAATGGCGCTTGACAGAGGAAGATCGGGACTTGACACCATCAGATGCTTCATCTACTAGCCAAATGGCCATGCAGATCCGTGATGACCGCTTCCAAGCATGCAGCCGCCCGTCGAGGCCTTGAAAGGAATTGAATCGATTCTGTTTGATAAAAGAAGGAGACAGATTTACTTACTCGGCGCTTCCTTCTTCGTCCTCGGTCTGTGAAGTGTGGTCCGTTCACGCACGCACCACAGCATCTTTTAGGGCCGGCTTGTCCTATCTGATGCCTTTGGCAAGGATTGATAAGACGGCGTGACCCCCATTTCTACCCAATGTTACGCCACTGCAGATCAAGTCATCCTTTAGCTGAACCGCGGTTGGCTCCTTGTCCAGTACCTTTACAGTAGGTGGTGCCATGATAACTACAGCGGGTCATGCGTTGACCCAAGAGTCGCGAAGATCAGTGCGCTGTGTCTTCTGTATCCGTTCAAAATGTTCAAAATGGAACTGCTGCGGAACTTCAATAATGCCGACTGGGTAGTAGATAACCGGATATCACAAGGCGAGTCTCTCTATCAGTCCGCTATTCGATGTCCAGCTGCTGAGGACCTGTTTCACCGTCTAGGTGGACGAGGCTAGGCATCCTGTGTGATTTGGTGTATCTACATGTTGATCGGTATATTAGGCTTTGACTGTGGTAGTTTTCTCTGCCCACATTCTGTCAATATGAATTTAATTGAAATGGAATCGTGACAATACTCTAGTCTGTTCATGGCTGTCTGGAGTCTCAACCTTGGAGGTGTCGCGGCAACGACAACATGAATCTAACAAATCATTCTCTTCTAAGTCCTCACAGCAACATTTTCAGCCCGAAGGCAGCCAGTAATGTGCGCCCAGTGGCGGTTGGCGGGAGTGTCCATACCAAATCTGAGGAACCAGCCCGATGAACTTCAATGATCCGGTCCAGACGCAGTGCGACCTTCCGATGCCGGCCAGTTGTGCTTGATCCAACCTTCTTGGCCAACTTCACGAAGTGAGGTTGAAGAATATGGAATTTTGCCATGGCTACGTGTTTGGTCACGCGAAAAATATCCCAAGCCAGTAGACAATGTCAGGAGCTCGAGTCTGCGCATTTTGCTCGACAGTCATTTGTACATATGTATCTATTTCAACAATCAAGCGTCCCTTGACACTGTTCTAGGCGTGTAAGTGATGAAATCCATATGGTAGCCACAAAAATTTGGAATCGATAATAATCTATAATGGACACTATTATGCTTCACCGGTCGGGTCCGCCTGGATGAGAGGCTCATGGTCGCCTGACAAAAGGAAGGGCCGAGAACAGCCTGAACAGGTGTAGCGATTCATAGCTCGAGAATCGCTCCACCATACCCTGAATTTATGCGGAAGCAGCTGAGTGGGAAGTGCCGCTAACCAACGACGCATGTTTCGGGTGACCACAGCCATGGCGTACTTGGTCAATGGCGAAAGCCCGAGAAAAAGCATTTCCTCCCAATGACTGTTACGAATGGCACACCTCATGGGCACATTTTCTTGTTCTCACCGAATGTGTTCCGTAGCTCCACATCCAGGAACGCCACACGCCGCGCAGGACTTAGTGTGTTGAGTATGGCGCGAGTTTAGAATGCTGTCTCGAATGTCTCCCTCATTGTAATTATGGTATTGAGAAGCCCAGACTATTAGGTATCACAAAGAACATCACCCTAAATATCCAGTCAATAACCTGAGGTTCTCGAATCATGGTGTGACAGCAAAATTGGCATGCTATGAAGTATGATAGAAGAATGCGAGTCACAGAAAAACGGATCGAGGAAGGTGAGCCCTCAGGACGAAACAGGTAATGCCCGCTCATTGACGGACTTGTTCACTCTTCGTCTGTTTCTTTTCCGAGTCAATTTAATGACCGATTCGCTGGAGTCTTCGCTTATTTGCAGCTGAATATCAAAGTCTGCTAATTGTAACAAAGAGAAAACATACAAGAAACCGTGAAGTGTGCCCAGGAATGAATATTGGATTTGGCAACCTGCAGGCTCGGCGATTTGCAATCAAATTTTCGAGTCTTGAGTTTGTGTTGAAATTCATTCATCCAATCTATGAGACAGCTCAAAGTGAGTGGGAAACTATTGTGTGAACAAGAATCTGGCGGTAGACGCAATTATCTTTTGAATATCACTTAAGCAGCTCAGTTATCTTGAGGTCTTCCCTTTCGGTGGTATAATAACAGTATACGTACATGGTTTTTAGTAATCGAAGGAAATGTTAGCACGCATCATTACATCCTTTGAAGTGGCGTACGAGCAAGACAATAAATCCATCGGCTACCGGTTGCTTGATCAGTGACATCCAGGCTATGGTCTAATAGTTGTCTATTCCCGTATTGAGCTTGGAGCCTGCCATTTTTGCGCGCGTTGGGGCCAGATCAAGCGCGGGGATCCAATGCAACGTCTGTAACGATCTCATTGATCCTTCAGGTTTCCCGATTGTTGGCTGCGTTTTTTCAATCTTATCTAGAGGCTTTCACAGATCAGAAGATGGAGGCGTGAGCATATTTACTGGAGCTAGAGGATAGAATTATCAGGCACGCCGGGTAACACGGTACGGCAGCGTGTAGGATCAAAGCGAGTGGACTTTTTCTCTTTTCTGGATACATCCAAACTCGACTCACCTTGAATCAACAATAACACTTTGTGACGCTCCATCCAATCACTACGCTCAGAAAAGCCGCCGAATTCTCATTTTCAACCTCACAAGGCATCCCATTGATAAGCTAGCAAAGTGCCAGCAAGTGAACGACTGCCACATAACTATCTACCTAATGCGCACCACCTCCACCTCCACCTCCTCGCCTTCCTCTCTGGAATTTGATTTGCTTGTGGAGCCTGCTTTGCAACCAGTAATATCCCAGAGCTGACGCGCATGTCTCTGCATAAGCGATCATGCAGCAGCAATGTTCAGGGGTGCTTTACTTAGCCACCCAGCTGCAACTTAACCGCGTTCTTGGACTTTCAATCACGTGCAGTTCTCAGCCTCAAAAGAGTTGTAGCTGTAGACAGCGTTTAAGCTGACAACCAAGCTGCCATCCAGCTCATTTTTTTATTTTTTGACGATTTCATCGTCCTTAAAGGCGTTATGGATTCCTTATCCGCAATCGGCCTTGCCTCGTCCATTCTGGCGTTTATCGACTTCTCGTGGGATCTAGTAACTGGCACTCTCGAGATTTATCGTTCAAAGAATGGCAGCTCTACAGAAAATACCCGTCTCATCATGGATACAGATCGCGTCAAGTCTCTAGCCGAGTCACTTGCAAACGATACTCCCGCCAAGACCGAAGCTGAGAGAAGCATTAAGGATCTCGCAAAAGCCTGCCGAGAGGACTCGGGGATCTTGCTGGCGCTCTTAGAGAAGATGAAAGTGACGGGTAATCGTCACAGATTTCTAGGGAGCTTCAAATCCAAATGGACGAGCATAACTAATGATGGAGAGGTGAAAAGACTCAAGGAACGCCTTCAGGAAAGTCGGAAGGAAATTTTGTTGAACCTTACGATGTTACTCAAGTAAGAACACAACCGTGCTTGCCAGATGGTATGCCATGGACATAGACTTACATACCGGCTGCAGGGAAGACCTAAGCGAGATCAAGAAGCTACAGCAGGATACCAGAGAGCTCAATGTCAACTTGTCGCGGCAGGTCACCGACGCCCAGGACAAACTACAGAGCGCTATCAAGAGCAGTCTAGAGAGAACCTTGGAAAACCAAAGGACCCCAGCCGAACAATCACTGCTATCGAGCATAACAGCACAACTGCAACATTTGCTGTCTTTGACAATGACTATCCCGATTCAACACAGAATTCTGCGTCACATCATGTTCGACGACATGGAATCTCGACGAGAAGAGATTATCGATGCCGATGCCGCCACTTGCGACTGGATCCTGAATGAAGGCTTCTCGGATGATGAGATGTCATCTGAGTACTCATTCTCGGAGAGCGCGCCACATAATCTGAATTTGCTTCTATTTGAGACGAAGGATGGACGGACAGTGGCTCGGAAAAAGTTCATCTCCTGGTTGAGGACTGGTAGCGACGTCTTACACATCTCGGGCAAAGCTGGATCGGGAAAGTCCACGCTCATGAAATACATCGGCGGACACAAAAGGACCAAACAGGAACTTGAGGACTGGGCTGGCGATAAGAAACTCATATTTGGCCAGTTCTACTTCTGGATATCTGGCAGTCCGTCACAGCGGACACTTCCCGGCCTCTACAGGTCGTTACTCTTTCAGGCCTTGAGTCAGTGCCCGGACTTCATTGGGACCGTTTTCCCAGTCTAGCTTGAGCGGATGAGGTCTTCTGGTACCCAGAGCGATCGGTCCGTGGAAAAAGTCGAGGGCTTCCGTGATAATCAGATCCGGGACGCATTCGAACTTCTCTTACAGCAGACGCAATTTGAAGGTTACAGGCTGTGTTTCCTCATCGACGGGCTGGATGAGTTTGAGGGAAACTCGCTGGAACATGAAAACCTAGCAGCAAAGCTGAAGAGCTGGACAGCTCATGGTGACGTCAAGCTTATTGTCAGCTCACGACCCTGGCGGGAATTCCACGAGATCTTCACCTCCAACGAGCCCCTCCATTTGCATCAACTCAACTCCCTTGACATTCAAACCTTCTGTCTCAGCCGAATCGCATCTGACACAGAAACTCGTCAACTTGAGCCGGACGAGATGGACTATCTACGCAACGATGTCGTCAGCGAGATCATCACAAACTCTCAAGGTGTGTTTCTGTGGGCACACCTCGTTCTTGACGCAACACTTTTAGGAATCCGCAATGGGTTCCTTGTCAATGAACTCGTGTCGAAAGTCAACGAGTTTCCATTCGAGCTGAATGGCTTGTACGACAAACTGCGAGAGCCCATTGAGAAGAGCGCCAGCGACAGAAAGAGGTCGAACCAGATGCTCTTGTTGGCGGCAAATGCGCCCGAAGATTTCCCCCTTGATGTCATAGCATTGTCCTTGCTTGGTGATGATAGTGATCCTGGCCTGTTTGATGAGGACTTCCCTTCAACAACGGAGTGTCAGCCATATTCAGGAGAAGAATGCACCAGACGACTTAAGCGCGGCATGAAGCTGATGAACGGCCTGACTCGGGGCTTGCTTGAGGCAGTTGACTCCCCAAATTATACCTTTGATTTTTGTTTTCCGCTCTTTCATGTCAAGTCAAAGCAAACACGATTCTGTCACAGATCGGCCCGAGATTACCTCATCAACAACGAGAAGCGATACTCGGCTTTGCAAGAATCTTGGCCAGGTTTTGATACATCAGATGTGTACGGAAGGATATATCTTGCAAGTGTCATATATGGGCGGTACGCGGTGGCTGCTTCTACTTCGACGAGTGAGATTCGCCTGCTCCCACACTTCTTCAAGACCCTCAAGACTATCCGCAAACTTGGAGGAACCACTACTTCGCTCGCTTCGACCAACATGGTTAAGTCACTCGCGGTTCAGGCGGGAATTTCACGGTGATGAGGGACTCCATGACACACCAGTGTCATTCCTTTCGTATGCGGCAGCCTACGGGCTACAGGAGTTCGTACTTTCTGAGGTAGGCGCCCGTACAACTTCAGATACTCATTCGTGTGGGTCAAGCGTGTTACTGACCGCTCTTCATTGCCGAGAGTGGGAACTTGCATTCAAGCTTATCGAACAGAGCATCGGCTTAGACACGCTCATCAAGACTCGCTTTATCGATTCTGGGGAGAGCAAGGCGTTGCTTATTCCTGTGTGGGTGCTTGCTCTGTCACTTATAATAGGTGCAGCTTTCCCCAAACTCATCAGGGGAAAGACTCTAAGTGACACGCAAAACGAAAGCCTCATTCGGCTCCACGAGCACGCTTCAGAAGTTGGCGAATGCCTGACATTGACTTTTCGTCTGTGGCAAACGCCCGATAATCGCGTGCATAGAGGCTCCGTGTGGCATAATACTAAGGAGACAGTTATGGGCTCCGATGAGTTTGCACGTTAGGCAGCAGACACTTTGATAGCAAGAGGATTGAACCCGTGCAGAAGCACTTCAGGACGAGCTACATTGCTACAGAGATCTGATAAGTGGGTGGGATGGCGTGCGAATTTTGATGGCACTCCTTCTCACATTTGTAATGATTTTCAATGGCGGGAAGTCTTCAGTGGATATGGGAAGCCCTATGAAGAATATGAGTCTCGAGGAGTATACTTCAGGCTGTGGTGATGAACTCATTAGGTACAACTTCAGATACACATTGGTTGAGCAAGCAAAATTTCACCACAGGCAATGTCATCTACACTCTCACAGATAGCAACCGAAAGAAATCTCGCAGAAATACACTTAAAATCCCCATGAATGTAGAACTACACGAGAGGAAAACAGACCATTGACGCAGATTTGATGGGGGCTGAGACGCAAGCTGATCAATACAGTCTAGGCCATGACCGAGTCAACCAAGCCAGGAGAACAAGAGACGTGAAGAAACGAGGGAAAGCCAGTCTTTGAAATACAAGAGTTACGGCTGCGGATGGCCATCAGTAGCTTGTGTGCATGACCTCTATCCCGAAGTCCGGGTCGAGCTATGGTTGCTCATGCTCTACATTTGTGTCATGGTCGCCTGCAAGGTTGACCATGGACCGTGGCAAGGATGCTTGCGGGAATTGTTGGTATGAGATGGCAGGAGATATGAGACCAGTCATCCTCGGCTCTATGATTAACTTTGAGTCCTTTAAACACCCTCGAGATGAATCTACGACTGGCATGATCAGTGGCATATTGGTGGCTCAAATATACATTTACACACCAATGCCTTCAGTATGTGTTAGTTGGGGGTACTTACGGCCCAGCTACAGACAGCCATCGTAGGCAAGCGACAACAGCACTATGATCACATTCTCAATATTGACAATATCGTGCTCTTCCACCGGGCAGTGTAATTCCACTGTATCTTTTCAACGTATCTCTAGGCTAGTCCACCCACTTCAGAAATGATTGACCACCAAGAAACTCCAAGCGCCAAACAAGTACTTCAATGTCCCCACGACCGCTCGTGACAGCAAAAGCAAGACAGTCAATTGCAGGATATATTCATCCATCAAGCCAGTCCAAAGATTCAACCCATCTTCTGTCTCTTGGGGTCGCCGCCTACAAGACCGCCAGCAGGCACGGCAATCACTGTGCCATTCGTAGAGACGTCGGCCAACGCTGGTCGTGCAGCGCCGTTGGCACCCTCGTTAGGCAGCGGTCTCTTGATCGTGGGAGGACGGTACTGGCCCCTATTTCCCACTGGACCTCCGGGGCCCACTGGAGCTCCAATACGCCTAGCCTGGCTCAGTTGAGGGTTAACCACATTTCCTCTCTGGCCGGCCATCGGACCTTGCTGCTGTCCTCCACCATTGCTCGTGTTGGGCCCTCCGGCACCACCTGCACCTGGTCCTCCTTTTCCAGCTCCAACGCCCATGGAAATCGTGGGCTGAGCAGGGTTCTTACCACTGGACTCGCCCTCGTTCCCCTCGGCCGGTGCAACATGTTGACCGTTCCGCGCCACTGGCTTGGACTTGGTGTGGTCAATACCAGGAGTCTTGCGGATTGACGGGCTCTCCGCGTGAGGGTTAAAAGCCTGAGCCCCCAAAGGCGCCGTGGGGAGTTTGGGTTCTTCGTCCCCTTTTGAACCAGCGAACTGCTTGACTGCACGGGCGGAGAAGAAGCCGACACCCTCAGAGGAGGCAGCCCCATTCTGAGCTTGCGCTTGTGGTGGTGGTGTCTGATGCGGACCATTGCTGCCCGAGGCAGAGCGTGGCTGCGCCATTTGCTGTTGCAAAGGATGCTGTGGGCGTGGGGTAGCTTGATTTGGATTATGCTGAGGATGAGGTCGGGGGTAGGCTTGACCAAGAGTCTGTGGTGGCCGAGCCGGATTGCCTGCAGAGTGTGACCGTGAAAGAGGTCGTGATGGCGGCTGCATGCCTGGGAGATTTGGCTTGTTGCCATTACTCTGCGGAGTTGGCTTCTCGCTTTGCGGAACAGAGACCTCGTCAGGGTGGTCGTCATCCATCATGTTGAAGTCCACCTCATCGAACTCTGCAATCATTGTTTCAGCGTGAGATCACAAATTCATGAGACCAAGAATGTCTTACCGCCCAAGAGGTCCTCGAAGGATTCATCAGCAGATGGCACTGTCGTCACCGTCGCAGCACCACCTGCACCGCTACCACTCGTCCCCGGTTCGACCTTGACAAGCTCTTCCTTCTTCACAAAGTCCGCGTGCCGATGCAAACCGCTTTCGTCCCACACCCGATTCGGCTCAACCTTCAACTTGGTGACCTTCTTGACATAGTCCTTGTCGTAGATGCAGTTGCCCAGCACGTTGCCAAAGTTCCTCAGCGCCCTCTTGAGCCCGTCCGTCGTCCCCTCCTTCTTAGCCTTCTCAAATGCCTTGGCCTTGCCGGCACAGTTCTCAATGTGCCCATAGCCGACGTCCTCGTGGAACGTCCCGTCTCGAAGCGTCACGCGCACAATGACGCTCAGGCCCAGGCTGATCTTGAGCGTCTGCGGATGCTCGTCAACAAAGTCGACCTGGATCTCCTTGATGGTGCTGCTCCACCCGTTGAAGCCAAACACCTCGTTCGCGAGCGCGATGCACTTCTCCGCCGCGATGTAGTGCACCTTCTGGCCTGAGGGCCCCGTGCGCGCCGACAGGTACTCGGGTCCCAGCTGCTTCTCGAGGCGGGACTGCAGCGTCGCGATCTCTTGGGCTGTGTACTCGGAGATACGGGGCTGGGCGACTTCGAACGGGTTGGCGATGGTGGTCGCGTGCTGGTCGCCTGGGCTGTGAAATGGGTTGAGTTCAGTTAGCCAGACAGTCATGTGTGTCTTTACATTTGCTACGAGGCGCGCACGACGCGTCTGGACGACTATTGATGATGGATGGAATTTACTCACGCAGGCATTTTGACGATGTTTAAATTAAAGAGCAGCTCATGAGACCCTGAGCCAAATTCATAAACGGATGCCAATTAATCAGAATCGCAGAATGGTGGTCGTTTTGCAGTCGTTAATGTAAACTTCCTGTTGACAAAGCCGTTGCTAATGGACGCGCCTGGGTTGCCTACAGGGAAGCGTGCCTAGTACTGCCAGTTCAGTACAGCAGCGCCAGCCAACAATTGCTGACTCGGTTGGCGCGCTCCCACGTGACGTCAGGTACAGTGACTCCGAGCCCCCCCCCCCCCCCAGCCCAAACCCAACACCCTCCAAGCTCCTACCTTCGTCCCAGCATATACTATAGTACATACACAGGCTTGACGACAAACAGCAAAACAATAATGCATACTACGCAATCCAACCTCGCATTCAACCACAGTAAGATTGACTATTCTCCCTAAAACCCCTCTTCATCACGCCGCGCGTATACCAACCACCACGACCACCACCTCGAATGGCCGAACCTAGCGCCTTCATCAACCGCCCATGAAATAAGCCCTCGCTCGGTACTTACGGATAACTTGATCTCGATGAAAAATGTCTACTACGCATCATGCTCAGGGTGATATGAGCCGGCTCTTTCATCCAGTGTGTTAAGTACCGTGCCTAGTAATACTCTGTAATAGCACACCTGGAAGGACCGGGTGCAGAGCGTCGTCGTCATCGCCAGGCACGACAGGTCTTACGCCAGCGCATACGGATGCGTCCGTCTCCATCAGTGCAAGCCAGCCGCAACACACTAAAGCAGGCTCGTTTTGAAGTCCGTTGGTCACTCTAGCGGTCGCTAGAGATTGATCGATATTTCAGACTGTAGATACCAGGACCAAATGGCCGGAAGCCTAGCCCAATTCAGTGCTTTACCGTCCCGTATTAGTTACAAAGGAAAAATAAATGCTGAGCACACAAGCAAACTCTCCTTATCCCCCTAACTCTGTCCTTAGGACATGGTCCACACTAAGATCGAAAAACAAGTCCAATGCAAGGGGATCCTGAGGTAGGAAAAATGGATATCAGAATGATGCAAACGCAAGAATGCGTGACATGGTGTAAACGCCGTTGCGATGTGCAGCCCCTAAAAACATCCCAAGTCTATGCCAGCCGTGTCCGTACCAGAACAAAACGAGTGGTTTGGTCGTAAAAGTGTCGTGAAATATGCATGGTCCAACCCCATGCTCTAAAATGCCGCCCCCCCCCCGAACCTCCCCCGTTTTGATTTGTTTGTCATCGAGTGCTCCTTTGAAAATCGCCAATGTTGCTTCCTCCGGTAGGTGTCAAAGCCGGTGTACCTAGAATGGCCCAACTCTGACAGCAGATCCGTATGATCCGTTGAGCAGCTGGTCCAGGATCGAGTCCTGACCTGACGATCCACCCGCAGTAGCGTGCTGGTCCGCGCTGGTCCAGCCGACATGGTTCGCCAGGGTGTTGACTGCAGGCTGGAGCCGTCCACCGGCCTGTTCGTTATGCTTTGCTAGAAGCTGATCCCATCCCTCTCGGTGCAGTGTGAAGCCGCCGCCCCGTTTGGCGGCCTCCGAGATGACCATTGTCCATGCCTTTGCTATCTCGTCATAGACGTGATCCTTGTGGTGCCTGTACGTCTGGCTGTCCCAGTTGGGCAGCGAATGGGCGATCTTGGTAACACCATCGAGGTACATGAGCGATATGCTGGCCTGGTCTTCGGCGGGAGGTAGGTACTGAGGTGTGAAGTCCATGATGGCGTCCACCAGCGCACCAAGATGATGTTTCACCCTGTAGTAGGCGTAGTCAGAGCTGGAGTGGCCCAGCGGCATGGCCTCAACGAGCTTCTGTTGATACGATTCCAAAACCTGCAACGAGTTCGCAGCCGTAGGCCGGGGGGCACCGCTCAGGACCTGCTCCTGGATGTCCGGCCGCTGATCGCAGATAGTCTGAAGGACTGTCCGTAGCTGATTGTTGTCGAGGGTCTCCAGGAGTCGAGGCAGAGGGAGGCTTCGGGCCTGAGGTTCAGGGACCCTGCGCATCTTTCTTGGTCTCGCCAGCTGCCGTTGGGCCAGGGATGGTGAGCTCTGGGGCGAGACACTCATCTCGTCGCCATCATCCTCACGCTGCCGCTTGTTCGATTTGGACGCCATGTTGGACAAAGGGGACACTGTAGGAACAACAATAGCGTTAGCATCATGCACCGGCTCTTGATTTCGCAAGCGAGAATTATGATTGAGACAGATTGGCAAGGGTCATTTGATTCATTCATATCCATAGGATGGTGCAACCCAGGAGGGGGCTTGGCAGCAAGACTTGGGGGGTTTGATAGCATGAAGAGGGGGTGGAAGGGGAAGATACGTACTGCCGCGGGAAGGAGAGAGACGGGGGTTTTCGTGTTGATGAGGGAAGACTGGCGGCTGCGCCAACAGCACATTCATCTTGTCGTAGATGGCGTCGGGATAGAGTGGATGATGGACTCCTTTGCGTGGTGTGGAGGAGTGTTGCTGTTGTAGTGTTTGCCAGGCAAAAGTCGCCGCCTGAGAAGCCCCAGAATTGATCGTTTCGGGGAGAACAGCAAGAAGATCGAGGTCGGTACAAGTCGTTCTGAGCGATTTCGGGAGTCAACTTCTGAGTCCTCTGTCGAGGCCTTGGCAGAATAGTTTTTGGTTCCAAAAGATGCCAGAACCAGGTCTCCGAGAGGGCGAGGGCGACGGGAGACCCAACGCAGGGATTCAAAGACCGAGAGAGGTAGAGATAAGCCCCCAGATGCGTCGTAGGAAGAAGGGAGGCGGTTGGAAAGATGGCCCTTGCGTGTTGGGTTGTTTGTCGGCACAAGGAGTCGTGGGGCGTTTGGTAGATGCAGCAGACCAAGGGAAAAGAAAGAGAGAGGTGAAAGAGTCTGCGAGGCCGAGGTCTCGGGTGCCTTCGCCTTCTTTATGATTGGGGGCGAGATGGTTGGCAAAAAGAAAATGGAGTGGAGGAGAAAGTGATGGGTGCTGGGGGTTTCGGGAAGATTGAGATGCGCTTGGGCTCGGGCAGCCAGCAGCTAAAAGCTAGCACGGGCTCGCTACAAACAATAGGTGAAAGAGTGGGGAGCCCTGCGGGTACCAAGGCAATGGGAATCCATAGCGTTAAATTGTCACGCTGAAAGGTGCTATGGTAACCACCTAGGCCCCTTGTAGCCAGGACACCTGATTCTCCAGGGCAGGCACCTGGTCATCAAGCCCCCCCCTCCCCTCCCTTTCAAAAGGCAGTGCCCTCCCTCTTGTTGGTCTGGGTCCCAAGGTGTGTTAGCAGCCCCCGCTCGTGCCCCTCCCCCTGCTCTCTCGGACAGCCGATGCAAGCAAAGGGCCCTTCTGATGGGTGGGAAGATCCAGCACCATGGACCAGGACTAAAACCACACCCATAAAGGCGGTCAAAGGCCGAGGTCCCATCCACGGCTAGAGATGTTGCAGGCTGCATTCGTTCAAACCAATTGTCCCAAACACCACACGGCACAGCATCCATCCCGAGTGGAAATGCACAGTCACCCTGCATTGCCAACACTCATCACCCCTCCAAGTTATTGTCTAGTCTTGACCTTGAAGTAAGCACCAATCAATGGCTTCTCATGTAATCAACTTGCTGGGCCCCGCACACACAAGGACGCACGTCTTCAACCTTCAACCTTTTAACTTCAGCCCTCCACCATACTACTTGGCATATACCCCAACCCATGGGGCCCCAGCTGGTGTCCACTACTGCAACCTCTTTAAAAAGGCATCCAGACACCCCTGTACTATAGTATTATTGGCATGGAATTCAATGCATTCCCATCGAGCATCCCTTGGGTTGAATCCATTTAGCCATCTTCACCTACCGTGACCCTCCAAAAGGGGCTACTATAAGCTCATGACTGGGTGAAAGTCTAAGACCTGCTGCTACTTTTTGTTCTGCTTGCTTGACTGTGCTCGTGCATTAGCGATGCCCCGGCATCTTATTTGTCTAGAATTTTCTTGCCTCGTGACCAATGGTATACATTCTTGTATGGTCAACTTGGCCGAAAGTTGAGGGATCGAATAAAGTGGCCCACTGCCTTCAGCTATCAATCAGCATCACGTTGAGCTAGACAACGGAACAGTATGAGTTTGAAACATTGGTAGATGACATGACATTGATGTTCTAGAGTGTACTCTTGGCTTTACGATGTGCTCTTGAGTATGACAGCTGACGGATCCGTGCGTGGGCCAGTGCGGCGCACACCAACGCCATCATCGCCATCAATGGACGCGGCCGACTCGTGCCCCTACTGCCTCACCACATGGCTGCCCTCTGCTGGCTCCAGTAGCTTCCAGCTGCACTTGATGCCCTGCTTGCTGAACCGCGATATTATGCTCTCCGCAACCTCCTCAAAATGGCTCGTCGCCAGCGCCAGGATTGTCGGCCCCGCTCCGGAGAGGCACACGCCTAGCAAACCCGGCTGCGTGCTGGGCGTCATGGACTCAACAATCTCCGTGAGTCCAGGAATCAGCGTCTGCCGGTACGGCTGGTGCAGCTTGTCCTGCATCGCCAAGTAGATGAGGTCTGGATCGGGCGGCGACTGGCCCAATGCCACGGGGAGGAGAGCTATGCGCTGGAGATTGAATGTCTGAAACAGGACCGTCAGCTTTTTGTTTCTTCCTCTCCACCGTGTGGTCAAGCAGTTGAGAAATAGGATTGTGAAAGAGCCTCGATAATAAGAAAAATAAGAAGGAAAAAAGACTCACCACATCAGGACGGGGGTACTGCTCAGGCAGCACAGCTCTTGCCTTGGCCGTAGCAACCTCAAAATCAGGAATGATAGCCACAGCCTTGATCTCCTTGCTCCATGGGAACTTGATATGATGTCCGATCCCCCTCGGCGGGTCAGGCGGTCTCGCACCAGTGTCGACGCCGCCCGCCGGCGCAGGAAGGACCTCGGCCAAGGGGATCTCGATACGAGCTACATCCTCTGGCGCGAGGGGCTTCAGGTACGTCCCCACGAAGCCACCGTATAGTGCCGCGCCGACATTGTCAGGGTGGCGTTCTGAATTTTCACTTGCATGTCAGCCAAGATGTAATTAAGGCTTTGGTCGAAGAGGGGGGGATCATAAGTGACACCTCAGGCTTACCAATCATCAGACAGTAGTCGAACAGGCGGTCGTTGTCCAGCTGCTTCAGCCCACCACACTCCTTGCCCAGCAAGACGCCCGCCACGACGGCCGCACCAGACGACCCCAGGCCCCGGCCCAGAGGGATGGGGTTCACAATGTGAACATGCGTCTCGACGGGGAAGCTGCGCTGGTCGTGGCACCGGAGAACATACAGCGCCACCCTGGTGAGCAGGTTCGCGTCCGGGTCAAGGCTGATCTCGTCGGCGCCCTCGCCCTCGTAGCTCAGCCTGCAGTTGAGAGGGTGCTCCGAGCTGGACTTGGACCGGTCGATGGAGACGTGCAGCTCGAGGTACATAGACAGGGCGAGGCCGATCACGTCGAAGCCCGGGCCGATGTTGGCGGAGGAGCAGGGCACCTTGATGACGAAGGACTCGGTGGCCATCCTGACTGATTGCTGTATTTGTTCGTTCGTGGGAAGAAAACAAAAGAAAACAAGAAAGGGAGTAAGGGAGCTGATTTGGTGGCGGCTTGGCCTACGCGAGGGGCCAGAAAAAGCCGTGTTGAGGAAGAGGTGTTGAACCTCTGAAGGGAAAGTACAATAACCCTGGCTTAATCCTTCAATCTCTCACAACTCTTCAAGGTCAATCCTCTGGAGTAGGGCAGCCTGATGTGCTGAGATCTCAAGTGAGCTCTCAAGTAAATTATTCAGGCATGACTCTTCACAAGAGAGATGTTTTCCTAGGCTGTCCCGATGACGGAGTCAGGGCCCTTGCTGCCTCTTGTCTAGTGGACCTTACCATTCAGTTCACACCAGGATGGCTATGGTTTTGAGACAGATTCTTCGGCCTTGCGCAATGCTCTCAAACACTCACCACATCTTAAGAATACAGTCAAGAGACCAATTGATCTAGGGAATTCTATGTGGCTTAAGGAAATAGTCGCAAATTGAGGATTCCAGAATATAAAAATCATATCCAAAGAATACATAGACTACGAGCCAATCAATCCACACATCCCAAAGTCTCTCATCCCTGCACCCACTCCATTCTTATCGGTGTTATCGACACCAGCGACCCAGAAAAATTTCCTTTCCACACGCTCAACCATCCAAAGAAGACACACACACAACTATCACGCCCCCCTCCAAGACTCTCTGCAACCAGCAGAAACCGTCAGAGCCACAGGACCACACACAAGATGTCGTCCTCCTCCTCTTCCCCCGATTCAACCCCAAGGGCAAGCCCCGACCCCGCGCCCAGATCCTCTTCCTCCTCCAAGAAGCGCAAGGTCCAACAGCCCGAAATCGAAGTCGACATCAACCTACCCGAGCCCCCCTCCAAGAAAGCCAAGCGTGCCCTCAAAAAGGGCAAGCCCCTGCCCCCCAAGCCCTCCTCTGACGACGAAGACAACGAGAACGAAGGCACCGCCTCCTCCTCCACCAAGAAGAACGGTACCGACGCAGACGGCAAGGCCAAAAAGGAGCGCTCCCCCTTCGGCGTCTGGATCGGCAACCTGCGCTTCACCGTCACCCGCGACGAGCTGCGGCGCTGGCTGGTCGACAACTCAGGCGGCAGCATCACCGACGAGGCCATCACGCGCGTGCACGTGCCCCCCTCCAAGCCCAAGGGCCAGCGCGGCGGCGGCGGCGAGCAGCGCGAGTTTGAGAATAAAGGGTTTGCCTATGTGGACTTTACGACCTACGAGGCTACGGTGGCGGCGATCGCGCTGAGCGAGACGGAGTGGTATCGGCGGAAGCTGCTGATCAAGGACGCGACGAGCTTCGAGGGCCGGCCCGAGGAGCATAAGCACAAGAAGGCGGCTGCCGCCGCCGCCGCTGCTGGGGCCACGGCAGACGGAGCGGACGGGGCCAAGGCGGAGGACGCGGCGTCGCCGGCCTCGCTGAGCCGCAAGGTTTTTGTCGGGAACATGAGCTTCCAGACGACGGAGGAGGACGTGCGTGAGCTCTTTGCCAAGTGTGGCGAGATCGAGTGGGTCAAGGTCGCTACGTTTGAGGACAGCGGAAAGTGTAAAGGATACGGGTGGGTCAAATTCAAGGAGGCCGCCTCGACGGAGTGGGCGGTTAAGGGATTCATGAAGATCAGGGAGGTGGAGGAGACGGAGGAGGATTTCATGGACGTGGATGCCGAGAAGGAAGAGGGGGACAATGACAACCAGGCCGAGGCAGTCGACGACGACGACGACGATGAATCATCCAGCGACGAAGATGTGGAAGATCAGCCAAAGAAGAAGAACACGACCTCCAAAAAGTCAAAGCCGGCCCAAGAGAAGAAGGTCAAGACGCGCAAGTGGTGGGTCAACACCCTCCACGGCCGTCGGCTTAAAATCGAACACGCCGAAGACGACCAGACGAGATACAAGAAGCGCTTCGGCCGCCCCAAGGACTCCGCCGCCGATGCCAAGGGCGCCAGGCAACAAAACCGACCCAACCATTCACAGAGCCGACACAACAACAATAAGAACCACAGGCAGAGCCGAGACGATGCGTACCGCGAGAACGTCAGGGACGAGAAGGGGCCGGCTGGGATCAAGAGCTTCGGCACAGATATCAGCGTCGCTAGGCTGACAGGTGCTGCCGTGAAGCCCGAGGGCAAGAAGATCACCTTCGACTAGAAAGGACCAAGATTCTGATGTAGGAAGTTGCGTATGGGAAACATTTTGGCCTTTTTGAAGATCCATGTAGCGGACTCTAATCTGAATAGGGTCTTTCTGAACATATTGGAAACTTTTGCATCTGGCCCGAAGCATCACAATTGGATACATCTTATGTTAGAAATAGCAATCTCCCGGCTTGGGACTCAGGAAACATGCACAAATTCATGATCACACGGCAGATTATACTAAGAAATAATGATAATTCAAGGCTATTGCGCAACCACAGGCTATTTCTCTGTTGACATTCTGTTCATGAGTGGTTGGTTGACTGAGTGTTCCGTCGAGGTTGCATTGTTCCAAGACCGTGCCAAAAGAAAAGACCAGGGATCAAGCCCCCCTTCCACTCCCTCCATCGAGATTTCCAAGAGTTGTCACTAGAGTGTCGGAGGGAGACTTGCAGTACCTGAGCTGGAAAAGAGGAAAAGAGTGCCAGATACGGTAAGAAATCAAGGGCGAAGAAGCCAAACAGAAAGAAAAAAAAACCGAGGCGAAATCATTGTTAGCCTTCATAATCCATCATCCTACACTTTAGTTTACCGTGCGATCTGCAGCCAGTGTGTCAAGCACAACTATTTAGTCGCGGGACGCCAAGACTGCGTTCACGTCGTCTACTTCTTCTGCACCTTCTTCTGCAGCTCGTCGGAAAACTCCTCATCGGAAGCATCGAGGATGTCATACTCCTCGTCAGTCATGAAGCCGCCGTCGGAATCCTCGGCCCACTCATCGTCCTCACCGCAATCCTCGAAGCCATCAGACTCCTCGACAGCCTCGGCAGTCTCGGACTTGACATCCTCGTGAGTGCTAGCTTCCGGCGATTCCTTCTCCAGCTTAGGGAAAATCATCTGGCTGGTCTCGGCGGACGCCTGGGTCTTGTTTTCGGTGGCAGTGAAGTCTTCCTCCTTGACCAGCTCAGGAATCTCTTCATTGGCCTCAGCGTCGGCAGCCTCCTCATCCGCCTCTTGCTTGACCTCGACCGCCTTGGTGGCCTCGACGGTCACGTGGCACCATAGGCGGTGGCCGAACTTGTAGCCATCTTTCGTGGTCAGACGCCAGTAAGAAATGCTCTTACCCTCACGGGATGGGGTTCGGAGCATGACTTTGAAGGCGAACTCCTCGCCCGGAGCGACAGGGGCCGACGTGACTGTAGTCTCGGAGGCAGAAATGAGGTCACTGACGCCAGCAGGGTGACTGGGATCGATGCGACCCATGTAGTCACCACCCACAAACCTGATGGAGCATCCAACAGGCCATGGGGTCATTCCACCATTGCGGAGGACCCACGTCTGCTCGAAGACGTGGTTGGGGGGGAAGACGGTGCCGTCAGGCACAGTGTCACGCTCGAAGAAAGCAATGAGACTGGTAGCCGTCACCTCAGGGCCCTGCTGAGTGGCCGCCTGCTGGTAGCCTAGAGATGCCAACTGGGCTTGCCGGCTCTGCGACATAATGCTCAAGCGCTCCTTGGCCTGCCTGATCTGTTGCTGTTTAGCTCGTAGAAGCTTCTGCATGGCCGCGCCGTCGAAGCCAGAGGCCGGGAGTGGCAGGCTGCGATCTGGGTGCGAATGGTCTATCACCAGATGCGGGCACCTAGGAACAGCAGGTCTCTCAACTTCGGGCTCGGGCTTCACACTGACGACGGTGCGCACAGAGCTCGTGACACTCTTGGTCGCAGAAGGAGCCTCGGTGACCTTGGGGCTCACGGGCCTACGGCAGAGGCGGTCGCCCATGACAGGCAGCTTCTGTCCGCGCTCATCCTCGCCCTTGGTAGTAACCTCGACACGTCTCACGGGGGTCTTGAACTTGATGAGAGGGTGGGTGCGATTGTGCATGTTGGCAGGGCTGGCCTCGCAACCGGCACAAAAGTCCGTGTCGTGGCATACAGTGCACTTGTAGCGCTCTCCGACAATGTACGTCTTACGCTTGTCAACGCAGAGCGGACCGTCGCAGCAGATGCCGTAGTGGCAAGGACGGGGAGCAGAAGTGGACCGGGCCTCGGCAATCTGGCTGTAGATAGGCACGAAGCGATGCTCGGGGTGAATGAAGCCCGCGTTCACAACACAGGCCCCACAAAAGTCCCAGTCAGGGCAGTCAAGACACTTGTGACGGACACCAGTGATGAACTTGTCGCAGCCATCGCAAATCGCGTGGTGTCGCTGGTCCCGACCGGGAGCCAGGCGCTTTGAGATCTCGGCGGAGAGGGGGGTGCCCTCGACAGCCGGTTCAAAGCCGTGCTGCGGGTGGTGGCCATGCTTGTCAGCGGCAAAGCAGGTCTTGCACAGGTCAAAGTCCTCGCAGGCGGTGCAGTGCAGGAACTCCTTGTCGGGCAGTTCTTGCACGCAAGAGTTGCAGGTGCGCACGGAAGCCCGGTATTGGATAACGGAGATGGCGCGAGGAGGGGTCGCGGGCGCTGGAGCGGGCTTGGCCTGGCCGGCAGAGACCTCAACACTCTCGTCGGAGGGCTTGACCGCCTCGGGCGCAGGCTTGGCCTTGGGCTTGGGATGCACCCTCTCGGTGACGCTCACCACAATGACGTCGCCTCTCACGAACCTCTTCAGCAACCAATGCTCTGCGTTGTAGCAGGTGACGCCCTTGTCGACGCAGTCAGGGCACAGGTCGAAGTCGCCATCGTCACAGGTGGAGCAGTGGAAGTGGTCGTCGGGGATAGTGCGATCGCAGTTGTTGCAGCAGACGGCAAAGTTGGCCGCCTTTGGGGCCACACACACCGGAGTAGTCGTCTCCGACTCCTCCTTGGTCGTCTCCTGCTGTACAGCAGCCTCGGACTGCTCCAACGACAAGTGGCTCAAGGCCGTTTGCACTTCGTTCTGCATCGTATCATCCTGACCCGCCATGTTGTGCTCGGGGGTGTCTTTGGAAAGTGGAGGTGTGGCTGGCACTGTCCAGACACTGGTGATTACAGGGGGCTGAGCCTTGGGAGGTTGAGTCCTCGGTGTCCAGCTTGTGGCCACGGAAACGGGGACAGGGATAGCGAAATCTTCAGCCTCGGTCTGGGCGGATTCCTGGTTCTCCTGTTCAGGCTCGTCCTCGACGGTGACGGGCTTCGGACGGTTGTCCTCCTCGTCTGAGTCTCGCAGGGTGACGCGAAGCTTGAGCTTCTGCTTTGCCTTGGCAGCGCGGAAGAGCTGCTTCCAGACGGACTGCTTGCTCGGGTCAAGCACGACGTAGGAGGAGGCGGAATCGGAATACCGCTCAATTGTAGCATTGGCCTCGGGTGAGATGCAGAGGATGGCTCGGATCTACCGGAAGGGAAGAGGAAGAAAGTCAGCAGGCAGTTCTCAAGATAGCCCGACTCGAAACAGCTTTTGTCACTTTTCCGAAGAGCAGCAACGGCAGCACTGTATACTCTGCTATCCTCAGTGTGCACACAAAGTCGACCTGTGTCGACTCGCAGTTACACGCGGTGGAGTTGATGATAACGATGAGGCGGGAGGGATAGGAATGGAGATAGGCATAGGCAGATAGCATCATGACGTACCTTATCTTCAAAGACATTGACGCCGAGGTCACGGAGCGGTAGTTTGAACCGTCGGGTGCTGCCCTGAAAGTGGACCTTGAGGGTCACCACGGTATCCGGGGTGGCCGGTGAAGTCGAGGCCATGATGAACGATGGTTCGCTCTTGAGATGGGAGTGTTGTCAGTACAGAATTAGAGGGGAGGAGACAGAGGGAGAAAGAGGGATGGAAAGAAGGAGAAAGGATAAGTAGAAGGTTTTGAGAATGAGGTGGATGGGAGATGACTCCGACTGCTGAAGCGGTGGACCGATAGATAAAGGGTATCCGTCACCAGCCAGGTTGTCAAGGGGTTAACTGCAGCAGGAAGAGGCCCTGGAGCACTTTGTTGTATGTATGCTAAGTAGTCGGGGTGCAGTAAGAGTGGATATGTAGGCAGCGAGTAAGTAACGGGGGTATGGGGCCTAAGTGACGGGGCAAGCGGTGAATGGGGTTGCTAGTGAATGGGTCACTGGCGGATGGGGGTGCCGAGGTGCAGCCTGCTTCTTCTGGAAAGATGGGGAATGCCAACTGCCAATGCTGTTGATGTTGATGGTAGAAGCATGATGATAGATGGAACTGGCTGGGATGGGTGATGAGGTGACGGGGGAGGGAGAGAGGTCGGTTTCAGAGGTGATAAAAAGACATGATGGGGCAGTGCACCAAAGACGTACAGGTAGGTAACTTTGAAGCCACGGATTATCTTAGATGATTGTTGATATGACTGATGCAGCTGGGGACCAGTTGTTTAGGATGGATGCACTGTCGAGAAGAACACCAGCTGTAGGGGCCAGCTGTAGGTAAACACAGGTCAGATGGTTTGGCAGGCTCGCAGGTAGGTAGGGAGGATGATGCTGCGTGTGTGAGAAGGAGAGAGAGAGAATGAGCTGTCGTCAGCCCCCTCTAAAGTCGATGGAGATGAGAGGTGAAGATGACGATCAAAGGGAAGATGGAAAAGAGGAGGTTTTGAGGTTGGAGGAGGAAGAAGTGGTGGTGGTGGGAGAAGGAGAAAGAGGGGAAGTGAGACCGGAAGGAGCTCCAAGCAGCAGATGAATGACTGACATGCTGCTGAGGCCAAGAACATCCAAAAGTGACCTTTGGAGGTGTACGCAGCACTGGTGCTAGGGGGAGTGTACGTACACCTTCTGCTGCCACTCAGTAGTAGAAGTACGTACTCAAACACTATGCCTGCTGCGTCGGAAGGGCTGGGAAAGCCTGGGAAAGCCTGGCGGCGGCACACAACCTACATCCACACCACTGTAGCTACGCACCTGACACGGCTTATGCAGCAGGGCTCATGATTGGGCGATCCTCGATCTCTCTTGTCAACCAGGATCGGAATAAGCAAAGGGCTGGTGACCAAGCATCAGCTTGAACTTGCTCTTCCCTTCTACGACAAGCAGCTCCAAACCCCCCGAAAAAGATGCGCCACAAGATCAGCGCCCACACCACATACCAGTGCTTTAGTGACCACCCCCCCCCCCAAATAGATACTATACAAGTACACACCATGCACATGCAAATATGTGCGTGTACGTGGCTTTCCCTCTCCAGAGCCACAGCTGGAATGACCCAAAGTTATTGTTGATGACAACAGTCAAGCCAGCAGTGCAGGTACAGGTGGCCAAAGTGGATTATTGGTCCTACAAGACAATGGTGACACGCAGACATCGGTGAGAAAATGAATGATGCAGGTGGTTAAAAGATGAAAAGTATAGCTAGGCGAGAGGCTACTTTTGCCATGATAAGGCAAGGAGACGGGAGGCCCTAGGCAGCCGACAGGATTCGCAATGGGAAGGCATGGAAACGTCAGGCGAAGCAGGTGGGGACGGGGAAGAGGGGTGGGGACACAGGCACTAATACATTGCTATAGTGCTATGGTATAGTGGGTGCACGCCTACTATGGTAGTATTCCTGGTCACTAACAGCCGGCAGGTAAGCGGTACACGGGCTCTGATAGCGGCCGCCACCAATGTTGAGGAACCACCTTTTACGGAGTAAATACAGTTGACGAGTACCACTTTTGGCCACGGCCAGGCGGCCACCACGGTACGAGGAGGCCACACGGCCGGGGCCAAGGCGAAGAGGCCCACGTAGACCTGACTTGGCCCTGATCCTAGTCTATTGCCTCCCTCCCTTCTTTGTTGTTTCTGACAGATCATGTTTCGCCAGCTGAGTAACTGAGTACGTTACTTGGACGAGAACAACAAAAGAAAAGAAAGACGAGGCTCTGTGAATAGTTAGCAATCAACCAGCCAGCCAGCCAGTCACTACGCCCCTCGTCCGTCCGTCGGTCTGTCTCGCATGACCACTTTCTTAATCTGTAATCGTCATGAAACAAAAAAAACAAAAAAGAAGAAGAACCGAAAACTAACACTGCAGGAAACGCCACACATTGCAACACAAAAAAACATCATGATGCGATGGTTACTTTCTCCCTCTTCCCCCCTTTCCCCTTTGCCCCTCCACGCTATCTTTTATCTTACAGATCGGTTTCATCGCTCTTCCGAGCCCGAGTTGCAGTAGACGTAAGCACCGGCTGCCTCGTAGTGTTCGCCCCCCCCGGCCCTCCTTAAGCTTTCCCCGCAACAAACGACGACGCTGCCACACAGTCTTGCCGGACCAACACTTGTTTCTTTCTTTTTCTTTTCGTCTAGCCTCAGATTTTTGAGAGGCTATGAGCAACCTGATATCCTCGTCCCTGAATCGCCTTTGCCTGAACCAGATCTTTCGAGAATCTAGGCAAGGCCTCGAAAATCCACACCACATTGCTAAGACGGAGGGAGACAGGGGGGAGTCTCTCATCGTTTCCTTTATATTTTCTTCTCTTTTATTTTGCCCCCCCCCCCTGGAGGATGACAGCCTCTTTGGGTGCAAAGGTGCATCAGAGGGCCCGATATGCCGTCCCACGTCCCCTCCCCCTCCTTCCCCCTTCATTCCCCCTTCCTTCTCCCAACTCTATCCGAAGCTGTGGCTTGCAGTTTAGCTCCGTTCTGGTCTCATGAGGCCCAAGCAGCTTATGTGCTCGTATAGCAAACAGAATACTACAGCTTCACCCCTCTCGAGGCCACGGATGTGGGCCGACGACACCTTTTCCCTTGGTGGACCTTGCAATCCTGTCGAGCAGAATCAAATAAGAGAAACCACCCACTCTGTTGAGAGTCTCATATACGTACTCTATTCTCTTTTGGGCGCGCCCTGTCAAGGAAGCAGGGAGAGTGTATGCGCAAAGGCTCGCAACGCCTCCCTCATCCCGTGCGCCCCTTTCTATTTTCGCCCTGCATCACAGCCCCACCAGTAGCAGCTTAACACATAACGGTCGCAGAAGGGCGCCGTACCATGGTAATTCTCGAAAAGATGGTGGAACAGGATTACCGTTTTCGTACAACCACACATGTCTTCCCCTTTTTTTGCTTTCGCTTTGCTTTTGCTTCGCGTTGTCTCCCTTGCTGCCCAACAACATCTCACCTCAGCTGAACCCTTTGGGGGGGCGTAAAGGTGCAGCATGCATTGCAACATCTTGATCTCAAGCAGTTAGGGTATGCACAGAGAGAGAGAGAGAGACTCATCCTCCCGTCTCCCCCACTTTATAAAGCAGATGTGGGGTGTACTCCAACCACTCATGTATGATGTCTTATGCGGAGGGGGAAGCCAAAGGGAAAAGAAGAAGAAAAAAGGTTATAAATATCCTTGTCACAATCCGGAAGCTTGTGATCGAATCCATGATGTCAAAGACTGGCTTTGTACTGCCCCATCCTATATATTGTGAGGAGGGTAGGATGGAGAGCATGTGGGCTCTGGACAATATCATTCCTAGTAATAATTGGATGGCTGGGTGGTTGGTGCATCTTTGTTGATCAATAACTTGCAGTCGAGCAAATTATGACGATGAGGCCGTAGGCAATTATTACCTCTCGTACAGTTGGAAAGAAAGAAACAGAAAAAGGAAGAAAGAGAAAAAGAAGGAAGGGAAAAAGGAAGAAATAGAAAAAGACGTGGGTGTGTGAGAAGAAGAAAAAGCACATTCCTCACACGTCCTCTCATCGTGACGAGGCTCCGTACTTGAGTACTTGAGTAAACACTCACCCAGCAACCACCAAGGTTCTGGATCTTCCCACCCCTCATGCACACAGCAGCCTTCCTCCGTCTCTTCCAAAAGCTCCCAACCATCTTCTACCCGACCACCTCCTCCGTGATGTCCCATCCACCCCTTCGCCCGCCTGAGAAGGCGTTGTACACAACTCACAATCATGCACGTAACCCAACTCTCGAGAAAGATTTCCCCTGCGCGTCCCGTCTCGCCTGCAACCACCCACTCGCTGGCTGCCGGCGATCTCCCGCTTGAAAGCCACCCGGAGACCTCCGCTTGTTTCAATGCATAATAGCTAGCTGCCGGCACGCTGCAGTGCTACGGGGCCAGTAATCGCCTGGGCCCGTTGTTGTTGTTGTTGTTGTTGCTTCTGTTGGCTTCTTTCTTTTTCCTTCCCGCCTCGGTCAGGTCCGGCCCCTCGGAACTTTGACCTTGTTGCACTGGTAGAATTTTGTTATTTGGGCGCTTAGAGCCTTGCTGGGTTTTGTTCTTCTTTGTCAAGGACCTTGGGACGGATGGTGAGTAGCTAGAGAAATGTGTGGGTGTATGAACATGATAACTTTAGGAGTTGAGAAGAGGTAGGGTTTGGGCAAAAACACAAAGGAAGCTGTCCCCTCGAGGAACGGGAAAAGGAAGAGGAAGGGGGGTGGGGGGTTAACGAAACTTTTGGATAGCTTACAGCATATTTCGAGATGATCGTGACTGGAGCATGATGTCCGAATGCCTCTCTCGATTTGAGGGGCGTTCTTATCCTCGTTAAATTGTTGCCCATTGTTGAACAGCTGCCGAATAGCAAGGAATAAGTTCGGCGGCGGCGGAGGCTTGAAGCAATCCTAAATTGAACCCCAAAGAGGAAAGCAAACCCCATATCTAACTCCCAATGAATATCATTAACACCTTCTAATACATCCGTCCAGGATCTATACCGGATACACATGTATAATTACACAAAAGCCTCTGCTCAAACCATTCGAAAGTGCACGCCACCGCAACCAAAATCAGACAATAATCCCCTCCAGAGCCTCAACCAGCTCTCCCTCTTCATACCGAACTATCCTCTTCCGCCCCTCACCTACCATCTTCCCCTTGACCTTGACACACTCGATCCCAAGGCTCCGCAGTTCCTCCACATCTACCCGTGGCATGAGTGACGACGAGCTCCCAGCTCCGTTCGCGCCGCCCTTCTCAGCCCCCTCAAGGTAAACCAGGTGGCTTACGTACCTACCGACCTCCCCATCCGCCAGCGGGCCAAAGTCCGTCTGGCTCTCCTTCGCCGCCTTGGCAACTGCTCTGACAAAGTCCACCGCGCTCATGGGCGCCGCCACAGGGCCCGTCTCCCGATCCACCTTGCTATTCAAAATCAACACCTTCCGCCGCGCCCGTGCGACCGCTTGTCCGACGCCCCGCAAGATCACTGAGGGAATGATGCTCGTGTACAGACTCCCAATGCTATACACAACCACATCACTATCCTCCAGCGCCGCCAGCACCTTCGGGTTCGCAACCGGCCAGATTTCGTGACCGTACGGGTTGATGTACCACACGCGGTCTATGCGCGCGGGTAGGTCCTCCTCATCGTCCTTGGAGAAGGCGTGGTGGCCCCGCAGCACAGGCAGCGAGCCCGGCAGGTTGGCGTCTTCGACGCGGTCCAGATCCAAGTGCTTATTGCCTGTCGGATGGAAGGTGGCGTCGGGCACGGCAGTAGGGCCGGAGGGGTGGGAGATGGCGACCTGACCTGCGAGGACGGAGCCATCTACGAGCCCGGCGCTGATGTGGTGGGTGAAGTTGGAGTTGATGGCGGGCAGGACGGCTGTGGACTCAGGGATAGCGCAGATTAGGGAGAGGAGGTAGATGGCAGACTCGAAGGATCCCGAGAAGAGGCGAGCGCTGTTTATGAATTCTAGATATCAGTAAAACCAAACACAACATAGAGACTGACGACCAACAACGCCTCCATTGTTGAAGAGGAATTTCTACTTTTTCTTCTTCTTGACTTACCCCGTCAGGAACAGATTTCCCACGCTCGCCTCAGCGAAATTGAAAACACTCGTAGGCCGGTTCCTCTTGACAATCTCCAGGTTGAGCGTGTTGAACACAGATCGGATGAGCTCACGTTTCGGGCTGGAGATGAAGGTCCACAGCAAGTGGCGGGCCTCGACAATGTCCAGCCACTCGGTGCGGGCCTGCATAGGGTCTCCCGACAGCCGGTGCTCAAAGAGGACCTTGATGGCTGTGCGCTCCTCGTCGCCGTCGTGATTGGGGATGAGGCGGACGAGACGACCTTTCAGCAAATGCATCAGCGGCCGGGTCCCCTTCGGCAGTTCCTTACCCTCCCATAACGGGACGACTGGTTTCCAGTAGTCGAAAGGTTCTCAGGGTTTCACTCACTTCTGACATCTCCAACACCTATAGCCCTGTGTTAGTCACCACTTCTCGTTTGACACTCACTCACTTCGGTCGCCCGTTTGTGAGGAAAAGGGATCAACATGAGTACGCACTGGGCCCACCAAACACACGGATGAGTTCCGACGAACTCCCGCCGTTGTCACTTATGGGTATGATATAACGCAATGGGCACTTCCTTCGCGTGGTGATCTGGTCGAACACGTCAACGAGGAAGTTAGCTGCAGTGCCACCTGAGAAGACGGCGATGCCGCCTTGCTGGTTAGGGCGGGGTGTGGGCGTGGGTGGAGGCTGCGGCGTGTCCGCCATATCAAATATGCCGTTCACGTGCGAATGAAACGTCAATAGTGAATCGTGATTTTAGGTTGATATCACTGTTGAACAAAGATGTTATTGCACAATGAGTATTAGCGGTTTTTTATGTCGCAGATGTTCTGAGAAAGGAAGAAACAGAACGAAGAGAGGGCGGAACGAGGAGCGCACCGGCCGTGTTGTACTTGCCATGTTCGTGGCTGAGCAATAATCTCTAAGATGAGCTACAGACCAACTTGGCCTACTCGTAACGACATCCACCTTACGTGTCCTCATCCCTCCTCGCTGAGATGAATCAGAATAAAAAGCAACAGAACATTACATTTGAATTCCATTGCAAGCATTCCTGCTTCTTCCGGTTGTGCAGCTCGTATTTGCAGTGAGTCACAAATGCTTAGAAAGAACTATTGGGGTGCGGAAAAGCTGTGTGGTATTCAACTCTTCCGAAATTCTGTACACGTATCTTGAGGACGCACACCCGCAACACTTCTCGCAACATAAGTCAAGTGATAGATCACCCAGCAGATCACCAGTTGGATCACAGCAGAGAACTTTTCACGATTTTATCACCATTCAGCTCTGCCTCGCTCCCTGTCCATCCGCTTCCTGCTCAACATGACCAACCCTCACTGCCTCCCATCAAATCCTCCTCCCCACCACCTTTGCAGCAAAAAAAGGATAAGAAAGGTGATCAATTATCACGATCCTCTAGCCATGTCTATCTTTAACGCATGAAGCCCAAGTCCATCCCCCAGTATTTATAAGCCTTCCTCTGTCGCCTTCCATCCGCGAATCGCCCTCCCTAAGAAGCATTTCAGTGACTTCCAAGCCATGCCTACTCGAGCTAACCCCCAACCACCCAAGGCCACACTTTATAGAGAGAGGAGGGGGAAAACCAAAACCCTCTCATATTTTTCAGAAGCAGTCATAAAGAGTGTAGTAAATAGCCTCGACCAAGATGAAGGGCAGGAAGAGACCCATTACCAGAGACACCTCCGATAACCAAAAGGAACGAACAAAGGTGAAAGAGCAGCCCCGCTTTGTCCAGCCCTGCAGAAAAAAGACCCAGATTAGGCGGTATAGATGCTGAAGAATTCCCAAAGAAGAAAGGGCACCTGGAACGCCGTCTCCGAAAGCTTCACCCATCCACCTGGGTTTTTTTGTGGGGGGGGGGGGGCAAGCGAAGACATAGTCCAAAATACGTTCGCAAAATAAGCGCCAAAATTGAAATAAGAACAAGAAAATGAAGAGAGCACACGTGATAAAGAAACACGAGAGGTCAGGTGGGTGGGTCTGTAAAGTGAATATGGAACTAGGAGCGACAAGAGTTCTTGCTTTCAGAATGGGTGTGAAAAGGTAATTGACTGCCTAGGAATAAGTCGACCGCACACGTCTCCTGACACGGTACGGTGCTGGAACCCATACACATCGCACCTTGAGAATTGCCTGCTGAAAGACCCAGCCAGCTTAGACTCCTCCATGAGAATGTACAGCAATTGCCAACATTAACCCGAATCCAGTCTTTCTGATCAGAAAAAAGGGACAGACGTAATGAGCCCCATCTGCCTGGCCGTCTGGCCCCTTCAATTACCAAGTTTGACCAAAATGGTTGAAACAGAAGGCCGGCATTGCAGTAGATGTATTGTCTGAGCATGAGGTGGCTGGAGTGGCTTGATGAAGACGTTTGTGCAGTTGGGGGTGAACGCCACCGCTGGTCTTGCTGAAGTGCTCATGATGCAAAGTTTGTTCAACCATAAACCCCACCAAAGGAACCGGCCAAGCCCTAGTATGGGGTCATCCCTTGAGCGGCTTGATTGTAGTAGTAACCCTCTGGTGCCGGTGACATACCCATGGTCATGTTGGGAGCATAGCCAGGGGCGCCATAGGCAGGATAGGTTGGATACGTGGGTATCTGAGATGCATCATAGTAGTAGACCGTGCCGTTGACATCTTGGGCAACCAAGGTGGATGAGCCACCTCCCTGGGTGTTGGCCTGAACAGGAGGACCCTCGCCTTGACCACCCTGGCCGTAGTTCATTGCTTGTGCTTGTGGGCCGCCGGGGTAGAAGGGGGGAGCAGCCGCTGGGGAGGCCATATTGTTTGCGTACGGTTGCGGTGGTTGTGGGTAATAATACCCCTGTTGCTGCTGCTGCGGCCGCGGCGGCTGCGCCAACATGGGATAAGGTTGGCTGTAGTAGCCAGGCGGAGGTTGGGAGTACGTGGAGGGCTGGAAAGGTGCGGCATGGATAGCACGCTCGGGAATCTGAGAAAGAGGTGTACCAGTAGAGATTTGAGAGGGATAAGGCGGGTTCCGACCGTGCGTGTCCAGTGATAAGCTGTTGACCATCTGAGGCGGGACCTGTTGGTGGAAGGCCTGTTGGAATTGCGGTGGTTGTCTGGTCTGTCTTGTGGGCGATTCAATGTTCTCGAGGGACACTGCCTTCTGCGGGCGGGGTTGGTGCATGGGAATGGAGTCATCAGGGCGGTTCTCCTGGAACGCTGGCTTTTGAGGGAGAGGATAGGTCTGCGGCTGCGGTAGGTCCGTGATTGAGGGCTGGTCTGTATCGGCTGGATATTCAGGTGCCGGTGTGTCGGTGACAGCCATGTCCACAGGTGGCAGAGGCGGCGGGATGAATGCTGATGCGGGACCAGGCATGGGCATGGGCACCGGCACCTGTGGTTGCATCATGGGTGGGAGCCGCACGATCGGTCTCGACATAGCGGAGCCAGTCGGCGAGATGAAATCTCCCGGAGCTATTGACGACCGTCGGCTCATGCCCACACTCGGAGTGTAGGCACTTCCGTAGTAGCTGCCGCCGTAGATGCTAGTACGGCGTGAATAGCCACCAACGGAGCCAAAACCTGTTCGGGACCTGCCACGGATGTGCTGCTGGTTGGGGCGCATGGCCCGAGGGATAAAGATGAATGACCGATCCGCAGCAGGGAACACATAGCGAGGAGGGTTGCGTGGCAGACATATCCTGACAGCCTTGTCACGCCGGAGGGGAGGTCTGTGGTCGGGCAGCATTATGTAGCGCTTCATCGGAATGCTGGAGAACGACTTGGGCTCCTTCAGACCGGGGAAGAACATCCGAACTTCCACATATCCGAGAGTCTTCTCCGTCGACAAGGTTCTGTTGATGGGTGTGTCGCTGGATGGGCGTGTAGGAATATGTCCGTCTCCGTTCGGAGGGCCTTCCACAGGTCGAGGCGCATGTCTCGGCTGCCGCATGGGCAAAGGCTCGGCAACAGCTTCGTGCATGTCGTGGGCCCAAGGACCACTGACGGTCGGGTCAAGAGGGTTCGACTGGAACGGACTGCTTTCTACCGTCAGCAACAATTTCGATAAAAGGCATAGATGCAGCTCAGGTTGGGGGGTCTGGGGGGTGAGGGGGGTGAGGGGGAACAGATACATACTTGATCGGTGCAAAGGGGGCCCCTACGCCACGGCCCCTTCCTCGACCGCCTCTCAGGGCTCCTCTGCCAAACGGACGAAAGCCATTCGCGGCCGGGCCAGCGTGTCGGTGGTCGTGCATGAAGAAGGCGCCCCTGTTTGGCACGAAGGCTGGGTCCTCGTCTCTCTTCTTGCGGTACTCCTCATGCTCACGGCGTCTGCGCTCGAAGGGTGGCTCCTGTGCCTGCACCTGCGTGGAGCTCACGACCACGGGGCCGGTCGGCTTGGTAGGTGCGGAGGGAGTCGTCTCCTCTTGCGTCGGTCTAGGCTCGTCCGAGATGTTTAGCCCGTTCAGCTGTACTTCGGCTTCCGCCACGTCTCGAGCAACCTGCGCCTCCGGTCCGGTTGTCCCTGCAGGAGCAAGATGAGGGAGGTTTCCCTTGGCAGCTCTGCGACCTGGTGCCTTTTTTAAGACAGGGGATGTTGGTGACGCCTCGTCGACGTTGCTAGTGTCACTGTCATCGCCACGGTCATGTTCGTCGGTGATCACGGAGCCCTCAGTGACGGAGTCATCATCGAGATGATCCAGCGTCTCGGGCCCACCCTCGTCGTCACCTTCGTCGTCGACGCGGCGTCGATGACCGAGTGTCCTTCTGCTGCTGCGTTTGGGAGGTGCACCCATCGTGACTATATGTGTGTATGTATATTTGTTCGCGTGTGTACGTGTGTATATATGTGTGAGTGTGGGGCGTCCAAGTTCGACCGGGCTAGGCAAGGAGGGGTGGAGATCGGGCAGCACCGCGCGCGCTGTGTCTGCAGCGGGTTCAGAAGGTCTCGAGGGCTAGCATGTGGTGTCGGGAAGGCGAGGTCGAACTGTTCTCGAGGACGCTCGACCGCTGATCCGGTCAGGGATGGACGCGTTGCTGATTTGAGGCCGTGGGCCCGCGCTGCAGCAGTGACTTGAGAACTGTGTTTGCTGTGGTATTGCTACAAACACGGTGTCGAAGAAGGAAAAAGAGAGGACGCAGGAATGGAAGTGAACCGTAACAAGACAGACAATTAGTAGAAAAGACAAGAGCGTAGGGAAAGTTTTGACAGCGATGGCCAAGGCGGATTGGATATCGTTTGCCGCCGACTCAAAAAGACCACCGGCTCCACTTTCTCTGGTGTCCCTGTTGGCAGAGACTCAAACGAAAAGGGCCAAAGACGGGACAGAGAGGCTGGCGAGGGCGAGAAGGAGAGAGAGAAAAAGTAAAAACAAGAAGTGAGGTCGGAGGACGGAGAATGGATGACAAGGTCGAACCGGATAAGAGTCAAAGGCGAACGAACGCTTTGAAACTTAGATTGAGACAGGCAGAGCCTAGAGGCGCACCGAAGAGATGCTGACCGATATCTCAATGATGAATCTGACCAGCCCAGGGACCAGGCTTTTCGACGGTAAGAGGTGGTCGTCGGCGTCGGCGGTGATGGGCGACAGGACAGCGCGGAGGTGGAGGTGGAGGTGAGGTGGTGGATGTTGATGTTTTGTTGGTCGGGGTCGGTTGGATTGGGTCTAGAGGTGTGGGTTCTGTGGGAGGGTGTGTGTCTGTCTCTCTCTCTCTCTCTCTGCGTGTGCGCGCTGTGATGACGGAGACCAGGGGCTGGGGCCAAAGTCCTCCTCCAGCTCACCATAACTGCTGTGTTGTATTTCTGCGGCTACTCCTGTTGGGGAAAACTACCCCTTCCCGCCCCGCTCCGGGCGCCTCCTCCTCCCGCAGGCAAGAGAAAGTATCCTGGGGCTGCACTGCTGTGTCTTGCTTAGTTTACGTTGGGACTGGGTGGCCTAAGGTTAGGACTGGACTGTGGCAGCGTCAGAAGTGGGTGGGGTAACCATGGTCGCTGGGCAAGGAGGAGTCTAGGCCCTGCCAGGCCGGTCCTTGGGGTTGCTGCTGCTGATCATCTCTGTGCCTACCCGCTATAGTACAGGGGCTACTAAGCAGCATAGCATTTGGGAGAGAAGACTCCGTCGGAAACCACCGCCTGGTCCTATGAGGCGAGTATCTTGAGAAATACATGCTACAACAGTACTAATGTATGGGTGGTGCACTAACTGTACTACATACAGTTTAGATACACCCAAGTAACCTCGTCCTGCCTAGACACAGGGCGAACGACGACAAGTCTAGGTCGCGTACCAATTTGAGGCCCATTATTCATCAATCAAGGCAAGCCGCTAGCGACACCGTCGGCTTACATACTCTACCAATGCAGACGCTGCTGACAGGTGCGGCCAGCGTAAAACTCATGCAGATGTGTTTGTTGGGGGGACCGAGTGTGTGCGCTCCCTGGTTTGCCCACGTTCCGCCCTCGGAACCAGTTCATCCTGTCCTGTTCTCCCAGGTAGCAGCCTCGTTCTGAACCCAGGGGAGGAAAATCGTGACTTTCGGAGCATTCAAGACGCATGTGAAACCTTATGCAGTACGATCAGCGACTTTGGAGGAGTTTGCTACCCCAATGCCAATATACACCTCGTGTTGGACAAGAAGTTCCTTGACGCCGAAATTCGGAGAGGTTCAGGCAACAGGTCAGAGAGCGAGTGTGTTGGAGAACCTTCGTGTCTACCACACAAGCCGAAAGCTGATTCCAAGAATTCTTACACTGTTCTCTGACTAAACTTCGATGCCTCCTCACTTTAATTGTTCTTTTTTTTTCTTTCTATTTATTTACGACGCCCACCAGATAGATTTCCGACCGTCACGTGAGCAAGACTACCATGCAAGTACAAGAACCTACAGTAAAGCATTGTCACATGGAAATCTCATACCCATGCCGCAGTCGCAGGGGAGACTACTGGCTTGCCTGTGATATGTGTATCAGTGATCGCGGTAGTTCGTAAGCCATATCCAGGAGAGTCGGCCAATCACCATGCAAGCTACCAAACGACATATAATAGAGCAATGCTCTATAGTATCGACTTTTTAACATTGTAAGAAATTAACGAGGAATTTATTAGGTAGGCATGCTACTTGGATGTCTCGTGGGAGAGAAAAATAACCCTTGCTGTGAAATTGAGATTGATCCCTCTAGAAAGCAACTCATCGTAATCACGTTCATAATCTGCCGATAAACGTCCAGAAAAAGCCACCGGTCATGACCCCAGACAAATCGAGAGCGACTTCCCACGGATCGCCTACGAGGTGCTGCTAGTGGTAGGGTCCAGGTTCTGGGTGCTCTCGATCTTGGGCACCAGGCCCAGGCGGGTGTTGCCCTGGTCCCAGATGACATAGACGCTCTTCAGGAAGACATCACCCAGGATGTCAAATGGGTTGTCGCCACGGGACTGCACACCACCGTACCAGTATCCCTCAGACGCGACAGTGAAGGCCAGGTCCTCCTTCTGGATGGTAAACTCCTGGTCGCCGACAGCGACACTGAAGTCGGGAAGCTGATCGGCTGTGACGGAGGTGGGGAAGAGGTAACCCTGCTGGGTCTCGTCGTACTTGCTTCCCGGGATGGCGTCGTAGAGGGCCTCGACGACCTCGTCGGCCAGCAGGCAGAGAGTGGTACCAGTATCGCAGATGGCCTGGTTGGATGCCTGGGTGCCCTGCGTGCCCGCAATGGTGTATGTCGTAGAGTCGAACATCCAGAAGCCCTCGGAGTTGTCGATATCGGTGTAGTGGATCGTGTTGGAGCCGACCAGATCGGTATCGATGTAGCCGAAGGTGTAGAAAGAGTTGGCAGCCTGATCACGAGAAGAATAGAAGGCCGAGGTGAACAGCTGGGCGTCAGACGGAATGTCGCCCTGAGAGATCATGTTGGCAACAGGGGTGTTCTGGGGATCAGCCTGGCCGCTCTTGGTAATCGTGTTGATGGACGGAAACGCGAGACCGAGGAGACCGTCACCCGTGCCGGAGATGAACTGCGCAGCGGCAGTCTTGGCGAGTTCGACAGACTGGTTGGTGATCGTGACGCCGCCAATGTTGACGGTATCGGTGCCGACATCACCGGAAGCAGAGCTGCCATCTCCATAGGAAATCTTCCAGGAGAGACCCTCGGAGGTCTGCCAGGTGGAGGACTTTGAGGGGTCGAAGATGTTGTGGCCCGTCTGGTCCTTGGAGGGCAGCTCGGTAGAGAAGACCTGATTATGGTTAGCAACAGTTGTCACCAGCACCGAGTCATTTCCCCGGGGAAGGGGGGTAGGGCTCACCCAGAGGTCGGAAGAACCAGTGTCGAAGTCGAGCTTCAGGGTCTGGGCAGGAGTACCAATCTGGACCTCACACAGGTACTCAGAGTCATTCTGCTGGTCCTCAGCGGTGACCTCGCCTGTCTCGCCACTGGAGGTGGTCTTGACAAGCTTGTGCTCACGGCGAAGGCGCCCGCCCCTGGCGACGTGCGAGCCAGCGAGCCCACGGTGGTGGAAGGTGGTACTGTGCTGGTAAGGACCAGGCTTGGTGGCCTTGAAGCCGAACCTGTTCATCAGGTAGACGTAGGACTTGGTGCCGTGGCGCTTGTAGTTCTGGTTGGGAACGGCCATGACCTTCTTGAGGCCGAGCTCCTGCCTGAGCTTGGCCTGGGTGGCGAATGCGGCCTCCATGATTGCTGTTCTGGTCGCCAGGGTGATGGTTGGTTGTTGTAGTGATGAAGATGTGAGAGAAGGACGAAGGCCGAGGCAGTACTAAAGGCAACTGGTATCTTGGTAGGAGACGAGGGTGGGATGCAGTAAGATTTGAGGTTGACAAAGTGGAATGAGTAGGAGGTATGTTCTAAGTCCCAAGGAAGGAGGATGGCTGGTCTTATATGTTCGTGCCTAGGAGAGATGGTCTGGTGGTTTACCAGGTCTCAGGTGGGAAGGAGTGATGGGGGAAGGCACTACTGTATGCTTGTCCCTGCACAAGTTTCAGGGTTCGTTGTAAGTGGTACTGTAACGAGGTACCTGCCGTGACGTGGTGCTCTGGATGAAGCTTGCCGGTTTCCCTTGTCCGATGCGACTGTGAGCAAGACAACTTTGCAGATGCGCCCCTCCCTTTCCAAGGTCAAGTGGTTCCCCTTGTGATGCGGATGCATAGGAGGGGTAAAACAGGCATGGCTCCCATGAACAGGTTGTCTGTCCCACTGCAGCTCCTCTTGGGCGGCTGTGCCTGTTTGAGCTGTGCATCGACGTGCGCACAAACGAAGGTTTAACCAACTGCAGCGCGATGCGAGGGATGCCTAGTGGAGAGTTGCACCATGCAGTGAAAGGAGTCATTGGGCTGCATGGAGGATGGGCCAATGCCTATACAGAGAAGCTTGATGCAAACTGGGAATCTCGATCGTGGTCGTATCAGATGCCGCACCTCAGCCATCCTCGACTGCGGATCACTGCCCTGGCGGCTGCAGTGGTAGGAGATAAATTCTCCTCCGCCTTGATTTTCACCCCTCCTCGTTGACAAAACACGAAGGGTTCAGGGCTGAACAAGAGGCAAACGGCAACACGGGCTCCCCCACATGGTATGGGCGGCATACCGAGACAATTGTGACGAAAGCACGCGTCTAAACCAGACTCTCCTTCGGGGGGGCCCAGAGCTCTGCTGCCGGGCGGTGTCGTCATCATGCCTCTTCTGGACAATGGTGTGCTGAACAAGGATCGAGGCACTTTTGAAAAGGACGAACAGAAAGGGCCTGATGTCTTGAAATGGGAAAGCAATAGGATAGGCCTCCCACCCCCGTCCGGCATTGATCCGGGAAGACCTCGAAGTGGAACCGGGCTATGCGAGGCGTGGGGGAGCATCTGGCACTGGAGGCAAGCAGCGCTGCGATCTGCAGAAGGTCTTCGTGACTATTCTTAGAGAGGCGGGGAAGTCATGGTATGTCTCTCCTATGATCCTGTTGTTCGCGACATGCACGATTCCATGTGAACGTTTGAGTGCGTTCTATTTTGGCCCACAATGCGCCACTCTTCCACTAGAGCGGATCCTGACACCATGTGCATTGTGTCTCTCTTCGGAATGGCATCATGAGTCCCAAAAGTCCTCTCGGCATCACAAGGTTACTTGTGTGTGTCGGTCTAGCCGAGTGGTGGGCAGCTTGATTTTATTTCACATTACAATGGCGCAACCCCCCCTTTGGACGACACAGCCATCTCGATGGCGTATACTCTGCAACAACTCTGATTTCGTGCCAGTCGATCTGTTTGCCATCCCGAGGGTTTTCACGGTGGCTCACGGTGGCTGGAAGCAACCTGAGCAACGTATTTGCCTGGCGAGGTGGTGCCAGATGTCGTCACCGGTGCCACGGGTGGTCATGCTGCCAGCTTTTACGCATCTTCTGATACTGGTTTCCTCCCACACGGCCCTGTTGGATGCAGGACTGTGTACAAGATAGCGCAAGGCCGGGGCTGGCTGAACCCACCATGAAGAAGTACAGATCGTATGTTCATGCACAGTCCTGGTTGGTCAGAATTAGCATGTAATTCCAGTAATTTTAAAAAGCAGGTTCATATGTGTTGTTACAGGTTGCGAAGGGAGGACTCTACCAAGCTTCGGTCGCTGATGTGTGATCACAGGGTTCCTGGGGGAAAACGTCACCTCTTATCTCCTCGGTTCCGATCCACCCACCCATCAGATAGTGGCATAGCACCGTAGTGCTAACTTGGAGGGCCCACCAAAGACAGCTTCTTAAGTATCTCCTCCGCACCGCCAACAAAGGCGGCCCTATCCGCCCGTTCGTTTGGTCAGGGGTCGAGTTTTGGGGTCAACGACGATTCCGAAGTCTTGGTCTTCTTGGCGATGACTTTGACCAGACGCTGGGAGCCATCAGCACTCGCGTCTTTGCACAAGAACATACAGTGAATGCCGTGCCTTCAGACAAGTGCCGGTATTCATCCTGGCCCATGCCTAGGAAGATCAATCAAAAGCACCTCGAGTGCAAGGTGATCTTGCAAGCTGAGCCAGGGTCGCAAAGGCCGGCAGGGGCCCCAACCGCTGACCATTATGCAAGCTTATTATGTCACTACTGCAACCCCGCGGCCTGGTCAGAAAACCTGTTGATGACTTCGTCGTTGATAGTGGTGGTCTCGAATGTTATCACGTTCTTTGCAGGTAACGGGGCATCTGCCATGCTCACCACGTCAAAACTTGATCAGCAGCCGCACACAGCCATAGTGTGTCCCGACCAATCCGGCACCGCAGACAGGTGGCTTGTTGTCTCACCACAGACGCCATAGCGCGGTCGTTTGAGCCGACCATGACTTAGTTGACTCTGCTCAAGCACAAGCGGCAGGCTATAATTGATGGTCAAGTGGTGTCTCCCTACTTCTGATTGTCAGGAGGATGTCAACCCTCGGCGAAGTCAGTCGTCGCGGCTTCTGTCAGCATGACTTGCATACTACGATAAGCCTCCCCGCGCAACTACCGAGCGCGAATAATCCCTGAAGTTCAGTCAGCACTTAAAAAAGAGAGAGAGAGAGAGATCCTAAGCTCCGCTGAAGGTATCTGCTGCCTGAAAACAGCAATGACACAGGCATTCGAGCAATTGTCCTCGGCTGGTATCATATGCCGACAATATTGGATATGGTGTCCCCCTTGCTCATGTCCACTCAAAGTTGTTCTTTGGGTCACTCATGGCCAAACGCGTTCACGGACTGATTGATATTGATATGAACAGTCTTAAGGGTCTAAGTCATTGCTTTGCCCCTGCCCATATTCAGCCTATTTTTTTTTTGTTTAATAAAGTTCAAGAACACCAGTGACCGTTACGCCGCGCCAACATTCTGTTCAACAAAGTCCAGGATGGTGCTGTACGTGAAGGGATGAGAATATTCCTGGAGAGCACTGTCAGCTCGCAACTGCAGTCAGCAAGGTCTACCATCCCAGGACATACCAGGTTTAGGCCATGGCCCGCCTCGCCGACGACTACAGCCGTGAAGTTGGTTGTGTTTGGGAATTCAGCCCGGGACATCTCAAGTACATTCGGAATGCTCGCGTTTGTCGTCACTCTGCAGTCGCCTCCGCAGAATGGAATATCACGGCCTATCCGTCAAAGTCAGCCATACCCGTGATTTCAAAGCCGGCAAACTCTGCGACATGTCCATTGTGGAACCCACCTCCAGTGATGATCAAGACTGGTGCCGTGGTCGGATTCACCGATGAGGTCTGGGCGCCGATCGTGAGGAGCTCTCCTGGAGTGACTGGCTCCCCAGTCGTATACGCCAGGTTCAGCAGCTCCGGGTCGAACATGCCCGGCGCAAAGAAGTTGGTCTGGACGCCAGAGATGTCACCGGCGGCAAAGTAGCCTACCGGATAACTCGACAAGGCCGGAACTTCCGTGGCGAGGACAAAATTCCCACCCAGGTTGAAGTAAGGCACGAAGTTGGCTGCCTGGGTAAATCCGGTGAGCACCAAACCGTCGCTGGCATGCGGATAGAGCACGGTCAGAGAGTAGCTCTGGATGCTGCCGAAAGAGTGGCCCACGTGGACGACCTTGTCGAAGCCGCAGCCAACGCCCTTGATCGAGCCCGCCCGGAGCCGCACTGTGAGCTCGTACAGCGCAGCGATTTCGAGCGACGACTGGATCTCATTCACAGGCTCGCCGCGCGAGGACATGCCAATACCGAGGCGGTCGTACGAGAAAGTGCTGTACCCAGCTGCGTTCGCCTGCGCCACGTAGCTGTAGTTGAAGTTGTTCACTGGCAGGTCCCAGTACGAGCGGTCGAAGCCGATGCCGTGGGTCAGCAGCTGTACAGTGCCCGAGGGCCCGTTGTCGGGCTCGCAGTATGTCGCTGTGATGGTATACTGGCCGCCAACGTCTGCGTAGCCCGTCAACAGCTCGGCGGTGAAATTGTGGCCGTTCTGCGTGTTGTCGAGGACGAAATTGATCACGTCGATGTCACTCTGGGGCGTCGTGAGATTGAATACGGCGTTTCGGGCTTGGACGTGGACGGGGACACTAAGGTTGGTGCAACGCCTTGCTGCTGCGAGGGCAGCGAGCCCGAGGGCACTGATCAGGCAAGATGGTGAATGCATGGTGTTTTTTGTGTTTGCCTCTCTAGTTCGCTTCTTTTTTCTTTTTTCTTTTTTCGAAGCCTTTCAAGAGCTTGAGGAGTCTCTAGCTCGACGAATGTACTGCTGGATCCCGTAACACTGTCTACAAGAGGACTGGAAAGAGCATACTCACAGGAAAGAGTTGCGGCAAGCCTGTTTTAAGGCCGAGTGTCATGTGTTCGGTGTTTTCAAAGCGAGCAGTGGCCGCCAGTACGTGAGGACATCGTCATTGGCAGCTCAGCGACAAAGACGTCCATGGTTCCGGCGATGGCATTATTTGGCATCAATTATCTCGCTATGATGACAATGAGCTAGATTTTCTGTCTAGTCTTGAGCCGGAGCTCTGTAACGTACTCCACGGGGATCCCTCTACCTGGAGCCTCAACCCACAAGTACTTGGCTCATAGCATGGGTAATAATTCTGATCCATCACGGCGAAGACGAATTCCCCCACCTGAATTTGTCGGCCATTGCGGAAGCGTTGATCCGGCGGTGCTCGAGGGTTTTTTTTTGGTTTGGTTTTTGTTCTTCTTCTTTTTGCTCTTGCGCGGAGGACATGAGGGCTCTAGGACGTCATTCATTTTCAAATTAGGATCCCCATTCAGGCAGGCATGCATGGATTACAACATGGCATCGAATACTTGTCTAGCCTTCGAAAGTCTTCCGGCCTGCACTAATACTGCCGTATTACTGAAAAGTACAAGAGCTAAGGACCCGGATGATACGCCCGGAGCAGCCACACGGCCCCGATCGGCAGGGGACTAAAATCGTGGTTCAGATTTGTATGGCAGTAGTGAAAGTAGTGGTACTTTGAGGCGTTTGAATTTATGACCTCCGAGGAGAAAGTAAAAAGATAGTAGATGTAGGGTGGCGGGTAGGATGCAATCCACAAGCTATATGAATGGCTATAGAGTTAGTCAATTTGATAATGTGTTGACTGTGTCTCGATGACCGGCAGTTGTGGACTGCGTTGTTAGCCAGATAGGGTCGTATAGCCGGAGTAGGGAGATATCTCGACCATGCTTTGTTCCGCTTTTGAGCGGTGATCGAAGTGTCGGAATTCCCATTCAGCTGCGCATGTCTTGCCTTTGTCAGTTGCACTAATGGCTTTATGAAAGGCTGCTCTCGGGATTCGGCCTTCGAAAAGCCGGATCTTATAGAGCCATGGCTTCATTCCAACAAAGTCTCGAATACACTCAGCGAGACATCTGTTCCAGTGGCCGACATGACAATGAAGTATTTGGCCTGGAGTATACCGCCGGAATGACCGTTCCCGGCAATATAACAGCAAGACTGCCAGCCGGCCCTGCACTGAGGTGTGCTGAGTTCGAGAGGGCCGCTTCACCTTCCTGTGCCTTGCAAAGGCAGCTGCTGGGCCACCCAGTGCATATTGTCTCACGAGCGAGCTCTAGCAGAGCTTTCGTGCCTGCCAAAGTGCAGGCTGTTATTCCAGCAGCCCAATCAAGGCTTGGACAGTCGTATTCGACCAAAAACAAACCCCCTCACCCCATTGCTCAACCATACAGGCTCGTCGTCGACCAGGTCAGAAACCTTCACGTCCTCAAGCTCAGCAATACCCGCTTTGAGAGCCCAACGCCTGGTGGTACCGTCCTGTCCACCATACCCTTCCCAGACTCTGTCCTTTAAAACCCAAGACACGGGCGGCGTGACCCACCTCCCTCCCCTCCAAAAGTACGGCGTTGTCAGGCTGCCCTCCATGATGAGGCTGGTCTCTTTGTTGACAATGAGGACCTCCTTTGTCACATCAGTGGGCTTCAGGCAGGCGCGCTCGCGGGCCTGGTCGTACATCTCACGCTTGGTGGTCTTGAAGTGGGTGAGCTCAGACTCCTGCGTGGAGTTATGGTCGACGTAGACGTCGTAGACAGGGACGAGGTTCAAGGGGCCCAATTGCCATCCCTCCATTTGATTGCCCTCTTCAATGTCTGGAGCAGGAAGTGCTGTGGGGAAGAGATTGCTCAGAGATGTCTTTGGGACAGGATTTGATTCGAGGGCTAGCTGACCATCCTCAGAAAGAAGAATCTTAAGTCGCAATGGTTGCTCGAGGTTATCCCAGCGCCCTTCCTGCTCGAGGGTCTCTTTCAAGAAACTGTGCAGCCTGGCTAGCCCATCGACTCCCTTGATCGTCTTCACGGCGCTGGTCCAACCCCAATGCTCTGCTGCCTTGAGCATACGATCGCGGTGATAGTCCAGCATGTAGAAGGGAGAGGGCATGTCGGCGTTCCAGTCGAAAATGCGGCTGCTCATGTCTCTCACTGGCTCTAAATTCCAGTCGAAGCGCATAGAAGTGAAGAGGCGAAGTTGTTCAGCCATGCTTGCTAAAGAGAGTTGGGAAAAATTGAGTGATACAAGGTGGTAGGTTTGTCGGAGAGTTACAGGAAAGCGCTGCAAGGATTAGTTCGGATGCTATTACCAACCAATAGGACAGCATCGCTTTCTTAGTGTCTGTGTAGTACAAATTTGGTCCATTTCACTGGGTAAGCATAGTCAGACGGGGAAAACCTATAGCACGCGGTAGAAAGAGACGAGTAATAACTTCATGCCTACTACTACTTTATAGTCTTCGACTGGTAATTTTATTTTGTTCTCTTCTCTTGCCTTTTTGTTTCAATATTTGAAAACGAGAAGCTAGTTTTTGTGTCCCCCCCCCCCCCTCTCCCAGCCCCCCACTCTCTTTTTTTCTTCTTCTTCTTGCTTTTATTTTCGGGGGGGGGGGGGGGGACTTCTCTATCTAATTCCCGTCTTACACTGGGCCCATCTTAATGGGTGGTCCGACCCAGCAGGAACCTCAGTGGCTGATGACCTCACGCCTGGACCGTGCCACTAACGCCCCCCCCCCCCCAAACCCCAAATTCTGGCGCAAGCGAATTTTTTTGCGCTGGCACAGGTACTGCGTACGCGACAGCTAATCTGCACACTGCAACCGAAGGTGGGAGCTTGCATGATCAATCACATCCGTCGCACTCTTTCGCGTCGTCAGTCGTCGGGATTAATCAATTGCTTTTGTTAAGTTTGGACATCTGGATTTCGTCCTCATCCTCATCTCCTACGAGCTCATCTCTCGATCGACAGCACAAGTCCCAGTCATCCTCGTCGTAGGGCCTGCAACGTCAACCTCCAAGCGACCATGGCATCACAACAGCAGGCGCCGACCTTCCCACCGTCCTCAAAGGGTATCCCCGTTCAGCTTCCCGCAGACTCTTCCGTCTGGGATCGGATATCGACATGGGTCTCTGAGCACAAAGCTGTTGTCTACACCATCGCTGGCGTCACCGTGGCCGTGGCCGCTGGCGGGGTTGTCTACTACTCCACCAACTCGGTGCGTCTCATCCTCACTATCTCCGAGTGGCCGAACTGTCATCATAGTTATGACTTTAGATACATGCTGTCATATATGAGAGCTATTTATTCAAAAGGTTGAAGCTGACTGTTCTGTTGCCTCTGTCTCTCTAGAAACCCAATGATGCGACACCGAAGCTGTCTAAGAAGGAGAGGAGGAAGCGGAAGGAGGCTGAGCGGAAGGCAGAGGCCTCGCGCAATGTCGCAGGGAACGAGACCACACAATCGTCCACGCCTCAGAAGACCGAAAGCAACGATAGCACCGACGAGATTCCCGAGATCACCGAGCAAACCGTCCAGGCCCTGTCGCTCGATGACCGCAAACACTGGGCCGTCAAGCTGAAGGAGGCCGGCAACCACGCCTACGGGTCCAAGGATTTCAACAAAGCCATCGATCTCTACTCCAAGGCTATCCTGTGCAAGCCGGAGGCAGTCTACTACTCCAACCGTGCTGCCTGCTACAACGCTCTCGCTGAGTGGAATAAGGTCATCGAGGACACCACTGCCGCCATCAACCTGGAACCCGAGTATATCAAGGCCATGAACCGCCGCGCGAATGCATATGACAAGCTTGAGATGTACCCCGAATCTCTGCTTGACTACACTGCCAGCTGCATAATCGACGGGTTCAAAAATGCTTCCAGCGCCGAGGCTGTCGAAAGGCTGCTCAAGAAGTTCGCCGAGACCAAGGCCAAGGAGATCATGGCCAACAAGCCTAGCAGGCTTCCAAGCCCGACTTTTGTTAGCAACTACCTGCAGAGCTTCCGACCAAAGGACCGGCCCGAGGGTCTCGAGGCGTCCGTGGAGTACTCGGACGACTCCGGCAAGGGACAATTACAAAAGGGATTGCAAGCGATTCAGTCCAAGACAGGCGAGGGCTATGAGGAGGCCGCAGCTGCTTTTGACAAGGCCATCGAGCTGAACGATCTTGGTGCTTACGAGGCGTTTGCCTACAACATGCGGGGAACTTTTGCCTGCTTGCGTGGCAAGCACGAGCAGGCTCTGGTGGATCTGAGTAAGAGCATCGAGCTGGACCCGACCATGACACAGAGCTACATCAAGCGAGCGTCTATGAGCCTCGAGCTTGGTAAGTACAATTTGTCGATCTCGGGGGAAGAGGCTCGCCGCTAATGCAGAAATGACAGGTGACCCCGAAAGGGCAGAGAAGGACTTCGAACTGGCGTTGCAGCAAAGCGCCGACGATCCTGATATCTACTACCACCGTGCCCAGTTGCACTTCATCAAGGGCGAGTTCGCAGAGGCTGCCAAGGACTATCAGAAGTCGATCGACCTCGACCCGAAGTTCATCTTCTCTCATATCCAGCTCGGAGTGACACAGTACAAGATGGGATCGATTGCCTCTAGTATGGCCACCTTCCGGCGTTGTATGAAGAACTTCGAGAAGGTGCCTGATGTGTACAACTATTATGGCGAGCTCCTTCTCGACCAGGGCAAATACATGGAGGCCATTGAGAAGTTCGAGTCTGCCATCGAGATGGAGAAGCAGGAGAAGCCAACGAGCATGAATGTTCTGCCTCTCATCAACAAGGCCCTCGCCATCTTCCAAGAGAAATCTGACTTCGCCGAGGCCGAGAAGCTCTGCCAAAAGGCCCTGATCAGTAAGCAAAGTTCCCCGCCCCTCCTTCACAGCATGCTAGGGTCAATGCAGACAGACTAACACGACCTTCAGTCGACCCTGAATGTGACATCGCTGTCGCAACGATGGCTCAACTCCTCCTCCAGCAGGGCAAAGTGACCGAGGCACTCAAATACTTTGAGCGCGCCGCGGAACTGGCACGCACAGAGGGCGAGCTCGTCAACGCGCTCTCGTATGCCGAGGCGACACGTACGCAGATCGCAGTGCAGGAGAAGTACCCGGCGCTGGCAGCCAAGCTCCAAGCCTCCGGTCCCGGCGGTCCCGGCCTGAGATAGGAACTTGCTCCGGCGTCGGCGGTGTCTGGGTCGGGAGACGATCCCTCACTATCAAAGGGCCAGGCTGTGTCTGGAGGGTTTGGCGACCCAATAGTGCAGCTGATGGGGGGAGGAAACCCTGCAGACTACCAGGGCGGAGTTAGACTAAGTACAGTAGTACTTGGCTGAGAGAGCACGGTTAGGGTTGAACATGGAACAGGCGGCCTTGAACGGACCAGGAGAGAGATTGTGTGTATGTGCGTGTGTGCGTGTGTGCGTGTGTGTCTGGCCTGAGTGTAATGTCAGGGAACGTGAAAAAAGCAAGGCAGACGCACAAGTTTGAGATGACACGATCATTTCGCCCTTTTTTCCCCTTCTCTTTTTCCTTTCTCCTTTCTTTCCCCTCAACCATTTGACCGGAGTCCGGCATTGATGATTTGGCTTCCCTTCAGGCTTGAATGGAGTAAATACCTACCTCTTTGATTCTTACCCTGACCCTTTTCACGTACATCGCGGCAGCACAGAAACGGGCGGGGAACGAGGATGACAACATGGGAGGAACAAGGCGGGGGTGCGTTACGAGGCAGAAGGGGACAAAGAAAGAAGAAGTATATACATACGCTCACATCAAACCAAAACTAAACCATCCACTCTCAACCTACCATTTCTTATTTCTTTCCTCTTCTTCTTCTTCCGCTAGGTGATCTCGGCCTTGCTGCTGAGGGACGGCGGGCCTTCTTACCTGGGATATCCCAGGTACTTTAAATACTCATAGCACTCGAATGTAATGCCCAGTGTCGGGATTCAACAAGTCCTACATCGTCATCATCGCCGAGAACAACCCGTTGCACAGCATCAATCTCCACAGATGAAACCCAAGCTTCATCTTCTTTTCAGCGTTGTTGGCGACTTGGTTTTTTCTTCAACTCCTGATGTTACACACACATCGGCGAGGTGAATGCACAGGAGGATACTTCTGTTTGACCAGACCTGGCTTCCAGCACCCAACCTCAAGGCACGGCCCACGGCTGTAAGTGAAGAGAGGATCGACTATTGAAGAGGTATCCAAAAAGGACTACTGATTATTAAGGTAGAGAAGAAATGATCCGTCGTTCCCAGGTCATTTAAAAAAAAAAAAAAACCAAAAAAAAACCGGAAACCGAATTTCCCATGCCCAAGAACCATACTATGGCTGCCTACCTGCTTTCCTGCCGTTCCCCACAGTTTTCCTCGCGTGTCGTTTCGTTAATTCTCATATTCGTCTGGTTTCAATTCTTGTTGTTTTTCGATGTTTCATGCGGCGAGAGACCTTTCCACTCAGACCCTTGTCCAGAATATATACAGCAAAGTTTCATTCTGCTTCACAAACAGGCGAGTCCCCTTTCCCTCTCCAAAATCTCATCCTTCGCTCGCCGCGCCTGCTACCAAGGAGGATGTTGCTACCGCTGGGTAGACTTACTCGCAGACTTGGCCAGTCCGATCCCCAGCCCGACGCCGAGAGCGATGGCCAGGATGATGAGGACGACGATCAGGGTGCACCACCACTTGAGCTTACGCCTATTCCGAGCGTGCTTGGTGGCGACGTCGATCTGCTTGTTTCCTTCCTCCATGTGGGTCACGGCGTTGCCCGTCTGCTCCTCGACCTGCTTGACGACGGGATCTTGTTGGATGACCATGGTGTCTAGGTCCTGGATCAGCTGCACCAGCTCGGTGATGGAGCGCTCGATGTTGAGAAGCTCGAGGTGACGGGCGCGCACGTTGCCAAGCACGGCCGAGGCCTGGCCGGTGCGGTTGGTCCGGAGCTGCGTTGCGAAAAAGAAGAGAAAAGAAGGTCAGCATGGTCCTATTTGAAGAGAGGGGAAGGAGAGGAAGAACAAGGAAAAGAAGGAGGGGGAAAGACCAACCGCCGTCTGAAAGACACCCTCATCGCCCCAATCCCTCTCGGCGGCCCTCCGCACCTCCTCGTCCGGCGCATCTGGATTAACGATCCGGTATTGCCGCGAGATCTGCTCTCGGTAGCGCTCTCGGTATGCCTGTTCCTCCTGGATGTAGCCCTGCAGCTCCTTCTGGAAGTCACCGTTGAGCGCCTCCCATTGGCGTTTCTTGAGGCCCGCGCTGCCCTGGCCTGCCGGGGTGCGCTCGACGTCTTGCTTGAGGGCGCGCACCTGGTCGCGGATCGAGGCCGTCTTGCGCTGCGTCGTGGCGGCGAGGTCGTCAACGCGGCGCTGGGCCGAGGTGGTGTCGCTGTCGTCGGTGCCGGTGAGGGCGAGCTGGTGCAGCTGGCCGATGCGCTGGACGTCAGCGGTCAGGGAGCGGATCTCGTTGCGCACGTGTGAGACACGGGAGAGGAAATCCTGCTGGGAGAGAACGTCGCCGCCTGGGGTGGTGGAGGAGGTGGTGCCGTCTTGGGCGGAGGATCCGTATGGGTTCGCCGGGTCTGACTGAGGGGAAGAGAAGTGTTGCATCTCATGTTGTTCCTGTGTGGAAAAGGAGAAAGGGAATTAGTCATTTTCGTTTCTCCGATTTTTGTGTAGGAGCCTTCTCTAGATCTTCTGCGGCACTGGGCAGGGCTAGACAGGGAGGAAGACAGGGAGAAGACATACTGGGTTGCCATAAGGATTACCGTAGGTAGAAGAGCCGTAGCCCTCTTGTGGCTGCGAGGAGCCATACGGGTTTCCAGAATACTGACTATATGACATATTGACGTTGGGTGATGGGGATGAAAATGGGACCGGACAGTCCGGACAGAGAGCAGGAGAGGGGGAGGGGGAGTCGTTCAATTGGTGTTCCCACACCACAAGCTAGTCAATCTGCCAGCCAATATCTAGCCTTCTCAATCCGATATCATCCGCTGCCGTTCATTCAATATAGAAAGGGAAGAAGACAGAGGGAAAGTAGTGCGTGAGAGGGGTGGGATAAGGTTAGAATGCGTATGAGTAGGAAGGACGAGATGAATGACTTGAGGTGGCATAAGTTCAAAAATGTGACGGCAGCGATATCTGCGAAGAAAGATGGGCGAAGGGAAATACTACCATATGATTACATGGTATATACTTAGTATATAGTACAGTAATCAGCGCTGGCGGTGCAGATCACCACTACATGAATGAATAAGTACTTAGTATGTACTTGCAGCCCAGCAAGTTGGTGCAGTAGCAGCCCCTCCCGCAACAGTGGTAGTACATAGTAAATACTTATGGAAAACTCATGCGTAGTAATACTTAGTTAGTCCTTACACAGCCTAGCAGAGCTCCTGAACCCAGGCAGCTGTTAGAGAACCTCGGAAACGTAAAGCGATTAGAAGAGAAGGAACCCCTCTGTAGGGTCCTTGTCAGTACTTGCTTTACAGTACCAGAGTGACCCTGGTTGGTTCGTATGACGTTTAAGCTTGTTCTCCCCCTCTCGCCCAGTCCCTTCTCCGCTGTTTCCGTCCGGTGGGAGCACTCACCCCACCACCACCACAACCACGACCGCGGTCGGTCACTACAACCCTTGCTCGCCACGCTTTGCCTCTTTCTGAATTGTGGGGGCGATATGGAGATCCTGCATAAAGTGAATGCAGCAAGCATGAACAGCAAAACAGCCCCCCCCCCCCCGCCTTCTTCGTCTCGCGGATGGATACAAGGGCCAGAAGGATGGGTCTGTTGATCAATTCGAGAGAGAAGAGAGAGAAAAAACAGACAGACAGGGGAGAGAGTGAGGGAGGAAGAACGAAGAAGGAAAGAAAAGAGAGAGAAGGGGTGCAAGAAGGCTACAGGGATGGCGAGGAACGTCAAGTCTTCCCTATCACCTACAGGCCGGGGTACTAAAATAAGCTTTGAGGAGCAGGGAGTGTCGCGCCCTTCAGTGACCCGCCTAGTGGAACGTTTCGCTGTCAGAACAATCAGTTGTAATACTGTCTCGAGAAAAGAAGTCACATGCAGCATAGCTATCAGCTGGGACTTTTCGGTTTGAAATGGAAGTAATGAATGTGTATTTTCCCTCAAGCCAGACTTTTCTGCAAAATTGTCCAGGTACAAAAAACGGGTCTTGATGGATCGATCCGCAGCTGCCGATAGCAGCAGTCGTCACTGGTGAGGCTTTGCAGTCGCCTCTCAGCTGTGGTGGATTGCATGCGCCACCACTAGCCTTGATCACTCCGAACCACTATGACAACAGAAACCGGCGCATATGAGACCATAATTGCCAAATTTATATTGAAACATCGAATTTCTGTCATCCGCCTAGAGTCGCAGATTTGCTAGTCACCCCTTGTTTGTCACTTGTCTCGTCATCTAGCACTTCCTTTGAGCTCGGAAACGAAGTCTTTATGTTGAATTCTCGGCTGGCTTGGGCTCCAGAATGTTCGAGTAGCTTTCCAATTGGTTGGCGCACATCATCCCCCTATTCTCTATTCCTCAAGTAGCCCCTCTCTGCAATCGTATCGTGGAAGGCTCACTGCTGTGTGGTCTTCTCAAATTGCATCATCTGTTTCGATGTCACAATATAGAACGATCCTCGCCACAGCGGCCGACGCTCGTCGTGCACTGCCAAATCGTCTTCGATCGGGTTTTGATGCATGACACGGTAAGCCGTTCATAGATCCTGTGCTCCAAAGTACCCTTGGTGTACACAATGTTGACAGCAAGGATTCTGGTATGACCCAGATACCTCGTCGCAAGAACTTTGCGCTCCAGGAATTTGTGTATAAACTGCTGTACCCCGGCTTGCCTCTAAAGTCGGTCCCTTTTCCCGGAAAAATCGGTGAGGATTGCCGGGCAGGCGCCGCATTTTCTTGTTGGCCAAAATCACCGTACTGGGCGATATTCCTGTCCTAGACGATCCCTCGCTCAGAGATAATTCTTCTTCTTGCTTGTACGTGTATACTGATTCAGGTGCCACTCGGCATCACCATCCTTGTTGTCTAGTGATCCGCCTCGTATCTCGAAAGGCCGCATGCTCATCCTCGGGCCGACCTCGCTGAGCTCGCAAGAGTCGTACGAGGTTCGAACGAAGACATGGTGCCTCACCTCGATGATGTCGTCGACGTTCTTGAATGTGACAATCCTGCCGCTCTTGGGCTTGCTAGTCATCGCTGGCAGCGGAGGAAACAGGTGCTTGAGGACCTTGACGATCCTCTGGCCCACTGGCGTAGTGAAGCCCTGTAGTTCTTCTAGTCAGCAGCTGCTCGCAAGGCCATCGGCATCAGGACACAAGAAAGATCAGGTACCAACCTCGAAGATAAGGTGAGGGTAGCTTTCCGAGACGGTACCACGAAGGCTGTTGGGTATGTCCTGTCTCAGGACGACGTTGTGTAGAGAGAATGAGACCGTGGGTCCATGAGGCAGGTGAGACACTGTCATCGCCGTGGGCGTGCCTCGATGCTCGTGCAGAAGTACGACGTCGGACAGGCCTCTGCTGTTGCAGGAACGCACAAGCTCTGGCAAGATTGTATTGCCTCGGTTCAGCCGGATAGCCGTGGGCATTAACAGTCTGATCTCCTTCGAGAAGGCGGCGAGTCTGCTTGAGGGGGATCGAGAGGTGGTCACAAGAACGCGAGGGTCGACAACACCAGAGAGTGCAGCATCTGTTGTCAAGTCTGTCAGCCAGAGGACTGACGGAGTTACAGTGCAAAGCAGCAGCAGCAAATAACAACAGAAGCAGCGTCAGGTCCTTCAGAATCACCCGTATCCGAGTCAAATTACACAAGAAGAATCAGATCTGGACACCGTCCAGCCTCTGCTTGGTGCAATGACGGTGACTCCCAAGAAAGCGCCGTGGGAGGTAGAGACCTCGCGGATTATACGTACACTCGTCGTCAAGATCGAGTTGATCCTTGATGTCTGCACTCGTTTCATCGTATGCGAGATCTTTCCTCAATTGTTCATCGTTTGCGATTGCTCGGTCTAAGGGTTTGCCGGTCGCGAGAGACTCCCTGAGTTTGGCCCGTTTCTCACTGATCTCGGCATCACGGAGGAGGAGGGCTCTCCGGTAGAGATAGTCTCTTCTTTGTCTATTTTGCCTGCGCTGGTTAGAGAGCATATGTTAGTGCCTGGGGAAACTGATCGTGATTGCCCAAGTGTACTCTACTCACAATCATCTTTGCTTCTTCTTGGTGTTGCTATGGCTGGGTCGAAGTAGTGATCGTGCAAACTACGCACCGGCATGTGGTCAAAGTCCTAGTCCAAAGCCGAAGGTCCAGCGTGCGATAAGGGACTTTTTTTTCTCTTATCGCCTTGCTCATCCTGGCAGGCACTTTCGGGGCTGCAGGAGAGGCCGTCGGCGCGCTAAAAGTGGGGGAAATACAGCGTCAGCACCCCTGTAAGTCATCGGCATGCATTTGAACCTCATTCTTTTCTCTGGGGTGCTTAAAGCCCATCCATCAAATATATCCGATTTTGAACAACCCATCGCCAAATCACCACCCACGAGGCCAAGAGTCGATCATACTCCGCCACCCACGCTCACCATTTGGGGAGGACTGTTCTCACATGCCAGCTAGGATGTGATCACGGATACAGACTGCCATTACCTACATTACCTCGATTCCAAGTGAAAGCTGCAATAGCTTCATCATTTTAAGATTGCGTGCAGGGTACGTCGTGCTACCCCTCCCCTCATGGCCCCTCTCTCCGTGTCATACTCAAAATTGCTACCATTGCTGTTACTCCTACTGGGACTACTAATTCCTTGACTCGTCTTGCTACTTTGTGTAACAAACAAGAAGCTGACTCTACCTCAACAAACGCCCGCTATAGTTTCCGATTCCGAGACGACAAGAGCATCTCTGCATCATGGATGCTGCCTTCAACCATGTTGGCAACCACCTGATCTCCGATTCTGCTGACACCATCAAAGCCGGTGGTTCTGATGACCTGTCCAATATCGACCCTGATGAGAGTCTGCTCTACGGAAAATCTGGTGGGCGCAGGGGAACTGGCACCGGTCGTCGCCGGACCGACGACGACGATGGCGAGACCGAGCTAGGCGACGATGACGATGACGAGAGCCTGGCAAGCGTTCCTGTCAGCGCGATGAAGGGTGTGCGGCTCACCGAGGACGAGGACGACAAGGATCTCCCCGCGCATGCCTGTGCCTACTGTGGCATCCACTCACCAGCGTCTGTTGTCAAGTGCCTATCCTGCAGCAAGTGGTTCTGCAGCGGCCGTGGGGGCACCAACAGCTCGCACATCGTCAACCACCTCGTCCGCGCTCGGCACAAGGAGGTCCAGCTGCACCCGCAGTCCGCTATGCAGGACACGATTCTGGAATGCTACAACTGCGGAACTCGCAATGTCTTTATGCTGGGTTTTATCCCTGCCAAGTCCGACACCGTGGTCGTGCTCCTCTGCCGTCAGCCCTGCGCCGCCAGTACATCTGCAAAAGATATGAGCTGGGATGTGTCGCGCTGGCAACCTCTGATTGAGTCGCGCTCGTTTTTGGACTGGCTGGTCCCTCCCCCGTCGGACGCCGAACAGCTGCGCGCCCGCCAGCTCAACCCTCCGACCATTGCCAAGCTCGAAGAGATGTGGAAGGAAGATGCCAACGCCACCGTTGCGGACCTAGAGAAAGCTGCGAACGTCGACGACGATCCTCATCCCGTCCTCCTCCAATACGACGATCCCTACCACTATCAGAACATCTTTGGTCCTTTGGTCAAGATGGAGTCCGACTACGATAAGAAGCTGAAGGAAGCTCAGGGGGAAGATGGTCTGGTCGTGGGCTGGACCGTGGGCCTCAACGGCAAGCACATGGCGAGCTTCATCCTGCCCAAGATGGAGTCAGGCGATGTCAAGCTCGCAGTTGGTGACGAGATGCGTCTCAAGTACAAGGGCGAGCTTCGTCCTCCCTGGGAGGGCGTCGGCTATGTTATCAAAATCCCCAACAACCAGAGCGACGAGGTGACCCTGGAGCTCCGTAAGACTGGCAGCGAGAAGTCTGTCCCGACCGACTGCACCCACAACTTTTCTGCCGAGTACGTCTGGAAGGCCACGTCTTACGATCGTATGCAGCTCGCCATGAAGACTTTCGCCCTCGATGAGAAGAGTGTGTCTGGTTTCCTGTTCCACAAGCTGCTTGGTCACGAAGTTCAAGTTGCGCCGACGAGGCCGCAGATGCCCAGGAAGTTCACTGCGCCGAACCTTCCAGACTTGAACAACAGTCAGATCAATGCCATCAAGGCTGTGCTCTCTTCGCCTCTAAGTCTGATTCAGGGCCCCCCCGGGACGGGCAAGACCGTAACTTCGGCAACGATCATCTATCATCTCGCCAAGATGAGCAGCGGTCAGGTGCTTGTCTGTGCCCCGTCTAATGTCGCTGTTGACCAACTCTGTGAACGCATCGACCGCACTGGCCTTAAAGTCGTCCGCCTGACTGCTAAGTCTCGTGAGGATGTGGAATCTTCTGTCAAGTTTCTCGCCCTGCACGAGCAGGTGCGCCAGCTGGCCGAAGACATGAACTCCGAACTGGGCAAGCTTACCACGCTGAAGAACGAATACGGCGAGCTGAAGAGCCACGACGAGAAAAAGTTCAAGCAACTCACCAAGGCTGCCGAGCGGGAGATCCTGAGCAATGCTGACGTCGTGTGCTGCACCTGTGTTGGTGCAGGCGACCCCCGCATTCTCAAGATGCAGTTCCGAAGCGTGCTTATCGATGAGTCGACGCAGTCAGCCGAACCGGAGTGTATGATTCCTCTTGTTCTTGGCTGCAAGCAGGTCGTTCTCGTCGGTGACCATAAGCAGCTGGGTCCCGTGATCATGAACAAGAAGGCTGCCAAGGCAGGTCTGAACCAGTCCCTTTTTGAACGGCTGGTGAAGCTTCAGCACGTCCCAATCCGACTCAACGTCCAGTACCGAATGCACCCGTGTCTTTCGGAATTCCCTTCCAACATGTTTTACGAGGGTTCGCTTCAGAACGGCGTTACAATCCAGGAGCGTCTCCGTAAGGACGTCGACTTTCCCTGGCCTGTCGCCGAGACACCCATGATGTTCTGGTCGAACCTGGGCAATGAGGAAATTTCCGCATCTGGCACATCGTACCTCAACCGCACCGAAGCCTCGAATGTTGAGAAGGTCGTGACTCGCTTCCTAAAAGCTGGTGTCAAGCCTCTCGATATTGGTGTCATCACACCGTACGAAGGCCAGCGCAGCTACATTGTGAGCACTCTCCAGACGACTGGCACTTTCAAGAAGGAGAGCTACAAGGAGGTTGAGGTTGCCTCTGTCGATGCTTTTCAGGGTCGTGAGAAAGACTTCATCGTCCTCTCTTGCGTCCGCTCCAATGACACGCAAGGAATTGGTTTCCTTTCCGACCCTCGTCGTCTCAACGTCGCGCTCACTCGAGCAAAGTATGGTCTTGTCATTATTGGAAACCCGAAAGTTCTCTCCAAGCATGATCTCTGGCACCACCTGCTGGTACACTTCAAGGACAGCAAATGCCTTGTTGAGGGCCCTCTTACGAACCTCCAGACTTCTCTACTGCAGTTCAGTCGACCCAAGACGGCCTACCGGGCCCCGCGGTCTGGCCCCGTTGGACAACAAACAACTGGCTATACCAATGGCCGCTACAACGGATTGAACGGGTCCACCCGCGACTTCGACTCGCAATCCATGCTCTCATATGTTCCGGACGACGTTTCCTCGATTCACAGCTCCGCCCTGGGAGGCGCTGGCCTTAACTCGGCCTATCCCCACATGTTCTCGAGCTTCAGCCCTGACGCGTGGCCTGGCTTGCCTGGCGTCAACGCACCCGGTCGGTCGAATGGAAGGAGCCGAGGCCGAGCTACCGAGAGCGTGGCGGGCGAAAGCGTGGCTAACTCTGAGTTCACTGATGGCAGTGCCAGTGTGATCGGCGGCAAGGGTATCGGTCAGGGTGGCGCCAGTCTTGGATCAGGCTTGCAAGATGCCATGGGCTTCTCCCGTCCTACTTCCTACAGTCAGAGTGATCGACTTCGCCAGTATGTCGAGGGTATGAGCGGTGGCCGCATGGGACCGAGCAACGGATACCTGCGCAGGGACGATGACGAGAAGAGCATCAGCACTGCCTTCCACAGCCAGATCGGCGGGCCCGGATTCGACGGAATTTGATTTGCTTGACGAAAACCGCGAATGACTCTTGTTCTTATAGTTATTTGCCACAGTCTTCACTGCCTGTCCTGAGGCACGGTCTTACCACACCATCCAGCCTCTCGTTGCCTAGTGCAAGGAAGAGCAGTACTGCTCTGCGGTCAGAACGGCCCACGTCACAGTCAACTGTGCGGAACGAGAAAATGAGCAGGTCGCCAAGCAACATAGCCATACGACAAGGCTGGTTTGGACGGTTTACCTCGTGCTCCACGGTCAAGCCCGCGACCAGTCACGATGACCAGACGCAATACGGATCGCTCGTCCGTGTCATGCAACAAAGACAAAGCTACGAGGACAACCCCAGCGTTGGCTATCTACTTCATGTATGCCTGACGAGCAAAGGACGCCACACAAAACTGGTGTGCTGTCGGGGTGTGGGAGGCATGGAGAAGAAGACTCAGGACCATCATCCGTTCTATGCGCAGCACAAGGGGGTGGACATGGCCGGTTCGATCTACATGATTGGCATCAGGCTTCTCGAGTCAAGAAATTAACATATTTCATGCTCAGAGACCAGTGGTACGGGGATCTTTCTGTTCAACATGGGGGGTCCAAAGCCAATCCGCACGCCTTGTGGGACAACATGCCTTTGGGGGATATGGAATTAGGGGGGAAGGAGACCCGAAAATGCAATAGTAACAGTTCAGTCTTTAGTTATTCGCCTCGGCAATAGTCACTCCTTTTGATCATATTTTCTGTCGTTAGTGATGCAGTATTGGGCCATTGCAGCACTCTGTTATCCATTGATCGTACCAGGGCTCGACGCAAGGAAGGTTCGGGCACGAGTTGGCTCGTTCTCACCAGCAGCTACCACTTCACACAGCCACAACATTTTGAACACTTCACATATGTAGGCTTCAGGGCGAAGAAGGGGGGAAATCATGTACTTAATTTATCATGTAGGCATCATCTCCTGCGTCCTGGATCTATCCTACCCTGGCTATTGTTCTGCTCAGTCATCCGCCCTCTTCTCTGTACCCACGCTTGGGACTCTTGCTCCCTCCCCGCAATGATCCTATAACGGCCTCACTCGAATAGTCATCACCTGACAGTAGCCTCCACACAGTCATCACAAAAGACGAAGCTGTCGGCGCTCTCGTTGTCAGGGTCACGAGCGAAGTGGACGGCGTGGTTCTTCTCGATCACGAGCCAAGGCCCGATGACGATGTGCTTGTGAATGCAGGGACTGTTGGTCTTGAGGTAGACTGTTTGGCCTGCCTTGAAGGAAGGGGGTTGTTGTTGCTATAAAAGATGGGATGTTATCAGTTGGGTTTGAAGATGCTGTTTAGGGGATAATCACAATGCGATTTTCTTAAAGGAGAACCACGTTACGTGCAGTATTTGTGCTATCTCAAGGTTGATTATAGTGTTGATGATTTGTATAATTGCGCCGGAGCAGTTAGGGATTAGAATCCAGGTGATTAGCAGGAAGTCTTGAAGAAGAAAAAAATACTCACTGTCGTGCTAATGGCTCTCTGAGCTGACTGGCAATCGTTGTTGGCAGAGAAACGCCCACCTTGGGGTGTGCTCATGTACTGTGTAGAGAGAGTATCAGCTTGTATCCATCGCGGGCTATACAACGGAGAGAAATACGTACACTTCCCATGTTATTGATGATGGGACGAAACGTGTCGGATCGATACTTTGGATCATTGGTGGATATAAATCATAGCAGGCTCAAGAATGAGTTTGGTAAGTGGCCATGGCTAGTTTATCAAGGTTAGCAATAGGGCCGGATGTTTCCCATTCACTTCATAGAAAGATCTGGGGGTTCAGTCGCTATTTGATGAAATTTATGCTGAGACACTGAGGGTGAAGAGATTCTGCTATAAATGCTCTCGTGGCGTGGATGATTTATCCACAACTTGCTGTGAAATGTCATTAATTAGACACAAGGGTCACTTTACTCACATTACAGATTCATCATTATTGAAGATATGTAAGTTAGGAGAGAACTCTATCTGTACCTTGTAGGCATTCGACAATAGTTTTTGTTGCCCCTGCCCCTGCCCCCAAACAAATTTGTAATAAAGGCATGAGCTCGGTCGACTCAGAAAGGGGAAGGATGCATAATATCATTTTTATGGGAACCATGAAATATTCTAGTATACTAGAAATGTCTAGCAGGGTGAGTTTTTCTTTCTGCCATACCCCCCAACCCCCCCATTCAACTGATCGGATAGTGGCTGTTATATGTCTATCAAGTGCGAGGCTACTGAAATCATCCCATGGTAAGTAGTAATAATATGCACTGAAGTTGGCCAGCGCGAACTTCATTCCCAGACTTCGGCATAGGCCAATGGAACAAAGCACTTCCAGTGTCCATAACATCCTTCGTGATAGCTACAACATGGCTGTCATATTTTGTGAGCTTTGATAGATTTACAGTGATTACTGCTGCGGAATATGCTACCAGGTCTGAATTCTATTCCCTTTACCAGAAAACAGCATAATGCCTTGTAATTGGGGCATTTGTTCACTCTGCATATTTTCTATTTGTGGCCTAATTGCGTCTGGACGAAAAGTACTCTACCGAGCCCTCCTGTTAGAATGTATTGAGTGTTACAAACAAAAGAGAACTTACAAGAAATGATCGAACTATGATATAATTACATGGCAATTCTAATGGTGAAAGTGAATGGCCTCTCCCGCGCGCTACACCAGACGAGCGGCGCCGAAGGACGCTTTACTGGAGTGACGTCGAAATACAAATACAAGGGTAGAGTATGTTGTCGCTGGATGAAGGCGGCATCTCTTGCTGCCTGCAGTTGAGCTGCTGTAGCATCACGCAGAGCCTCTTGGGTGCCTTCCAGGTTTATGAAGTGAGCACCTGAGAGAAAACGAAGACGTGCACATATGGTCCTGCCTCGCTACATCTTTTCGTTAATTCAATTCATCTCTCTTGCAATCCGGAACTCGCCCACCAGGCGGAGACGTATTGGCATGCGGGCTGCCAAACGCTAGACGCCCAAGCTACGTTGGATCGCATCTGATAACCCTTAACATTGCGCCGTACATACTTATTTAAGTATGTAACGCGCCCAATCATTGACTAAAGTGCACCTATGCCCAAGCAGCCAATTAATCGTGAATGCACTGCTCGAAATTCTATAACCCCCCCCCCCCCCCTTAAAAAATTGAGCCATGCTTGTTTTGTACTCTCGCAGGAGGTTATTGGATTACATGCAGGCAGAAGCGGGTAAGCATTAAAGCCAACAAGGTACAGTAAGCAACACCGATAAAGCTACTAGGAGCTGCTCTTCTTCCCTGCCAACTTCATGGTCGGCGAAACTCATCCCTTTGATTTTTGAAAACGAGTGCAAACTCGCACAGTTTCTCGTGGGCTATCTGTTCAAACTTTCTTCTCCTTCATCTTCTTTTTCTATCTTCTAGAGAGAATTAGCTCAATACCAGATGATGCCCCAGGGATCATGGCGCGTGAGACCGGGCAAACGCCATAGCGTCAGAATGCCATGCGATTCATGGTATGCGCCTTCTACGAAGCCGGATCATGACCCCTTTCTGTTGTTCCCGCAATATCAGTATAGACCACTTCCGGATGGCGACTATATTCGAGTCTTGATTCTAGAGCCGGGTTGCGGCAACGAGCCACTCGTCTGCAGCTTGAAGGCGACCGACCTATCAGATACCGAAACCCGCATCGAGTACGAAGCAGTCTCCTACGCCTGGGGCTCCGGTACGAAGGACCAGGCCCTTCTTGTCAACAATAGCCTTTGTATCATCACACGAAACCTCAGAAGAGCTCTGGAGCAGACTCGATATACGGATAAGCAGCGCAGGTTATGGGCCGACTCCATCTGCATCAATCAACATGACCTTGCCGAGAAGGGCCATCAAGTCGGCCTCATGGCACGAATTTATTCCGAGTCGAGCTGCGCATTGATATGCATGGGCTCAGCCGTTGCACATCGAGCCGCCGCTATTGAACTGTCTGGCTTAGTCTCCGATGTCAATCATATGATGTCGCGAGTCTTTCATGACCCTGGTTTCTCCTGGGATAGAGACAGTTTTCCTCGACCCGCTCCAGATAGTCCGTTGATTCAGGATCCTAGATGGAAATCAGTCGGCCGGCTCCTTAGCCTTCCTTGGTTCAGAAGAGGATGGGTTGTTCAAGAAGCTGCACTGGGCCCACGTGCGACTCTGCTGTGGGCAGGAACCAAGCTGGACTGGCTGGAGTTGTTGAGATTCTATTATTGGTTTCTGTTCAGAGCGCGAGTAGTCGCTCGTCAGATGTCAGGGCTCAAACCTGTGACAGGAACAGAAATGAGGAGGCTGCATTGGCGAACGTTCGAGATTCGACAACCCCGAGAAGGGAGAACCTTGAACATTCACAACAAAGGAGTGGACTTTGCCACTTTTGAACTTCCCGAGGCCCTAGATACGGCTCGAGATCTAGTCTTTAGTGACCCCAGGGACCGTGTGTACGGCTTTCTTGGGCTTAGATTTGCCGAAGCTATCAAGGATCGAATCACCCCCGACTACAAGTGTTCAGCTATATCTCTTTACCATAGGACTGCAGTAGAGTACATCGACTCGACTTCTGACCTGAGCCTGCTGCGCTTTGTCTGTCATGACGAGGCGAGCCTCTACGACGACGATGTTAGCACCTGGGTTCCCCGTTGGGACCAACGAACCTTTATTAGCGGCTCGTTTGCGGTATCCTCCAAGATCGATCACGAATATGAATGTCATGGCCCTTGCCAAACAGGAGTCGTATTCCAGGATCACGACAGGGTTCTCTGCTGTCGTGCACTCGTATGCGGACGGGTCAGCTTCGCTTCTGAGAATTGCGATGTGAGATCGACCAAGATCAGCGATATAGGCCGGCTGTACGACCGTGTACTAAAATACTACGAAGACTCGTCAAGAGGGTGTCCTTCAGACCTTGGGGAGGGCGACACCTACTTTGGGAAGGTTGTGGTCTTCGCCTTGATCTTTATCTATGTACTCAGTGGCGGCGCCACACTGGCAGACGAGGAACAACAACGGGCCTTTTTGTTGAATTTTACGAATTACCTCTCGAAGGATCCCCACGAGGAGAGCGACGTCTCAGCATGGAATGAACACTTCCACAGGATCTTCGAAACCATCCTCAGACATTCTCACGGCCGCCGCTTTGTCATATATGGGGCACAAGGCACGTGTGGGCTAGCACCGGCCATCACAGTCCCTGGAGATGAGGTGGCTTTGCTCCCTGGGTATATGGAACCAATCATCCTGCGCAACGTCCCCCAGGAGCAACTTCGGACGTCAGATCAATGGGGAACCTGCGACACATGACCGTGCCCCTCACTCGAGAATACCGTGTCGTTGGCCCTGCGACGATGCTGCATCCCAAACTCAATGAATACGGATTGCCTCAGCGGATAAGACAAAGTTGCGATGGCTGGGTTACAGGCAATAACAGACGTCTAGTCAAGACAGTCTATCTACATTAGAAGTAATTGCAATTCTCATTAGCTCCCGAGGTCGAGACACCTCGCAAGGGCTCGCAGAAGTATGACGAATGAGAGGGATTCGAAGAATAATATTCCGTATAAAGATACCTGTGTTGTAAAGTCACCAGCACCCTGTCGTGGCGATGTTTTGGTGCTAATTAGCACCAAAGACAGTAATATTATAATGAATATTGTTAAGTCCCTGGCGGGGTTTGAAAGGAATATCATAAGGGTTCATGTTAGCAGAACTGGTGTACATCTAATTACATACCTCTAGAATCAATGGAATCCTGGAATCTGGCTCACCATTTGGGCCGGAGCGAGAATTACATTATAGCGTTCGAGCAAAATGTTGATTACTAGCTGTGTGAAACCGTTCAGATGAATCCGCGAATTCGAAGATATACGTGCTGAGATTGACAGTCGAAGGGCTATAAAGTATGCGTTTTAATATTTCTTAAAGTAAGTAGGAACACTTTCATCTATATATAAATGTATATACATCTTCGGCTTTTCAGCCTTGAACAGACTAAATAGCAACATACCTATTGCGTCTGTGCTGAGACGTTCGTACTTATAGTGGGGTGTGGGACAAGTGCCGGGTCCTTAGCATGTATTTAGGGGCGCAGTCCGGAAAGAAAACGGATCAAAAGTAGCTCGCTTGTAAAGACCAGGTTACGTAGCTGCCCCCCTACTAGCGTTTTTTGGAATCTTGGAAAGGTAGAGGGAGACCTCTTGGTACCAATTCCATGGCAGGACGACTTTCCAACTGTGTTTGTCTCGGAAGTTTAAAACGAGAAGAAGACAAGAGGAACAAGCAATCGGCCAATCTTGTGTTCAACTGTTTTCTCTTGATTTCCCTCTCTGTCTCATCCCCTCACTTCAGGCAGTAATATTCTTCGAGCAACAAACCAATTACGTACGAAATCAATGGCTACACCAAATCCTCCGGCCGCTGATCCCGCTGCGGAAGAGAACACACCACCGCAGGCACCAGAGCCCACAGCAGCAGCCGCTTCACATGTAGAAAGCCAATCCCTAGATGACAACAATAAGAACAACAAGTCTACCGCCGCCACAACCAGTGGACAACAGCCTGTTCCAGCGCCGGCCGCGGCTTCAGCAGCAGGAGGAGAAGAGCACAATGACGAAAAGACGACGACAACAACGGGCCAGAGGCGCTCCCTGCAGGCAGCATTACCAGTGAAGACGGCAACAGACAAAGAGACAGAAGCAGGAGGAGCAACAGCGGGAGTCTCTCCGTCCAGGCCGAGCATCCAGACGGACGATGACGACTCTGTGAATCCGCCCGACTTCCACGGCGAGGTCCTGAGCAACAACGACATCCCGTCGGCCGAGGTAATCCGGCGGATTGGCGACTATATCGTGCTGGACCGGCATGGCAAGACGCACACGTTCAAGAGTCTCTATACAGGGCGTAATGTTGCGCGCAGGGTGCTGGTCATCTTTGTGCGCCACTTTTACTGTGGTGTATGTCCTGTCCTTTCTCTCTCTCCCCCCCCCCCCCCTCTCGTTGAACAGGAAGAAGATGATGACGACGAGGTTAACATGTGTTTGTGATCATTTCTAGAACTGCCAAGAATACCTCCGCACCCTCTCCGCCTCCATCCAACCCGAGTCACTCCTCCACCTCCCCATCAGCACCTTCATAGCCGTCATAGGCTGTGGCGACCCAGCCCTCATCGACATGTACGCCTCCGAGACGGGCTGCCCGTACCCCATCTACGCCGACCCGACGAGGAAACTCTACCAGGAGCTGGGCATGATCAAGACCCTCGCCCTCGGCCAGCGGCCCGCCTACATGTCCAAGAGCCTGCTCAAGAGCTCCCTCGACAGCATCGTGCAGGGCGTCAAGCAGATCAAGACCGGCCTGGCCATCCGAGGCGGCGACCAGCGGCAGATTGGCGGCGAGTTCCTGTTTGAGCCTGTGGAGCTGCACAGCCCGGATGCGAGCCCTGTCTATGAGTTTGACAGGAGGCTGGAGAGGGCGCAGCAGCATGATGACCAGCACTCTTCCAAGAACCAGGGGGCCAATGTCGACGTGGCCAGGGACCCGGAGAAGGAGACAGCCGGAGGGGAGAGGAAGACCAAGGACGTCAGCACCAACAAACATAGCCGGAGCACGAGCGTGACGGATAACGACAATGACGAGGTCGAGGACGAAAGACTGGTCGAGGAGAAGAAGGTGACGTGGTGTCACCGCATGAAGACGACCAGGGACCACGCCGAGATCCCGGAGCTGATGGAGATCCTGGGTCTGAACGGCCAGGGCAAGCCGATCAAGAACCAGAAGAGGTGGTCCAAGGCCCTGGAGACGAGGAAGGGTACGGGACTGAGCATGGCGAGCCAGATGAGCCAGATGGGGCATCGAAAGCGTACGAGTACTGACGAATCACCGTGATTGAGAGCATTAGAGAGGGCATTTTTCTTTTTCTTTTCCTTTTTGGACTATTTTCACTTGCCCGGTGTTTTCCTCCCCCTTCTTGTTTTTCTCTCTCTTCTCTTAACATTTATAGCGAATCTACAGCGAAGCGATCGTGCTCTCTATAGCTGGGCATCTAATTTCTTTTGGTTTGTAATTTGAAAAAGCTTGAGCATTGGCATCATCTGTACAGCACTTATGTAGCAGACAGACATGATAACTGTATATTCACGTTTCATGGGGGCTCAATAGGTCGAGCGAGAAAGCCCCGTCCCCGTCAGTCCGAGATGTTGTGATGGCTGCTGTTTCGAACAGCCGACAAGTCGACAAGGTTCCAATGCACTGGCTGCCTGCATCTTGGAAAGAGGAGCCTAGCTGTGTGCGCACGTCTGAACAAAGACTGCATCAGTTACTCTGCATAATCGATCCTCTCTTATCTATAGGTGGGCATCTATCTCACCACGCGAAGAGACCCCACCATCACCTTCCATTGGCTCTCTTGTTCTTTCGTATGCACTCTCCTCTTTTCATCATGTCGTGCATGCTTAAGCATAAACCACCCTATATAGGGCTGTCCATTGGGTCCAGACACTCATGTACGTTGCAATGCTGGGGGGAACGTGGTTCGTTGATTTGCTTACACTCCCACACCACCACTGCATGAATGTCGTAAAGCTCGATACCACCCCCGTCCTGTTGGTCCATCTCCCCTCCCCTCTCTCTCAGTGGTTGAAGGGGAAACGCTTTGGGCAACACGAAAAGAGAGGACGAGAATGACGGAATGTGCCATCAGGTTGGTGAAGTGAGGCGGGCGAGCGGTCCTTGTGGCTTTTAGGTGTTCCTGTCAGCAGCAGTGAAGCCTGAACAGCGTCATGCAGAGACGGGACAACATGCAGTGCAACCCAACACTGCCGCTGCTACAGACAAGGGTTCCTGTCTCCCTCTCCCTCTTCCCCGTCTCTCATTCTCTCTCACATTGCGGGCCCTCGGAATGTTTGCATGTGTGGTATGTGTGTGTATTGGCCCTCGGATGATCTCGAAGCCATTGCTTTTGGAGGTGGCAATCTGAGGGGGTGTGAACGTGGCCTTGAGTATCTCGACCCTCCCTCCCTTCCTGTTGCGCGTCCCGGAACCCAGTGCCGGTAGTAGTCTGGCGCTGTAGTTGCCATGTCATTCGTGCCTTGCGCGTCGGTGGTATTGGGCCTTGTGTGGAAGGACGATCCGAACTGGTCGCAGGGCGTGCGACTATGGCACGACTTTAGGTTTATCTGTATGTACGCTGTGTTCAGACAAATATTATTCCAAAGAGTTCCCGCAAAGAATACCTGAACGAAGGCCCATGCATCCATCGGCATGTATACATGGGGCTTTCTTCCTTCATGGCTGGCGAGATCTGTTTTGAATACCTCTTCTTGTCCTCCAAAAGTAACTTTGCTCCAATGTAGAATATACTTAATAACATTCACCTGATTTCTCTTACGGGCTGACGGAACAAAAAAAAAAAAAAAAAAAAACCAAGACTCGAACGCCTTTGGACCGATCCGGGATGGCAACGTGTCAGATCCAAGGCCACCCAGACGCTTATGGCCTGGGCATTCGAATCGCCTTCTACCTGCAATGGTTTGCCCTGATCATCTCCTGCTGGCTCTCCGATGGCGACGCCCTCAATCTCAAGTTTCTCAACGCCCTCACCATCGCAGCCACCTCGATCGGCCTGGCGCTCAACTTGAGCACCCTCCAGCCGGTCGAAGTATACGTTATCCTCCTCCTGGTCTGCGGCACCTTGTATTTCCAGGTGCCCGTCTTTCTCTGGCGAGTCGTGACATGCTGTCGTCCTTGGTGGGATACTGAGCGATGGAACAAGCTGCGGATGGGCTGGCTGTTCAAGACTGGCATGGCCTTGTTGTTGGGGACGTTACTGGGCGTGGAGATCTGGTTCTGGTGTACTGGCGTCTATGAGAAGCCTGCGGGAATGGACGATGCTGGTGGGTGTCGTCAGTACGCCTTCTTATTCGGCCAGGTTCCGCTTGACAGCTCTGCCGTGACCGCGGTAAATATCATCATCCACATTGCAATCCTTCTCGTCGGGACCTGGAAGTTTTGTGAGTGGGTTGGTATGTTTGATGGGTGTCAATGGCATCGTGAAAAGAAGAGACGAAGGTGGAGGTGAGTAATCGTTTCCTCCCCCCGCCCAAGAAACGAAGCCATCCAACAGTGGTGGCTCGCAAAACTCACAAACCGACCAACTGTAGGATCACCAACAACCGCATCGTCTTTCTGCAACAACTCCGCACCTTCTCAGACCTAATAGTCGCAGCGATCCTCGTCATGGCGGTCGAGCTTGTCATCTCCTGGAACCATATCAGTGGCGTCAATGACCTCAGCTCAGCTGCGCAGCTCATTCCGCCCGTCATCAGCGGGGCCTATTTCCTCCACAGCATATTCGTCTGGATGGCAGAGCCGCCTGCGGAGAGTCATTATCTCGAGTTCCCGTATTTTCCGGGTGAGAGCATCGAAACGGGCAGCTACACCATCACCAGTGACGGAAACATGGCGTATGTCGATGCCAGAGACTGGGCGGGCCGGAGACACCATTCTCACCGCCGTCACGACCACGGTCGTTCCCATCGTCATCGTCGTCAAAGAAGAAGACACCCGCACGCGTCTCCAGGCGTGGATTATGAGCCACAACAGCCAATGGCCAGTGCGGAGGAGCCAGCAGCGCCGACGCCTCCTGCACCTGCGTCTGCTGCTGGAGGAAGCCGACATGCGACTGTCGTGGACGCGCCGGACGAGGCAAACGCTGCTGAGAATCCTGTCGCAGAACCAGAGGCCACCGCGCACCCTCCTTCTCAAGCCGGTGCCGCTGAATAAGCAAGTATGTTTTACCTCTCTATGTAGGATGTGATGGACAGGAGGAATATGTGGTTGGTTCGGGCGGACGAATAGGCAAGATTGTTCGTTGTGTGTGTGTGTCTCTCTCTCTCTCTTTTCCTTTAAAAGTGATGTAAAGTACTTTCCTCCGAGATCCGAAACTGAAGAGACAGACTGGCTGTTGCGAAAGAGGACCAGTCCAAATTGTAAAACTCGTCGTTGGTTCGGGTTGTCGTCATATAATGCAGTCTGCTTCTGTGTCCCTTTCAAACCTTCCTCGCAACCTTGGTGATAACACAGAGGTAAAGTGGTCCCCACTGGCCCCCCGCCTTGTGATCAGGAACAGCAATCCTGCCATATTTTGTTTCTTCAGTCAGCATCTCGAGCGCCCCGTCCACTTCTTCTTGTTCTTCTTCGTCCGATGCCCCCCCTGGCTTCTTCCTCCTCGCCACGCTACCCAGCTCAAACCTGACCTTCCAAGCCAGCCCGAACTTCTTCCTTTCCTTCTCCACCGCCGTCAACATCTTCTCCACCACCCCATCATTTTCCCCGGTCTCGATCGAGCACGTCGAGTACACCACCCGTCCACCCGTTCTGACAGCCCGCAGCGCCGTCATCAGCAGGTCCGCCTGTAGCCTCGAGAGCGTCTTGGAACCACCCCTACGCCAGCGGGCCATCTCGTCCGCGATACGCCCTCCTGACGAGGCCTTGAGGTGCGCGTGGATGATGTGCCGCTCCGAAGAGCAGGGCGCATCCAGCAGCACGCGGTCGTAGCCGCCGGGTCCGCAGGGCAGCTGTGTCACCGCCCGTGCATCGGAGCCGTCCAGGAGCAGGACCCGCACCGCGTTGGTCTCAAATAAGGGAGCTGGCAGGTAGGATCGCAGGTTGGAGGATAGGCGCTTGTTCCTGGCGTGGTCTAGCTCATTGGAGTGTAGGCAGCCGAGGCTGGCGGGTGCGGAGGGTGGTGGCTGTGGTGGTGTTTCTGACGACGATGGCGATGATGACCGGGGGTCTGCATGGAGGTGAGGAAAGATGAGCTGAGCCAGGGCGACGGACTTGCCGCCTGGGGCTGCGCAGAGGTCCAGAACTTTGTCATTTGGCTGGACGTTGAGCATGTGTGCGCATAGTGCGGAAGCGGCGTCCATGTTCCAGTGAGACAAGAGCTCCTTCTCTGGACTGCTTGGTGAAGGGACAGGCTGTGGTGCAGTGAAGAGGAATGATTCTTCTTCTTCTTCTTCTGTCTCTATCGTGGTCGTAGGCTGGACACGTTCGTATAATAGGATGCCTGGCCTTGTGGTGACCGTGGCGGTGTGGTCTGCCTCTGTTGGCAATTTGGGCAGTTGGATCTGCCGCAGCTCATCCTCTGGAACTGTTGAGAAGAGGTTCTTGTCAAGGCCGACTCGAGGGACATACTGGTTCACCAGGGCGCTGTACCGAGTTGGCCTGGCCAGTGCGGGATACAGTGATTCGTGCCATCTCTGAGTGCCCCAGTTCGCGTCCGAGGCGTAGTGGGAATGGAAGGCCGAGACTGTGGCATCAAGATGCTTTCGATCAGCTTTGGTAGGCATGTCCAGATGGAACACCTTGGTTTTTGAAGAGTTGAGGGCGCTCTATTTTGTGGGAGTGAACAGGAATAGAGTTTGGTGAGCGTTGTGGGTTGAGCTTCAAGTTTGATCTCCCTTCTTTGTCGTATCTCAATTTTCTTCTTCTTCAAGGGTTAGAATTATGACGCACATGTGACAAGCACCTTCAGGAGACATTTACAGTGTCAAACACTGAGAGAGAGATTGAATCTTTGAAAGTTTCAGCATTGGAAGTCAAGAATTCGAGGAACTCGGTTGAGAAGGAGCATGAGCAAGTCAGTCGTTCAAGTTGCTCCTCAACATGAAGAAATTCTGCAGTTGCGACCACCACAAGCCCTAACCCTGATACTTAGACGCTCTACTTCATACAATATATAAGACTGGTGCCAATCCTACCCACCAATTACCTCCTGATTAGTCCAAATCATTCACTCACTTCCTTCTTACTGTTTCCCAGAATCTCCCAATCTTACTGCCGTGCTTGTTCTCCTTACTCAACACACTAGAGCTCCTAGAAGTCGTCGCACTGCTCACCCTCTGCCTCGTCCTAGCGCCATCATTATCATCATCATCATCACCATCCGCCCTCTCACTCTCCTCCCTCAGGACCCCAAGCCTCCCCCCAGCCTCTCTACCTCGCTCAACGCCGCCACCACCTATCCGTCCTCCAACGCCCGTGCCCGTTCCTTTGGCTCTCAGCCTCTTAACCCGAATCTCAAACCTTTCCCTTCCCAGCTCCCGCGTGACACACCCGCCCCGGTACAGCCCATCCTTCTCCCCGTGCACCGCGCTGCCACTACCGCCGCTAGCCTCGGCGTTTGGCATAGTAGAGCGCTTGGTCGCTTCCCTCTGGCAGTACTGCCGCGCGGCGTCGTTGGCCGACGCGGCTGTGTAGTAGAAGCTGCCGCCTAGGGGAGTTGTCAAGGTCCCTATCTTGTCCGTGGCAGATGCGAAGTCGCGGCGTAGGATGACGTAGATTGTGGAGAGGTCGACCTGGAAGATAAAGTCGATCATGATGGGCAGAGTTCTTGCCGAGTTGCGTTAATTTCCTTGTCTGTAGGCCTCTCTTGGGCCGCGAAGAAAAGATACCAGAAGGGAGGAGCAGGCGCAGGCGGTCTTTTCCTCCGGGTGGAGTCTGGCTGGGCCACCCTGAGAAACGTTACTTTGCGGTCATGGGGTAATTAATCACTCAGATGAGAGAGCTCTCTCTTTACAGAGATATGAGGAGATTTGGCATGATTTATGGACGTCAAGACCAAACAGGACGGCGTCGGCCCGTTGCAGGTTTCCTGGTGGGTTGCGACAAAGACGAGAAAAAAAAGGAAAGAAAAAAAAAAGCACCCTTGCGCGAGAGCTGCAACATGCAGAGAAGAACAATAAGGGGATTTCCAGGACATATATGGATCCAGACCAACTTTTGCCGTGCTGCAGGTGTCGTGTTCCAAGATAATTCGAAGCCGCCCGACGCGCATGAGTTGTTCAGCCCGACACCCCAGCACAGGGGACAGCACGCGATAGAGTTTTGCATGATATGGAGTAGACCCCGGGAACATTTGTTTGCTTATCTTGATCAGTGAGTGATTCAGTGTGGGTGTTACAAGACCCAAGGGACCGGACAGATTATCTTTTGGAGGTTTGCATTCTTGTATGTCGTCTGATATACACAAGCTTTCAAGCTGCACAAAATTTTAGCCTAACAAGATAAAAACATAACCGGGCAAATGAGCTGATCCGAAGCAGCATGACGCTGCTACAACAAAGACCAGCCCATCAAGCATTCTCTTCCATATCAAGCGGACCAAACAAGGATGGCTCCTCGTTTCGCTGACGTGAGGCATGTTCCTCGACCTCCTCGATGGGATCGCTATTGAAGTTAGGCAGCTTGCGAATATCAGTCCTCGTATTACCGCTCCGCTTCTGGCGGCGTCTGGTCACAGTCTTGCCACGAATTTGGCCCAGAGAAAGTGCAATCTGTCGTCCCTCGTCCAAATGACTGGTTTTCTTGCCAATGAACGGTCTGGGTCGCGAGAACCTGAATCCTTCGTCTCCTTCGCCATGGTTTTGGAGTGGGCGCGGACGGGACCGCAGAGATGCGTTCTCCGAGTCGCTTGTGGGCATGTCCCAAATGTCGCTGCGACGTGGAGGCTTGTCCATGGTGTCTGACGATGCAGTCAATGATGGCTTTGAAGGTGCCGAAGAGCCCACGGTCGCTTGATCCGTATGAATGGTCGTATTCGAGCAAGCTGGAACGATTTCTGAGAGTGGATCACGCGGGGACTCTGCAACTGTGGCCTGGTGACTGATTGAAGCAATGATCGAGACGTCGGCTTCAAACGACTCACTCTGTTCTGCGATGTTCTGCGCATCGATGGCCAAGCTATATTTCAAGCTTGGGCTTGTCTCCGGGGAAAGATTTCCAAGCGCATGGGCTTCGTCACTTTGGCAAATTTCGTCGGTGCTGGTGAAGGGGTCGGATGGTCGAAGCTTTCTGGCAGCACGTGTTCTTGCATCTGCAAGAACTTGTTCGAGGTGCTCGTTGACCTCTCCGAAAACGAATTGGCGCCACATGGCATTATCATTTTTGAGGGTTTCTGGCTGGGAATTTGGCTGTGCCTCCGTATTATGCGGTGAATCATGAGTGGCAAGTTTCTTGACTTCCCCGGCCCGTGGCTGATGTATGGGCGACATATGGTGTCTATCAATTTGACCAGCCGAAAGCACTGGAGATGCCTCGAAAAGACCTTGAACGTCCTGCCCAGCGATGCTGGGAGAGCTCAGAGGCATTAGCAAACAGACCTCGTCGGAATCCTCCCCAGCTAGTTGCTTAATGTTATTTTGCGACTTCCCAGCAGTGGTACGCGCACTCTGGCCAGCTGGAGAGACGCCAGAATTATGACAATCAGGGCTGAGAGAACTCGGAGAGCCCAAACCGCCATCATGCTGCGGGATATTGTCGTCAGCGGCTTTCGGTTGATCAGACTGGATGAGATCGGCGAGCGACCGCTCATTTTCCTCTTGACTGCTTGTGCTGTTCTCACCACACTCATCGCCGTTCTGAGTCCCTTGCTGCTGTTCATGGTTCAACTTCGCAAGCAACTGCACAGCTCGTTCTTCATTCTCTGTGCTCTCGTTTTCTGTGTCATCACCTAGTGATGGTTGTAGGGCAGATTCCTGATCTTCATCCACATGGCCTGCTCGCTTGCGAAGTCCAAGGTGACTGATGCCAGGTGAAATCGCTCCGGACACCAGAGAGTACGAACTGTCAGATAGCGGTAGATCATTCCGTGATCGGTCACGCTCTGCTCCACCCACGAACCCCCTCCACGCTTCGTTTTGTTCTGCTTGGGACGACGGAATCTCCGGTTGCAGTGGTCCAACCTGTGCTTTAATGCTTGCTGTATCGTCTGAGTCGCATGACGGGGAATGAAGCAACTGCGGGAAGTGAGGCCGGTGGGGTATAGGGTGATATAGCAGAGGCGAGCTTGTCGAAATCGGTCCGTGGCTTGAATCTCCCTGCGACTCATACATACGGTATTCCTGTCCTATTGTACTATGACCATGAGCGGCATCTTGTGTGCGATTCTGTTGGTGTTCAGATCCACGGATATGGCTGGCTGTATTCTGCATTAGATTAATACAGCATATTCAGACCTCAAGATCACGAGTGCTTGCCATCTGGATTCCCTTGGACATCTCTGTATCTACTCATGGAAGACGTGGCGTTGGAGCTGGCGTCCAGAGCCTTCTCAAGGCTGCCGACTCTGACCCTTAGCTGACAGCGGGTGACCGGTGTGGAAGTCCTGACCACAGTTCCAGGAGCTCTGAGCTGTCCGTCCACAGTCTTGACGCCAAGGAGGCGGCATAGTCTGCTTTTAGAGGATTGATATCGTGGGCGCGAACTACCCCAGGGATCATCACGTGAAGAAACCCGTGGCTTGAGGAATTCCATCTGGATCGGTTTCTGGACGTCGGTCCCAACCCAGTCGCCCTTGAGCAGCAGCCTACGTCTCTTGTGGCGCATATTCTCTTCCACCTCCTCTTTCTGGAGGGAGCCCGGGCTTGGAAGCTTGAGGGAGGAAGTCTGGAAGTATCGGCTTGTCTGAAGAGACCCCCCATCCCTGGGTCGCTTCTTGACAGAAGATGGGGCGGCTGGGCTGAGCTTAGATGAACGATGAGGAGTGGGAGAAGATGAGCGGGATGGACGAGAGAACATAGAAATAGAAGGTGGGCTGATTTTGGCATTACTATTCGTCAAACTAGAGCGAACCTTGGCGAAATGTTTTCTCTGGCGTAGAACGATCTCTTTGCCCTTCCGGCCGCGAGAATGGCGGGCCAAGTTGCCTTCGGTCCAATTCATGCTGATGAGTTTGCATGCTAAGGTCTAGGAACAAGTCGAGAGCGTTGACGAAACGAAAGGAGATGTTAGACGGAAATGGTATGTGTAGCCTATAGTCAAGGCGAATATAGAGCCCAAAGGGGAGGTGGCAACATGACAAAGCTTTGAAGGCTGCCTTCAAAAGGGCAGATTGGGACGATGTCGATTTGGAAAGGAAAAAGTACACTTGGAGAGGAATGAGCATCTCTGGCTTGAGCAACTGCATACTTAGGCATAGCTCATAAAGGAAAGTGCCATCATTGGTCATATAAGCAGTGAGGTCGCTGCCTCCCCTGATTGGGGAAAGAGTGACAAGAGGCAGGCGGGACTCAGAGCTCAGGGAAAGTGCAGGGGTGGGCCCAATGACGTGCGCCCCTCCCGGCAACCCCTCCAGGGCGATAACGGCGGGAGCTCCTATCGCAGCTGCTACGCTCCCCTCTCACCATCAGCCCTTGCAAGCCCCTCCCCTCACGATCCAGTCTACACACCACCCTTCACGCCGCTGACGATGCAGACGCTTTGGAAGACGCTCACATCTTTCGCAAGCAGATTACAGCTGTCGACAAGCCCCACCTCACCTAGCAGTTACTTCCGCACCATGGCAACCGCTGCCACACCCCTCCTAAAGAAGCCCGTCAAGCTGGCCTGCATCCAGCTCGCAAGTGGCACAGACAAGGCAGCCAACCTCTCCAATGCCCGCGAGAAAGTGCACGAAGCCGCTGCTTCTGGAGCCAAGATCATCGTATTGCCAGAGTGCTTCAACTCACCGTACGGCTGCGACTACTTCCCTTCGTATGCAGAGCAGCTTCTCCCACACCCGCCGAGCGCGGAGCAGAGCCCAAGCTTTCACGCCTTGTCTGCGATGGCAAAGGAGACGGGCACATACCTCATCGGGGGGTCAATACCAGAGCTGGACTTTGACGAGGATAAAAAGAAGCGCTACTACAACACGTCGTTGACGTTCAGCCCGAAGGGCGAGCTGCTGGCCACGCATCGCAAGGTGCACCTGTTTGACATCGACATCCCAGGCAAGATCACATTCCGCGAGTCGGATGTACTGTCGCCAGGGGACAAGCTGACCATCGTGGACCTCCCGGAATATGGCCGCGTGGGTGTGGCGATCTGCTACGATATCCGGTTTCCCGAACTTGGCACCATAGCCGCACGGAAGGGCTGTTTTGTATTGATCTACCCAGGCGCTTTCAACCTGACAACGGGCCCGCTACACTGGCGGCTGCTAGGCCAGGGCAGGGCAGTGGACAACCAGGTATATGTGGTGATGTGCTCGCCTGCGCGCGACATGAATGCGAGCTATCATGCGTGGGGGCACAGTCTGGTGGTCGATCCCATGGCCCAGGTTCTCGTGGAGGCGGAAGAGCAACAGACGATCGTGTCTGCTGAGCTGAGTGGTGACAAGATCGAGGAAACGAGGAAAGGGATACCTCTGAGGGACCAGAGACGCTTCGATGTGTATCCCGACATTAGCCAGGGCAAGATACGTCTTGAGTGACCCAGCACAGGAGGAAGGCCATGGTAGTGAGCAAAATGATAGTACCACGGGCGCCAGTTTGTATAAGCTGCTGTCAACTTGAATGTTCGCCCGACTCATGCTGGGATGATCCCCACACTCGTCCAGCCGCCGTATGGTATCGGTTAGCCCTCCATGCCTCAACTTCCCTTGCGCCTTGAGCCCGCCACTGGAATACGCGCCTTCTTGTTTGTAGTTGAGATCTGCTTGGGCATTTGGACATAAATTAGTCAAATCGCATAAGAGAGCTATGAAAGTACTGTCGAGGCGCTGAGACAGCGTGAATGTTATCGAAGCTTATGATTCAAAGTGAGTGCCAACGACCCAGTAGACGCTAATACACTGCCAGATGCGCACTATGTACCTAAATAGATAGGTACTATGTACCTAAATAGATAGGTATTAGGTACTCATAGTAGCCCAATGTTGGTCGTCTTGGCTCACCCCTCTTCTCAGATGTTTTCTATAGCCATTTGCTCATCTTAAGCCCATAACACACACCAATTTCTTTTCATTTTCCTTTTGCATGTTATATAAGTCGATGTATTAATTGAACTCGAGTCGCGTTCTATTTTTAAGTGAAAACAAGACTATTCGAAATCTCGTGCCTGTATCGCACGGTCGTTGCTTAGTTCGCCCTCAAAAAGGTACATATATACACAAACATTCGTACGATTGCCCGGGTGTCACTCATGACAAAAAATTTTCCACTTTCAAAATTCGCCCTCCGCATTTTCACTCCACCACCACTTGCAACCAAACACCTCAGCAACAGAATACACCATCTTCGAGCCTCAGTCCCATCATATTTGCAGACATATCTTAATTCCCATAGTTCAGCCATCAAGATGTCCGAGATCGCTCACCCCACCATTCAGGGTATGTTACTGCTCCCTATCTGACCCCGCCATAGACTGCTCGTGCCCGTCCAGATGCTTCAAAATTACATTGCCCCTTCTCAAAAGCTGCATTTTTCCAATGAAGAAAACTGTAATCGACGTTATATTTCAGTATATTGCACATGCCCGTCACACACTCCCTCTGCCCGCTCCTGTCCTCGTTCTGTTTTCTCTTTCCTGCGTCATTGTCCCTCACCATGCCATCAGGTGTGTGCCGTTGTGGTCTTCATGTCCTCATAAGCTGATCAACACCTCCTCTCTCTAACGCTCAGATGGATGGTTCCGCGAGATTTCGCACATGTGGCCCGGTCAGGCCATGACCCTCAAGGTCAAGAAGGTCCTCCACCACGAGAAGAGCAAGTACCAGGATGTCTTGATCTTCGAGTCCACCGACCACGGCACCGTCCTCGTCCTGGACAATGTCATCCAGTGCACCGAGCGCGACGAGTTTTCATACCAGGAGATGATCACCCACCTGGCCATGAACTCACACCCGGACCCAAAGAAGGTCCTCGTCATTGGTGGCGGTGATGGTGGTGTGCTGCGCGAGGTCGTCAAGCACGAAGGAATCGAGGAGGCTGTCCTGTGTGACATTGACGAGGTAGATACTCGACCCTCCATCTTTATCATGACCACCCACCTCCTCACCTCCCCCTCCCTCATCCATTCGTTCGTAACTGACATGACACGACACCAAGGCTGTCATCCGTCTGTCCAAGGAATACCTTCCTGGCATGTCCGTGGGGTACAAGCACCCCAAGGTCAAGGTGCACGTCGGCGACGGCTTCAAGTTCCTCGACGACTACAAGAACACCTTTGACGTGATCATCACCGACTCGTCCGACCCAGATGGTCCTGCCGAGAGCCTGTTCCAGAAGCCCTACTTCCAGCTTCTGCACGACGCCCTGCGGGACGGGGGCGTTATCACCACCCAAGGTTGTACGTTCCCTTACAAGTCTCCCCCTTCCTCGACCTTACCCTAGAGAGATGCTCACGTAGGCCAATACAGCGTGCCTGATCCTTCTTTTTTCGAGCATCTTGCTTCAGGGATACTCTTTCCTGAGAGGGAAGACGGAAGCCCTAGTTTATTGCACTTTTTCAAAAAGCGCGCCTTGCAAGGCCCACCGGAGCAGCATCCCTCTTTTCCCGTTCCAAACCCCTTTCTCCCCCTTCCCTTCCACGATCGGCATCCTCCTCCAGATTGTCTTTCACCAATCCATACCGTCCCTCCTGACATGAACATCTCCCCTCTCCTCCCTATCACACCCTGTATCACATGTCCACCTCCCCCTTCCCAGCCGCTTCTTCTCCATAAACTTCTGTATCAAATGCTGACCTGATTTCTTTCAAACGATGTAGCTGAGAACCAGTGGCTGCACCTGGAGCTCATTGCCAAGCTGAAGAAGGACTGCAAGGAGATCTTCCCCGTGGCCGAGTACGCTTACACCACCATCCCTACCTACCCATCTGGGCAGATCGGCTTCATGGTGTGCTCCAAGGATGCCAGCCGCAACGTCAAGGTGCCGGTCCGGTCGTGGACCAAGGAGGAGGAGGAGAAGCTGTGCAGGTACTACAACGCGGACATCCACAAGGCGTCCTTTGTCCTGCCCACGTTTGCCGCCAAGGCCCTGCAATGAAGCTCGGGAGGGGAGGGTATCATTCTATGAGACAGCTTTGATGTGATCTGGATCAGTTGTAAGCGTCATAGGTGATGAGATCAGATAGGAAAGGAGGGAAAAATAGGACACCAAGGATTGAAGGTATTACTACCTCCTGGTAGCTCATGCTGGAGCTTCCCCTCTCTGTGCCTGTCCTTTTTTTTCTTTCTTCCCTGTCTTCTCTTTCTTTCTTTGATTCTTTCTTCGGTATGCCCCCTCCTCTCTAATCTTCGCGATTGTCTAAACGGTGATGAAAGCATGCATGTCAGCCCGAACAGGCAAGGACTGCGTCCACTCAAACTATCCAAGCCACAATAATCAGCGGGAAATCCCACAGCACCATCCGCTGCACTGCAACTTCAATGGCCACGAGGAGGCGCACATGAAGGGTGAGAAGAGATTGGGTAGCACGCGCGCTGCATGCAACTTACCCAAGACGGCCATGCGATCGACAACATAGCCTAGATAGTCACATCAGGTTGGTCTTGCACCTTGCTACACCCCCCGCCTGGCGCAAACAAATAATGCAACATACTCATGTGGCTCTGCGGCGGCGGCGGCGGCGGGGTGGGTGGTGGCAACCCAAGAGACATATAAACAAAAATAGCATCGACTCAACCACTTCAGGGAAGCAAAATGCTACTACATTCAGTACAGTACCTCTTTTTCTTTTTTCCGTTCTTCCTAGCCTTTTCCCCCCCCTCCCTTTCAACACCAAAGTATGTTCATCCTCTTTTCTTTCCCCTCTTGAGATACACCCCCCGGAAGCCGTTTCTCCGCGCCAGCTAGCGAGGCTGTGAACCTCCCGTGCGGAGACAGGGTCCGATCATGAGTAACCGGGCCCTCCTTTCCTTCACTCTTAAAGTACTTACAGTGCAATGTCAGCACTTAGCCAGCTCTGGACTTATGCCAGCCCCTTGCACAACGTCTGCTGGCTGGTCATCGCTGACGTGCATACGCAGGAGCAAAGACACGCCGACTCTCACTCTTTCTCACTGTGTCTCTCTTTTTCAGTCACCCCTCTCGTTCTCCGACCACTAAAGCTCCCGCCTCGTTTATCCTTCGTGTGGGGGAGAGGTTGTAGTTTTGAAGGGCGGGGGGCAAGGCGAGGAGGGGTGTTAAACGAAAGCTTTTTTTCTTTCTCTTTTCTTTCTTTTTCCTTCTCCCTTTATTTATTCTTCGTGTTTTTAATTACTCCTTCTTTGACGATTTGATGTACTTGCTTCGGCGAGTTTAGCGCTCAACGCACAGGGCAGCTGAACCCTGGTGCGTCTTTGCGGCCACGAGCTGCCCAGTTGGGTTTGGAAAGGCCCCCGCTTGTTGGTGATCCAAGCGAGAAAGAAAGGAGTGGCTTTTCTTTTCCTTCTTGAGGCTGAATGTGTGTGTGTATGTCAGTGTGTGAGAGAGACAGACCGAGAGACAATGCGTGTGCAGGAGGAAGAGCAGGGGATACAACAAAAGGACAGCTCGGGCGTTGCGAGGTCTTGGAAGCGAGACGATGTCACCTGCCTGATTCCGGCCTGTGACGGGACAGAGAGAGAGGCGCTGGGATGAACGGGATCAACCTGATTACGTGCTTACTTTCTCTCCACCGGTCGTCTGTAAACTGCATGGGATATGTATATCAGTATTTTTCTAGTTTGGCCGCCTACTGGACACGAGTAGTTCGAGCCCCGGAGAAGGGGGGAAGAGGGGGGGGGGGGCAACGAAACAAACGAGTCAGCTACTCGGACGAGAGAAAGACAAGCTTTTTTCTTCTTCTTTTTTTGAACTCTTCTAGAAGAGAAGGGAAAAGAAGAAAACATTCTCCACTCTCAAGCGCGAGCGGCGCGTCAGGCGGAGAAGGACAGTTTAGTCGACAGATCACCAGCATGGCGCGTGTACCGTACAAATTTTCGATTCATGTGCATGCATCATCATCATCACATCATTCTCCTCCACGAATAGATGTTTCCCGGCCTGCAAACTGACACCTGCGAGTACTTGGATCTGGGCACGGCTCGGCCCCCATAGGAAGAATGCAGCGGCGAGTCGTCGGTCAGGCTATCCCCTCCCCTTTCTCCTCACGTGGCATGCATGGCTCTGGCGCACTACGGCAACGTCGGGACGGCGCTGGGATGGACGGGCGGCGGGAGGGGGAGTGGTGCGGATGCGTTGGAGGAGATCCATTGGCCGTGACTTCTTGGCTGTCAGAAGCAAGATTTGGTTTGTAGAATTTGAGGGGGTTGGGGAGAGGGTGTGTTGGACATGCAGTAACTGTACTCGTGCCTCGCAGGTGCGTTGTTGAGGCTGCGAGGAGGGTAGCAGGGCCGCGCAATGAATGATGGGTCTGTGGCCCCCGTTCCCCACCACCTCCTCTTCCATCTTGAATTTGAGTATCATCTGCGCCTCTCTGCGGCGCGTGCAGATGGTTGATTACGGGCGCTGAGTGGACAGTCGTGTTGACGAAGGTGGCGCGAACACGTGCTGTACAGCCTTCTGTCCCTCTTGTTATATTGTGTCCGAATACGGAGGAAGGAGGAGGCAGGGGGGGAACAAAAGCTGTGTGGTGAGATTTTGGATCTTGAGCTCGCAAAAAGTCAGCAGTTGCAGTTGCAGCGCAGCATAGCATCGTGCTGGTTGCATTCCTGTGCAGAGGGTAGTAGACATGACGTGCAACTGCTCACGAAGGATCATGCAGGCGGGAATCCTTCTGGTGAAACGAGCTTTGGACCTTCTTTGGCCCACATCTGCTCTCGTCGACTACTGCAATGTATCCATGCGAAGGGAGGGGGAGAGAGAGAGAGGAGGGGAGAGGAGAGAGCTTTCCTAGCGGGTAGGTGGAGACGAGAGATCAGATCAGAGCTGCATGAGTAGTGTAAGTTTGTTGTTCTTTCCTTCTCTCTGTTTTCCTGCGCATGTCGCGTGCTGGCCATGTGAGGTGCGTGGCAACCTCGGGGAGGGAAACCTTGACGTCTGATTTGTTTGCTGTCGCACTATTGAAAAAGCTGTAGAACGCTGGGGGGGTGGTGGTGTGGACCAAGTCTAATGTGCAACGCATGCGGGATCATGGAATCGCCATGGGACGGATCGCACTCGGGACATTGCCCTCCCCTTCCCCTCCATACTATAGGGGGTTACATCGGTGAGGATGGAGGCATGGAGGCCCCTTGGGCGGCCATAAGGCGTTGGGTGCCTGCTAACAGGGGGGCTATAGTACATGCTATGGTGGTGATAGTGCTATGAGTAATGGTGGCAGTAGCTTCGCCGTAGTGCTAATGAGCTGTTTACTAGTTACTATGTACGTACCGCGTAGCACTGTGGCATAGGGAAGGGGGGAGGGGTCCCTTTCCGGAATTAAGCAGCCGTTTCATGATCATGCTTTGGGCTAATCACCGTTCGGGTCCTCCCTTGTGGGGCCCCTGAATTTGCCAAGTTCCGCCCGCTGGGAACCCACTTGTGGATATCGGTTATTTGTCGAAAGTTGCCTGGACGGGCTTCTCAACGTCTGAAGTACGTTGTTTGATGGGCAAACCAGCGTGCACACCAAGTTTAAAATTCGTAGCAGAGAAGGAACAAAAAGGAAAAGGACGCATGGATAAGTGCCGTTGTCTAAAAAAGAAACACACCATTGACTGTGTGATAGTCATTCATCGGCGGCAATATACGACAGTATCCATTGAGATGGTAGTTTTCGTGGTATTCTGTTCCATGAATAGAAGCAGATCGACCCTGTGGACAACCAATGTGGAAGGAAGAGCGCGAACACGAGCGCGAGAGAGACAAAGGGAGAGAAAAGGGGTGAAAGAATCCATCCTTCTCTTGTAGCCGATCTGTTCTGAAAAAACCTTTTTGTTGAAGATAGGAAGAAGATGGTAAAGCAAAAGAAAGAAGAGCTTCTACTTTTACAACTCTCGGATCATATAGCACGGTGGTAGGACAAGCACATGGCTTTGGGTCCATGTCGGTCAGGGACGTCCCCTACCATTATCCCCCCTTGAACCAGATCCCGGATGACACAGACTCGACAGACTACCTTGTAGCGTTCAGACGATCACAGACGGCCAAGTGATAAGGGGTCATGCTTCGGGAGATCGCTTGTCATGCATGTATGCACGCTAGCTAAGCTGATGGAACTTGAGAGAGGCAGCGATGATCTACGACCGCAGTTGATTCACTTCCAAATTCGGGCCAGACAAAGGTCGTGGTTGTCGTCGTTCTCCTCCCCCTCCCCACTTAGCTAAACAGCACCGGGCCATATCTTCGATTGAAAAGGGCCGAGAGGGTCACCGGTAGTCCTCCTCGTACCATAGCAGACTATCTTCATGGGAGCGGGTGATGATGATGGATCCGACAACGACCCTGTTCCGCAGGAATCCATGGTACAGAGCCCTTTCTCGTCTCCAGATGCAGTTGGGTCAGCTATGCAGGAATATCACCGGTGAGGTCAAATGCTTGTTCCCCGGGGCCCTGTAAGAATGAGAAGAGATGGGGAAAAAAAGATATTTCCGGCAGCAAGATAATGTTAGACACCCGCCGCGGGTGTTTTGAGGGATGCAGACCCCAGGCGGCATCAACATGTTGCAGATTGACGTTGTATCAGGCCCTGCTTTCCCACATGGGGGGAGAATTAGGCACAACAGTAGTGCTGTACATTCTACACACATGTCTGACAGTGCAACCCTGCCTTTTCAGTCTCCCTCCCCTCCCTGTCCTGACCACGTTTTACTCGACTGTGTGCTTTAACGGTGTAAAAAGTGCGGACGTAACAGGACATGACACAAGCCATCGTAGTCTTACCGTCAACGGTCGCTAAGAGAAAAAGAAAGCAAAAACCAGCAATGCAACATATAGCAACACTGTTGATAACTGCAACAACGAGGACAAGGACAAGGACGATGACGACGGCGGAAGCCAACCTCGACAGTACCACAGTATGAGGGCTTTGGGGGCCAAGTACCATAGTACGCGCAAGGTGGCCGCACAACGGGTTAGCACGCCAGTACCGCGTACTATGTACATGAGCTATGGGGCCGGAAACATCAAAAGTACTCCACCAGGACCAACAAGCTGCAGCGGGTTCTGCTTCCTAGAAGTCGCCCTTGCCCCAGAACGGCACAGACGGGCCCACGCACTAAGCATGGTCCGACAAGGGCCCCAGTGGCATTCTGGCAACTCTCAAGGCACTCCGCACAGCGCTCCAGTGCCAGGACCCGGTCAGCATTAGTGCCCCGCCCCGCCTATGTGAGGTGCCCTGTTTGCGCCTCTGGTTGTTGCCCTGCCCTGCAACAACTGGGCGCAGAAGGGTGTGTCTGTGTGTTACTGTGCGGCGCCCTGCTGCCAAGGGCGTGTTCCCACCACCGGGCTGCAATTGAAGCCCCCCCCTGGTCCGGCCTGAATCCCACCTGAAGAATCGCCTCGACTCGACCGGACTGTATCGGGCGGGCTGAGCTCGACTCGACTCAGGGCCAGATCCTCTTGCCTCTGAGGTGCAATCTGCCGGACTTGGATCTTGTCGGCTGCGCAATCTCTGTGGTTCCTCCTCTCTTCCCCTCTCTCCCTCTGTCTCTCCTCTCCCTCTGCTCTCCAAACACTCCCAGAAGGCTTCACATTTTTTTTTTCTTTTCCCTCCTGGGCTTTTGTGCTGATCGTGCACACAGACTTCCGTCTGTTTCTCCGCTTATCCATCCATCCCATCTTGGTAGTTGGCTCGTGTCGCTGCCGTCGCTTCGGCTGCTGCTGCTACTGCCGCTAAGTGAGATCTGGGGATCGGACCAGCGCTGGACCAACTAGAGGCTAGCCTTTACATTTGAAGCCCACTCCCCACTGCCCACTTCTACTTTTCCTCTAATACTTTACCCGTCTCCTGGTTCTCCCTGATAGGGCCTCCTCCTGTCAAGCGTACTTCGCTGCTTTACTATTCCTCCTCCTTCATGAACTGAGCAGTCTTTGCCACCTTTCTTTTAGCTGTACTGGTAATTACATTACAAGCATCCGTCGCTCGGAGAGACTTGTAGCTGAAAGAAAGCCGTCGGACAAGTTCCCCGGCTCACGTCTGAGAGCCAGCGGCCGTGCGCTCTCCCGTCATTTGGGCCGGGACCCGCCTGGACATTTCTTGAGTCCTGGTTCTCCATCCTCCCAAGATTCTCCTCAATTATCCCGACCAAGCCTGCACAAAGGGCTTGTTCAACCCTTCTGCGTCTGTTCGCCTGAACACTGACACGCTTTTTACTTATCCTATCTTGCATCGATACGAAAAAAACCTCCCATTTAGCATCATCGCGACGTGGGTCCCCTCGGAACCGGCGGCGAGTCCTCCACCGTCACGCCATCTCGTCCATACCCACTCGTGCGAAGAAGAGAAGAGTAGGGTCAATCGACCTGAACTGCGGCGCGACGACTACATACTATCGACGATCAAAGAGATTTCAATCTGGCGGCAAGGCAACGACACACCGTTACAATGTGCTTCGGCAGTCGCAAGAAGGAGGAGGCGGACGCGATGCGGTCGAGGGAGCTGGACAAGATAATCAAGGCGGACGAGAAGCGGATGGCAAAAGAGGTCAAGCTGCTTCTGCTCGGTACGATACCCCGCCACTCCTATGACCGGCCACAGCCCCCCCTTCCTCGTGCTCATCATCCCTATTGATCCGACAATGCTGATGAATGGCAATTCTTTGCTGCTACAGGAGCTGGAGAGTCTGGGAAGTCGACCGTTCTGAAGCAGATGAAGCTCATCTACGCTACCGGCTTCAGCAAGACGGAGAAGCTCGAATGGAAGCCTGTCGTCTTTAACAATATCGTACAGTCATTTCGCATGATTTATGATGCCATGAAGGAATTCGATATTCCCTTCGAAAAGCCCCAGAGTGAGGTTAGTCGCCGGATGCGAACCCTTGTACACGAACTCTACTTTTTTCTTTCTTTCTTTTTCTTCTTTTTTGGATGTACCCATGGAACAAGGTGACTGACTGGACAATCACTTTTACAGAAAGACATGGAGCAAGTACTGGTTGACTACGAGTTGAGCCCTAACGACCAATTCCCCGAACAATATCTGCAGCCACTTAAGGATCTGTGGTTGGACGAGGGTGTAAAGAAGGCCATTGCAAAGGGGAACGAATATGCGCTGCACGACAACCTGGATTAGTAAGTAGACGACGATCACGCGGTCGGTGAAATTGAGAGCCCTTGCTGATGTTGATAGCTTCTGCGACGACCTGGACCGCTTCTGGGACAGGACATACATCCCCACAGATCAAGATCTGCTGCGGTCAAGGCTAAGGACAACAGGCATCACCGAGACAATATTCGACCTGAGCCAGCTGACGTATCGCATGTTCGATGTCGGTGGGCAGCGATCAGAGCGCAAGAAGTGGATCCATTGTTTCGAGAATGTCAATTGTCTCTTGTTCCTGGTTGCCATATCTGGCTACGACCAATGTCTGGTCGAAGATAAGGATGGCGTAAGTGATTTCTGCTGTTGGTCAAAACATTTTGTTCTACCGTACTGACCCATCTCGCCAGAACCAAATGAACGAGGCCCTGATGCTCTGGGAGTCGATCGCAAATTCTCACTGGTTCTTGAAATCTGCCCTCATCTTGTTTCTGAACAAGATGGACCTCTTCAAGGAGAAGCTGAAGAAGAGCCCAATCACCCAGCACGGCTTCACGGACTACCACGGCGAGCCCGACGATTGGAAGCAGGCGAGCAAGTACTTTATGGACAAGTTCAGAGCGCTCAACCGGAACCCCGAGAAGGAGATCTATGGTCACTTCACGAATGCGACCGACACGAACCTCCTCAAGATCACCATGGGGTCGGTGCAGGATATGATCATACAGCGGAATCTCAAACAGCTGATCTTATGAGTTTGAGCGCGGTCCGACCAGCTTGGGACCTATAGGGTTGGCGAAGGTCTCTCCTCTCCGCAGAGGGCAACAACTCTCTGCACACCACTGGCCTTGAAAAACCCGAACCATCCCAATCGCGCGGAAAGTTTGTTACCAACCGAGTACGCAGTCGATCAGCGCCGCTTCTGTACCATGCTGACCGTATCAACAACGGTCCGCCCAACATAATCCACCCCCGTTGACGGTCCCGACAAGGCCTATCCGGCGTGATAGGCACTTGCCACCTCTGGCAAAAGACAATGGAAAAATAATCAAGGTGGCCGGGGCCGGGAAGCGCCCCAACGAAGGGCTGTAGTAGTGGCTCCTGAGCTACTTCATGACCCTGCTCGGTCAAAGAACGAGTTAACTCGAAACCGATTTCTGGATGACGTGCAGGCTGCGACTGGCAGCTGAGGGAAGGGAGAATATACTTGGGACGAGCTGGACACGTACGCTGGGATCGCGGCGGAGATTCCCGCAGAAGGAAATGCTTTCGGGATGGTCAGCAGGAAGAGGGGGGGGGGGGGAAACATGCATCTTGGGAGAGCGTTGTGCCATTTGTGGGGAGGAATAGAGATTTGGGGTGTGGCTATTGAACGTTCTTTGAAAAGAGAGGACTCCCAGATTCTCTACATGAGAGGGAGGAGCTGTTCGGTTGGTGGACTATTTTTTCTTGGTGATCCCTGGAAGGACATATCCCATGGAGGTGAATTTGGCAAGACCGAATTGTGGGCGTGATTTGATATTTTGCTGACATGACGGGAGGAGCGGGGGACCGGGCGGGCAACCGATCATCGAGAATCGAAGCCGAACGTGGAGAGCACTCTGTATATAGCTTAATATTTTTTTCAGATACCCGTCATTATGCTGTTCTCTATCTCTCTTGCTCTGTAGCAATTCTTCAATGTATTGGATAAACTCACTCTGGTCAAGTACCATGGGACAAAGCAGAGGTTCTGGGTTAGGTGGAATAAATAAATAAATAAAAAAGGGGGGGGGGGATATGTGAGGATCCTGTGATGTGAATTCGGGACGGGTCGCCTCGTTCCTATAGACAAAGAGGAATCAGGGCGTAGACCTTCTTTTCTTCTTCTTCTTTTTTCCTTGTTCTTTTTCATTCTCGAGAGGATAGATGCCTTTGTGTTTTTTTTTCTTTTCTTTTTCTCTCTGTAAGAATTCATCGAGGCCCAAGGATACTTGCTTAACATAGTGCGTGATTCCCACTGAGGGGAAATTGTTCCGTTGGTGGTGTCTGGGGACGATCTCACGAGGCGATGGTGTGTCAGGCGTATTGGCGGAGGGAGGGGTTTTACTGGTTTACATAAAAGGCACAGGCGGTCTTTGTAAGCTAACGAGGTCTTTTATACTATGGCATTCACAAGAAGACAAGACTTTCATCCATGCATAACGTTGTTTTATGGTTACTCTTGGGGAGGGCCATGGTAGCATGGCCCAGAGGATGAACACTGCTATTTCTTGGCGGTGGTGGGTTCTGGGGGATCGTCTCAAGACCCGCCGCATGTGCTATGATGACTTTTGCTGTGACGTGAGCCTTTCTGGATGATAGAAGGTTGTTATAGCATAGTATGTACCGTAGTGATATAGGCACAGTACACAGTAGGGGGGTTCCTTGACTATGGTCGGTGCGCGCGTGGATCTGCCGTGCGGGCGTGTGCTTTAGGAGGGAGTGCATATAATAATACCAGATGTACCATGAGTTCGTACGGGTGGAATTTGGGGAGACTAGCTGTAGCAAGTAAGTGCCCTGGAATATATCTTGTTGTTGTTGTTGCTGGTCTAGGAAGAAGAGAAGGGGGAGGGGGGTTTGGAATGGATTTCTCTTAACATGAACCAACACGAGGTCTTGTCCAGAACCACGAAATTTAAGCTTCTATAGAAGGCTGCATTAGCAGGGGCTCCCACGCCTGGCTGAAGCCCCAATGAGCGAGTAGGAAAAGCTGGGGGGTGGAGGGGCAGGGGTCTCTACAGGGCCCCACCCAAGGACACGGCACCTGTGCGTGCTGGTCTGGCCTGGTTTCACGGCAACGGTAGCGGTTGATCGACCATTTGGGTGGTTGGTTGGTGGTTGGTATTTTATCAGTGGTGTGGTGTGTTTGTGTGGAAGGAAGCGGTGGAAGGGGAAATTGGCTGATGAGATCACCACCTTCTACTTGTCTCTTTGAATTTAATTGAGGTTTCGTTGATCAGTGACACTGGCGGAACTCTCTGAGGTAGCCTTATAACTCCTCACCTCATTTTATCCACCTGTTCAACAAATCGTGGTGAACAAGTAGAAGATTCAAGAGACTTGGACGGGTTCCAATACTGTATCAATCCTCTTGCGTCTCTTCATTATAAGGGGCCAAACCACTACAACGAAACCTTTCCCTACAGCACCGCAGGAATTATGAGCGACGCCACAACAATTACACTTTGCAGTCCCTAAAAGCGTACATATCCTCAACCCCGTCCGGAGCGCGGAACAAAACAAACCGAAAAATTACCCAGGCCACGAACCATGTCAGACCTGGCGGGCTACCAGCCGGTAGTTCACCGCAACGGCGGGAAGGAGGGCGCCGTCTCCGCCAACGCCGTCAACGCGCCCCGACCAGGGCTATGGACGCGTATCACGAACAAGGCACCGTTCCTGAGGACGAAGAAGGGTATCGCTATTACGATTGCGGTGATCCTTATCATCATCGGAGGTGGGCTGGCGGGCCTTGCGGCGCTGAGGAACAGGGGCGGTGGCAGCAGTAGTGGTGGGAGCGGAGGCGATTCTGGCGGGAATGGGAGCAGTGGGTTGATCACCAGCGACTCTGCCTTCTATGGGCTCTCGCCACCTGTCTATCCTTCGCGTGAGTTATCCATTCCTATGGTGTGGAGGTTTGGATTGATTCGAGAAGGGTGTGCTGACGATGGGGGGGAATCAAACAAATCAGCAAATACTACGGGCTCAGGGACATGGACACAGTCTTTGTCGCGTGCGCAGGCGATGGTGGCGAATATGACACTGGATGAGAAGGTACGAGAAAGAGATCAAGAAGGAGGTTCTGTACAAACTAGCTAACGACGACGACGTATAGATCAGTCTCACGGCTGGTTCTTCCTCCGACACGGGTTGCGTGGGCTTTCTGAACCCGATAGAGCGCCTGTCCTTTCCGGGAATGTGTTTTCAGGATGCTGGCAATGGTGTGAGAGCAACTGACTTTGTCTCGTCGTGGCCTTCTGGTATCCACATGGGAGCGAGGTGAGCCAAGCAGCATGGTCTGACTTGTGCAAGAGACCAGTCTGTGCTAACTTACTCACCCAGCTGGAACCGAAATCTGTCTCTTCAGAGAGCCCTCGGTATGGGGGGCGAGTTCCGAACCAAGGGCATCAATGTCTTCCTCGGCCCTGTGGTGAGTCCCATGGGAAGAACTGTGACCAGCGGTAGAATTTGGGAAGGTAATTAGACCCCGGATAACCTCATGATGGTGGATAATACCTTACTAAGAATGACCGATGACAGGAATTTCACCTGATCCTTACCTCTCTGGTGCTCTCGTGTTCGAGACTGTCTCTGGGGTGCAAGGTGCCGGCGTGATCACCAGCACCAAGGTGAGTTCGAATGGAGATGGTGCCTTTGAAGCCGGTAGATGTTGAATGTGACTAACCACGTATGTAGCATTTTATCGGAAACGAGCAAGAGAGCCACCGGATGCCCAATGGCACGGCTCAATCTGTCTCCTCGAACATCGACGACCAGACCATGCACGAACTCTACCTATGGTAAGTAGAAACTGGACGTGTAATATGTACCATACGAGACCGAATTTGGACTGACCTGGCTGGGTTCAGGCCATTCCAAGACGCTGTCCATGCTGGCAGTGCCAACATCATGTGCTCTTATCAACGCATCAACAACAGCTACGGTTGTGCAAATAGTGCCACGTTGAACGGCCTCTTGAAGACAGAGCTCGGTTTCCAAGGCTTTGTCGTGTCAGATTGGGGCGCACAGTATGCTGGTGTTGCAACAGCTCAGGCAGGACTCGATGTGGCAATGCCAAATGCGGGTTCGCACTGGGGGTCGCAGCTCTCCCAAGCTGTGTCCAACGGCTCTGTATCGGAAGCAAGGGTCGATGACATGGTCACGAGGTGAGAGAAGAAAGAAGAACAAGCTTGTTTTATTGTTTGTGGAACCATTGCTCATATTAATCACAGACTCCTCGCTGCTTGGTATCAGCTGGGACAGGACCAAGGCTATCCTTCTCCTGGCGTTGGTCTACCGCAGAGCCTTACGGATCCCCACACAATTGTTGATGCGCGCAATGCCTCTTTTAAGCAGACTCTGCTTGATGGCGCCATCGAGGGCCACGTGCTGGTGAAGAACACCAACAACGCGCTGCCCCTGAGCAAACCAAGAATGCTGTCAATTTACGGATACTCGGCCACGCAGCCAGGACAATACAACGCCGAACCGGCTGGCGGAAGCGTCTGGACGTATGGTGCGGAAGCTGCAAGCCCTCTGGCCGTCATTGAGGGCTTTGTAGGAAATCTGACCTATCCATATTCACAGATCGCCACGAACGGGACCCTTTTCTGTGGTGGTGGTTCGGGTGCAAACTCGGCTGCCCTGGGCAGCTCGCCCATGGACGCACTGATTCAGCAGGCATATAAAGACGACACAGCCATGTTCTGGGACTTTGAATCCGCCACACCCAATGTCGACGGGGCCTCAGACGCCTGCCTGGTGTTTGGCAACGCCTGGGCAAGCGAAGGGTCTGACCGACCTGGCGTGCACGATGACTACACCGACGGCCTGATCAAGTACGTGGCCTCTCGGTGCAATAACACGATCGTGGTCTTCCACAATGCAGGCGTACGTCTGGTGGACCAATTCGTCGACAACGACAATGTGACGGCGCTCATCTTTGCACACCTCCCAGGCCAAGAATCAGGGCGTGCCTTGGTCTCGCTGCTGTACGGCGCGTCGAACAACTGGGGCAAGCTTCCCTACACCGTGGCCCACAATGAGTCTGACTATGGGGACCTTTTGCGGCCGGACCTAGGCTCTGGCGAGTACGAGTTATTTCCCCAGGCCAACTTTACCGAGGGCGTGTTTATTGATTACCGCCGGTTCGATGCGGCGAATACCACACCGCGGTACGAATTTGGGTACGGCATGTCGTATACGACATTTGCGTACTCGGACCTTGCGATCACGCAAAACTCAACGGCCAACACTTCGCAGTATCCCTCGGGTGAGATCCTCCAGGGCGGTCAGGTCGACCTCTGGGACGACCTGGTCTCGGTCACGGCTGCTATCGAGAACACGGGCACCATGAACGGCACCGAGGTTGCGCAGCTCTATGTTGAGACCCCCAACACGGCGCAACCGTCGAGGATGCTGAGAGGCTTTGACAAGCCGTTTCTGAGCGCGGGACAGACGACCACGGTGACATTTTCGCTGACGAGGAGGGACCTGAGCCAGTGGGATACTTCTGCACAGAAGTGGATGCTTCAGCCGGGCACATACACGGTGTTTGTTGGGGCAAGCAGTCGAGACTTGAGGTTGAATGGGACTTTTACCATCTGAGTTGGTGATGATGATAGTGGTGGGCAGGTTCAAGCAAGGGTCTTGGAAGAATGGCCTGGTAATATTCATCGAATGCTTCACCAGCGGACTCATGGACGGCGTATGGCGTTGAGGAAGGTCTTATTTTGAGGATCACGACGGAATCGGTATGGAAATGATGCTTGGCAAATGGGACAGGAGAAGGAATACTTTTATGGTGCTGAGGAACTGTCCAGGGGAGTGATTCTTGTCTATAGTCTCGGGCCGTCGAAATCAGATATTTATCATATTGCAATGTGCATTAATTATGCCGTTATAATCAATCCTTCGCCTACTTGTTCGCAATGGATAGCGGTGGAAACTTTTAGCGGTGCAGGCCCCCCCCCCCTCCCCCTAGCCAATGACACGTCAGGAGTCATCCCGAGTGTGCAGTGCCTTTGCTTTGAAGAGCAATCTCCCGCCTGTCATCCAGCCTATGACGGAACGTCCTCTAACTCGAATGAGCCTGGCACTGCAGGAGATTCGCGGTCGCGTCTCCATTTACCTTTTTGCTTGCATTGCATGTGCATTTTGGTTCATCGGCATCTTGTGATTTCTGCAGGCCCGAAAAAAAAGAGGGAAGGAAAAAGTAACAAGGGGAAGAAGAAGAGGCTCCATCGTCACCTTTTCACCCGTCTTCAGTAATCTAGCAAAGTCATTCCCTCAACCCTCCCCCTCTTCTTTTGTTGACACGGGACCAACGCCGCCATTTCTCGTCTGGCTCCCGTTCCCCAAGTCGACCAGACAACCCAAGACAAACCCTTTCTTTCTCTTCACTAGAGCCGAACGGGCTACGGTTTTCTACCCTAGACCTACTACTACTTACTACAAGAGTCAAGAGACCCCTCGTGACGTCTCCTATCATTCCGCAGGACTGCGAGACAAGAACCACCCCGCAAAGCGCCAAGCTCGCAGTATCGATACAAGCTTATCGTCTTCTTCTGGTCGAGAATCGACGGCTCCATCACTGCTCGCTCTTCCTACTCTTGGCATTCTCTGCGCCTCGCGAGACCCCGTGGCTTTCCCTCCCCATCCGTCGCCCTCCTCCGCCCTCGAGAGACACGACGAGAGCTGCTTTACTATTGCCAAACCGAAATACCACTCGCGCATTGATACCACCTCGTGTCGATCTGGCCCCAAGGCCCCCCCGACGATCCGCAAACGGCTGCCCCGGCGACCAACCCCTCGTCTCCTTCCTCTCTCCTCGCCTTCCACTCGAATTCAGGCCCATGTGGTTTGGAACGTAGGATGAGCCTGGACATTGCCATCAGGAGAAGGGATCACATGTCGGAACCGCAGAGGGACCTTCTCTAAGACTCGAAGTCGGAGGGCCAGCAGGGCGAAAAAAGAAAGAAAAAGAACAAGAAGAAAAGAAAAGAGGCGTGCCGGACCTGCTGCGCCTCTATCGCTTTCCCAACCCTCCTCACCACACTTCCCTCTCCAGCCCAGTCCCGTACGGACGGATCTGGCCACCATCGACTTGAGGTTCTTCGTCCTCTCCCTCCGTCGTACATTCGTACCCTTGCGCGTGCGAGCCCTCGGTCGAGGCTCGCGCGCACCCACAATCAACATTCATCATGGCAGGCGGCGGTGGTAATATCAAGGTGGTGGTGAGGGTGCGGCCCTTCAACGGGAGAGGTGAGTCTTGCCCACGGTCGGGCCATACAACAGCAGTGGCACAAGCAGCAGCCACCTTCTGCGGTGGCGGGTCCCTTACTTGATTTCCTGTTCAAGAGAGAGATTCTTCATAACGAGTCCCTTAAATAACATTCTCCTACTCCTATAGAAATCGACCGAGGCGCAAAATGTATCGTCGAAATGAAGGGCGACCAGACCGTCCTCACACCGCCTCCCGATTCGCCCGCCGCGAAAGGCGGCAAAGACCACGGCCAGAAGGTGTTCGCCTTTGATCGGTCGTACTGGTCTTTCAACAAGGACGACTCAAACTATGCCGGGCAGGAGAACCTCCACGACGATCTGGGCAAGCCATTGCTCACCAACGCCTTTGCGGGTTACAACAACTGTATCTTTGCGTACGGCCAGACCGGTTCGGGGAAATCGTACTCGATGATGGGCTATGGCAAGGAACACGGCATCATCCCTAAGATCTGTCAGGACATGTTCGAGAGGATCAAGGATATACAGGCGGCGGACCCCAACACACGGTGTACGGTCGAGGTGTCGTACCTGGAAATCTACAACGAGAGGGTCAAGGACCTGTTGAACCCAGGCACCAAGGGGAACCTCAAAGTCCGCGAGCACCCGTCGACCGGCCCCTACGTCGAGGATCTCGCCAAGCTCGTGGTCGGCAGCTTCGAGGAGATCGAGAACCTCATGGACGAGGGCAACAAGGCCCGGACGGTCGCCGCCACTAACATGAATGCGACATCCAGCCGAAGTCACGCCGTCTTTACCCTGATGCTTACCCAGAAGAAACTCGACACCGAGACCAAGATGGAGGCGGAAAAAGTGGCCAAGATCAGCCTCGTCGATCTGGCTGGTTCCGAGAGGGCGACGTCCACCGGGGCCACGGGTGCTCGTCTCAAAGAAGGTGCCGAGATCAACAGGTCGCTGTCGACGCTCGGCCGTGTGATTGCTGCCCTGGCCGATCTCTCCACCGGCAAGAAGAAGAAGGGCGCAGCTGCGCAGGTGCCATATCGAGATTCGGTACTCACATGGCTGCTGAAGGACTCGCTTGGCGGCAACAGTATGACTGCCATGATCGCAGCCATCAGTCCTGCTGACATCAACTATGACGAGACTCTCAGCACGCTCCGGTACGCCGACTCGGCCAAGCGCATCAAGAACCACGCCGTTGTCAACGAGGACGCCAACGCCCGCATGATCAGGGAGCTCAAGGAGGAGCTGGCGCTGCTGCGGAGCAAGCTTGGAGGCGGCGCTGCTGGCGCTGGAGGCGTCGGAGGAGGCGCGGTCCCGGCAGATGAGGTGTACGCCGAGGGCACGCCGCTCGAGCAGCAGATGGTGACCATCACCGCGCCCGACGGCTCCAAGAAGAAGGTGTCCAAGGCAGAGATTGCAGAGCAGCTGAGCCAGAGCGAGAAGCTGCTGTCCGACCTCAACCAGACCTGGGAGCAGAAGATGACCAAGACCGAGGAGATCCACAAGGAGCGGGAGGCCGCCCTGGAGGAGCTCGGCATCAGCATCGAGAAGGGCTTCATCGGCCTGAGCACGCCCAAGAAGATGCCCCATCTGGTCAACCTGTCGGACGACCCGCTCCTTGCAGAATGTCTCGTCTACAATCTGAAACCTGGTACCACAACTGTCGGCAACGTGGAGGAGTCGGAGACGAACGCGGACAGCCACCTGGGCATCAAGCTGAAGGGGACACGCATCCTGCCAGAGCACTGCTCCTTTGAGAACAACGCTGCAGACGGCACCGTGACACTGATACCAGCAGAAGGCGCCGCTGTTATGATCAACGGCAAGCGGATTACGGAGCCACAGCAGCTGCATTCGGGCTACCGTGTGATCCTGGGCGACTTCCATATCTTCCGATTCAATCACCCCATGGAGGCCCAGGCCGAGCGGGCAGAGAGGACGGAGACGCAGAGGCATAGTCTGCTACGCCAATCCGTCACGGCCAGCCAGCTGCAGGCCCTCGATCGTGAGAGGACCACATCGCCGACGCCGAGCCCGAGGCTTGCAAGCCACGAGCGGAGCTACAGCAAGGGTGGTGGTGGTGGCTCAGAGGTCGGCAGCGGCAGCGGTGGCGACAGCCGACCAGAGTCGCCAGCACCTCGTGGTCGGGACTCGGACTGGTCCTTTGCGCGCAGGGAAGCTGCAGGCGCTATCCTTGGCTCCGACCAGAACTTCACCAAGTTGACAGACGAGGAGCTCAACGCTCTCTTCGAGGAGGTGCAGCGGGCCCGAGCGGAGCGTGTCGTCGTAGGCAAGGAAGGGGACGAAGACATGGACTCTGTGAACTCGTACCCCGTGCGAGAGAAGTACATGTCGACCGGCACCATCGACAACTTCTCGCTGGACACGGCGCTCACCATCCCCTCGACGCCCAAGCAGGCCGACTCGGATGACAAGATGATGCGTGACGCTCGTGAGGAGATGCAGGCCCAGCTGGACAGGCAGAGGGAGGAGTTCCAGGACCAGCTGAGGACGGCCGGCGCCGCCAACGTGGAGGTCGAGGAGGTCAGAAAAGAGAAGGCGCAGATGGAAGAGACGCTGAAGAAGATGAAGGAGGATATGCAGAAACAGCTCGAGGTCCAGAAGCGCGAGTTCGAGGCCAAGATAGAGAAGCTCGACCCGCTCAAGAGGCCCAAGGCGAACCCGAAGCTGTCCGAGGCGGAGATGGCGCTGGGCAGACGTGTGGTCCAGCACTGGCGCGGCCGGCGGTACGTGCAGATGGCCGAATCGGTCCTGCAGCACGCAGCGACGCTGAAGGAGGCCCAGATCATGAGCCAGGAGCTGGACGAGAGCGTCGTCTTCCAGTTCTGTGTCGTGGACGCGGGCCACACGCTCATCTCCTCGTACGACATGATCCTGACAGGTGGTGAAGGGGACGATTTTGCGCTAGAGCAGGCCATCAAGCCGTGCATCGGCGTTCGGGTGGTGGATTACAAGCACAACGTCGTGCACCTCTGGAGCCTGCACAAGTTGCATGACCGTGTGCGCCAGATGCGCCAGATGCACCAGTACCTGGACCAGCCGGAGTACGCACAACATCTGAGCCTGGACAATCCCTTCCTCGAGACGTGCATGCCCCAGTACACACTCGTTGGCGAGGCAGACGTCCCTCTCAAGGCTGTCTTCGAGAGCCGGGTGCAGGATTTCCACCTCGACGTGCTGTCACCGCACACGTCGCATGCGATTGGCATCATCAGGCTGTCGCTGGAGCCCTCTGCTGCAAGGGCGCCGTCCAACTCGATCAAGTTTAACGTGGTCATGCACGAGATGGTCGGGTTTGCCGAGCGAGAAGGCACAGAGGTGCATGCGCAGCTCTTTATCCCGGGCATCTCGGAAGAGGATGGCATCACCACCACCCAGATGGTCAAAGATTTCGACGAAGAGCCGCTACGGTTCGAGAGCGTGCACTGCATGAACGTGCCCCTCTTTGCACCGTCAGATGTCGTCTTGCGGGTCGCCATCTTCGCAAGGGTGTCGTCCATGCATCTGGATAAGCTCCTCAGCTGGGACGACATGCGAGATGCGGTGCCGACCTCGAGAAGCCAGCCCAAGTCGGCCCGGATCAATGAGTCACACTTCTACACGGAAGAAAAGCACGACCTGCTGTCGCGGGTGCAGATCCTCGAGATGGACGAGAATGGCGAGTATGTACCTGTAGAGGTGGCGCAGACGAGCGAGCTGGACCACGGGACTTTCCAGCTGCACCAGGGCCTCCAGAGACGGATCACCATCAACCTGACGCACAGCTCGGGCGATATGCTGCCATGGGACGATGTTGTGTCGATACGTGTTGGCAAGATCCAGCTGGTCGATGCTGCAGGAAAGAATCCCGACATGGGGTCCATCTCTCCCAACATTGCGCTCAAGCTCGCCTCGGACCCTGTCTTTCGAAACAACGCCAATGGCACCCGCAGCATCACCATCACTGGCCAGTGGGACTCTAGCCTGCACAACTCACTCCTACTCGACCGCACAACAGGAGACAAGTACCGCGTCCAGATGACCATCTCTTGGGAAATCGCGTCCCAGAAGCTGGCTGAGCCTATGCGCTTCTCCATGAACGTCTTTTGCCAGATCCTGTCCCGCTCCTTTGTCCGGCAGACCTCCATGTTCTCGGCGCTCTGGCAGCAGGTCCGCTTCGTCCACTCCAGCACGGCCATCTATACCCTCAAGATGAGGCCCGCGCCCATCAAGCGCGTTGGCGACCTGTGGCGGATGAACAGCCTGCACGACTACGTCAAGGGCGAGGAGAACCTGACCACATGGACCCCGCGTGGTGTGTCTCTGATTAGCGACTACATTGGCTCCCGCAAGAAGCGCAGGCGGATCGCCGAAATTGGGGCGATGCAAAACTTTCTGAAGAAGATCGGGCTGCCCGAGCCACGGGTGCATCTCAACGGAGCCGGTGGACATGGTGACGATGAGGATATCGTGCCTCCTAGGTCACGAGGGGATGGTGATGATGATGATGATGATGATGTCGACTCGATCGACGAGCTGTTGGTGGAGACGCCGGACGTTTCGCAGGTGCTGGACTTTGAGACCGGCGCGGAACCGGCAGTTGGCGATGGTGCTGAGCAGAAGCAGCAGCAGCAGCAGGTCAGCGGAGAGGAGTCTCAAGATGCAAAGGCAAAGGACGACAACGACTCGTCACCACGAGCCGAAGGGGACCAGCTCAATGGTGCACAGCGAGAAGAACAACAGGACGAGGTGACGGAGGAGCCACAGCCATCGGAACCTCGTCCTCCCAAGTCCGAGTTCTCTGAGCATGAAACCTACATCCTGGAGAGGTGCCTGAAACTGTGGAAGAGCTACCCTGACCCCCTCACCCAGATTCTCAGCGAGGACAACACCAAGCCTCCGGCGAGCGGCGACCCCCACACGCCCGCACCGCCTGAGCTCGTGGCGACCATCATCCGCGTGCCCAAGAACCCCACCATGCTCAAGGGCGGGTACCTGCTGGTGCCAAGCAGCGACTCGACACGCTGGATCAAGCGCTTTGTCGAGCTGCGGCGACCGTACCTCCACATACACAACGTCACCGACGGAGAAGAGGTGGCGATCGTCAGCCTGCGCAACTCGCGTGTCGACAGCCAGCCTGGCATCCTCGGCCTGTTGAACGGCAACGACGACGACGACGAAAACGGCAGCCTGGACCTGAACAATGCCCTGGACGCATCGCCCCAGCAGGTACGCTCGCCTGTGCGCAACGAACAGACACACCGCCGGACTGCCTCGGGCCGCATCTCCACCATATGGACGGGCAACGTCGGCCCCACGACACCCAGCAGCAGCAACAACAACAGCAACGGGTCAGCAGCAGCGGGTGGAAACAGCAGCAGCAGCAACAGCAACTCAGCGCACGCCAGGAACAGGAGCGTGACGTCGGGGCTGGCGAAGCTGTCGAGCAGGCTGCAGGCGGCCGTGTTTGCAATCTACGGGACGGACAACACGTGGCTGTTTGCGGCGCGGTCGGAGCGCGACAAGCTGGACTGGATCTTCAAGATCGACCAGAGCTACTTCTCCTCGAGCGCGAGCGCGAGTGCGGATGGTAGTAGGGCGGAGAGCCCGAGTTTGGGCGGTGGTTATTGAAAGAAGTAAAGCAAGACGAGCATCCCTGGCGAACGACAACGACGACGACGACGACGACGACGACGGGGAGGCTTGGAAGCAGGGGAAAAAAAGAAAGAAAGAAAGAAAGTAAAGTCGCAGGCGTGTTAAAGACGCCATGTGACTATGATCGAAGAAGCATGATGATGCGATGAGACGAGACGATGCGGGTCGTTTCTATTTTGGTTTATTGCGTTGAATCACATCCATACAATCTTTGAATTGCTGTGGACAATCGTGGTGGTACCTACCTACATAGTTCTTTTTTCTTCTCCTTTTCTTTTGTCTCTCGTGGGCGGCCTTTTGAATCCTTCACGGTTGCAAACCACAGCAAGAGTGGCTTTTCTTTTCTCTCTTCATTTTTATGTTTATGTTTAATAGACTATACCCATACCCAAAGACATCATACCCCCCATTTACTATATAAGAATGGTCGAGGGAAACGTGAAGAGAACGTGGAAGGAGTGAAAGTTGGCAGAGTGGTAGGAGGGAGAAACACAGAGAGAGGGAGAGAATCAGAGGTTGTTTGGTCTGAAATGGTGGAGAGAGAGTATAGTGTGTGAAGAAGAAGAAGAAGGGGGAGAGTATGAGTTGGTTTACAGGATACCCGGAGTTCAGACAGGCAAGCAGGCTGCTGCTTGCATCTATACAAGACGGCACGAGAAAGAGGGACAGACTTCTAGCTTGGAGAAAGAGCTGGTTAATTTGGTAAAAGATCCATCATAACAAATAGTACTTCACGGCCTCAGTAACCCAACCCTCATGTGGCCCTTCCCACCCCGATTCGCCCGCAGATAATACGGCACAAACACAAGCTCCCTCTCCTCGCCTCTCTCCTCCTCGCTCGGCGCCGACCCCATCACGTCCCACCCCTCCACCCTCCTCGTCCATCCTTTGGCCCTGAGCGCAACATACTCGTCCCCCAAACACTCTTTCTTCCACCCCTCGACCCAAACAGCCGCCTTGTCATCCACCACGATATCCTTGAAGTGGTTCTCCTCCCAGGGATTATCCACGTCCTCGACACAGTAGACCAGCGGGCCCCTCGCCAGCGCCAGGGTGCGCTGGCAGGAGGTGTTGCGCGGGTGGGGTCTGACGAAGCGAGGCTCGAAGCCGCCCAGGAGGAGGGAGAAGGAAGGGTTGGCTCGGAGGTAGGCGGGGGAGAGGACCAGGTAGCCCCTTTCGGAGAGGGTGGCGGGTTCGGCGGGGGAAGGGGACGGGGTGAGGAGGTATCTTCCTTGGGACCAGGAGGGGATGCGCAGGCGGATGGTGATGGGTGGGGGTTCTTGGGCTGGGGGGTGGAGGGTGAACATTATGTTGTTTTCCCAGGGCCAGTTGGTCTTTTGTTCGAGCTGGACTGGGGAGGAAGACGAGGAGGAGGAAGAAGAGGAGGAAGGGATGAACTCTAGTTTTGCAGACGTGTACAAGTGCACGTTGATGAAAACCCCCTTCTTCTCTTCTTCTTCTTCTTCTTCTTCTTCTCCTTCTTCTTCTTCTTCTTCTTCTTCTTCTCCCTCTTCCTCTTCTTCCTCTTCCTCACCAAAATGCCAAAGATACCCGCCCAAGCTCCCAAACAACCGACTCACATTAGGAGGACAACAGCTACACTCGAACCACCCCTCGCGGCGACACAGATGCCCCTCGCAGCTGGCCAGGTAGTTCTCGTACGTGAACCCGCGCCCGTCCAGCGACACGGACCCCAGCACGGTGTTGTACAGACACAGCTCCATGACGTCGGCGATGTGTGCGTCGGGCGACGCCGGGCCGTTCAGGTGCAGCAGGCGCTCGGCGAGCATGATGGCGCCGACGGAGGCGCAGGTCTCGGCGTAGCAGCCGCCCTCGTCTGGGCTCTGCGGGAGGAAGTAGTCGATGCCGAATCCTTCCCACTGGGCGGCTGCGCCGATGCCGCCGGTGGGGTACATCTTGCGCTGGATCATGTTGTTCCAGAGGCGGTGGAGGGCGGATTCCCAGCTGGCTGGGTCGGGGAGGGAGAGGTTGTGAGGAGGGTGCTGCTGCTGCTGTTGCTGCTGCTGCTGGGCCAGGGCCAAGAGGTCTGCAGTGGCTGTGAGGAGGTAGGTTGCCCGGACGGCGTGACCTTCGATGGATTGCTGCTCGGGGATGGGCACGTGGGCTTGGCAGTACCAGTAGTCGCGGGCCATGGGGTACGAGTTGGGTCGTTTGTGGGCCTCTTCGCCTCGCTGGTCTGCCTCCCAGTCGTAATAGTGTTGCTGCTGCTGCTGAGCCTCGTTCTGCTGGCTGCCCGGCTTCCCTCGCTCCGTGAGGAAGAAGCGTGCGAGCTCGTAGGCCTTGACGTCGCCCGTCGTCCTGTACAGGCGCAGCAGGGCGAGTTCCAGCTCTGGATGGCCCGGGTACCCTCTCCTCTGGTCCTGTCCGGGTCCAAAGTGGGCGTGCATGAGGTGGACATATCTCGTCATGACGTTGAGGAACTCGTTGGTCTTGTAGTGGTCATGGTGGGCTATGGCTGCCTCGAGGAGGTGGCCGGCGTTGTACCTTTTTTTTTTTTCGTGAATTAGTAATGTGAGTAATAATAAGTAGAAAGAGAGAGCAAACCAAAGAAACCAACTCACATCTCATGCATATCCCGAAGATTTGTCCACCGCTTCCCAGGCTCCACTACGATGTAATGCAGGTTCAGATACCCATCCTCCTGCTGCGCCGACCGCATCGTCCTCACGAGATACCGCACCGCCTCGTCCAGGTCACGGTCATACTGCTCGCGCAGGAAATAAATGGCCCCCTCCATCCACTTGCCCAGGTCGCTGTCCCAGAACAGGTGTGGCGGGACGGGCCAGAACCTGTGGTCGTCGTAGATGGGTTTCCATTTCAGCTCGAAGCAGTCGTAGCGGCCTGTGGTCTTGAGGAGGTCCAGCTGGGCGAGGAGGGTGGTGCGGAAGATGGTCTGGCGCCTGGTGGCTAGGAGGGAGGAGGAGGCGGTGGAGGTGAAGGTTGTGTGGGTGAATGTGCCCTGTGGATCGAAGCGTATGAGGGATTGGGAGGAGGGGTTTGGTGGTGGTGGTGATGGTGATGGTTGGAGAGTGATGCGCATCTTGGAAGTCTTTTTGAGGGTGTATTTGAGGATGTGATTGTTGTTGGAATAAACTATCAGTCTACAGGGTGAAGACGTATAGGTGCGATACGGCTAGCAACTCATTATTCGATTGTAGATAACGATGAGAGACAGCACGAGAGGATGATTATCCGGGCGGGGTTACATTCCGGGACAGCGGCAGTCATTATCCCCAGTCTTGCTCCGAGGTTGCCACTTGGTATAATTCATCCTCTTCCACAGATGAAGTCTACCACTGATAAAGGATCCAAAGTTGGAGATAATTGGTCAATGATAATTACTATGAGCTGAGAGGTACTGAAAAAAGTTTGCTAATCAACCAATTGATATTCATAAACATATTTTTCTCTTTCCTTTTGGTTTTCTGTTTATGCTGTAATCATAAGAAAATGGCCAGGTATTTTCAAGGGCGAACATGGATATAAACAAAAAGAAAAGGTTGAATTCAAATGGTATCTCTCATTCGCGCCATTCGTTTCGTAACATCATTCACCGCCGTTTCAAAAAAGAGACAACAATTCAAACCAAATCAAGCAATCAAGCAAGCAAATCCAAGCACAACCATCGTAATTACGATGCCCCTCTGGCCCCGCCATCAAGGCGAAACCATACTTTCAGATGCCTTTGCTGGCAAGTACCAGCCTAGCCATCAAAAGACCCCCCACAAGACGGGACCTGTCAAAGAAGAGCAGGTTTTGATCAACAAGGAATTCAACCTCCTCCTCGTCGCTCAGACTCTGGAGCGGCGGTACCACCTCCGGTTCGAAGTGGCCGTCGTGGTCTGGGTGCGCTTGCGAACCCAGTGCAGCCCGAGCAGCGTGCTCACGAGCCAGCAGATGGCGCTCAGAAAGGCAAAAGCCTCGTCCGCCTTCCAGCTGCCGCAGTTGGTGCCGCGGAACCCGATGCCGCTCCAGTCAAAGGTGTAGCCGCAGCTGTCGCCCAGATAGTTGACGAGCAGGCCGAAGGCGACGAACCAGCAGATGGAGAGCACGAGATCCGTGGGCCAGTGGATGAAGCTGCCCGAGAAGGGGAACAGCCAGATGAGGGAGAAGAAGATGGAGAGGCCGGCCACCACCTCGGTGTAGATGAAGCGGCCTAGATCCCACGACGAGGCGCCGCGGGACTGGTGGAGGAAGTGGCCTGTGATGCCGGCCACGATGCCCGAGAAGACGAGCTGGGAGGGGCAATTAGCCTTTTTTTGTTTTCTTGATACTATAAAGAGTTGTACGTAGTGTACATTGGGAGGAGAAAGCTTACCTCCGCTAGGCGGAAGATGATGGAGAGGAGGTCTGTCACGATCATCTTGGAAGTATGCTAACTTTAGGTATGGTTGGTTGTTCTGTTGTTTGATCTTGAGAATATTCTTCAACAAAGGAACGAGTAGTTAACTGTAAACCGAATCGTCGTTGTGGAAGGGTGAGAAATATCCAAAGCCAGAGGAGGAGGGTGTGGCAAACATTTATTTATCATGCAAAAGGTGGCTGGCTGGCTGGCCCTTTCCAGTCACCCAATCAATGAGTCCTCCAGAGTCAATCCGTACCCAAAAACGTTGCGGAAGGGACAAAAATCCTGCTTTTACAACCTCTCAAGGTAGAGAGGCGCACGCACCCGTCAGGCAGCGTCACCAACCCACGCACACGTGAGACACCTTGGCTGTGCTGGCCGGAAATGATCATCACTGTCTTTTTTTCAATTAACGTCCCCTGTCCAGCTCAAGTCCTCCTCCATCTCTTTTTTCCCCCTCGGCACATGACGACAGGTACTGTGACAAACAACCCCGCGAGCTGAAGTCACAGTCACCTATAATATCAATTATCCCCATACAAATGAAGCGCCACCCCAGACCACGTTATGTGTGTGGCAGTGCGTGCCGCGCAGAGAAGAGAAATAAAAAGGAAATAAAGAATACAACAAAAACATGGATGCAGATCAAGGTTTTTGCGCCCTGCCCCCGGTTTGTGCCGTGCCTCCTTGTCACATCCATACGTCATGCATGTAGCATCAACCAGCCCTTGTCTCATTGATGAAATGGATTGGATGGTTTGAGGCCCTATCGTTACTACCTACACATCTGGATCGGCGAGTCTAGACCGGCGAAGAAGGGAGCACAGACATCTGCGATTCTGCGATTCGGAGGCTGGGAAGGGGGGGGGGGTTGTCCCGATGACTGTTCATATGCCGTTCCTGGTTTCTAAATTATTGTTTGGGTCCCCTGCTGCTTAGTACTGCGGATTTCGTTGTGGTGTGAGGTCGTAAGGTTTTTACTGGGCGCGTGGCCTGCCACAAAGGCGGCTGTGGCGTAATCGTGCAGGGCCCCCTGTGCTATGGTACCATGAAAGCAATGCTTGAAACGGCAACTGATGAACCCTCGGGGAAAAGACAAGTCGAGCTCTAGAATTGAGGGAGCTTGGGGTGGAGCTCTTTCAGCTGTCATGCATTTCCAGTATCCCCTCCAAATTCTCAGCCCACGTGAGCTTCTAATTGTGCCCGTAGATTGTCGGCGACATGCTAACGATGAGAAAAGCTTCCTTTTCCCCCCTATCGGTTTCACTTGGGCACATGCGTTTTGAATATTCGATAAAATCGCACTTTCGAGACACTGAGCCTATCTCCAATTCTCTTCTCATTCTTTATTATTATTATCGGACCCATAACTATACTGCTGAAGAAAACTGAAGCATTGATTCATTGAATCACAGGAAAGTAGAGAGTCTTTGATAACTACAACATCCCATAGACCAAAAGCAGAAACTCTTGCTCTGCCCAGAGCAATGCTAGAGGTTTAAGTGGGTGTTATCATCATAGTCCCGTACCCAGAACCCAGCGCCACATACAGTCATTAGAATAATATAGGCTCTCGAGGTATACACTCCCCGACCACACGCTCCTGCTCGAATCCTTATACGATTACACACGGGGCTCATCGTCATATTCCATAGGAAGCATGATTGAGGCGTCAAACGCCTTGATCAAACCAGGCTTGAAGGATTCTTGTAACGAGCCAGTGTCGTGGTGTTGGAAGAGGTGAGCATCTCCATCCAGGCGCAGGTCGTTGTTGAGTCGTACCAGACCATCATCAACGACCTTGACCTCGAAGTTGGGCTCCATGTCCTCGAGGACGTGCTTCTGCGCAAAGAGCCTCCTCGCCCGCTTTGCTGCGGGCTTCTCGAACTGCACAGTGATGTAAAGCCGAGCCTTGCACTCATATGGACCGAGAAAACCTCGATTTTTTCGAGATGACCCGACATAAGGTGTTTTCTTGGTCAGCCCTTTGCGCACCGGCTTGCTCACTGGCTTCCCGAGGGCTTTTCCATACAGAACCCTCAGGTCCATGAACTTGGCGCGCAGGTTCTCGGGGATATCTTTCTCCACAGCCCCAAGACCGTCCAGCTGGAGATCTTGTGATGAGGAAGTAGAAGCCTGTTGTGACGGTCCTGTCTTGCTGTTGGATGGAGAAGGGTCACGTACGCCTGAAGAGCACGTACAGATTGGCGTCACGGTCAACGAGGCGTACCAAGAACTGAAACCGTTACTTTGTGAATGTTGGGCAGCGATTCGCCCAGGCTCAGCTGTGACGACGGGTTGTTGTCTGGAGATGGTAGAAATACATCATCTTCGTCTTCATTGGCCTGGCTGTGTGGTCCCGTCAAGGCCTGCAGCAAGGCCTCCGTAAAACTCGCTGACGGCCGATGGGACTGTTTTCTGCAGTTTGCAGATTCATAATTGTGGCGTATTTGTTGTCTGAAGGCGCTTCTGTAATTCCAAGAACGGTTGTGAAGAAACAACAAGAACAAAAAACATTAATTCTGGTTCTTTTGGGCATCGACCGGCTTTTAGGGTCTGAGTTTTCAACAAATTGTTTTTGGGTAAGGCTTCGTTGACAGCGTATCAGAAACCCTGGTCTGCATTTGCACTGCTCCTATTCTTTCACGACTATTACAGTTGCTACCGCATTGTCAGAACTCCGTTGCATCGGTGAGGGGTAGTGTATCGCCATGATTGTCATGGACGGCATAGGTCGAGGTACAGTATCTGCGGGAATCAGAAGGGAGGAGAGGGAGAGGGGGGAAAGTGTAGGAGAGAAATAAGAAAAGGTGTTGTGAATTTAAACGTATCCATTGATTTGTCAAAATATTTTCTTCTTACTGGGTAGCACAATACCTCATGGTCTCGAAGTAACCAGTCTGGGGGCTATCTCCCTCATAGCCCAAGCACAATAGTCCTGGCCACCATGCGAAAGATGCTACACAGACCGTGCCGACGAGGAGGACCACCATCAGACCTGCAACTCCGGTGGGTGTGTTGTTTGCTGTGGTCCTTGGGATTGCCTCGTTGGTTGCTAGTGTCTTGCAGGCGTGGATAGCGTATCAGGCCTGGTAAACACCCTGTTTCGCCGCCTTGAATCGATGACACCCCAATTCGACCATGACAATGGGGGCGACGTTGCATGAACCGCTGCGAACACGAGAGTAATAGACCAACTGACCTATACCACGCATTATCTTTCTCGTGTCCTGGGCATTCGTGAAATAGTTCATGGCTGCAGGCATAGCGTGACGATACTCATATGTTAAGACACTTTACAACAGACCATTGTTGCCTAATAATTCGACCTACGAAAACCATCAGTATCGGAAAACGTTTCTGGTCCACACTCAATGTGTCTGCTGCGCACGACTTTACTCCCAGGAAAACCGACACAGGCCATCAGAAATCATATGCCTGGCGGCAAAGGAAAAAAAATTAATAGATAAACTCCGCAAGAGCTGCCTGCCCACTTTTCCACGAACCAAATAAAATGTTCTTTCGTATCAATCTGTTCCCGTTCGCCATGAAGAGCCAAAGAACGAGGAGCGAGATAGTCACCTGCGCCTTTACCTCTTCCGTGGCTTCTTCTTACCACCACGCTCCTCTTCGTCAAGCCCGCCCTCACGGTCACGCTTCTTTGCCTTGCGCTCCAGCTCATCCCAGTCATCTCCCTCGTCCTCATCGCTCACGTCCTCGTCGCTGGCCTCTGCAGACGCATTGGAATCGAAGTCCGAATCCTCCTCGCTGGACTCGGAAGCTTCCTCAAGCTCGCTCTCGCTGATCTCGAAGTTGCTTTCCGCCTCCTCCTCCTCGGAACCCCCTTCAGCGTCAGACTCATCCTGCAAGAAGGACCAACCGCCTTCCGCAAAGAACGCGTGAGGATCAGTGGTCACCGTCTTTATGATGGTTGGCCAGTTGAGGTTGAGGGGACCTTCCGAGTAGGAAAGATCAGACGAGTCAAGGAAGTCCTTGACATCCTCCAGCGACTCCACCGGGATCGTGTTGATGTGGTATGGCGGGCGGCTGAAGTCCTTGAACACGAACACGAGATCGAAGTTCTTGAGACCAAATTGGACACGCTCAAGGTGTGCTACTTCGATGTCCTCGAGGGTGATGACCATGAAAGGAGGTTCCGTGAGCTGGATCAGGCACTCCGTAGTAGGCTGTATGTAGACGTTGCTGCGGAATGGAACACCAAAGAATCCGAGGTCTCGGATGGGCATGTCCACCTCGATCTGTTCGTTGCGACCCGCTTCGGCAATCTTTTCCGCGAAGGCCTTGAACAGGCGGTCAAGCTCGCCTCGTCGACGGCGCTCCTCCTGCTCCTGCTCAAACTCGTCCTCATCGCCATAGCGGTACTTCCGCTTTCGGTTGCCAGTCTCGTCGAACTGTATATCGGTGGCCTCCCTGTAGAACTGGACGTCCTTGGTCTTCTTCTTGTTGCCAACGATGATCGGGTCCTTGAGATGAATATGGATGATAACGATAAGTTCATTCTGGCAAGGCTGGAAGAACAGGTGGCGAACGTTGGAGAAGAGAACATCGACTCTCTGGTGCGGGTTGAGCGGTGACTGGTACCGGATACCGTTCTGGTGTATCTCAACCTTGCCCGGAACACGCTTGCCCTCCATCGCTGGCCGCAAGAAGACATTATCCAAAACGGCGGGACGACGATCTTTGAACCTGAGGTTAGCCGTATCCAGCGAAAACGGTATGCGAGAGAGAGACACATCAACTTACTTCGGATCTCGACAAGCTTGTCCTGCTCGACCACATCCTCCATGTCCTTCTTCTCCTGCTCTTTCTTGACAACATCTCGCTTCATGTTGCTGATTTGGTTTGCAATCTCAGTGTATCGGTCCCCATGCAGCGACCGGAATGTGAGACTTCTGACGAAATGAGCAGAAGCATCCTCGAAGGGCTGATCGTCTTTGCGACCGACACCCTGGCCTGGGGACAGGAAGTTGATGCGGAGGTACGACCACTCGCCCTCGTCGCTCTTACTTGCATTCTTGATCGTGTTAATGTGGTATGGGACCGGCCGACCCATGATGGGGAGGATGACGGTGGTGTTCTTGATATCAACGACGATGCCCATGTCGCGGACCTTAGCAGGCAGCTGGTTGTCACGCTTGTACGACTCGAAGCGTTTGAACTTCTTGACCTCGGTGCCGTTCTGGCCGCCCGTGGATTCGGTAAAGCGGGCGAGTCCCTGTTTCTGCTTCTTCTCGGCGAGCTCTTTTTGGTGCGCCTTGCGCTTCTGTTCGGCTTCCTCGCTCTTCTCCTGTTGTCCACGACCAGATCGCAACCGAGAGCTAGTTATGTTCTTAGTAGCAACAGCGCCAACCTTGGAGTCCTTCTTCTCCTTCTTCGGGGTAGGCTGAGCCTCCTCATCATCCTTGAAAAAGAAGGAAGTCTGGTCAGGATCAGTGGCAGCCTCGCCAGTGAAGTTGATTGTGCCCTCGGCGGTGACACGGATGGTGTCGGTAACGATCAGCGAGTACACCTTGCTATTTTTGTCTTGAGGTTGCGGGTTCTCGATGTCGGCAAAGCCCGTGGAGATGCAAAGAGTCATCCCATCCTTGAGCACGCGAGTGTTCTTGGCGTTGAGGACGAGAGTCGGGTCCTTGTTCTCCAGGCCGATGCCGTAGCCAACATTCTTCAGGAAGTGCTTCTCGAACTCTGGCTTCTTGGACTTGACGTAGCTGAGAGCCTTGTGGTAGACATCCTTGGCAACGGCACCGTCCCGAATCTCCTTCAGAACCAGGTTGTGTACAGAGAGCAGAAACTTGTAGTTGGACTCCTGTGTCTTGTTCGGGTCGACCATGTAGGTACGGGCAATGTTGGAGCTGTAGGACTTGTATCGCAACCCCATGCCAGCAACGATGACACCCGGGTGAAGATTCTCCTCGCTCGGCTCAGCTTGCATCTTCAAATCAAACTTGCCGCCGCTGTAGACGGATGGGCCTACGATCCAGTCGAGCTGCTGAGGGTCGAAGTCGTTGGGAAGCTTCTGTCCGCTAGGCAGCTTGACGGTCTTCCAAAATTTCTCGTCATCGATCTTGTTATCGACCTTGTCGGCGAGGACGCGGTGCTTGACCTTCTTCTCCTGGTCAAAGGTGCCAAGGATCTCCTCGAGGAGAAACGAGTGTGTCAAGGCCACGCAGGTCTTGGATGAGGTCCTCATGGCGCGAAGTTCGGCCTCATCTTTGGCGGCGAAGCAGGCAGAGGACAAGGCCAGCGACACGTCGACCTCTTCTGCATCCTTGCACTGCTCGGCGAAGATCTTCTTCCACTCGTCGATGAAGGGGCCGCGAGAGGTATCTTTGGTCAGGACACCAACTTTCTTCTGTTACGCCCAAAGCTGTTAGTTACAACAGGTTAGTACATCGTAGGGCGCATTGGTAATAACTTACGCCCGCGTTCTTGATGATGTCTGCGACCTTGACAAAGAGCTTCTCGTTCTCAGCGGCGTCCTTGCCGCGAACCAAAACCTCCACAGGAAATCGTTCGGACTTGATCTGGTCGAGGTACTTGGCTGTAGAATACAATATTGTCAGTCTTGCGCGGTCGGATCGATGCGGTTGTACAAGCCCTGGGAGATCGCGCACCTTTCTTGGCGGTCGTGAGGATGTAGAGGGTGTCGAGGGTGAATAGCATCATGGTGGTGGGGAACTCGTAGCCTAGCAGCCAGAACTTTTGGGACGATCGCGATGTTAGCTTCTGCGCACGCCCTTCCTTCCACTGGGGACAGGCATTGTAATCAAGGACGCGTTATACGTACGTGCATGGCATTGTTCTTGCTGAAGTTTTGCACCTCCTCGACCTTGCCCATCATAAGGACGATGGACGAGACACCTCCGAAGAGGGCGTCGCCGCCCGACCGCTTGTCAGCCTTCCAGGCATTGATGAGGTGGGAGATGCGCTCCTGGAAGAGCTTGCCATCGATCTTGATTGCGTCTGCCATGACGAACGACTCGTGGATGACGATATCGTGTAACGACAAAACGGCGACAGAGAACCGATGAGCAGCGAAAGGTGCTGCGATGGTGCAGAGGAGAAGACTGCAGCCGAGTCGTGGCTTTTGTTGCCGCTGATGCAAGTGGTGTTGGGAATTGTTAGGAGGGAGGAGTTGGAGAAGGTCGCTAATGCACAATGGCGCCCGCCCTGCTGCTGCTAAAGTGTTAGTGGGTCCCTGGGGGTCGCGACGCGTCCTGGAAACTAGAGCCGTGTCAGGCCAAAAATTGTTGCTACCACTTTCAAAGCTTAGCAAGCTTGGTCCCAGCCAAAAAGTGGTGCCTCAGGCTCAGAACCTATGACGCGTGATCCTCGACTTGGACAGTGTGCCTTGACAGCAATAAGAGAACTGTTCGATGGGTTCTGATAATATTGCTGTGATGGAGAAACAAAAAGTCAAAGAGGTGTTGCTGCTGATTGTTGCAGATGTGAAGAAGAGAAAAAAAGGAACTGATGGCTAGGTCGGTTATTGAGATGTTGGGGGGGGGGGGGTTTCAAACCGCTGTTGCTTCGGTTTTTTGGGGTTCCCGACTGGAAAGAAACTGTAGCAGGCTTCAAAGACAGGGTGAGTGTGTTGCTTATCAACAACAACAGGCAACAATCAGTCAGAAGTTGGAGGTGGAAACTGTTTAGTTTGCACTGATGTGAACGAGCGCTGAGGGGCGGCTGAGCTATATATATGGTGTCTGCTATGTGGCACCTCCAAAGCCCATTACATCCATGCCCCTTCAGAACGTCTGTAGGTTTTCAAGAGAGACACCCCAGTACCAGGCTGCACCTAGCATCGCTCCCATGCTCATGGTGAACGCCATCAGGAAGTTCACATCATTGTTGTCAAGGATGTCCCATCCAGACTCCACCACCCTCGTGGGCCTGTCATCCCCAAAGCTTGACCTGCGGTGCTTGTTCTTTGCATCATATTTGGCCCCAGGCTCGCCCTCAGCCTGGTTTGTCACTGCAGAGCCTGTATCCTCACCAGCCTTCTGTCTCTGCCCGCCAGATGTAGCCGAAACAAGCACTCTTTCCCCACCCTCGCCCTCCACAATCTTGCCCGTTCGCACATCCCGCACGCTCCTCTGGAAGATGCCGCCTAGGAAGGAGTCGAGCACGCTGCCTAGAAATCCCCACACCGTCAGAGCCAGCATGAATGTACGGTGCTGGCCCTGCGTCCAGGGCTCGCCGCCGCTGCCCAGTTTCCCGGCCGTCTGTTGACTACAAAAAGGGATGAAGAGCATCGAAGTGACCACCATGATCATGCTCCCCAAGAATCCCGCGGCAAGACCTGTCAACGTCACACCGCCGTTCGTGCCGGGCGGGACTTTTCGCAGCGAGAGGGAGGTGATCAGCCGAGGCGGGCCCCGGGCGAGAATTCCGAGCTCGGAGCTGAAGGTATCGGCAGCGACGGCAGCATAGTTGGCGATGATGCCCACGACAAGCAGGTCGCCGCCCCAGGAGAAGCATAGAGAAGGAGAGTCCTGGTAGGTTGTGCCGGCCTGCAGGGGAGATTGAGAGGCGGCACGCTGATTTAGTTGGTACGCGTGAATGACGGAGAGGATAGAGGCGACGAGAGAGTTGGCAAAGACTAGATTCAGAAAGGGGGAGAAAGCGGGTTAGCGACAATGCTATTGACAAAGGAACTTGAAGGTGGTGTGGTGTCTTGGTATGTACAAGAGGTATCTACCTTGGACGTGTGTTCGTGGTCCTTCACCACCAGATGCGCCTTTGGAGGCCATCGTCAGCTTGGCCTTGACATCTTCCTTGATGTGCGTCACGCGCGTGCCAGCAAGAAAGAAGACGCAGAGGAGCACGAAGGGGAGGTTCCAGGGGTGGTAGGCGTGGGCTATTCCAGTGAGCGTTGCCGCAAACAGGCCTCCTGGCGTCAACGATTTCCTCGAGTAGGCACGGTAGATCAACAGCCCAAGGGCTGGGACTGCGATGGTAGGCTTCATGGCGGGGAATGTCGGTTGGTTTGAATTATCTGACGTCGGATGATCACCGAAAGAGCGTCCAAACTTCCTTTTTTTCCTCTGGAAAGAGAAAACAAAAAGGTTCGACACGCTGAGATGGAGTATGAGATTGATCCCAGGTGATCAGTTGCCCGGTTTGGGGAGCTGACTGTACGGAGGATAATGGAAGCTCTCACCACCGTCATCAAGCCGTCTTTACACCCGAGGCAAGAAGTAGGTAAAAGACCAAGCGGAGCTCTGAGAGCTGCCAACCGGATCCCTGTCAGCAGGCGGCCCCCAATCCCTGGCCTTATCTTGAACCGGCTGTAGTAGCGCAGCACACATGGTACATACCAAGGTCGCCTAGCAGCTGCTTTGGCCTGCCGAAATGCTGACAACTGCCCATACTTTTGTGAGGACACAGATACCACGGTACATGGTATGAACCCTGTGAAAGGACATTTCGTCGGATGTTTTCGGTCGTATAACTTCTGATTAGACATTTTGACAGCTTTTCTATACGACTTCAGTGCGTCTTCATTAGGCCGCCTATAAACCTTGGTTCATTAACATATTATCAAAACTCACCCTTCTACCATAGTAAAACAACCAGAACTATGTCCTCCGGTTTAGCCATCCAAGAGAGACCTACAGACCTACCAGAGCACTCCGACGGACCCTTTGCCAACCCTTCCAAGGCTCTTGGCCCAAGCAACCTCCCCCCAATGACCAGTCAGAACCCAACCCAGCCTCTAGCCGCCCGGCCAGCATAACCGTAAGCGCCGAGACGGAACATCAAAATCTCACCCCCTGCAGGTATTTTTTCCCAAGTCCCACCAACCCGAACGATACCCATTGGACCGGTTACTCAGCGTTCATGGAGCTGAGCTCAACGCATTGGGCGAAGGTGGGTGGGTGGTGCGCTGGGGATCCCTGGGCATGCCCTGGGGCGGCGGTTCGATGCATGTACAGTGATTGCAGTCTGCAGCTTGCGACGTTTGACAGGGGAACCCGAGGCGCCTTCATGGCCGACAGGGGAGGAGGGGAGGGTGCGCGGCTTGTCTTTTAATCTGTGATCAGGTCCCGACCTCATCATCTATGTATGATCTGTATTGCTGCCGCCCTTTCTCTTTTCCAGGCCTTTGGCTTCTCTCTCTCTGCCTGTCTTTTGTCATACTATCTGTATATTATTTCACACAAGACTCTACGTATAGAGGGACCAAAAAGACATCCTCTTGGAATAGATTGGCAGAACAGGTGTCTGCCAAATTCCAAAAATCTAGCCACCCTTGAACTGCTCAGGGATCCACGGTGGGTGCGGGGCAGCTCATCACCCTCAGCTGCGGCGTAACCAGCCCTTTGAGTGGCGAGAATATCATGACTGACATCTCCTGAAGCCCTCACAACTGGTTTGCAACAAGCCCTTTGGAGGCAGCAGCGAGCACTGACAACACCACCACCATTCCACACCAAACACCATCTCTCATCCATACCATGGCTTCGCAGTACTACCCCCGTGAGTACCTTCACATGAAAGCCTCATCTCAAGATGCACTCACTCATCATATCGTAGCCCCGCCCACCTCGGCGAAGAAGAGCTATCCAGCACCACCAATGTCTGCACCAGCTCACCAGACCTCATTTGGGCCCATAGGAGGCCTACCGACCTCCCCTCCAGCAAACAGGCAGGCCTTTTATCCGCCGCCTCCCAACGGATCACCAGCAGGACAACAACGGTCCTACCCGCCGCCTCCAGCGTCGGCAGGCACACCGCCACTCAGAGTCACCAGCCCGTCTTCCTACCCGCCTCCTCCACAGCAGCAGCAGCAGCAACAACAACAGCAACAGGCCAAGTCACCCCAGTCCGCCCAGTCTGCGCCGCCAAACATGAGCCTCCCGCTGCACATGCGCCACAGCTCGACGGGCTCGTACCATGGCGAGGAAGGACAGCTGCAGCAGCCACCATCGTACGCTGGCCCGCCACAAGGTCAAGAGTATGCCGTGGAGAAACCACCCGTCTCGGAGCGCGACGAGGAGGAGGCGCCTCTCGACACGAGCAACCCGTCTAACCTGATGGGCGGCGCACCACCGGCAGGTCACTTTGTGGGCGCATCGGCCATTTCTGATGACGTCGGCACGTTCAATGGGGGGTCGTACCGCATTAGCCATCGTGATAGCAATACGATTTTGACCATCCAGCTGGCGATGGGGTGCCCGCTCAACGCGAAGCCCGGCACCATGATCGCCATGAGCCCGACCGTTACGCTGAGGGGTGCGTACAAGTTTAGTATGAAGAAGTTGGTGGCCGGTGGTGAGATGGGGCATTCGACCTTCACTGGGCCGGGCGAGCTGCTGCTCGGTCCGCCCTTCATGGGTGATATCACGAGCATACGGCTCAGCGGAGATGAGAGCTGGAGTGTGGGCCACGATGGCTATCTGGCGAGTACCCAAGGTGTTGTGAAGGAATACAAGAGGCAGGGCCTGGGGAAGGCCATGTTTAGCGGGGAGGGCCTGTGGGTATACAAGATTAGTGGGGTTGGGCTGTTGTGGTTGACCAGTTTCGGTGCCATCATCAGGAAAGATGTGAGCTGTTCCCCAAATCCCACTCCCCCCTCGAGCACGGACAATGAGTCTCTTCCTCTATCCCACTCTCTTCCTCTTTTATTCTAACCCTCTGGCAGCTCGTGGAAGGAGAGAAATACATCGTCGATAATGGCCACCTGGTCGCATGGAACACAAAATATGTGATGGAGCGAGTCGCATCTGGCGGAATCATCTCGGGTCTCGCCTCTGCGGAGGGCCTCGTGTGCAAATTCACTGGCCCAGGAACTGTCTTCATTCAGACCAGAAACGCGGTAAGTCTCTCTCTGTGGGCTGGAGTGGGAACATATAGCTTGCGATGGTTTGCTGACTACCGTTGCAGAAAGCTTTCGCCGGGTACATGTCTGGCAATGCTGCCGTGGCGTCTTAGTTCGTCTCTTGTTAAAATTTGCCTCGAAGTAATGGTCCGAGCCAGAAAATCTATATGGGTTCTCTTTTCTTCTCTTCTCTAATCTCTCCTGGGTCGCCTGTGGTGCGAGACAAGGTCGATAGCTTCTTCAGAATAGCTTTTTCTTTTTGAGTAACCATGTATAATTCTCATCGGCGGGCCAAACAACCATGCCTTTATTCAGCGACCAGCATGTCATCATAGCCTTCTATCCTCGTTCATGTGAAAAGGACCAGAGTCTATTTGAGATGCTGCTCCCGTCATGATGTACGTATGTCGGACTAGGATGCAAGTGTGCTCTCTGGGCGCGTCGCAAGTACATTCCGTTTGTATTTTCTTTTTTTCGTCTGGTCAAAATGGCTGGTATGATATGGAGACCTAATATTGTGCCACTCGTGGATCAAAAGATGATCTTGCCTGGCATGTGCTATGTTGATACTCAGTCACCTCAGCGAGCCTGATCTCCCTGGGCAGACCAGTGTCACTTGTTGTTCTCAAGCACATACTGAACACCTTTCTGGATCCTCACAATACCGCTCTCAAGCTCCCCTCATTTGTTTTTTCTTGCTTGCCCTTGTCGGCCCTTCTTGCTGAAATCTATGCTCTTTTTCGTTGATTGCATATCAAGATTGGTTCTTGAGGGAGGATAGGGAGTGATGTGGCAAAGTAGACAATGTCGAGAGGGAATGATGCTCCATGAAATCAGTGGTATTCTTGCTGGTGCAAAAGAAACTAATGTTCTCTTGCCTGTGGTTGTGAAGTTGCCTGAGGGAAGATTGGGCAGGTTGAGGCAGCCTCCAAACTGGAAGCAAAGAGGGACAAGGGCTTGCTGGGAGGCACCTTCCACTTCCAATCTACAAACATGACGCCTTCTCCATTGTACCTCCAAATCAGCTCTCTTTCACCACAACAACTTTGGGTCTTGTGAAACATCACCCACTTCACAAACTTGATTCTCGATTTTGGTTATGCCCACGCAGGTTTAGGTCATCCTTTCTCGTCAGGGTGGTACCACAGTTGACCTCAGCGATTTTTGAGCGGACACTTCACTTTCTCAGGGTATGTCGTCACCTATCTCCAACCTCACTGTCGACTCCCAACAGAAACCTGGATCAGGCCCAGGGGCAACATCGCGTGACCCACTATTGTGCCTGTCAACAATGAATATCTGCTGAGAATCTTCCAGCCTTTCCATCGACACTGATACTCAGTCCCGTTTCACGCTGCTCTCCAATCAAGGCTCAGTAAGTAGTAAACACAGCTGCACCAAAATTTCTTTCCCTTCATCTCTTTCCTCTCTTCACTGCCTCCCTCCCTTTCTATCTCCATCATCTCCTCCATTCCCGTCATTTCTTTCCGTTTCCTTTCCCTTCATCATTACTAGAAGCACCACGGGCAGAATATTTACTGCTGAGCGTTCAGCATCTCTGTCTGCCTGCAGCAGCTTCTCGGCCAGGACAATCAGGACGAGGGGGCTTCCCCTCGCCCCCCCCCCCCCCGAATCGGGCCGTGGCTGACATCTGGAAGGTTCGGGTCCTGTTGGGTGTTTTAAGTACCTGTGCCCGTCTGTCTGCATACACCGGATGACTATCATCAACGAGAAAGTCTCCTAGGCATCCTCAAGACGGCTGACTCGACCGGGTCTCTGCTCAGCACAGCCGCTTCGACTTCACGGGTAAGAACCCTATCACCATGTTCCTTCCGCCAAGGCGCACGCAATGTTGATTGACAGATTTTCCTTTTCGATCTAGCAAAATGACGTTGCGAGGGGATCAGGGCTTCATCGAAGCAGGCCCTGCTTCGAAGCCGAGCCTCACTGTCGACACTCGAATCCCCTCCAAGTCCAGGCTTGCCAATGACTTCACTCAAAGTGCACCTGTGGGCACTCGTCAGGAGAGAGGCATCCAGCCAATGTACCAAGCAGTTGATCGGCACTGCGCAAAGCTCGCCGAGATGATGAATTCACCGACATGGCGCAGTCAGAATCCAGAGCCGTATGTACCTTCAGCCAGCACTTCCAAGAGTCACAATCCTACCCAGAGCCCGCTTGTTATCGACCGTTCGGAGTTTCCGTACAACCGTTACGTCAAGGAGAACCGAAGTCCTGAATCCAGAGCCGCTGTTCAGCGCCGTTCAAGCCCCTACGGTGCCCAGTCACCTGATAGTCAGATTTGCCTCGGTCTTGACAGCGAAACCATCAATGTCATTGAGATTCATCCCTTTCCGCAGACCCCAGAGGCATCAGACAGTACTGTGATCATCTCGGCTTCAGTATCTATGGATCCTTGTCGTCGTATTGAGACTTTGCTGAAGGACTCACAATCTACCTTTGTCAAGAAGCAGCAGCTCGGCGTTCAAAGCAAGTCTGATGAGGATTTGTGCGTTCTTGAAGAAGGCCTGCAGGAGACTTGCCTCAACAATCCTACTGCGATCTCACAAGATTCTCCACCACCAGACGGTGCTTCGGAAGATGCCCGTGCGGTCTCAGAGGGAAAAGGACAAAAGATGGACAACGACTGCGTGGAGCATCCGGAGCAGGGCCAAGCCGTTGATGTGATCAACAAGAAGCCCTCTTCTCCCGGCCGTCACGTTCAGACTAAGCAGGACGAAGATCAGCGCTTCAAAGATTTGCTTGATCGTCTCCACCATCGGCGTGTTGAGGATCCGGCTGAGGCTGCTGCAATGGCCGATCCAGCCATCATCTCTTTGTGCTCCATGAAGTCAGACCGGCAGATTACATTCAAGCGAAGCAAGCACATACAGTCGGACTCTGGATATGCGTCTTTGTCAGCCTCATCTAGACCTCCCACCCGCACGCAGTCCAGGCTCGACAGCCAGGGTACTTCTGATGACATTGAATCAGAGACTGTCTTCAGGCGTGAGAACAGACAGTCCAATGAGTCTGGATCCGAAAGTCCCTCAAAGTATTCAACCCTCAACCCCGCGGCCAGAGAGTTCTCATCAGTTGGAATTAATAGCGGTTCACCAGGCAAAGCAGGCGTTGTCACTCAGGATCCCCTTTATAACAAGCTTTTCCAATCGGCGCAGGGATACCAGAGTACAAAGGGCTGCATCTCGCCGCCTGGATTGGTTCATGCATTTCAGCCTCCTCCTGGAATTTGGTTGCCTCCTCTGGCTGTCCCCAGTCCTATGATGTGCTTCCCACCATCCATACAGCAAACCCCTTGGCGACCGGCTCCAGGAATACTGCCTTATGCTAATAACTTTGCTGGAACACCTCCTCCACCTCTGACAGGATGCAGTTCGAATGGCCTTGGACCTTGCGCTGGCGTGGGCGTTGCTCCGGGATTACCTCAAGGGTTTTCTCAAGAACTGATCCCACCTCCTCCTACGCTCGTTCGTACCACAGGACTTGCTCCTGCGCCGAGCATGGCCCCGACTGATTTCACTGGGCCCTTCCACCAACAACTTCCTAACTTGGTGCCATCGTGCAACAACCCAGCCCATCAAACAGCAGGGGCAGTCAATGCACAGCCAGTTCTGCATGCTGGAACCGCGGGATTCCTGCCCCAAAATCCTATCGACCCGGTGCTGCCTGCCACAGCCGCAATCCCCTCCTCTTCTGGAGCTGCTTTCATCCCCAAGCATGTGCCCAAGCCCAAAGTTCCAAATACTACGGGTCAACAGAACTGGGAGCTCATGCACGAGCTCCGAAGGATGAACGAGCCTGGGTATGCCCAGAAATGCAAAGAGAAACAAAAGAAGCGATTCATGAAACAGCTCGAGAAGAGTGGCGGCCCGGCAGGCGGGAACTAGGAGAAGAGCCAATCTGCGAACAACCAAGCACGCAATCCGCCATCCGCGAATGGAGTTTCAGGAATGACCAGCAGTTTGCAGGAAACGACTGTCAAGGAAGCGCAGTCGCCAGTAAAGACGGCCATTGACCAGCCACTTGGCCCAGCAGAGGCACCGGCTTTTCAATGGCGGTAGCGACGAGGGAGGCATTCACTCCAAGGTCATGTTCAGCTTCCAGAAAAATTCCAGCTCGGAAGTGGACGATCCAGGTCGTTTATGAGGGGTCAACCCCGTTATCATGCTACATTGTTATAATTGGTTCTTGTGTGGTTTTTTCCTCCTTTCTCTCGTCCGTCTCTGCGTCTTGAATAGCGGTGGACGAAGCCGGGATACAATGTTATGAGCATGGCGAAACAAGGTTTTGTAAAGTATCTTCTGGACAAGGCGAAAGAACGAGGAGTAGTTTGACAAATAAAATTGCCTCTGTGCGTTGTTATTGTAGAATTGGTTCTTAGCCTTGAGAAGCTAGGGGCAAAGATGAACCAAATTTCGCAGCAAGCCAGCGATTTGGTCCAATGTCTTGACATGACAAGATTTGCAAGGCAGCCGTTCTGTACCCACGTACCGTGACCAGTTCGGAAGTTACTTCGAGCGGATACTCATAATAGTACTATGACGATCATATATTCATGACCTTGTGACGAAAGTCAATCGCGTTCAAGCCTCTATTCACGCTATCAAGTTATTTGCTGGACCAGCTGCAGAGTTTATGACACTATGAGAGGCCATCTGCTTTAGTTGGACTGTGTGCAATATGACGAATGGGAGGAAATAGACACTCGAAGAGGAAAAAAAGAAGAGAGAAAAAAATGAACAAAAGGGCGGAGAAAACGGTTGGAGATAATAAAAGACAGCCGGATGAATTATCCAGCTCGTTTAGGTGGAAGTCAACAGTGCTACACCATTGACGAGGAGGTCTTTTGTGGTCATCGGATGGTTAAACAGTCCGATGCATATGTGCGCGTAGCATAATCTCTGTTTTTGACATATTTTAACTCCGAATGCCGTTGGTAAAGGCCGGTTCGCCCGCTGACGTGCTTAGGCAGAGGATGATTATACAAGAGCATAAGTCAACAATCCAGTTTGTTGGAATGGGCCTGATGTCTAAATTTCTGCATGTAGTTGGAGTATAAATGCCGTCGGACTTTTCAACGACGAGGTTGGTAGGGAGGCATGGTAGGACAGATCGGGTGGTGACGATAATAAATATGTAGCACAGCGGCTGCTCATTATCATTCTTCAGAAAAGAAAAAAAAATTCTGGACGTTCTTCTTATGAGAACATTGTGTTATGTTATTACTTGACCTCTCTGTACCAATCCCAAACTCTTGATACAATCGTCATTACTCTCACTTCGTCTATCCTCCAACACCAAACAAACACAACGTCCACAATGTCGTCGCCTGGTACCCAAACTGCGCTCCTCTTGACAGAAATCGGCAAGCCCCTCGTCAAGTCCACCATCCCCGTCGAGGAAGTCGAAGAGGGCCGTGTCCTGGTCAAAAATACGGCGACAGGCCTCATCCCAGCAGACTACAAGCTGCGCGACAACGGACTGGGAGGCATGGCCGAGCATCTCCCCATTATCGTCGGCTGCGAGATTGCAGGCCGCGTCGTCACTGACACCGCTGACCTCCCCGCCGGCACCCGCGTGGTCTACCAGCCGCAGTTCAAGCTGAAGCTCTCCGGTGGTCTCCAGGAATACGCCGTCGCCCGCCCGGACCTTGTCTTCCGCATTCCAGACCACATGTTGGACGAGGAGGCCGCCAACTTGGGAACCAACCCCTTCACAGCCGCCGTGGCCTTGTTCGACCCCGTCTTTGGCTTCGGGATCCCCTTGCCCAACAGCCCCGAGGCCAAGACCTACGACTTCGCGTCCACCAAGGTCGTCATCATCGGCGGCACGGCCGTCGCCAGGTTCGCCGTCCAGCAGGCTCACCTCGCGGGCATCGGCACCATCATCGCCATCGCCTCGCCCAAGACCAACGCCGACCTGGCCTCGTACGGCGCCACGCTCGTCATCGACCGCCACCTGGACCCGGACGAGATCGCTGCCCAGGTCCGCGCTGCGGCGGGGGACGACCTGAGGTTTGTCTTTGATACGTATAGCACGGAGGACCCGGCGCTGGCGCGGTCCTTTTTCCACAAGCCTGGTGGGTTCCTGGTCATGGCGTCCTCGCGGGGGCCACGGGACCAGGTGGCGCTGACGGCCAAAGGCATCATCGTCAAGGGATTCCGGGCCTGGCTGGAGGGGTTTCCTGAGCTGAATACAGCTTGGGTGGCGCTGTTTAATGGCTGGTTGGCCGATGGCAAGATTAAGATCCCTCCTTTCCAGGTCGTGCCCTTTGAGGCGGATGCTGTGAATGCGGCGTTGGACAATTTGAAGAAGGCTGAGAGTGGTGTCAAGTATGTTGTCAAGATCGCGTCGTCTTAAAGGGAAAAGCGGCCCTTCTAGTATGATTACCGAGAAAAGAAAGGGGATAGGTACGGAGGATGACTTTAGGAGGGTGGGCATCGCACTTTAAGAAGTGAATAGGATGTAAGCGCGTCGGAGCACCGTCAACGGGCCCCCTTTCTACCTGCTTCTTGTGGTTAGGATATGCAGTACTGGCGCCGACTGTTGATCGCTGAAACATGTTTATCAACATAACTGGCCTACCTTTTTATAATTCCATGAATAGCATTATGACAGGAAATACAACATATGAATAAGCACCAATGTCGATCTCGGCTAGAAAGACCCATCCCTGATCATCAAGGTATGCCTATCAGAAAGCGAAGTTGATTGCAAGATCTTCTTTTCTCTACAGAGGAACAACACCATCAAGCTGTCCTTGGAGTGTCATGGTTTGACGATTCGTGGAGAGCCAGTGGGATTCGTCCAGGAGACATAAATACTTGATCCCTATTTGTAGTCCTTATCAGCGTTTCAATTTTGTTAATGGCTCCGAAATCGAGAGTCTGGATCAAGATGTGACCTGACTAATCTTGCAGAGAGCTTTACATCATGATAAACAAGTGTCAGGCCGTATGCTTTCTAGTCTGGGCCTCAGTCGGGGTTGCATGAGGTTTTGAAAGACAGATAGCAGTCATGACAATACAAGTCCTGTGCGAATATAGAAAGAGACCTGTGAAACGGTTTGCTAATAGTCAAAGTCATGGTGGTAGCTACTACCCAGACCAGACGAAGTGAATGTGCCTCAAACCACCTTGACGAAACAAGAGACTGAAGTAGCTTACTACGAATATCAACATGTTAAGAATAACAGAGAACTTCAGGAGTCAGAACAGGTGCACCGTGTGAGAAAAATGACCAGGAAATAGTCTGTATCTCTTGGAAGGCCGGAGAGAAAGATAACTATTGGGGGGAAGTTCCATTGCTGTTTGTGTACAAGGCATCAGGCTTGTTGTTCAACCTGCCTAACGAGGAGGATTCAGCACCATCTAAAGGCATGAGGTGTTCTGGCAGACTGAAAGATGAAAAGGGCCGTGTTATTAGTTGATTGACGTCCTGTAGCCAGCACCACATTTGTCACGGTAGTAGGCAATATGGCTGTTTAATTATCCAGGTATTCACAGACAGACAAGCACTCAGTAAAGACTCACGTTGGTTCTATCGGTCTCAGATACCAGCATTTACCTCTCTCTTTGCCTTGGAGATCACCCAAGTACTGCCTCTATAATGATCTCCCCCCTCAGCATACTTGGGTAGTTGCTTCAAGCACTCTAATAGAGAAGGACGCATAAGGACAGAAGGCCGTCTTGCAATGCCTGTCGGCACTTGTTGGTAATCAATCTCTAACATCGGCATCCAAGCTCACGACGCTGACAGGAGAACCCTACACGCACCACTTTTCGGGATCGAGAGGATGACACGATCGTATGCATCCCTCGGGCCGCCGTACCTCAGCCAAAGAATAAAGTTATCGGGACGACATAGCCCAGAGTTTCACCCCCTCGGCCTCGGCGAGAGCTTGTATCTTGCGGTAATGCTGTGATGTGCGAATACGGCTCGTCAGCACCGAGAAGACCTGGTATTTCTTCCCATCCGTAAATCATGGTCGTACTGCATCCGGAGGATGACGTGCCTCAAGTGTCACAGGCAGCGGCGAGCTCAAATTCCCCAGCCTCCTTGGCTCAGAAACCGGGAGAAGGAAGCCCTCTGCACCCGCTGTCATACCGAACAAAGGCACAGAGTCCTTGAGTCGAGCAACAGTCTCCTCGTGTAGAAAGACCTGAAAAGAGGCGAGGATCTGTTCGCTTGCTAGGACAACACCGTTGCTGTGCGTGCGTGCGCGTGCGTGTGTGTGCGTGACGTGACTGACATGGCAGGAAAGAGTCCTAGACAGATCCCAAAAAGACCGCCCAGTCGAATAAGTTCGGTGACCAAGCGAGGCATGCACCGTGATTACGGCTAGACTTTTTTTGCCCCAGCCGGTGCTGTGAAACAGAGCTTTGGACCCCTTAGACTAAGCCCACTCGTCACTATCGTGGTAAGACTTTCGACCGAAGCCACCAGCTCATCACTTTCTGGTTCATGCACTGACTGATTGACTGGCTGACTGACTGGGCACGGCCCCCGGTGATCTATGGGTCCAAGTGATATTCCGAAGTTGACCATTACCGAGCTCACGCACTATACAGGGAGACTAGACAGGACGATTAATGCTAGTGTATCCTCCTGCATTAGTAGTTCGTAGCGAGTTTCTGTAAAACCATCCATTCATATAATTACGCACTGGCTGTTGCCATGGTGTCTTTGTGGTGATATCAATCGCCCTCTCAGACCGATTGGTCTGACAAGCGCGAAAACGCCTGGCCCAGAGTTCGCTGTGCAGCTCAGTACCTGTTCAAGATCCAGTAGACAAAAGTTTGAAACATGGTAGCTGGCTATCTACCGTCATGAGAGAAGAATGTCTGTCACGAATTTTGGGGGTGATGCTTGCGGCAATGTGTTGGTGGTGGGACAATCAGGTTCATTGGGCTAGCTGGCAGCTGTATACAATACTTACTGGGAACAAAGCCTACAAATTCAGATCGAATCCTGCGGTATTGCCTCTTGATTGAGGGCACTTTATCTTTGAGTTGCAACTTCACGGTCAGCGCATGGGTGCTGGTGCTGGTGCCAAGTTGGGCTTCAAGCTCAAAATCTTGTTTATCTCGTGTTCTTACTCTTCACTATCTGACCCGAGCAGGTACTTGACCCATTCCTCCCCAGCCGCTACTTGCCTAAAATCCGGACAACGCCCCGATAATGGGAATGTCGGTCATGCTCGTGCTACGTATGTGACCTGAAACAAGCTGAGCGTTCCTCGGGCTGCTAAAAATGGAGCCTGCGAGGTAGTTTTCCGTATGCCGTATCCCTCTGTGCAAGACGATGACGGCAGGCTAGAATTCTTGGTATTTCTCTGAGTCGGCTTTCCTCCCTTCCCTCATCTCTGTCTAGCAACACAAGACTGGACAGAGACCTTTCAACTTCGGAATTGGGGAGGCTGTGGCGAAGACCCTAGAGATTTTACCACATTGTGACCAAGATATGCGCAAGACTGAGACAGGACTAACCATTGTGCCTTTCCACCACACGTGTGAGACACCTCTAGGGCGGTCGGCATTTATCACCTTCCAACCGACTCTCTAGCACAAAACGAGGTCATTAGAGCTGCATTGGAGGTTTTGATTTTCTGTACACGTCACTTACCAATGACACCCCGCCACGGCTGCGGCTCTGATAGCTGAGTGACTCTATAGCAAAGTAGGAAGATATGATATCGAAGATCACATGCTCGACGTTAACAAGACGATCCTTCAAAACACCTCTATGAGGATGTGCTAGATCACGCATGTTGACATGTGTTTACACCCTCAAGGTCAGGGGCTAGCTATGCAAGCTCAGTCCAACTACTCTTCGTGCAGTTAAGCCAGTTTAGTGCAAGGCTCGGCATGAGCAACAACTATGATATTCTACTTTCAGCCCCAGTGGCAAACACTTTCTTGCCATTTTGAAATTAGGGGTATGGTGCGCACAATACTGCACACAAGCACCATAGCAATATGTAGTGGCAGCCGCTAATGAAAGGGGCGTGTGCCCACGACTGAGGCGTGACAATAGTCGGTCCCCGGATCGTCGGGCTGATCCGCAATGGAGTCGGCGCCGGGCATATCGGTACAAGCATTTAAGGCTTGGACTTGTGCCGAGATGTGCAGGAACCCAAAGTCCCCTCATGACCGAGCCAACAGGGGCTGCGTTTGCAGCCATGGGTGACCAGTGCTCAAGGTCCTTCGTACACATTTTCGGCCAAGTCCTGATACACGTCGTTCCCGGCTGGTTCGACACACTTCTCGTACTTTTCGATTACACAAGATGGAAGCTACTAGTTGGCGAACCAATACCTAGTCTGCTTCTAGAATGAATATTTCTGACGCTCGCTGCTGGGCTGTCGGGAATGTGCGTGTCACGGGTCGAACACGGCTCTAGGCTAATGGGGACCCCCTCATATTTCCCTCGTAGTGTCCTGTTGTATTCCGCTACACAAGGCCTCAAATAGTACCTTTTGATGATGCCTCACGGCGATTGATGCGCTTTTCGGTCACCTTTAGCATGCATTGGTACTCTCTCACCCACTTCCATATCTCCAGAACAGACAAGCTGATTTTACCTCAAACAGCCAGGCTAAACAGCACTCACCTTGAATACATTTCGCCACGGGAAAAGGAACCACCCCCCTCCAACTGGGGAAAAGGAAAAAAACCAACCAAAAAGCCTGAGAGAAACCCGCGCCAAAAACCGAGAAAATTGTCAGGGCAAGTTCTGCCAGGGCCCGAGATCATACTACTCTGCGTATCAGTGCAACTATCTTAGATTATGCTGCTTTCTCAGCACCAGAAGATCGACCTCGTATAATATCTCATACTTCTCTGTACACAGCTGTACTCCAAACAGACTACTCCCTCACCATCCAAGAAACCTTGTATACTCACTCATACCAGCCGATCACTTTGTTACGCTCTATCAAAGCGCGTTCTCTGGCCTGTGCACCGGCCAGACTGGTGTCTGATCTCACGACACCGAGCTGGAAACCCAAGGCTCCACTGGTGTAAGCTGCCAGTGTCAATGCTTTTTTTAAGCTGAAGAGTACATGTTGGTGCCTAGTCTCCAAACTAAATTCTGGTCGCTTGGCTTGTGTGCAACGGTCAACGACTTTCAATAGTAAATTAATTCGCTGTTGATGATCAGCTCCCGCGGAATTTCTACATACTGATTGTACGCAGGTCCTCATGGTCATGTTAGCCAGACCTAGAACTCTTGCCGCCCCCAATTTCCTCCGTCCCTCTCACACTATCTTTTCCAGGAAATCCCTGACCACTGACTCTACCTTAAAATCTAGTGCCTTTATTACGAAAAGCAGGCCATCGGTCACAACACACTATTTCCATATGCCCTGGTCCATGTCTTGCTCTGTGAATAGACATGTCAACTGTTACTAGCCTCCCCTGTATATATCGGATGCCCTCTCTTGAGCCCACAAACCTCCTCGTCTCAGCCCGGCTGGGCATCGAAACATGCCACAGGTACTACTATCAGACAGCGTATTCGCTCTTTGACCTGTCGATCACAGATATCGTCTCAAAAACAACAACACACGTCCTTTGGTGTGTGAGGTGTGTGCTTGTATCTGTGAGTCTCGTACCTTGTTCCCGATTGGATATTGTCTCGAGTATTACCTTGCTCTCGACTTTCTTCAAGCCCCTCCCGCAGAGAGACGTCACCATGTCAGCTTGATGGCTCGCCAGCTGAATGCTCTACAGCTTGGTAATTACTTGAGAATTTCCCAAGTTGGCATGGAGGCTGAGGATCTTATCTTTTCTAATGTTCTCACAAATACTTGCTATCCTTTCTCTTGACTTCATTCCCTAGCCTTCCTCCCATATACAAACATACCAATAATCGCAAGCCCTGCTCTCTCTTTCTCTCTTTGCAGTCTTACACTACACTGATCACAACATTCACCACTGTCTTGAGCCGTGACGGCGCGATTCTTTCTCTGTCGTCATCGATATTTAGCAATCCACGCAGCCTTCTATCCTTTTTGACATACACAAAATCTCTCACACATACACACCATACACCTGTCTTACTCTTTGAACAAGTCGTGTTACCATGGTGTTCTGTGCATATTGCGGGAAAAGCTTCACCCGCAAGGAGCATCTCGAAAGACATATACCCAGCCGTGAGTCCATCCCCGCTGGCCGTCTCAGTCAAGAGTCACTGCTTGAGCTCAACCATTGATCGTACTACTACAGACACCAATGTGAAGCCTCATCGCTGCAGCGCTTGTCAGCTCTCCTTTGCTCGAAGGTAACGAGAATATACCAGTAGGGACGTATGATTTGTTGCCTTTCCTCATGCTGACGGGCAACTCCTCTCCAACAGAGACCTCCTCCAAAGACATCACTCGACATACCATGAGGCAAGAGATCCAATGGAACCACTTCCCGGCGGTGTCCCAACAATCGCAGGCAGAACGCCTATAGCATGCCAGAACTGTGCAAGCGCAAAGACAGGATGCGACAAGCGGGTTCCCTGCAGTCGCTGCGCCGAGAAGAATCTGCCATGTGCGGCGCGATTCGCTCGTCGGTCGTCCAAGGCTGCTGCGCGTGCAGCCCAGGCCAGCGCCGCCATCAAAAACGACCAGTCGGCGTCTGGGTTGTCAGTGCCCCAGCCCTCATCGATGCCCGTTGCTCTTATAATGGAGGTCGAGGGGAATGACCTGCTGAGTTCTCGTATTCCTGGGAAAGAACCGCCAGACTCTGAACCGGTGGCGTCTGTTGATCTGACGGTGCAGACAACAACGATAACACCGCAGGAAAAGACAGCCTCGGAACAGGGTCAATTCAGCCCGATGGAGTACCCCTCTCCATTTCAGGCCAAGGTTGACCTGATGAGCGACTTTCTACCGTATGGTAACAACGAATTTGCTGCAGCGGAACCTTGTTACTCGGACTTGCTCATCTGGCCTGAATATTCCATGGACCTTGCATCCTCCGACCTGTATGCAAACGCCATGAGCATGCCATCAGACATGGCCATGCCCACGTTCTCTGACTTCAGCGACATCTGCTCCAGCTCCGAGACGACAACAACAGCAACGTACTCTTCGCGAGGGTCCGTACACACCAGAGGAACCAGCATCGTGTCGATGCCAGAACACGAACCCATCAAAGCGATGGATGACATGAGAAACAGTAACAACAACAACATATGTATCATAACCAAGTCAGCAGTGATCCCCGAGTTCCAAGTCGTCATTGCAGCCGAGAACTCATGGCCTTTGGCAAGATGCAACCCGCCTACATTTTCTGCCAGCTGCCCTCGCACTGCCATTGTGCATCTTGAGGCCTTAGAGCAGAGGTGCAAGCAGGACGAGACCTGGGACTCACTCGAGAGGTACTTGACTCAGTCCCACAGCCGCGAGAAAACTCCACAGTCTCCTTATGTGGTGCTCATCACTTCGCGCACCCGCGACAAGATGACAGCCATCACCCAGAGTTTCCTCCACAAGGCCCTAGGCGTACACCGCTCCTCCGGACCCTGTACCTCTTCTTCCTCCTTTGGACAGCCAGGCTATGCCAGCCCAGGAGGAGGAGTGTCCTCGTCGTCGTCGTCGTCGTCCTCCTCCTTCAACTTCATCATGCTCCCGCCCAACGAGGTGCTGGAACACTTCCTCCACAACTACGCGCGCAGCCTGGCCGAGTACTACCCGATGGCGCATGGGATGCGTGTGGATGTCAACGAGATGCTGCAGAGCCACCACAACCCGGCGTCGACGCTGCTCGTCCTGCTCATGATCGCGCAGGGGGCTGCCAACATGCCGATGGAGGAGGCACGATACCTCTCCGCAGGGCTGACGGAGACAAGCCGGATTTCGCTATTTGATATCATCGAAAAGGAGATTGAGCTGTCGGCTGACTCTGTTGCCCTGCGGTGTGCGCTGCTGTGTACGCGGCTTGGGGCTTGGAGTGGTGATAAGTGGCAGATGGATATTGCCGTGGGCCAGCGAGGCATGTATTTGTCGGTGAGTTGATGCTTTGTGACACAATTATCTTTTTTTGTTCTTTTTCTTGAGCTCAAACGTCTTACTTACTTTTTGTTTCGGAATCGGATAACAGATGCTTAAACATGCTGGAATGCTGGAGCCACAGTCGTCGATGATCCCGACTTTGCACGACTCCACCAGCACAGAACTACAGTGGAAGGCCTGGATGCATCGTGAATCTCAGAATAGGTGTGCCTTTCTATCCTATACTACAAATTTTCCTCAAAAGAGAGAAAGAAGAAACAAGACCTGGGTTGGGAAAACTAACATAATTATGCTCTCGCAGGCTCGTCTACAATTGGGTCATGGCCGACCTAGAATTAAGCCTCTTCCACGACACAAACCCCCTCCTCTCAACCTCCGAGCTCCGTTGCCCCTTGCCAGGGCCCGAGATCCTCTGGCTCGCGCCCAACGCAGAACAATGGCTCGCCGGCATCCAGTCCCTCTACGGCTGCACCACCAACGTCAGCCCGCACCTCCTCACAACCACCCCGTCCTCCCTCCTCACCCCATCCCTATGCGACCTCTTCCAAGCCTTCCTCCACGACAACATCGTCGCCCGCCACCACACCAACCTCAGCCACCAGCAGATGCGCCTCCTCCTCCACCCCTTACAGTCCCTCCTCTGCCACCTCCGGCAGCTCCTCGCCTGCTTCTCCGACATCACCTCCCCCCACCGCGCAGCAGCCGCCGGCCCCCGCGTGCCCACCAAGGCCTCGACCCACCAGCGCCTGGAGGAAGTCCAGGCCCTGCTCCAGAGGTGGTACGACCTCGCAGCCAGCCTGCAACAGGCCGAACCGCACTGCACCGCCTCCAAGTGCAACCTGGTCCTGTACCACCTCCTCTCCCTCAACGCCGTCACCAGCTTTCCCGAGATCGAGGCCCTCGCGCGCAGGGACGGGGTCGAGGCAGGGGGCCCGACGTACTGGGAGCTGGGGCTCCGGCACAAGCGGTGCATCTACCGCCGCGAGGAGGCGATTTACCACTGTGGACAGGTGCTGCGGTGGCTGCGGGGCTTGCGGCCTGGGGAGGAGCAGCCGAGCTGGTGGAGCGCGGCGCTGTACCGCGTCACGCTCGTGCTCTGGGCGGATGGGATGGGGAGGCTGGATCCTAGCTTCAGGACTACAGTGTCCCACCGCCAGGTGAGCGCCAGGACGAGCGACTGTGGGAGCCCTGGGGTGCTGTCCCTTTCTGCTGGGAAGGTTGCTGTGGACAGGCTTAGTCCTGAGGATCCTGCTCTTGTTGGGTATCTGTGGCGTGGAGAGGGTGTGGCGGTTGTTACGGGGCTGGATGGGAGCCTTGTGGGCTTGGATGAGCCTCTTGATGTTTTGCATTTGGGTATGAAGATCATCGAGGGAGGTGTCAGCACGCGGATTGGGGATGGAATCAGGAGGAAGTTGGCTACCCTGGCGAGTAATTGGAGTTTAGACTCTATTAATATTGGTTCTGGGGTGGTCATGTAGCCTATATATTCACATTCATATGTCTTTTTGTTTCTTGTTCACGACATATGAAAGGTGAAAGAATTTGGCGTGTTGGGATAATTAATACCAAGTGACAACGCAGCACAGGGTGTTTTCAAGACGGCATGATACACCTCCATTTTGCTTATAAGCATATCAGCATTCAATAAAGACTTCAAGATTACAGTAGCATCTGGGTATGTAGACTTTATGTATTTTATTGTTTCGTGTTGATAATGTCCTCCTCGTCGTAACGAGTTATTCATCTTGCAGTTGGTTCTAAGTATGTATGTTATGTATCATGTTCAGCGTAATGTAATGACCGACTTCTAGAAAAATTTCAGATTCTCCTCTGATACGTTTTGATCTCGCCTTTGACTAAACGTCCGTCGAAATGGCATGCCACACACACACACACACACACACACACACTATGCACGATACTCAAGTACTTACAGAGAATGAGGGCAACAAAAATCTTCTCCAATCGCCTTGTCCAACTATCGGAACGCTCGGAAGCACGAAGCGTATCGTTTTTTTTTCTTTCCAACTCTCACGACATCTGAGCTCATATTCCCATCTGCTCTTACGTACTCGAACAAGAATAACTGCGAAAACCGAGACGTGACAGCAAAAAAGACATTGTTTGCCTTTTTCTTAGTGGGCCAAAATACGAGGCGTGTGGACGAGATAAACTTCCCTTGTTGGGGCGCGGTTTGAATGGTTTGTGCAAGGGTTCCTAGTCGTTTTGTAAGTAGCAGCAAATCAACAGCGCCATTACGGTTGGTGTTTTTCCCGATACGGTATGTGGGCCATGCAGGGGTCCATATCCTTGAATTAAGTCCGTGGTAGGTGAATGAACCATTTGCCAGTTCTTGACAAACCATGAACTGAGATGCTCTTCTGAGAACATCCACAAACCAACACAAGGCAGTACACGTATCAAAACCAAAACACAGCAGAAATATAAGGCCAAAATGATCCGTAATTCTCTTTTCCAAACGCGATGGAGAAGATGGCCGATTTGCAACTCGCACTGGTTCGGAGAGGTGGTTAGTTACTACGTGGACACGCACAACATACAATGGATCCAACATGGGGTCGTAAAAAGGTCACTAGCATCGAGTCTTGTTGTCGTCTCAGGACTTGAGAGACAACATTTAGCAGTAGTTGGGGGGGGGGGGGGGAGAGATTAAGACAATGGCAGTGCGACGTTTCTTTTATGACCATGGACGCCAATGAGGGGGGCAGGACTCTTTGCTGGGATAGCTTTCAGCAGCCGCTAACCCGTGTTGCGTTGAGCCAGGTAGTACGGTCCAAATAGTCTCGAGAACATCGGGTCTTACTGTATGACAGTCAAGATTAGAATAAATGAAATGTCTCGGTCACATTGGCCATCCGTCTTCGCTGCTTGGTGACGTGAAGAGCTTGCGAACTCACCATTGCTTGTTGTTGAGAGGTGTTTCTTCTGTCACCGCTGCAGGAGGCGAGTCTCCTAGACTACCTCCTTATATAGAGCAAGATGAATACAGCTTCCAAGACTGCCAGATAAGTTTCTGCTCCGTGGGCATTACCACTACTTACTGGTCCTGGGACTGCACAATTCAATCCCCCTTCAGTTCTCACGTTCTCTGCTGCCTTCATTCTCATCGCGTAGCACCTAAGTAGTGACATAAATAATTCCTGTGATTTACAGTTACTGACAGAAGAGAATCAATTCATTCTGAAACCCGAGAAATCCAACAGAAATTCATGAGGCCACGCGCTGAGTGTTACGGAGATTCTGCTTGGAGACGGCCAGTGCATCACCTAAGCACAGACTCCCAGTAGTGTATATCTGCGAATACGAGGTAGAATAGTGTTATCATTCAGTTCTACTGTCGACACATATTCAGTCAAAGCATAAGCTGTGGGTCGGTCCGGAGTTCCGGTGGGGGGGAGACTCCTCGTATCGCTCGCACAGAAATTCCCGCTTCGTCTTTTCATGGGATGGTCAAAATTGTTGAATCAATATGCAACCTGCATGGAAATCGGTAAGATACGGATTTCTGTCAATATAATGAATGAAATACTTGGTCATTTGAGTTTTCTGGTCTGTTTGATATCATAAACTGGCGACCAGGCTGGCGGATTAGAGCACGTCAGTAATTAGGTAGACCTGAGACCAAATCTTGACCACCAAGTTCCGGCCGGTTACCGACCCGCCGTTCTTCAAATGCAGGCGACTCCGAGGCCCATGGACCCGGCCGACCGCTGCCCCAACTACGGAGCTCCCGAGAGTCCGAAGGAGTTGGGGGTGTGTTTGAGAGTGTGAAGATTGTCCGGGGCCGTTCTTTTGATGAACCAGAATCTTTAAAAGCAAATATCAACATATTTTGAATAAAAAATCTCACTTGCCAGATATTATCAACTTGTATCTCTTCACTGACAATTTCCATTGTCTTCCGCCTTTATACAACCAACCCATCTTATTCCCTCTTACCAGATTTAGAAACAAGCACTTTCCTCTCTTCCTCCTTTTATTTCTTCCAGAATGGCTCCCTCAGCAATGGACACCACGTCAAGCCAGCCACCCATCTCCTCGTACGACCCAGCCCGCCCCCTCGCCGGCAAGGTGGCGCTCATCACCGGCGCGGGAAGAGGAATCGGCAAAGGCATCGCCCTCGAGCTAGGCAAGCGCGGCGCCAACATCGTCGTCAACTACAGCAGCAGCGCCCAGGCCGCCGAGGGTGTCGTCTCGGACCTCGCCAAGCTAGGCGCCAAGGCCGTCGCCATCCAGGCCGACATCAGCAACCCGGACTCCGTCGCACAGCTCTTCGAACGGGCCCTCGCGCACTTTGGCCACCTCGACTTCGTCGTCTCCAACGCCGGCATGGAGGTCTGGTGCCCCGAGGTCGACGTGACCCCGGAGCTGTTCGACCAGGTCTTCAACCTCAACTGCCGCGGCCAGTTCTTTGTCGCCCAGAACGCCCTCCGGCACTGCCGCCGCGGCGGGCGTCTGGTGCTGACCTCGTCCGTCGCTGCCAGCCTCGGCGGGATCCCCAACCACGCCCTGTACGCGGGGTCCAAGGCCGCCGTCGAGGGGTTCACGCGGTCCTTTGCCGTCGACTGCGGGGAGAAGGGCATGACGGTCAATGCCATTGCTCCTGGCGGGGTGCAGACGGATATGTTTGATGCGAATGCTTGGCACTACGTCCCTGGCGGGTACGAGGGCATGCCTATCGAGACGATCCAGAAGGGGCTGGCCGCCATGTGCCCGCTCAAGCGCGTCGGCACGCCGGCGGATATCGGCAAGGCAGTGTTTATGCTCTGCAGCGATGAGGGCGAGTGGATTAATGGTATGTGTTGTCGTAGTCGTCCTTTTATTTTCGTGCCTCTTTTCCTTTTTAAGGTGAATCTGTGCTTAGTAGAGACATGCTGACTATGTTGCGCATCACAGGCCAGGTGATCAAGTTGACCGGCGGTAACGCCGTGTAGGGAATTATGGTGTTCGTGAATAGGTCATTTACTTGTAAAAAAGCGGAACATGTCTATCTCATACGAACTGTATCGTCGCAGTACGGGTAGATACAGGATTCTCAGCTGTGGATGTTACAGACGCGTCTTTGCAAGGGACAATTATCTAGGGAGATGTTCAAATGAACGTCATTCGGATTTGGGTTGATTGAATTACATCCACATAACGTCAGTCTGATCTAATTCGCGTTAAGTTAGTAGATATCCATTGATTTCCGAATTCTCTTCATGACCATTCAGATATTTTCCAAAGTTGCATGGTTTCTCGTACTGATTTCATGCTCCTTGAACCATAAGATTTTCCGAAGACAATGGCGTTGTCTCAGTAGTATCTAAGAAAAGGCCTGGTGACCTCATATTCTCAGATTCCCGCTATTGGTAGCTTCTATGATAGTCACCACGGGGAATATGACACGACATGCAAGCTCATTCCGATAAGTTAATCCACCATGGACACGGCGATACCATCTTTCCTAGTCTCACTCCAAGCTAATTAACAGAAACATTCACAAAAAACGTGTTGGCCTCTCCAGGATGTACAATGCTACATCGCACAGCATGATCACGGGATGGAACGTTGTGCAAAATCATTTGTACAGTAAGAAGGTTTTCGAATGTCTCACTGCCTCGGTGGAATTACTTACCCGGCGTAGATGTGACCGGTTTCCCACGTGGGGACTGTCGACAAAGGAGAGATGGGTGTGAAGACAACCCTCGATCATGGCTGCGAGCTAATTGATTAGTAGATACTGATACATTCAAGTCACTCATGTGGAGTTCATCATGGCCGACCCTGCCTGCAGTTGAGTTTTGCGGGCATAGGAAATTACCGGAGCCCTGGCCATAGAGGATTCGGACCAGCTCTGACATACTTTTCATCGTCCAGGGCCTAAACGGTAAATTGGCCTCTGCATGACAAACGATTGATATCACCGTTTCTCTTGTCAGATGCTCGCAAATGTACCTATCAAATCTTCACAAGCTTGCATCTTCGCACTGGTAGGATCAAGGCCTCAGGAACGCGGAGGTCTTGACCATGGACAAAGTAGGGTGCATGTATACCCAGTGGGTAAGATTTATGCCCCTAGCAGGTAGCACAGTCCAAACCAAGAACAAAGATTCGTTGTCTGGTACCCTTCGTCGGACGAGACTAGGGTTAATAGATTAGAAACCCACGGACGGCGTTGCATTTGGCCCGTTGTCCAAATATAAATCAACACCTTGCTCGCATCCTTCTCCCCTATATTTCCGTATGGTGGTCAGCATGTCGGCAATGAGAAGCGTGATGCAACCCGCAACCCTCCTCCATAGTAGCTCCACTTTGTGAGATACGTATCTTGAGTAGGGGGTTGTGTGTAGCAAGAGTTACCTCAAGAAGACTTCCATCGCGTAGGAAAGAATTGTAGGCAAATACCTGCACCTCTGCAATGCCGTATCCTCATGTGCAAGCCATTTAGATGAGATACACACCAGAGTCTTCCTCTCATCCAACCTAGTTGTCTAACAACATTTTAGTGGTCCGTTGGATGGTTACTTTGCGCACAGCATCGGGCCGAAGTGCGACGTGAGGTTGTGAGAAGCTCAGAATGGCATGTTTACCGGGTGACCGCAGGAGTTCCAGACGTCGCTCGCCGTCTTGTCTATATGCAAGACAAGTATTGAACCTTTAGCTCGAATTTAAGTCATATTGTCGTTACCAGCGTGATCAGGTGTGCAGTCATGTATGTGGCGTGCTATGCGAGCTTACATCGGGTCACAACCATAATGCGGTGTTATTAGTCAGTGAAGGAGCATGCGCCCGGTGTCATCAGACATCCGTGTAGTATATCAGTCCTGGGGACTCGTCTGAGGAGACTAGCCAGGCCCACGAGGCACCAGGAAGGTATCCAGTTAGAATCGCGTATTTCGTGCCATAGTCCGCAGGCTCAAAAAGCCGTTTTTCCTTCTGCTTGAGCTCTGACATCTTTGTAGGTGTCGCGACGGCTAGAAAATGGTCCCTCTTAGGACCACGAGGCAAGGCACTGTCCTTACGTGAGAAGGAATGATCCAAGGTCCTCGAAGATGGTGTTGTCACTTACAGAGCATTACCAAATATCCCATGGCATATCGAGGGCTGCTTGACAAGGAGTCCCTCCTCCCAGACACACTGCTGACCCTTCTCTATGGCCATATCTATCTTTGCACGAAGACCTGGAAAGTGTGGTCTGAGTGCCAACAACGAATGCACAAAACCCGGCGCACCGTGGCAAAACTGGACGAGCAGATGGTCTAGTCTCCCGGCCAAGATAGGCCAGTTCCCACTGGGAACCTGCAGGTCAAGTAGCCCGACCAGCTTCTCCTCTACTCGCCCAGCAAGCGATGGCGTCGTCAGAACGAGCTGTGTGACAATACTGATATCCCCGTGGACAGCCCCCAGATAAGGCTTGCCATGCCACGTCCATTCTGGCCCGTCGCTAAGAATTGCCTCTGACACGGCCTGGATCGACTCCTCGACCAGCTCGGCGCTTCCGGGCACCCAATGCCGGAGCAGCCTCAGCAGGTACAAGGTCCCCGCCCGGCCGTGTAGGATCTCGTTCGGGTACTCCTTCCCCGCCACGATCTCCGGAATGCTGGACGTGAACACCTTGACTTGGTCCAGGTCCTTGCTGACGCAAGCTCGGACGGCCTCGTATGCAAGCTTCTCGCTGCCAATCCCGCAACGGTCCGCAGTAAGTTCCAGTTCGCCTCTTGTGCCCTCTAGGTACCTCTTTGCCCAGGATAAGCAGTCGTTGCCATCGATTTTGAGATCAGGTTGCCGCACTGAAGCTTGCAGGAAGAGATACGCGAGCCCCGTAGGACCTGACCAGAAACCGGAGACCTTGACCCCGAAGTAGTCCTCTCTTGGCGGCAGATCGGTGATGATGTCTTGAAGAGCTTGCTTCAGGAGCTGCTCTGGATCGTCAAGTGCGAACAGTGACGGGAAGTCGTTGGGTATGAATCGTGCCTCCATCTTACCAAGCCGTGAGTCTAGAGGCGATTAAGTTGTCTGTAATGCTATACTTGCCAATCATGCCTTGTGTCCAAAGGAAACGGCAGGTGAGACCCTCACCCCGCACGGATGACGTTGCACTTGCCTTTGTATTGTTCAATACTGGGGTTAGGGTTCCAGACATTGTGATGGCTACTGGGGGTTTCCAATATCGTTTGCCAAAGTCTCTGTATGTATTATATTTTTATAAACTCAAGTAGGAATGTCATTATTATAAAAAAAAAAAAAAAAAAAAAAAAAGACAACTCTGTTCCTCCCTTTGCATGATTATTCCCCTTTCTATATTTTGCGAGTATGGAACCAAATGAATGCATTTGTGTGGAGACAGACCTAGGTTTGCAAGGGCCAAGTAGCTGCTCAGGAAATACTTCAAGCAATAAGAAATCTGAGAATCTGGTAATTTGTATCGAGAACCAGTGAGCGTGGAGATCAGTTTGCTACGACGTCACATTCTCATCTATACATCCATGGATCCAAGAGCCTATCTGATGACAAGCACAAGTAGTCAACTGCATGCCCATGAAGGATAGAAGGGCAAGACTAGTGCCGTGTCTTTTCCAATGAGATTTTCTTCGAGCGTAACTTGTGAGAAGCTTGGCGCGTCATGTATGGTTATGGGCCTGAGAACACAACAACGCATCATTGGCTCATTCAACCTTACCTTGCCGACAAGAATTGCCCAGGCATCTCTGGAAAGGCTCGTATAGGATACCAGTCCAGGAGCTGTCCGCTGTTCCAGGGGAACAAAAGTCCTGTCTTCGGGACCGATGGTTGAACTTAACGCTCCGAGGTTGTGAAGCTGATATCAGCCCTAGGAAAGTGAGAACAGCAGCTAAACGAGATGCTAGAGAAGGACGTGAGGATTTATCTGTGGATTTTATCTGCAGAATCAACTAGCGCTGCAGTAGATCATGCAACAGGGAAAGCACAGATATCTAAACATGTAAATCCTCAAGGTCATGGTGCAGGGAAGGGCGTATCAGGATCTTATAGAAACCAGCGTTGGTTGTAAAGAAACACTAGTCTGCTAATCATCACGAGGAAAACTCATGTTCAAAGATACTTTTGGACGCCGGCAGCGGCAGAGCTGTGTCGTGACTGGACTGTATCTATAAGGAGGATGTGATAGGTGCTGTCCCTCTCTTCAGGCGATGATTAGTACTGCATCTTGCTCATAGTAAGTCACATGTTCATGGCTAATCATACAGTAGCTTGCTGTGCACTCTCTTGGCTTGCGGTCAGTTGTATAAATGCAGATGCTAGGGACAATTTCTAGCTGAGGAGCGCAAGCTCATTCTACTATCAATAAGACCAATTCATGAAGCTGATTTGACGAGGCATGGGCTCTGAATTCCTGGGAATCAAGTACGGTGCTGCCATTGGGTGCATCGGTATGGCCTCTTACGGCCTCGGGTCCTATGAAAGGGCGAGCCGGCACATCTTAAGCCCCACCTTATATTCGTTCGATGCTCAACGTTACGGTAGAGACATACCTGCATGAACTTTACTACGTAGGTACTGCACGTCATTCTATCAATACCCTGCGCTTGCTCCATCTGTTCCCACTCACACCTCCAACCTCCACAGGCTGTTGATCATCTTTAGCTGCAGACCGTTATGCAAGTGGATGGGGTTGGGTAGATATCATCCGAGCCAAGAAAGACAACGACTAGCTAAGAGTCAATAGGAGGAAAGAAGGAGGAGTGGGACATCTCGGAACGCAAGGGCGTTGGCATGTTCTATGATCTCTTACTACCGAGGGCATACCGTCAACCGGCATCAGAACGCCGACAGATAGCAATTAAGGGCTAGGCTGCGCGCATCGTAGATCTGAATGTGCGTGTGCGTGTGCGTTGTCGGGGTGGAGGGCTGTTAACGTACACGGACGAACGCCAAGGAGAAGAGTGTACAATCTCTTACCAAGATATGACGAGCGTGTGAATTGGTCCGTTTAGCCAGGAACAGCTCACCAGCCTGAGCATGGGAGAGCCTTGTCGCTGGACTTCGTATCCCGGAGGTGGCTCGCCCTCAAGTGAATCAATCCCCAGGTCCTCATTCTTCCGTCCAGAGGAGGGCCTCAACGGGCATATTGGATGAAGTTAACAAACGGTTTTCCTCGGTGAATAAGGTGGCGCTCGGTCTGTAGTCCCAGTATTGCTAGGGATAACCCCATAACGAATCTATGCACTATCAGAAGCGCGGAGACATTATGTTGTGAGCTAGCGGGTTGGGGTTGGATTGAACCCGACTTCAGGGTATCGATGTGTTCTCCGAGTCCTTGGAGACCATTATTTAACCTCGAAAGCACAGGGTCGAATACTATGAGCATCTCTTGTCATTCACAGCCTCAACTACCTGCTGTCATCTGCTCCCAGTAGAAGTGAAATCCCACCCATCTGGACATAGACTTTCACCATCAACTTAATCTCCTCTGGCTACCTGTCTTTTCAAACTTTATCCTCCGACAGACTCTCGTATACGGAGGAAGAAACATAAAGCCTATTTTACCACCCAGAGATAAGGTCCACACAAAGACCGAGTCCAGCGATCAACCAATCAGTTCACAGGCATCTCAGCGCGGCCCGAGAAGCTTGGTCTCCCGATTTAGTAATATTTAGCCTCAAAGATATACCTTCAGGCTCAAATCAACCATCTCTTGAACGCTCGGACATCTCCACTTGGTCCAGGGCGCCATGATACAATTCGGAGGCAAACTTCTCCAAAGCGGAACAAAGGGAGAAAGAACAATCGAGTGCCAAGGTAAGTCGGACCCTTACTCCGGATCTTCGGCACCTTGTTGGAAAGCCAATGCGAAAGAACCGAATCATCCGCCTACCGCCGCAGCGGGAATAAAATCGTCTAAAACAAGGCAATCAGTGTATGGGATAATGGCTCGGGCGCTCAAAAGTCCTGCAGTGACGCTGCATCGTGGTCATCCGAAGTGCTGTGATGCCTTTCACAGCAGATAGACACCGCAGAGTGGAGCCCGAGCCTGAATCAAGGTCGCCGACATACACCACGGAAGTGATGATTATCCTAAAATATTATTTGATGTAGTGATACGCAAAAGTACCTCTTCCAACTACGAGCACGGCAATGGAGGCCGATTATATCAAGCTTGTGTTGTGCAATGTGAAGGAAGACGGATAGCTTGGAGGAACCGTCCCCTGTATCGCCACGACATATTCGTGTCTACTTAAGTAGAAGGGAAAAGATAGAGAGAAGAGGAAGGAGAGGAGGAAAAACGGATCTAGACCAGCGAATGCTCTGCAAACTGATGCTCATATCTCTCCTCCCGAGAGTGCGGCCAATTGTTGCGCTCCATTACCTCCTGCAAATACAAGCCCAAGTATCCTTCATGCCTTGTTCTCGTGATGGGCTTCATGTGTCATGTGTATTTCTCGATGTGTGCCGCAGTGTGCCGCATAATTCACACGTGGTCTATATTCCTCATCCTACCCATGAATCCAGCTTTGCCTCCTTGGTCCTGTGCCAATGTAAGTCCCCGTGTGGCAGTATTACACTCGTCCACCATGACTCTCCCCTGCTTGACCCGTGCCCTTGTCTGGTCGATGGGCCAGGCCTTTTGGGCTCATATGATTGTTATCTTTAACGTGAGCTCATCGGCTAGTGTCCCGTGTACTAGCTACGTATATAAGGATGTTATCATCGAACATCGTTCAATCGTAATGATCAACAGAAAGAAATAAACAAGGGAAGAAAGCATCGAAAATCGGACCGGATAGAAAAACCAAGAAAAGAATAGACATTGGGCAGAATAGAGCTGTCGTGACTTGGCAATGAGAGAGAGAGAAAAGGGGGGGGGGGGGAGGAGGGACAAAAGGAAAAAAAAAGGTCTGTGAGAGGAGCGCATGCAAGACTAAGGAAGGGCGAATACTGCAGTGTGCAGCTGTGTTGTGCATCTCGGAAACCCGCTTCACACCACCGTGGGATAGCGTAGGTAGTGACGCATTGGCTCTCAGAAACATCCCACATCTCCTTTCCGATGCGTGACCACCTGCATGGTAGATCCAAGGCTCTGGCCAAGATAACCAATCATGGCCTTGCTGACCTCTGGGTCTTCAGAGAGATCAGAGCACACCTCTCGGAAGCTCGCGTAGACCTCCTCCAGCTTCCTGAGCTCACGCGCCAATATCTCGAGCTCCAGCCATCTGCTGTCTTCGACATTGACAGTGTAGGTACCAAGAGTCACTCCTAGGCCTGGCATGCTACCAGCCCTGGTTATAGTCGTTGGATCTGAGGCTGCTGGGGTGACAGCGCCAACTATGTCTGCTGAGGTTCCTTGGTCGAAGTGCGTGAGAGATGCCTCCTTGTAAAAGACTGTGATGGTGCCGAGGAGTGTTGCCAGCAGCATGGCTGCAGTATGTGTACCAGAACGACTCATGCATCTTGTACAAGCTGCAGATCAGTTAGTCTTTCTAACACGATTGGTATGAGCAGATGGATCGGGGTGGGGAGCTTGACCTAGCATGGCTGCACAACCCTCGACTGCTTTTCGATTTAGCGACAGAACCAGGTCAAACTGAGGAGGCGTGGGAGATGAAGCGTTGTGGAGGGCCTGTAGAGACTGCAAGCAGACTGTGAAGCACGTGCAGGACCCGACAGTCGAGTTGGTCGAAGTCGATTCGGGCCTTGCTGGGAGGGACCTGATATTTGGGGTTGATGTTGGACTGGGAAAGCAAGTATAGTTTATACTAGGGGGTGTCGACACTTGGTTGAAGGATAACATATCCGGGCTACTTGTGTCGTTCCAGCCCATGACGCTGTTGTTCATATGGTAGGACTGAGACCGACTGTGGGCAGCTGGTACTGTGCTCGTTGATGATGATTCGGTGAAGTCAGGAGGGGTGTCGTTCGGCGGGGTCCATGACAGCGTCGAATTGTAAATACCTCCAGAAATTCCGGAGTCCACGAAGGTCGTTGATGGATTGTTGTCGACGCCAATGAAGGTCATCCCTGAGGATATCGACTCGCTTCTGCCCAAAGTTCCGTCAATACTGCTGGGCGGTGTGGTCCAGCCTGGCTCGACTGGATAGGTACTAGCTATACCCGTATCGGCCGTGTACACCATGCCCTCATTCATGATCGGTGAGGGTCCGCTCAGATTGGGGGGCTGGTGACGCTGATTCTTTGCTGCATTCGAGGCCTTGGGCTTTCCTGCTCTAGTAGATGGCGAGTAACGACAATCTATACCGCAGGTGAGGCACCTAGAGCATATTGGCCGTGCCTTGGAGCATTTGACTTTTGCGAGGAAGCACCCATCGCAAGACGCACGCAGTCGGGGCTGGCGTGGCTTGCTGGTAGCGGCCATTGCTTCAGGGCTTAGCGAATAGATAGAGAGAAAGGTGGAAATCTAAATCCCACTTTGTGAGATCAAGAATGATCTTTTGTCCACAGGGAAGAAGAGCATAGATGCAAGAAAAGGATGAAAGATCCGTGATGGCGATCAAGGGCTCTTAAGAGGTGTGGGAGTGTGCCGCTCTTGGAGTTGGTGTGTAGAAACCAAGACATACACCTTTGGGGATCGACATGCGCGGTATCAACTCCGAAGAGCCGGGTCTGAACAAGGGCTCGGGAAGTAAGGTTTTGGTCAGATACGACCGGGAGAGGGTACGGTTGTCCTTAGACCTCGTTGGCCGTCGCTCTACGTGCCAAAGATGGTGCTGACTAGCTGCAGGTGAGGCTGATCTGATGCTTTAATCTGCGACCAGGTCAGGATAGGGACTGGATGCTGGGTATGCTTTTTCAGAAATCGTATCCTGCGTTGGAAAACCTGGAGACCCCGGATGACAGTTGGCGCATTCTGTTGTGGACGATCTGTACGCAGGGATGATGCTGAACGTTCGGCCAGACTCCCGGATTGGCATGAGAAAATCCGAAAGAGGGGCAAATTCAATCAACGACCTATGGTGATTGAATCAAGCAAGAGCAGCATTTGACTGACAGAGACGGATACGATAGCTTTTGGCGATGGCGCGAAGGCGTTGCCCTTGAACTTAGCTCTAACTATTACACAGTGGAGCGTGGGTGAGCCAGGAGCAATAGGCCATCTGCTGTATTCCTTGAAAATCAAGAGAGGGGTGGGATTATTGGAAAGAAGAGATATATCGAATCCATGGGCAATCATCAACTTCGAGATGATGAATTCATCCCAGGGAAGAAACACTGCCGAGGAAAGTGGTGCTGCTGTACTACCTTGTTCGTCAGAGCGTAAAGAACATGTGAGTTTGAGGGAAAGTTGATGTGCAGAAGTCTTTGACATAGGTAGAGTCCCTTTGCGTGTAAGAAAAGAATAAAGGTACGACATGGAAGCACGAATAATCATCGAAACGGGTAATGCAGGGAGGATAACCAAGAGGTGCTATCGCGAAAAGTACCAATCAGGGTTCAACCGTGCCGCCGTACTCTGCAAGGTGCATGGATTTAAATCATGGTTCGCCATCCCGATACTCAGGGATCCGTTGTCGCAACTTTGCGCAACAGTACCGTACCGTACCGCAAGCTAAGAGCAGGCATGTCTGTGCCTCGCGGGCAGAAATGATCGACAGGAAGAGGACCCGGGGTTGAGACTGGGAAGTCCACGGGGATGCGTCCACCAAAATGATATCGTGTGATGGAGGGGAAGAGACAGCCAGGTTGGAAGAACGCAAACTGCTTTCTTGAGGGCTTGTCGATCCTGTTTTCTGCAATTGGCTCATTAATTGAATCGCACGTCGTGGATACTTCCGACACTCTGACTTCCACGACACGATCCACGCGTCTCGATTTGAGAAGCCCATAGCGCATCTACCGTATCGCAATATGAGTCGACTTGGCCCGTTTCCCCCTTTTGGATAACAGCAAATAGTAATGCAGCCACAGTAAGACGACGTGAAGCCGTGGGACGACGAGGAAGAATGATGGCCCTCACTCAGATCACGCCGTCCATGCAAATCTCGACGCCAGACGGTGCATATCCACCTTCACAGGGAACACTGCAGAAAAGTCCCCCGATATAGCCCGCCCATGAGATTGGACCATTGGCTTTGAATATATGTTCAATCCCACTGGGATCATACGGAATTCTGCAGGACTTAAATCATGAGACCAATGACGTACGGTGCAGGATAGTAAACACACAGGCCCCACGCATACTCACGGATAATCAGCGTTCCGAGGCGGAGGCAGCAGAGGCGGCGAAGGCTCTAGGGGTCCTGTCCACCGAGGATGGGCGCTGCCAGGTCATATCTTGTTCGTGTCCAATGTTGAGAGATGCGGATAGCTCTTGAACGATGTTCTCCGTGGCCAATTAACCCTCAGACTCTCACTCTCTAACAGACTAGTAAGTGGTCTACTAACGTGTCAGCACGTATGAATTCGGCCTGTCCGGTCACGAAAGAGAGAGGGGCCCGTGCTCCGATAGGCTTCTGCTAGCCAGGCAGGCCGTAAAAGGGAGGGGTGGGATGCGAATGTTCAAATCTCGTGGGGATTGTGAATATGGGGATCTGAGGTCGAGACCTGGTCATATTTCCCATAGAAAATAGAGAAAATGGTCGGCAACCTTACAAGATCCCGACCTGTCACATCCGTGGAAACATCTGGCCACTTGCCTTGGGCGCCCTCAAGACGTCCCTGTAATCAGGTTCCACTCTTTCAGCAGCGAAGACCTCATCGTCTTCGTGCTACTGTATGATCAAGGTCCTCCAGAGCAGGCTGGCTACAAGAGCCGGGGGAAATGGATGCAGAAAATCGGCGGTTGAGGCCGAATGTCGGCCAGAATGTGGCGACACCTTTCGAATCTTCCTTGGCTGAACATGTAACGTCCCAGCCACTGACCAACCCGAGGCTGCTCGGAGAGTGTCACCTTAGATCTGCCGAAGGGCGCCTCTGTCCTCGAACAGCAGAAACCTGCATCAATGGTTCTGGTCGCAAGAACACTGCGGCTACCTCCCGTAATACTAGCCCACCAATGTGCTTGTCTTTGACATATCGGGCCCACTCAAGGATAGGGAAATGAAGACCAAGACACCGACGCCTCGCGGTGCGGTACAATTAACGCACGGTGGCCAAATGTTGTTCAAAGGGGGCTCGAAGTGGATCTAGGAGCCGGGTTATACGGTCTGAGGGTTGGCGCTCGTATCTCTATGCAGAGAGAGGGGGAGAGATACACATGCCCAGGGAGGTTCGACGCACACGAGCTTCGAAGTGCTTCCGAGGGTGTGGGGACGTGACTCTGTTGCCCAACCTCGGAACGCTCGTTCGTGCCGCGTGGACGAAGCGCATGTTACCAGCGGGGAGGCCGCGATGCCTGCATAGTTAGTGATGAAGAAGTCTCACAATCGAGAGAGGGGCTCGTGTACCTTGACGAGAGTGTAAAGTGCGAATTCATTGGCTATACTTGTTGGCCCATTCCCTAGGAAGGTGTATAGGGTTAGGGCTGTTAAGATCCCTACGCAGTATAGCAACCACCACTAACAAGGGCGCCATCTGGGCGTTCGCCCCTTACAAAAACTTAAATCCGACGACATCGCTACTTCCTTGGGCGATGCAGGCAGCCTCAGGGTCCACTTAGGGAAGGAGCATTTAGTCAACTTGCGCATATGCTTCATTCTCAAGGTGGGAGGAAGGAGCTTTTTCTGTAACCAGCGAATTCACCCCCCACCCCCCGGTCTTTCCTTCCAGATCGCTGTGCTAGGGAACCGTTGCGCAAGACCAGCGGTGTGTCTTGGGGGCGTAGCAAGTCGAGGCTTTCTTCTGTGTGGCACAAACCTATAAACCAACTGCAGGCTTTGTCTCCAAGAGATGCCTAAAATGGGATTCTAAGACATGAGTTTGGCTATACACGTCAGGTGTACATATGATGCCGCTCCCTAATCGAGCATCCCAAGCAGGGAACACGGCAAGTTTCATGGAAAGCTAGAAAATCACGTACCTCCTTCTGGTTGGAGAATCCCTGGACGTGGACTATTGGAAGGAGACAGTAACTATCTTTGGTCATGGAAGTAGTACAACTCGCCAAGTCTTTATCCACAGCTCTTTCACGAACGAAGCTCGACAGCCCAGTCTGCTAATGACTGCTTCCAAGAGGTGCTGAGACTGCACACATGTCCAATCACAACACCGAGCGATCTGAAAGAAGGGGAGCCTCGGCATTAGGTACCTGAATTGGTAGAAGCTCAACGGAACACAACCTAGTAGTACTATTACAACGGCTGGAACATAACACTTCTCGTTCTCAACATGGATGGGTCGGGCCATAGCTGAGACATGGCATGTCCCGACGTGGCTGACCAGGCTTTGTGTCGTTGAACCCGTGAACAAGTGCCGTGCAAGCCTGCGATATTGGACAAGGGTCGAATGTCGACAGCACGCCTTTCAGACCTCTCCAACGACCGGCCTACCTCGAGGCACCCGGCGTGAGTCGATCGTCCCTCCCCCCCCCCCTTTTCCCTCATGATTTTGCCATGTATGCATGTCCATACATTCAACGAACACTGCAGCTCGGTTGGATCCGCCGCACACACGACTTCTAAAGGTTGAACTGGCTCCACTTATGCAGAGCTTGTGCATTCGAAAGATGCGGGGAGTTGCATTTCGTGAGATGTGGGTATGTTGTGGGTGATCGACACTTTCGCATCATCCCCCGTCCCTCGCCCCTTCCAATTCTGTTTATATTCTTATTATGAGTGGCCAGCGAAACGCTAATTTGTGCGAGACTTTCTCCCGTGGCGCCAACACTGGCTCGTTCTAGTTAGTGGGCGTCTCCTATCTCCATAGAGGCTTTTGACGCCGTCGGGGCTCCTGAGCACAGACGAAAAGCCATCGTGTTATTATTTGTTCTCGATATGTCTCCGTCCCCTTGGAGAAACTAGGACCCTTGTGCCTAGCGTAAATTCATTCAGGCTCTCAGTTTACCTGACTCAAGGTATCCCTAGATGTTCTCGTAGATTCGAGCGGAGACCTGAACTTGAGTGGTAGACCTTCACCGGATGGCTTCCGGAAGGGAGCATCCAGCGATATGTCTAAACAAGTGGGTCTACGCCAGATCAGCAGCAGAGGCTTTACTTTATTTAGCGCTACACTCGTTAACGTGGCTGGCGTGTGAGTCCGTGGGTAGAACCTCAAAATGCTGTCTTCTTGTTTCCCTTATATTTTTAAGCATGTCGTACACGCGTGTAAGCAAGTTATCGTTTTTGATAATCATCAAACGTCTTCAAATTCTGAGAGGCGGCGAAAATTGAGACCTGTCGCGTCTTTGGTGGCGTTGTCTGTCATTGTAAATTGAATGCTTGAGAGGAACTTGATCCAATTTGTGAAGATGGTAAAGCGAAGATGATCAGAACCAATAGCTATGATTCGACTTTGTTCTCTTCATCATCTCTGATGCTACACGAGGGTCGTTGTAGTACCTTAACCATAAACCTATTGACTCAAGTAATTAAGAAGAATCTTACTACCAGTCATAATAAATTGGTCAAGGTGTACTTAAATGCAGAAAGACACATGCTGTTTTGGAATACTAGAACATCGTATAGTAGCAGTTGGAGGAAGGCAACAAGGCCATGCTCTTGAGTAAACATTGCCTTGAATGTGTAAATTGTATATCATTTCAGACGAAATTTCATCGACCTCCTCATTAGACCTCGCAATCCATACTTGATAATCCGTTCAAATAATCTAAAGGGAATTCTGAACATTCCTCCGTGCCCATCCCATATGTGAGCAGATAGTAGATACACATTGCCCTCACAATGATACACATGCAGCTTCTTGTGGTTAACAGTTCAATCAAAGACAAAAAGAAAGCAAAAGAAGAGACAAACAGAGCTAAAAACGCCAACAAGTACATGCTCCGCATCGTATACGTACGGTCTATCCATACCACAAAGAGAGGCCCATGATACAGACACTCTAGAGCAGAGCTTCACGTATGAAAGAACCAAGTTGCTTCGCCTGTAAGGATTGACGTTAGTATCACCGGCAATGCAGACGAATCAAAGCTCGAGAGACAACTCACCTGGTCGCCATGCATCATGGAGAAGTGATTCCCGGGCATATGTCTCATCCTCATCTTCTGAAGGTCAAGATACTCATCCCACCGGTTAGGACCAAAGTCCGTTCTGTTGTCAAGCAGGAAGAGCGCGTGCCCGGTCGGGTATGGATCAGGCCTTGGGTCGGTGGGCAGGTGGCACACACCGTCCTCGCACCAGATTGTCATGACATTGGGACACTTGTCCGTGGGGATCGGCTCGGCTGTGTAATTACTGAGTGCGGTGACTGACGCTGCAAAGTGCGGTAGAAGCCATTCGGGAATCTTCTTCACATCGCCCTCACCGAGAAGGCCGATACTGGCGAACCATGCGTGGAGACTCCTTGGGAGAGGCTCGATGGTGATTGGACAAGGAGCGTCGATGATGATGAGATTGTCAACACGCTCGCCAGCCTGTGTCAGCTGGACCACAATCTCGTAGGCAATGACACCACCTGCAGACCAGCCAGCTAGGTTGTACGGCCCCTTGGGCTGGCGCCGCTTCATCTCCGTGATGAACTTGGTAGCCATGCCATACACACCACACTTGTACTCTTCAGGTGTCTTCATGAAGGGTGAAAAAAGGCCCCAGACAGCCCAGTGGGGTGCAACATCGGAAATCTCCGTGTAGGAGGTTGCGCTTCCGCTGCCGTCCGGAACCATGAAAAGGTGATTGGTCGCAGTACGATGACTGCCTTGAAGGAGGACAGACGAAGCCTTGCGGTTAGGGTAGTCGTCGATGATGTGGCTGGGGCGAGGTGGTTTTGTAATGCTGGCTGTAGCCATAGATGGAGGCAGCACCCTAGCACTCGAAGAAGATCTTGACTCCTGAAAGTCGACCTGCTTCGGCGCAGAGACAAGCTTAATTGTCGCCGGCTTTTTGGCTGCGTCGGAGATTCCCAGGGCTCGCTCAACATGCTTGAGCGATGGGTTCAAGATGAAGAGGTCAGATGGGATGTTGAGACCTGTCCTCTCCCGTAAAATTCCCAAAATACTCAGACTCATTAGAGAGTCCATCCCAAGGTCCGCCAAATTTGGGGCTGCAATAATCTCCTCGACGTCGACGCCCATTTCCGAAGCAATGGCTTCTCGCACGATTGTCTGGAGATCGGTATTGTGACCTTTCTCAGCCTTCAAATACTCGTCCGAGCTGCTCTCGTTGTCAGGAGTGGTGACATCAGAGTCGGTCTCCACCAGTTCAGATGTTTCCTCAGCCTCAGAATAAGAGTCGATGGAGTCCGATGACGAGGAGCCTCGGGCCACTCCGGGTCTCTCAAACTGCTGTAAGTGAGACTTGAAGGCAGCAATCGTTGGATAGTCTACAAACACATGAGAGCTGATGTCCAAATCCAGATCCTCACGAAGACGGCCCGAGACAGTCAAGCCCATGAGCGAGTCGACGCCCAGATCCGCAAATGCAATGTTGTCAGCGAGCTCATCATCGCTCACTCCAACTTCCTTGGCAAGAATCTCCATCACTTGGGCTACCATGGATGTGAGCTTCTTGTCCACCTGAGAGAGGTTTGAAGAAGTGAGCATTTTCTTGTGCTTGGTGGCCTTGACATGGGCGCTCTTCGATTGCGTTTTGTCAGCTGGGGCGACCGGCGCACGAGTATCCTGCGCAGTAGTGGCGGCAGTGGCGGCGGCGGCGGCTCCACGAGGTGGTAGAAGCATGTTGAGAACCTTGCGGGGAATGGACTGAAAGCGGATATCACCAGTGATGCCGATGAGTCTATCATCGTCAAAAACGTAAGCATCACCAGTCATTATTTTCGTGCCCTTCACAGGTTGCATGCGGATGTACGTCTGGTAGGCCTTGCCAGATACGGGCGTCTCAATAAATCTCATTGAGCCCCAGCCGTGGGATATGAAGACCTGCTGGCGTGAGTCAACAGCATCTGTGCCGTTGATGATGAAGCCTGAGATGTGACACAAGCTGTCTATCCAGAACGGGCTGAAGTGGTAGCTTCCGTCCTTTTCGGAAGTCTGGAAGACAACCTTGGCGGTGGCTTCACAGGTCTCACTGTTAAGAATGACCTCCTCCATGCCACGGTATCGACGATCATAGTCAACAAGCGCAGCGAATAGTTTGTAGGCAAGGCCGCGCCCAATCTTTGAGGCTTTTCCAGCCTTTTCAGCTGCTCTCAGGGCGTCGATGCGACCTTTGATGAGGTAGTCGGCACGCTCGAACTCACTGGCCCACTCATCGGTGTTTCCATAGGAAACTTGACAGATGGCATGCTCGGTCTTCCTGGCCCCTTCGATAGTGTACCATGAACAATCAGCCTTATCAGTAGCGACGTCAGCCGTGACCTTGAGCCTGAGGATGTGCCTCTCAAGAGTATCGTCAAAAATGAGTGTTTTTGGAACCTCCATGTGGCCAACGTTGCAGCCGAGTTTATCAGCGTTAGGACGGACCAGTCTGTATGCATAGTCGGCCACAGTCATAGCCATATCGCCATACAGACTCGAAGGACATAGTGGGGCACCGTTGACCTGGTGGCCAGAGACAACAAGCCGCAAGTCCTCACGAGACAAATTGGATTCGATCTCAACGATGGCAACGTCACCCTGGACTTCTTCGCTAATGACGTTCTGGACCGAAGATGTGGACAATCGAGGCCTCAAAGGCTTGGTGACAACATCGGCAGCTGCCGCTAGAGCACGACGATTCTTTGTGATACACCAGTCACCCGTGTACTGTAGCCAGTAGTTCTTCTCGTCGAAGGAGTAGCTGGGGAGGTCCAAAATACGAACAGAACCCGCGAAGTCACGGTGGAACTCATTCCAATCAATGTTCAGGCCTGCTGAGTGGAGCGTGCAGAGAGAGGAGCTCAGTGTCTTGTAGGAGGTCTCGTTGCGGCGAACACTGGGCACAGCAACGGTAGTCGCACCGAAAGCAGCCTTGACCATATTGGCGCAGATCGGATGCGGTCCGACTTCAAGCCAGACGGTCTTCTCGTCAATAACCCCGGACTGTTGTGCGTGTACAAGACCGCCGAGGAAATCGACAGCCTCACGAGCATGCTTTCGGAGATAGGCTGGATTGATGAGCTCAGTCTCAATTGCTTTGCCCAGTAGAGGAGAAACGACAGGAAGTTTGGGAGCGCGGAAGTTCACCGTCTGGGCGAGCTCTTCAAAGTCGTCTAGGATGGGCTCAACCTGACTAGAGTGAAAAGCGAAAGGTACCTTGAGCTGCGTGCATTTGAAGCCAGCGGTACTCAGCTGAGAAGATATTTCAGATATCTTCGTAGCCTCGCCAGCAAGTACGGTCTCACGAGGACCATTGATGCAGGCCACAGTGATTTCGTGGGTTTGGTCTCCGAGAGGTTCCCTCACAGCGTCAGCAGCGCCTTGAACGGCGAGCATGGAATGTGTGAATGAATTGCACTTCTCCATGAGGAGTTTGGCACGAACACCAACAAGATAGATGGTATCACTCGCAGAAAGGACACCCGCAGCATGAAGAGCAGCGTACTCACCAAGGCTGTGGCCGAGTACAACGCTAGGCTTGATGCCCCACGACGCCCACAACCTGGCGAGGGCCATTTCAAAGCTGCAAAGCCCAAGCTGGACAACGAGTGGAGACAGCTTTGTAAGGTCTTGCTCAGTACCATCAATGAGCGGCATGAAGGATGGAAAGCCATGGATCTGTGCCAGCCGGTTGAACTCGTCGATAGACTGACGGAAGATCGAATGCAATGCGTAAAATTCCTTGCCGAGGCCTGCATAGTGGGAGCCTTGGCCGGTGAAGAGAAACGCCACCTTAGGCTGTTCCGGTAGCACAGGTGAGAAATTTTGTTGCAGGCGATCTTGTATGGCATTTCTCGCTTCACAGAGGTCCACAGCAGCGACATTCATACGCCAGTAGTGTTGAATCTTGCGAGCAGTGGTGGTGTAAGCCACATGGGACAATGGTGTGTCTGGGTGCTCTGCCATCCACGTGACCAGTCTCTCGGCATTACGTATCATGGCAGACTTCGACTTTGCCGTTAGGGTGATGACGTGGTGGCTTCGTGGGTCCTCGATGGCAGACTGTCTTCTTGGAGCATCTTCAAGTAACAAGCCAGTGTTGCCACCAGCAGCGCTGAAATTGTTGATGAAGACTCGCCGAGGTTTACCGTCTCGTCTCCTAAATGGAGTACTGTGGAAGGCGATGTTGACATTACGCTCGGAAAGGTCTCTTGGAAATGTCTTGTTGATCTCCCCCTTGATGCCCACATGGGGAGGAATGGCATTCTTCTGAAGCATCATGAGGACTTTGACGAGAGCAGTGACTCCGGATGCAGCCTCGCCATGACCCACGTTGGCCTTGACTGCACCTAGATACAGTGGCCGATCCGCAGGTCGTTTTCTGTCTGCCGGAGCAAACACGTTTGTGACGGAGACCATCTCGGTTCCATCACCAGCTTGCGTTCCGGTACCGTGCATCTCGACGTAGTCGACATCCAGCGGATCAATGCCAGCTTGATCCAGAATTGCTGTCGACAAGAGTGACTGTGTGGGACCGTGGGGATGTGTAATGGAAATGGCATCAGCGGAGTGATTTGTAGCGGTGCCGAGAATAACGGCCAGGATGCGATCGTGGTCTGCTTCGGCATCCTCGAGCCGTTTAACGACGACTGATGCGCAGCCATCACCTCTGCAGTACCCATCCGCATCATTATCGAAAGTAGAACACGGTCCTTTCTTGGAAAGGAACTGGCCTCGGCTCAAGCCTGCGAAGATGTCGGAGTTTGTCATGCATGACAGGCCACCCACGATTGCGGTGTCACAGTCGCGTGCCCAAAGAGAGGAGCAAGCGACATTTATCGCAGCAGCACTAGACGAGCATGCAGTATCGATATTGAGGCTGGGCCCGCTGAAGCCGAAATGGTAATTGATCCTACCAGGGCCAAAGGCTCGAACGCCACCAGTGATGAAGTAAGTGTCAACTTCCTGCGCAGCATTAATCTCCCGCCAGTCATCGGAAGTCTGTCCATAGAACGTTCCGATCCGGTCCAGTCTTGTGGATGGGGTCCTGTTGGGCACATAGCCTGACATCTCCAGCGCTTCATAGGCTGTTGTCAACGCCATCCTTTGCATCGGATCCGTCTGAAAGGCTTCCCGTGGCGACATGTTGAAGAAGCGAGGATCAAAATGCCCAGGCTTCTCAATCCAACATCCATATGGCGTGTGACTAGTGTTAATAGCCTTTCCGCTTGGATCGACATGGTTCGCAACAGGGAAGCGATCGGCCGGCACGACACGGTGGACAGCCAACCCCTTCTCAAGCAACTCCCAGAGCTTCTCGTGGCTGGCGGCATCAGGGAAGCGGCCTGCCATACCGACAATAGCCAGTTTGCATCTTCCCGTCGAGCCGTGATTGCCCACGCTGGATTCTGTGCTCTCCTTTGGGATCTGTGGAGGGGTTCTGAGGATGATGTTGTTTGAAGTCTTGCTCTTCAAGAGATTTGCCAGCGTGGCAGCATTCTGTGTCGGTCCGAAAGGTAATATGAGGATCGTCTTGCTGTCGAATTGATGTGCCAGCTCGACACCAGCATCTAAGAATTTGTGAAACACCAGAGTATCATTAAGAATTTCGTAAACAATTCGCTCAAGAAGTGCAATAGTGTCATCCTCCATCATCCATTCGCCGGTCTTGCACGACATGATTGGAGACCTCGGCTTGGTGTCGTGGAACGTGTCTTGGACGGCAGCATCCTTTAGACGCAAGACACTGTCCACACTGACGGATGAGTACAGATGTGTGGCGTGGTATGGTCCATAGACCGGTATTGACGTTGGTCGCACCGAGAGGTGACCAGACATGAATAACAGTCTCAACACGCTCGGTGGGCCCGAGATAGCAACACTAGGGACAGAGATTGCACTGATGTAGACCTGGCTAGCAGGAGGGATCCTCTGCTTTCTGTCAGCCTGAGCACTTTGATAAAGGAAATACGAGAGTGCTTACATTTTCTAGGTTGAACTTGTCGAGTGTGCTCTGGGTTTCGTCCGCCCCCATTCCCGGTAGCATGTAAGTCCAGCTTTCGGAATACTCCGCGGGTGAGCACAGCCGCTCAGCCATGGTGGCCACGTAGTTTCCGGTACGAAACGCCATTAAGACAACTTGGACAGCGACCGGAACGAGGGTCGAGAGAGTCGGTGTGCATGTGATAGCTGCTGCTGCGAACATACCAGAGCATAGCCCACCAAGAAACATCTGCCCGTGAGGCATGAGCAAGTCTTCGTAGTGCTTCTCAGCATAGCTGCTATCTATTAGCACTGAATACCTAAGATGGTCGTGACTGGGTCACTTACTCGATATAGTGCGCCAGCTGAGACACGCATATGAGGGCAGCGTCCACTCCAGGATGCTTCAAGCTCTGAGCATGATACCTCTCGTTCAGATTCTGGAGACTGAGAAAGCTTGGCAGTTTTGACCTCTCGATTGTTGGCAAGGTCTCAATTTCCTTCCTCAGCTCATGGCCAGCTTGTTCAAGGAATGCGTTGGCGAGGATTCCTCGGTCTGTTTGGCGGAATAAATTGGCGAGGAAGCCATGTGTGTCAGTTGACTGATCTCCAAAGAGGAGATATGCTATCTGGTCAGCCATGGTGAGAGCTCGGCGCCATAGATTTTGGTTTGTCGAATCGAATACCAGAGTCACAGTTCCAGAGGGAGCTCATGTGAACATATATACGAATGCTATATCACAGGCATGCTGCGACTTTGTATCGAAATCAGAACGGCAATCCGATGTGCTCTGCCCTCCTGCATGGCGAGAGCCCAGCGACAGAGACCCTGCGCGTCTCATACCTTGCTTGGACTCTCCTCCACGCCGTCAGACTAACTTGTGTGTCCGGTGCAGCAGATCGTCGGTGACCGAAGGATATTGACAAGTCTCCAAACAGCCTCCGAATAGGAGTAAGTCCACACAACCAATAGCACTGGTGTCTATTGAACTTCAGTCCCTTGTTCAGGCGCAACGTCGCATGGTCTGAGCTCCTACATCTCATAGCAGGCTCTCCCAATCTGAGGATCACCATGATCACCAAGACAGTTGATTTGAAATTGGGAGAGGTCATGGCCACGACGTGTCAGCGTCTGTCTTCGCCAGTGCGGGTCTGTATCTCGTCAAAGTCACCACGATCCTGACGGCGATCCTGGCTAGAAGGGTCAGTGCTACCAGAAATGAGCGCAGTAATATGAGGACGTGAAACACCAGCCCGTTTCCGTAGGCCTCTGCTCCGGAAATAGCACCCGTACAACCATCGCCCCTCCCCCCTCTTGACTGGATGGGCAAGAGTGCAGTCCTTGACAGGCGGTCGAGGAACTGGGTGGTCCTGTGCAATCGGGCCCGTGCTGGACATTGGCAAAGAAGTGGAGTATCATGTCGCAGCTCATGGTCCATGGAATCAATATGTCATGTCATGTCTCTATGCCGTACTAGGATCGGTGTCAAAACACGCTGGCACTGGTGGACCTTGGCGGAGTTGACTTCCGGACATCCCCAATCCGCCCATGGTAGAAATCATCTTGACCACAGTCAGAACTTGTCAATTCTCGTACTTCTTGCTGACAATCGTATCAATGGAGGGAACTTTCTGCTGCTGCTGGCGGCCTTGTGCTTGATCTCTAGGCTGGTGCGTATCCGGTGGGGGATGGCTGCTTGAAAACAACATAGAGAGGACAAAAGACGACGTCGAATGACGTGAAGTCGTTAAACGTACAGCAACCTTACATAAGCTTACATTAAGCCCCAAAAGGGGGGGGGGGTCGGGACGACCTGTTACGGCCCTAGGAACCCACTAATTTATCTCCGGATTACTAGGTTAGTGCGGGCCGTGTGGAAGGACCTCTGGCCCTGAAGGGGAAGGTTTAGGGGATCCTACTTGCTTCAGTCAGGAGCATCTCGCCCTATACTACAGTAGGGAGAAATTGCATAGGATACGGGTTCAACGTCCTTGATTTTCATCATACACCCTCGCCCCCCCCCGTTCCCCTGTTACCTTGCCAATGAAGGACACACATGTCAAGCTCGACGACTCATGATATTCCATTGGCATTTCAGGACCAGCAAAGGTCACCATATGTTTCGAAAACTGGGCGAAACAATATACTTTCATCCCCACGGATCAAGTGGACATTGAAAGGCAACGGATGCAACAGAGCAGAATGATGGTTGAACATCACGTTGCTTCGATGGTTTCTCCTTAGGATTCGAATTACATCTCTTTGCATGTGATGACTCTTTGACGTCATTTTTAAATAGAACAACGGTGCGTCACACAGTGACGGCCGCCAGGCGCCACGACAGCGGCATTACTATTGATGTCTACTTTAGCCAACGAGCTTCGTTCACGAGACATGCCCATCATGTCCAATCGGGCCTTCAGTATCTCACATCACTGGGAAACGAGATTATACGACCACACATCCCGAATACAATGGCTCAAGCTGTCGTTACATCTGATCGCTCTTTGTAGCGAATAACTGCAATAACTCGAGCTGTTGGCCTCGGGTCTCACTAACTCCCCGATCGCAATGTTAGGCCATATCAAGACGAGCAATACTATTCATCCGACCGTTTCATGCAGAAAATGAATCAATGTATTTGCTGTCTCTGCGTCGGCTAAGAATTCAGGGCTGTATCTGCACATCCAAACACTAGTAAATACGAGCTATGATGTAGAGCAGGCTCGGGCATCATAGACCCTTGCTCTCGATCTCCACATATTTACCCTCAAATCATCTGTCATTATCTGACGAGAGTTTTAAGTCTATGCAGCTTCTTCGGGAAAAGATGCTCCGTCTCCTTTCATATAGAGCTTGACGGACCTCCGGGCTTATGGGGCTGTACTGGTACTCGTGACTTGGTCGTCCCCCGTCTCTACTTTGTTCGTTTCCCACTTGCATGTTTCTGGAGACGCTTTATGGGACAGTAGCTATTGATGAGTGCGCTACAGAAGAAATAGGGGGGAAGAAAGGAAGCTAACCACCCAGCCAGGTGGCTGAGCCTATCTACAGAAAGCTGTGGGGGACAGTTGGCTGCCAGGCACTCACAGGCCTGGTGAATCCCTAGGGGTTGCACACTTTGGGCCTTGAATATATTGCCTCACCCTCTTCCTTTCCACTTCTTTCAAAATAAATCACTATTGCATGCCGAAATACGTTGCTTAAGCTTCTGATCTGACTTGATATAAGATCTAGTTGAAGTTGTTGATCAACAATGAATCTGTTGAATAAAGATTGCCGTAAAAGAGTCCTCAGCTCACATATCTTTCTGAGCCTTGATGCAACAAACATGTCAGATTTTTCTTCTATGGAGTAGTCAGCAATTCTGTCTTAGAAGACAACACAAAGCCTCGATGTCATTCATGTCAACAGTTTTAGAGAACCTTATTGCACACTATGTATGCATCTTCTTAACTCAAGAATATCGTCTGTCGTCCAATCACTTGAACCCCTTTTTGCGCTACAACATTTACAATCTTTCTCTCTGTATGTCTTGGCCTTTTGTAGTAGATGCCTGAGGGAACCCCGATTACTAAAGTTACAGAGTCATAGATACAGTTCTATAATGGACCTATGGCCTCGATAGAACGGGCACACATACTGTGATGCCTGAACAGTATCATGTAGCAGACAGCCGCGTCATCTACCTCCCCACTCAGTAGTGCTATCCCTAGTAGAGAGATTGAAGAGATGTCAACTACGTTACATACGTTAGCCTGGTTCTTCTACCTCCTCTTCATATCGAATAGGATCTTTCATCGGGCTGTGTACCTTAGTCTCGACCATTCTAAGAATCAAGTACGCATGCCTAAGTACTTCAGCAGACACGACATGGTGTTGGGCATGGGAACCGCATATTCCTGGCGGACTATCACTCCATCATTGAGATTCCAAAATCATTCTTGCACAGTTTTGAATACCAGATTATCCGCCATGTTCTCATGAAACCTAAGATGCAAGAGAACGTACAAAGTAGTCCATTGAAGTAGCACCTTCGACCTTCCCTAGCCTCCTAGTCTAAGTCGTCAACAAGATTACGGGCTGGTTATGGAAGCCTAGCCTCGTGTTCAAGGTATCTTGCGTTCCGCGGGAGGGTCACCATTTTGAGACCCCAAGAACATTCTAGAAGAACTCCCCTTCTACCAACCGAGCTATCTTGGTGCTGAATCGGCGCCACCCGACCGGACACCTGGGCCGGCTATCTCCTGTGCCATCGCAAGCCGGCTGACTGAAATACACAACGCTCTCCATCTAGATCAGGGATTGTGATCTAGTTAAGAAGTTGTACAGGCGGCCGTCAAAGTTACCTACAGCACCATGGCACGCCGAGGGCGTGAATTGCCGACGATAACTTGTTGCTGTAAACACTTGACAGCACAGTCACGAGACATTGCTCTTCAAGTGTACATGCTCATCCCAGCCAACCAACAGAGATGCAGCCCAGACATGTCACGACTCTTGAGAGACCGAGTTCTTTAGATATTCAGGTGGTCAGCCGCACAGACGCACACACAGACATATACACAGACACGCACACAGACCTACCAGAGCCCCCGGAAGCACCCGAGGAGGACGTATCGTCAAAACCCTTGTTTGGTGGTCAGACAGTGGTGGGTTTTACGGGAAACGTAGTACGGCCTACGGAGTTGGAAGAAGAATTCTACTTGCGGTCCAGCTTGCGCGTGACAAGCAGCATCGAATGAAATGTGGCTCGTTGGAATGATTAGATCGAACCCGAGCGCTAGCCGTCAGGAAAGTCCGGTCATCGCATGATTGCTACAAATAAGTACTGCGGGTCTGCCCTTATATAGTGATTGCGTTCAACGCTGTGCCAACCTCGAAAAAGCGGACATCCTTCTCGGTTTGCATCCCCTCGACCGAAGGACCGCTGAGAGGCTTCTATTCTCTTCTTACAGAGTTACTTCAACCACGCAACTATGGCATGTTTCAGTTTCCACTGCTCACAACGACATTACTACTCCCGACTTTACGACTCAGAAGCCCAAGACTTTCGACCTGCCAGACTGCGGCGGATTCTCAATCAATATATCCCTGGGGATCTCTTTGCTGGTTTTCTCTACATCCCTATGTGAGAACGACTGCTATCAGGAGGACCGATGGCTTATCACCCAGCCATACACGGGTCAGAAGCCAAATTCCATAATTTGTCCATTGGACCAGTCCTCCCTCTCAAGATGTGAGATCCGGCGCGGATTCAAAAAGAAAACATCAACCGCTTGCGGGGCAGACTGCTCCTCCGTCCAGAGTATCGAGATGGACAGCTTCAGACAAGCAACGAATCCAGAATAGGAGATCACCGTGCCATAAATCCCAGGCTCATGGTGAAAGGGAGCGAATATCTCAGCGAACATTGATTATGGACCGAAGAGCCTTCCTTTTCCCCTCGACCAATCAAGCTTCTTATGTATTAATTACCATGGTTGTCTTTCATCCCCGTCACTACTACATCTCAACTTTGCCAAAGACATTCCCGAAGAAATAATATCAGCTTATCCCACCCTATCCAAAGTAAAAGAAATGAGAGAAAGAGGAAGAAAAACATCAACTGCACGGTGACATTTGTGTTAAGAATAAATTTGTTCCTTCACATCCTCATTCTCGCCACACGAGATAGCAGTCGAGGGGTTGCCGTCGCTGTCGGCTCCCACAGTGCTCTGGCATGAAAGGTCAGTCACCAAACGCTTTTTGTCGAAAAAAAGCAAACAGACAAGAAAGAAACATGTCTCGCATTGCATATATATAGAGAGAGAAAAAGGAAGTAACTTACCCGGTATATGTGGCAGGATTCACAAACAACATGCCTGCCGTATCCGTATAATTCGCCGTATTCCCAGCCGCATTACCCTCATACGGCGCACCCTGAGCTTTACACGCCTCGATATGGTCCTCTGGGATCTGGAGCCCGCGCAGCTGCTCCGGGCCCTCCACGATAGTTGCCGTGAGCCCCATCTCGACGTGCCACTCTATGTGGCAGTGGAACAGCCACACGCCGGGGTTGTCAGCCTTGAACCTGAGCACGGCATAAGAGGCGCCGTTGATGGAGACGGTATCCCTAGAGGGCGGATAGGCAGGCTCGTCGTCGTCTGTGGTGCCAGGCCACTGTCCCGTGCCGCTGGGCGGGCGGGCGATGACCTGGAATTGGTGGCCGTGCAGGTGGAAAGGGTGGATGGCGGTGTCGAGGTTGTTGAGGACGATGTCAACGACCTGGCCTTGCTCGACGATAAAGGGGTTCACTGCGCCGTACACGACCGGGTCGGTGTTGTCATCGTCTGTGGTGGCGGCTGTGTACAAGGTGGGCACGCGCTGGTCCACGTAGGGCTGGCCGTTCAGACAGGCTCTGGGGATGCTGTTGTTGTCGAAGCAGAAGTTGAAGTCAAGCTGGATCGTCTGGGTGACTGGACCCCAAGGACCGTCGCCGTTGGCATTGGTGAACTTGGCGTCATCTACTGGGTCAAAAGCGTGAACAATGTCGACGGAGGTTGTATTTATATTATTGGGATTGACTACGAGGTATCCGGTCTCATTGTGGTTCCACGAGATGGGTTGTGGCGAGGCGTTTGGGTTGGTGTAGTCTTTGTTCACATCTAGAGCGATAAGAAATGGATAATTACTTTCATCGTTACTGCTGTTGCTGCTGCTGCTACTGGAGGTGAGGAGGACGTCGTATCGTTGAGCGCAGTCCAGCCGGACTAGGTCAGCGTCTGCTTCAGTGATGTAGGAGCCATCCTGCATGATGATCTTCATGGTCTGAGACTGGAAGGTGATCATGGCGGCAGTGAGGGCGGAGAAATTGATCATGCGAATGCGGTATGTTTTACCCTTCTGGAAGGGGATCTGGTTGCTGCCGCCCTCGTTGAGAATAACACTGTTTGGGAGGGGAGGGATGAACTCTGTGTTGTTTGGCTGAAGCATGGTCTGGACCAGTGGGATAGTTTGGCTGTGATACCTGAAAGCGAGCTTGTAAACTTCTGTCCTCACGAACTTGAATGTTGTCTATGATTGGTTGGTAGCAACTTACCAGTCTGATACCGTCATGATGACCTCCTCATCGACTTGCCCTTTGTACGGGTCATCGGGATCGTGAACAATGAGAGGTCCTCTAAGTCCATCAGGATACTGTCCCATCTCGTGCGAGTGGTACCAGTACGTGCCCGGCTGGTCAACCTAACCGGCGAGATAAATACACAAAGTCCGTCAGTGTGCTGATCTCAAGTCATTATGATAGTCACCGTCATATCAACAAACCTGAAATTGGTATGTAAAAGAGGAACCCGGAGGCACAGAGCACTGTGAAGCCGCAATAGGCCCGTCCATCTCCGGCGTCCCATATTGTCTGATGCCGTGGAAATGCAGGCCAGTCGTCTCGTTTCCTAGATTGTTCTGAATGTTCACAATGATAGTATCACCCTGGTTGGCCTGGATGATAGGACACGGCCACTGCCTGTTGATTCCTATCACGGGCCTGGAGTAGCCATCCGGTGCGGCTGTCACCCAGTCGATGGTCCAATCGAAGGTGACCGTAGCCGCCAGCACGTTGGCGGCGAGGGGCAACAGGAGGAGAAATAGCGCACAAAAGGTGTACATTATGGAGAATGAGAAGGAAGACAAAGAAAATCAGTCGGAGATCAGTAGTACTATTTGTCGCTGATCTGATAGAAAATTAAGTATCTTTTGACTACCAGAGAGACATGAACGAACGCCCACTATGACGGCGGAGAGCAGAAGAATGAATGATGCTGCCCTAAAAGTGTGTCGTGAGTAAGTAAATAAGCAAGTAGAGAGAAAGTTCACGAGCAGACGCATGATCATGGAAGCAGCCGGTTTTACAAATTTAAGAGTGAGGAAGGCTTCCCCCCATCAGCTACACAATGCATACCTTGCCGACTTGTCTAACGATTCCTGTGGGCGCATCCATTTTTGGCTACCGCCAGATCATTTCTTTCTTTCACTCTCTCCTCTGCATCAAACGCCGGTATAAACGCCATTGACGGCGTGTGCGTGCATGTCAAGAACCTAGGGAAACGGTAATATCGGCGGCTGTAAAGATGATTTAAAGTCCAACATCCCCATCCTGGTCATTACCGAGTGACTAGAGAGATAGCGTAGGTAATGATTAATCAAAATCAGTATCGGTGGCTGCATGATGTGCCCTCCTTCAAGTGGCGGCGGGTCTTGGAGGGACGGGTAGACTGTCTTGTCTTGATGAGCCCGGGCGCGCACTGAAGACAATAGCCCGCTTGTCATCTACTTGTGAACATCCATGCCACCCTTGATTTTTTAATTTACTTTCTTGCTTTCTTCCTCTACTTTTTAGTTTGAAAAAGTGGAACAAACCACCAAACAAAGACAAGCCTGGAGGGGCGTGATATGATGGGGGGACGCCGCGGGCAAGCCCCAAGCGCCGACGGGGCGGTGACCGACCAAGGAGCCGGGACCGGGACCGGTCTCTTCTTTCTAATGAGCCGTAGCTTATTCTTCAATCCAAGATTATCCTTGGGATTAGGGAGTGCGTGCTTGCTCGGATTCGAAGGCGGAAGTGAGATAATTTCCGGAAGGAAGTAGCCGAACCTTGTCTTGTCCTGCCACAGGACCAAAGAAAAGAAGAAGGAAAATGAATGTGTCTCCACCACACAATAATATGAGGGCTGCATTTAACAAAGGGCCACAGGAAGCAAGCTGAGGAAGCACCACCTTGGAGACTTGAGGGTTTGTCTTGTCAAGGGCTTGGGCGGGTGGATGGCTTGAAGAGGTTGTGTTTGAACGAAATGAGGCGTTCAGACATGGCGATTGCGTCGTAATAAGCTAAAATGGGAAGAGAGGCGAGAGGTAGAGACAAGAAGGATAGAACTGACTGCTATCAACACGCCCAACACCGTTACAATCCCGACGATGATGACCTCTTGGACACGGGAGTGGCTTGGTAGAGGCCTCTTGGGCCCCCTCATAGAATTCACAATGAGCTCGGATCAAATCACTACTTGATTGCTGAGACGGCCTTTCAGTCGCAGAGGGAAGTATGGATGGCTTGGGGCATAAAGCCCCTTCAGTTTGATCGAAACCGAGTTCATTCTCGCCCGCTGGGGACGAATCTCAAGGCTGACACTATCCGTGGATGGCCACAGTAGTAATGGTCTCTAGCTCAAGTTAATCAATACAGGCAACTCGCCGTGTCCTTCGTGATACGAAAATATCAAGTCTCATGCTGTGTTGTGGTGGGTCCCAAAAACAAAATAACAATAAAATTAGTACCTCGTGGGCTAGTTAGGATCTAGGGACATGACCAAGACCGTCATTGTACTCTCCGGGAGTTTACCAGGAATTTGCCTCATTGATGGAGGATTTCTATAGAGCCGCCGGTACACAGGATAGATCAAGAGAGGCGGAGGTCACAGCAGGACAAGAATCCATTGTCGAGATCAGCGCCTCTAGCCGCCGTTCCATGACCGACAGAACGATTTCTTGGTCAGGCCTAGCTTATACCAGAGATACCGAAAGCTGCAGAAGTCTGGCTCCTCTTTTCCCCATGGATTCACTCGTGTTTCGTTAGCTCTACTCAGGGTTTCCCCCTACACGAGAGATCAGCAGAGAAGTAACAAGCACCACTTGCAAAGCATAGTATCACTATACAGCATTCTTTTTGGATAATGGAGTGAGACCTTTCTTTGTGCCTTTCTCTGGGTCCTGATCAGCAATTAAGTGTGTTCTAGATTAGTGCGAGAACGGCGGACCCAAGGGAAGGAAAAAGAAAAACATGTCTCGGGCTGCGTTTCCGAAAAGCAAAAGTGGGGAGGAAAGGGAAAACAATGGCAAAGAACTGACTGGGTACTCATTCCGTGACACAACAGCTCAAAAGGTTGTTTAGTTACCTGACTACTGAACTCCAGACCTGTAATCAAAAGGCTACACGACATTAAACTCAAGTATGGTCCCGGCGGTCGTCCCGGGGTTCAGATGGTGCCCGTGGTGTCTTGCTCGGGTCCGAACATTCCCGGGCTTCCCCTGATTGACCAGCACACACAATTAGCTGCCGTCGTTGCCGATCATACCCTAGGCAAAGTGAACTCCTATGCTGAGTGCCCAATCGGGTGCTATACTAGGAGTGAATGTCACGACGATTTTCGATGCGCGCAGGTATGTGGTGAACACGTAGTATGTTAGGGCCGAGGTCACACGATGAGATGTTGAAGTTCTAGCCACGAGGCCAAAACTTGTCCAACAATGAGGGGGAAAAAATAGACCGACGTGTAGTACCCTCTCACGACAATAGAACAGATTTCTACCGAAACAGGTATGGAGAGGGCAAGAGAGAAAGGAGCATATCGTTTGCCACGTTTTGCCTGGCACTTGAGCTTTGGCACGGTTCAGGACCGTCTTTACAGACTCGTCTATGAATGATCTGATGAGAAGGATCGGCACGCAGATATTTCTTGTCAGCCAATACACATACATTCTCCCGGCACAAACAAGCAATCAAAGATGCAAGGCAAGGTGTTGAGGAGGGTCGTGCGCCTTCAGCCATGACGGTTGAGAAAAGGCATGAAACTGATGAGAGATCCAGATTGTACAAGATAGATTTTCCTTCTTTCATGTTCGAGCTTTGCTCTTCTCTCCGTCTACCTCCTCAAGAAGTATGATCACTGGCCATGCTGCTCAAGCTGGAAGCTGGCCTTCTCAAGATGACATGCAAATTCGGTCCAATCCCATTCCATCAAGGATGGATATTCTACATAGTTGTGTGATGCATCATTCATTTCATTATTGCAAAACCGCCCTCATGCTTTAGAACAAAACCTCCCTAACCCTCCCTGTCCTGCCAATCTCATACTCCACCCACCTCGCCAACCCCCTCCGCCCCGTAACCAGCAGCGCCCCTGGGTTCACCACATGACACCCCTCATACGTGACGCAGAACGCTGGTGCTGTCGTGTCGACCAGCACCATGGCCGTGGGCAGTGGGTACAGGTGCAGCGGGCTCGCGTAGTCCCAGTGCACGGGGCGGGCCGACTGTCGGAAGGGGGCGAGGTAGCCCTGGTCCAGGACCGTCTTGACGAGCTTGCGCGCCGCGAGGACGTCGTAAGGGACTTCGGGGTTGGCATTTGGCTTGGATCTGGGTTTGCGTGGGGTGGAAGGGTCGATGTCCATGGCCTCCTCGTCGTCGTCCTCCTCTGGAGGGGGTTGTTGTGCGCCGTTGGCGCCTGACATGTTGAAGTCGTCATCGTCTCTGTCGGGAACCGTTTCGCCATTTTCTGTTGCTTCTCCTTCTGTGCTTCGGGGTTTCTTGAGACGAACAGCTGATCTCCTCAGCCGAGCAGTCATGTCATCCCTGAACAGCACAATCTCATGGCAAGGACCAAACAGGCTGAGCCTGGCCGGATTCGACGTGAACACGGCCTCCCCACCACTACCGCTACCACCGTCTTCCTTCTTGCCCATCTCATTGTTCGCAGTAGCAAACGCCCTCCTTACCCGGCTCGTAAACAGGTCTGGGACTGACTTTCTCGGCAAAGGCGTAGCAGCCCCCGCCGAGAATGCAGAAGCCCACCCATCATTATCGCCGGGAACAAATACAAATGTAGCCGACGTCAAGAGCATGGGAAACTCAGCCAGCACAGCCGCCAGAGAGTCGAAATATTCCTTATACTCCACGCTGCCGCCACTGCCGCCCCTCGCCATGACGGCGTGCTGTGTGAAATTACCCGTGAACACGAAACACAGCGGTGTTGCCCCCTCGGGCTCATTGGCATAGCCCGACAGGATCTTCTTGACAGCCTGGAGCGTCCGGGGCTGGTCTAGGTTCATCTCGCCCAGCACGACGATCCTGCCGCGGCCACGGTCGGGATCGTCATCGGTCAAGGGCCTGCGTAGTAGCCTCTGCTGAACCCTTCGCATGCGCGAGCCCATGGCCCGTTCACTTCCCACGCCCAGGAAGTCGATCCAGCCAAACCCTCCTCCAATGGTATCACTGTCCGGCCCACTGACCCCGAGCGTGACGCGTCGCTTCTCACACGGCGGCTGTCCTATAAAAAACCCCTGAAACTTCCCGCCGAGGACGCCCCCGACGCCAGAGCTCCCGCTCAGGCCAACCCTGCTGCCGCCCGCCGCGTCGTCGTCATCCTCCTCTTCATATACGCCGTCGACAAGGACGATCATGCCAGGCGTGAACCAGGCTGAGTCCTCGGGTATGGCCTGCGCCTGGGTTAGGTCGAGCTTGATCGAGCCCGTGAGGTCGCTGATGGCCAGATTGCCCGTCGGTAGGACGGTCAGCATGCCGAGGAGCATGTGATGGCTGCCGTGGCGGCCGAGGAGGTTGGCTATCGGGGTGATCTTGTGGAACTGATGTGGTGAGGAGGAGGAGGCAGCAGAGGAGCGTTTAAGGGATGTCGAGCGGGCGGTTAGAACTGCAGAGGTTTGAAATGATTCGTTGCGGAGGAGGCGCTGGTGTATGACGTTGAAGCGGTTGCGGAAGACGACAGTTCTGTGGGAGGCAGGCGGCATGAGGGAGGGTTTGCGTATCTCTCTGTTGATTTATCGATGTCTCATCAGCATGTTTCTGTTCCATCCTTTGGCGCACAAGTACACTAGAAACTCACTTCTCGAAATGCTTCTTGTCGACATTGTAGATGAACCGTGGTTGCTCCAGGGCACTGATCACCTTCAGCCATTTCCTGGGATCCCGAATATCCTCGTCGTCGTCCTTCTCGTCGACCTCGAGCGCCGACATGCCAAAGCTCGTACCGCTCTCCTCTCTCACCAGCGCCGAGGTAGGCCGCAAGCCAAGCCTCGCGTTGGTCAGATCGTCCTCCTGATGCTGGACGTCCAGCAGGAGACTATTCTGCCGGCTGAGCCCCTTGGCACCGGTGGCGATCCTCCCACCGCTCATATTTCCTTCCAGTGCCCGCAGGATTTCCTTCAGCTCTGGACTTGCCCCGTCGACAATGACGCCGCCGTTCCTGGCCTTCCACGCCCGTGCCACCTCCTCCAGCACCTTCTCTGCTAAACCTTCCTCGCGCCATCCGGAGCCGCAGTGCCGCCCAATGAAGGTGGCCAGCTCCTGCAGCGCGGACGAGGTCAGGGTGAGGGAGTGTTTCTTTGTGAAGGTGCGGAACGCGAGGGGTCGGAGGGTCGCGGGCGGAAGGAGGATAGGCAGGATGGGCGCCTGCTTGGTGTTGGCTGTCACGCTGAAGGGTCGTAAGGGGTGAACTGGCGTTCCAAAGGCTGGAGACGAGGAGGGAGCCTCTGTGGGGAGGGGGACGACACCGCGGCCGGTGAACATGGCGCCTGCTATGTCCTTGTGTTTGCGTCGCTTGCTTGGGCTGAGATGCATGGCTGCCATCTTGTCTGCAGGGAGGAGGGGTTATGCAAGTAGATGAGTGATCTCAAGCTGGTGGAAGGGGAAAAAATAAAGGAGTGTTCAAATCTGTTGGCAGCTTAAGTGTTGTCGTCGGTTGGCTATGCGCAGCGGTGACTGTGACGGTGGGCTGAGGTGCATGGCAGCTCTTGTCGTCATTTGGAGATCCAAACATCAATCATCAATTAACAAAAAACGCGCCTTCTTCTTCGCGACGCGTTTTCCAGGTGGGAAGGGACCTGACAGGGATGTTTCGGGTAGATCTTCCGCTAGGCCATAAAAGGCAACTAACAAAATAGCAACCAAAATCCGTCTTGTTTTATTTATTTATCTGGGGTCAAGATTGCGTGATTGCATGTTGAATCAATTATACATGAGCATTTGAAGCATAAATCAAAGGTAATGCACGTCTTGCCCATTGATATATTTTTCTGTCTTTCTTGACCCCAAAATGGGTATGTCGAACGTGTGTCTGATCCTTCATTATGACACCGAATATCCCAATTCTCCAGCAACCCACTGCGCTGCTGCGTCCGAGTCCTCTTGGTAGTCCAGGTGAGCCGGGGTGACAATACTCGTGCCCTTGCAGATGCCGTCCAGAGGGTGGCAGATGACATGCACCTTGGAAGATGGGATGTCGCCGACATCCTCGCCATCATCTGGGTCTCCAAAGATAAGAACTAGAGGAAGGAAAAAAGAAGAAAGGGTTAATTTGTGAGCTCATCAGATGATACTCCTTGGGCTTCCATAAATTCTATGTTGCTGGGGGCGGAGGGCGAAAGAATGTTGAGACGTACCAGCAGCGACAAAGTCAGTAACCTCAGTCGAGAGCAAGTCAGCGGCATTATGCACAAGCTGCCCACCCTGGCTGTACCCAGAGAGCACGAGGAGGGTGTCAGGGCATTGCTCATAGGCCTACACCACCAAGGACACATCAAGGTCAGCAAAACGAAGTCTCTTCCCCTAAACCTGTGTTCAGCCAACTTCCTTCTCTCTGTTGCCACCAACTTACAAGATTCGTCAGGTTTGCCATAAGCGCACTCCCCGTCGGATCTCCCCCCTCCTCAAACCCAGTAACATCTGCCGAGTAGTTGACTCCCTGCGCAGCCAGATTATTAATCCCGACATAGACTCCAAGGTCATCGAGGAACTCTGGGCCGACATCCGTGGGCTCGCCAATGTTGCCCTCCTGGTCGGTGCCGCGGGCGTAGATGACGGTGACATCCCTGCAGGCCGTGCCGTCGACCAGCTGGTCCGCATATAGGTCCGTGTAGTTACGGCGGACGAGGGAGGTGGACCGTGTCTCCTGGAAGCCTGGTGCTGGGGCTGGGGCAGCGAGGGCGACGCCCAGGCTCAGCAGGAACGAGACTGAGGTGAGGATCGACTTCATCTTGACACACACACAAAGACACAGCAGCTCGATGACTATTTGTGGTAAAGTGATAGTGGTTTCGAAAACGAATGGCTAGGTATAATGAGGGACTAGGCTAGGTAGGCAAGTGAGCGGCCTGGAGGGAGGAATAGGAAAGGAGGGTCTTGAAGCTGGTCGCCAGTTGTTGTCCCTCAGACGAGCCTCTCAGCCATTAGCCATGATAATGCTCAGGATTTATAAAAATATATATTAGAAGACTCTATGTCTCTGTGTATGTCTTCAAAGGCGTGAGTATAGTCAACCAGACAACGCGTTCTAGCTCCGTTGCGACGGCATATGCACGAGACTTGTCATCGGGACCCGATCGCCCCATCCAGAAAGTCGGGTCGACATGGGTTGTGACCCAAGAGCCACGAGTTCCCTACCAAATTAAGCAAGTTATAAAAGAAGAGCCTGTCTTGCAAGATCTCACCTGCTCTTTAAAGATCTTTCTTGTATCCTTCATTTTGTTGTAGGAATTTCCCACGACCTTTCTATGCATCTGAGAGGATGGATCCCTGCTGGACTGGACTCGCTCACACACACTCTCTTTCTCAACGAACTGTTTACTTTTTTGGGAAACAATTACCTAGATCGGTAGGTCCGCGCAGCTTGTTTCGTGGACGCAGGTCTTTTTTCTTTCTTTCTTTCTTTCTTTCTTTTTTTTTCCTTCCTTTTTTTGGGCCGAGGTGAACATAACGCATGTATCCCAAACGTCTAAGACCTGTTCGGTACTCACATTTTATACTTCTCTACAAAGACCAAGCTCGTTGCCGGATCGTTGTCGTGGCTTTCCAGCCGTCCATGGCTCGAATGCGATGCGATGCATGGCCTGTCCCACATCCGAGGGCAGGAAGAAAGTATTTGTTTGGTATCATCGTTTCATTTTGTGTTTCCTTTTCAAGCATGGTCCTCAAAAAGATCTCATAGTCGAGACACGCTAAACGCCATAAACCTCTTTCGTAACACATCTTCAAAGCAGTCCGTTGAGTGAGTGGTAGCTGAGCTAAACGGGCCCTATCCACACCCATCCATTCCTCCAGGCCACGTGTGTGACCTCAGTTCATCCCAACCTCGTCCTGTCGACCTCGCTTCTCGCCGTCCCAGGCGCCGCCGACCCAGGCACTGCAGCCGCTGACCCCGCTCCCTGGTGCCTGCTCGACTTGGGTCTCATGGGCACATAGGCATCATTAAAATTCATCGCGACGCCTAGGAATCGGAGGTCCACGTCGGGTTGGTACGCCAAGTCCCCGAGCAGGGCGCACAGCTGCTTCTGAAAGGCGGTGGCCAGCATCTTCAATCGTTCTTGTAGAGCAGGGAGTTCCGAGACCAGCCCGGCGGCCGAGCCGAATGAGGCGAAGGGGTCATCCAAGGTGGACGCCTCCATGATGGGCGTGTTGGGCTGTGAGCCGCGGGTAGATGTGGCCGCTGAGGCTGACTTCACGTGTCCCTGCTGGCGGGATGGGAAGAGCTGCCGGTGTACGCCCGTCCCGAAGCCCGTTGTGGCGGCCGAGCTCGTACGTACGTCCGCCTCCTGCCGGCGCGTGAACTCTGAGACGGACCATGAGTAGAGTCCATCGACTGAATCTCGGTACGACAGCATGTTGTCGAGGATATCCTTGAGCTGAACAAGGTAGCCATTCCGGTCCTCGCCCCCCGCGGCTGATGGCTCGTGGTATGACTTTCGCTTGGCGCCGAGCAGACCCTTGCGCGTGATAGAGTTGAGGAACTTGGAGTGTGCTTTGATCAGGTCGTCCAGCGTGCAGTCGTCCTTGGCGATGCCCTTCTGCAGCTCGTCCCAGCTGGACTCAATCACTTCGAACAGGATGTAGTACTGCAGCTGGCCGACAAAGTGAATCATCTCTGCCAGCACACCACGCGTAGCCTTCCATGTCTCAAGCATCGCACCATCATTCGTCTGCAGAACACCCCGCGCGCCTGTCATACACCTTCGCCACGTAGACGAGAGGGCAAACTCTACCCGCTTGATCTTCCAGAGAAAGTTGAAAACCTTGAGATACTGCTTGTTGCCCCACTCGGTGACGACAACATCTGTCGGTGCGTCGACCTTATATTCCAGCGTGAAGCAGTCCCAGCCAATGTCACCGTGGGAGAGCTGCAGCATACGTGCATCGAGGCGGCGAAGGACTTCAGGGGACTCGTATTGGGCATTGGAGCCTCGGATGGCATGTTCCAGCTGGGCTGTGAGGGTGTGGCGGTATTGCGCACCGGCAGGTCGGTCGAGATTGGCTGCGAGGGATTCCATGAGCAGGGCGATAAAGTCACCCTGCCCCAGCAGGAGATAGCTCTTCAGGGCCTTGAGATGGTGGAAGAGGTGGAATTTGGCCGTCATCAGATCCATCAGGCGTTTCATCGTGGTTTTGTACGCCTCGTCAATCCACGCTTCGAGTGTTGCTGTGTCGCCATATCGAAGTTCTTTGGAGGAAGACTTTGAGTAGTCGTCTACCCACGGGGCGTCGCCACAGCTGTGCCGAATGAAGTTAAGTGACTTGCCGATCAAAAACACCTTTTGGGCAAAGTCATCAGTAGTGATGCTCGGTATCATCCCCTTGTCAACCTCATACTTGTCGTTCCAGACGCTACTCATGCCACGAGCTTTGAGGTCCTGCCGCTCCTCGTCATTGGGATCCTGTTCCTTCACAAAAAATTCCCGATAGGGGTCCTGCAGCTCTCCGTCGTATATCCAGTGTCGGAGTATGTCGTAAAATGGTCTCGTCACGGAGCCCAGCAGGCGCTCTGCAAATGCTGCAACGATGGGGTCGCCGTGTGACGTAGAGAAGCCATGGATCAAGGTGATCAGCTGGCCGCCCTTCTTGCTTTTCGATTCCTCTGCGATCAGACTCAAAAGCCGCAGGCCCATCGTTGCCTCTCGGGTCCAAACGACCATCCGTTTCAACGTCACCCCAGCCTTCCCGATACCATTTCGTGGCGCCGACTCATCTAGAGAGGATAGTGCGCGCCGGATCTGACCCTCCAGAGTGGCTATCAGGCTTAAGTAAGCCCTCAACTCCTCGTTCACTGCCGCCCGCAGGCTTTGCCCCAGGAGCCCTCCTGCAGGGGTCTTGACCCAGTCTGTGAGGCTCTTGTACAGGAGTGATGGCTCGGCCAGGCTATGCAGGAGAGATATCAGGGGAGGCGGAAGTGTGGCCGGTAGCTTGAGACTGTCCTCCTTGCCGAACGGCAGAGAAGTGGAAGATAGTCCCTGGAGCGTGAACGGTAGATCTCGCAGAAGCGAGGTTTCCGGCGGGTCCAAATCGGTCTGATTGTCGGAAAGGAACTTGGATTTCAGTGCGACATCTCTGGCGTCGGCACTCTCCTCAATCTCGTCCTCGCCTCTCGATTCATCTGGACCCCGTCTCGCCTCCTCCGGCGGGAACTTCTTCAGGCCACTAGGTTGGAAAGCTTCCCTAAACTGCTCGTCTTCCCTCGAGGGGCTTTTCGAAGATTGCAAAGCTGGTTCCGTCTCGCTACGCCGTATGGCCTCGACCCTCTTATTTCCAGCGATTTGTCTCAAGGCCTCGAGAGGCAGGGGTTCATCTGGGTCGGGGGAGTCGGCGAGCTGATACAAAAGATATAGAATGGCCCATTTTTGCTGGAGCACCGGAACAGAAAGCAGGCGTGTGTACAGGTTTGTGAATCGCAAGGCAGCACTTGGATTAGTCTGGACCAGCTTCTTCTTAATCAAGTCGTGGGCATGGTTGCTGTCGGCAGAGATAGCGGGGGACGAGTTGCTGCCACATAGAAAGTCAACAAGGGCCTAGGGAGTTGGGAAAAGAGATGCAGCTTCGGGGTGTCCTCTTACTCATTGAGGATCGCATGTGCCAGCTCGATGTGCTCGTCCACCGTATCTTGGACGAAGAGCCTATCCTCCTCTCTTCTGGCCTTGGGAATGATGTGCCCTACGAGCTGCTTGATACCGGCGTCGACATGCTTCTGATTATTGCGCGACATGGTCGCATTTTGGCAAAATGGGACCACAAAACATCCACGACGCAAGCACTAAGAGTCCCTGTGTGGCGAGTAGTCGAGGAGAGGCAACAACGTGTGCAATGCAGCGTGATGTACCGTTAGGTGGAGTGAATGTTGACTTCAAACTGACGCGTCTTGCGGTCTTGTGGTGCGCGCGCTGCCGTCGATTCGGCAGATCGTTGAGGGGAGGAGGGGGCTGGATGTAGATTCTCTTTAGCGGCTCTGAAGGATGCGCTCAGTCCTCTCAGCTCATCTTTGCGCAGACCACCCAAGCAAGCAACGAACACGATATGATATGGCTGTGATCCTACCTGTTGAGGAGAGAGGATCGAATGCGACATAACAGTACATGAAATACAGTCTGAGCGGAATAAAATATGACTGGAGGCATACATATGTCTATGTTACTAAATTACTCAATTATGTACATATGCGCCTGTTGAAGTATTGCAGACCCCACCGCCTCCTCTGGGGCTCCTTGGAGAGATCTGCTAGGGTGCTGCGCTAGGGCTAGGGCGGCTTCGTAGGGGTTTCTGCCCACTGTATCTCCTGTCTTGCCTGTGGTTTGCGACTCGTGCGGCCAGCTCGTAAACGCAACTCAATTCCAACCTCCTTCCATCCCCAGCCTCAACTTCACCATCTATTCTCAGCCCACCACGGACCTAATCCATCAATCCAGATTGAGAATCATGATCGCATGACTTTAGGCACTCGTCTCATGCCCTGATTGCCGACCCTGCCGCGAGGCGGTAGGCACATTTTCTCTCAGGCGACTCGCTACATCCCTCGGCTCTATCCTCGATCGCGTCCGCGAAAGTTCCACCCCCCCCCCCCCGACCCCCCAGCCAAGATGCCTGACATCAACCCAGCCGACCTGTCGCGACCAGCGGTCACCCTCTCGACTCCCACCTTCGCATCCAAGACTATAACCGTATCCACGCCCTCTGCAAACGCCAAACCTTCCAAGACAAGTCAGATAATACCTGCACGGATCGATCTTGAGCCCATATATTCCGCCCTCAAGGCAAATATCGGCACCGAACAATGGGCAACGTATAAGGAAGCATTGACCCAGTTCTTCATCGGTTAGTCTACCCTCAGATTTTCCTATCTCTTGTCTCCCTTCGGACCATGCTGACAAATACATACAGGGCGACTGAACCAAAGCGAATTCTCGGATAGGATCGATTCTATAATTACGTCCCCCAATGGCGAGGTCGAACATCTACACAATCAGCTCCTCTCTGGGCTCTATGCCAATGTCACCCGCGAGATGCCCGACCCGGGTCTGGCCCCTTGGGTCAGTGCCAACGACAAGCCAGCCCTGGGTGCAGGGAACAAGGCGACGTCTGGCGATGCGGCGGAGAGGCGGCTGAAGGCAGAGGTCATGCAACTGCCCAGTCGTGATCGAAGACGAATCAAAGACTTGCAACAGAACGAAGTACGGTTACCCATCTCCAGTCTGGACGGTTACCCTTCCGTTCATCGTTACCGATATGCTGACGTTAGCACACCCAGGTCGATCCCTACGTCTCCATGGCCGACCTCTTCACTGAGCATCACCAACGAGCGAAACGCCCTCGACTGGCTGAGGAAAGCGCGCCAAGTAGTGGCCTGAATATGAGTATGTCGGCGCATTGCTTGCTCTGTCCTGGGGATTGGATTCCATTTGCTGACGGGTGCACCAGACCGAGAGCAAGACATCAGGAAGCGACACCTGAATCCACTCTCGCTCGAATCAGGCGAATTCCCCGAGGTTGGCTACGTCGACTCGCGTATGCTACCCTACTGCTACGAAGCTGGTCTGGAATCTGCCGCCCCAGACTCTGCCCATTTGGTATCAGCTGCAACCGAATCCTTCATCAAGGAGGTCTTAACCTCGATATTCAGCAGGACTCGGAGCAACGGGCCTGGCGAATCGGGCAGTGCGGGCTTCGGCACTGGCTCCGGGTGGATACAAACATTCAAATATAAGAAGCAACTTTCCAAGGAAGAAGACGCAGCACAAAGAGGCGAGATACTGAGGGATAAGTGCGGCTTGCTACCCATCGAGTCGAAACATGCCAGCGAGAGAGGGCCTCTGAACATGGGTGATCTGTCGCTGGCGCTTGAAGTCGCGGACTGCGGCATGGCCCAATTCCCGGTGCTCATCAGAGGTCTGCAAAACAACTACCGTGACGGAGAGCTGGAGCATCTCGACGACTACACGTACATAGAGGGGTACGAGAAGGAGGCCATGAGTCGCGGGGGCGGCGGCGGCGGCGATCTGCCGATAGCTGGTGCTGACAAGGGCAAGCAGCCACAATTGTCAAACGGCGTGTCGCACGATGACGAGATGGACATCGACACAGACTACTACTGGGCCGGTGCAGACGACGGTGCTTTGGATGCTCTAGATGCCGTACTGGATTCCACCTTGGCAGTCGCATAGAGCATTCGGCACTGGTCCATACCAGACGATATTAGAGCGAGTTTCTTGAGGGCATTTAACAACAGAGAAAGAAGGGGGCGAAAAAAGATTTATGGTTCGCGGCATTGGCGTTCTTGGGGGTGATTACAACATTCAGCGTTCCAGACCTGGATCAAGTTGGGCATGTCAACTGAGCAAGTCGCAGAGACAACGGCTCAGCGGCTTCTCCTCTTCGATATGTGGTGTATTTCTAGGATCTCTCGGCGTTCGAGGATATACGGCTTACGAGCCTGGGATGGTTTGAAAAACGTGTTTTCAGGGACGATACCCAAAGGTGGAAGGAAAGCCTGGAGAAGGAAGGGCATTTGAATTACTAAATGTGTGTCAAGATGACTGGCAGTGATGCCAGGAAGGGCAGGGAGCTTTGACAGTAAGGTCTGTCTGTATCGGGGAAAAGGTGGTGGCTACAGGGACTTTGAGGTCTCCCTCAGCCCACTGGTGGTATAAGCTGCACTAGACATGGCCCATCTTCCCCTCTGCAAGTAAAACTCACTGTTCCAGCACCTGTCCGGGTTCCAGAGCTAAGGCTGAGAAGGCAGCACCTTTTAAAACAAACTCTGCGATTGTTGTCGCAAAGGAGCTGCGAGAGCATATTAAAAAGTTTTAGAAGTAATCAAGATTAAATATTCACGTCGACTTCTTTTTGTCCGACCTCTTCTCTTTTTTAGAAGATAGTAAATAATATCAAGAGCATGCAGCTTTGGTTTGGCATCAATCCCTATAGTGCTACCATGACTTCAGTGGATATTTACAGCCCACCCCTGCCAGACGCGTAGGGGGGCTCGACGTCGCGTAAACGAGCCCCCAACCGCGTTTTCCCCCACTGCACGTCGACTTCCACATCGAGCCGCCATTATTCGTACCATTTTCACAAGCAACAGAACGAACCAATTGACCAGGGCGAAAGAGACAGAAAAAGAAAATAATGGTGCCGCTATGATATTTGGTCGTGTTTGCGCCATACATACAGATTTTTGAAGCCCTGCATTTTTATTTCCACAACAATAATAACCATGGCTTCACCTCAACCTGCGACTTCCTCTCCGACCCGAAGCGCAGCATCTCCCGACCGCTTCGACTTGTCACCGCAGTCGAGACTACGAAAATTGCTAGCGACTGTCGACAGCGACTCGGATGAGGATGTGCCCAAGTTGCCGGCAAGAAAGGCACGATTGCCTCGACTTGCCTCCCCTTCGCTTGTCCAGGGCGACGACATGTCCAACGACGACGATGAGGAGGAGGAGGCCATTGTACGTCCTAGAGGCCGGCTCGCGGCTCGGATGCAGGGCGGGGCCTTGGAAGACGTAAAAGACGCGACGCGACGCGTGGGGAAGTCGGTAGGAGGCGAGGACGTGAACACGCAAGACCACCACGCGAGTAGCAAGACGGCGGGGATCGAGGACGATGCGGAGAACGGTGACGAAGACGAGGACATGCCCGTTCGATCGAGGCAGTTGAAGCTGAGGAACCGACAGAGCAGTACTCCCGAGCCCAGTGACCCAACACCCCGGGCAGAGACATCACCGGGTCTCTTTGTTACTCCCTCCAAGCCTCCTCCGTCTGGTCAGGAGAACCCTGTTGGGGATTCCGCGAGCGACTCAGACCTGCCACCTCTCAAGAGCGACCGCTTCAAAGCCCTCGTGGAGAGGAAGCGCAAGGAGCGTCTGGCCCGCGAGGCCGAGGAGGTCCGCAAGAAGGAGGCCCGCGCCGCAGCAGCACTGGAACAGCTGGGCGACGACAACGATGACGACGTTTCCGATATCACCGACGACGAAGGGGGTCGCAAGCTCACCCAGGGCCAACAGTCTCGACCCTCGCGTAAGGCTAGCAAGAAGGCCATCGAGGAGATGAACCGCGAGACGCAGCGCATGCAGCGTGCGATGCAACTCGCCCATGAGGCCAAGACCAAGAAGAAAATCGCCAAGTCCTCGCTGTTTGAGAGGTTCAACTTCAATCCCAGCGGAAACGTGCCTGCAAAGGAGAGCTCGAGTCGGCCACAGACACCTACATCTACAAAGAGCACAGATGCTGAGATGCTGGATGCTGGGACTCCTCCCAGCTCACCTCCTGCGAGAGCAGAGGATGTGTTGGGTAAGGACCTCGAGTCAGCACAGACACAACAGACTACAGTGTTCAGTGAGAGGTTAGAAAGGGGTGACGATGATGATGATGCAGATTTGGTCGACATCATGGACATAACAGCCTTTGCACGCAAACCCCTTGACACATTCAGAGCCCAAGGCAGCTCTCCAAGTCGTCAAGCCCAGACCCCTCTCAAAGCTGCTGCACCCAAGCGACAATTCAGGGTCAAGATTTCTTCCATCCAAGCAAATCAAGTTGCTCTGGGCTCTGACAATGAAGATGAGCTCATGATCATCAACAAGAAAAGCAAACTCGACGCCGTATTTGACCGTATCCCTACGGGCAAAGCAAGGGAATCTAAATCTCTTCGCCTCCTCCGACAGCTTGCTCACCTCGACTCTCCTGAGCGTAAGACGCACAAGAAGACGGACAAAGCCGCAATGACGCCCGGCGAGCTTCAGGCTCACCTCCAGCAACGCGCCAGAGAGCAGGCGAAACTGGAGCGTGAGAGGCGGCTGGAGATGCTCAAGGCAAAGGGCATCCACATTCAGACGGAAGAGGAGCGTGAGCGTGACCGCGAGCAGATCGAGGATATGGTGGCACGTGCGAGACGAGAGGCCGAAGAGATCATGCATCGTGAGAGAGAGGAGGCTAAGAAGGAGAAGCGAGCTAAGGGTGATGATCCGCTGGCTTGGGACGATAGTGCAAGCGACGATGACGATTACGAAGCAGAGGCTTCAGAGGCAGGCGATAAGGACGAGAACGACATCGACATCGAGCTATCTGGTTCTGAAGAAGAGGAAGACAATACCGAGGGCATGGTTGTTGACGGTGATGACGATGATGAAGAACAGGTCGAGGAAGAGGAAGCTGCGGGCCCCGAGGCTGAAGACACTGCAGAGAATTCTTCTGCTGTGCACAATCTGATCGATGATGCTGCAGACGAGGATGCTGAAAGTGAGGGCTCGGCCTCCGAGTCTGAAAAGTCATGGGTCGACCCTGACGAGGAGGAAGAGAAACACCGCTGGGGTGCCGAAGATGAGGATGGAATGGACGAGGCACCAGCCTTTGCGCAAGCTCGTCGTCCCAAGGTGTCTCTCGCCGTCAAGTCTGACGATGATCATCTCGAGATCGAGGCGACCCCAAAGCCATTGAAGTCGCATGCCATCAACTTCACTCCCAAACCGATTGCCACTCAAGCCGTCACCTTTACACCTCGCCCCAACACGCATACGTCACCTGAAGTTCCAACCTCGGTTCTGCGATCTGCTGCGAAGACCTTTATCCCCGGACTGCCAGTCGACAATGGAGAGCCCGCCGGACTGCGCCTCACCCAGATATTTGCAGGAACGATGGACGACAGTCAAACGGGTCCTATGGTCTCTCCGTCACAGCCCATGCCTACGTTCGACAATTTCCCTGACTCGCAGTTCTCGCAGAACGATAGTGCGACTTCGGACGCCATGATACTGGATAGCCAGGACGTCCCGGCCACGCAGAGAGAGACACAGGGCAGTGAGAAGGAGTCTCAGATCCAGCTTGACTTCACGCAGTCTCAGACTCATGGCCTCGACAGTCTCTTAAGGGACGATCTTGGTAGTCAGCCTTCTCAGCTGATCATTCCCACGCAAGATGGTGGCTTCCAGGACTGGACCCCTCTCAAGGAGAGATTTGTTGAGCAGCCTGTGTCCACCATCAGCACGGTGGCCCACGACACAAGCCCGATCAAAGACATGTCACATGAATCCCCGTTGTTGCAAAAGCGAGGACGTCTCAGGAGGAAGGCCGTCATTGCTTCGGACTCGGAAGATGATGAAGACGATTACGATGCTGCCTCTAAGCCTACAGCCTTCAACGTCATGAAGGACGCCGCAGCACGAGAAAAGAAACAGAAGAAGCGAGACGAGTTCGACAGAAAGAAGAGCAGGGCTAAGGAGATGGTCCAGGAGCAGGCCGAAGAATCCGAGGACGAGTATGCTGGTCTTGGTGGCGTCGATGGCGAGGACAGTGACGACGATGACCTTGCCTCCGTCCATGAGATGATCGATGACCAGACGCAGGGCAACCAGCTCGAGGAGCTCAAGATCGCCGCCCTTCATGCGTACGTCACACATATCTACTTCTCATATGTCCATCTGCTGACAATTCCCGATCCAGCGAACGCGAACGAGCCGAAGATGCCAAGCAGACCGACAAACTTTTCCACGATATCACCAGGGGAATGCTGCGACGCAAGCGCGGTGCAGACTACGATCTCTCAGACTCTGACGACGGAGGCGAGGCCCGCCGCCGCATGAAGCGGCGCCAATTCGCCAAGATGCAGAAGGCTCTGTTCACGGATGAGCGCATCTCCAAGGTTGCAGAGAACCCGCGGAACCAGGCATTCATGCGCACAATCGAGGATATTGGGAGTGACGAGGAGATGGACTTCCTCTTTGAGATCCAGCCGGGGGCAGGCAACAACGAGACCCAGCTATCCAACTCCACGACGGGTGCCATGTCCCAGGAGCAGCAGACAGTGGTGCCGGACAGTCAACCTACCGAAGCTACTGCCGCCGGTGCTCAGCGGCGACCAGCTGCCGAACGCAGGACCAAAGCCAGCCGCAGGCCAGCGAGTCTCGGTGAGATCCGCGAGACGCTCTCCAACCTCCTCGACGAGCCAAGCAGCAACACAGTCATCACCGCTACGGACTTTGGTTCCGATAGTGAAGGCCACGCCGAAGATTCCAATGATGAGGGCTCAACGTCTAACAAGGAGAATTCCAATCCCAGCAGCCGCCGCCGCCGACACACAGGCGCAGGAGTGGTCGACCGGATCAGCCTCAAGCGGCAGGGCTCGTCTACTGTCTCAACCGGCAGCACCGGTGTGGGCAGGATGGCCTTTGCGGCACCTGCGTCCACAGCAGCGAATGGGGGCTTCAGGGTCCCTACACTGCTGCGGAAGGCAACGGCGAACTCGCTCATGAGCACCGCGTCGACAGCTAGCTCAGGACCCAGTGCCGGTGCGGCCGGTAATGGCAGTGGGTTTGGCGAAGGGGGCAAGATCAAGAAGAACGCGGGCAAGAGGAGCGGGATTAGCTACATCGCGCGGGAGACGGACCGCCGCGCCAAGTTGGTCGAGGTGGAGAGGCGGAGGGAGGAGAAGAAGTTCAAAGCTGTTAAGGGCCGGGGCAAGGTTGTTGGTGGATTGTTTGGGGCGGGCAAGTTCGAATAAAAGGCTTGTTCATGTCTTGGCCTATGTGCGTCTCTTACTATGCAAGGCCATCAAAAAGATGAAATTGCCAAGACTGCTTTGGGAAGCGTGTGTCGAATGGAGTTTGGGTCTAGGGGCGTGACGGATAGGGAATTCTGGCGTTTTTACCGAATGTTACTTTCGTCCGTTTCCGTAGCAGCAACTTCTTATACTGCCATCTTTTGCGCACGAAGGAGTAATGGAAAGTGCCAAAAACCACTCGAGGAAACCCACGTTGGTTGTGGGGAAGACATCTAACCGTGGGATTGACTGTCTTGTGGGGTGAACAAAGCACAGGGCGGAAATCCTCTTTCTATGTGTGAACCTGTGTTGTCCTTTGGGAAAGCCGATTTGCCATCTCAATGTCCTTTCACATTCATTCAATACTCCACCTCAAGCATGTTCAAGCTGCTTGATATAAATATCTCTCATCCGTCTCACGCAGTAATCCTCTCAAGCTACAATTTGAATATCCAATTCCATCAACCCTCTTCGGCTCTGTGACTTTTTCTGCTATGCCCAAATGCGCTTTCGCCAAAAGTTCAAATTATTGTAGCAAACCCTCACCAAAGAAAGACTACCAATTCCTTCTCTAAAGCACAAATCACACCTGCAGGAGCTTTCTTCTCCGTGCTTGAGAAATTTACAGAGACCCTTGACGCTGAAACCTTCAGACAAAGCTCCATTGCACAGGCTCCAAGGGGGGCAGACGGGTGAAGCAGGCTCTTTACAGTCCCACTCTAGGAGCACAAAGGCACTGTTCAAACACCAGCCTGTGGCTGTTATTCCATGATTACTGAGTAGTGAATGGTTGTAACAATGAGCTTCCTGGTCTTAATTTAGCCTTCCTCCAGATGAGTAGCGTGCGTGTTCAGCTTTGGGTTGGCGAAGGCAGTGAAATATTCTGTCTACAGCCATGTTACCCAAAGTGTACTGCATATTATAAACAAGTGTACCGCTCGTGGCTCTGCGGTGTTCTACACAACTTGACATCACAATCCACCAATCATTACAGAACGATCTCTTCTAGAGTTGCGAGAAAGCCAGCTTCTTTCCCTTACGAAAACCCTCATTGGTCTACTGAGTTGTTGGACTCCTTTCCACTGAAGCCTTCTTCCTCCTCTTCTTGGCCCTGCAACAGTGGAAATAGTCAACACTCAGCACCCAATCAATCACCACTGCATGGGCCAAGAATCTCCCATCTCCTCTCACACTCTCGCCTTTACCAGCATTGCCTGGTAATTGCGATACGTCTTCCCCCATCCGCCCAAGATGTGCGGCACACACTGGATCGAGTACGACTGCTCCCACTCCCAGGTGACGGTCCGCCCCGGCTCCCAGTGCGCCATCGGACTCACCCAGGGCAAAGACAAGCCTTCTACCAGGCTGTGCTGCTGGGATGAGAACCCGCAGGGCATCGAGAAGGTCCAGGGACTGTGTTCTGCATGCAATTTCCGCAAGGAAAAGTACGGCAGCGCGAACTCTGGTGTGCAGTACAGCACGGGCGGATTGTCCAAGAAGTAGCTCGCTCTGTTGATTGTGCAGACAAATTTTGTTGTTGCAGGTGAGTTGGTGGCTAATGGCGAGGGGGAGACAGAGAGAGAGAGAGAGAGAGAGAGAGAGACGCACTTTGTCTTCCATTTCCTCTCACATTCTTTTTCACATTCTCTCCCTTTGGAGCGGGATCTTACTGACTGCACAAAAGATATGTTCATCCGGACACTTGCTCTCTGGTACAAGATGTCACGTAACTCGGCTAAGTCATTCTTCCATGTGGCGTTTTGATTTACAGTACTATTTTGCTAATACTCGAGGCTGCAACTCGTTAATCTTGCCTTTCTGAGGAGCAGTCTAGTCTACCAAGTTGTAGGTAGTTGCTCCTAGCGACTTAGCCAGTGACATTGGATTGCAATTGTAAGTAGTAATGAATATTCTGAGGGAAAACTGATTACAGCGTCTTATCTGGACAGGATTGAGGATAAGGTAAGTTGTTTCAAGGAACTGGTTGGTGCTCGGGTCCAAATCAAGCATAACATTCAGTGGATGAAAAGTGGTCAGGGGCAACACTCGCTTGTAACTGTAAGTGTTCACATTGCTACCTAGATGACCAAGTAGTCCTCCATAATCTGATGTCTCTGCTGACAATCATCGGAGACAAGCACATCTATTCTGTGAGACAGTACTCGTATGGGGCTCTCTGCAGAGACAGGCCGTCAAGTCAATTGACTTATCTGAGCACGGACGAGCAAAATATGTTGGTAAGTAGAGTAATCAGTAAGAAGAGGTAGGTCTTGAGCTTTGCTATATTTGGTATACATGATATTAGACTTGACCAACTTATTGGAACGATCGTCAATATTGAAGATGTATTAACATATGGGCGCATCTGGACCAAAATACACAGATTGTGAGGTCGAAACTAAGTTGTTATGTACCGCAACAATGCAATTGTACCGTAATTAGACAGATAAAGAAGTGTGTGACAAAGCAACACAAGACCATTGAGCACGTACAAGCATTGAATTTTGGAACCAAGCCCTGTGTTCACTAGTATCTGCTGCTTGACAAACATGCTCTCCAAAGGGACGTACGATGCTCTTCAAAAATGAATGTCAACACTTCGACGCCCGGGCAGTCTATACCGTAGCTCCTATGCAGAACACTGGAACGCAGTTAGCCTTAGGCTAATGAACAATTGTTGAAGTTCAATATTGCCAATGTGGCGAAAGGTTAATATCCATCCCTTAGAGTAGTTGTAATACTCATTACGTTTGAATTGACAGCAAGGAGACTCTGTTAAAGGGCCATCCAAACACGGTCAGTTCAAAAATGTCTAGACCAACACGAGAAAGTACACTTTTAAAAAGACAGTTCCATTAATCCAGACCTGTCATTTGTATCCCAAGCCCAATATGGTTCTTCCAGCCGAGGCGTGCGATAACTGTGAAATAATCACCACGTGGGTACCTTTTGAAGATAAAGGTGCCGGTGGGCTTCCCCGCTCTACTTCCGGGCCCGGAGTCGGCTCAACTAATTATTATCAGAGTGCATCATCTTACGCATGTTTCTTCTCAAGTCTCGATTTTTTGACTCTCTCTTTTTCACTTTCTATTTATTCAGAATATTCTTTCAATCCCACTTCTTCTTCTTCATTTTCACACACACACACACTCACAATCACTCACTCACTTACCAACTCACAAATTCCCTTCGTGAGGACCGCCCCACACCCCTCATATTCCCTCAAAAATGGTCCTCCGCGAGGTCAGAGAAGGCCAGTCAGGCCTACCCGTGCCCAACTCAACCCTCTCCTACTGGCACAAAGACCCCTCCCCAAAGCTCCTCAACCACCGCACGACAGCCGACCTCCCCGCCACAGCCGACACCATCATCATCGGCACCGGCATGACGGGCTCCTTCGCCGCGCGCTTCCTCAAAGAAGCCCAGCCCAGCTCGCGCCTCGTCATGCTCGAGGCCCGCGAGGCCTGCTGGGGCGCCACGGGCCGCAACGGCGGCCACTGCCAGCCGTTCCTGTACGGCACGTCGCCCGAGGTGGCCAGGTTCGAGCTGGAGACGTACTTCTTCCTGCGGGATCTCGTCGAGCGCGAGGGCGTCCAGTGTGGGTGGCGCAGCCTGCCGGGCGTGCACGCCATGCTCAGCGAGGACGTGTACGAGGCGGCCAAGGAGGCGGTTCCCAGGCTGCGGGAAAAAGTGCCCGAGTTTGCCGACAAGATTGTCGCCGTTGGGCCGGACGGGGTGGTGCGGAGTGGCCGTGGCAGCAGCAGCAGCAGCAAGGAAGGAGAAGGAGAAGGAGGAGAAGATGACTGGGCGGCAGGCTTGACCCTGGACACCCTGCGCCTGAACCAGCCCGACGTCAAGGGCGCCATCGTGCAGCGGTACGCGGCCAGCATGTGGCCGTACAAGCTGGTGTGCTGGGTCCTCGAGACGCTGCTGGCCACACACGCGCCGGCCGCCTTCAACCTGCAGACTAACACGGCGGTGACGGGCGTGTCCAGGGCAGCCGACGGCAGGCAGTGGACGGTGCAGACGGCGCGCGGGCCCATCACGGCGCCCAAGGTGCTCCTGGCCACCAACGGCTATACGTCACGCCTGCTCCCGGCCTTCTCAGACCTGATCGTGCCGGTGCGCGGCCAGGTGGGCGCGCTGCTGCCGCCCACGGAGCCGAGGGTGGGGCTGGACTACTCGTACGTGTTCTTCGGCCGGCTCAAGGACGAGGACGACAGCGCGGCGACGCGGGACGAGTACCTCGTGCAGAGGCCACTTCCCGGCGGGGAGCTGATCCTGGGCGGCGGCAGACACCTGGCCAAGGGCATGGCGGTGGGCGAGTGGCATGATGATGTGGTGGAGGAGAGGGTGGCGGCGTGGCTGCGCACGGAGCTGGAGCCTGTGCTGGACCTTGACGGCAAGGAGGAGAACAAGAAGAGGGGGCTGGAGGCGGCCATGGAGTGGACTGGGATCATGGCGTATTCGCGCGACCAGAGCCCCTGGGTCGGTCCTGTGCCGGAGAGCCTGGGCGGCGGGGAGGGCTTGTATATTGCGTCTGGGTTCACGGGACATGGCATGCCGCGGTGTGCGCTGGCGGGTCGGGGCGTGGCGAGGATGATGGAGGGGGATCTGGAGGGGCATGGTGTGCCGCAGGTGTTTTTGGTGGGTGCTGAGAGGGCGGAGAAGGCGAGGGAGGACTGGGGCCCTGTTGGGACGGTGGATGAGATGGAGGCCCTCATGGCTGATCTCAAGGAGCAGTCGTAGAATAAAAGGATGTATAGAGAAAGACAAGATGATGATGATCACCATGTTGGTGAAGATGTTTACTCATGATTTGGGTCTATACTGCGGCATGAATATTGTGTTTATAGGACTGAAATCATGTTGCCTGATCTGTAGAACTGATCGTCCTGAAGAAGAAGAAGAAGAAGAACCAGGCCTGCCTCAAGCAACAACCTCTAAGCCTCTCAACAACAACAACAACAACAACAACAACAAGAGGCTATTTCATCCATAACAGCCTCCTCATCCAAGTAATACCCTCCTATCTCAGACGACGAGCCATGAAGAAGCTCAATGCGCAGCATCAGGCCCAGTACCGTTCCTCTCACCAACTAAATCAAACTATTATTAGCCAACACATTCCATTCAAAGATCAATCAAGCTTACAATCAGACGCAGAGGGAAAGAAACAGCAAAGAGGGAGAAGGACAAAAGAAAAGAAACTCACCATCCAAGGCCACCAGAAACCGGCTCACACAATTATAACAAGACACAACAGCCACAATCTCCACGGTCCCCCGCTCGCCCCAGGCCCTCCTGACCGCCGCAAACGTCTCCTCCCCAACCTCCACATTCCGCGTCATCTCATCCGCCAAAACAACCGCCGCCCACTGACCCTCATCCAACCCTCCCTCTCCTTCTCCCTCTCCAGCACCAACAGGCCGATCCCCCAGCCCAAGAGGGCCCTCCCGCCGCACCGCAGCCATCACCGCCTCGCCCGCGCCCGCCGCCACCGCCAGCGGCGCATGATGGCCCCACTCGTACCACGCCCGGTTGACCACCGCCACGCGCGAGATGGCCAGCTCGCGGACCAGGTCCGGCACCGAGGTGGTGCGCGTCCGCACGGCGCCTAAAAAGGCGTTCCACCCGTCTGCCACGGGCGGCGAGTGCAGCAGGGTGAGGTCGAGGGCCTGCAAGGGGCGCGGGTGGCGCCGGGCCCGGATGCGGTCGACGATGGCTTGGTCTTGGGGGTCTGTGGTGGGTGGAGGGTCGGCGACGTAGGGGAGGCGCATTTTGAGAGGTGGGTGGGTGTGGTAGGGCGATGATGAGAGGGAAAGAGGAGGTGTGGTGGTGGTGATGGGAGGTCTTTGTTGTGGTTGTGGACGTGTTGTTGGTCTTCTTGGTGGTGTGGAGAGGCGTTGCAAGAATGGTAGACGAGGAGGCATGAAAAGATTGAATGAACAAGTCACGATGAGAAATGAAAAGTGAGCTTCAGAGAAGGACAAGAGAGAAGAGGGTCAGTCATATATAATTTAGTGAAATCATTACCCCGCGGGTGTTCCGCGTAAATGCTCTCCCGCTATGTGCCGTGCTTCGGTCCGAGCCGGCACGTTGAGAAACAGTAACCATTTCTCAATTGTTAATCTTTTTTCATCTTGTACAATATACACTATTACTTTCCGTAATGATTGTTATTTAAGATACTGTCTCTGTATAGAGGCCAATTGGTGCACAGAGCTCGAAATAATCTTGGAGTTCTAGAAATAGAATTGACAGTGAGTTGGACTGGAAAGTCCTGATTGCATTCAAGAACATCTATTTTATTACAACAAGGTAGATAAATTTGTATGGAAATAGATACTCTTCATTCTCATCATCCTCGTGTAGATAAGACAAATGGTGTATTGCTTGCAAAAAACCTCATACTACTTGTGACACCCAATGTCTTCTTCCTTTCAAACCAGTCCTGACGAAAGACGACAAACGGTGGGGAAAAAGTGAAATGCAGTCAAGTGACATTATATAAAACAAATCAACTTGGGTGAACCAATATTGACACCTTTTTCCAATGCTATACAATGTTATGACTCTGAGGGAGAAAGGGGTAAAGCGTTCAAAGGGGGTATCAAACTCCCCAATACTAAAATGCCCTCTGGAAATTAAAACCAAAATATGTCGTGATGTAGATGCGTGCCTGCGTGCTTGTTGCTCCTCCTCGTCCGCAATGCCCAGCAACCACTCAACTACCTGATGCCATCAATTATGCACCCTCTTCGTCTCTGTTTCTCTCTCTCTCTCTCTCTCTCCTCTCTTTCAACATCAACCAAGACCACCATAGAAAAGAAATGTCAAAATATAAATAGTTAAAATCCAAACAGATAAACGGCCGTGAGATATTCGTGCGCTGAGTGGTTGATGATCATCTCCTGGGGAAAAGATAGGTGTGTCTGCAGCTCCGGCCCCAAAGTCGTATATGTAGAACGTGAAAATCATGACAATCGTAGAATCCTTTCCCATTCTTTTTCCCCCTTCGTTATTCTCCTCCTTACAACCTTTTTTTTTGGGCGGGGGGGGGGGGGGGGTTTATTTCTTCTTTCTTCCAATTCCCCTCTTGTGACATGGAACTTTGCCATCACGGTGACGATCCCGGAGTCGGAGACCCGACCAGTGTAGGAGAGGGCGACATGGCCCTCTCGATGCTGGCGTGGCGCTTGTGGAGCAGCGGCGAGAGCTGCAGCTCGCGGATGACCCCAGCCCAGCCTTGTTGTTTCCGGCTCCTCTCGCTGTTCTCGGTATTCCTCAAGGGCGTGGTGCTGAGCCGCCGCAGCATAGGCTTCTGCCTGATAGCCTCCCCCAGGCCCTTGGGCAGCTGCGGTCGGGCCGAGTACTCCTGGTTGAAGAGGCGGTCGCCCACCTTCTCGGGGTCCTTTGCCGACGACTTTCGTTCGTGCTTGGCGCCGTTGCCGGTGCTGGTGCTGTTGCTGTTGCTGTTGTGGTGGTCGGCAGCACCGCTCGAGACGATGCCCATGTATACCACCAGGAACCGCATGCGGAGCATGTCCAGGCGGCGGACCTTGTCCTCGAGGCCCTTCCTCTTGGACGCCCAGAGGAGCCTCGCGCTCGCCCGCAGCCGCAGGTCCCGCAGGTCGCTGTACCCGTCGCTGGCAAGATTGCCGTTCTCGGTCATGAGTAGGCTGTTCAGCTCCTCGCGCAGGTCATCGCCGCCCCTCTGGATCTCGCCCAGCAGCCTGCCCAGGCGCAGCTTGTCGTCGAGCCGCTGCAGGCGCGACACATCGCGGTCGTAGCTTTCGTTCTCGTGGACGGAGCTGTCGGCTGCGTCGACAAAGGTCAGGATCTCGGCAGGGGCGGCGATATAGGCCTTGGCGTACGAGGACAGGATCTGCAGGGTGACGACGGCGGAGAGGAAGAGCGCCGTCAGGGCGAGGATGAAGGTCCACTGGCTCGAGGTGCTGGCGGTGTCGGCCATTGTTGCATGTGGTTTTATGGTCGAGGTGAGGGTGATGGACAGCTCATGGCCCTGCAGCCGAGGCAAAATCAAATTCGAACGCAGGATGTTGTGGTCGTGACCATGCGCGGGAGGGGAAGGGTTGGGTTGAATTGAAAATGTAGGAATGGTAAGGAAGGATGAGGTGAAGAGGAGGACGGAGGACAACGACGCTGCCAACGACGACGAGGATCAGGTGTTGAGAGGGGAAGAAGGCAATCGAAGAATTAATTAGGAGAGGATGTTGGCGCTAAGACGAGACAAGAACCAGCGGCAAACCGATACGACAGCAGTGATGACGACAAGGGCAGTACAATCTGGCACATGCCAGGCGGGATACTAGAAGCTAGGCTAGGCCAGGTTTATAGAGAGGGAAACTGGCGCCAGGGAACTTTTGAATATCAAGGAGATGGCATTGAAAACCACAGAGTGAGGGCTTGGAAAAATAAGAAGAAGGCCAAAATGATGATGCTGATGTCGCCTCGCTGTCCTTTCTTGGGGGGAAAAGAAAGAGGGGCGGCGGAGAGAGAAAAAAAGATGTTGTCCAGATCGGGATGCCAATCTGGCGTGCATGTAGTGAATGTATGTGGCCCGTGTGTGGGTGGACGAATTTCGCCTCCGAGAAGGTCGGAGAGGGGTGGGGAGAGAGGAGGAGGGAGAATTTACTGGAATGACTTACTGATTGACCGTACGTACGAGGAGGCAAAGCAAGGGGGCATTGAGTGATGATCCTTCCGATCCCTCCACTGTCGCGTGTCAAATGAAACAACCCCAACCCACCTAAGAAATACTGTCCTATAGTACTGATAGTTAGTGTTCCCCAGTATTTCCCCCTTTCAACGTGCATATCCTCTGCTGCAGCAAGGCCTTTGCAGGAACTCTTTTGCTGGGGCGCCAGAAGGCCGTCGTGGCACGCTGTCAGCCCACTGATGGGCCAATTGTCAGTGGCTGACAGCAGGGGGGTCAGCCTCTACAGGGGGGTAGTCTTTACAGGGGTGGGGGGCAGGTGAAGACGCAAGCTAACGGCCATGTCCTGTGTTGGGCCTAGACTTTGGGCTACGGTCTGTGTGAATCCGTTGTATCCCAGCCCACAATCAAGCTCCCGAATGGATGTAGGCCGCCCACTTGGTCCATGAAGATGGGTAGCGTTCTCGAGTCTTCATGACGGCTTCTCGCAGAGCCACGGCCACCACCCTGTCGTCCAGGGCATCCTTCTCAACACCAAACAGGCTCGTATAAAAGACCCGGGCAATATGCACCCCAACCTCATCTTCTACCTTCCACAAGGATCCAATGACGTGGGAGAAGCCTGCAATCTGTAGAGCCCCCGACGTATGAAGGCCTTCATCCCCAAGCCGGAAACTACCCATGGACGCTGTCGTGCAGGCAGACAAAAACGCGATCCACACCTTCTGCAGGTTGTCCTGGGCCAGAAAATGCGACACGGTGAGTTTATCGACCTCCTTGCTAGTCTTGTCCTCGGCGCATGGCTTCTCCAAGACAAGGTGGCTCTGAGACGGATCTCTCCTGTCCGCTTCACCGTGGCAGGCGAAGTGGACAATGTCGCTCTTGGCGATAGCTTCTAGTGCACATGCCACATTTGGCTGTGGCAGATCTGTGCACTTCAGTTTCTCCTTGGCCAGAGCCTTTGCCAGATCCATGACGACCTCCTTCTCCTCCTTCACTCCCGGTAAGGGTGCATGACCACCGGGCGTAGTTTCCATTGTAATGACGGTCATGTGGAGTCTCGTCTGGTGGCTCGCGCTCCTCAGAGCTTGAGACTGGGCAGATCGCTGTCGGGCATGCAAGAGAGCCTTGATCGATGGCGCATAGGACGAGACCGACAGACACAGTGCGTCCTGGCCAGACTCCGAAGCGGCAGCGGCATGGAACGGGAAGCCAGCTGCCAACCCGGATCCGATCCACCAAATTCGGGGCAGGGGGTCCAGAGGCAGCTTGTCATCCGCAGTCTTCACGGCACCACACTTTCTCAGCTCATTAAAAATGGGCTGTACACAGCTGTCCCATAGCCAGCTCAGGAAGTCTGACGATGCATCTTGTCTCGAGGGCTGTTTGGGAACTTTTCTAGAGAGTACTTCGTATGCTCTCTTGACGGGGAAATCCACAGTCGAGAAGCCTGCAATGAGCTTTACGCCAAAGTCGACTGCCTTCTCGAGCTGCAGCTTTGAGAGCGGCACAACCCGTATGCCTTCGTCGACAAGAATGATGGCGTCACTTCTCATGTAGCTGATATTCACCAGGACAACAGCGCCGTCCTTGGAGCACGACTTCATGTGGTCAAGGGGCGGTTCGAGCAGGAAGTCCTGGTGGCCTGGGAGGCTCCTGATTTTGTCGAGGCAATTCTTGAGGTCGACCTCAGCAGCCCTCCTCTCCCGCAATTTGATCTCTCCGAGACGACGACCTTGAAGGTCGGGAGAGATGCGCAGCTTTGCCTTGATGTCTTCCAACTCCTTGGCAAGGTCCTTGTCCGTTGCTTTCAACGCCGTTGCTTCGTCGCTCTTTTCCATGGCAAACCCGAGGAGCATGGCTCTCCCTGCCTCGAGCTGTTGAAGCGCCTCCTCAGCCTTGCCTACCTGCAGCATCAGGGAGCAGATCTCAGAGGCCAAGCCCGAGGTTTCTGAAATGACCTGCTGCTGGTCCTGTAAGGACAGATACCTTCCGCAGGCCAGCGACAGCAGCCGCATGGCTTCCCGGCCGACGGGCACGGCCTCTTCCCACCTGTCCAGGCCCCCGAGGATCCTAATTGCCTTTCGAGCTGCCCGAATTCGTAGCAATGGCAGGCCGTTCGGCGACTCGACCGCTTCTTTGTAATTGCGGAGGGGCTCGGCAAAGGCAGGAGGAACAGCTATCCGACCAATCTCTGGATCCTTGCCCAGTATCTGTGCAGCAAGCAGATTGCCGTGGCACAAAAGGTATAACGCTCGATCCTGCGCGTCTGGCGGTGCCAATCTGAGACATTGTTCTGAGTGGTCGAATGCTTTCACCAGATCTTGGTCGTCCTGACAGCCTCCTGCGTCCCATTTATTGAGGTACGCCTGCGACAGAATATGCCGGAGATGGGCGCCGTGCGGGTGATCCGGGCCAGCTAGCAGCGCTGCCTTCTCGCCATGGTCAATGGCCAAGAGTATCTCCGGTTTCCTGTTCGGCTGCCAGCTTCGGATGGCCAGGGCGTTGCAGAGTAAGGAGTGGGTGACAACGCTCTCTGTATGACCTTTCGGGTACTTGGCGAGTGCTCGCTCGAGGGCTTCCACGGCTTCGTCAAGGAGCTCGCCGCGCAAGTGACAGCCGTAAGCGTGGAGCAGGATATTTCCAAGATTCTGTAGACTGACAGCCCACTCAGTGGCGTTTGTATTCTCCAGACTGGCCAAGGTCCGGTACCGCGAGACAGCGATATCCAGGGCTTCCATCTCCCCGGTCCATTCGAACCTGAGGCCGAGCGCATCTGCCAGGTTGCTCAGGCTAATCAGACGGGACTTGCTGCCTTCCAAGGAGAGTGTGACTGCCTCTTCGAACAACCTGGCAGCTTCATCTAGGCTAGAGTCCTTGGCTGAGATGCGAAATTCCGCGACATGGGCCAAGCCAAGATTGTTCAGCCATCTTACTTTGTCGGGGCTGCGCTCCGTTACAAGATCTACCGCGGTCTTTCCATTGGCTAGCGAATCTTCCAGGTCCGTCGGTTCCCTTCTTGGTTGATAACGGTAGTACTGGGCCAGAGCAAGCGCTCCGTAGACGAAGGATATATCTGATATCCCGCAGTCTTCACGTTGAGCCAGTTCCTTTGCCCTCAGGCCCATTTCAACCGCGTTGTCCAAGTGCGCATCCCCATCCTCGGCCCCAAAATCAAGCAAGAATGGCAGAGACTCGGAGAGATTGGAAAGGGCGTATATCTGAGTGTCGGTCTCGACGCCTTGGAGGGTTTGAACAGCTCGGGCTCGGTCGATGCCAGTTCGGAGATCTTGTTCGTCTCCAACATTCCGGAATCGCTGCAACAGAAGATTCCCGTGGAGCTGGAGTAGCTCTGGGTGTCCGCCCACCACGCGTTGGTATGCTTCCAACTCTGTGATGGCTTTGTCGAGCTCGATGGAGTTTTGCGTAGCCTCGAAGACGGCGAGATGAGCACGTCCGTAGATCAAGAGATGGTCTGAGAACAGCCCATGTGTCTCGCTGATGGCCGAGCCGACTCGGTCTACCAAGGTGACTGCACGTTCTATATCTGATACGTGTCCGGTGCGCTTTTGATACCGTTCAAGAAGAAGGTCTGCCGCGAGTAGTAACCTCTGCATCAGCAACGGGTCCTGGGGTGCCGTCAGATTCACCGCTCGGATCCGCAGATCAATTTCGAGATCGTTCACGGCGTGCCCAATCGCGTCGTTCCGCACCAATCTCCTTCTCGCTGCGTTGTCAGCTAGCTTGTCATAATCGTGAGCTTGCGGGTTGACAGCGTAGGGGAGCGGGAGTATGAGTTGGTGTTGGTCCACCTCTTCGAGTATGTCTGTCAACTGATTTAACCAAAGAACGTCATCGATACTATTAGCCATAGCTATCTTCCAGGTGTGCAAGGCTGTCAAGGATTGAGTTGCGCCTTTAAGCAATATTACCACCCAGATGTGAAAGGAGGGGTGAAATTGTATGGCTGACAACGAAGCTGAAAACATAATGTAGGGGTCTATTACTGCCTAAATCACGTGTACTCCCCGCGCCTTTCCTTTCGAGATGTCTTTCCAACAAACATTAACAATAAGAACTTCACCAACCTTAACATGGCCAGCGCAAGACATTTCGCGGTCCTGATCGGCGTCGACTTCTACATCAGAGAGCCCTTGAGCAGCTGTGTTCGAGATGTTGACCTGGTCGAGGCCTATCTTGAGACTCTTCGGCAGAAGAACCGTTTCAATCTACTACACATTACGAAGCTGACCGCCAGCAAACCGGCGAGTCAAGCTTCGGACCTGCAGAAACCACCCGAGAGCGATGAAGCCTTAGCAACACTACAGAACATCAAGGAGACCCTGAGCCGAGTCGCCTCAGAAGCAGTCAAAGGCGATCATGTCTACGTTCATTATTCTGGCCACGGCACGGTCATGAGAGATGGTGAACTGGCCCTCGTCCCGTTCGGGTGCGAAGACGGCGTCGAAAACCCGCTGAGAGACTGTCTCGCAGGGAAAGATTTGGCAAATTTCCTCAACAAGGCGGTGGTGAAGGGGGTGAAGGTTCTCCTGGCCCTCGACTGCTGCTTCTCGGGAAAGATATCTCGACATAACCAGCCAGACGCAGTGCGGTACCTGCCTTTTGTCCCGCGAACAGAGACGGGGGGCGTCGAGATGTTGCGACCGTATGAAGCCGGCCAAGGTGTATTTCGCAGCGACAACGCAACCTTCCGAGGCACAACGGTGCTTGCAGATTGGCTTATGGATCCCAAAGGTTACACAATTCTGACGGCGTGCGGTCCGGCGCAGACTACACACGGCCTCAGATTTGCCGATGGGAAGCTCCACGGTGCTCTCACCTACGTCTTGGTTCGGGCGCTTCAGAAATTGGGCGCACTGAATATGAGCCACATGGTCGTGTTCAAGATCATCTGCGCCATGTTTGTAGCCATGGCGTCCAGTCAGATTCCTCAGCTGAAAGGAAGCGGCGACTTTACCTTCTTCGGAGAGCTACATGGCCCCGACGACTGCTTCTTCCCTATCATCAAGTTATCCAACGGCCAGATCATACTTCAGGCAGGGGAGATCATGGGCGTGCACGAGAATGATAAGCTGGTCATTGCTCCTCTGAGCGCCTTTGCAAGTGAAAAGTGGGATCACGAGCATGGGCTGGCCACTGCCCGGAATGTGGGCGGAGTGACAGCTGAGGTCAAGCTTGAAGGTATGGATGCTGCTCAGATCGGCTCTGGCTGGATAGCGAGACTACGCAAGTTTTGCGAGGATCCTGTCTCGACGGTTGGTAATGACCCTCGTGTAAGGGAACTCTCGAGCCCTCTAGTAGGTGGTGGTTCAGGTGAGCACGGCCAACCCTCTCAAGAGGAGAATGTGCTTCTTCCTCCCGGCTACACAGAAGCTACGGCTCCTGTGAAGGCGACAGTCAATGGTCTGGGCGGGTTTGAGATACGAGATCGAGAGGGGCGGGCGATTGATTTTGATGCGCTTTCCCTATTGCCAGCTCATTCAACGAGTGCCCGCTCCCAGGTCATCCGTGTTCTGGCATACCTCGCAAGATATCACGACATTGTGCAGCTCAAGCCCTTGGGGGAAAGCGAGACACTACGAAATGCTGTCGATGTTGGGCTCTTCAGAGAGTCAGGAGCTTCATTTCCAGACATCCAAGTTGTTGACGTGGTGGACGGAGAAGTTCTTCAACTGCTGATCATTAACAAGGGCGAGCAATCAATCTATGTGAACGTCTTTTGCCTTGCCGGTAACTGGGAGATTCAGAACAACCTGACCGCCGAGAATACTGTGTTATCGTCCCAGAAGCATGCCGAAAGCGAGGAAGACTTCACTGCGGATATTCGGTTCAAGATGATGGTGCCGGAAGAATCAATCCTCCGTGGGATTCACAGCTGCGAAGACATCTTCAAAGTCTTTCTCACTACGAGGCAAGTGCCACTTGCAGACCTGGCGGCGGTGAAGCCCTTGCTACGGGGCTCACCAGCCAAATGGGAGGACGACTTGCGAGACTCTTGGTTAGCACGGACGTTCCATGTCCGCACATCGTACAACCCAGACATCGCCGTCGCCGCCTTGCGGTCAAGTTGACAGGGAAGAGTCTGAGTGCCTGTGATGCATGCGAAGAGGCGCTTGTTTGCTGGGTACCTGGTTGAAGACATGGTGGTAATATGCGTACATTCATTCAGGGAAATTGTCTGGGCAGCGCAAGGACCGAGAATTGGGCGAACAGATCTTGGCTATATTGGCAGACTCCCTGAATTAACAGCTCCAAATGATAAATTTTGGCTTTTGAAGGGGTGTGATCGTCCTGTAATCCTGAGGAAAGCTAATAATCGCTACATTTTTATCGGCTCTCTTACATTATTGAGTCTCTCGGTGGACGCTCTCAGGATAAGGTAGTTAGAAGGAGGCCCGTTTTAGGGAAGCAAGTCAACGTGATAAGACTATACTGAGAATTACTGGAGCGGTGAATAGATTACTCAATTCTTGCATTTGCCTCTATGGATCACAGGCTTCTAGCCCACTCACACTCTACTCACACAATCTCTCAGCAGCTGCCCAAGTATACGCAATTCAAAATTTGAGGCAGACACTAAGCCTCTGCTAAGAGTAATGCGTCCGGGGACAATAACAACCCAGATGGAGAAGAAGCAATGCGTCTAATTCAAATCTATTCAAGGTACAGATCATGAAACAGGACACACAGAACAATGGTTCCAAGGCAAGATTTCACAATTCAACATCAGGCAGAAAATACTTATGGAATCTAAGGTTGGGGGTTATAAGCTGGACTACTTCTTAGGTAGTTGAAAAGAGTTCCAATGTCTATATATGACACTGCTCTTGCTAGCACGAATATTTTGGTACTTTAGCAATTATGAAGGACTGCATTGCTTATCACACTGCTGTACAGTAGCCTTGGAGAAATACATGCGTCCCATCGAAGTTGTACCCAGCAAAAGTGTTTTGGAGTTCCACAAATAATGTTTGGGCTGTTATTTTCAGAAGCCTCAACTTCGATCCGGGCACCTTATGTGGAATATTAATTGATTAGCTCGTTCTGTGAGTGGCAAATTAAATAGAAGGAATTTGATATGTAGCATTTGAAACTGGTGACTACAGATGAAGACCACACAATTCGTCCTCATTTGTGAATGATTTGGGTGGACTAACCCCTTCGAAACCGCATGTATTTTCTATTGGTGGGTGCACATGTAATGCGCCACCTTCAGGCATATATACTTGCCTGTCTGCCTCAAGCACAGCCCATCGAACGTTAGATTGCGACCAAGCCGGACTCGATTTCGCGTTCAGACAAGATAACAGCATCTTTCAGACATTATGGTAAACATGGACCTCGAATGCGGCTCGATTTTTCGTGGCGCCTCTGCGGAGTTTGCTTGGATCCCCCGGTCATGGCAGGCTGTCATCGATATAACGAGCAGGCTATGTGCAATACTGAAAAGCAGGCCAAACACAACCCCAAATGCGACTAGACTCGACGAGCAGAGTAAGTGGGAGCCAAATGGCACCCAAGTTGCGTGTTCCCATCAATAGTACGTATAATGACCAAATCATAAATGTCGTCTAGTCGAGGACTATCCTCAGGGCTACCCCCGATACTCGGCCCTGATAGCTTCAGATGAGGCGTTCTACATCTGTCGAGGGTTCTCCTATCTGAGAAGCCGCCTACTTCTGCGCAAACAAGACAAGCTTGCCGTCCTCGAGAAGCGTCTGAGGGAGATGGATGACGCCGAAACGGTCCCGCTCTTCCTGGGGGCATCTCGAGAAGACGCGAATATGCATCGTCAGCAGATTCTCGACGAGATAGACGTGGCCCTGTCAGATTACTGTTGGTATCTCTCTCTCTTTTGGGAATTTTTCTTTTTGGCCTGCAGATCTAACTTTACAACAGACGAGTTCATGGAAAAAATATCCCATGCCCTCAGCTTGAGACGGCCTCCGCGACGTAATGTGACCAGTTTATCAAATTGGCTGGAGGGCAACGCTGCACTGGCGCGAGACGAGACGGCATACCTGTGCAACACCGATGACCTCGTCAGTCTGAGCTGTTCAGGGGATGGGCTAGTCACATCTATGGAGGGTGTGGTTGAGGATGCTCTAATTCGTTTCCATAAGGGATTTAGATCCGTGAGCCAAAGTCCCCCCCTCTCCTTACATACGAACTGATATATTACATATATATATGTTTGATGCTAAACAAGAGACCATGGAAAAGCTACCGGGACACCGCCGATCGAGAGACGCACATGTCTACTTATACTCAGGCGCCCTTGTCAGACGTCTCTCGCACGTCGCCACCTCTGCGTTCGTGGCGTTGCTGTTAATCGCGCCCATCATCGCTTGCTTTGTCGTGCAGAGCATACCACTTCGCCTGCTGCTCATATTACTCGCGACTATACTGTTGCTGATGACCCTGGCAACATTCTCATACCGAAGAACAGTTGAGCTGTTCATGGCCGGAGCCACGTCCGTATCCCCAGCCATCATTCATTACTAGTGGTGGACGATTCTGATATAGTCTCTAGTTACTGTGCGGTTTTAGTCGTGTTTCTCTCGGGCAACGGCTCTTCCTCTTCGTCATGACCAGCAATATAAGCCGTGGCATTCCGATTCTTATTAAATAGCGCTGAGGATGAGGCTGGCTCAACTGGGGGCTTGCTTTATGCGGGGTAGAAGTCGATAGAAGGGCTAGACGGTACGGAACCAAGAAATTGCACATTAGGCACCGACTCTAAATCAACTTGGGAACCCCCTCTCCTCCCAAAACCCCTACCATTCCCTGTGACGACTTGAAGGTGTTCCCATCCAGTTTTGACAGCAATCTTGCCAGAAACAGTTACCCAGATCTTTATGCCTGAATCAACACACATTTATCTCAGTTCTGGCAGGCGGTTCTAAGTGTCGTGCTGGCCCACCTTCGCCTGCCAACTCGTCTGCAGACATCAGCCCAAGATGGAATCCAATCTGGATGGGTAATGATACCCACCTCACTATTATTCGTAGCCTAGACTGATGGTGGATCCATAATCATGTAGGGGTGATAGCCCCAAGTACATCATCGACTACGGGGAGCCAAGACCATATGTCCAAAATTACAACCAGGTGAGTTGGGAGTGAAAACCAAATGTGCTACTAATGATTCATTCTTGACTGACGCAAAGCATCAGACGGCTCGGTTCCGTCCAGGCGACAAAGTCTGGTATCATCCCGCGGGCAACACCGCCCCTGAAGGTCCATTCAAGGTCTCAACAAGCCCTTCTGCTGGGAAATATATCCTCTGCTTGGTTGACAATGTTGAAGTAAAGGCCAAAAATGGGATAGAAATCGACGAAGAGCACTTGAAGCCTGTGCAGCCGTAGGTAGACATTTGACCAGGATAAGTCTATTTACGTCTATCATACATAGTACTTTCTGCAGTGGAGAGGCCCTGCCCCTCTTTCAGTGGACCGCACCCAGAAAAAAGTTACCCCTCCACATCCCCAGCCGCGCCCGCCAAGTGCTCGACAAACTTACAGCGTCCAACACCTGCTGCTCCAAGATAGCAAAGCCACAACTACCATTTCCCACCACACCAGTTCCAAGATACCAACGACCAAGAACATCCAAAAGAGAGAGAGAGAGAGAGAGAGATCGATCATCTACCAACAACATATATCCTAAACCAAAGAGGAACAAGACCCCCCCCCCCCCCCAAAAATAAACCACAACCCCTCAACGATGGCCACCCCCCACCCACTCCCACCCCCGCCCGTCCTCACCTACCCCTCCACCACACCCCCCGAGCTCATCACCCAAGGCGCCGAGGGCCTCCTGTACCGCACAACCTACCTCCACCCAACCCTCCCCAGCGCCCTCAAGCACCGCCCGTCCAAGCCCTACCGCCACCCGACCCTCGACGCCCGCCTCACCCGCCAGCGCATCCTCGCCGAGGCCCGCATCCTCGCCCGGTGCAGGCGCGACGGCGTCGCCGTGCCCGCTGTCTACTGCGTCGACGAGGCCGCAGGCTGGCTCATGATGGAGTGGGTCGAGGGCAGGCCGGTGCGGGCGGCCGTGAACGAGTGGCTGGGCGACAAGACGGAGGAAGAGGTGCTGCTGCGGCGGGGGGATGCTGCTGCTGACGATGATGACAACAATAACAACACCAACAACAGCAATAACAGGGGGAATGCGTCGCTGGTGGACCTGATGAGGAGGGTCGGGGCTGCGGTGGGGAGGCTGCATGGTGCCGGCGTGGTCCATGGGGACCTGACCACGAGTAACATGATGCTGCGGCCGGCGAGGCCGGCAATACAGGATGCGGAGGGCGAGGACGAGGACGGCAAGCTGGACGGCGAGATTGTGATCATCGACTTTGGCCTGGCCAGCCAGGGGACGCACGAGGAGGACAGGGCGGTGGACTTGTATGTGCTCGAGCGGGCGTTCCTGAGCACACACCCGAGGACGGAGAAGCTGTTTGGCGAGGTGCTAGAGGGGTACCGGCAGACCTTCAAGGCGGCCAGGCAGGTGCTGAAGAAGCTTGAGGATGTGAGGATGCGGGGGAGGAAGAGGAGTATGATAGGGTGAAAGGGCATACGGAAGCCATGCAGAGATGGTTCGCCTTGCTTGGTGATTCACTCTATGATGTGTATATATGTATATGTGTATATGTATGCGTGCGTGTGCATGTGTATGTGTATGTGTGTGTATGCCTTGAACGATATTTTTCCTCTCGCAAAGAGTAAGTATAGAAGCAATGTACATGATCTTTGAATGCAGACAGCCACCGTGGTATCAAGGACAACAACAACAGACAGAACAGACAGAAAAGCTGCCCCGGTGTCTAAATGTGCTCCCAGCCTTTCCACCCCCTTCGGCCATTCCCTTCAGCCGTCCCAAGAGCTCTACTCTTCCGTCAGCGCAGCGCCGGCGAAGTAGCCCTTGCTCTCGATGACGCCTCGGTCCCTCACCACAGCCGTGTACTTGACCACCCACTGCGGCGTAAGATCCCCTCTCAATCCCTCCTCCTCCTCCTTGTCCTCCCTCTCCACCCCATCCGCTGGGTCGGCCAGCACGCCTGCACCCTTGGGCCCCTGGCCGAGCAGCTCCCTCAGTGTTCCCTTGGGCAGGATGTCGGTGCAGTCGCTGTGCACGAATAGCTCAATGTTCTTCTCCTTAGCCAGGCTCACCAGTGGCGGCGGTACATCACAGCAGTTCTTGATATTGATCTGGTCCACGCCCGGCTTCACCGAGACTCCTTCCAGGAAGCGTGAAAGTTTCTCGCTGCCGAACTCGGCGATGCCCAGCCGCCCGACGAGGCCCTCGTGGTAGAGCGGCTCAATGGCGGACTCCCATGTCGCAAGCTCGCCCTCGTCATCGCCCTGCGTGGCGTTGTGCTTGTCGGCCTCCCACTCGCAGTCGCCCTCGAACGACATGCCGGGGAAGGAGACGATAAGGAGGGAGACGGCCGAGACGCGCAGCTCTTTCATGACCAGCGACAGGGCCTCGCGCGTGTAGGCAGCGCGCTGCGACAGGGTCGAGGTCGGAAGAAAGAAGATCTTGACAGTAATGTCGTAGGCGGCTGCGTCCTCCTGCAGGCCAGGTGTGGCATCCCAGTCTATACGGGGGACGTAGAGGTCACCGTTGCCCTCGAGAGACGTCCACTGCGCGAGGGGCGAGGAGATACCGTTGGGTGCGCCATTCGTGTTGCCGTTGCCATTGCTATGGCCGTTGGGGGTGGAATTTTTCGAGCCTTGTGACGAGGAGTCGTACTCTTGTTTTGCGGCCAGGAAGTTATTGCGGAGGGAATTGGTGAGCTCAAGATTCGATCTGAAGGCCCCCGGCTTGCGGATGAGGGACGAGCCACCGCCGACCGAGATGTTACTGCGTAAGAGAACGAGATGACTTGATCAGCATATTGCCGCACACAGCGGAGTTGGGAGGAGGGGCATTTGCGCCGATTACGGGCGGGCGCATCAAGGAGCAGATAAGGACTCACCCCGTGGATAATATCAGTCTCTTGACCATGTTCGCGCTATCTTCACTGCTAGTCGGAGGAGACTGCTGCTTATCTTGACTCTGCCTCTGCCTCTGCTTCTGCCTCCTGGGGAGAATGCAATCGACCAGAGTCTGGAGAAAATCCACGGGCCATTTGAATCGGCCCTGACTAGGACTTGGCATTTGGCGGGGTCCAGAGAAGATCGACCGACGGAATACGGGGCGATATTGTACTGACCCAAAGTCTCCGGATTAGTAATGGTGATAGGTGACCAGGCTTGCGGGTGGGTTTGTGTAGAAAAGGGCACACAGTTTTGACAACGCCCTGCTTGCACCACCTTACAAATACTGTAGAATCTGAAGGAACAGGAAAAAAGAATGTCGGTGGGTCTGGTCTTGTGTATGGTCCTCGGAATGAGGAGCCTGATCGGAGGCGGAGGGGGAGGACGACGAGGGGGGAACAACAATCTCTTTGCCATCTTTTATATCTGCAGCGCATCATCCCACATGCCGGCAAGTACATGTACCATGCATGCTGTGCACGTGTTGTCGATTACCACAGTATCATCGTAGGCCCCACGCATCCGGCTGGCCGACGATCGCTGTTGATAGCGCCGATGACTAGATCTAGAGAAAGCCAATACTCCATCTTTGAAGGTAGAAAGGGTGGGAGGGGTCGTTGCTGGTCTGAAAGCGGCTCAAGCGTCCAAGGCATCACTGTCACCCTGCATGCGCTTGCCGTCGATTGGATGGAATTGAGACGAGATGTATCGGAAGTCGCTGCCTTCAAACCTCCGTTGATGGACCCCACGTCAATTAATGAACGGAAGAGTTGGGGGTCAGTTCATGGACGTGGGAGGGAGGGAGGGGAACCGTTGAATCTAACGGCCAGGGAGATATTAGATTGGAGGCCCAGCTGTTCCAATCGTGTGCCTAGTATCTCCTACCTACTATGTACAGTAATTTATAACAGGAAATCCGTACCGCAGTGCAAAGTACATCATAGCATTCATACATAGCACATATAACCTTCAGCACTTATCGGTGGTGCTCCAGAGCGCCCGACAGGGTCACCTGGGGTAGGGGAGGTGTGGGGGTTAGGGGGTTGCTTACTACTGTACATACCGTAGACCGTAGTACTGTACCATAGTACTCGCGCTACGGCGCTTGTTGCATGCTGGAGCCAAGCATCTGCAACTCGTCCCCGACTTTTGTACTTGTCAAGAGAAAGTTGGCTGCTTTTCATCCTCGACCTCAAGCCAACCTGCCCACCGCCTTCTCTCCTCGCCTCCTTCCCTCTGCCAATCCATCTCCTCCCGTTTGGTGATGGTATCGCCACCATGGCGATCAACTATTTAATCTTGCTGTCCCGCCAGGGCAAAGTAGTAAGTCTCTTGCCAGCACCGTTGTCATCTTTCTTCTTCCAAGCCCTCTGCGCAAGGTTACCTGACACCGTCTCCTCCTCTCGCAGCGTCTTGCCAAATGGTTCACCACCCTCTCGCCCAAGGAGAAAGCCAAGATCGTCAAAGATGTCTCCCAGCTGGTTCTGGCCCGGCGCACACGGATGTGCAACTTTCTTGAATACAAGGGTACATGTCGCTCGCGGCCTTTCCCCTCGACCGTGGCGGGTGGCCTCCCTCCCCTCTACGACTTCAAACTGATCCAGATGGGTCTGCTGCAGATACCAAGATCGTATACCGCCGATATGCCTCCCTGTTCTTCATCGTCGGCTGCTCATCCGATGACAACGAGCTGATTACACTCGAAATCATCCACCGCTACGTCGAGCAGATGGACAAGTACTACGGAAACGTCTGCGAGCTGGACATCATCTTCTCCTTTACCAAAGCCTACTATATCCTTGACGAGCTCATCCTCGCCGGAGAGCTACAAGAGAGCAGTAAGAAGAACGTGCTGAGATGTATTGGGCAACAAGACTCTCTCGAAGATATGGAGGTCAGTTGCATCTTGTCTCTCCCTCCTGGCCGTTGCGAGTGTGCTCGTATTATTTTTGGACCTGTCTCCTTCACCACCTTTCCTCCTTTCTTTCATCCTCTACACCCCCAATGTGACTTGTCTCCCGCGTCCCATCTCCGTCTCGTGCGGTCTCGTCCAACCTCGGAGCGTTACTTTTAACTGACGCCGAAACTGCTTACCGCCAGGTCGAGGACGAAGTGACGAAGATCATGTAATGCGTCGGCGATGTTGGCACATACTCACATCTCTCATGTTCCTGAATGACTAGCCACTGTTTATACTTTGCACGATGAGAGCAGAGGAGCACAAGGGGGCTGCCTTTCCCTTGGCTAACGTGCCATACTTTAACACAGGCCCAACAGGAGATTTCAGGCGCCCTGAAGGAGGTTGGGATCCTTTGAGATCAGCACAGACGGCGGTCTATGTGCCGTTCGCGAGCCTGGCAACATACAATTCAGAAAGAGGATTGCGTTGGGGCCGATATCTGGCGTTGAAAGGCTGCTTGGGATACTGGCGGGGACCTAGCAGCTGGTCTGATGGAAGGTCAGCTGCAGGTGGAGGAGAAGGAGGGGGAGGATGGCTACACAACGCACTGATGGCGGCTGGATTGAAAGTCCAGCGGAACCCAAGATCGCGGACCATGGCAGCAGACAGGCATCGTTCGAGAGCTTCGACGCCATGCAAGCATCACGTCTTTCCGGAGGTACGCAAGACTACAGGTGTTTTCTTTCCGCTAATAGAACTAGAAGACCTCGCCCAAAAAAGAAAACACAATGACGTCTACCATTCGAACAGTCCAATGCCTCTGCGGTTCATGTTCAGCCCGTCCACTCACTCGAATAGAAACCTGCACGTTTAAGATGGCCGCGTATTTGATGAGGCATCATCCTGACTCGGCTGGCTGCCACGAGGGCCGCCGCTCGTGTCGTTGATCTGGCATACGATTCGCTCTAACAGGCCAAGCTGGCGCAGCAGATAACCAGCTTGTCCCCGCAGCCATGCGTTGGGGACGGGGAGAGGGGCGGGCAGACCAAGTCACCCACCCTGCCACTGCCAACCCACGCCGCCCTAATTAATGAACTAAACCTATGCCACTATAGGAGGTGAAGAAACCACTGAGACCAACCGCTGTGGCCATGCTGTTACCCGTGGCATCTCCTTTGTTGGTTGGCCCTGGAACTGAGCCGGTCTCAGACCCGGTTTCTTCCCCTCCTCCCTAACAGATTACTGTTATTCACTACCAAGTACTTTACCGCACCCGTGTCAGACAACTGACCCCCCCCCCCCGCCCCTACTCGGCCGCATTGCGTTATCAACTTAAGGCGACTACCGGGGCCTCTCAACCTCAACTCGCCCTTGCATCTCCTTTTCCCCTCCTGGCTTCCCTCTCTCTCCCGCTCTTTATCAACTGACCAAGAATCGCAAAACAAACTCGACACTTCATTCACTAAACACAAAGAACGACCCAATATGGCTATTTTTACCCAGCACACTCTCTAGCTCTAGACGCATACATGCGTTCTGGACTGTGATTGACTACTAAGCCTATCAAGGCAGTCAGTCCCAGTCACTTGCTCCTCCTCTGCATCCCTCACCGGTGTTTGTACCCTTCCGATTCGGCAGGGGGTTTTGACCAGAGCAACAACTCCACCGACAAACGACAGCAATCACTCAACTGCAACCCGCAGCACCTCTTTGAGATACCCAATTGTTTTACCTTTTTTTTTCTTGGCTTCGTCTTCTTGGCCTTCTCTCTCCTCCTTATAATTTTGGGCTTGTTGTGCACACACCGTCCACAGTCGCGCGTCCACGGATCCATTCTCCCATTCGACAAAACCTCAATGACGTTGTCGTTTCACGCCGGCTCCACCGATAACACCACCCAACATCCCTCCAGCAACAACAACGACACTGCAGTAGGCTGCTGAAGGCCTCACAATTACTGACGATGAAGGTTCGCCCTTTCCAACTCGGGAGAACAGGTGGCACTTTAGTATTTCCTGCGCCAAGGTCACTGATCTGTTACCCCTCGTGTAGTTCCTACCTCTTCGCGACTTCGATGTCGTGACCAGCGCGCTGAACTTCGACACCCCTGATTGCCACGTTACTGGCGGATGCGACCTCTACACGACGAAGGCAGCAGGCAGCGACAAGAAGCTCTACAAGAATATCGACAAGTCGCTCGAGTCACAACATGAGGCCATGCTCAAGTTCGGCGCAAGCCTCTCCCCACCACAGCGGTCGAGTCTCAACCTGTCACGGTCAAGTCCCTTCGGCCCCCTTTCCGAGATATCGAGTCGTAAGACATTCGCATACCTGATCGCGACATTGAACGCGTCGCACCCCGATTACGACTTCAGCCATGTCCTCCGGCCTGCGGACTTTAAGCGCGAGCGGCCCCTTCGGAAAGCGATGACGAATCTCGACACGACTCTCCGCAGCGCGCGGCCCAATGCACAACCCACCATTGATTTCCCCGTCAGCGCGCTCCTGTCCGGCAGCAAGAAATCCAAGAAGGCCGCCGCCGCCGCAGCAGCAGACATGGGCTCGAGCCCACCCGCGGTATCCGGCACCGAGTCACCGCCTTGGGGCCCTCACATGTGGGCCCTACTCGATAAGGAGATGGCTCTCAAGGACTGCTCTGTCTTCAGCTACCAGCCGGCTATGAATCCGTTTGACGAGGAGGCCGCCGCCATCTGGAGCATGCACTACTTCTTCTTCAACAAGCTGCGCAAGCGAGTCGCGTATCTATACGTGAGAGGCGTGCCCGTCGTATCGCACAGCAGCCCGCCGCAGTTTTTGCGGCCGTCAGCTCGTGCAAGGAGCGGCGCTATGTCACTGACGCCCACCTCCTCATCGGGAGACCTGCGCAAGAGGCGGTTGATGGAGGAGGCGGGCGCCAACAAGCGCGCCAGGTTCTGGCTTGGCGACCGTGCCGAAAGGGTCACGGCCAGCGATGAGGAGGACGATTATGCAGACGACGGTCTGACGTGGAATCGCGATCGCGACGGCGTGCTGGAGCTCGACGAGTTCGCGGGGAGCTATGATGACTACGACAATTTCCCCGATGAGGACTTCGACGACGACGACGACGACCTCTTCTCGGAGGAGGATGACGCCGAGGATGCGGACGACGAGGCCAGGACAAGTCATGAACCCGTCCGCAGCGAGTCGGAAGATTTCGCCGGAACGATGGAGATCGAGTAAAATCGGCTTTCTCCTTACAAATGCTACAATCTAAGGATGTGCTGATCGGCCTGACTGCCTCAACGCAGCAGGTCAAGGGGCTGGGCCCTTGCGCCGGCCGTCTCACGGATTCCTCAGCCCTCTCTATCTTCCTCACCTTGTTTACAGATCCACAGCTACTGGTTTTGCGCCTTAATATCACCCACGCTGTGCTGGATTTATTTCCATTCCTTACTGGATCTTCTGTCACTTTGTACTGTTCATTGGTTCTCGTTCGACTGATTTCTTGCTTCTGCACTTCTGGGTCCGGATCCTCAAATTTTTAAGCTCTGATTTTGCGACTGGATCTTTTTTCTCCCCCCCCCCCCCCTCGTCTTCCCTTTGGTTCTATTTGTTTTGATTCTTGATTTCCATGGTGGAGGCGTTACACATGAGCATGGAGCCGGTGAGAGCGGCTCTTTGGACAAACACTACCTGGCAAGTAGGGAAGTTTCGTCGAGGGTTCTTGGTTTGTATTCTTGTGAGGGGTTCATGGAGTGTTATGTATCAAACTGGATGGCTTCTGTCCTTTTTAGGGTTTTGATTTGGGCTTTTGACTTGAGAGGAAGGTGGACAAGAGCAAGACACCCACAGAGGAATGCGGAAGATGTGGGATCACATACACGAGACATGTGCTGAATTGAAATTACTAACAGTTCTCCAAACGTTCAATTGCTTTGTCCTCTCACCTGTTGTTGTTTTATGAATGCCTCTTGGAAAATCACTATGGATGATTTACCGTTTACTATGCTTAGTGACATGACCTGTGGCACAAGGCGCAAACTTGTTGACCCCACGTCTACGTATTGATACTGTTGACCCGCCTTCTCCTTTCCCCCCTCTATTCCCCCTGAGCCCCACATTATTTATAGTTGTACATACAGTAGGTGTCATCTCCTGTAATACCAATGGTCTTGACAAGATGGTTGCCTCCCTATTCATGCGTTGATAGCTGTGCAACCGGAAGCTCTGGTGAAAGGCAATTGTAGATACTTGTAGATACCATGTCAGGCAAGTATCCCAGTGCAAGCTACTCCGTGGTCTCCTGGGGAACAGCACTTGAGGTCACCAAATGAAGGAGGGCGTTTTTGCAAGATCTATAAAGTCAGGCCCAACGCCAACAGATTTTTCATTCTCTTACAAAGGATCTAAAGTAAGCTGATTAATTGCAATCTGGCTAATTCACGACGGGTCTGCTTTCAGTATCCGTCTTCGATCCATTTTTGGGGGGAAAATATCGACTCGCATCCGCATCCACGTGGTCGTGGTGAACCCAACCGCCGGCATCATCTTTGGGATTCCGCATCGAGACTAAAAGATTCCAAAAGGAAGTCAAGAAAGGCCAAGCATTTCCGTTCTGTTAGTTCCGTAGAGAGGGGGAGGAGAGCAGAAACCTCTCGATCCGTCAACATAGCAGACCTCTACTCTGCGACATCGAGGTCATCGTGAGCAGGGGGAGGGCTGTCCAGGGCTAGAGTGGCGGTCAGCGCAGTTCTGTGGGTCGTGGGGACATGGAAAGAGGCGAACCCTTGCGATCGTCACCATTGGTATCACGGCGGTCCCGGTCATCACGGTCATCCTTGTAGTCCTTGTCACGGTCGTCACGGTCGCTATATCTGCAATATTAGCATTACAATCTTGAAAACATGACACGTGCGTGCAATTACTTACCGACGATCCGGGGAACGAGAGCGATCACGGGTATCACGACGCTCGCGGTCGTAATCGCGGTCGCGGTCACGGCGATCATCCTTGCGAGGAGAGTAGTCGCGAGCACGGCGAGGGCTGGGAGACCTGCGTCGAGGAGATCGAGGAGCGCGGCGGTCACCACGGTCACCACGGTCACTGCCACGATCACGCTCGCGTCCAGAGTCGAAGCGCCAGGAGGCAGAGGGAGGGGTACGAGCCCACTGTAGCAGCATTGGTCAGTATTCTGTATAGTTGAGGAGGAAAAGAGAGCTCTGGCGTCTTACCTCGATCTTCAGGAGGTCGTCACGACCGATGCGCTTGTTATGCATCTCATGGTAGGCGTCCTCGGCGTCACGACGGTCCTCGTACTCCACAAACGCAAACCTGGAATAAGCGTTAGCAAATCTTCCTCTAGGCATCGCCTGAAGGGAAAGGAAGGAGATGGATGACCTACAGTCTGCTGCTCGCAGAGCGAGGGGCCGGGATGTCGCAGCGGACGAGCCTGCCATAGCTGTGTGACGTGTGTCAGCATCTTCAGGTCGGTACGGGAAAAGAAAAAACCGGATGAGGTGGGTATTTCGTCGCGTGGCATTATCGTCGTCCTGCAGGGCAGCCCAGGGGCTCCTGCTCTGTCTGAGGGCTACCGTCGACAGGCAACTTGCCCGATGCAAGGCCACCAAACGTGTGTATAGATCATCATATTGACACGACCGTCTAATTTTATGGCATTCGCCAACCGCTCGATCGAAGGAGGACGAGGAGGGCTAGGGCGGGAGCAAGGAACGACGGAGGGTGTTACGACACGACGGAGGACAGCGGGACAGATATAGCGATAACGTTTTCTTCCGACGAGGACGAGGACGAGGGCGAACAAGGGCGAGGTGGGAGGATGGAAGCTGATCGGGGTTGGACTGAGGAATGGAGGGATCGGAATTACCGTTCGAACTCGTAGGCTAGGTCGCGGGCACGAGTGCCATGGCTGAAGCCAGTGACGTAGAGCGTGGTTCCTCCGCGAGACATCTTCTTTGAGGAGATGGATCTTTGTTGTCGTTGTCGTCGTCGATGGAGGGTGTGATGATTAGAGGGGAGATGGAGGTGTTGTTTTGGAAGGAGATGATTTGGGGTGGGTTGAGGTCAAACTTTCTCAGCCACCTTGCATTTGCAAGCTCCGTCAGAGGCAGCTGCCGCGGAGAATTAGCAGGCCAAGAATAGGACTAGCGTCTTGGCTGGTGCGTCACTGGCTAGCTGGGGGCAGAAGGGGTCTGAAGTGCAGAAGGACCCTGCCCCTAACCCTGGCCTTTCCCCTTTGCCTCCTAGATTTTGGGGTCTGGGACAAATCATGCTCATCACCTGCCGTCACCTTTACACAACCTGCACAGGCATTTGCAAGACACTCCCAGCACCGACATTGTCGATCTAATGAGATTTGCCTGTCCAAAATTATCTAGCAGATGACGATTACAGTATCAGATACAAAGAGCACAGGGTTGACGGCCCTGTAAAGATGCCAAGCCAGAAGATAACGTTCCCCAATGTTTGTCTGCCTTTCAACCACTTTGTCCTACTCAGTCGCACAAGCTATCAAACCACTTGTTGTCAGTAGGTTTTCTCTTTGGATTTCTCTTGGGAGGCTGTTCATGCTCCTTTACAAGACATGTTGAGCGCAGCATAGATAGATGGAGCAACTTACTGGTAGCTGAAACATCTGCAGCATCAACAAATAGCCCCTGAGTTTCTTGAAGATGCACCACATGACCAGCTCGTGCACACATGCCGACAGGAAGAAGGTGATTAGAGTGGCAGTGTGCTTGTTGACCTTCATAGCTGAGATAGAAGAGTGATAAACATGCCGTAACAGGAAGTTGTGGACCGGCCGATTCCAGTCCCTCGCGAACTGGTCCCACGACACCGAGTTCCACCAGTCGGCATAGAACTCGCGGTCGGCAAAATAGGTGAGCTCGCCGAGAAGATTGAGTATGGCCTCCCAGATAACATACCAGCTCAGGAGGTACTCCATCATGAGCGGGAAGATCAAGTCGGACAGCATCCACGGGAACTCCTTCATCCGGTCTGCCAGCGGCATGCCCGTCTCCTTCATGGCCTCGGTCCTCATCACCACCGGGTAGATGAAGGCCTGGGATACGGCAATCATCACGAATATGACACCAAATGTGGCAGCGGCCTTCTCTCCGACGTAGCGCCAGCTGATGCTTTCGGCGCGAGGGTACTCAAGCTCGTACACGACAGTCGGGAAGACGATGTATTGGTAATGGTTCCTCAGCGTCAGATTTCTGGGGTAAGCTCTTTCTGGGGATGTCGATTTGCCTGTGAGCTCCTCGGTGAGCCCGTCAATCTCCCATTGGATGATGTTCTCAAACACCCGGATCTGCTCGAGGTCAAGTGGCCTGCTTGACTCGATGGCGGCCTCGATCTCCTCGAGGTCCTGGCTGAAGTTATCGGAACCTGGGTGGAGCGACCGTCGACGCTGTCTGATATCGTTCACGGAGGGCCGTCTGTTCAGATAGGCCGAAGCCGCCGCAGCTACGCCTGTCGACCGGCTCGATGATGAGGACGGCTTGGACGCTTCGATCTGCTCGAGCTGCTTGAGTCTGCGCAGGAGCTCTGCCCGCGCCTTGTAGGCCGTCGACAGGTGACCGTTGTAGAAGGCGTAGGAATGCTGCTTCATCAGCATCACGAGGGTATGAAGGACGAAGAAGACGGTATGGGACCAGGGCCAGCTCCGGAGCTGTGTCCAGCCGACGTTGGCACCGATGAAGATGGTCTGCCACAGGTTCTGCACGATCCAGCCGGCCCCGTCCCAGTCCATGTAGCCTTTGTAAATCAGGAGCTGCAGGATCCAGCTCACGCCCGTGAGCCCACACATGATCCCGTCCGAAAGTAAAAGAACCACGACATCCCTCTGGAACATGTACTTCATGATGTCGTTGGTGCCCAGGGGGTTGCCAGTCTTCTTCCAGTTCTCTGCCCCTATTTTGAGCATGAAGATGGCGACGGCGATCCAGAATAGGGTAAAGAAGCCATGGAACGGACTGGTGGCAGCCGCCTCGTTTCTCGTGTCAAAGGTACTGAACTTCTGGGTGAACACGTAGTCCCTGAACCTCCCCTTGCGCTTGAGGTTCGAATCGGATTCTTTGGCCTAGAAGGAGAAATGAGTTCAGTGGCCTGTCTCGGCATGCAAGGGGTTTCATCATGTTGTGTTCCACCTACCATCTGCATGCCCCTCTTCAGGATAGCCCGCAGCTCCTTGTCGTCCGAGGCGACGGTGTAGACCTTGGCACCTTTGAGGGAAGACACGTCTTCGAGATTGCCCATGTCGGCTGACATGTCGCTCATCGGAGTCGAAGGCTCACTGATGACGGAATCTTTCAGGCTGCTGCCGAGCCTCGCCATCGGGTCTCTTGGCTTCGGGTGCTTCTCACCACCAGCACCACTCCTCCGCAGGAGAACGGCCACGGGTTTCTTCGACTCGTCGTCGTAGTCCTCCTCGCTGGTGCTGTCTCCTGGGGTGTGAATGCCGCTTCCGCCATTGGGAGATCGCAAGACCTCTCTCAGGGATTGCTGCTGCTGTGGGTGACCGAGGTTGATGTATGAATCACCAGCCTGTGGCGCCGAGCTAGATGAACCACTGCTGCGGCCATGGTGGGCCGAGAGATCTGCAGGCGCAGCTGTGCCCTTGTCGGCCATCTGCTGCAGTGTTAATGTTTCAGATGTCATGGTGTAGGGCGCATATAGATAATAAGCACAGTTGAGATGGGAATAGCATTATGATAGTGATTAGGAGGAGGAGGAGGAGCCGGCGATTGAAATGCTTGAGGCTATCTCTCTGCTTTTGAAGGAGTGGGCTCAGAACTCGAAGACATCATGGGCGATGGCATACCTCGGACGATTCGGATGGTGAATGTTCCCGTTCGGATACCACGGAGAGGCTAACACTCGAGTGATATCGTCAAAACAACACGAATTCCTCATAAATATGTCACCTGCCGCAGAGCTCGGACACACCGGAAAGCCCGTCAACTCATCCGAGCCTGGAATATCCTCACTCGATGACGAAGGGCTTAGTTGGTAGTAAAGAGGTCGACTGCAGGATCGATGCCAAGAGAGAGAGGCAATGTCGAGAAAATGTCGAGGTCAGTCAAAGGAACCTTAATCCACCGGAAACAACGTTGTCAAAAGGTGGTCTGTGGGACGTCTGAAAGATGCCACCAAGCTGGGAGAGCAGGTCGAGGCCAGAAAATTTGTTTCTTTATTTCCCTCTTTCCTCAGATTCGGTGCTCTGGTGGACGTTGCGTGGCCTCTTGGACAGCAAACAAGCAGAACAGGGCTACCTGCAGTGCATCTGACGTCAAAATCCCATGTAGGAGCGGGCATGCAAGTGTTACACTGGTGGCCGATCACAGCGGCCAAGGAGGGCAGTGAGACAATTCATAAGAAGCGCGAACATGCCCAAACCTTGCTGAATCTAAAAGTTCCACGTAAATTTATACACATAAATAAGTTCCGATAATTTCTAGACAAAATCATGTCTTGAGCTTCCCAGAATCGTCTCTGACCACGGGAAATCTACACAGTTCTTAGGTAGGGCTAAAGGTTTTCATTTTCAGTACTGACCCCCCCCCCCACCTTCGCCCCTTGGCCCCATTCCGGATGTATTAGTTCAGCCTGATTTTAGTCAGCATCACAAACTCGCGTGCTTCACCAGCAGCTACTCATCTTACAACCCTCGATTCTTCTACCTAATGATTTACAAAATTATACCTCCTGTCTCCCTCTTTTGCAAAGACAGGGTGGCAATCAGTCAGAATCAGATCCAGCCAATGTCTAGGTCCGAATAATCTATATGGTTAATACGAATCGCGGCAGATTCTGTTGAGCCAGCAAAGTGCACATGTGAGCTGCCACGAGCTTCTATCAACTTTGTGTGTGTTTATGGAATATTGGTACAGGATGGTAAATTACGATGTTGCTCAGGACGTGAACCGCTTAGCTCGGAACTTCTCAACAGTCAGGATAGGAATATATGTAGTATACCTTACTGCATGCATCATGAGGTCGTAAACAATACATTTGCCAATGAACTTTCAACTGAGACGAATAGCAAAACGGAGTTTCTATTAGCACGTTGCAGTCAAGCGCTGGTCTTATTCAATAGCACATAAAAGGAAGACACTCTGCAGCAGTGCCTCTTGTCAGATGGTACACTCATGATGTTATTTGCACCACTTGGCTATATATATTATGTCCCTGGTATCCGTAGCAGATGAGGACTTTCTATTCTTTGAGTCTCCCTTCCTAAAGTGAGCGAGAAGGAAGTCTGGGCAGAAGCAAGCATTCTCTCTTGGAAATTACTATTTATGATGGACTAATGTCTGTAACATTGCAAGAAAGTATCTTCACGACCAAAAAGGGGCAATTTTTATACTTTGCTTGATCATACGGTTCCAAATGGGGCTGGGGCCCACTTGTACTTTTGGGCGGCGCTGCACTCTGACGTAGGAAGAGATAAAGTCATGGCGATCACAAGACGTCCAGAGGATTACCAGGGGTAAGGATCTCTAGTCAGTCAAGCAACCTCACTCCATAGTGAGGTGGTCACGATGCGAATGGTATGCCTGGCATAGTAAGATGTCAGATTCTTAAATAGCCCCAATGCAGTAATATAGCGGAAGCACTCACCCTACTACTATGTACCTGACAAGTACTTACTGACCTATAAGTACTCAAGTTAGCAAACCAGCTATAGATTATCACAGACAAATCAACATCTCATGCATCCTAATTAAGTACCCAAAGCTGTAATATTCCCAATTACAGGCGTCAACATGCTCTGTGACACTTGCACACAAGTCTTTACACACGATGTGTTCAATCCCCCCAAGGGACCACATCACACAGAGCTCGAATACAAAGACCACAACGGAAGCTTCTGCATCTGGCCTTCAGATGGCCAGATCTACTTCGTCCCACACCAGCCAAGCCGTGCCGAGCTTGAACGAACAGCGCAGCGGGGCTGTTCCTGTTGCGCCTGGCTCCTGACGCAGACGGAACCCCCCACGCCAGAGCAAGACCATCCCGATAATGTCTTTGGGTTCTGGCTGCACCGTCAGGGTACCGGTGTGCACTATTGTGTGGCTGACTATAGACCTCGAGGCGGTGGCCTGCACAAGATGCGTGGGCATGAGATCAACGACATTGAGCGCAGGCTTCTGTGGCCTCGGGGGAATGCGTTTGAGCTCCTTGCTGCTCACGGTACGTGTCCCTGTGACTGGTCATCACACACGTGGAATCTGAATTGCTTCAATAAATAATCTAACGAGCTCCTCCTGATCATGTTTAGGCTCTCCAGCGGCACTCTCTGGCGATGTCTGTGGTCGTCCGATGGCCAGACCAGGCGACCTGTCGCACATTCGTGCGTGGCTGGACGACTGCCTCCAAAACCATCCACGGCACGCTCAAAGGTCCCGACGATGTGAAATGCGTTCACGGCATCAGTCTAGCTCTGCTGACCCTGCACTCCCATCCCGTATCCTAGACCTTACCTCATCGGAAGAGTCTTCTGGTGGTTTGAGGCTTATAGACGGATCGGGCAAGCAGGGTAGGTATGCAGTTCTCACATACTGCTGGGGCCCTAAGCCAGAAAAGGTGTCCAAAACAACTACAGACACACTCGCGCAGAGGATGGAAAGCATTGATCTTGGCCAGCTCAGTCCATTGTTCCGTGACGCGGTCCAGGTATGCAGGTATCTTGAGATCCCATATCTGTGGATCGACGCCCTGTGTATTGCTCAGGATTGTAAAAACGAGTGGTATAATGAGGCGAGGCGGATGCGCAACGTATATTCAGACGCTTTTCTCACAATTTCTGCCGCTTCCGCTGAGTCGCCCGAGGAAAGACTGTTACTCCCGGTTGAGACCGAGAGCAAGCCAGATCCGCAGAGCGTGCAGCCGGCAGCGCCTATCTTCAAATACGAAGGGGGAGGAAAGGTGCTGCAGTTGTGTGCACTGCGCGAGGTTCCTTCAGGCGAAGCTGAGAGCGGCGTGCTCTCCCGGCGCGGATGGTGCCTGCAGGAGCGTTATCTGTCTCGCAGGACCGTCCACTTCACAAAGAGCTACACGGAGTGGGAGTGCCTGACCAAGGCGCAGTTGGAAGACCGAGACGTCTCTGCTAGTGGGCCGGTCTGGGAGCTGCTGCGACCTCTGGGGCCTGACGGGTTTCAGCAGCAAGTGACCGACGACAAGGCTGCTCAGAATGGCGAACCATATACGACTTGGTACTACTTACTCGCAGACTACAGCCGTCGCCGCATGACATATTCCACGGACCGACTAGCGGGGATCCTCGGCCTTGCTGATCTCTTTGCGCAGGCGACGGGGGATCATCTGGTCGGTGGGCTGTGGGCTTCAGATCTGGTGCGCGGGATGATGTGGGAACGGTTGGAGGGACGAGCTTTGTCCAAAGTTCAAGACGAGACTGTCGCCCAGGAACGGTCTGGATGGGGGATGGAGCCCACAGCGAGCTGGTCATGGCTCAGAGTCAATGGTCTGAGGATCTGGCCGCCATATGAGCCAGCACATCTTCTCGCACAAGACGTACGTGTGGACGAAACAACACTGATGATTACCATCCAGGGTGTTTTGAAGGACCTACCGTCAACCCTACATTGTCATGATACCAAGGACTTTTCCGAGGACCTGACTGCTCAAAATGGTCTGCCGCCGTTTATTCGCTTCGCACGCTTGGACGCTCCAAGTGAGATCGAGTCGGCGGAGTTTGACAAAGCCCAGGGCACGATCCACTTCAAACGAGGATTATCTATGTTGGTGCTGGCAAAGCCAGTACTGACCGCTGAATCCGAAGTACATCATGGCTCAATGGGCTTTGGCCTGCTTGTCGTCAGCACGACTGGTGAGCTTGGTGGTCATTGTTATGAGCGTGTTGGCTCCGTCCGTCTATCGTGGGCGGCAGAGGCCTACGAAACATCTTGCGACGAGTTTTGGAGACGCCAAGAACTGCAGACAGTCTGTCTCTCGTGAGTTAGGGTCTAAAGTGCGACTGTGATTATTATCGAAAAGAATACCCGGGGTTTAGCAGAACAAAACGTCTCAAGATAGCCACGAGCCTGCATGAAATGGAGGAAAAGAAAGATTACATGTTTCTCGATACGCCTCCCTTCATAGATATCAGAGACGAGATTAGATCTTATTCCTTACTTCCGTGACGGGTCTCGTTTTGGCGCGCATCCGGAATGACCTTCGAGGCAAGGGATGACGCTTGAATTCTGTTTTTCCTGGCTGGCCGACCACTCCAACCTCGTTCGAATTTCGAGAGCACGACAAGCTGGGTAAGTGCTTAATTACTTGGTTAATTCTGCGTCACAAGCTTGTTGATCGACACTTCCCTTGCTCCTGCGCAGAAGAAATGACGACCTGTCGCTCTTTCTACACGAGCCGGAAGGATCGCAACTTCTGAGGCCGTCTCGACAGCATCTCAGAATCAACTTCATGTCAAGCTCGAGTTTCTCTCATTGACAGGCCTGCCTCTCTCGACTGGCTGACTACAATACCTCGACTTTTTCTTATGATTTAATATTACATACTACCAAACTCTCGTTACCTTCGTCGTTCTGCCACCACGGGTCAAGACCAGCCTCGAAAGCAAGGCACCCCAAAACCCTTCTCTCTTGGGAGGAGAGAAAAGAAAGGAAGAAAGAGAAAAACGGAAGATAAACAACAAAAAAAAAAAACAAGCACAAAGACGCAACGCGCGCACCCCGACATGGCCTTCCAAGCACAACGTACCAACATCGCAGTCTGGATCTGCGTCGTCATCCCATTCGCCATGATCATCGCCGCGTCCATGACCGGCAGCCTCGTGTACTGCGCCCGACGGCGGAAGAAGACCACCAACAAAACACAAACACGGCGAGATGAGGACGTGGAGCGCACCGCACAGGCTCTACCAACCGCGGGCGTGGCAAGGGTAGGCTCCCGGAGGATGTCGGCGTCTGGAGATGGCGAAGGCCTGAACGAGCTCGGGGAGGCCCCGCCGCCATACGGGTCGGCGAGGAAGGAAGACACTGCGGTTGAGAGGGTGGTGGGGGTCTCGGGTGAGAACGAGACGGGACAGCGTGCGGAGGAGGGCCGGCCACCGGCCTACGATGCGGTGGTGAGGACACTGCCGACGGTGGTCTCTGGTGTGACGATTCCTATGCCGGTTGCTTGACTGGAGAGACGAAGCTGGGAGGAGTGTGGTTCACGGGCATGAATATGAATTACGGGGCATGTTTATGGGGGCACAGGTCGATCTTGCATCCTCGAATGATCGGCATCTGCCTCTGACCAAGAAGTATGCGTAGACATCAGCTCTTGTTGTTTGGCTACCTTCGAGGTCGTCACTCTCAGAGTTCTCACTCAGTTATAGAGTAATTGAACTCTGGATCCTGGTCCAATTCAGAGGCGAGTCTCTCACGGTGCAGTACAGATACAAATAACTTGTCTGTAGATAACAGGTTCATGAAGTGACAATTCCCTGAGTGTGTAGGAGCAACACACTTGGACAGGGGGGGGGGGTGTCCCAAAGACTGGCTAGTTCTGCAACCCTCTCTCTTTTTTTCTTCTTTTTTTTATTTATTTATTTATTTATCTATTCGTTTTCTGAAATGACTAAATAAAATTTAACCATGACTGTACCCCTGACGCACCATAACAACATCTGATGGGAGTGATTGATGTAAGTTGCCTGGTACTCATTATCGCTATAAATACAATAGCTGGTTTTCGTCCTTTTCTGTAATTCTCCAAATGGAACCGTCCATGGTAATCGATGCCTCGCGGAAACATGCCTGTAACAGTTAATGAAAACGAGGCAGTGTTGAATTGATTGTCGAAAAAATAGATTATGTAGTGTGATTATCAATTACTCAACATGTCATAAACCTTACCGTTTACTCTCAAGTCCAATGCGGACTCAATCCAAGATGAGCATTGAGCCGCGATCGCCAGACCAACCCTGGAGCCGCACACTCCTTCGGCCCCCTACTTAAGCTTGTTTTGAGGCACTACGTTGCGCAGCTCGCCTACTTCCGTGCTAACCTGAAAGTGCCTAAGCAACTCAGATAGGTGGCACGGCTTCGAACACTGCACTTTGTTTTGCTCACAAGACGAGGCCCCCATGGAGGGAAGCACAACTGCCTAATGAAACCTCGACTGGGGGGTTGGGAACATCACGAGCACTTGTCGCTATACCATAGTAGACCAGGATCTACAATGCAGCTGTGGCGCGTTCCTTTGCGGCGCCACCCTCGTCTTGGCAAAATAGTACTTCACAATACCAATACCCTGAGAACTTGGACACAAGTATTCTGCCTTGATCTTGGCACATGCACAGAGATATCAACTAGGCAAGATTCCTCTGAGGCTGACCAGAGATGATGGCCCTGGAATATTGCCACCCCTTCACCCCCCCACCCCACCAAAACAACCTGTCTTCCTCCCCAGAGGCCCTGACCGGGTTTATGATGGGGAGATGGAGACACTGCTGTAGGAGCACAGAATACAAGAATGCAAACATACCTACGAGTTATATAACGAGACTGCTAGAAGAGGGAAAGCCACCCCGCCAAACTTCGCTGATTGAAGGTGCTTCTGCCGTTTTCAGCAAACTCTCGTGCCTGCGTATTATTCAACTAGTCATGACGACGAGCAACGCAATGAAGCTCCTAGCGAGAGATTTGGACGACCTAGGCTACAACAACCATCAGTGGATCTACGCATGGCTGGTAGTATTGGCGCTCGTGGGGACTCTGGCCGTCGCGTTCCGTGTCTGGGCCCGGCGCCTCGAGGATGTCAAGCTGGGCTGGGATGACTGGACGGCCATCACTTCTCTGGTAATTACACGCTCTGAACACTGACCTCCGGATGTTCTAACGACATTGTAGGCCTTTTGTTGGGGTCTTGTTGGTATTAGTATTCACGGTGCGCACGACATTAAACCCCCCTCGATATTCCTAGGTTAAGCTTCTGTCTGGGCTGTAAATTTTGACCGTTCTGCTTGAAAACAGCCGTTCGCCTATATCTTGGGCCGTATACGGAAATAGTGAGCTTTGCAAACATCTCGATGGTAAGTCAGCTGAACCTCGCCTCCGAATGTGGCCCGTGAGGCTTTGAACACACCCTGTGCTCATCGTTGACAAAATACTTGCTTTGTCCAACAGTACACCTTCATCGCCAGCCTGATCTACACTGTCGATGTGACTCTTGTCAAAGTGTCGGTCCTGCTCACGTATTACCGCCTCTTCCCAAACCGTCCGATGCGAATTGCCACGAGGATGCTTACCGCGCTGGCTGTGGCTTGGGGTCTCGCCAAGTTCTTCCTCACCCTGTTCGCGTGTCACCCAATCGCAAGTCTATGGGAATTCGCGGAGGCAAGACAGTGCTTGAACCTGGTTTCGCTCGCCGTGGGAACTGGAGTGAGCGACATCGTTCTCAACAGCCTCATCTTGGTGCTGCCCGCCAGAGAAGCCTGGAAGTTACACCTGCCCGTTCGATACAAGCTGGCGGTGTGTGGCATATTTGTGATAGGAATCCTGTGAGTGTGGCCTCGTCCCCAGCAGATCACAATATCATTATCACCACTGCACCCACCCACCAGGCTCATCCAAACAAGGCCCATCCATCTTCTGACACCAACCAGGACTGTCATCGCCAGTATCTTCCGCCTGCTCAATAGTCTATCCTCCTCGTCGACGTCTGTCAATGACTCTACAGGTAAGCCTGTCTGGTGGTGAAGGAGTGGAGGAAGATCATCTCCAACGCGTCATCCGTGTCTTTGCTGATGATCCCGACCATTCTACAGTCAACTTCGCCTCGGTTTGGATCTGGACCATCGCCGAGGTCAGCCTCGGGGTCTTCGGCGGCTGCCTTCTGGTGATGTTACCCATCGCGCGGAGGATCAAGACATTATTCCCCAGCCGCAAACCAGTTTCAGAAGAAACGGAGGCGATAAAGTCGAGCTCCAATGTCCAGACAGTCGGCTCAAGTGTAGTCAACACGAGCCAGGACCATGGTCACCAGAGGGTCCTGGTGGAGGCTGGTCCTGGAGAGCGAGTTCCTGAGCTATACGGGTCATCGAACCCCGAGTTCGGGTGGACTGGTAGGAGGGAGCTTGAAGGTGACTTGCCGGTGCTTGGCCGTCCTGGTGGCAGGAGTGAGCTAGCCTCGGTAGAATATCATAGGTGAAGATCTTGTATTGGAATAATACGACTGGAACCGGCAAAAGGGTGCAAAAAGGAAAGGAGGGGTGGTCCGAGCAGAAGACCCTGTGCGACTTTGTTGTCTCGGTTTCTTGAATGGCCCTGATGGACTCGACCTAGGTGCTAGACTTCTCAAAATCGATACCCATATCTGTAAGTGTTTCCGGAGTCCCAATTGGTCTTCAGGATAGGTTTCAGAAGAAATAGAAGAAAAGGTTGATGATACAAAGCCAATGCTTTCGAAATAAAGAGTATTGGCCGGAAAGACCACAGGTCAGTGTTTCGTCTCCCACTTAAGGAAGACTGCTGAGGTTCAAGGGTAGGGGCAGGGACCACAGTGAGCTACAGGGGACAGGGGGCTAAGCCAGGTTGAGCAGCTCAAGCACATGGGGCCCAGGACCTCGGCTCCTAGTGCCCGTGTCTGGGGGAACATTCACATGTTGCGCTGTGAACTTTCGGCGTAGGATGTTGTCATGACCCAGCCGACGTTGTCCTGTTCCCGGTCCGTCTTGCGATTTCCCGACTTTCTCTAAACGCTTCTCCCAAACCCCATAAAACCTTCTTGCACTTGGTCACATTCCTCTTAATTTCCTCCTCTTTCCAACTTGCTATTGCTTTCGCTCCAACCTCATATAAGTCACCGCCCCATCTCTACCGTCATCATCCTCCCCATCGAGATACCGCCAAGATGTCGCTGAAGAACGGTACGTGCGCCCACGCCCCCCAAGGTGATGCTTACGATGATCACTCTGGCTGATGATGGTCAACTGAACAGACAAGTTCCCCGCCTCGGCCTTCTTCGAGACCATGAACCAGGTGCTGCAGTCCAGTGAGGCCGAGAAGAAGCAGGCGATGGATATGGGTAAGGGCATCTATGCCTTTACGATCAAGAACGCAGCCGGGGAGACGGACAGCTGGCACATCGATCTGAAGAACGAGGGCAATGTCGCCAAGGGCACTGGTGACAAGCCTGATGGTACGCATCCCCCGGAGATAGTAGCACAAAGAAATTCACACCCAAAGCTGACATGGTCCTGGCTCACACACAGTCACCCTCTCCCTCTCCGAATCCGACTTCGCTAGCCTCGTCTCCGGAAAGGGCAATGCCCAGAGGTTATTCATGTCTGGCAAGCTGAAGATTAAGGGCAACGTGATGAAGGCCACCAAGCTGGATCCTATCCTCAAGCAGGCGCAGACCAAGGCCAAGCTGTAGAGGATGCGGTTTGGGATGCGATATGATGGGATGTGGACAGACTGGAACGGCCAGCCTTGGGGTTTTGGCTGAGTCAAGGAGGGACTACTTACTTGGATTGAGCCCTGCAGATGTTGGTTTAGATGCCGGCGTTAAGACACACTCTTTATTTCTACTCGCTTTCCATTTCTGGCCAGCATTAGTGTATATTACAGCAACGGCTCTCATCAAGAATCCGATTCACTTGCAAAGATAGGAACCTCTGATCGACCTCGGGACGTATTGGGTGTCGAAATCGGGACCTGCCTTGCCTGACAACTGTCAGCCAGCTGCAGACCAGCTGCAGACCTTGTTGGATTACATATCACGGTGGTAGTGAGTGAACTGGCAGGCATAGGGGGTCTTGTATGGCCATGACACCACCTGCTAAGAAAAAAGCGGGCCCTTAGCTTCACCGTCGCCGCTTCCAGCCTGTCAGTGGGCTGGCTGCCTTTGCCCCTAGACCTTACCCAGCAGCCCAGCAGCCCAGCACCGTTGCCCGCCTCTCTATCCCTAAATCCCAAGCAAACCAGCCCGCCCAAAACCAACCCAGGAGTTTTTTTTTCTCTCTACCTGACTTCTTGTTGCGTCGCGCGATCCAGGCGAGCTGATCCCTCCCGCATCGCATCGCAACTCACCCACCACCGGACACCCCTCGACTACACTTCGCCCATCCACATAGCCTCTTTGGCTCGAAAGATTTTGCCTCCTCCTCCCATTTCCTTCGCATCCACTGCATTTGCGACGCGTGATTTCTTTTCTTTTCTTGATGAAGCCTTTCCTGGTTGTCATTGCCAGTTGAATCGCAACGCGCTGCCGCCTTTGTTTATCCTTCACCAAAGGAGAAAGCTTTGTTGGCGTCTGGCTTATTTCTTCTTTTTCCCAATTCATTCATCCTCGAGCCACCAGAGAGCGGTTCGACTTTTTTAGTCCCACCTCTTCTCATACACGCGCTCTCTCCCTCCCATTCCCTCCCCCCCACCCCCCCGGCCCCTCTCCTCTCTCCAGCCGATCGCGTGGCATCGACTTCGCCCGGCTCGAATCCCCGCGCTGTCCTGCCTTGACGCGCCGTCTCGCGACGTCGAGCCACGTTCCGAGATCCGTTCCCAACCTAGAGTACCACTACCACCTCTTATAACGGCGTCAGCTCGAACAGTCAACCTTCTGAACTAGTGTAGTGCGCCGCATCTTCATCATGGAGTCCTCGCGGCAGCGCGCACAGGTCCGTCCTGGTTACAATGTCAACCGGTCATTTGGTCTGGCTGCTTCCACCTATTCTACTACTGGAGATATAGGGCACACTCCTCCAAGGCCTATGGGTAGCTGGAGGACCACAGGCCCTGCCGGCAACGCCAAGCAGGCTGGTGCATCGGTCATGGCTGGAAGGAAACTCTTCAACCGAACTCAAAACCCGGCTAGGGGCGGCACCAACACTACAAAGTCCTTCTCCGACGTGCCTACGAACACGCCCGGCAGGGTCTTTGCAAGCTCCTCCTTCAGAGCCGGCACCACAAATATGAATAACTCCAAGTTCACCTTCTCTCCCCGCGTACCTTCCAACACGTTACGCGAGAATTTTCCAAAGACGACGCCCGGCCGATCCTTTCGAGGTGCCTCTGCCGACATGACCGGTCGGAGCATGTCCAAGACCGCTGCTAGCAACCTCTTTTCGATGAGGATCGCGTCGCCCCCTCCCGACCTCGATGGCGAAGAGCTCGCGAAGCAAGTGCCCGAGAACCCAAACAGGGTCGGTTCGATATATGCTGATGAGTTCTTGGCTCATTTGGTGCCATCCGAGCTGGACGACCTTCAGCGGCGCCAGTTCCTCTGCATCCTCGACCTGCGCAGACTCAAGTATGCCGCGAACGAGATCTTTGCCAAGAAGGACTGGAGGGTAAACATTATGAACTTCGCCAAGGAGTACGAGAAGAGCCGCAGCTTGATCATGCTGCGATATGGCCTCTACGAGTTCAAGACTGTGCCCGCCTCCCGAGAGGTGCTGAAGAAGTGGAAGCAGGAAAACAACGTACCAGATGAGGATGAGGAGATGGACGATGACTCGGCCCCGAGGTCAAATGGCGGGCAGGGCAGCTTCCGCGCGTCCGTGAAGAGACGCGCTGATAACGATCTGACTAAGGATACTCTCTCATCTCAGCCCAAGCGCCGACAAACAGAGCGAGAGCCCCTTACGGAGTCTGCAGCGCCAGCTTCTAATGCGGGTGCCACGCCTTTTGCGAAAAAGACGAAGCGCGGCTCTGAGCAGATGGACCAGGACGAGGAGAATCAACCCAGCAAGCTCCAGAAATCGAAGCCATCTGCGACCTTGTCGCTGTTCGAGGAAGTTGCCAACAACACCCCCGCCAAGCGCACCGCCAGCCCACCGAAGCAGCCCTCCTCAAAAGCAGACACCGCAGCTAGCAAACCTCAGTCCAGCCTCTTTGCCCAGCCCTCTGGGTCTGTTCTTAGCGGCGGCTCAAAATCTCTGGCCCCCAGCGGCAACATTTTTGGTCATCTCTCTGAGCAGAACACCCCGGCGGGTAGTGACGACGAGGACGAGAGCGAGGCCGATGGCGAAGGCGAGTCTGATAACGACGTGGAGGAAGTCCCACCCCCTGAGAAGAAGCCTGCCGCCGCCGGTGCTCCTTTTGGGAACGCGTCGTCGCTCTTTAATAGCAAGCCCAGTGCTACGTTTGGCAGTGTTTCTGGGAATGGTGACCTCTTTGGCCAGGGATCGAGCAACATGGATCGCGTCACCAAGGCATCTCAGGTAGAGTCTGTCAACCCTTCTGAGAAGCGACCTGCTAGCCCGCCGAAGCAGAGCATGCCCCAAGACAAGACATGGAACCCCAACACGCCCATTAAGTTCGGTGCCGAGCCTGCTTCGACGAGTACGCCGCTGTTTGGCATGTCGACTGCACAGCCGAGCTTTATCTTCTCCAAGCCGGACAACGCATCTGGACTCAAATTCGGGTCTGCAGAAACGCCCAAGCCCAGTAGTACCGGCGCCCTCGGTACCCAGGTTCAGGACTTTGCCAAGGAGACGCCCAAGCCAGCCGCATCATCGTTATTCGGTCAGGCCGACAAGCCATCGGAGACGAGCGGTGGGCTCTTCGGCACCGCGCCCAAGGCATCTCTCTTTGGAAAGCCTGAGGAGCCGAAGACCTCTGGCTTCACTGCAGCGCCTTCTACACCCAGTCTCTTCGGGTCTAAATCTCAAAATGTCAGCTCAACTACACCGTTCGGCAAGCCAGCCGAGACCCCCGCCACCCAAGGCCAGTCCAAGTCTCTCTTCTCTGGTCTGAACGCTGCAGCTCCCAGTACGCAGCCTCAAGGCACCTCTCTCTTTGGCAACCCCAGTGACAAGCCGGCCGGTTCATTGTTCGCCACGACAAACGGCGAAAAGTCATCTACAACCCCGGCATTATTTGGTGCCCCGAGCACGACGGAGGAAAAGAAGGAAGAGTCGACTGCCAAGAAGAGAAAGCCGGAACCTGATACCGCCGAACAGCCGACCAAGAAATACACATTTGGTGGGAATGCACCGACCCCTGCTGAGAAATTGCCACCAAAGACTGCCGCCGCCGCCAACGGAGCTCAAGACGCAGCCTCTGTCTTCGGTGCCCCTGCCGCAGGAGACAAGAAGTATACCTTTGGTGCTGCTCCGGCTGCCGCTCCTACGCCTGCTACTACGTCTCTGTTTGGAAGTGCCAAGCCAGCTCAGGCCGAGCCAGCGAAGACGCAGTCCAGCCTCTTCTCTACCCCGAGCACTGGGTTCACGTTCGGCTCTCAGCCATCCACTTCCGCCGCCGACCCTCCAGCAAGCAGTCTGTTCGGCGCGCCCAAGGACAGTTCATCTAATGCAAATCAACCCTCAGCATTCTCCTTCGGTAGCACTACTGCAGCACCTGCAGCCTCTGCAGGTTCCTTTACCTTCAATGCTGGCGGCGGCGGGGACTCGTTCAACAATCCCTTCGCGAATGGCACTGGTGCCTCACAGCCTCCATCATTCGATTTCGGTGCCTCAACAAACGCATCAGGCTCTGCACCATTCCAGTTCGGAAGCACTACTCCAGCGGCTCCTTCTTCGACGTTCAGCTTTGGAGCTGGTTCGCAGCCTGCGAACGAATCGTCTGCGCCATCTAATAGCCTGTTTGGTGGAGGGGCTACGAATGGCGGATCGTCCATGTTCAACTTTGGCGGCGCGTCACAGCAACCATCACAGCCTGCCCCGTCTGGCCTCTTCTCGGGCCAGCCAGCAAACGCAGCCCAGGGAATCTTCGCCAGCCAACTTGCGGCCCCGCCTGCTGGGAGCTCCACCGGCACGAGTAAGTAGCATTTCCTTCGTTTTGCGTGATTTTCTGAACAGTGCGTTGATTTTATGATGTTCATAATTAACGTCATGTAAAGATACCCCTTTGTTTGGCGGAGCGTCTAGCTTAGCTACGACGCCGGCGGCTGGCACCCCCGAGCCAGAAGCCAAGAAGCAAAATGGCGGGAACGGAGCAGCGGCTGACGAGGACGATGCAACACAGGACCAGCAAGTTTCTCTAACCGAAGGGGGGCCTGGCGAGGAGGACGAAGAGGTCGTCCATGAAGTGCGAGCCAAGGCCCTGCGGCATGTTCCGGCGAAGCCCGATGATGACGATGGAGACAAGAAGAAGGGCAATCCTTGGCAGCCCGAGGGCCTCGGCCCCCTCCGCGTGCTCAAACACAAGTCCACAGGTGCGGTGCGCATCCTGCTGCGCACCGAGCCCAGTGGCAGGGTGGCCATGAATAAGCTTGTGCTGCCAAACTTTTCCTACAAGGTTGACGCAGGCGCCAAGTGGATCAAGGTCACGACGGCGAAGGATGATGGCAAGGGCCTGGAGACGTGGATGATCCAGGTCAGGAACAACGAGTTCGCTGTCAAACTTGCTACGGTGCTGGAGGAGAACAAGGATGCCAACAAATGAGACAGGAAGAACCACTCTATCTCACAAGAGAGAGATCTTGGGGAAGAAGTAGTAATCAAGGAGGATCCACGATAAACTGTACAAATTGTATGAAAGGAGAAAAGATAGTCGGGACCAAGTGGTTGCAATGCGACAGATATCCCGCGCAATAGGAACACATAGTACCGTTGACCAAGTGGCTCATAAACTACTCAAGAAAAACAAGAGGGGGCCAGGAGAAGAGTTCAAGCGAATGGGCAGAGAGCAGCTCGTGCCTTGGTCCTTCATGCACCACCGATGGGAAAGTTGATAATGGGGCTTAGGTACGGCTCAGCTCGTTCATTTTTTTTTTTTCTCCTTATTTCTGCAGCATAGCATTCATGGCAATGGCACTGGCACTGGTACGGGTGAGCATCTTGTTGGGAGCACAAAAGAACAACCAAAATTTCTATGATTTTTATCTCGATGAGAGGTTCCGGCATTCTTGGTATCCAGTATGGACGACGATAGCTCGAAAGCCCACATTGGCTTTCAGATTTTTTTTGTATAAAAAAAACCAATAAACTTCGTTGCCTGTCGATGTATCGTCTCGAGCCATGTACTCATGTACTCGACTTTGTGCGCTGCTACCACTACTATTCGGAGTGGCTCGATGAGGCCACAACCGCCTTGACCCGCTCCACGTCCTCCCTGACGACCATCCAGCACTCAACCGCTCGACGAAGCAGGTCAGGCTTTTGAGGATCTCGGCCCCGCAGTATTGGATTCAGCGCTGTCAAGGCCCAGGCGACCTCATTGTGCTCCCTCCTCATCTCCTCTGTCATCCCCGTCGCCGCTGTGCCTTCCATCGGGTACAGGGCGTGTCGCTGTTTGAACTCGGCGAGGAGAGTGGCCATTTTGACGGTCGAGACGTCGCAGCGAATGGTATAGGCTAGGCTTACTATTCCCGTCGTGGTGGCGTTGTTGTTGTTGTCGTCGTCGTCGTCGTGATGAGGGAGAGGGGAGGCGAAGTGGTAGTCGAATTCCATCCAGGGCGTGGGAGGCTTATCCGCTGACGTGGGTGCGTGGAGGGCGAACTTGATGATTCTGGGAGGGGATTCTGGGCCCCTGGGAGCTCTGGGACGGTGGACGAGAACCATTTTGGGTTTCTGTTTGTGCTGACTTTGGTGTTTAGTATGGTTATGATGGAAAGCCTTGGTTGAAATGGGTGGGGGACTATTGTGTGTACATAGTGCTCAATGTTAACAACAGAGGAGAAAAAGAGAGGGAGAGACAGACGATTGTTTTCAGTTCTTGTCTGAGAAGACAGCAAGAGAGTTTAGGTAGGGAAGAGGGCTGGTGTCTATTTGCATTGGGTGGTAGGCTTGACATGGTATGGCTGATAGACACGACAGACCACATGAACAATCCTCTCAGCCCATGGCTACAAGTGCGAGGGTCTACTCTTGCTGTCATCCTGCACGCATGACCTACTCTGTGCCTAGTCTTTGCATCTCACTGCTTAAGAATCCCTGCACTGGCGCAGAGAGTCTGCATACAGTAGTAACATGTACATAAGATTGTAGATCTTCTGCAGGCCTGGGACAAGGGTGGCCTACTCCTAGTCTGCCATGTCTGATTGGTATAAAGGTTCTACGTCAAGTGCCCATGGACAACTCCAAGGTACTAGGAAATGACCCGCAGACAATTCATCAAGTACAATAAGTGCATACGACTTTGGACAACTGAATTAGATGAGGTGCAGCTTGGTCAGCTTACTCTAAACCTTGACGTGATTTTATCTTGTTAGGATAGTGGAGTGGAGCGAGCACATTCAAGTAAGAGAGGATGTAAAGTACCCAAGCTTTTATAGATGCACTCACTGCTTGTATAAATGAATTGAGAAAAAGTGAGAAAAAGGTAGTGAGTAGACGAAAAAGAAAGGGTTAGGGGTGCAAGGCTATAATTATTGTACAAGGCTAGCGACCGCATTGCGTGCCATAACAGACAATTGTTATCCAGTGTACATTTTTACCCCTTCCATGATTTCTTGGAAATTACCTTCCTGGCGATGTCAATATATTTTAGGCTCGAACCAATCAATCCCAACTCTCTCTTCTTGTGCTCTGGCATTGGCAGCTCTCTATCTTTTTTCAACTCCTTCTCCCGCGCCCTAGCCAGTTTCGCGTTCGCCTTATCAGCCTCGATCTCGCGTCTCGATTTCGTAGCGTCGAACGTCTCCGCAGCCTCACAAGCGATCTCTCCGAGCTCGATCCCAGCAGCAACTACCCATGCAAACTCAGGGAAGACAGCGTCGAAAAAGAGGTCGAGAAGTGTGCCAATCAGGCCAACGCTGGTAGTACAGTCGAACTCTCCCATTTCCCCGAACTCGAAGCCGAACTCAGCCTCAAACCACATCTGAGCAGTCCTCTGCATGCCGTTGTAGTATTGCGTATCAACGAAACCGTTCATATTGCAGAACGTGCCGCTTCCATCGTGTGTCTCTGTTGTCAGCCCGTCACCGCCGACTCGTTCAACAATGTCTCGTTTAACTTTGCCATCCGTGATGTAGTCCCAGCTTTGCAGGCGCAGTTTGTTCCTGTAGCACTCCCGTTGGCAGCCATGGCCAACATGCTGACAAAGAAGTCCAGATACTCTGTGGAGTTGTACTGAGCATCTGTCATTTGTATAGTAACATCGCCTGCCTCCGGCTTGCCGTCTTCTATATAATCCGCCTGGCCAACGATGATGGTGCCTGTCTCGCAGCCTGTCCAGGCGCCCTCGGAGGTTGGTGTGGGGCATAAGCTCATGACAGCGTTGGAGACGCTGGTAAAGAGGGCTTTCCCCGTCATGGAGCCGACGTTGACTTGGGAGAACCCAAGCTCCAAGCTGGCCTGAAGGGGCTCATAGAGTATTGCGGAACGGCCAGCGCCTACAAAGGTACAGATTGGAACGATTGGGTCAGCGATGTGTTGGGAAATATCATGTGTTCGGGTTGTGTCTTCCAGAAAGTAGAGATAAATTCCAGTCAATAATGATAGATGGAATTGGCGACTTACAGAACGAGACTGGATAACCTCCATAGTCTTTTACAGAAAATGTCTCACATTCGACGACCTTGGACGATTCGGTATAAGTGTACGGAAATTGCAAAGAGGCTGTAGTGGCCTTCGCCGTTGTCAGAGCTTGAGGAGGGAGGGTTGTCCAGGGACACAAATTCTCTTCTCCTCCCGAGCTGGTAGCGGTCGCTATTGGAATAGTGGCCCCATTGCTACAAATACAGCTTTCTTCTACGTCCTCATCGGGATCTGCGTAGGGATGGCAAGGGAGTTCGCTTGCAGTGGCTGCAGAGGTCGTTGATGTCGATGATGGAGCAGTACCTGGCTCAGCGTCAGCTTTGGCTTTTCTTTCCTTCCCCATTTTACCAACCCCCCCCCCCCAAGAAAAAGAAAAGAAGAAAAAGGTTGGCTCGCTCACTTACATGCTGCATCTGATTTGCTCGACCCTCCCACACTAGCAGGCCAGGATCTGTCGATAGCTGGAGTGGTGTTAATCTCCTCCCAGACCCTGGCCCGCGCTTGAGGACAACCGTTCTGGTCGGTGCCAGCATAAGGGCTGTACTGAATAATAGAAACGCCATTAAGCCAGATGGGCACCCCAGCAGGCGAACGACGATCATTACTTGCACCACCAGGGACCTGGGTAAACGTCCCAGGGTCGCCGATGTATGGACGAACTGTAATCTTGTTCGGCTGGACGTATTCCTGAATAGCTGTTTGAAGAGCCAGGATCTTCTGCTCATACATAAGCCTATTCTGTAGGCGTGTAGATATCCTAAGAAATTACAAACAATCAGATTGAGCAGATGAACCCCCCCCCCCCCAAAAAAAAAAAGAAGAGGGAAAAGAAAACAAATCACCCTGCAGCCTTGCTTAGGATGAAGACGTCTCCACCGCTGTTCTCGCTTCCAAATGGATCGCCAGATTTATTCTACACATCGACCAAACTAACAAAAGTATCGGCCACAGATGGCGAAGGCGCTCCAAGAATATTGGTTGAAATCACTTTGAAGTCCGCAAGAGGCCTTTCCACAACGTCTTCCTCACGAGTCCCGTAGCGATAGATGAATGAGCTGCCCCCATTAATATTGTCCGCCTGGACAGACTCCCACCAGTGGCCAACCCAAACGCCCGAGTTGCCCTACTCTCAGTCATTAGAAGATGTTCAGAAGGGGTTGTTAACGATTGAACATATTATGATCATAGCAGCCGTGCAACCAGACATGCCGGATAATTCGATATTAGTCGCCTTGTCAGGCCATGGATAAAACTTGGCTGTCGCCCCGATGGGCGTCGGCACCACATCTCCTAATATTGTGAGGGGAACAGCCCAGCCTTCGACTTGGGCGTCGGATGGCCAAATGAGAGCACGATCGGCATTAGCATCTTTTAACATAGGGAGCGGCCGCAACTCTGGGTCCGAAGTTAGTATTGTCGTATTGGAAGGCCCAACGCGCTTGACATGGGGCTTGCAGCTCATCTCACCGATTAGTTCCTCCAAAATCTAGGGATAATCCTGCCCTAACATAGATGTGAATATCCAGAACAAAAGGCCAACTTACTGAATGCCTCCAAAAAGAATAAGATGGTTCTGTCGTGCCTGGCCCAAATAATTGAAGCCTCGATCTGGTGATGCAGCCCTCGCGGCCAGTCTGGAAGACCGGATTGTGTACTTCGCTAAGTATCAAGCCTGGCATCTTCCATCGGTAATGGGAATACTTGAGATCATTACAGGATAATACCAGACTTATAGTCTATGTGCTCTCACAGAACTCACCCTGAGGGGCAACTTCAGTGGTGCGAAAGCAACACTTTTGACCCTGCGGAGAATTGTTCGCCGTCTTGGGAGTGCTCACGTTGACGAACTGCGGTATCAAGCTTGCACGGTATATTTAATAGCCATCTGCCATGCCGCTCAAAGAAGCTTTTCTTAGGCCTCCACCAGGCCGGAGGAATCCGACAGGTGCAACGTGTAAGCTACCTCTATCTGTTCAAAACGAGGTGACACCCAGAACCTTTGAAACTTTTTGGCAAATTTAACGTTGCCCAATCGGAAGCGGAAACTACGAATACATCCTCGCATATTGGGAGGGAGGGGGGTGAGGGATTTGTCTTGCCTTTTTCTTGATCTAAAATTATATTTTTCCAGGGCTCGTGTTGGTCATGAAAAGCAAGGCTGTTTGCGAGTTAAAGTGGGAAATTTCCAACTTGGACGACTAACAACGCGCCTTCAGGATTCCACGGTACGGCGTTTCTGTTGGTGTGTCTAACGCTCGCGGCTGGTGCGTATTCGTTTCAAATGTTATTTTGTTGGCTCAGCATCACGCGATCCTTTATGGCCAGATCAGTATACCAAGTACTTACTACAGTGCTTGCCGCCCGCGTAGTTATGACCTGCTACTTCTTCTCGAAGCTCATTCCTGTGATCAATGATGATCCTATCGCAGCATTTAACAGCACCATTTTCGCCTTTATCCTCGCCCGATGAGAAACCAGACACAGCGCTTTTGTAAAAAGCATCGCGGCCGTACTGACACCTTTTCATACAACACACGAATATCATCTCGTATTACAGCTTTGGAGAACTGCTATATTTCTCATGCGAAGCATCCATGAGTACTAGTTGGGTATTGGTTGATTGATTTATTTTCAACAACAATAAGAGCCAGCCTCAACCAAACGCGGTATTGACACAACAAATCCAATCTGATCAGAACAATTCTCTCCTCTCCCATCGTTCACTTAAAATTCCTCACTATAAGTAAACTCCAAAACCTGACTGCTCACCTCGGAAGGAACGCAAAAAGGCCCGTTGGACTGCAAAGTGCCGCCCTCGACGACGCTCGCCCCGTCCAGGTAGCCCACGGAACCCTCGGTGGACTCGGTGTAGCAGTCGGTGAACTCGAAGGTGTCGAACTGCGGGTAGGGCTCGGAGCCTGGGACGAGGTTCTCGTTGAGCCATTGGGCTGTGGCGCCGCAGAGGGTTGCTGTTGTTGTGGACCCGTCTATGTCTACCACGACTGTCCAGCTATTGGAGAGGTTCTCGACGAGGCTGGAGAAGGGGAGATGCACAGGGTTAGTGAGATGTTTTTTGGGAAGGGAAGTATGAAGAAGAAAAAAAAGAGGAGGATAAGGAGGGCTGTTTCTTACACTGTTCCCCTCTGGAGACCAATCACGGTGGTCCACGTCTTGATCACATCGCCCACACTCGCTACAGAAGAATCTCATTAGCACCTTTTCAGAAGAGAACCACGATTCACCCCAGCATCCACAAGTTTTTCCATTGCGAGTACTCACCCTCCAGTGCGACCGCCGTCCTGCCCTCCGGAGCATATTCCCACCAAGCATAAATAGTGTCAACCTCCCCATCATCCCCAAAGGTGTAAGCAGTACCCCCAAACAACCCCCCGCTACACTCTGCAGAGGTAGTAAACCCGTCGATCCCAACACCCTGCGCAAGCTGGAATGACGAGTTGACGACGGCCCCAGAAGCCAGGGCCGGCAGTGTCCACTCGGCCACGACCTGGTCATATGTGCCTGCGGCGGGAGGGTTCTGCTGGACCAGGCCGCACCAGCTCTCGGAGAAGTACGTGGTGGTGGAGGTTTGGCGCCGAGAAGAGGCCTCGTCTGATGAAGAACTGCGGCTGCTGATGGGAGAAGGGGTGGAGGCGCTGGAACCGGCCAGTGAGGTCGTGGTCGCGGGGACGGATTGGCCGGCGGCGTTGTATACTGTGACATTGTACGTGGCTTCGCCGTGGACAGTGGCCAGGCCGGCTAGGACCAGCGCTAGGCTGAGGGTGCTCAGAGTGTTCATCATTATGAGTAGTGGGATTGATGTTTGAAGAAGGAAAAAGCCTAGGTTACTTCGTCTTATTGAAGATGCTTGCGGATGGACTCTTCTGTGCAAGAGAGAGCGAGAGAGAGATGTGAGGAAACAGGTCCCATTTATAGTCTGGCATGAATGATTACCATCGTGTGGTCTATCATGTGGAACTGTTAAAATGGTATAAACCAAATTGCGGCCTGTTCTGCCCAAGTTGCCTAGTGCTTCGTTTTGCACGGGTCGAAATACGAAGAAATCTTACGATGCAGATGCACTCTCACAGGCGTAAGCGCTGCAAAACCACGAGAGGCTCGACCAGGGCAAGCCCCAACTCAATCTCTTCACCAGCGTTCTTTCTCCACGACCTGTCTTTGCACCACTTAAAAGTTGATTAAAGACGGGGTCAAGAAGCAGTGAGACGGCACAGCAGCTGCGAGAAGCCTGCACAGAGCCATGGAGGATCCAGGACTATTGATTTGGTTCCCAATTGAACAAAACAAGCCATCGTGCTTATCCTGAAGAGCTGTGAATAGGGAAAAACATCAACGCGCCCGGAATATCCACCTACAGATTACGTTCACGACTGAATCACGCCCTCTCTGTGTCATAAGCACCACACATTCAGGCTGTTGTTGCCTTTCCCGGAATCAGGCCCAAGCAATAATTTGATACTACGTAGTATCCCAAAAGTCGATGAAGCATGACAGCGTGATGATGAGTCAGAAACAAATACGACAATGAACATGCTGCCGTAATCTTTTGAACTGGGTGTCTTTGTTTTGCCCGCTAATGCACAGTTGCATAAATCTCGTAAAGGTTACCCAGGCAGGGTTATGTAACATTTGCATGTGTCCCGCGAGGAGTTTTTACCAGGTAATTTCACAGCCGAAAGTCTTGACCTCTTTGACGCATTCGATGTGTTCATGTGGTGCTAGTCGAGCCGAAGGGCAGACAAGATTCTCCTCCTTCCAGACTCAGATTCTACTATTATTATATATTATTATTACGTATAATTAATTCCTACACTTCCCGTCAGGTTGTCGAGCGTTGAATGCTTCGCCTGGAATAAGTTGTTTCTCATCTTGCCTCTCTTTACTCCACACGTATCCTAGTCTCTCCTCCAGGCCGGCGACCCTTGACAGTATTGTCCACCTCTTCCCCTTCCGACTCCTCAGCCTCAGACCGGTCATCCTTGGCAATGCCCAACATCACGAACCGATACGCACTGCGAAAAAGACAGTACAACCAAAAAAGGTTGAGAGCCTGCAGCCCCGCCAGCAGCCCAAAGGTAACAACCTGCGAGATCCGGCACTTGTACTGCTCTGCGGCCCAGTCGAGCTCGAAGGGCCCAACCGCGGAGAACTCGGTGAGGATGGAATAGAGAACTCGCAGGTTGATGTAGTGGCGCAGGTAGATCCAGCAGGCCATGCAGAGGGCGTACACGGGAGCCTGGAGGCTGCTTTGCGCGTAGTTGAGCGATTTCACAATCTGGCAATCGTTGCCTCCTTTTGTCAGTCTTCGCGAGCTTGCATTGGCTATAGAGGTTTTCTGTTGAGGAGGAACAGAGACAGACAGAACTTACCGCGAGGAGGCCATCGCTGATGTCGTGGGTCACGTAGATTGCGATGCCAATCCGCATAAAATGAAACCGATAGCTCAGTCCGATCAGCGCCACCGTAACGACATGGTGCGCCACGAACTCTCTAAAGTCCTTGCGGCGCTGCTCCTGGCCCAGCACCATCACAACAACCTGCTGGATCCAAAACGCCGCCTGGAACAGGTAGTAGAACTTGAAGAGGCCCTCGTGTGCCTGGTGCGGGTACCCTTCGTACATGCCGCGCGTCTCAAAGTACCACAGCCCCGGGGTGCGCCGCATAACGAGCAGACCGAGGGGTCCGCTGAGCGCAGTGTAGCAGGCAGTGTACATCTGCTCTGTGAAGCGGGACGTCGTGCGCGGTGAGGTGATGCCGCAGGCGCGTGCGAGGGGTCTGAGGACCTCGTGCATGAGGAACTCGCGCGTGAAGGACAGGACGATGGTGTAAAAGAAGACGAAGGCCAGGTCCCATGGTCCCTTGCCGTAATAAGAGGGCGCTGGTGAGGAGCTGGGGTCATCGTCTGGGTCCTTTTGCTTGTAGGACAGGAAGAGGAAGTGGTGGATTATGTTGGACTCGTGTGGGTTGACGGCGTAGAAGCAGAGAAACATGGACACCAGGACGAGCGGTGGAGCCCACGTGCGATGCCGTGTTCCAGGAGCTCGTCCAGGCCGTACACGTCTCTGGCTGTCAGAAGGTTTGTTGTATTGTTTCGCCTTATGACTTCTTGAAAGTCTTTTGCTAACATTTGACGACCATGATCTCGACGAGGGCGAAGAAGCACGATCCTTAGAGCTGTCTTGGTCATGACGTCGGTGTATCGTGCTTAAGACTTGGGCAGTGGATTGTGTAGGTGACATTGTTAGGGTCGAGGTCTCCTTCGCCACTATTGCCACCTTGATGGAGAGAAAGAAAGTTGAATCTTCGATCGCCAGTGCAGTCACCAGTGCCGAGATGGAGCAGGCTTGGTGACTTTTAGAAGGGCAAGAGCATACAAAAATGTCATACAAGAAAAGGGGGATTCTTCTCAACCTTGATCTGAATTTGGAACAATTAAATTATTACTCTATCATAAATCAATCAATCCAGTCGTGAGGGAAGCAAGGAGCGTGCTGTCAGCTGGCGGGTCCCGACTCGTCCGCGGACGTTCATGTGCAGTGGCCCGCGGCGCCCGGTTGCAAATGAACCAATCCCCGTCACGCTTTTTAGTTTCGCCGACACCGGTGAGAATATAAATTTAAAAAGAGACAAGAATAAGGATTGAAAGTAGAAACGAGCTAAGCGAGTAGGACACAAATGCATTAAGCAAATTACTCTGTCCATGTGGAGTATCTTCAAAGAAAGAGATATGCTGGATTATCATTGTCTGTTACTTGGCATGCAGTTCATTCGCCAGCCTCGTATACGCAGCCTTGCACCCCTAACCCTGTTTCTTTTTTTCTTCTCTTTCACTTTGTGTTATTTGCTTTGTTGTTCTTTCTGATTCCAACAGCCATTGCCTCTGCAACTCCTTTTCAAAATCATTTGTACGAAGCAGTGTATTCATCCCGGTTTTCGAACGTTTTCGTTTTCCCTTGCTTGAATATGTTCATCAGGTAAGGGTAAAAGCAGAACTGGTCCCGTCAAATGCCGTAATAGTCCCATCAAGACTCTTCCAATCCCCAAGATATCTCAATCTGTAGACGCCCTTCTCAACCTCGGTGGGATCTTCCCGGTCCGTCTCCCACGTGATCTCTACTTCGCTTGTGGCCAGAATGTCGCTCGTCCTCTTCCATCTGAACACGAGGCTCCAGTCCGAATCATCCCTGGCTACGTTCCAGACCTGGCTGCCGTCCTTGCCGAGGGACAGCTTCTCGACTGCTGCGTAGGTGCCTTCAAGACGTAGATTGTTCCGTGGGTTTGCGCCGACAAAGGTAGCCGTGATGCGGGTTCCAATGCGGTAAAAGGTGCTCACGTCTTGCTTTACTTCCCCAAACGCCCGGCCCAATGGGGTTCCATCTCTTACTACGCCAGTGATGAACGACAACGAGCGCTTCGTATTATCAGGCGGGAATAAGTCCTTCGAGTGAGGCGGTGGCGTCCTAGCCGACGCGTCGAGGAAGGGCAGGTACCTCAGAGTGACGTTGATGTACGCTGCCAGTGTATGAGGCCCGTACAGCGTCGACGCCCCCTCGTATCGCTGAATCGAGTATTCTTCCTCCGTGGTAATATAGTGCGTGTAGCTGTTTGCTGGTCCGCCGAGCACGACGACAGGGGCTGGAGAGTGCAGTGCGCCGCCTGACAGGTCATAGTTGTCCTGGAAAAGTGCTGCAGACTCGGATTGCACAGCTTCTTTCCACCGCCGACCAGCCATGGTGCTTGCCTCGCCTGGGCTGACGATGATCATGAACTGGCCCACACGGAAGACCTGGACGTCCACTACGTTTGGTGTCCACGCGTAAGGCTTATGCACCTCGCCAACGTCGAGCAAGATGGGCTTTGATCCCTGGCAGGCTCTCTGTTCATCCGACGGCGCCTTAAGGAAGTTGGAGACAACTTTCCACACAGGGGATGTATTGGAGGGGTCGCCGTCGTGCTGTGTAAAATCAAAAACCCCAGGCCCATCCGAAGTTCCTGCGGCAAAGGAGTACCCCAGAGCGGCCGGACAGGTCGTGGCTATGGAGCCGTTTGGCAGGGCGAAGGTAAAGTTCGACATGTCGTGGAATGTATGGAATGACTTGACCCAAGGGCCTCGAACTGGGACCGGGTTCACGTTCAGTTCGTCGTACAGCGCCCGGGCAGGAGCGAATTGTCGCCGGCCGATCTCGAAACAAGACGATGTACCACTGTCATTCAATCTGAAATGAGGACCACGAGCGTGGCACTTTCCAACCCGGCCGTCACCGGGGCAAGTGCTGTTCTCGAGGGTACACATCTGTCCTGAGCCGTCCTCACACCATGCGCCGAGGACGTTTGGGCTGGTGTCGCCGACATTGGCCTGTGAGAAGCCTGCCACGAAACCCTCGGCGGCAGTAGCCTCGCCAACTACGCTCTTTTCAAAGAGGTAGGCAGCGACGCCTTTATTGTCACCCGTGATGATGGTGTTGTTGCCGAGCATGGACGTCCCATGTGTTGGGAACCAGGTGAGAGCACCGATGTTCCTGCCATCGGACGCCCGCTGGAATTTCAGCAGGCTCAGATCCTTCTCAACAGATCCATCATCCTCTGAGCTGGTGTTGTATCTCGCCCGCTCCGACACAGGGTTGGCCAGGTAGGCAAACAGGCTCCTGTTGATATTGGCGCCCTGCACCTTGGTCGAGCCTATGCTGAGGTGGCCTGGCTGTAGACTTTCGTGTGCCCGCACGATCGAGAGGATGGCACCATCGACGATGGCCTGGTAGCCCTGGCGGTCGAAGCCTTTGCTGGTGATCTGGGGCAAGAGATAGTTCAACCATCCTGCTGGGCCGGAGTGGGAATGTGTCCCGGTGACAGCAACGTTGTGTTGGCCGTAGACGGCATACTCTGGGCCCAAGTCCCTCAGCCCTGACAAGATGCCGTATCGCACAGCCGTGTCTCCGGATTGGGTATCGAGGACCAAGTACACAAAACGATCCGACGGGTTCGTGACGTCTCCCACGATGAAAGCGCGCGAATATAGGCGCTGGCGCAGGCCGGTGCCGACTTGGCTCGGGTCCGCGTAGCCCATCAGGTTGATTTCGACGACTGGGCCTGTGATGTCTCCCTTGCCTACGCCGAGGAGGTATTGGTCTCCTTTGTCGGCAAGTATAGTCTGCTCATCTTGGCTGGACCAGGGCACGTAAAGTCGATAATCGGAAACAAGGCCGGTGAAAGAAGAGCAGTAGAAGAGAAAAGGCAGCAGGATGAAGAGGGGGAGGAGGAATGGCAGCCAATGCGTCACTCTTGAAATGCCAGGACTAGTTGGCCGAAATGCACGTCCAGTCTCGTCTTTGAGATAAGCATTTCGATTCGCGATCCGGGCCTTCCGTGATGTCTCGCCTGCGAGCTCATCGTCGTCGACAAGATGCTGTCTTTCCGATACCATATTCGTGATTTAAGTTTCGGTGAAAACTGAAAAGCAAAAGCAGAAGAGAAGAAGTAGCTGGGTATCAATACAGTGTTTTAAGGGGGTTTAGTGACGGCTCGAAACGTTTGAGCCAGTCATTGTGCTGGCTCGTGATAGTTTTGAGCACAAGATCAACAAACAAGAATGACACAGTTCAAGAAGAAGGGAGAGGTAAGAGAAAGACGTGGACCCCCAAACGTTTAGCAGCACGATGCGGTCATAGCTTACTGCTGGTGGTGGTGGGTGCTGGGTGCTGGGGTGTGGGTGCTGCTGTGCTGTTTATTACCACGGTAGTGCTCCAAGGCCCAACGACTCGCTCCCCCAAGCACACAGCGCAGCAGCATGTGCCAGACAGCCATGGCAAGGATCCTGCAGGCAGACAGGGTTACCCTGCAATATGGCTGCGCGCAGCAGGATGTGCCTGGGAATCTCGCCGATTCGTACAGCACAGGTCACTGGCACGACAGCACAGGCACTAACAGAAAGACTGCTGCAGGCTGTCAACAGCTGAGGCAGACTACGATGAAGATTATGTACTGCCATACTATAGTAGTATTATGCAAGTACCTGCAGCTAACAGGCATTCAGGTCCAGCTTGCAATGGTCAGGCACCTAAAGGGCGGACCCTCCCCCTCTATTGCACCCAGCAGCTCTGGCCCCACCCATCCCGGCGGTTTCCAGCAAGGTTTGGAGACCCTCTGTCTCTCTTGATGACTGAAATTTTTAGTTAGAGTTGCATTCACGCAGCCATCACATTTCCCTTCCCTCCCTCAGCCTCCTCCTGCCCTTGTGAAAAACTTCACCAACGACCACAACACAACTAGACAAACGCCCACTCTTCCCATTTTCTTAGCAAAAACACAACTCATTCCCTAACAACCACCACCACCAACCCTATCGTTACTTCAAGAGAAAAACAGAAAAGAAAGAACACTCAATCGGAAGACGAAAAGGGAAGAAACCCCAGCAGAAACCTCGTCTCCGCATCCACCAGGTCAACAGCGTTACAAGAATTTGCACCCATCCGCCGAGGGGGAAACCTCTCCAGAAACGCCCACCACGATGCCTTCCATAACGACAGTCCATGAATCCCTCCCCTGTGAGCCACCCTCCCCGCGTTATATTTCTTGAACTATCTCTTTCCCTTCCCTTGTAGTCCTCCTTCTCTGTTCACTTAACCACCCCTCCCTAACCCAACAACCAAACTGACTCTCCCTTTCCTCCCCTCGCCAGATATCGACCAAGAACCGACCCCAGCCGAGCGCGCCGCCGCCGAGGCCCTCATAGCAATGGAACGCTCCTCCCACCGCGACGACCCCCACCACGCTCTCCTCCCCCCGCCGATCCAACCCACCTTCACCCCTCTCATGACCACAGAGACAGACCGCATCGCCGCCTCCCAGAACCCCCTCCAGCCCCAGCCCCTCCGCGCAATCGACCTCAGCCGCTACGAGGCTCCCGACCTCAACCCCGCCTCCGCCACCTCCCCAGACGACCTCGAGCCCGCCCTCAGCCAGGCCTACACAGCCATGTCCTACCTGACCAGCCGGCGCCAGCACCTTGCCCTCCTCGACACCCACGGCAAGAACGCCTGGCTCGTCGGTAACTGGCAGCTCGAGTCGGAGCTGCGCGCCGTCGAGCGCGAGCTGGCCGCCACCCGCCGCGAGATCGACCTGCTCACCGTGCGGCGGCAGCGTGTGCAGGCCGAGGCCGCCGGCGAGGTGAGGGGGCTGGACGAGGCGTGGCGGCGGGGCGTGGGGCGTGTTCTGGAGGCCGAGGTTGCTGCTGAGGGTGTGAGGAGAGAGGTGCTGGAAAGGGAGAGGGAGAGGGTGGGACGCATGGGCTGAAGGAGGGGTACTACTGTTTGGGAACCCTGTTTTCTTCTGTGGGGGGGGGGGGGGTTGCTGTTATTTTGAAGCGATATGTGTGTTTGGGAGAGAGAACGACAGGGTTCCGGTACTTCCCCTCCTACCGGACGACTGCTGCGCATGGAAGGGATCAACGGATGGATGGAGAGGAGGCTCGCCTCTACGGTCGGTCCAGGTCTCGTCAGGTCAGGTTACTTGGCAACCGTGCCACGCCACGCACAAACGATCGACGGGGCTTGTGTGTTTGTTTTATGGTCTGGGTGGTTTTCTTTCCACTCCCCTCCTGAAAGAATCTCCTCTCTTGTTGCTCTGTGCGGCGGCTGCCCTGCCTGCCTGCTCGGGCTGGGGCTACCAAGAAAGACGACTGCTCAGCCATTCGCTGCCCAAAGCCGTGGGACGATTGACATGACCTCATCGAGAAGCATTGCTCTGAGGTGGAAACGTACATGCCCTTCTGGTCGAAACAAATGACCACATAATTTGTCAAGATGTCAGGCTCGTTAGGATATTACTATTATACCTTTGATATTCAACACAAAACAATAAGAACATTTCAATATTGAGACATGACTGTACAATTGTATGTTCTGAAGAGACGTGAGCATTATGAAGAATATTGTCGTATTCTTAGGTCTTTTCTTTTTTCTCCCGCAGTTTAGGTATCAATGATGAGTGCGTCTTTCTCCTTACATAATCAAGCGAAGGAAGAGGTGATAGCATGATGATGGTGATAATGATGAATATACCCGTGAACGCCATTCCAGGTCCTTTCCGCGCCCTGAATCCCATGCGAGTTGGTTTACCTTTCCCCTTGGCCCCTCCCCTTTCACCCCTCCCCTTTGTCTTGCACAGATAATTCCCCTGCCACCCGCTGGTGCTCCGTCTATGCCGACGCCAGAGGGTCCACATCCTCAACCCCAGATTTGACATCCTCGTATTTTGTTCTTCTCATGATGCTCTCTACAGGTCCTAGCAGACGCTGGAAGGCGTTCTTGCCCAGCTTGGCGACCTTGACCTCTGTGGAGCTGATGACGGTGGCGGCGCGCGGCGCGTCATTGAGCAGCGCCAGCTCTCCAAAGAAGTCGCCCTTGGTGTAATGCCTGAGGTTGATGCGCTCCTTGTGAAGCCCCTCCTTGTATGCATCGCATTCGCCGCTCTCGAGGAGGAAGAAGTCGTAGCCTGGGTCACCCTCCCGGATGATGACTGTGCCGGTTGGATACTTCTGTGTCTCGAGGGCGTCGGCAATCTTGGAACGTTCGTACGAAGTGAGGCTCTTGAGCAACGGCACCTCCTCGAGGAAGTTCTCGTACATGCGGCGGCGCTGGAAGGTCGACTCCATCAGAATCCGGCGGAAGGTCAGGCGGTCCAGGGCCCAGAGAACGCAGTGTGCTTCGGCAGACACAACAGTGGCGGCACGAGGAGCGTTGTACATCAGGGCTAGCTCGCCAAAGGAACCTCCAGCCTCAATAGTGCCGACCTGGCTGCCCATGCCATCAGCGCCAGGCCTCATAGACCCAGCCTGGTTGACGTAGACCTGGAAGCTGCCCTTCTCGACGACGTAGAAGTAGTCTCCGGCGTCTCCCTGGGTGATGACCTGTATCAAAAGTGTCAGTCTTCCGCTACCAACGGACCTATTTTTTCTTTTCTTTCCCCCTTCTTTCTCTGCCTGGGTTCACACCGCGCGGACGTACCTTGATTCCCTTTGCGGGGATAGGCTTCTCCTGCATCGCGCTGAGAACTTGAGTCCTCTGCTCGTCGTCCATGTGCTTGAACAGAAAATTCTCGGAGATGGAGCTCGTCAGCCTCTCCAGCTGCTCCCTCGACTTGGGGAACACGGGCGGCTGCCAGTTGTCGTTGTGCTCGGCGGTGGGCTTGAGCGACTCGGCGGAGACAGATGTTCGACGGCCAAAGTTGTACTGAGCGGGAAAGTTGTCGGTGTTGGGCGGGCTCCGCAGGCCCGTAGGAGGCTCATGGCCGCCGTCGAAGCCGCCAAAGGGGCCTGTGAAGAAGGAGGTGGTCCTCATGCTGTTGAAGCTGCCCGTGGTAGGCGATGTGATGAGATCGCCTTCCTCCTCTTCGATGACCTTCTGCATCATGCCACCGTCGTTGGAGCCGAAAGGGTTGGAGTTGACCCCAAAGGGGCTTGTGAAGCTGCTTGAGGACATGGCCTGGGGTCGACTATTGGCTAGCTTGAGCCGTTTGTTGGGGGTACCCTCGGACAACAACTTGATTCGCTCGGACGCCAACCGCGTGGCGAAGAAGTCGGCGCAGAACTGGAGGATGTCTCGTGGGTTGGATCGTAGCACTTGGCTGTTGAGATCCTGTATCTCCCGCGTGTAAGCAACCGGTAAGGCCATGGCGTACATCTAGCAAACAGGCCAAATTATGTAGACGTAGAAAACAAGAATGAAGAAATAAAGCAATCCAGATATTGGAAGCCGTCTGCAAGAAGAAACACCGTCGTGTGGAACTGGTGGAATAGCAGCAATAATAAGATATGTATGTATGTGTGTAGGTTGGGATTGGCTTCTCTCAAAAGGCGAGTGGTGGTGGAAAGAAAAAAAAACAATGAGGACGCGATATTAATATTTGTATAACATGTAACGAGCGTGGCAAGCGAATACAGGCTTGTTTAAGTACCTTGGGACTGGCACAAGGACCGTCTTTTTGTTTTTCTCTTCTGCGACAAGGTCTGCTTTGATATTAGCATGGACGTACTGTTGTATGGGCCCTTGAGAACTAGGGGGGAGTGCAAGGAAATTGAAACATCTCCGACTGGAGCAGGGGAGGGGGGAGGGGGGGGGTTAGTGCTGGTGAAAGAAATGATAAAGCAATTTCAGAGGCTGAAGGCGCCGCAGAAGCTGGAGGGTGATACGTGAAGTTATCACCCACGAGGCAGACTGCGGTCATCATAGCGCATTCTAATCGCAGACAATGAGAGGAGGGCAGATGCTTTGACGTATCACCCGATGGGAGGAGGACACGGAGAAGCCGGTCGCAAGTAGCTCCAGGGGGGGGGGGCCAAGGAATCGAAAGGGGATCATGTGGCGGTGGTAGCGGCAATGGTAGAAGTGGTGATCACTGAAATGACAACAGCTGAGCAACAAGAGACTGGACTTACCGGAGAGGAATTTGGACTTGGAGAAGAAGGTCAGGAGCGATAGGCTTCGAAGAAGGGGAGGAGGCGGTGGGTTTTAATATGGATCGATGGGAGGCAGCGTGGTTGCGACGAGGATACGGATCGTAATCAAGCCAGGAATAGTAGTTAATCAGTCCAATATCGGAGACACCGTGCGGCCACCGAGATCAGACTCTGGTTACGGAGACGACGACTAACAAGGGCCCAAACTGATCGACCCTGCGGTGTATATTTGTTTGTGTTGACGAGGCGGGGCACACTAGAAACAGAAGCTATTCAGAAGGGAGGAGAACCAGCCCTGGTGAGGATGGTCAGTTGGTAAAGGTAACGGTAGTGGTGATGAAGGAGGAAGAAGAAATTGAGGAGGACGAAGACGAAGAAGTGAGGAGGCGGGCGTCGAGGAGGAGGACGAGGAAAGAGCAGCAGCAGCAGCGCAAGGGAGGGAGAAGGAGGTCCTGTCTCGGGTAAAGCTAAGGGCAGCTGGCGGCTGAGAGCTTGTCTTGGTTCTCTTCTGTTCTCCGTCCTGTGCTGTTCCCGGCGATGACCCAAGGAGAGACCCCCCAAACCAGGAGAGGAGGGCAGAGACACAAGGTCAGAACGCGGCAGGGATGGCTATCATTGAACGAACGGGTGAATTGACGGCTTGTTTGGTCGACACTGTGCCACTACGGATCACTCCGCGGAACCTAGAGGAAAATAAGCGAGACTGGGGAATTGAGCTGGATGAAGCCGGATGTCCAGGGCCTGGGTCTAGTCGGAAGGGTCTGAGTGTTGTGAAAGTTTGAGGAGTCGCAATTCAAATGACAAGAGACAGGAGATGAGCGTCAGTGTCAAGTTGGGTGGACTGGACTGGGGTGGGGGGGGGAAGCTCTGGCCTTGCCTCTTCGCTCTTCCCGGGACAGGTGGGGAAGGACAGTACTGCAGTAGCACGTCATCAGAGGGCTCCCTTGCTGCACGGCGGGTGCGTGGGCAGGATGAGGCATCGGCGCTGTTAGGGGAATACCTACAGGCCCATTCAGGACGGCTCCAGGGCCTTGTCACCCACGGGAAGCAGAGGCCACATTGTGATCCGTCCCCCCCCCCTTCTCGCACCCCGTCACCCCTCTTCGCCCTTCAAGGCTTCCTCTGCCGACCCCCTGTTGCCTTTGTGCCCCTGTGTTTCTGTGGTTCTGTGCCCCTGTCCTCGACGGTCGAAGCCTTCTAGAAGGAAAAGGAAAAAAGAAAGAAAAAGGCGCACGGGACAGAGCACGAGCCCGCGCTACCATCCCCTGATCCCTTCTTGCTGTGGCCTGGGGCCACTTTGGAAGCTTCTTCGTCTGCTTCTCTTGCAGCAGCTGCCGTTTCTCCTGGCCCAACCGCGTCATTCACCCCCAATGTGACCTTTTGACCTTCATCTTCTACGCGCAATATCCAATATCCAATATCCACGCCATCCAAAAATGAAAGAAGAATATCCCCACTCGCCGTCGCCCTCGTGGCTTGTGGGCATTTCCGAAAGGGCACCATCTGCCCTGGCCCTGGCGTGCCCTGTGCTTCTTCTTTCTTTCTTTTCTTCCATTATCCTTTTTCTTGTCCGTTTAGATGGTTGATTGCTCTGCCAATTTCAGTGGCAAGTGGCTATGACAGATACTATCGTAGTTTGAAAGCTTACCCAGGCATGCGTCAGGGTGATCCACCCACCCACCCCTACTCGCGGAGAGACAAACAGCTGCCCCGAACATATTGTGTAGCCCCCTTATTTTCCTTCTTTTTCCTTCTTTTTGTTCCAAAAGGTATGGTGAGTCTCTCTGGGAGTATTCCCGGAAGAGACACTGATCGACAAGTAAAAAGCAAAGCCGTCCGTCATGCTGTTTTAAATTGTAGCAGGTTTTCTTCTTGTCCCCCCCCCCCCCCAAAACCCCCAAGGAAGAGATCACCGTCATTGTGCATCGTATTGTGGATCGAGATGGTGCTTCTTCTCCTACCATCCATTCAATATGTACCGAGGACCTCTTGAGACCTACGTACGAGGCTGTGCGTCTACCAGGAAGAGGTGGATTGGTGCTTGCCATGGCACGGCTACCAACCGTACATACACAAACATACACACTAGAAGTACGACCTGGTAGCTTACCGTGAGTAAGACTGTGAGACTCGGCCTGTCCGTTCGTGTGATTCCTTGCAAGACGCACCGCTGTTTCGCAGATCCCAACCACCTCCTCAAACTCAGCAGCCGTGATACGAATGCCACGCTGACTCTTGACTCGGAGTAGCTCATCAGATTGGCCGGGCGAAACTTGTCGAAGACATGAAATCTCACTACTGGCCCCCAAGCAGTCTCAGTCGTTCCTCTCAAGATGCATCTGTCTATCACGTATGTTGCAGACCACTAACTGTCGGAGACTGTTCGTGTTGTCTTAGATAGAAACCATATTCTCATATCTGACTTGGGGAATGTACTTTTGCGTGTAATACTGCCAAGTCATGTTCAGAGTAGCAAACGTACTACGTACAATAGCTAATATAATTAACCCTTCACCCCTCGCTTCTCTCCATCTCAAAAAAAAAGACAAGAAAAAAGAATAAAGGGCCGGGGACGAAGAGAAGGGCAAAAAGGAACCCCATAAACCAAAACATGGTAGGCAAAAGGAAGGGAAGCAAGCCAAAACCTATGCCATCGAACAAAGAAGCATCATCTCCCAAGATCGGTAGTCAGCACAGACAGGTGCTATCTAAAGCGCAGTAGCCTTTACAGAAGGTGTAGGTAGGTGGTCACTTATGTAAGCAGCTCTGGAAAGCCCCCCAAATATCCCCCAGTGGCTGCGCCTCCCTCGTTAAGCAACAGGGCAGGCCACTACGGCGTTACTAACATCGCCTCCTCCACCTCTCTGTGCCCGGCCCCTCCTCCCGCGCGCATTTTGCTCCTGTTTGGTCGTTTTTCCCCTCAGGCTTCAGCTATTCCAGGACACACCCTGGCAAATAAGGACCCATCCACAGGCCATTCCTACCACTAGTAAACCAACGCCGCACTCTCCGTGGTCTCCGTCGACGCCAGCCCGAAAAAGTGGGCTCCTCTCGTTCCAAATGTCACAGTCCCTGTGCACGCGTACCAATACTACGACTACTACCACTACAAACCCATCAATCAATCATTAAGTTATCATTAAGTTAGGATTGATTGACTGACTGATGGACTGACGGCCTCATTATCTCTCTCGATTCGATCCCGATACGGCCAACCCGACCTTGCGTCCTCCCCCGTCGTCGTCATCACCGAGGAGAGTAAAGGACCCTACCCGACTTGTCCACTCTTTCTTTCTGCCTTCTCCCCCCCTTGCCTCGTCTTGGACCTGGCCTCGCCCTACTTTTTCTCTGCGCGATCCACGACCACCAGAAAAAAACAGTAACAATGGCCGATTCGCCGAGGATCGGTCGTACCGACTCTATTGCCTCGCAGGAGTCAGGGAGCAAGACCACAGAAAAGAAGAAGAGCCGCAGGCCAGCGAGTGAGTTTGACATGCATATCACCACCCTCGTTCCGTTTCGGTGCAGTCGTGCGCTACGACACACGGCTGCTGGACCACACGCATCCACGAGATAAAGGAGGAAGAGCCGGAGGCCAGGGACTAGGGGACAGTCCTGCCTGGCTGGACCGATGAATAGGAAAAACAGCATGGGGCAAATATCTTGGGCACGGGAAGGCTGATGATTGTCGCATCGCGAAACAGACACGGCATTTCGCCAGCAGCGGTTGAAGGCCTGGCAGTAAGCAATGACCACTTCTTGTAGACTGAGGTGGAGGGCGGAACGACATTACACATCGCTGACAGTTGATTGTTCCATAGGCCCATCCTGACACCCAAAACTGTGCTTCCCTTATTCTTCTCGATCGGCATCATCTTCGCGCCCATAGGAGGTCTACTTCTTTACGCAAGCGCCCAGGCAGGTTGCCCTCTCCCCCCCTCCCTTGTAGCCCAACTGCCCGTTGCCGCCTACGAGCTGCTGCTGACGAAGGTGGCATGATGATACAGGTGCAAGAGCTTGTGATTGACTACACCAAGTGCACAGCGGAGGCACCCAACAGCACCGACTTCAGCTCCGTCCCCTCCAAGTACATCTCGTCCCAGTTCAAGAACAAGACCGACCTCACGATCCAGTGGCGCCAAGAGCCGATCAATGTCACCTTTGATGGCGTCACAAACACCACCCAGAACTGCATCGTGCAGTTCCAGATTCCCGAGGACATGACCCCGCCGGTTCTGTTCTACTACCAGCTCACAAACTTCTACCAGAACCACCGGCGCTACGTCCAGAGCTTCGACGCCAACCAGCTGATCGCCAAGAGCGGGCATATCAACAAGGGCATCAGCTCCGACTGCGAGCCGCTCGAGAAAGACACCGACGGGTTACCCTACTACCCGTGCGGGCTCATCGCCAACTCCATCTTCAACGACACCTTCTCGAACCTCACGGCTGTCGGCTCGAGCGGCAACAACTACACCATGACTGAGAAGGGCATCGCCTGGGACTCGGACAAGTCCCTGTACAAGGACATTCCGTCCGACTTTGACCTGTCTCTAGTGGCCGTCCCGCCGAACTGGGCGGTTCGGTACCCCAACAACTACACGACGAGCAACCCCCCTCCGAACATCGCCACGGATGAGCACTTTATCGTATGGATGCGTACTGCAGCGCTGCCGGATTTCAGCAAGCTGTACATGAGGAACGATGATGACACGCTTACCAAGGGATTATATCAGGTGGAGATTACCAACTGTGAGTCTCAAGATGGCATCAATGCGACATTCCAAGGGGCCTGTTGTTGCGTTGAGACTGACCAGAGACCAACTTCTTTCCAAACATGTAGGGTTCCCAGCGGACATATACAAGGGCACCAAGTCGATTGTCCTCAGTACCCGGACAGTCCTGGGCGGCCGGAACCCTTTCCTGGGCATTGCATACGTCGTTGTTGGTGGAATATGTATCCTCCTCGGCGTGCTGTTTACGGTGACCCACCTGCTTAAGCCGAGGTTTGTTCCCCCCCCCCCCCCCCCCTCTTTTTTTCTGTCTGATACGACATCTAGGATGCACACTGACACCACGACCCTCAGGAAACTCGGCGACCACACGTATCTCTCTTGGAATAACGCACCGGCATCGAAGTCAGGCGGCCCCTCCACGGCCATGGCGACGGGACGCGACCTCGGACCACAAGGTCAGGCCTAGGCGGCCCATTCACGTGGGCTTGGCAGCGAGACCAACATGCCTCCCGACAGCCAACCCCTTCTGGCTGGCTCACCTATCCTGCCACGAGTATGGAGCCCAGACTCGGCGACGGATGAGTCCACATCCATGTCCCTGAGCAGGGCCGTCACCACGCTGGACTTCATCTCCAGGCCGGACCCTGCCGTTCCTGGGCCAAGCTCCCAGAAGCGAAGGACTTGAAAGGGGGAGAATAAGAATTCGAAAAGTCGGGATGTGAAGGAAGGTTGGATGGCGGGCTGTTGCTGCCTGGCCGGCGCGGTTTTGTCATGTTGTGTACGATTAAAGTCCTTTGTTTGTGTTTCGATCCCATTTGCATCACTGCCTGAAAAAGGGAGAGAAAGAGAGAGGAGAGAGAGGTGATTGTTTCCTCTTTCTTGAAGAAGGTTTTCTGTTTCGTTGTCTTTCACCTCGCTACATATACCTACGACTTGACCACTTGGCCTGTTTTTGCTGTGCTACAGATACCGCTATAGAAGTGGAGGTGGGTGGTGGTGGGGTCCGACGTCGTCGTTGTCATCCGTCTGCTTCTTTGATGAGATTGCTTGCAAGATTGCTTGGGCATGGAACGGGCGGGGAATAAGGCAAAGGGGCCAAAGGCATGTAATGCTAGCTGGCAGGTGTTGAGGCGTTTGATAATATCTTCTTGATAGTCGTATAGGAATGAGAACAGTAAAGCACATTAACAATGATTTCCTCCTGTGACTTGACCACTGGATTTGGTTTCTAGAAAACTGACTGACTTGTTATACGAAGAGTCACGAAGCAAATGAAGAGGAACAGATGACTATTTGATCAATTTATATTTGTCCGAACATCCACAAAGTATATAGTATAATACAATTTTTGTAATAATCACAAAAAGAAGTGGTATCTAAACAAGTTCTGTTCCCGCGAGGAACGTGAAGCACGGGAAAGATGCATGTGCCAAACAAAAGATTGATCGATCACGAAACAGATCGTTTCGTGTCGTGTCCCACAAAACCCCAGAACGCCGTCGAGCCTCAATCCTGCCCTTCTCCTTCTTCTTCTTCCACCTCCTCCTTCCTATGAACAATTTTTTTCTTGGGCTCTTCTTCTTCTTCTTTTTTCCCCCTTTCCCTTTCCCTTTCATCCCAGGGCCACCAATGGTCCCCACATAAAACGCCTTGCAGGAAGAAAGAATAGAAAAACAAGTCCTTGTAGATGGATAGACAGGTAGGCAGAGGAATAAGAATGCCAGAGACAAAAAAAGACAGATTTCATGACCTCCTCTTTCTCTCATTGCCATGAAACAATTATTAGAACCCTTCCTTCAGATAAGAAGGGACAAGGGTGGGGGGGAGGAGGGGAATGAAGATAAAAGAGATTCCCTCATCGCACACTCAGATACAAATCCTCACCCTTCTTTTTAGGCGTGAGCTGAGGCTGCCAGCCCGGCGTAGCAGGTAGATGCGCATAAGTGCCCTCACGCCCACCAGATTCCTCCTGCTGCTGCTGCTGCTGCTGCTGCTGCTGCTGCTGCTGCTGCGTCCTCATCCACCTCCCCTGCGCCTGTTGTGCCTGCGCCATCCTCTGCCTCTCGATCTGGAACCGGGCGGCCTTTTCTGCGCCGACCCTCTTGGCGAGCAGGGCACTTCTGCTGCTGGTGCTGGCGGTGCTGCTGGTACTGCCCATCACCAGCTGCGGTGGCGGGCCGAGGACGGTGCTGTCGGTGCTGTCGGTGCTGTCGTATCTTGAGTCTGGAGACGGCGCCACGCCTCTTCCCGCGCTGTATAGGGCATCTGAGAGGGATTGTGGGGAGGGCGTGAAGTTCTGCAGTGGGAGGCGATGTGGTGGTTGAGATTCCGCCGATACTTGCTGGGACGAGAAGACACCACCAGTCGCCACCGCCGAAGAAGAGCCAAACTTCGTCTGCGAAGGCAATGCCGCCCTGTCCGTGCCAGCGCCGCGCCGTTTCGGCACAGAGATGCTGACAGCCGCACCTGGCACGTCAGGTGATGCGCTCCGAGCTGGCACCACCACGCCGTCCTGGTCATGGTTCACTGGGTACTGGTTCGCACCACCCGCCGCCCTCTTGTGCTGGGGACGGTGGTATGCCGCACCAAGCTGAGCATCCGAGATGTGTCCGTAGCTCGGTTTAGCGGAGGCGGCAGCGGTCGTGGCGGCGGGCAGGACGGCAGGACGACGGTGCGCGGATCCGACCTCCTGGAGTGTAGGGCCGTCTCCTCTGCTGTTGTCCCGGAGGAACCTACCGCCCTGCTGCTGGTGCTGCTGGTGCTGCTGCTGTGATCGTATTTGTTGGCTGGCTGCCTCAAGGCTGCTCGTTCTATTCCTCCGCTGAGGGTAGCTGCTCTGTGCCCTTGGGATCTCAGGGTACCGCACCTGATGCGACTCTGCGACGGGCGAAAGGTGGCTGCCACCCATCTCCGACTTTGAGGAGATATCTCTCTTCATCATCGCCAACGTCTTCTTCATTTCCTCGTCAGGTAGCCTTGAACCCCTCCTGCTGGGCAGAGGGAACTCATCCAGCGCCTCATCCAGTCCTTCGACGGGCGAGTCTGAGATGACCGTGGACTCGCTGTCTGTAGACATGATGGTGGTTGCTGAGTCGCGAGACTGCCGTTGCTGTGGCTGTTGTTGCTGTTCGGCTGCTGTCAACGCTGTCGCCATCATCTTCCCTTTCGATCTCGACCGCGACCGCGAACTCGACCGCCTTCTCCTCCTCGTCATCATTGCCTCTGCACCTAAGGTCTCCTCGCTGCTCGGCAGAGGAGTGTCTGCGGGCTTGGGTCTAACGGGTCGAGACGGCGCACGTTGGTTATGGTGGTGGTTGTATTCGTGTGGGCGAGAAGAGCCACCACCAACAGCCGAGCGCGAATTCATGGGCAGACGCCCACTATCCGGCGTGACGAGTCTGATGGTGGAGCGCCTCGCAGCTTGGCTGTCGTTGCCATTCCCACGCCGTGAGGGCGAGGAGGAAATACCCAGCGCCACGGCCTCCGGAATGGTAGGGGATGACAGGTGGGCCATGGCTGGATGGCCGGTGTCGTCGTCGCCGTCGTCGAACTGCTGCAGCTGCTGAGGCTGCTTGTGCCAGATGACCGTGGAGGTATCCGCGTCGGGCCTGTTCCTCCTACCCGCTGGCCTCTGCTGCTGTTCCCTCTCTCGCCGCATCTCCATCTCTCTCTCCTCAGCAGTCTTGCTGATCGGCGTCGCCAGCTCAGCAATATACTCGGGCGACCTCATCTGCTGCTGCTGCTGCTGCTGCTGCTGCTGTCCCTGCTCTCCCGCCAACACAGCTGCAGGCGGCGGCGTCGTCCCATGCAAGACCCAATTTCCCCACCGGTCGGCAACATAGTACGTTGTCGCAGACTGCGGGTCTGCATTGGGCCTTCGCCATATCTGTACGGATCCTGGGGCTGCGAAAGCCGAGTCCTCGCCATCTTCGGCAAACTCGGTGACTACCGAGTCTCTGCCGCCGTTAAAAGGGTTGCGGTGGGCAGAAGCCGTGCTTAGGCGCTGGGGGCGATGAGGAGGGATGGCTATGGCAAGGTTTGGCTTGGCTGCGCTGGTGTTATTGTGGTGGATAGGAAGAGACTGGAGGAGGGCTGGCGGCTGTGATGGTCGTGGTTGAGGTTGGCTCTGTTGTTGATGTTGTTGTTGTTGTTGTTGTTGTTGAGGGTTGGGCGATGCCTTGGGGAAGAACTCAAAGCTGTTCACCGCCTGACGAGGAGACATGGGCGGCACTGTTGCTCGTGGCGGCGGTGACAAGCCTACGATGCCCTCTTGTCCTTCTCCGTCAAAATGATGATCATGATGAGATGACGACGAGAATGATGGAACAGCAGGATGAGGGAGAGGAGGCTCATTCCGAACCACAAGTCGCCTCTCATCCGGTCCTCTCCTCTCAACACCCTGCGTCGCAACGCCACCAGTCCCAACAACAGAACCTCCTCCTATTGCCAGTCCGATTCCACCTGCATCTCCGCCAACACCACCAAATCCCCTGCTAAACCTCTTGCTCTGCTTCGCCAGCGCCCTCGTAAAGGACATGACCTTGGGCTCCTGATACCTGGGCGCCGAGATGGGCAGCGAGCTTGGGCTACCTTGCACCTGGGCCCGCTTCTCCCACGAGTCCCGCATGCGCGCGAAACCTCTTCTCCTTCGGATGCAGACAAACATGGCCAGGAGGGTTGCTGCTATTACGGCTGCTACGCACCCGCTTGTGATGCCAGCCACCTGAGCACTGCTTAGCCTTGTGGTGGTGGTAGTGGTGTTTGTGCCATTGGTAGGAGGAGATGTAGATGCGGGGACTGGGGCTGTCGAGAGCATGCTGGAGGCCCTGGTAGTGGTAGTGTTGGGGTTGCTCGAGGTTCGCGTCGGTGCGGCAGACGACGACAACGACGACGTTGACGAGTTTGTCTTTGTGGTGTGAGTGGACATCGATGTCGGGGAGGCCACAATGATGGACCCCGAATTCACAATGACGGTGGCTATCAGTGTTGCGTGTGTCTCTGGTGCTGCATCGCTCTGGTCGCTGCACATTTCGTATGCTGCTGTCACCGTCGAGGCTGCCGAAGCGGGTCAGTGTCAGTCTCAATTTCAGTTTCCAAATCTCACTTTCACTCATCCACTCCCTGCTGCTCCCTCTTTCTCTCTCTTTCTGTCTTACTGCCCATATTGAGGAAAGAGGGGGGAAGGAGAGGAGATTGCAGGGCGGCACTTGCAAAGGGTGCCAAACCACCCAAAGGGCGTAGGGTCGTAGAAGGAGTAGACAAAACTTACATTCAACATCCATCCCATGACATTCATTGATATCATTCTCCGCTACAATACACTCCGTCGCCCCCTCCCCGATCGTATATCCCGACGCCCCCGTCTGCCGACACAGACATTCTAGCGAAGGCGAAGTTCCACAGACACTCGTGTCAAAGTTATCCTCGATGAAGGACTCGAAACACGAGAGCGCGCAGGACGGGATGAAGCTGGTGATGTCAGACGAGAGGCTGAGCGTCGATGTCGAGGTGGCAGATGACGACGACGAGGGTGAGGCAGTGGTTGTCGGTGACCTATTGTCGTCCTCCCTCCCAGCGGGTGATGCAATGACACCTTTGATATGGTGGGCTGCGAGGCATATGAGCAACAGCAGCAGTCTCCTCCCACCCTCCACCCTCGGCCCTGACATGCTGAGGGAGAAGGACATCTATCTGTTTTCGCCACGAAGAAAGGCCATGTGTCAGTTCATGGGTGTCTTGGTTTGTTGAGTGGTGGTCGGCATGTCCATGGCCACGCGCTCCCATCTCAAAGCAAGGTTTCTTCCACCCTCCTTCATTTTTTCTTCTTCTTTTCTTTCCTGTCTATCTCTTTTTAACGCCGATCCCTTCTCTCTCTCTCATCTCCTCAAGCATGGAGAGCCTATGGCGAGGACGACGAGATTGACGAGGACGAGGACATGGTTCGACTGCGCCCTTCTGCCTTGCATGGGAGGCAAACTGGTAGCCGCCTGGTGGTCACCCAACAAGGAAGGGTACCCGGCCAATACGAGAAGAAATATAATGAATGTCCCTCCTGCAGGAGAAAATGAGGGAGGGCGAGAAGGTTTCTGAAAGGGATGGAAGGATGTGGAAGAGAGACAAGGGAATGGCACAACTGACCTATGAAAGAAAAACTCGAATTAAGTGAGATGGCCGGCATCTCAGCATCTCTAGGAAGGAGGGAAAGTCCCAAGATGAAAGTACAATTATACAAACAGGAGATGACTGAGAACTATAAGAGGCCGGAGAACATAGGCGATAGAAGGCCGAGACAACAGAAAGAAGAAGAAAAAAGAATATTTCCTTTCAGAGAGCAAGGCGACAGGAGAGGGAAAATCGACCTGAAGCTTACCGAATATCAGAAAAAAATAAGAAAAACAAGAAATGTAATCGAAGCCCAGGATTAGTAAAAGAGACGGACAAAGAAAGGATAAAGAAAATACTACTCAACGATGATGTCTAGAAACTAGACACCTGACGAAGAGCAAGACAAGGGGAAGAGGAATAGTAGAAAGAAAATAGATGGCAAGCAGAGAAGGAAAAATGCTGAGGGCAAGGACTGGACAGGACAAGAGAGAAAGATAGAAAGGAGGACGGGGTTAGAAGTTGGCTGGGTCAACATGCATCCATATGGTCGCCGTCGATGGTCCGTGTTCAGGAGACCATGCCGGAAGACCAACTTCTCCACTATTCTCCTGGCACACACACACACGAGACACATGCAAGGAAGAAGAAGAGGAAGAAGAAACCCGACGAACACCTCCGTGTGTGCTTGAAGAGAGAGGTGGGGGGGGGGGGGACATCCACAGAGAAACACACACCAAGATAGAGAGATGACGTCTCACTGCGCCTGCGCAGCAGTCCGATAAAGTCCAACGGCTGCAACTCGAGTGAGCCGCAGCCCCGACTTGCTGACTGGCTTTACAGGAACTTCCTTCTCTCCTTCTCTCTCCAAGAGGTCGTAAACACCCGTTCTCTGGGCTATGTCACACCATCTTTCCGGAGGGAATGTATACCACCCAATCCAGAGGATATCAGAGCCGCCCAGCCTGCGTCATGTTCGAATAGATCTTACTCCCCTGCCTGGGCGGGTAAGTTTGGAAAAAGGAAAGGACCCCTTTCGGAGAATTTACTATCCTTGCATCATAGTAGTAGTCTTGTCTGTCTCTTGTTTGTGTCTCCCTGGAGGGGGGGGGGGTTAAGAGAAGTGGGCGGTACGGTCCACAATGGAGGAAAAGAGGATCTCAGATGAGATGCTTGAGCTGCAGTGGGTCACACCCCACATGATCTTTGCAAGAAGAGAGGGAAAGAGAGATCCCCGATGGACGGCTGAGCCCTTGGAGGAGGCTACCTGACGGCCCCTGGTTGCGCCTACCCGCGCACCGGCACGGCACACTGCACGAGGGGGCTATTTTGGGTGGTTGCACACACCCACACCTGCAAACCCAAGCTTGCCAGTTAGTCCAGTCCAGCCCAGCCCAGCCGTTACCGTGAGGCGAGGGGCGCGCGGGAAGGATTCGAGAGGCAGGAGAGACAGCCTCCCGCGATCGCTTATTATGGCCCCAGAGTTGCAGGGTGGGCCTTTGGCCGACCCAACCTCGCTGTTCGAATTCACCCAAAGTCTATTCCTTCCAAAGAGGCCTCGACTGAAGAAACAAGCCGAAACAAAAGGACCCCATTCTGGACGTGTTGTCGCCGGGCCACAGCCAAGTGGCTTGGGTTCTCCTTTCTTCTTGCTGCGAGAGAGTGCGTGTTCTCTCCTGTGTACCAAGTATTTGAAGATCAAACTATTCAACTGCCTGACAAGGGTGCGAAGGAAGTATGACGAAGAATCTTCTCGGCTCTCTGACCTCTCATCCATGGGGTTGCAGGGGTGGATGGGTGTGCACATGAGAATCAGGAACAAGATCGAGGCGCTGTTCAAAAAAAAAAAAAAAAAAAAAAAAAAAAAAAAAAAAAAAAAAAAAAAAAATTGTACTCTAGAAAAAGCACCACCTCGAGAAGCTGCGGATTGAGCATCCGGGCTGTGGGTTGAAGATGTTTTGCTGATGCGCATGCGGCGTGGTGCATGCTTGTCATCCCACCCCTCCATCCATGCACCCACCCACCCCCGTCATCTACTACTGCAAAGTCCATGCCCACCCCCACCTTCCAAGCCTACGCGCTTACACATGTCCACCAGGCGGCTAAATCAGGCTCTTCTGCAGGCCCTGGACCACTTCTGCTGCATACTACCCTCCCCTCCCTCCCCCCCCCGGCCGGGCGCCAAACTTGGATTTCGGCGTGAAGCACTGAAGCAGGCTGGACCAATGGCTTTGTCAAGCCAGTCATTGTGCTTCTTGTGTGTGGACCACCCACTACGTAGTTTGTACCAGACTTAGGAGAAGAAGTCCATCACAGTGGTGGGGCCTCTTCCACAACATTATACCATAGTATTATGATACAATAGACAGAATAGCTAAGTAAGAAGAGGGGTCCTAGTTGCGCTGACTGTTCCCTCGACGTGAGCGTGTGAATGAGTGAGCCAGGACCGCCCCATCTCCATCATCTCGAGGACCAAGTACAGATGTTTCTAGCGGGAGGCGGAAGCTTTCCGGAAAGGGGTTGCGACCACTCGAGGAGAAAGACGTCTGAGGAACCGTGTTCGACAAATTCTGGTTCCCAGCGTGAAACAAAACCTCAACACGTCACAACGCTGTGATAAGGGGTACCGCGCTGCTGGGTTCTTGTCGCGTCGGCGGCAAGGGAAATGACGTCGAACGCCACGGCGGTCACATCCCAATATTTCCTTTACTGTTTTTCCTTCAAGCGTTTAGCTCATCATGATATTGTATTGCATTTTGTTTTTTTAATAGTGGGGGAATCGTAATGCCATCTGTCTGTCTAAAAGTTCCCGGAGCCGTCGTCATATCCGCAAGGAGATTATCCGATATGGAAAAAGGTGACGACTCCAATGAGCTTCCGTCCAACCATAATCCATACATAGCTTATGCCACAGCGGAACAGTCTGCCTCCACCTGATCGTGGAATAGACAGGCTATCCGGCTGGCTGTTCCATTCTCAATCTCCGTCCTTTCTCCATACACACACTCGTCTCCTCCAACTAGAAGTCCCTCCTCTGGCGTCGATACAACTGGATACACCTCCAACACTGACCGTGAGCTGGACCTCCTGTAAGATGGAGAGACAGGCACCACCTTTGACGACCTTGGTGGAGGCCCGTAGATTTACTGCCAGCCCGACAGCTGCGGACGAAACACCTAATTCGTTGCGGCGGGGACAGGGGCAGCCTCCTGCTGGGGAGTGCTGTCTTCTGCTGGGAGGCCCTGGGGGCGGTATCCCGGCTCGGCGCGAGTTGACTTGATGACGTCCTGGATCTTGCGCTCGGTGCGGTCCCAGTCGTCAGGCGTTAGCTGGACAAGGTCGATCTTGTACTCCTCGGCGATGGCGGCCAGGGCGCTGAAGCTCTTCTTGTCTGACACGAAACTGATGGACACGCCGACACGACCGAACCGGCCCGTGCGGCCGATACGGTGCAGGTAGGTCTCCGGATCGGGCTCGGCGTCGTGAGGGCCCTTCATGGGGATATCGTAGTTGATGACCATGGAGACGCTGGACACGTCGATGCCACGGGCCATGACATTGGTCGTGATGAGCACCTTGGACCGGCCGGCACGGAAGTCCTCCAGCAGACGGTCGCGGTCGTTGCCGTCAAAAGCGCCGTGCAGAGCAGAGACCTGGTGGCCGTCGCTAACCATGCGCTGCTCGATGACGCTGGCGGACTCGCGCGTCTTGACAAAGATAACAGACGAGCCGATGGTCATCAGGCTGTAGAGCTTCACGAGGATGTCATACTTGTCATGCTCGCTGGGACAGTCCATGTACATCTGGGAGATGCCCTTGACCGTGAGGTTCTGGCGCTGCAGCATCATAGAATGGGCATTAGGCGCAAACTTCTGAGCGTACACGCCCACCTTGTCGGGAAAGGTGGCAGAGAAGAGGAGGATCTGGATGTTTTTGGGGAGCATGCTGTTGTTCGCGGGTTAGCTGTGTGCACCTTTGCCGCCGGTCGTAGGTGAACACGGGCTCAAAGGATACATACTTTTTGACTTTGAGGGCCTGATCGCCGAGGCCTGACTGGTCCAGCATGTTGTCGGCCTCGTCGACAACGAGGATCCTGAGCTCTCTGGTGTCGAACTGGCGGCGCTTGATCGCGTCCATGACGGTACCCGGGGTACCGACGACGACAGAACCTCTGACACCCGTAGCACGGTCGATACCGCCGGGGATGGCCGCCTCGACGACCAGGTCGGGGAGGAACTGGCCTATGGACTTGACGACACCCTGGATCTGGCGGGCGAGCTCACGGGTAGGGGCGAGGATGAGGGCCTGAGGCTGCGTGGGCTTGGTGTAGTCGACACGCGACAGAACAGCAATAACGAACGCCGCGGTCTTGCCTGTACCCGATTGCGACTGGGCAATCATGTTGCGGGGAGGGTTAGCCAGAAGGAGGGGCAGGGCCTTCTCCTGGACCTTGGAGGGCTTCTTGAAATTCATGGCCAGTAGACCCTGATAGATGCCCTCAGCACTAAATTGACAACGTTAGCATCGTACCGCGTGAAGGGACAATAGTAGGCCCGGATGAGGGAGATATGTATTCATATATATATATATATATATATATATATATACATATTCATGTACGCACAGGTCGAGATCCTTGAACTCCTTTGCAGAAGCGAGGGGGTTGTCGGTGTCGATTAGGTCAGAAAGGGTAACCTGAACATCGAAGGAGGGCTCAGCCAGGCCCGAGTCATTAGGTTCAGCCATCGTGAGGTCGTGAAGCTTGTGATGACGGTATCGCGATCGCACGCAGTAAAACGGCTGAGTGGTGGTAGAGGAAAGGTGGTGGAGGTTAAGAAAGGATTGAGACCTCAAGATAGAATGGTGACAGGATTGGGAGTGTGAAGGCGGCTAGGAAGAAAGGAGAGAAAGAAGGGGAGAAAACACCGCCTGTCTATGATGTCGCCACAGTCAGCCAGGCTTTTATGTCGATGTCTTTGAGAGGTGGATGGATCAGTGAAGCCAGTGTCAGTGGTGGGGTTTGAGGCTGCTGCTGCGAGTTGTTGAAGCTGCAAGTCCCCAAAAGCTGACCAAGGTAGGCAGGTGGTGTTGGTGGGGCCCTGAGCAGGTACAAAGGTACTTGTGGGAGCCCTGTTTCTGCCGCTGGTTTTACGCTCTGCGGGCACTATGAAAGAGGTACGAACTACATACTGTCAAGACAGTAATCTCTGCCATTGCCAGCCTTTACAGCGTGGGCTTATACACGTTCCCTTTGACCATAAATCGTCTGCAGGGCAGAGGACGAACAAAGGAGGAGTTGCAAGAGGGCCCATCAACGTTATTCTCCCCACCTATAAAGGCTGCCCAAACAATGTACGCCTCAGCCCTTCAGGGTTTAGGTTTCGACCGATCACTTGTACTTCGACTACTGGTACTATGCCTCGGTCTCCAGGGAGCGAGCCATCCTCCACCGCCCCCTAAGATGTTTTTGATTCTCAAAATGCAACGCCTCGAAAACTAAAACAAACGTCATGCACATGTGACAAGACATATTGCGATTTGAGACTTACTACGAGGCTACATACAAATGCATTTGCATTGTTATTTACATAGTAAAGTCTGCATATTTGGTCAGTGAAAATCATGGATTCTCGGTGTAGGATCTTCCCTGGATTCATCATCAGCATGGGACCCTCTTTGGTCGGTGCCCAAGCAGAGCCTACGGGCCCACGACTCGTAAACAGTATACAACAGCAGGCGAAGAAGCTTGTAATATTAGGAGGGCTGGACCCTAGATTCAATCTTTTTGATCTTTCTCTCACTTACACCCTCCTCGGCAGGACATAGAAGGTAACAACAAGATTACCTGACTGACTCCTTTCTCCGTACATATTATTGTTGTCTCACTGTACATAGACTTGAATTCCTATTATTCTCTGTGTGCTCTTCTTTTTTACTCTCCTTCTCCCTTTCTCTCCCCTTTTCCATCCCCAAAGCCATCGTGAATCGGGCATCATCGCACCGATACCGCACCATTTTTCCCCCTTCTAAACCCAAGGATCCTTAGGCAGTTTAGTCCACAGCAGTCAAGCACAGCCCTGTCCATGCCAAACCCAGTCGTCAACTTTCTCATCTGATCCATCGTAATCCTCCGCTCGGCTGCTGCCATCAACCTGCCATCCCTGTTCACCGTTGGAGGGGCACGCATCCGACAATTACATACTACTACTGCTGCTCACTCACCCACCCAATACCGCCACCACCAACAACCACAACAACTGCGGACGCCCTTTCCTTCCATACGCCTTCCCCCCTCCGCCGACCTTCCAAGGCTCGCCGCCGACCAACCAGAGACTTAGAGACCATCTCACCTGTCCGAGGATCGAGAGAGGTCGCTTGCATGGTCATTGGCTCGAGACCACGTTTTCAGACGGACCATGGCTGAGGTGGATGTTGCGCCGACCTTCGGCGCGGAATTAAAGGTGCGCCGCATATACCAGGGCATGATCCGAGACAAGGGAAGGATGAAGAAAAAGAAAGAGAAAAAGAGAGACAGTTTGCGCGCAGACCACACGATGAGAGAGAAACTGACTGGACGGGCAAACAGGATGGCTTCAAGCCCGCCAACGCCTGGGCTGCCAATGGCATAGCATGGCTCGACGATATCCAGGGCTTTTACCGCGAGCGCAGCGCCATCGAGAAGGACTACGCGAAACAGCTCAAGGCCTTGGCTAGCAAGTATTTTGACAAGAAGGCAAAGAGATCCCCTGGCTTAGGTGTTGGTGACACGCCTGCCATGACACCTGGCTCGCTAGAAAGGTGAGCCATTGCGCGCGAAACCACCCCATATACACAAACACAAGAGATAGAGAGAGGAGAGGGGGGGGGGTGTATAAGGAGAGAAAGAGAAAAGAAGAAAAGAAAAGGGAGGGGGGGCTGGGCAAGGAGTCGGATTGCACGGATCACAAGCTGACATTTGCGAGGGATACAGCGCCTCCGTCACGACATGGACCACCCAGCTGACCACCCTCGAGAACCGCGCCCAAGCCCACGACAACTACGGTAACGACCTGATCACCAAGGTCGCCGAACCCGTCAAGATCCTCACGGGCCGCTTCGACGAGCTGCGTAAGCGCCATGTCGAATACGCCGAGAGACTGGAGAGGGAGAGGGAGGCATCGTACGGCGAGCTGCGCAAGACCAAGGCCAAGTACGACGCCGTCTGCCAGGAGGTCGAGAGCAAGCGCAAGAAATCTGAGTCGTCCTTTGACAAGGCCAAGGCCCAGAGCGCGTACCAACAACAGATTATCGAGATGAACAATATCAAGAACTCGTACCTGATTGCCATCAACGTCACCAACAAGCAGAAGGCCATGTACTACCACGAATACCTCCCCGAGCTCATGAACAGCCTCCAGGATCTCAACGAGTCCCGCGTGCTGAAGCTGAACAGCTTGTGGACCCTGGCCTCCCAGCTCGAGCTGGGCATGCTGCAGTCCAGCTGCTCGCTCATCGAGACCCAGACCCAAGAGATTGCGAGAAACGAGCCGCACCTCGACTCGATGATGTACATCCGCCACAACATGGGCGCCTTCACCGAGCCTGCCGATAAAGTCTTCGAGCCGAGCCCCGTCTGGCACGACGAGCCGACCATGGTGGTGGACGAGACGGCAAAGATCTACCTGCGCAACGTGTTGAATAAGTCAAAGAGCCAGCTAGGTGAGCTGCGGAGAGAGGTGGACAAAAAGAGGAGGGACGTTGAGGCGGCCCAGGCGAGGAAGCAAAAGGTGCGGCAGGGCACGGACAACTCGGACGAGGTGACGCTGGTGGCGTCGATCTTCGCCCTGCAGGAGGACCTACACGCCGTCGACCGCAAGAAGATCACCGCTGAGGTCGAGACCTCCACCATCACCTCCGTGGTGGGCGATGTCACCCTCGGCGCCAAGAACCATAACTTCAAGTCCCAGACGTTCAAGATCCCGACTAACTGCGACCTCTGCGGCGAGAGGATATGGGGTTTGTCCGCCAAAGGCTTCGACTGTCGCGACTGCGGCTACACGTGCCACAGCAAGTGCGAGATGAAGGTGCCCGCCGAGTGCCCAGGCGAGTCCTCCAAGGAGGAGCGCAAGAAGCTCAAGCAGCAGCGGCAGGAGGCCGCAAACGCCCTGCTCACGCCTCGCCTCGCCGGCGACCAGGTCGCGGATCTGCCCGCACTCTCCAGGAGCCCCACCGTGAACAGTCTCTCCTCGGGCTACGCCGCCAGCGCCAACCGGTCCGCCGTGAGCGTCATGAGCCCCACCGAGGAGACCCCGCCCGAGGTGCCCATGAGCACGAGACCGACGAGCACCATCGGCGGCGGGGGCGCACGAGGAAAGAACCGCGTCATAGCGCCGCCGCCCTCCACCTACATCAGTGAGCTACCCGGCAGCGCGCCAAACGGCTCGGGCGCGGGCGCGGCAACCGAACACCAGAGAGGCAAGATGCTGTACACATTTGAGGCGAACGGGGAAGGGGAGATCAGTGTGCCTGAGGGGAGGGACGTGGTGATATTGGAGCCAGATTGTAAGTTTGCCCTTCTTATTCTTTTGTTTCCCCTCTTGCCTCTCTCCTCTTGCCTGAATATCACTTTACGAGTCGGCCCCCATCTGAGGACACTATCACTAATTTTGACGCTCTCTCCCCTTCTCCCTCATGCAGCTGGGTCTGGCTGGATTAAAGTCCGCGCCGGCTACAAAGAAGGCATCGTCCCGGCAACCTATATTGAGGTCCTCCCTCCGTCCGCCATTGCGCCCCAGCACACAGGCGGCACTGCAGCCTCCGCCCGCCCAGGGTCCACCTACTCCAACAGCGGCTCGTCCATCGGCGGCGGTGCGCCCAAGAAGAAGGGCCCCGCCGTCGCGCCCAGGCGCGGCGCCAAGAAGCTCAAGTATGTCGAAGCCCTGTACGAGTACACTGCGCAGAGCGAGGCCGAGCACAGCATGGTTGAGGGCGAGCGGTTTGTGCTCGTCAAGGAGGATCCAGGGGACGGGTGGGCCGAGGTCGAGAAGGGTGGGGTTCGGGGCAGTGTGCCTGCCAGCTATGTGCAGGCTGTCTGAAGAGGAATAGGATGATGGTTCAGATGGGTGCTTGCTTGGATCGGGGTTTGGTTTTGTCGTGGGAGAGCAGCAAAATTTTTTTTTTTTTTTTGGCAGAACCATTTGATGAGCGGACGGAGGGTTCTTTGGAATTCGTTATCAAAATCTTTGTTTTCTGTAGAGGGCTTGGAGCACATTGCCACTTCATCTGCATTGTGGCTCGAACGGCGCCTGGGGACATGAAAGAAGATTGCATATAGCGCGCGAGTAACACATTGTTAGACTGCCACTCTGATGCAGGATAGTCCTATTGCCGCTACTACTACCACTATATCTATATATATATAGATATATGTATGTATGTATTATGAAAATGGGTTTGCGTTCTAGAATCATCTGTCTATGTATTCAGTGATCTATAACTTGTTATACCTTCATTTCACTAACTACACATATACACTCTGACATGATATTGTGTAAACAACTATCAATTATGCAAAAGAGATGCATTGATGCAAATCTTTCAGGAGGCTCCAGCTATAGGATCCTACATGGCAACCCAATCCAAGACGGAGGACGATGGTGACCCCAGAAGATGATATTGGAGCAGCTGTGATTACTTCACACATTTGGTGATTTAGCACCTCCACAACAGTGATCCCATACCGTGATATTTTCTCCTCTATAGGCGATGCCGACCCAAGGAGGTGAAACGAGGTGAGAGGTTACTCGCATCTCATCTCACGGCATCCCTCAAAATAGGTTTATTTTTTCCCTCCTTCACTTTTCCGTCACAGTACTAACAGTCATACACTGAATTTGTGCAAGTTCACTGTTAGTGAGTTCCTAATTTAGGGTGCATACCGACATATCCGAAGTGGGTGGGGACCGGGCCAAAAGCTTATATTTTTAATGGCAATAAGCATATACCATGACACGAACGGCAATGGTGGATCCTTGGGACAACTTGTGGTGAAAATGGCATTGAGGAAATCAGGTTGTTGACCCAATCGTGCCAATGTGCTAGGGCTTGTCTGGTCTGCCAACATCTTTGTGAACAGTGCTGATGCTGGTGCTGGACAGAAATGTGGCCATGAACTTTAATAGGTCAAGACTTCTATGGGGAGAAAAAAAAATATGTGTGCCGTGTACCACACACACAGTACACACACAGGCCCAATCAGGCCGAAGGGAGGATCGTTGACCGATATTGAAACTGCCCGTCTCAGACCCTCATTTGAGCTAGATTGTGGCAGTGCACATGTGTACCGGTAGTTGTGGTAGCACCTTACTATGCCACCCAGGCGTGATGCGCTGTTGATCTGCAGAGTGTGGGTTTGGATCGATACGAACCGGCTGTTACAGGTTAAAGAGGGAGGGGAACACGAGTTGGGCCGTCGACGTGTTGCACCCGTGCATACATTGGAGACAAATATCAGACGAGAGAGACGTCATGAACTGCCTTGCCTTGGCGAAAAACACGTTAGACGCCAGATGAAGTGATGAAGATGTCCAACAGAGGTCGAAACTGTGCAACAATCTGCCCGATGCTGTATGCAATCCTGAAAACGTAATGGGTAAGAGTCAAGAGGGTTGAACAACGAAGATTGGGAAATTGCCAGACCACCACAACAGAGGTAAGATGAAATGTGTAATCACGGCGCAGGCTTGATGGCGTCCTGTAGCTGCCAATTTTATACGAGAGATGGAGGGTGTGACAGACGCGCCGGAGAAGGACGCCCCTGTCGCAAGCTAGTAAACGGCGGCCCAGAGAGGAGGGAGGATTTGGAGGGAGGATGGCATTGGATGAGAATAGTGAGAGTGGTGAGATGCTGTTGATGACCTGGGCGAGGTTTGTGGTGGCAGATGCTCTTGAAAAAGATTGGGGCCCAGCAGGGATTGTTTGACCCCGAAAGGACGTGGATACGAGGAAAGGTGACCTGACCTGTCGGCGAACTCGCCGCGTCTGGGGAAGTACCCACAAGTCGAGCCTCGGACTTATACTGGGGTTAAATAGTATACACAGGGGATCCACCCCTTCTGAGAGTAGCGGGCCGGACATGCCTTCTGGGTTGGAGCTACACTCTGGACCTGGAACTGGAATCTTGAGTTGGGCGGTTGCCCTATTGGAGACAAAGATACATAATACATCACAAGTCACAAGTCACCATGGTACACGTTCAAGAAATTGGGAGGCAAGCTTGGCATGCATGTACGTGGCTTGCGACTGCGTTAGTTGAAAGCCTCCCTCCCTCCTCCCCTTTCACCTCCCTTCCATCTTCAGCCGTCTTCTCCTTCTCTCCTTTTTTCTCTCCCCTTCCCTACCTCTCAAACCGATCGCTACTCCTGTCGACCTTCCAACTCTTCTTTTGCCTTCCCGACTCATTCGTTCTGTCGGCTTCCTCATTTTCCTCCTTACTTACGTTTTTGTAATCCAACGCGTAGCTCATTCTGATATTGCCCAATCGTCTTCCGCCTGTTTTAGCCTTCTTCACAAAAGGAAGACACGCCGAAACGTGGACCAATTCTTGGCCAGAGGTGACGATTTATCAACTTGAGCCTTCACTCTTCCTTCTTCTTCACCATCACTTGCTTCGTAGACAAGGAGTCCAACCACCATCATGAAGACCTCTGCCCTTGCTTTGGGCCTCTTGGCCGCCGTGGCCCACGCCGATCCCACCCCTACCGAGGAGCAACCTCCCAGCAAGCGATCTGACGTCCCCTCCGTCACGGCTTCTGGCAATGGTAAGTTCTTCTAAAACCTCCCCGTAGCTGTAGAGGCCCGATCTGTGATATCCCTCGGCTGACCCTGGTGGCTCTCGCAGCATTCTGGCTCGGCAGTGATCGGTTCTATATCCGAGGCGTCGACTACCAGCCTGGTGGCTCGTCTGCCATGACGGATCCCCTCGCGGACGAGACCGGCTGCAAGCGTGATATCGCTGAGTTCACAAAGCTGGGCGTCAACACTGTCCGTGTCTACATGGTCGACAACTCGGTCAATCACGACACGTGCATGAACGCCCTGGCTGCTGCCAACATTTACCTGATCCTTGACGTCAACAATCCTCTCTATTCTATCAACCGTGCCTCGCCCAAGGCTTCCTATAATGACGTCTACCTGCAGAGCGTCTTTGCCACCATCGACGCCTTTGTCAACTATCCCAATACCCTTGCCTTCTTCTCGGGCAATGAGGTTGTTAACGACGAGGCTAACACAACCCTGGCTGCCCCTTATGTCAAGGCCACGACCCGTGACATGCGCCAGTACATCAAGGAGCGTGGATACCGTGCTGTCCCCGTTGGCTACTCCGCGGCCGATGTCTCGCAGAACCGGTACCAGCTTGCCGAGTACTTCAACTGTGGCACTGACGACGAGCGCAGCGACTTCTTTGCATTCAACGACTACTCCTGGTGCAACACGGACTTTGTCACATCGGGCTGGGACCAGAAGGTGCAGAACTTCACCGGCTACGGCCTTCCCCTCTTCCTGTCCGAGTACGGCTGCACCACCAATGGCCGCAGCTTCGGCGAGGTTGCCGCCCTCATGAGCACGAACATGACCGGGGTCTACTCTGGCGGCATCGTGTACGAGTATTCGGAGGAGTCAGACAACGCTGGCTACGGCCTGGTCTCGATCTCGGGCTCGACGGTCTCTCAGATGTCCGACTTCACCGCCTACTCCACCGCCCTGTCCAAAAACCCCGAGCCCACAGGCGATGGCGGTTTCACCTCCACAACCAACACCCAGGCCTGCCCGACTGTCGACAGCAACTGGCTTGTCAGCGACACTCTCCTGCCCGCAATCCCCTCGGCTGCCGAGAAGTACATGACAGAGGGCGCTGGCAAGGGCCCCGGCCTGACGGGCGACGGATCCCAGAACGCTGGAGGCACATCTACCGGCGATGCCTCCCCCGGTTCCGGGTCGGCCACCACCACCGCAACTCCCAGCTCGACCGGCAAGAAGAATGTCGGCTCCAGACCCGCCCCGCTGGACAAGTACGGCTTCCTGGTGACAGGAGTCGTCTTCTTCGCCACTCTCGCCGGCACTATGCTGCTGTAAAACGGGGATTTTGTTGGTTGCGAGGCCGGAAGGTCGAAGAAGGTGATGAAAAGAAGACGACGTCGAGTGTCATTTCAGATCTTTGGTGGGGGGCATGACATCATATCTCTTGACTGCTCCTGGTGGCGGCATTTCTATTGCATGGATAGACGGACAGACGGACGGACGGACGGACGACGTGAGAGGAGAACCGCCTCTCAAAACGAACGAGGTGGTCGATCCGATCTCTCCCCCCACCGAGTCTCAAGACGTCGAAAGGGATGGGTTTTCAGTACATTCATGGACATACAGTAGACGAGAATAATGGCGGTTGAGCGGGCATCGCTAGGCAATCAGGAAGAATGGAGTATTCTTTCAAAGTGTTTTGAAAGGAAAAGAAAAGTGGATCGATATGTAGGATGCGATCAGTGTGATACAGTAATGTCGGTTTCCGAGGGACCAAGTGACGCGTTGCTCTCCTTCCCTAGCGGCCCCCAAGTCTGCCTGCGTGTGTCAGGAGAGTAAGTAAATACAATGTGCATGCTTTTAGGCTATGGCACAAACCATTTCCAGGCTCCTCGTGGCTGACATGGGATGATAGATTCAGATTACTTTTTATCTTTTTCTTGCCACTTTTTTTCTTTTTTCTTTCTTCAGGTGCCCGCCCTGCTTCTTAAAATAGAGGAACCCTAGTGAGATGGTCAGCGCACTTCCTCGCACTGCCTGCGACGTGCACTAAATACAGGGGCACACACCTAAATCTACAGCACAGTAACAGCACTAGTACCTACATGGCAGCACTACAGCCCAGTGGGATGATCAACTGCCATTCAAAGACAGCACCCACTTCAGCCCGGTTCTTAGTTTCCGTGCCACTTGCGTGCTTGGCACACTTGAGCCCCTGGAAACCCAATTAATGACGACTTGGTCACTACTCAACCGCCTCACCCATCATCCTCTTTTCTTTATTTCTCGTTTCATGTGCTTGAATTACCACCACCAGAGGAAGAACGACATTGTTGAGGAGCCCGCGCGACGTCTTATCGACGACGACGATAATTTCACTCTTTTTCATTCTTTTTCTATCGATGTTCTTTCTTTTTCCTTATCATGTCGCACCAGCTTTGGGGCAATGGACACAATTCTACATTCGCGCGTAAGGAAGATGAGGATGGCGCTGGACACGCCCTCGACGTCCTGCCGCAGTACGAGAATCGCAAGATAGGAGGAGGAGGAAGAGGAGGAGGAGGAAGAGGAGGAAGAGGAAGAGAAGGAGAAACGGCAGACGGAGATGAGGACGTCGCCTTGATGAACGGCCACGCCGCCTCTGCTGGTGCCAGTGCGGTTCATCCCGAGAACGAGAGGCCCTCGTCCTCGTCCAAGATAAAATGTCTTGACGGCCTACGCGGCGTCGCCTGCTTTTTGGTTTTCAACTACCACTTCCTCTGGCCATGGACACCGCTCATCATGCTCGGCTACGGCGCGCGGCCGCCCAAAAGCCCCGAGCCTTACACTAACTGGGCCCAGCTGCCCATCATCTGCCTCTTGCACCGTGGACGCCCCATGGTGGCTATCTTCTTTGCCATCTCGGGCTATGTGCTGTGCAGACACATTCAGCAGGCCATCCACCAGCGCCGGCATGAGGAGGTGTACAAGAAGCTCAGCTCTGCCGTATTCCGCCGCGTGTTCAGGCTGTACCTCCCCTGCGCGGTGAGCATGTTCATCGTGGCCATGCTAGCGCAGGTGGGCGTCTTCAAGACGGAGAAGGCCATCTACAAGGGCCCTGACTCGGCCTGGATCAACGGTACGGTCACCAAGGGGTATTTCCACCACGGCAAGTGTCCCAACAAAACCATTGCGGTGGAGGGCAAGGAAGGGGTTGCTGCCGCGCTGGGGCTCCAGACGACAGCCTACCTGAACGAGACGATTGGCATCACGGACCAGCTCTGCCTGAACATCACGTCCCAGCTGCACATGCCTGCAGTGCTCTATCAGGACATGGACAAGCCCAAGCCAAAACCCAAGCCGGCCAAGAACGCCACGGCGAATGCTACGTTTACCGACTTTGCAGAGTACCACCGAGATGACCCACACAACCCAGTCTCTCTCCTCGACCCGGACATGCTCACCAGCGGTAGCCACGGCGCCGCCTCCTCTTCCTCGTCCTCGTCCTCGCCGCCCTCCTCTGTGCTGCACAAGAACAAAAACGCGACGGCGAAACCCTTCACCTGGGTGCAGCTGGGCGGTTCCTGGGAGGAACACCCCGTCATCCACCCCCACCTCCCCAAGGCGCTGGCCAACTTCACCGTGGTGTATGGACAGTGGGCGAACCCTTTCAACTTTGGACACATGCACCCGCGCTTCGACCCACACACGTGGACGATCCCCAAGGAGCTGAGGGGCAGCATGGTACTGTACACATTCCTGCTGGGCACGGCGGGCCTGCAGGCGCGGTGGCGGTTGGGCGCTGCGGTGGGGCTCTGCGCCTATGCAATCTGCCTGGGGTACTGGGATATGGGCGTCTTCGTGGGCGGGATGGTGCTGAGCGAGGTCGACCTCCTGCGCGTGGCGGACCCAGGCACGCTGTCCAGTCGAGACAGGGCCCTCGCAGCCTCGCTCGCCGGCCCTCCCCTCCTGTCGCCGCGCAGGGAGCGCGCGGTGCGGTGGGCGGCGACCACGGCGGCGCTCTACTTACTGTCGTACCCTGACGCGGGCGGCGAGTTCACGCCGGGCTTCCGCACGCTCGCCTGGCTGGCCCCGCGGTGGTACCTCCCTGTCAGCAAGTGGATGTTCTACCAGGCCCTCGGCGCACTCGTCCTCATCCCCTGTGTCATGCGCTCCCCGACCCTCCGCCGGCTGCTCGAGTCCGGCCCCGCGCAGTACCTCGGCCGCATCAGCTTCAGCTTCTACCTCGTCCACGGGCCCGTCCTGCACAGCCTCGGGTTCTGGGTGATGCCGCGCTTGTTGGAGCGGCTTGGGAGGCTCGGGGCTTATGTTGTTGGGTGGGTCTGGCTGGCGGGGGTGGCGCTGTACCTGAGCGGGTGGTTTTATCGCAAGGTGGATGTCTGGAGTATGGGAGTAGGGAGGAGGCTGGAGAGGGTGGTTGTGAACTCGTGAGAGGAGAAGGATGGAGTGTATATACTCTGCCTTGTTGGGACATTGATAGATGTATATATATATAATATGTAGAATCTGGCATTGTACATTGGTGGTTGTGTGTTTTCTCTGCCTTGCCCTCCTTTGTTCTGAGTGAATGCTGAAGTAAAGAGCACATGTGTAAGCCCTCTTGACATCTTCATACTTGAGCAAGTGCCAGAGGCGGAAGCGAAGGCGGTAATCAATACCGTAACCCGACACTTTTACAAGACAGCATATTACACAAGAAAAGTCAATCAAATCTTGCGAATCACAACTCAACTCACTCCCACACCTCAACGGACTCTGTCAACCTGACAGTTTTCTTCCTCAACGTCGGCGATAACAAATTCCTGGCAATCGCCGGCAGTGAGATATTATCACCTACCCGGGAAAGCAGCAAGAATGAACAAAAACAAAGCCCGGCGCAGGGTCACCCAAATGCGCCATCATTTGTTGATCTTGGTGTGAGTCACACTGTCAACTGCACAAGTGTGCTGCAGTCAGCTTAAGAAGAAAGAAAAAAAAACAAGATTTTGCATCATCACTGTCGTCACTAAGCAGGTTGCGGTCTGAATAGGGCCACGAATAGTAGAAGACAAAAGAGACTTTGAGCTGGAATTATTGTCGCCTGAATAAGGAATCCGCTGCGGTAAATAGTGACATGCGGCGATCATCGAGCCTGGGACTTTTCTTTTTCTTGCTCTTTCGAGGGCCCCGCGGGAAGCATTAAGATAGAAGTCGGTTTCCAGAGTTGGAGATCTCGTGTGTATGGAATATAAAACTGGTTGTTGGCCAATTGTCATAATTCTTTAATCATCTTTTTCCCCATCGCTCATCTGTGACAGTCAATCATCATCATTATCATCATCATCACCAATAAAACATCTCGGATTCAACCTCGAGAGAAAGAAAGAAAGAAAAACTGTCCCAAACAAAGCAACATTACAACCCTCCACAAACAAATCCCCCCAAAACATGGCAACCCAATTCGGCCAAGAAACCCAAACCGAGGCGGCCCAGCGCATGTACAACGCCCGAGCCCCCAACTACGACGCCTCATGGCACGGCGCCTACTCGCGCCGCTTCATAGCCCACGCCCCGCTCCGGCCCAACGACCGCGTGCTGGACCTCTGCTGCGGCACAGGCGGCGAGGCCTTCCTGGCCGCCGAGCTTGTGGGCGAGCAGGGCCGCGTCGTGGCCGTCGACGTCACGGAGGGCATGCTGGCCCGGCTGCGCGAGAGACAGGCGCGCGAGCCCGTGCTGGGCCGCCGGATCACGGTGGTGCAGCACGACGTGACGGATCTGAGCAGGGCTGTGCTGCTGCTGGAGGATGGCGGCGGTCTGTTCGATGCCGTGCTGTGCTCTACCGCGTTTGTGCTGCTGGGCGAGCCGGGCCGCGTGGTGGCGCACTGGAAGGAGTTCCTGCGGCCTGGCGGGGTGATGGTGATTGATGTCACGCACGAGCGGAACCTGCGGGCCGGGCTGGTCTTGGAGGAGGTTGCGCGGGAGATGGGGGTCGAGAGGTTTCCTTCGCGTCGGGGTTGGATCAAGTCGGAGGCGTCCTTCAGGGAGGTCCTGGAGGCGCAGGGGCTGCGGGTCGAGAGGGTGAGCCTGGTGGAGAACATCTCGGGAAAGGGTACGCAGTATCACGGCGTCGAGGAGGCCGACAGGATCTTCGAGCAGACTGTCAACAGCAGTCTGACTGAGAATGTTGCGTCGGATGACTTCAAGGCCAAGGCGAGGCCGCTGTTCCGAAGGGAGTGGGAGAGGATCGCGGTCGATGGCAAGGTCGAGGATGTGGACTCGTTGTATGTCTATGTTGCTAGGAAGCCCGAGTAGATGGGACTCTCGACTTGTTTACTGTGTGGACTTTTGTCTCGTATTTGGTTGTTGTTTGGTTATGGCTGTCTAATCATATCCTTGGCTTTCCTGAGCTCTTCAGCTTTGGTCTTATCGCCACCTTGGGGTGAGTCCCGGCCAGCTTCAAGCCCGTGATCCTCTCCAGCTCGTCGACTGCCTGGTACGCCCTGCCCAGGTCCACCTTGACCGTGCGGAAACCAGCCTTCTTGCCTCCCTTCAGATTCGCCCCGATGTCATCCAGAAAGACAACATCACCAGCCTGGATGCCTTCTCCCCAGCCCAGTTTCTTGCCCCTGGCCGAGCTGGCATTCTCCTCGGCGAACTTGTTGACCTGCTGCAGTGCATACTGGTACACCCGAGGATCGGGCTTCCTCATGCCCACGTGGGCAGACGAGATGAAGACATCAAAGAGACCACGGACGGGGTCTCCAGTAGGGTCAGGCCGGTGCAGCTCATGTCCAGGCGGGAAGATGATGGTATTGCTGAGGGCTGCGAGGATGTACTTGCCGCTCGCCTGGAGTTTTTGGAGGGCCGGGAACATCCAGGGGTCTGGGTGCCTTGCCGTTGCCATCATGTCGTTGAAGAGCCACTCGGCGTCGAGTCTGGGAACGGGCGGTGTTTCCTTGGGCAAGGTCGGGTTCTTGGCCCGCTGTGTCTCGTAGAAGGCCTGCCACAGCGTGGGGCTGTGTAGGTCCTCAGAGAAGCCACTGTAGAAGGCGTCGTCCAGGGGGATCCGGCCTGTCTCCAGCCGGTGCCAGTAGCCATCTGGTGATGTCTTGGAGATGGAGTAGTTGACCCAGCCTGGTGGGATTCCGAGGCTCAGCTCGTAGTCCAGGATGGATTGGAAAGGTGACGCGAGCTTTGCTCATGATGTTAGAGAAGGGGGACGAGGAGGAGCAGGTGTAGTTGGAGTCGGAGTGAAGTTGTCACTTACAACGACACCACCAATGTCAAAGAGGATGACTTTGGGTTGTGCTGAGGCAGCCATGATCGTGTCTATGCTGTCGAGTATGTACTCGACTGGCTGCTCATCTGGGAGCATATTTCACCAACTTTACATACATGAACATTGCAAAAGAGAAGAGTCAAAAATTCAACCGTCAAAATCCCCCTCTTCTTCTTCGTCTCCTCCTCTTAGCAACGTGGGAAGGTGGGAATCCGGGGTAGAACCTGGAGAAGGAGGAGAGTACCTCGGTACTTGACTCGATAAGAGGCCGACGATAAGATCTGTGGTGGGTCATGCCTGGCCCAAAGTCGTCCCCTACGCAGCTCTGCTTCTGCCGCTCGACTGCTGATGCGCTAGTACCCCTCCAGCCAATGAAACATCTTAGGGCTACGAAAATGGACCCCTGCAACAAATGCACACGCTTTTTTCCAAACTTTGACTGCCCGCCCTCTCAAGACCGCACCAACAAATTCTCCATCCACGACAACCAAACCTGTGGCAGCAACAGCACCCAGCAAATCCGTCAAGATGGTGAGTTGACCATGATGTTGTTCTGTTGTGCAGTGCTTGCAAAGCACTGGCAACAACTTGAGAGAGATTGAGAAATAAGAGTCAATGCAAGATGCTTCGGAGGGAGAAAAGAAAAAGAAAAAAATCTGAAGCGCAAATTGCTGACTCGATGGGGGAAAATTGCAGGTGTTCCACAAGCTTGTGAAGAACAGCTCGTACTACAGGTGAGTCCCTTTCCCCCCCCCCCCCCCCTGAAATCCAGTCGAACACATGGTTCTGTGAAGGGGCATTGAGTTGGAGGACGCGAGGGAAAGAGGAAGAGGAGAATGGAGGGCGCAGACCATTTGCTTCTCGACGTTTGGGCAAGATGATGATACTAACAACAATGACCTCACAGTCGCTTCCAGACTAAGTACAAGCGTAGACGCTCTGGAAAGACTGACTACTATGCCCGCAAGCGCCTGATCACCCAGGCCAAGAACAAGTACAATGCGCCCAAGTACCGTCTGGTCGTCCGCTTCACCAACCGGGACATCATCATGTGCGTATATCCACCATGGTGAAGCGATTTGGCAGAAGAAAATATGTACGGGGTGAGAAGGACCATCTTTGCTGACCAGCGAGTTCCACACAACAGGCAGATCGTGACCTCCGAGATTAGCGGTGACAAGGTCTTTGTCTCTGCTTACTCCCACGAGCTGCGCGCCTACGGCATCGAGCACGGCCTGACCAACTGGGCTGCTGCCTACGCCACTGGTCTCCTGATCGCCCGCCGTGCCCTCAAGAAGCTCGGCATCGACGAGCACTTCAAGGGTGTCGAGGAGGCCGATGGCGAGTACACCCTGACCGAGGCTGCCGAGACCGACGATGGTGAGCGCCGCCCCTTCAAGGCCTTCCTTGATGTCGGTCTGGCCCGTACCTCCACCGGTGCCCGTGTCTTCGGTGCCATGAAGGGTGCCTCCGACGGTGGCATCTTCGTCCCCCACTCCGAGAACCGTTTCCCCGGTTACGACGTGGAGTCCGAGGAGCTCGACGCCGAGACCCTCCGCAAGTACATCTACGGCGGCCACGTCGCTGAGTACATGGAGACGCTGGCCGACGACGACGAGGAGCGCTACAAGAGCCAGTTCCAGAAGTACATCGATGACGATGTCGAGGCTGACGGCCTGGAGGACCTCTACACCGAGGCCCACGCCGCCATCCGCGAGGACCCCTTCAAGAAGTACGAGTCGGACGCCCCCAAGAAGTCCAAGGACGAGTGGAAGGCCGAGTCCCAGAAGTACCGCTCCAAGAAGCTCACCTACGACGAGAAGAAGGAGCGCGTCCAGGCCCGCATTGCCGAGCTCCGCGACTAAACTTCTCGACGTTTGACGACTCGCAAAACAAAAAACACATCAAAAGTTCTTTTTACACACACACACACCCTGGCTTTGTGCAATCCTCAGGGTCGACCTGGAATGAATGGTCAGGATGGGATTATGGCGTGCATCAGGAGTTTTTCAACCCGGAAAGGGACTGCTTAGGGCTTAGTGAAAATCAATGAATTTCTACCAACCCTTGGTGCTCTTTCAAACCTTCCGAAATAACTGAAATGTCTTAAGAGTCTTGTTTTGTACCGTGACACCGTCCTTTGGAGATTCCAATTACTACATCTCAGACCTCCAGGTTCTTAGCTGACTCTCCTCTTCGGCCCCCTTCCCTGTCTCACGTCTGCCTGCCTGTCTTTCGGAATCTTCCGTGCACATACAGTCTGGGACGGCACACCTTGTTTAGGCAGTGGCTTATTGTCTCGGTTGATGCAACGGTCGTGGCCTCTGGACATGGCCGCGTTCCGGAGTATCAGTTGACGGACATCTCCCCATTCCGTTGCACAAGGTGAAACCAACAAACGAAAGGATGACAGTTTCCTTGCAGATTGCTGACATTTGCCGTGTACTCGAGAGAGACATTATTGATATTCCTGCGGGCGCCGCCAGTGTCAGTTGACGGTGCATACCGGAGTAGGGCTCCGGGTCTCTCATGACGTTGACCGAGTACATTATCTGGCGTGTTCCGCTCCGAAACCGCTGTACGTCCCGAGACTATAGCAAAGAGCTGAGAATGGGGGCGGGGGGAGGGGAAGGAGGGCGAAGCACAGAGACGCAGAATAAAACCATGATCGTCACTCTGGTTCTGCCTTGCGTTGCGCTTTTCACCGGAATATTGTAATGGGAACCTGGCCGGCAGAGCACAGTCCTCACGATCAAACACTTCGACTGGCCGAAAGAAGAGACTTGGCCTCCTCCTTTCTCATACGAGTCTCATTAGAGAGGCCATCCACCCATCCATTGTGTCCATCCCTTCCAATCGGCGCTCTAGTGCTGGATGCCTGAGACCCTTTACGTGCGCCATGCAACAGTTGTGAGCGCCTCGTTCCGTTCCAACACCCGAGATGGAACTGGGCTTTACATGTCTCGGGAGGAAGCGTTGGCTAGATCCAGAAATGCCGAAAGCGCCGCTTCACGAAGAAAAGAAGGAAAGACGCCGAATGCGACCACTGTGTACTATAGCCCTGTTCCCTCTCTCCCCCCTTGAGCTGAACCCTAGGTACAAGCCCTTCGAGCCAGATAGCCGATGGGGTCCCTCAAACCTTCACACTCGTATACTTTGCAGCCGCATGCACGACAATGGCTCAACTGAATATTGAAGACAGGCACACATGCATCAAGACTTCACTTGACCAATTCAGATGTTCGCGCTGTTTCCATCTGCTCGCCATGTCTTCCAGTTAACAAGTTGTGGGGCCGCCCATGCTTTTCTTTAGCGAGTAATCTAGATGCGAAACCCCCCCCCCCCTAGGCTACTCTACACTAGCGAGCGACGGACACGGTAGCTGGCTAGCCCTGTACTGTACGCGGTCAAGCCTGGGCTGGTGCTCGCTCTCTCTCTCTTTCGTTCACTTTCCTGGGGGGTTTCTTCAGGTGGGACCTGGTATAACGCTTGAACCACAAAGTTCTAACGGCCTCTTGGCTCCTCGTCCTGGGTAAATGCTCCGTGGCAAGAACAACGCCACACAGCTGTCCAGGTAGAAGGGTCTAGGCCCGTCTCTAGGAGATAGGATGCATCGCGGGGGAAGGAAAGATACGACGAGAAATGGGGAAGAGTCAGAGGGAGCTTGTGATTTTTATCTTGTCGACGCAGCTTTTCAATAGTCTTGTTATTCACTTCAGAGCATAGCGTTGACTGGAGAAGAATCGATATTCTGATAGAGTGTGCCTCGATTTGGGTAATTTCTAATGTACTACATGGGACCCGGTACAGAACGTAGTATCACAAGCAGCACTATAATATTGTCTCATCTTTGTAAATGCATCCTCACGGGTTGAGCTGTCATGTTCCCTTGTCCAATTTTGTAAGTAGTACGACTCCTCCTTAAGCCATGTGGTGATGGGTGATAGGCAGGGCCGGGAAGGATGGATCTCAACAGAAAGAAAGGCAAAGTTTTCGATCAGACCCTGCACTCTTCTTGTGTGTGAATCGCGGCTAGGGCGCTGAGTGTGACGCGGCGGTTGAAAACCAACCGTCCCGGGGTCAGATCTAGATCTCGCATCTTCTCTCTGTGGCCAACTATAGGATGGTCGATGCTGGCTTGAAAGGATTTCTAAGCCAACAACCGAACTCAGTGATCCAGACTTACGGTGAGTGATAAGGGTACGGGAGAGGGGGGGCGGCATTGTGATTATGCTATAGCGTTGGTTCTCATGATGATTTTGTTTTCTTCTTCCTCTCCAAGAGGGATACCAAAAAGAAAAAAAGAAAAAAAGAAAAAGGCCGAGAAGGGGGGGGGGGAGGAAAGGAAAAACAAAATTACAAGACCCCCCTCTCCGCCCCAAAAAGAACTCTTCACTGTAGAAAGGTGTGTACTATAGTATATGTGTGTATGGGTCGATTGGACTGTCAGTCCACAAGTACATGAACCCTGGCAGTGAGTGGGCTGACCCTCGTGACCCCCTCTACTGGCTCAATTGATTGATACAACCTCGGAGGTCGGCGGTATTTACAGAATTCAGTAGGGGGTGAAATACAAAACAAGGACTCGACCTCATTTCCTCACCTGATGGACCAGTCATACGAGAGTTGTGCAGAATGAATTGCACGCTGGACAGGCCAAAGAAGGGGAATGAAAAAAATTGTTACATCCACTGTTGTAAATCTCGATTACAATCGTCGTCTCTGGGTCCCGCGTCGAGAATGTGACGGGAAAGTGCGATGCAGGCGGTATTTCGCGAAGCGCCACTGCAGCCGAGTGAGCGAGCCAATGTGCTCTTGCCCTGTTTCTCGGGGGACACCCCTTGTGGACCGAGGGACATTAAAAAAAAAAAAAAAAAAGAGAAGTCTGCCATGATCATCACTTGTACCCCAATTATTCTCCAGGGCATGCTACATGGTACTGCATTCTGTGGTAGGAACTGCATAGGCACTGCATAGGCGTCAATGAAGATCCTCGGGCGGGCCCTTGCTTTGGTGCTAATATACAGTACGTACTATGGTAGTGGCAGGTGGTGTGGGTGGGGGGGGGGGCAAGGGACCTACCTGCAAGTGCGAGAAAAAGGGTCCCTGTTCTACTCCGTCTGGCATTCCTAACCCTGTCTGGTCCTCCTCTGACGTCGGCGGGTGACCACAATGTGGAAGGATGGGAAGGAGGCGCCTAGAGAGGGGCAAAGCAGGCTGGCCCTAACAATTTAATCATGCTCACGCTTGCTGCCATGGCAAGCTACCGCTCTACACAGTACAGTAGTGAAGTAAAAAGGGCAACACGCTCACCGTCCTTGCAGGGTCAATCCTAAGCCGTCTTCTCCCCAGCCAGGCTGAGCCGGGCTAACGGGGAATCTCTAAGAGGCGAGGCTATTCAATTCAAAAGAAGTTTAAACCCCATATACAGTTCAGTTCAGCTCAGACGCTACCTTTATTTGACTACCATTCAGGCTGATGGTTCAAGGTCTGAAAAAAATAAATTTAAAAGCGTATCAGAAGGGAGTCGTACCATCGTACCCAATCCCTATTTGTCTTTTCCATATTTGTCACCTCTTTTTTTCCTTCCTGTCCGCCGAGGCTTCTCTTCTTCATCCAGCCTCCAGTGGCCCACCACGAATACCCACCGAAACAGCACCCTGAAGCCGGCCTGCTTTTCTATCCTCCTGGACCCCTTTGGACCCGCCTCTTTCACACACCCACCACCCAGCAGGCCAGCTACCCTCCCTATTACACTCCACCTAGGCAGCACCAGCACCAGGTAATTCGCCGTCGAGGGGGGCCTGTACGTCGTCATCCAGGCATAGCACCAGGGCAACAGGTGTGTCGGCGTCTGTGCTGCACATCTCATTGTGGGTCGCAGTCGGTACTTTGCCAACGGACATCCTCTGTCTTCCTCTCACCTCATCCGACATCACTGGCGCAAAGAGCAAAATAAACGCGCAGTCGCAATTCTTCTCCCGTTCGCGACCTCAATACACGGCCTTCATTCCCAATTTTTCTTCTACTACGGACCTGTTGGGGAAATTCACATCGCATGCAATCCAGCCCCAGGATCATGGCTTCCAGACCACGCCTGTGATCTGTCGTCCCTCTCTTCCTCATATTGTGGTCTGGCTATCGACTCTGAATTATTTGTTTGGGCTTGCACGCAACTTTGAAGCTGGTACTGGGCACAAGACCCTCCTCCTGACCCTCCTCCTGACCAGCCACCTCACCTCTTGATTATTGTTCCGCGTCGCCACTCTGCGGATCCAGGGAATACCCTCGGCTCGATTGCGAATCTGTGGAAACATCTTCCAACTGCGAGAAGCCGTTTCGACGGTGTCTTGGGAGACCTCCTGCCACATCGTGCAGCATGGAGCAGATACATGGAATCGACGTCAGTTGGATGACCCACAATGGGGGGCCAAAAGGTAGGAATCACCATCCTGCTACTACACATTTTCCTCTTTTTTTTATCGTTTGGAAGGGCTGGTGCTGATCGCTGATGTGTAATTCCTCCCCAGGAGCAGACCGATCCCCTCAACCCCGCCGCTCAACCTTTCCAGTCTCCTCCTCTCTTCTAGATCACTCCTCTCCGCGGGGCTCGCCCACGCCCAGCAGCCCAGCGCCGACTCCTTCTGAAAATGGCGCCGCTGGACCCGACACGCCCAAATCGAATGGCACAGTGGCGCAACCTCCCAAGCCCATCCCGATACCGCCCAAGCCAGGCTTTACGCGCGGCGGCTCGGATCGCACAGAAAAGAATGGCACCTCCACCTCGCCTGGCAGCAGCCCCTCGCTCTCGCGCAAGCCTTCGTGGTTCACCAGTCTGTCCTCCAAGTTCTCCGGGTCTGCTGGCGCCACCGCCATACCCCAGAGCCCACCGCCCGCGACGACCACCAACCTGCCCACCAAGGACGCCGAGCTGTCTGTGCCCAAGATCACACCCGCCAAGAATGCCGTGCTCCAGCACGCTGCGAAACACCAGGGCGAGGGCCCCTACACGCCTGCGCCGCCACGTAGCGGCCAGTCTGGCGGCGGCATACTGCACGTGTTCCGGCGCCTGTCCTCGAGCAGCTCTGGCCAGCTGGGTCCCGCCGTCAGGGCCGCCAACAACCACGGCCTGGTCGAGCGCAAAATATTGAACGTGGACCACCACCGGGAGCGGTGTCCTCTGGAGGACCTGCACCAAGCCAAGCTGCGCCGGGTTGCCTTCTGCGTAGATGTCGAGATTGCGCCGATGCCCAGGTACGCAGAAGGGAAGGGTCTGTTGTCCAAAACCTTTTGTGGGGATGACAAGACCGAAAAGCGCAAGCTTGTGGAAAAGGGCGAGGGCGAGGCCTTGAAGCACCCCAAGGCTGTGGAAGAGCAGAAAGAGCACGATGGCGCTGTGAAGGTGTCTGGCGAGGAGCTGCCCAAGGAGCCAGAGAAGGAGGGTGAGGCAGGCAAGGGTGCTACCGCATCGTCGCCCACCGATGCGGATGCTCCAGCAGAGAACGGCTCCAACACGAAAAAGAAGGAGAAGAAGAAGAGAAGTGAGGAGGAGAGAAAGGCGAGGAAAGAGAAGAAGCGCAAGCTGGCAGAGGCCAACGGCCAGGTGCCCCTCGAGCTCTACCTCGACACCGATACATCAGATCCCTCAGCTCCTACAACGCCAAGGCCACAGGCCACGCCGACCACGAATCCCGTCCGTATCTACAGGAGATGTTGCCAGCTCCGCGAGACACCTATATTAAAAAAGATCACCGAGCAGCTCCTCAACCCTGCCAATACGACCTCTGCTGGTGTTGTGGAGAAGCTGGACCTCACAGGCTATTGGATGCAGCTGGCAGATCTCATTACCCTTGGCGACTTCTTGGCCGTCGTGCCTGCGAAGGAGGTGGTGTTGGAAAACTGCGGTCTCACAGACGAAGGGCTCCGCGTTGTGCTCGCCGGCCTGCTCGCCGCCAAGAAGACCAGTTTTCCTCGGAAAAGGCCGCAGAGCATACCCGACGGGCTGGTCGAGCAGGGCGGTGCCATCGAGCGGCTCGTGCTGAAGAACAACAAGATAGGATCTGAAGGCTGGAAGCACTTGTGCTTGTTCGTCTACATGTGCAGGTCACTCGTGAGCCTCGACTTGGCCGAGGTGCCTTTCCCGAAATCGCCGCAGCCGCCGTCATCCCTCAACGGCCATAGCCAGCACTTCTCCCTTCACCATGACGACAAGAAGGGGCCGCTCGATATGTGTGCCCTCCTGGCGAGGTCGATCGGCGAGAGGCTGGGAGGAAACACGCTAGAGTTGTTAAACCTGAGCAATACGGGCTTGTCCCACGACCAGCTCGGGCGCATCATCGACGGCATCCTGCAGTGCGGCGTGCGCAGGGTCGCCCTTGCACACCTCGATCTCAATCCTGACGGCCTAGAGCATGTTGGGCGCTACATAGCGAGCGGGAAGTGCGAGGGCCTCGACCTGGGCGGCAATGACCTGCGCGACTACTGCGAGAGCCTCGGCAGCATGATCGAAGGAAACAACACGCTGTGGGCGCTGAGCCTGGCCGAGTGCAACCTCAAGCCGGCCTCCCTGTGCAAGCTGTTACCTCATCTGTGCAAGCTGTCGAATTTCCGCTTCCTTGACCTGTCGCACAACCAGGAGCTCTTCAGCTCGGAGCCGAGCGCAGTGGGCGTGCTGAGAAGATATCTCCCCAAGATGAAGACGCTCAAGAGGTTACATCTCGGCGACTGCGCCCTAAAGGGGGAGCAGGTCATAGCGCTTGCAGAGGTCATCCCTGAGATGGCGAGCATGGCTCACCTCAGCTTCTTGCAGAACCCGGAACTCACCAAGTTGGCGGACGCCAACACCGAGGAGACACAAGAGGAGGCATCTGCACTCTACGCCTCGCTTCTGGCTGCTGCCAGGTTGTCGCCCAACCTTGTCTGCGTCGACATCGACGTGCCTACAGAAGCCTCGGGCGAGATTGTCAAGGCCCTGGCCAAGCAGATCGTCGCCTACTGCCTGCGGAACATGGAGCTCGTGCCCCTTGCCAACGGCGGACCGTCGATCGGCGAAGGCCTCAGCCCAGCCGGTCGGGAGCCCGAGTACCCAGATGTGCTCCAGCACCTGGTCGGCCACGATATCATGATGCCCGACGACTCCGAAGACGAAGACATGGCGCCTGATGATGACTACATTGTCGGCGGCACAGGCGTGGCCAAGGCGCTGGCGTGCTGCCTCAACAATCGCGGCGACGAGTCTCGGAGGCAGTCTGGCGAATTCATCCGTGACGTGGAGGAGGGCGTCACCGTGTCCAAGTCTGGTCTGCCGGCGGGCAAGGCAAAGGACGTCTCCAAGCACCTGCTCCTCAGCGCTCGCAAGATCCGTCACCGGCTCGACCCTGCTCTTGTGCGGGCCAAGGCAATGTTAGACAAGAGCACCGAAGAGCGGACCACGTATTACCGTCTCATGTTTCTTCAGCGGACCCTGGACGGCATCATCCAGCGCTTTGAGGACGAGTTCCCCGAGACCAAAGAGACGGCCGACAGCGCCATCTCGGTATCGCTTCTGCCCGACGTGCACCAGCTCGAGAAGACGGCCACACGCACGTCCATGTCCTCGGCCGAAGGCGAGCGCGAGCCCTCTGCGGGCGCGTCCGACGGCGAGGAGGAGCTCGAGATGGTCCAGACCGGGCCGGGCTCCCTCTCCCGACAGTCGTCCAACCTCTCGCTCTCGAGTATGGCGCTGGACCGCGAGGAAGGCCATGCGCTCCGGGCGGGTCACAAGTTCCGGTCCGGCTGGATGCTCACCTCGGAGCAGTATCACCTGCTCGCGTCGACAGGGCTGCAGCAGGTGGAGCAGTCACCCACGCTGTTCCGCACACTCAACGAGATGCTGGACGAGCTCGGCAACGAGGAGCTGCTGAAGCTGCGCGACGAGAAAGGGCCGGTTTGGGTGTTCAAGGAGCACCGGCAGAGCATCATCGACGGATTCAAAAGGGCAGACCCGGACTACTGGGCGCGGTTTGTCGAGAGTCAGGAGAAGGCGAAGGCCAACGTGCAGGTCTCGCAGCCGGCGAAAGATGCGCAGTCCTGTGGAAGCGGCGAGGGCGATGGTGAGAGTGCAGTTGTAGAGGATGACGACGTGGTGACGGCGGCAGCGGCGACGGCGGGCGACTCTCCTGTTACGAAGTAGGGGGCGCTTGCACTTCGTCAGAGTACGCCATCAATACAGGCATAGTATGAGGACGAGGAGGGAGAGAAGAAGACCAATAAGAAGAGAAGAAGAGGCAGAAGGGGAAAGAACACTGTGGTAGTGTATCTCTTCTGTTGCTGAGCATTTCCGAACCCATCATCATCCTGTTCCTGGATTTCTTCATTCTTCTCTTCCCCCTTGCGAGCGGCTTTGCATCGAGAGGACACAAAAACCGTGTGTGATGGGTGGTCCTGTTTGCTTTCTTTTTCTGTTTCTTTACTTTATTATTCTTCTACTTCTTCTTTGGATCGCTATTATCACATGAGTACTATCATTATGGCTCCGTCTGCTTATACTGCGTGTTTTCTCGCATGGCATCATGGAGCCACAGGGCGTTTTCTGAACTGGAAAGGCGATGGATGGATGGCTGGATCGGACTGGAAACTTGATATGACCCCATCCTGATCATTTAGGAGGTGTTTTCTTTGCTCTTTCTTTCTTCTCCTTCTGACTTTTAAGACATCCTTGCTTAGGCCCCGAGGCATGCATATACATGTTTGTGAATATACCAACGTTTACATATTCCCATATGTCACGCATGTCAAAGACATTGGAGTCAAGACCCTTGAAGAGATAGTATATTTTGTATACTCGACCTTTGCAGGAATACAGAAACCTCTAGAAAATATGGTATAAATTTGGAGGATTGGCCGGGAAGTTGGTGGTCACCTGCTTTCTGCTAGTACTCGAGTATTACAGTGCTTCTCTTGAGCGAGGGTCCTGCAAGGAAAACGAGGCTGTCTTTGCAGCACAAGGAGACAGGAGCCCCACACAAGCTTGCACCTTACACACAGGCCACTCCAGCTCAGGGCTTCAAGGTGTACTCTGGCAGGGCACTAACAGGGCACACCACCCCCTGGCCCCGGGGCCTCCCTATCCACTGACGAAGCGCTTTGACCCCCCACCCCCAGTCCAGCAGCCCCCCAGCTGGTGTATTCTTGTCTGACAACCGCGTCATATGCTAGCAACCCGCATGCAGGGCTCTCAGGTGCAACAACATTGGAAGCCAAGCTCTAGCCCGACCTACCTGAAAGCATCTGCTTCTTGTGTTCCTGTCCATACACCCAAACTTTTCTCTCAATCCTCCCTTTCAACAATTCCTCACGGCTGAACCGCTTTCGGCTCTTCAATTGGGGGGCTCTGGAGTTGGATTAAACGTCTGTGCCACATTGCGACCGTCCCATTAGACTGAGGAATTGACAACAGATCATTGGCGCAGCAATCAATCATTCCAAAACCTCGCGAAACCCTCACGCCATATCGTCCGTCGTGACCGTTGACAAGCGCGTCGTGCCACCCCACCACCACAATCACACGTCCACTCTCGAGCGAACAGCACAAGGACGCAGAGCACCAGCTCGACACAACACAATACAACACGAACCACCGCCCAAGATGGCTGACGACGCCCGTCCCAACACGCTTCAGCCCATCACCGATCCCTCTTCCATGACAGAGGCCTCCAACCTCCACACCCTCCCCAACGACATCCTGCAGCAGGTCGCCCAAGATGCCCCGACGACAGGCACATTGACTCCAACCCTCGCACCTGGCACGGGCACCGCCACGCCCAGGTCCTTCGTCAGCGACATCCCTCTGAGCGACGAGCAGCGGTCCCTGTCGCTCAAGGTGTCGCTCGCAGATCTGACGGCCCGCGCGTCAGGTCACTACGCGCAGAAGCGCTTTGAGGAGGCCGCCGAGATATACGCGCAGGCGGCAGAGATGCAGGCCGAGATGAACGGGGAGATGGCCGTCGAGAACGCCGAGATCTTGTTCCTCTACGGCAGGAGCTTGTTCAAGGTCGGACAGGAGAAGAGCGACGTGCTGGGCGGCAAAGCCCCCGCCGAGGGCGCTAGAGTGCAGAAGGCGGTGAAGAAGGGCCCCAGGAAGACCAAGGGCAAGATGAGCAGCGCCGCGGCCGCCGCCAAACTGGAGGCAAGCGAGGTGCCTGTCGCAGTTGCGGGCGCTGGCAAGGACAGCGAGGACAAGACCGAGACCCCTGAGGCCGATAGAGTCGCGCAGGAGGCGACCAAGATCATTGCCGACGAGACGAGTGGCGCCAAGACGGAGAGCAAGGAGCTCGAAGGGAAGAAGCCCCTGTTCCAGTTCACGGGCGACGAGAACTGGGACGACTCGGACGAGGAGGACGGGGCTGAGGGCGAAGACGGAGAGGGCGAGGACGAGGAAGAAGATGAGGACGACCTCGCCAGCGCCTTTGAAATCCTCGACCTGGCGCGTGTCTTGTTCAAGAAGCAGCTGGATGCGAAGCTAGCTGCGGTGGAGGCGGGCGAGGGCAAGGGCAAGGGCAAGGAGGTGGCCAATGGTGGGGGTGACAACAGTGATGCGGGAATCAGGCACATCAAGGAGAGGCTGGCGGATACGTACGACCGTCTAGCAGAGATTTCTCTCGAGAATGAGAGGTATGTTGCGAATGCGCGCGCGCGAGAGAGGTCAGACACATGGCCAAGACAAGATTAATGCTAATCGAGAACCACAACAGATATCCTAATGCGATCGCCGACATGCGGGAGGCTCTTAGGTACAACCAGGAACTGCTCCCGGAGGACTCGGAGCTCATCGCCGAGGCCCACTTCAAGCTGTCGCTCGCCCTCGAGTTCGCCTCCATCACCTCACAGCAGAACGACGACGGCTCTGAGGGCCCCAAGGAGATCAACCAGGAGATGCGGGACGAGGCGGCCAAGGAGCTCGAGGCCGCCATCGCGAGCACCAAGCTCAAATTGCAGAACAAGGAGGTCGAGCTCGCCACGCTGCACTCGCCCGAGGACAACGAGATCACACGCAGCCAGATTGCAGACGTGAAGGACATGATTGCCGATTTGGAGCAGAGGGTGAGTGGCTTTCTTCTTCTTCCCATATACCAACCACAGCTGTGCTAACCGTGTTGGAACGAATAGCTTGTCGACCTCCGCGGTCCCCCGATAGATGTGCAGTCCGCCCTCGGCCTGGGTCCCGTAGGTGGCATCCTGGGTGCTGCATTGGGCGAGTCAGCCGTCGAGACCGAGGCTCGTATCGAGGAGGCCAAGAAGACTGCTACAGATCTCACCGGCCTGGTGCGAAAGAAAGGCAAGCCTGTTCCCGCGCCATCCTCAGACTCTGCGGATGGCAACAAGCGGAAGGCTGAGGAAGATCTGCCCATGGAGGACGAGGCGAGCAAGAAACCCCGGACGGAGGAAGAGAAGGCCACGTCCTAAATAATTGCTTCTGCGAAGAGGTCTTTGTTCACCTCCTACCCATCAGAGAATCCACATGCGTCCCGTTATGGTGGAGACAGGGCACGAGGTCGTCTTCCTTTTCTACTTCTGCTTCTTATGAGAAAAAGGTTCGAGAGACATCTAAGGAAGAGGGGTTGGCGCATTTCCTAAGAGGAAGTTCAATTTCATTTTGTTTTTCTTCTCCCTCTGTCTCTCTGTATCAAGTCTGTACTGTTGTAATATATTGGATGGCCCTTGGGTAGCCAAACTCGAGCGGGGAATAGCAAAACAGCCAGCTGGCGGCATCATGAGCTCATGAATTGATTTGTTCGTTTATTTTCCTACTAGAAGAAGAATAAGAAGAAGGAGAATGAAAAGATCAAGAAGCCCCTTTAACCCCCCTCTTCCCTTCCTTTTCCACTCTCCAACGCCGAGAAATGAAGATGGCATATCCACCTATGAGAGGGCATTATCCTGCTCATCTTCTCAACTGCCTCTTGCTTACCCTCTCATTTGGAGTTCTGATTAGATATGGATGATCCTTCGAATTGTCCTCCTGCCGGCCCCGGCTTGCTATGATATAAGCTGAGCCCCCCTTCGCGAATAAAGAAGAACCGTTGTCGACATCGCCAAACCAGCATGCCCGTAGCAGGCTGACTCTACTTATCCCCAAATGGACCACGAAATTCAAGTCCTGTCGCTCTGTCTTTCGGTCTAGGGTGACGAAATCACCGTACCCATAACAAGGCATACACATGGTTGGGAGGATTAACTTTTGGTTTCCATATGGTGGTGGTCTGAACTAAGGTAGCAGACTGTAGATGATGGCTTCCCAACAGCCCCATTTGCCCACCCCCCCCCCCTCTTGCCCCCCATTTTTGCAACCCCGACCCAAGAATCCCCCCCGCCCTTTCCTCCTCCAAGCCTTGACAGAACATGAATTCCAGGCCTTCCTCTCAAAGCTGCAAACCCTGCGATAGGCTCCTATTCGATGAAGGACCGCCTCTCAAGTGTGCCGCAGAGCCCTTGAACAGGCTCTGCCAGATGTACGCCTCGCTCAGCAACAGCTCAATGTCCTTCTCGGTCCACTCGCGCGTCGGCAGCGACTGCAGGAACATCATAATCTCCTGAAAGTCCATCTTGATGAGCTTGTCGGACCACTTTACTAAGAATGCGGCACACACGTAGAGGTGGAACTCGGAGAAGCCGTTCTCCTCAGCCTGCGATGATCGTCAGTCGGTGAAACGATGAATAAATAAATGTACAGCAGCAAGGGAGTGGTGGTAGTAGTCTGTCAGAAACAGTCGGTAGTAACTCACCATGTACGTGTCCCACATCCTGATGGTATTCTTTACGCTGATCTCCCTCATGAGCAGACAATTCATCCACCTGAAGCTGAACTGTATAAATTCCACGTGCTCCTTCTCCAGATGCCTGGCCAAACCAGCATCGATTCTGGCCGTGAGGTCCTGTAGAGCCCGGACTTGTCGCTGTATTCCAGGTTGCGCCACGATATAGTGATCCTGGATCCCATCCAGCAGCTTCGTCAGGCACCAGAATGAGTCGGCCTCCACGGCATCCAACACAGTCTTTGGCAGCTGGCCCGGGTCCATGCCCGACTCGATGTCTGGATCTGTGATGTACACGCCAAGAAAGGTTTGCCAGAATGGCGTCACCAGATCGTTGATGCCTTGCACATATCCGCTTGCAGGATGGCGCACCGCCCAAACGTAGAGGATGCGTTCGAGAGAGCGTTGTGTCGCCTCATAGCCGTATAATTCGATGTGAGGATTGGTCCGGGGTACGTCGATGCTGATCTGGTGCCAGACAGCCTCATCCAGCCCTCGGTTGCCGCCTTTGGCCGCTATAGGCGCACTACTACTTCCTGTGCCGCCTGTGCCCTTATCAAAGGCCTGTTTCACGCCGTCCAAATACTCTTTGCGCTTGCGCTCCAGAGTCGCTACCCTCCTCTCACTGCTGGTCGGCAGGTAGGAAAGCAACAGCTGCCAGGTCATTGCCCTCACCTCCTCGGGAACGCCAGACCACGCCGCCGACCTCAGGTCTGGCAACGCGACCGTAGAGGCCTGCAGGATCCTCTTGAACTTATTTATCCTTGTTATCCTGGAGTTGATTGCATCGACCTCCTTGGACGAGGCGTTCGCAGGCGCTGAAGGGTGGCTGATGAGATGTAAGGCATTTGCCGGGTCCTTCAGGATGTCTTTGTATTGCGGTCTCAATATCTTGCCCTCGCTCTTTTTTGGCATCGGGTATGATGGAGCGGGCCGTTCGATGGCAATGTCTGCGCTGCCCGAGCGTCGTCTCGCGTTGAACTCGAAACTATCTATGTCTGGCGGCTGAGGGGTGGAGCTGGCACTCGCTTTCGCGTGAGCATCCTGTATGCGCTTTGTCCTCCTCTTCATATTCGACAAGCTGGGCAGGCCGAAGTCGTCCCCATCGTCGTCATCGTAATCATAAATCTCAGCATCGTCCACGTTCCAGTCCTCGTTCGTGTTCGAGAGAAAGCTCATGTAGGTCTTGAAGGGGGGCGATGTCTGGCCGCGGCCATGATTCGATCTCTGCGGAGAAGCTGTAGGTCGGCTGGCGTGGGAGGACGAAGGTGTTTGGGGTCGTGTCGAGGACGAACTGGTCGAGACATTTCTTGAGATACGGTCAGCACCTGAGCAGTCCAGTGTATTTGGTATACGTCACGGCAAGTCAGTCTCACAAGGTGTCGAACTTCAACATATCTGCATGTGAGTATGCTGCGCCCACGACGAGGCTAGACTCGCGAGTCGTCTTCTTTGGGCCATTCGCTGGTGTGGCATTGCGCCAGAACGGTGAGGCAGAACTGTTTCCCTGGTATCAACATCGCCATATTCTACAAGAGGGTAATTTAGGATATCAGAAGCGTCGCATTACGTACTCGGATCTGTCTGTTACGGATCAATTCAGGAGAGCAACCAGTCAGTCAGAAGCTCCAGTCAGTGTGGACTGGGAGAAGGGGGGTAAAGCGAAGACGAACCGACTTGAACCATCTCCTGCTGTGCCAAGTTAGTCTAGGTTGAGCATCATCATCGTCATCGGGTTAGAACTCACCTGTGGAGGTGGCTTCTTGCCGCTCCCACCAGAGGATGAAAACATGATTGAGGAGGGGAGGCCTTGGACCAGTGATTTACATGTATCAGCTCATTGTTGCCGAGGTGAAAGGTTGAGATTCCTTCTCAGGGTTGTTTCAAGTTTTGACGAGACAAGAGGAGAGAGACATCCACCACTTTGTATGTTTCTCTGGCCCTGGCACGACATAAAGGGCCTGAGAGTCTCCAGGCTCTAGTCTCCAGTCCGCTGCTAACTGACTGGACTGGCCTGCTGTAGAGAGAGAGCACCACCAACACCTGCCGTAGATCGGCTTCCCCGCTGCCTGCCCCATTGACGTTTCCCGAGGGGCACGGACCAGCAAATAACGTCCGGCTTATCGATATGGTCAACACCAATTCCCTGCAATCTACATAGTTAAGGCTACAGAGGTACTAGCTGACTTAGCATCTTGACTTCGACCCTCGATCATTTCGACCCTTCCCTGTTTCCTTCCCAAAAGCCCACAACCTTCTTCCAGCGACAACTGTCAATCAACCAACTTCTTCTGTCTGGAGAATTGCTCCAACAACTCTTTTCTGCTTTCATCCACACGTCTTGTTTGCTGCCTATTCTGGAAGCGCGACTTGACCGTCTTGTTGACGCGGTCAAGCAGGCAGCGCATTCCCCCAGCACAGTTTTTACTCTACTTTCCAGACCGGACCACCGCCCATCATGACTGAACCTGAGAACTTCGAAGATGACCTCTTCGATGATCTGTAAGCATTCATCCATGCCTCCCTGCTTGGTGTTCGCACCCGCAGTTGCTGATATGATCTCGCGCATAGCTACAACGATGACGAACCTGCCAAGGCGGCGCCGCCACCACCCCCTCCTGAGCCTGCTCCTCCTGCGGCCGAGCCCGTTACCAAGCACGAAGACGAGTCTGCCAACAGCATTGTCCAGCATTTGGGTGGGGATACTGGCGGCGACTACAATATGAACGGTAATGAGGAGTACGAAGAAGATGACGACGATGTGGATTTCAACCTCGGTAACGACGAGTCTCATGCTTCCGAAACACCCTCCTATCATAACAGCGCTCCTGCGCCCGCACCACATAAGGGTCCTAACGCCAAGGAAGATGGGTAAGTTGTTCATAAGCCTCTAGGTTCCACCCTTCCCTTTCCCTAATCCAATATGATGTCTATGTTTGTCTTGTCACGTTGCCTCGAGTATGTGACAGCCTGGCCAAATGGGCTTCGGCTATGGGAGGTCGCCACGTCACTTGCGCTGGGTTCAAGTTCCGAATATTTCGGCTATCGTTGGTTTGGCAAGAGTTGGAACAGGGGGCATCTGAGGAGCTCTGGACGGTGCAATGCGCTTCTATGGCGCCGCGGTAGAATGCCTACCTGCAGGCTGAGCTCCGGCGGTGTCATTTTCCAAGATGATATTGAGAGGCTCATCGTGGAGAATGGGCCTACGATAGCTATCGCCGGGGCACTCACGGGCTGTGTGCAAAGCTGGGAGATGTGCCAAAGACAGCCGAGCCTGGGCAGCCCTCTAAATCATCAGCAAGCAAACCCAAATCCTACGTCTCCATGAGCCGTATGGACAAAGAGGCAGAAAGAGCAGGTTTACAACTGGGATCCACACTTGCGAAGAGATATGGCATCAAATCGAGAAAGTCGAGGAGACCTTTACCTGTCTCCACTCTGCTTGGGAAACGAAAAAAGTCAAGAGCAGCACTCTCTGAGGCGCTTTGAGAGCCCTAAAATAGCCTACGGATGGTGCTTGAGGCTACTGAGAGACCGAATTCTTCTCCGAATTTTTCCGCTCTTCTCCAGGGCTCGTGTAAAGGTTGGATGCGAAGCGGATAGCGCTCGAGCCAGTCAGTACCTAGCTTGACGATAGCAAGAGAGAGAGAGAGAGACAGAGAGACAGTACCAACAAGATCTCAGAATTCTCGACAAAACTGCGCTGCGTCGCCTTTTCTCCAAACGTGAGAGTTTTGAGGCGATACAGTACGTCCACCGCCACCCGACGGAATCAACAGAAGCCGGCCTCGTCACACACCACACCCAAAACAACGCTTCCACATCATACCCAACCTCCATTCCCTAGCAATCATGGATACAACAATGCTGGGTATACCTTTGGAGAGCGACAATGACAACCACATCCCACTTCAGCATGATAATGATGGTGATGATGACGAGGACGACAGTGCATGCGGTGCTGTCACCAGAGTCACAGGTCACCATTCTTGATCATGCTAAATCGCACTCAGTAAAGCACACAAAGAAAAGGGATATCATCAAGACTACGAAGCGGGAGAGACCAGACCTCACTCTATGGCCCATCTAGCCGTTATCTGCTGTAGTGCAAACCAGCGCAGCAATACTCCCGTGTCAGACATGGAGGCAGAAATTGTGGACCTGCATGCACGCATGAGCAAACAAAGACAAGCATAGACAAGCATTGCATCATGTTGCGATGTGGATTGCAGGGATTGCAGGGATAAGGAGAGAGAGAGAGAGAGAAAAAGGATGCTGACATGCCTTCCATCACAGCAAGATGTTCATTGGTGGTCTGAACTGGGAGACCACAGATGGTAAGAGCACCCAGTAGAACCCTCCTATGTATTGTTCGTCATTAATACTAATCCTGACTGCAAGAATCCCTTCGAGACTATTTCACCCAATTTGGCGAGGTGATTGAGTGCACCGTGATGCGCGATGGCGCCACCGGCCGCTCACGAGGCTTTGGGTTTCTGACGTTCAAAGACCCAAAGACGGTAAACGTGGTGATGGTCAAGGAACATTATCTTGACGGCAAAATTGTAAGGAACATGGCGGCCCTGGGTGACTAAAACCGAGAAATACTCATACTGATGGGCCAACAAACAAGATCGATCCCAAACGGGCCATCCCGCGAGATGAGCAAGAAAAGACCAGCAAGATCTTTGTGGGCGGCGTGTCTCAGGAGACCACGGACGCCGAATTCAAGGACTACTTTGCCCAATTCGGCCGCGTCGTCGACGCAACCCTCATGATGGATAAGGACACTGGCCGGCCCCGCGGTTTCGGTTTTGTCACCTTTGAGTCCGAGGCGGGTGTCGACGCATGTCTCTCCACGGATCTAGCCATACATGGCAAGCCCATCGAGGTCAAAAAGGCCCAACCACGCGGCAACATGCGCGAGGAAGAAGAGGCCCGCGGTCGAGGCGGCGCTGCCGGCAAGTTCGGACGCGGCAAAGGCGGCGGCATGACAGGCCCGGGCAACAACCTGGAAGAGGGGGGCAGCGGCATGGGTGCAGGGGCAGGCGGTATGACACCCCAGGCTATGGCGCGTCAGATGCAGCAAATGCAACAGATGTTTGCCATGTGGCAGCAGCAGATGGCGATGAACCGCGGCATGGCTGGAGGCATGGGCGGTATGAACCCACAGGCCCAGATGATGCAGATGATGCAGATGCAGCAAATGCAGCAGATGCAACAGATGATGGCGCAGCAGGGCGGTGCTGGCCGTGGTGGCGGTCCCGGCCCGAACAACCAGATGCCGAGCAACATGAACCCTGCGATGTTGCAACAGATGATGAACCAGATGGGAGGTGGCGGTGGAGGCGGCGGCGGCGGCGGCCAGAACCAGCAGGGCGGACCTCAGGCGGGCGGCCAGCGACCTGGCTTCAACGCCTACGAGCAACAAATGTTCGAGCAGCAGAAGTATGCACGGGGTGGCGGCGGCGGAGGGGGAGGTGGTGGCGGTGGTTACGGCGGCCAGCAGGGCTACGGCATGGGTGGTGCAGGCGGCGCGCCGACGTCCTGGGAGGGCATGTATGACGATGTCCCTCAGCCCAACGTCCCGATGGGCGGCCCTGCTGGCCCCGGCGGTCCCAGAGGTGGCGGCTTCAACCGCGGCCGCGGTGGTGGCTACCAGCACCAGCAAAGCCTATCGCCTGGTCCTGTAGACCCCAACAAAGCACCGCCTGCGAATGCCCCCACGGGGCCCAAGAACGCCGGCAGACCTGGTGCAAATTACCGCGGTGGCGGTCGGGGTGGTGGCACCAGAGGCTTCCACCCTTATGGGCGTTAAAAGAAAAGAGGAACCCCCCAAAAGGTGTCCATCTATCCCTTTCCCAGCTCACAGATGGGAATGGAGCATACCTGGTGCGGACAGGAGGCTGTCTCGTAATGATGGGCAGTGCACAGATTTTGAAAGGTGAAGGTTGTTCCCACTACCAGTCACGTCCTCTGGGCGTGAGATTGTGGAAAGCGAGGGGAAGGACTGGAGGCCTGGGCGACGGTCCTGAACAAGTCGTCAACGGCCAACGGCGCTCACAGGGAATGATGGCACACCAACGACATAGAAAGACAAGATATCGCCGCTTGCTGTCATGGGTCTGATGATGCATGCGGCCCTACGCTGCACAGATGAGATGGCCATTGGACGTTCAGAAAAAGAAAAACAAAGAGAAGCTCATACGAACACATAAATCGGCCCTACAAGGTGGGCCGCATACGTTGATGGGACTAAGGTGGCTTTTACAACATCCAATTATTCAACGGGGTTGCACACGAAAAGAAAAAAAAAAAACGGAAAAGAAGAATGAGAAGACAAAAGGAGGGGCCTCTGGCGGTAGACGTCTCGTGTCGACAAAAGGGGACCGAAGCAAAGATGAATAAGGGTCTCGTTCTCCTTTCAGCAACCAGCAGCTGCAGATTTCCTTTTTCCTTTCTTCTCTTCTCTTCTCTCTTTTCCATTTACTTTTCCTTTCTGGTGCAGCCGTGTCAGTCGAGGGGTTGGTGGGCGGGCGGTAATTGTCTCATCTACATTGGCGATGGTCGTTTACCAAAATGGCATTGTGGTCGGCCGATATAATAAGTCGTAAGGCATGGCCTATCTACCGGCATAGTCAGGAAGGACTACTGAATACCGCTGAGGAGACGGAGGAGAAGAGCAAAGTAGCAATTGACCCCGGCACAAAACGTTCTCAAAGCAAGACTGCATGCGATGATGTCTGCAGATGATGCACTGAAAGTGAACAAAGATCTGCTGTATATGTCCACCTGCCTTGTTTGCCTATCATGATGAGTACAACCTCGTGAATCCCTCCGCCGGCGGCTGTAGCCAGTTCCTCTCGTCATACGCCCTCCCTTGGCCGCCCTCGATAACGTGAAAGGTATAGATGATACGCCCCTTCTGGCTCAGGTTCTTCTCGCTCTTGTGGAGCAGGTTGCCGTGGATGAGGACAAGCGACCCGGCCTTGACCTCGCCGGGCACGTACTCCTCCTCGCCGCGCCTGGTGTTGTCCTTGCCGTACTCGTTGCCAGACGGGAATTGGGAGCCCTCGTTGGTCACCATCTCGGTGCCTACATTGCCGGCCTTGCGCACAAGACGCTTGGAAACAGGTGCCCACTTGAAAGAAAAAAAAAAAGACGGATAAGTCAGCCAGTCATCCAGCCAGTCAGTCAGTCAGTCAGTCAGGCCTACAGCAACTCTCTCCACCTCCCTCTCCCTGTCTGTCTCTCTGTGTGTATGTGTATATGTGTATGTCTTAAAACACACCACTCACCTTGTGCGAGCCAGGCGCAAAGCTCAGGCAACCATTCTCGAGGGTGGCATCCTCGAGGGCGTACCAGAAGCCGACGGCACTCGGGGGCTCCGTGTATAAGAACGTGCTGTCCTGGTGGGGAGGTACAGCGCCGCCTATCTCGGGCTGCTTGCAGATGATCATGCTCTGGAGGCAGCGGGGGTCAGTGAAGCCGAGGGAGCGGGCGATGGCGGCAGGGTGGTGGTTTTGGTGATGATGAGACGAGGGTCCCGCCGCTGCAGTGTCGTCGTCCACCTGGAGCAGACGCGCAAAGGGCGGCGACAGGGCGTGCAGGTAGTGGCCGATCTTGTTGATGGCGCGCTCCTTGGGCTTGGTCAACTTGCCGGTGGCCCGGTCGAAAGCGTCCTCCTCAAAGAAGAAGCGGATCTTGTCGCCCGAGGTGAGGAAGTAGTCGTCGCCCACGTGGTCGCCTTCTCCGTCCTCGCCGCCCGTGGAGAAGGTCGTCATGGGGTGAGAGGTGAGGTCGAGGCCCGCGAGGAGGGATTGGGTCTCGTCGAGGAGGGATTGTACGGTGGTTGGGGTGAGGGCGTCGGGGATGATGAGGTAGCCGTCGCGGTTGAAGGCGGCGAGCTGGGTGGGTGTTAGGCCGCCTGGGGGATGGGGTGCCTCTGCCATTATGGACTCTCTCTTCTTTGCCCTCTTTATGTAAGTGTCGTTGGGTATTTTGTTTGGAGAGAAAGGGGATGCTTCATGAGGGTGCCGTTATCTCGACGATGAAAATAGGCAAGAACAATGCCCCTCTCTCTCGTATGAGAAGGAAACCAACCCCACACTGGACACGAAAACTAGTGATGTATCGGCCATGACTTGCAGCCAATTGACCATGATGACGAAGACTGCAGACCAGGCGCCAGTCAAGAGGATATGTATATCATGTTGATGGTGATTCTCCTCTTCTACTCCTTACATATATTTTAAGCACTCATATCGGACTACGCAAGACGAGAGATAGTGCAGGGAAGTACAGTACCCCAAACGACACACGGCAAGTAGCAGTAAGTCATTGCTCTAAGGGGTCCAATCCATATACGTCCTCCTTATTTTACACATCTCAAGAGTATATCTGCTGTATCAGGTAACTCATTCTGCCTTGTGTTGTTCCAACATATTTATACAAACAGGGGAAAGATTTATTAATGAGCCGCTGAATGAGATGAGGGAGCAAGCAAAGTATGGATTCATGAATACTACACCTATTACAATTACACTCGATGTACACTACAGCCAGGTGCTACTTGCCCTACAGATACAGTGCTGTGCCCACCATGAGTACAGCTGTAGCTAGGCCGGTTCCGGTCAGTTGAGCCAATCAGTGAGCACACCTCAGGCCCAGGCTCAGAAATTGCATCATGATGCAGCACAGTGCATGGCATAGCAGGGAGTGCGGAGCATGAGCATAGCTCCGCGGGGCAAAAAAAAAAGAAAAACCAGAGCTATCAACTAACACTTGCTGCTATGATAGGCACAACCTCATCCTCGAACAACCACCTTTTGAATCTAGATTATCCCCTACTATCCGATTAACAACCCTGCTCTTGTGTGGATTGGGTTATTTGAACAACAAGTGTAGTGTGACAGTCATCAGTCAGCTGTCAGAAAAAGAGAGGGAAGAAGCGCAAGAAAAATAAAAAGGTCACGAGATTTCTCGGAGTCGCCGGGACCAGAGATCCCACGCCGCATAAGACTTCCTCCACCCATCCACGTATGTGACTACACGTCAGATATTCAGCAAAACGAGCCGACCCCCACGAGAACCCTTCGTGCCATCCTCTAAACTGAAGTCTACATACGCGTTGCCATGTTACGAGCACTTCGGCTGCCAACCCCGGGGCGGCTACCCCAATCCCTCGCCACGAGCACGAGCACCACGATGACGAGGGCAACGACGACATTGCCCTCTCCTCTGCAGCGGTTCGCAGCACAGGCCTGGAGGAACACACAACCAAGGAGCATACACACAGCCTCAGGCAGCAAGAGGATCACCGAGCAAGTCTGGAGGACAGGGACAGGGACCTCCTCAACCCCACGGAACCCGCAGGCATGGAAGGGCACAGGAGGGACAACACTCTCGAGAACGCAGAGGAGAAACTTTGGCTGGTCGTGGGCGCGGCAGTCACAGGGCGGCGGGGCCAAACAGGAGCCGTCCCTCTCCTTCAGCGCGCGCATGCGCAAGCTCTCGCGCGAGTACGGCTGGGCCGCGGTCGGCGTGTACCTGAGCCTCAGCGTCGCCGACTTTCCCTTTTGCTTTTTGCTGGTGAAGTGGGTTGGCACGGATCGCATCGGTATGCTTTGCCTCTTAAAAAAGAAATCCATCCTTTTGGAAACACGGGGATAGATTATCTCTCTCTCTCTCTCTCTCTCTCTCTCTGTTTCTCTCTCGCGCGCTCCTCCCCTCCCCCTTCCTTCTTGTTTCCCTGGTGCTGACTTGCATTCTGCGTGTGCAGCCGAGTTCGAGCACTGGATCACATCGAACGTCAAGAAGTTCATCCCCGACAGCGTGAAGCAGCAGTGGCGCGAGTGGCGGGCGGAGATGAAAGGCGTCGAGAAGGAGCAGATTGGTGACAACCATATCAGCAACGACGTCGAGATGGTGGGCTGGGGTGTAGAGGAGGCACAGGAGAGGCACAAGGCGGACGCAAGTAAGTTACACTATGCTTTTTTCTACTTTGTTCCCCTCCCCTTCTTCTCCCACACACTTCTGGGGCTCAGTAACACGCAAACAACAACCCCCCCCCCCCCCCTTCCTCTCTCCTTCTTCTCCCACTTCAACCCCGCAGCAGGGTTCTTAGCTGATGACAACGCTCGCCACAGGTCTCGCGACGCAGCTCGCCCTCGCCTACGCCATCCACAAGAGCTTCATCTTCGTCCGCGTCCCCCTGACCGCTGCCGTGACACCCAAAGTTGTCAAGGTCCTGCGGTCGTGGGGTTGGCAGATTGGCAAGAGGAAGCCCAAAACCACCCGGTGAGTGCCTCTAATGGCCTGTATAGGTACCGGGTGGGCTTGTATATCACAGTAAGTTTCCCCCCTGGCAGGATCTCTCTTCTCCAGGTTGATTTTCTGCGTGCCTACATTGAAAGGAAAAGGCACAAAGGCAGCATCAGCATTCAGCATCAGCGATTTAGAGAGAAAAGGAACCAGGCGTAAGGTGTGGCAGATTTGCAGAGGAAAAAAGAATATCCTATTTTCAAAGGCGGCGACCTTTGCCGCCGAGTTTGTACAGTCCATCTATTACGTCCTTGTAGACCACATCACACCTCATAAACAGAATACCCAGAGCGCAAGAACAAGCTCGACCATGCCATCCCATCCAGCGGTTTCGCCCGTGGGTCTTGGACATGTCGTCTGCATTCGACTCTTGCGGAGTCCACAGCAAAAGGGAAAATTTTCACCGCCATTCGACAATTTGAGATAAAAAACGTCATGAGATGTCATGCCATGGGGCTGCGATGTCAGAAATTCCGACATCCCCGGTTTTTACAATTTGCAGTGGCGCCTTAGAGTTTTCTCATCATCCGAGTAAGAGGATTGTTTCCTCTTTTGCCGCCCTCTTCCTCTCACTGTGTGTGTGTCTCCCGTTCTCCTTCTCTTTTTTCTAGAAAATACATGGAAGGCTTCAAATCTCCCATCGTACGATCCTGGAACTTGGTCCGATCTCGCGCCCAACATGAGATCGAAATAAGGTTCAAATGACTTGAGTGCTTCACATGACGAAGGGCCCCCCTACTTTGCATAATAAAAAGATCCCAAAAAATCTGATGAGGGTCAAAATATACGGGGGGGGGGGGAAAATCCGTGCGGCGAGATTCTGTTGTGATCAATGCCTTGGGGGCAACTGACTCACTCGTGGGACGGCGGCGGCAGCGGCAGCGGCGCCTCCTTCTTCTCCTCCGCCTCGTGAACCTAAATAACATCAAACAGAGAAGCCTGCGCGACGGGTGTGTGCCAGCCACGTGGGTTGGGAAGCTGGGCGTGGCGGCGGCGGAGGAGAGAGGACTGGTCGTCGCCGCCAGTCAGTGCAGATATGCGCGCCAAGAGATTGGACGAATGGTTCAGGGTTCTCCGTAGTAAAAAGAAGGAGGTTGGCGGGTTTGGGGCGGAGTACCAAAGCATTGCTTTGTTTTGCTTGCTGAGAGCATGGCTTGGATCAGGGCCGATGTCCCATAATTTTTCGTCTTCATCTACCACAATTTCTTGTCGTGGTTCGAGCCTCTCAAAGGGGGGGCCAAGGGACTGACTAAATAATTGACTGCCTGGGGCATTTTGATTTTACCTGTTTTTCTCTTTCTTTTCTCCCTTATTCTGTCTCGCTCTTGATCCCCGACGGGATTCGCAACTCGGATATACGAGCGACAGAACAGAGTTTCGTTTCGGATCCTACATAGGTTCCTATGACATAGCATAGCACGTTTTAGGCGCCAGGGTCCTAAAGTCTTGTCCGTGAATGGGACATGCCAGTCATTGTGCATAGTAACTATTGGTAGTAAAGTTTTTGAGGGGGGAAAGGCGAGTCAGCCACCAAAACCGAAGGGAGGGGAAGAATCCTCAAAACCAACAATCTCTTCTGACTGACTGATACGTTGGTTTGCCACCGCATCTGTCTGACTTGACTTTTATGATGACTTGACGATGATGACGATGATCTTCGGGGGTGTCGAAGGATATCTTGATATGGTAAAGATTATTTCCTAATCGGGGCAACACCCCCGTCCTTCCCTCACACACTCTGGACCGTGTTGAAACGGACCAAAAAAGCGAGGAGGCTATCGTCCTTTTTTTTTTCTTCTTTTTCTTTTCTTTTTCGGTGGGTATTTTTCGGTGGGGGAGGGGGCTAGGTTTATATTGGTACGAAACCTTCCCGCAAGCATTACTATCTCTTTACTACGTATGCATGCTTTTACCATAGTACTGCAGGCGACCTTCTCTTGCCAGATGATCCTTTTGAAGGTACCACCTCCTGTCTTTGCCCCCTTGCGGAGATGAGTAGCCGAGATTTCCTGAAAAGTCTCTGTTCGTGTGTGTCTCAAGAAGTGGCACGCCCTTCGAGCGGCGTAGAATGCAGCCCGCGCTTTGTGGTATCCCCCCTCCCCCCTCTCTTTCTGATTGTTTCGTTGACAGGCTCTAGAGTGACAACAGGCAAGAAGAAAGAAAATACACCATTTGGCCCATTTAGGCGCTCAATAGCTGAGCCAGGGACCAGCCAGTTCAGATGGACGATGCATGCTGCAAGGCTGCACAATGATGCGGGTCACTCTTTCTCCTTCTTTCTCTTCCCCCCTGTCTAGTGCAAACCTTATTTCCACTCCACGTCTTTCGCCCCTTCCCCCTCTCCGCTGTGGGGGGCTATCGTGAATACCGCTTAAAGTAGCCACCGAGGCGGCTGCATTAAATGAACAAGAATGAAACAGAAGAAGGAAAAAAAAGAGAGAATCTATTCACCAACAAGAAATCAAATCGCCACAGGATCCAGACTTTACACTTTGTTACTGATCCTTCTTTCCTCCCCCTCTTCTTTCTCTCTTCCCTGCTTTTCATGTTTCTTATTTTTTTTCAATCCTTTTTTTTTTTTTTATACTTTGGTTATCGAGAAGATCGCCAATAGACTTGGCCACAATCGAAAAGGGAACCACCTCAAGTCCTGTCCGTCTGTCATGCCAGGCCCGAGGCAACCCACACAAAATCTCCAGAGAATTAGCTTCGGCCTCCGTCTCGCTGGTCCCCTTTAGGATAACAAGGCCGTGCTCATTCTCTCTTTTCTCTCCATATTCCCTCTTGTCTTCGGCACCGAAACGTCTAATCTTTTTTTGCTGATGGTTGATGTTATTTTCCTCCTAAACAATAGTACGAAATTCAGCGAGTGCCGCCCTGCCGCTGCCGTCTCCGCCGCCTTCTTCGACCGCCCCTGTCCGCCCGCCCCGTACCAAGGGCTAGACCCCTTCCGAGTTGCCGAGGACACCGAAACGAACTGCTTTCTTGGTCTGTATCATATCATCACAATAGTATCGTGGTAAGGTACCCGCTTGAAGGGCACTTGAAGGGGAGAGAGAGGAGAAAGGGGGGGAGCAGGGTCACTGCTTCGTTGCGTGGTGGGCTTCATTCAACAAAGCACAAACAACACCCCCCTTCTTCTTCCTCGTCCTCCGTCTCTTGTTCCTGCTCTACCGGGAGTCTGGGTGGAAACATGTAGATCTTGCCTCTCTTGATAGCAGGTTGGGACCGCCGAGGTTCTGGGTTTGGGCTTTTCTCCTTGTCTCATCTGCGGAGTAGTGTCTCCGTAGGTGTAATACGGACGACTCTCTTTTTTTCGGGAGGAAGAAGCATGGGGAGGAGAGCGAAAGCGAAAGAGTCAGTTGAGTCCCTCATCCGACAATATGCTGAGTCAAGGTCCGTTGTCTTTCTAACTGCCTCCCCTCCCCCCCCTTGAACGTCCTGACCAGGGGGGGGGAGACTCGTCCTCGGAATTTCCACGGGGCTGACTGCCCTGGATCGCACTATAATAATACAACAAACCAACCAAACGCTCGATCCGGCAATTTCCGCTTGAGAAAGAGGGAGCGACACGGAGAGAGAGGGTCAGGGCCCGTACCTTGCAAAGAGATACTAGGCCTGGCGCGGGAGGACCACTGATGTGCGATCGATACCCGTCACGGCTCTGACTCGGGATGTTGTGATGTGAGGGGTGTTCAATGCATAAGATCCATTCACATCATCATCGTGGAGCACACGAGAGCACCAAATACATGTGTACTAGAGGGCTGGGCCATCTCTGTGGAGATCTTGCCGCCGCAGCCCAGCGCTCGAGACGAAAAGAAGGGTCTAGGCATGGGAGAGTATCGGCCCAGAGACTATGATCTTGAATCAGAGGCCAGTGAGCAGGAGAAGCCGGAGGAAGAGGAGGCCATAACACAGCCCTAGGGGGCGGGGGTGGGAAGCTGACATGGCACCAGCTTGCTTAGGCGTCAGAGTCTGTTCTCAAAGATGGGTCTCAAGCGGACGATGATGGTGAGTTGTCAGTAGGCACAAGTTCAACAAGGTTGGGCGCCCGGATGAAGACACAACCGCCAGCCGGGGGCGTGCGCACGCTATCGCCATGACACCTCACGACCATCCTCTTTTCCCAGGCCCTTCAAAAAAACTTAATCCGCGGGCATTGCAACACTAAATGGATGGACAGGTAGCCTTGCGCGGAATTATGGCCTACCTACAAGGACCACCTCTCCGTGTTTTCCTCTATCGTTCGAAGGCAAAGACTTGCGCCCATTCCAACCTCATTGCGGTAATGAGACAAGTTCTCGGTCGTTTTGAACCCTATCTATGACTTGCTTTAAGCTGTGCGTACATACACGTCACGGGTTCTGAGCTGGGGACGACCTCGGCTTGGTTGTTTGCTACATGGATGGGCTAGGGATGCCAACCACAAAGGCCCCGTAGAAGGGGGCATTTTCTCGGTCCGAGACCCTCAAGATGGCAACATGCGCAGGCATGGCCGATACAAACACGAGAGCGGAAAACAAAATAAATCAAATCAATAAAAACATAAACCATAAAATCAGGAGGGACTAGATAGAGACAAGTTCTTGCTGTAGAATTTTGTAGAAGGTTGTCACGACGAAAGCCCCTTCGAGAAGTTGTGGAGAGCCCCTCCCTTCGAAAATACACGGGCACCTTCCTCTTTCTCTCACACACGCAAAACATTGACACGGGACCACGGATCTATCTCACTTGTGACTACGGTAAGCCACGCGAGATACGATCACTAGTTGGCTAGCCCGGCGCCAACGCCAAAGTAGGTCGAGAATTTCCCATAGCATGTGTGCTCACACCACACGCGTATGTAGCATAATTCGGTATGCAGGATACGCCCTGGCGGCAGTCGCAAATTATACTGTGTAAGTAAACATAATCCCCAACGAGACTCGACGATCAAGTTACCCTTTCTCGAACATGTCCCCGAAAAGTTGTCAAAAGATCCCAACCTCCGACACAAGAAAGTCTATTGCTCTGACCCTGTTGCCTGCGAAGGGGGGGGGGCAGCTAATAATGAATGGCCTGGTATGACGATGACCCCTGCGAACTGTACTAATATGCGGTACATGGTATGTAAATCATGGGATCTTGCGCCCGGGCCGGCGGTGTGGCTTTGTTCAACTCTGTTGCTCGCTCTCTCACATGAATAAAAGTCGTTCGGATAGAATATGGATTTCGGACACATAGTCTCCCCGAAAGTAGGCTTGTCAGGAGTTTCACAAGCAAAGGCTGTTGTAATATAAGTTTCGGTCAGTGCAGTACCAGGGTTTTGTTTGCGCAATGTTAAAATGGCAGGCAGGGTTCTGGACATGAATGAACGGTACATCCTAATAGCCTGAAGTGCATCAATCGATTTGACATGACTCTCAACTATCAGGTTTGCAGACGGAAAAGAAAGAAAAGAAAAAGAAAAAAGTACCCGCACGCAAAGGCGCCGTTTCAAACAAAGAATAGAAGATGAAGAGAGAAAAAAGGAAAGAAAAAAAGCTCTCCTGTGGCGGCTGATTATTAAACTACACGTCAGCAAGAAAACGCCGGCTCGTCGAACCGCGCATGCTGTGCGTGTCATATCTTACCGTTAGCATCGTACTATGGAATTTTATCGTCTGCCTGCCGCAACGAAATCGTTCGCCATGGCAGAATGTCATCCTTGGAGTTGACAAGGCAAGGATATCTACATACTATGAGACTATGCTGAGTACATGTGTACATGGCGGTACTACACATGAAAGATGACCCAGGGGGCCCCCCCTGAGACGTCGGTCATCAAGATTAGCGATCCGGCCTAGTTCACTGAATGGAGACCCCAGATCCCAGACCTCTCACTCTGGACTGCTGCAGACGGATATACGAGACTGAGTGACTATATCCGGGTGGATACCAATGTACCAAAAACATCATCTTGAGACAGGGACACGCGCGTGAGCACAAGGAGGAAGTAGGTCTGTACCAACATAACCTTCCTGCCTACTCATGCCTCTCAAGCAGTAGAAACCATGGCGGTATGGTTATACAAGGCTGAGGCTGTGAATTGCCAAGTGCATGCAGATCTACAAACATACTTCCTGTTGCCTCTTTCGGACCACAATCGAGAGACGTGTAGCAGAACCGTCCCCCCCCCCCCCTCCTCTGATCATCAACCCCCCACGCGAAACATGGACAGTCGTCATAATTGATATAGTAAAGCACAACATGAGATTCGAAAGAGCAGGCTCGCGGGAAAACGATCTTACACGTCAGTGGGCCCCAGCATTGAGAGTCTGGTCGCAATGCTGTGGGACCCGGAAACTTTCCGTCAATACTGACTCGATGAAGGGCCCATGAGGGAAGGTTGGAAAGGGAAGACAAGAGAGGAGAGGGGGCCGTCCTTGGGAATTATCCTCTTCTTTTTGCGACATGTCATTTGGCAGCCTAGCAGACGATCTCCTCCTCCAACTACCCCTCATCCCCTCAAAGCTTCGGCAGGCAGTAGAGCAAAAGAAAGAAAAAAAGAGCGTGAGTCAAAGTGATCAAGAAAAGGACACAAGTGAGCGTGAACGTGGAAAAAACGACCTCATTACCGACGCACCCGGGGAGGGAGGGCTTTGTTTTTCTTTCCCTTCATGCTTCGGCCATTAGGCGGAACAGCTGCCGCACAGCTTACCTACTACGTACAAGTTTATTTCCTTGTTGATTCTTTCTAACACCGATCGAGAGCTTCTAAACAGGCGCCCCGTGCACTGGCTAGGCGCATCGTCAGGAAGATTTACGCAGCCCTGTGTGCACATGTACGTACTATATACCATAGTAAGATGACCCCGTGCCAGCCACACAGCCAAGCCTTGTGAGCGCCCAAGTAGGGGACTTTTTAGCTACATGTATCTAGCCTTTTGCGGGTGCGTGCTTCTCGGTACAGATCTTTGGTGTGTCTCTGCAATCTCGCAATGAGACTTCGTCTTTTTCAGGGTCTCGTAACCGAAATGTCTCTCTAACGACAGCCTTTCTGACGCCCTGTATTTATTTGTTCATCATCTTTGCTACTTCTTCTTGTTTTCTCCTGTCGATCTCATTAGGAACTGCGCATCAGTGAGTGCCCTCTTTCTTGGTCCTTGGACGGGGTGGCCTATCTGGGTACGGGAATAGAAGTAGCCTGTTTTCGACCAGACCTGGACTAAAGTTAAAGAAAGTACCCGTCAGCTCTAGCCTGGGACGTTCGATCGGCCTGAAGCATGCAGGGCTGATCTGTTTGTCAATTTAATGAATCCTATCTTGCAGTAATTCATTCATCATGACATATGCCCAGGTGGCGTTCCCCAAAGTCGAACCTTCGTTCATTACGAGACCAGGGAGAGAAACAAGAACAAAAAAAGGTTGTTCGTGTGGCCAAGGGGCCGAGATGACAAGATGCTTTTTGTGCTCGTGTCAGAAACAAGTCGACTAAATTGCGTGTCACTTTTTTGACTACGGCGCTGTTCCGAATATAAGTGTATACTATGTACATACTGCCTAGCACTAGTATTATGTATACAGGCATAGTACCGTAGTAAAAGTAGGATTTGCGGTTTTTTTTTAGTTGGGACGCTTTTGCCACGAACAAGCGACATGAGCCCACTCATAAACCATAAATACAGCTGCGCACATGAGTCGGGGGCAGTTCAGGGACGTCTTGGTTTCGTCTTGACCCCCCACCCTCCCCTCGAGCTTGTTCCCGACCCCCCCTGCCTCTTCCCTTCTCCTTAGAACTACCATAGTACCAAGAAGTCTATGTCATAGTAGCACATACTTAGTACCAGTCTGGTGCTCACAGGTATGTGTGAGTACTTTTAAACAGAGTCATGGGGCGGAATCTGCTCCATCACAACGGAGCGCTAGACATGGATTGCGGGACGGGATCTCAGGTCCAAGGAAGTACTAAGGTACATGTACTCATGTACCTCTCCCTCATCCTATGTGCGCATGGCGGAAGTTTTAAGCTTTCGGTCTTGTTGCGATTATTTCCATCCTCGCTCTCTCGCCCTTGGGACCCTTGCTTGGGATCTTTTCTTGGGTTCGTTCGTGGCAGTGGAAAGCGGAAGCCTACGTATGTGTGTAAGAGAGTGAGAGTTTGTATGATCAATTTCCACCCGTGCTTTAGAGTGTCTGGTCCTTTTTTTTTTTCTTCTTTTTTTTTTCTTTTTCCATTTTGTCTGTCTCTGAACTTTTTTTTATTTATTTCTTTGTGGTACATAGAATATAAAGTATCTCTTCAGTCCAGTCCTGTCCAACTTCCTCTCCCCCCCCCCTCCCCCCTTCTTTCAAAGGGCCCAAGCTGGTGGACTCAACTGATCCTGTCGTAAATGTTATATTATCCACACACACACATCCACTTCGCACTCCATTACAACCTCTTCTCTCTGCATGTCTTGTTTCCGACTATTCCCACACGACTAAGATCCTCCCAGCCCCATCGCACCCTCGACTTCGACGACAATCCATTTTCCATTCCGGATTTCAAACCTGGATCGACCAAGAGCATAAACCTTGGACCCCAATCCCAAAAGCCCACGAATTTGGCAAGCCAGGCTGACGATCTCGGCTCCATCACATCACACATACATAACAACAAACACATAAACGAACGAACGACTTGTGGGAATTCAACCCGTCCTTCTGCCCATCAGGCCGAGAGCGAGAGAGTTCTGGACCCCGCCGGGAACCAAGGGTTATCTGACGCCTCAGCCTCAGCTTCTTCCCAGGTTTCTGTTCCATAACAGCAAATCCAAGCAAGGGAAAGACCAACTTTGCCTCCCCTCACTTTTTCATCACAAGGGCGCACTCTCTCCACCAACCCTGGTACTTCTGTTCCGGTGATAAAGTCGCCTCTCTCTCTCACACACACACACCTCGCTTCCCGTCTCCCTCTTATTTTACACACATCTCCTCTTCTCTTGTGCCTCTCTTTACTTCTCTCTCCTCTCCCCCTTCTCTCTGGCCAAGATGCTCTCCCTCAACAGCAACCCGTGCTGTCACATACCATTTCGATCCCTCTCCGCAGCAACAATGTCGGCAGAGACCTCCTACTTCCCACACTTTCCCTCTAGCACCTCCAACACAACCACTACCATGAGCGGCGCCGGACAGACGACCACACCGCCAACACCACCACAAGAGGCCCCACTAAGCCCGCCGTCAAGACCTGCCACAGCAGCCAGGACAGGTGATTACGATGACGACGAGGAGGAGGATCTCGCAACCCCAGGGTCATCTTGCCCTCTACCAGCACCCACAGCAGCGACAAGATCACGGCCAACTCCTATCACTACCACCACCAGCACCACCACCATCACCATAAGCCCCCCAGCAGACTACACCAACCTAGACCCCAACACGGTGGCCGAGGCACTAGAAGTCGCACGGGACAGCCCTGACGTAGCTCAGGACCCGGTGGTCAGCGGGATCCTGGAGTCGGCGCTGTCGCAGATCTGGGGCCGGGTCATGAGTAGTCCTGAGAGCTATGTCATGACCACCGGCGAGTTTGCCGTGTTTAACTTCTATCAGCAACGGTTCGTGGGGAACAAGGTTGCTGTTGCTGCGATCAGGAGGTTCTGGGACAAACCGCAAGCCTGACGTGCGTCTTGAGAGATGGAGTGGAGGGGCAAGCGATGCATGGATGAATCGATGGTAAGGAGAGGGACAAATTCGACAGGAGTTGATCTTGAGACGATGAAAGGAAGGCTTCACCTATCTTCTTTGACCCCCGTGCCACAAACCGATGGCAGTCCTATATCACCACACCCAACCTCTACATCTGAATCCGAGGGCCAAGACTTCATCTACACGGCTTCACATGAGAAAGCGGCCCCCAGAGGAAGAAAAACAGAAAAGAAAAACCCCCTTCGAGGCGGTGACGCAAGAGACAGGAGTATGGACATACTCATACCACAATAGAGCCAGTCGTCGTCACACAGTACCGTGGTATTGGTATAGATACACAGGCAGGGAAAGGAAGAGGAAGCATTTCAGATGGAGTTTGGTCCTTTTCTTTCATTCTTTTACTATGCGATTCTCTCTCCCAAACGGTCAAGTGGTTTTGGCTGAGGGATAGGATGTGAGGGAAAGACATTTGATGCTGTTGGAGACCCAGTTTTTCCTCGTTTCCTTTTTTTTTCCTTCCCTTTTTCTTTTCCTTTATCTCTCCCCCTCTCTCTGTCTTAGTATTCTTGTGTTGTTCAGTGTTGGTTGTGTTTTTGTTTTATGCATATACATAGGGCGTCAAACCGTTGTAGTTGCTGATACCCTGTGCTCTGCCCTCATTTTTGTTTGTTGGCGATACCAGCGCACACAAACCCAAATCAAATCCCAAATTTTCCAAAAGCAAGATCCAACAACAAAGCCCTTCTGCTACTGCCTTTGAGCTATTCAACAAAGGTCGACAACCACTCTCAACATTCTTGCCTCTGCTCTCTTTCCTGTCTCTTTTTTTCTTCGTCCTCTTTCTCCGTAATCCTGCCCGCGGCCCGCGTAACCGGATATAGGACGTTGAGCCGCTTTCGCCCCACCCTCGTCCCACTGATACGGTGATGCTTTGCTGGGGGGCTTCCCTCTGGGACATTGCGACGATAATGGGAAATTGAAGCGCCCTCCTCAATTCGCCTGATACCATAGCAGTAATAACACAGAGCTTTTTCTTCCCGGGAACCCGGCACAATCTACAGCCTACGCATAGTTGCGTGTACTATGTTGATGTGATGGTACTCATATACCTACCAAATAGCAAGACAGTACTTACTGCACGTCAAACAGGTTTCAACCTCTGTTCCGACTGCTGCTGCAAGAAAGAGGCCCAGGTTGCCCAGGGTCCAGAGCATAGAGGACCATTCGCTCCGGAAAGAGGGCCACCCAATTCAAACCCCCGCCCCCCCCCCTCCCCAGCTCCTCCCCTCCCCCCTCCTTCCTTCCATCATATGTACTACAATACTTGCACCTCTCCTCCTCCTTCTTTACACGTCTGCACCCTTCGAGTATAGGGCATGCAGCACCTGCATTTGCGGCTTCGATCTTCCGTAACACGATTGACGATCTTGGGTCCCCTTCTCCTCCCCCTCCTTCCCTCCCCCCCTGCTTCCTGCACCATGCGCATGCACCACAGACAGGCCACCAACCCGAACTTGTCCTTTCCCTGCAGCAGTGCGCGCTACCATGTACAGACCAGAACAAAAATGGCACCTCATGCAGGCTAGATGGCAGGGCAGAGAAGTGTGTAGGTAGGCGAGGTTGTTCAGAGCCCACAAGGGACGTTGCACTCTAGACGCAGGGGCCACCAAGGCTCTAGGCCCGTTCTCCTCTCGTTCCTTTCCAGTGGCACGGTGGTTGGCTCCTTCCCTCCCCATCTCTCCATCCGTCCATCCACCCATCCACTCCCCTCCTTGCCCCCCCCCCCCCGCAAATCGAGCCCCCCTGGTCTGTTGCTGGTGCATCCTTTATTCACCTCCCCGATTCAGCCATGACGAACAAGAACCCGGCCAATTCAAATCGATCTATTCATCTATCTTTGCTGCAGCGCAACGTTCAATGATACCTATAGTACGACATTGCCTGGCTACAGCTGAACGGACTACGCAAGCCTTGCGCAATGGCGTTATTTCTCCCGTCATGGAGATAGAGGGGAGGGGTCGACTGTTCATTATTGCTGTGCCGATCTTTCCAGGGCGTCGTACAAAAAGGGTCCGCTATGGCTCCTTTTTCCTTGGATGATGAGGAGTGAGTGAGTGAAGGACGCACATCTTATCGTCCTGCGTTCATCGTGGGTCTGTCTGTCTTTTTTGTCGTCGGCCATCGTCCTCTTTTCTCTCTCTTGTTTTTTCTTCTTCTCGTCGACTCCGTCCACGACGACTCCTCTCGTTCATAGAAGAAGAAGAACAAGAAGAAAAAGGGTAGAAATATTAATGAAATATATAGCCTCATCCAACACCCTCACTCATTACCTCGTCTAGGAGGGATCTATCGCCGCAGATCAGTCGATCTCCAAGACTTAGCAGGGGGTTTCTTGCCTCAACGCCACTGATTGTTTAGTTCGGCAGCGGAGGTGCTTGTGTGTGATGGCTATGCAGGAAGAGAAGCGTGCTTTGCTGGCCGCGGAGGAAGGGGAGGATGGCCTGACGATTGGCTCTCCCCCATCCGGCAAAGTCAAGAAGGGCGGATTCAAGAGAAACTCGCGCATGACAGCAGCAGTATGCTTCGTGTTGGCATCGCTGACCGGCGTCCTGTTCCTCTTGCACGCCCGGGCCTCGTGTCATCACCATCAAGACCTTCATCATGATCATGACAATACCAGGCTGTCGGGAAGGCTGTCGTCTGACCAGCCAGAGAACCCGTCCTTTCCAGTGCTTTCACCTTCCGGACTCGCAAAGGCCCCCATCGTCGACGTTGCCCACGATCATGCTGTTATTGACCATGATGACGCTCCCTCTGGTGTTTCTGAGCTGCTCAGGCGGCAGGGCGGCAGACAAGGCATGGCCAGACGTCAGTCCTCGGCATCGAGCCTCGTGAGTACGACTGCCACCTCAACGGCAGCGAGCGTGAGCGCAAGCAGCACGGTTCTGGTGGATTTCCAGGTCCACCAACCCGTACTGACCCCCGAGGGCGCGACCCTGGACAGCGGCGTGAGCAACGGCGAGGCGGGCGAAATCGAGGATTCTTGCCAGGTTGTGCTGATGGACTACGTCTTTGCCTATAGTTACGGCGAGCCGTACATTGGTGAGTGGGATTCTTGTAACGCAGCCTAGAGACAGAGTTTGAGAGTCCTAACGGTCATTCTTTGGCTAGGCATTTACACGCCTCCCGACTGTGAGTTCAACCGCGTGTCGATCAACTTCACCGTCGTCTCTGAGGGCAGACAGTATGACCGGCTGGCCCTCATGTATTTCAACGACACCGAGGTGTGGAGGACCTCGACTGCAGAGCCCACCACCGCCCCAGGGATCCGCTGGACCTACCTCAAGGACATGACCGAGTACCTGGCCCTCTGGCACGAGCCGCAGAAGCTCATCTTCGACCTCGGCAACCTGATCACCGACGTCTACACGGGCGACTACAACACCACCCTCGTCGCCACTTTCTTCTACGATGAGACCGTCGATGTCGAGACCGCCACGCCGGCCGACATCATCATCCCCATTTCGGCCCGCCAGTCCGCCTCGGACGGCGTAAGCCAGTTCACCCTTCCTGCCGACAACGCCACCAACACCATTCCTTTCCCCCAGAACGCACGGCGCGCCGTCTTCTCCGTCAGCGCCAACGGCCAGAGCGACGAGGAATTCTGGTGGAGCAACGTGCTTCAGTCTGATGCCTCGGCCTTCGCCTCCACCGCAGGGACTTTCCCGGGCTACAGCCCCTGGCGCGAGGTCCAGGTCTTTATTGACGGCCAGCTGGCCGGTGTCGACTGGCCCTTCCCCGTCGTCTTCACCGGCGGCGTAGTCCCAAGCCTGCACAGGCCCGTGGTCGGGCCCGATGCCTTCGACCTCAAGGAGCATGAGATCGACATCACCCCGTGGTTGGGCGTGCTGTGCGACGGGAACAACCACACCTTCACCATTTACGTCGCAGGCCTGCTGGATGATGGCGCCACCGGCGCCACAGTGACCCAGACCGTCGGTAGCAGCTGGTACGTAACGGGCAAGATCTTCGTTTGGCTCGACGACGAAGGCAGTGTGACTACGGGCTCTGCGCCCGTCATCGATGCCGCCGCGCCTCAGATCTCCGTCTCTCAGAGCCTTACGCAGACCGTCGACGGCGTCAACGAGACACTCACGTATGATACCGAGGTGTCGCGCGTCTTCTCTGTCTCCGCCAATATCACCACAGCCCAGAACGGGTCCAGCACCGTCGGCTGGACGCAGAACCTCAGCTACAGCAACAAGGGGTACATCTGGGCCGAGGGATACAGCCAGATCAACGACTTCCTGACGGTCGGGAGCGACGCCGCCGACACATCGTCTTCTTCGGTCGCTGGCGCGGACTACAAGTATCAGTACGAGTGGCCTCTCTGGTGCAACACCAGCGTCTCGTACTCGACCGAGGGCAACCTGACCATCTTTGCGCAACTCATCCAGGGCCAGCAAATCTACGTTGAGGGCGCCGCGGTGTACCCTGACGGCCTGGAAGCCTTTGCCGTCGACGGGAAGAGCTACACCGGTTCGCTGGCTAACACGACCAAGAACGGCATTGCGTACTACTTTGAGTACGCTGATGACACTGTCAGCTCCGGATATGGCTCGACGGACCAGGTCTTCAACTTTGGCGGCTTCACCGGCTCAACTGGCGGGTCCATCGATGCCACGCCCGATGAGCAGTTGTACTACAGACACGTCGAGGCCGCCAACTCCACCATCACGTTCGACGTCCAGGAGCTGGCCTCGGCGAGTGTTGCGTCCGGGAACGCGGGCGGGAGCAGCAGCAATGCGACCGCCTTCAAGGGCACCTACGCGCAGGCGCCGCTGGAGGGAGGCCATGGGGCCCCGAGGGTGTTCATGAACAGGCAGGGACCATAGCTGATTGCTCTGCTCTGCTCTGCGCACCAAGCCACCGAGAGATGAGGGCGAGATGATGCAATGGTAGTGGCGACTCCCTGATGTCGGCGTGCTGGTCCGAAACTAAGGTTCAAAGCTTGGTACCACACGTACCTGCATTTGGGGCAAGAAAAACGGTCTACCTGCTTTCACTCAACTTAATGGTTCCTGCAATTCTTGTACATAAGCATATACGTGCATACATACTACCAACGCATGATCAGCCGTCATTTGCGCACGAGTCTGGTGATCTGCTACTGGCGTCGGTGTTCGGTGTGACATCGCCTCAAAGTCTATTGTAGAGCCCAAGAAAAGTGAAGGTCGTACCGCTCGCTGCGCATTGAGCCTCGCAGTAGTTAGTTGAGACGACACAGAGGGCTGGTCGTTGCTCTCTACGTCGGTGTTTGCTAAACTCTCCGACGATCCTATTTTCATAACCACTTGCAGCACACGGGAAAGCATTTAAGAGAATAAAGCGAAGAGTTCCATGCCGCTCTCCTTACCAACTTAATTATACCTTGTCAGACCCAGTAAATTTGAAGTCTACCGCGGTACGCTGTGGAAATCAATCAATGCCCTAGCAAGCTTTGGATCCCTCGCCGCTGTCGAGCCAAACATCCCAGAGGATTTGGTATATTGTGACATGGCTACATGGTCACAAGCAGGACCACTCACTGCTGTTGCCAATGGCAATACTATGTAGTAGGTTGAAGTAGAGGTCAGGAGGAGACTAGGGCTGCCAGCCCCCCGCGCGGTGGCGAGAAACTCAGAACTGGAGCCGCATTGGAGCCGCATGAATCCGCAGCAGCCGTTCAGCTAGTCGCCAAAACCCCAGATCTCCCTCCGCTCAATATCGGACGAAGAATGTACCCGTATTCGGAAGGCTCCCTGAAATCCGGGGTTACGAATCTGGAAAGGGGTGCTTATTACAGTACCTCCATCAGAGAAGGGTCATATGAGCCGTGCATTGTTGTGGGTGCATTAGCATTTATGCTTCTTTCTTCTTTTTCCCCCCTCAATCTCGTGGCGGGAGGAGGAGGCGTCAGGTGGCTCGAGCAGATGGTACGCATTGCCCGGGGCAGATCATCCAAGACGGAGTTGTTTCTGCCTCTTGCGATTGGAGCATATACGATCCGTGTTGTACTGGGCGTGTCATGACCCTGCTATTGTCAAGAATTGCTTAAGTTAGCAGTCTGCCAGCCGTGATTTATGGTTTACACCAACCACCCGGGAGTGCAACTCCATGACATTGATGCACGCCTCATCTGAAGTACTCCCACCGGAGAATTAGCACAAATGGGAAATAGCTCTCGCCAAGATAGGCTTTTACCATCAGCCACTTGATCCCCGTGCTTTTCTCCATGGGACAAGGACAAGACGGCCGGGCACGCCCAGGGGGGCATGAGACTCGCTCGGATCCGATGCCGTAGGGTCTCATTGCCGATCTCATGAACTTAGCCCTCGCTTCCACTGTCACGGGAGACGCTCAGCGTTGCATGCTTGAGCGTCTCGACACGAGAGCCGGAGGTCACAGCAACTCCCACAGGCCCTCCCCCGTCATCGACACAGGCTTTGTTCTCAAGATGGAGTGCAATCTAGTGGCTTGCTGGCTCCATGGATGGTGGTCAACCTTGATCGTGTTTGAAGCATGACAAGAGGTTTGGCATGCCTCGGGACGCCTGCAATCACCGCTGTCGTTCTGACACGCAATGAGATCATGGATTTGTTGAAATCATCAAGAGAGAGAGGAACCACAACACAACCCGAAAGTTGTCGCGTCATCACGCATTCTAAGCTCAAGATAGTCGCGATTGTTGCCAATAGCTTCGGCGCAGAAACCAATTCCAAAGTCGCTGTCTTCTCATCCAAACAGCACGTACCAGTTCGTTATGTGAGCCAGGTCCTCTCTCCCAGTCGCGAAACTTCACTCCCAACGTCACCTTGTTGAAAGACCCTCGTCGGTCGTCCTCGGTGTGGGGGCCCTGAGGCGGTCCAGTGCAATGGTAAGCTTTGGATCAAATCCCGTACCAAATCCCGTGGTACGGCAATCGCTCTGGGGATTTCGATCCTCAGGGTCAGGGCGGGCATGTCGAAAAGCCAAGTATGCCATAGAGTTTCTCTCAAGTCACGATCAGCAGCAGGGTAACTGCGAGACGAGAAGACCTGTTCGCGGCACGGGTCGGGGAGGGGGGTCGGCACTGATCAACAGGGCCCTCGGTCCCTTGTAGGTAGTTGTACCTCATTGTACTGGATGGTTGTACCAGAGTACAATATGCAGAAACTCTATTTCTTGCAGGAAACAATAGAGTGGCCGTGATTGGCATCGTCCGCTACCATGGAATAGAGGCTGTGGAAACTCAAAAGCATTCGACGGAGGCGAGGTCCAGCAGTTTCACCTGGGCGCTACGCCACCTCAGCGCAGCCAAAACGATTAACTTCTGTTTTCTGCTCCTTCATAATGACCGAAGATCGTTGGCCGAGGGGGAAGAGGGGAGAGCATGAAGCTCAGTCGTGTGGTCGAAGTCGAAGCCGGTAGGGGGGGGGGGGCGGACGAGTCTCTGCTGGCGACCATCGTCGAAGGCAAGTTAGGTCTGGAATGGCTTTGTCTCCCTCCTCCTCTTTATTTTCTTTGCACTTCTCACTTCTTCGTCGCACAAAAAAAGACGTCGAATGAGCTGAGTCCAGAGGCAGCCGACGCGTGGACACAGAGGCAGTTTTGTAACAACGGCAATGCTGTGCGTCGTTGCGCCCCGTCCCCGGGGACATGGCCCCGGGGCGCGTGCTCAAAATTCAGATGCAAATTTGGATGCAGCTACAGACGCAGGTGTAGGCGCGGATTCAGAATGGACACAAGAGGGGAAAACGACTGGTTGTGGTCGGTTTTACTCAGCCGCGCGTGTCTTGACGTGTGTGTCAGGGGAGTAAGTGTTGTCCAATTGCTGCTGCTGGTTGCTGGTGAACGAGGGAAGAAGGCGTACTTTGGTTAGTGGGTAGGAGAACGATGCAGGGGAATCGATCGCACATGCAAGGGGCAGTGCTCGATAGGGCGGGGGAGGGGAAGGCCCTGAAGAAGGGCCCTTAGGGCCTTGACAAGGTCCTGATGAGCAGCTCACAGGTCCTGAGGAAGGTCCTGAGAAGGCCTTCACACTCTTTAAAAAAAACGCCCCCAGGTAAACCCCGGGCCCACTTTTACGGTCCTTCGGGCTCCTGGGATCGGTTGGACCACGGTCACCGCACCAACGAGCAACTGCCGAAACCGAGCCTCATTCAGCATGGCTGCTGAGGTAGAAGGAGGCACCGCTGACCAACCACCAGACCTACACATGATATCTCCCGAAACCAGACCAATTCAGCTTCGCCTTTACCTCAATCAGAGACACCATTCCATCACAGCCGCAATCAAAGACGCGTATAGTGAGAAGGACCAGCTAGAAACAACTCCCAAACGTCATCCGCTGGACTTCACACAAGCGCCAACGGCTTCCGAGTAGTCCGGATTCAGACGACGTCATCGCCGTGTTCAGCAGGTGTCATAAGTTTTCTCTCTCCCTCCACGACTCACCTTTTCACCTGATACTTGGACTGGTCGTTTCTTTCACGAAACAACATTTTTGTATTCCATCAACACATCTTTTCGTTCCCACAAGTAAAGGACCAAGCTCAATTCAGAACAAACCAGATACTCCACAAACAGATATTCTACAGTAGAACTGCAGCCCACATTTCCACAGGTGGATCCTGCACGCCAAAGCAAACCCTCGTCTATCCACGCGAACGGCTACGCCTTATTCTACATCAGTAAATCCACACATAGGGACCCCTTGAACAACACATCACCAGCCAATAGCCGCCATGGAGATCATCCAGGTCGCCCTCCGCGGGCTGCAGCTCTTGTTCCTGATCATCCTGACCGCCCTGCTTGGTAACGTCATCGCCACTTCAAATCATGGCTCCTTCGTCTCCGCCGCCGGTGTCAACTTCTCCATGTTCGTCACTGTCTTGTCGTGGCTGGTGGTCCTCTATGGCCTCGCCGTCGCCTTCGTCGAGAGCATTGCGGTTCCCATCGTCGTCATGGCTGCCGACGGGCTTGTTCTGCTCTTCACCTTCATCGACGCTATCGTCCTGGCCGCTCTGCTCAGGGTGCCCAACTGCGGCGCTGCAGGTAGCCTCGAGAAGAAGTGTAGAGAGCTGCAGGCGAGCACTGCCTTCATGTGGTTCTTGTTCGCGACGTTTGTGGCAAGCACGGCCTTCGCCGCCATGGGTTTCCGCCGGGGAGGCAGTGGCAGCATGAGATCTGGGCCGAACATGAAGCAGGTCCACGTTGGTGTCTGAGGTGACCAAGGACGAGAAATCCGCCTTGGTGGGTGGAAGTAGGGGCGCAACCTCTATGAATTACACGAGTGATTATGATGGGATTTGGGTTGGGCCTCGGGTGGGGAGAGGAAGGAGGGTAAGAATGGGTTTCCGTGACAGGTTCACGATTAGGATAATAAGAAAAGGGCGGGCAGCATTGGTAATGAGGTACGGATATGGATATGCGCCCGCAAACATGTTTGTTTGTATGTGATCTTATATTGTATAGATGGAATCCAACTACACAAAACGCGTTGGCCTGTGAACAGTAGCACACTAAGACCTGCCAATGCATCCTCCCAGACAAACTTGACAATACTACCATTAGAGCACGAGTTTCGGCTGTTTACTATTATCACAAGGTTCCTCCAAATCACTAGTGATCTAAGGGGAAAATGTGCGTGAGGTTTGTGTTCTGGGTTGAACCCCCCGACAAACTCACCTACTGAGCCCTTGCCTCCCACATTGTATGGTGGAGTGGTCCCAATTCAGCCTCTATATCACGACATGAACCTTGTGGTTGTTTTCTACAGTGCAGGCGGCTACTCACATTGACCCTGTATTTTATTTGTAGAGTCCGTGTCAGCCTTGTAGTGGAAGAGGATGAATCAGGATCCACTTCATTGTACTACATAATATTTACAGTATATTCAGTTTGAACTGGAGATAAACTAGTAGGTGTGTTAGGACTCGAGTCAGGACACGGCAGAGCGCGCCTAGATATACCCGCCTCACCTCTGGGCCAATATACTGATCCGGGTTAACTTTCTCCTGGCGATTTTGTATGTTTGTTCAAAGTATTGTGTCTTTGTGGCTGGACGGAATAAAGTACTGCAATCCCTATACAGCATAGCGATCCACGCTCTTACTCATGCGAGTGTATTCCCTACGGCTCCTCATGGATTTGCTGCATTATCTATAGTGCTCTCATGGTATGAGATATGGTGGCTGAAAGCCACAATTTACTCCCGTTGGCACTACTTCCCGCATTTCCGTAGCACGTAGCATGTGGCACAGGGTCAGAGCATCATCACTTGTCAAGTTTGAATCATTGAGTGACTCTATGTCCACTAGGAAATAGTTGTGGCGCCGCTCAACAGCCCACATATCTATAGAGGCCTGCTGGGCCCATGGTGGACAAGCCTCGTAGCAAGTAAATGAATCAATGCTCAAGCAGGTTCTTGGCTCGATAGTGTTGACTGCTTTCTGCCCCATAAAAACGCAAGACGACGTGTCCCTCCCGAGCCTGCCTCTAGCAGTCCTGGGCGTGGACTCACAAGCGCTGTGGCAGTAGCCGTTCTTCTCCAGTGGGTTCTTCTGTGTATTTTTCTGCTCATAAAGATGCAGCAGCCTCTGCGGCTCCCGTGGCCGCAAATGTCTTTTTGTTGGTCCATCGTATCTCGACGTCGTGTGCCCATTCCATGTATCTCGCCCAGCCTAAATCGAGCAGAGAGTCAGCACCCAAGAAAGTCCGTACCCAGACAAGGAAAATACCTACTCCAATACGCAAATTTCCTCCCCAGGTACTTGCCCGCGAACGGTACAATCACCATTGTAAGCAGCAGCTGTACCTGCTCAAGGCTCTCCTCCCACTCGCGCTGTGCGTCAGCTGAGTCGGCGGACTCGGAGCTCAGCACGCCGCTAGACATAGAGGGAAGGGAGTCGAGGTCATCTTCGCGGTCGGAGGAGGAGGCCGCCATGTCGGATATTATGTACGAGTCGGAAGCGGACATGTTGTAGTAGTAGTCGTCGTCGTGGGGATCGGAGGGGTGGAGTGGTGAGGACGAGCTCGAGCCCTGGGGCGCCGCGAGTTGGTGACGTAGGCGGTCGAGCGAGACAGAGATGGCTGGTAGCGATGCAGTAGTGTTCTCGTCCTGCTGCTGTGTTATTCTGTAGATGTGGGACATAGATGGTGATCCCCCGTCTAGTCTGACCGAGTTCCAAGCCTCGTTGACCGGTTACAAGGCTAATTGCTGATGTTGGAGTTGGGGGCTCAACACGCTGGCGGTGGAGTTGGAGATGTTCTCTCCCATATGCTCGCACGACTTCCTGGGCTTGGTAGAATAGCCACTATGGCCCACAATAGGTGCCTCGTACGGGGAGTGGACTCCTCGCTCACGGCGCTAAGGCGTGCTGTCCAGTGGTTCTAGCTGACATAATCACAAGGCTAAGGTCACTGAAACGGCATCGCAGCTGATAAAGGCTACGGGTGGCTGGACGTCACTGAGTGAGAGTGAGATTGGGAGTATGACTCGACACGTCCTCCAAGAACCCATTTCTATCGTGTTGCCCCTCGCCCTCCAAGATTCTGCCGTCACTCCCACTCCCACTCCCCCTCCTCGACTTAGCAAAGAAGGAAAGAAAAATAGAGTCACATCCGTGTCGCAGCACAACAGCGGCCCAGACAAACATCATCTGCCACCTCCACCAGAAGAAGAAGGAAGAACAAGTGTGACACCAAAGGACAAAGAGGAATCTGTTGGTCAGAGCGTCTTGAACAGCATCGAATCAAGATGGAGAATGAGGTGAGTTCTGCATCAGGCTAAAGCATGGCGATGACACTATCCAGCAACAAAAATGCATCTGGATGAAGCCTTGTTCCGCCATCTCCCCTCACTTCTCTCGTCCCAAAACTGCTGCTGCAAAGTGGTGTGCTACCAAGCACCCTGCAAGCTTTCAGTGCCGGCTGCATCCCTGCCCTCCACCTCCACTGTTCTTAGCCCCGCCAAAAATCGCTGCACAGCACTATTGAGTTGTGGGAAAGGCCATTGAGTTGGTTGAGTCACCTCCACTACAAACTGACCTGTTTTGCCTCCTTGCAACTGTTCACCTCGTTTGGACTCAACTCCATCCGTCAACTCCACTCTCTTTTCCCTTAAGGCAAACAGAACTTGCATCCGACCCTTTCGAATCCGAGTCCTGCAGCAGCAGCATACTAAAAAAGCCGTTCGTCGCTTCGCAGGAGCAACCAGACAGGTCGACCAAACCACGCAAATCCGTCGCGTTCGACGAGGAGAGTCTAGTCGTGGCCGCTGACGGCAGCGTCGAAGTCATGGCTACCCCTATCGAAGAGAAGGACACTGCGGTGGTATGTTTGCCTCTCTTCCCAGAGCCATGGATAAAATGCCGTGATGTCGTTCCGGTTAGGAGAGAAAGTTGCTAACTCGAAGGTCCACCACTGCAGTCTCACAGTCCGTCCACCGAAGCTCTCTCTGAAACCCTCGCGTCGACTAATCCTGCCTCAGCTACCGCTCCCGCCGACACCGAGACCCCGCCTCCCGAGGCTGCCGATGATGGCCTGGACCTGGGCCTGATGAAGAAGAAGAAGAAGAAGGTCAAGAAGGAGGACGATGGCGAGGGTGCTGGCGATGATGTGGCTGCCGCTGATGATGGTGGTCTCGGTATGCTGTCCCCGCTCCCCGGTCTTGTCCACAAGCTCACGCAATCACATCGCTGACACTGGATCCCTCTCAGACCTGGGCCTGAAGAAAAAGAAGAAGAAGAAGACAGCCAAGGAGGGCGATGATGAGTTCGCCGCCAAGCTCGCCGCTCTGGACATCGACAAGGAGGAGGGTGAAGAGGTCGAGGCTGTCCAGGAGGGTGATATGTACGTCTCCAGCATCTGCAACCCCCCATGTCCCCATCACCATCTGAGCTCCCGAGCTGTGTGCTCGTGCTCCTTGGTGGTGGACGGCTGCCGAATACCACTCAGTAGTAGCCCATATGTGAACTCGGACTGACAACGGCAAAACAGGAAACTCGGTACCGGTGTCTGGAACCACGATGACAAGACGCCTATAACGTACAACCTCTTGCTGGTACGTCCATCTGGTTGTGTATGATGATGGTCTAGGGGGAGTGTATCCTAACATTTACTTTTTCTACAGAGTCGGTTCTTTACCCTCCTGACCGAGAAGAACCCCGAGCACGCCACCGGCATCTCCAAGAGCTACAAGATTCCTCCTCCTCAGTGTGTGCGCGAAGGCAACAAGAAGACCATCTTTGCCAACCTCGCCGAGATCTGCAAGCGCATGAAGCGGTCTGACGAGCACGTCACGGCGTTCTTGTTTGCTGAGCTGGGAACCAGCGGTTCCACGGACGGTAGCAGGCGGCTGGTCATCAAGGGTCGCTTCCAGCCGAAGCAGCTCGAAACTGTGCTGCGCAAGTACATCATCGAGTACGTGTCGTGCAAAACGTGTCGGTCACCCGACACAGAGCTGAGCAAGGGAGAGAATCGTCTGTCCTTCGTCACCTGCAACTCGTGCGGCTCTCGCCGGTCGGTTGCGCCCATCAAGACTGGTTTCTCGGCCCAGATCGGCAAGAGAAAGAAGATGCGCGCGTAGAGTGGTGCTGGTGGTGGATCATCATGGCCTGGCTGCGTGGATGGGACGGTGGTACATGAGGAACCAGGAATCTTACGGCGTTCTCTCGGAAGTTTGCCCCCCAAAAAATCTTGTTTTCTGGTCCTTTGGTATCTGGGCTTCATCTCTCTATACCGCCGCTATCCAGGCGCAGTAACGAATCCGTCTTTTGTCAATAAAAATTTGAATTTCCAATTTCATTCACTAAGGCATGTATGTATGATACGTGCCACCCTTTATATTCTGACATACATTCTGTTCTACGCCGCTTGGTAACTTGCGTAAGTATTGCGTCCATCAGAACCTGGTGTAATTGAGATTCTTCTCACGAGATGTCAGAAAGTCTCCCCAGGCACCAAATCAGTGTCTCGGCAGTGGACCCTTCAGAAGGACAGGGGATATTTATTTAGTGCCTGCCGCTAATTTTCAACCCTGTCATGACGGCATATAAAGTCATGAATTCATAGCTAAGTTGTCTTCGCGTTGCATTGCACGAGCTGCTACAGGATGAAAGAAGCCTTCTGAAGGTCTCTTTAATCGACAAACGATAATTTTCCATCGATCAGAAGTATTATTACTTATGTTGACCTCACGATTACGTGCGGCGCGGCAGCTGCAACAGCTGCAAAAGCCAATGTGGAGGGCAGTCAGCACTCTGTCCTCCAACCCTGACATTGTGAGTTGGTGCTCTTTTTCTCTTGTCGTGGAACACAATTATCTCTTCTTCCAAGTCCAAAGCCTAATCCTAATAATGATAATAATGATAATATCAGAAAGTCTTTCCTGACCCTCTCTCCCCATCATCATCCTACCTCCTGACCTACCTCACCACCAACCCTCCCAACCCAAAGCTAGCTATAGGAACCACCACAGAAATCCCGCCCACCCCTCGCTCCTTCACCGAAAACCACCGCTTCCTGACCATCCTAGATGAGGTCCTGGCTGCCAACGCCCACCTCGACGAGGATCTCAAGGCTTCGGCGCAGGCGTTTGCGAGCCCCGGGGGTTTTGGGCTTGGTGGACGGGGCGGGAAGAGGGATGCGTACTCGGGGGGTGCGGGAGGCGCGAGTGATCAGGGCGGGGCTGGGGGTGGTGGTGCTGGGGGGTGGGTGCACTTGAGTGATGTGAGTTGATGCCATTCTTTTCTTCTTTTCTCTCTCTCTTGATGTGTGTGTATGGGCGCTTTCGAAACGTGTGAGAGCATGCTGGTAAAAGCTGGGGCATGATCCGTGAAATACTCATTGACTGACCTTTATATCCGACAGAGGAGAAATCCGCCTGATTTTGGGAGAATAGCTTGGTTAGTTATGAAATTCATCGTCCCCTTAGTGAGAGAGGGAAACTGCAAGGGGTTTTCCACTCATATCACACCTTTTCTAACATAAGACAGGCCAGAAGACATCTTTGGCAGTATCCAGGTCGACAGCCACGGTCAGATCGAGGGCAACTTCCAAGCCAGTGGAACCTACCGAATCATCACCAACGATGGCATGTGAGTGAACTCCACACGCACACGCACGTACACCATACACCATACACCATAAACCCCTTGAACTATTTGAATGTGTGACTCGTAATGAATCTAACATGCCATTTTGTTTTTCGGGTAGACTTGGTCTGAGTCCGTTTCTTACCAGCAAACTCGTGGAGAGATTACGGGAGGAGGACAAAAAGGAGCGCACTTCATGACGGGCGCAAAATCACCACGTCAAAGACTTCACATTCGGAAAAATAAAGGACAATGTATCTGGCCAAGAACGGTCAGTGAGAAGGCTTCCCCTAGAGCAAGTTCGTGTACAATACTCTCATCTCATACCCATTCTCACGCATCCATAAACTTGACTGAAAGAGACTGCCCCCTGGAACTCATGAATCTGGAATCATGACTGTGTGTCCACACCTTTGATTCGATTTCTTCACTATTGTAAATTCTACAGTGTACACGCAAATGAGAGGGCATGTATCGTCCTCTCTTCCTCACATTCTCGAGACACTCCTTCTCATGACCTGTACCCCGACTCATATGGCAACCTGAAGCTGCCATCCATCCTTCAAGGTGACACCGTGGCCCCCTCAAGACCTGGGGCCCCCCTCGACGCCCTATCATCCGCCAACACGCGCGCCTCACAGACGCCATTATCGCACGCCCTTGGGCCTTCAGGTGGTGGCACCCTCTCCAGGTCCCTAACATCACACTGAAAACACTCTTGCGAGGCAGACCATCGCATGACAACAAGCAGAATGTACACTCCAGCCGAGACCCAGAACACCAGAGCCAGCGCCCAGCCCTCCTTCGAAGGCGATCCAAGTTGCAACCCCGCCTCTATACCGAATTGGTTCACCGCGGCGAGTATTACGCCGTACACGAGGTATCCAGACGTCTCCCACATGGCCACGCTGGCGGAGCGGCTGTCCATGGATCCGCTGAAGGTGATCTGCATGACAATCGCTCGGGACAGCGAAGGGGCACCGGTGCCAAGGGTCAGTATGGTGAGACCGACAAGCACCATAGGCATGGAACCCGCAGCAGCGAAGACGCATTGGCCAACGAGCAGGAACATGACCGAGATGCGTGCCAGCATGAGATCGCGGTTCCAGCCTCCCCTGATCCTGTTGAGGAAGCCACCCAGGGCCGGGCGGAAGACGAACATCACTAGGATGCTGAGCCCTGTCCGCACACCGAGGGCCATGCCTGCCTGGGTGATCGTCCAGCCGAAGCGCAGGTGAATGTACCGCAGGGCGATACTCATCATGACCCTAGCGGCGGGAATGGTAAGCGATGCTGTCGCAAGAATATTCCGGAGCCTCCAGGCCCCGAGACCACGCCATATGCTGCGAATGTTTCCATAGAAACGAGACCAGAGGGTGGACGTGTTGAGACCCGCAACTGTTTGCTCGCCTTGCGGCTCTGGTTTCTCGCACTGCTGGCGCAACAGCCCGATGAATAGAGCGCCGAACAAGATGAAGCTGGGCGACGCGATGAGCGGGGTGAAGATTGAGTGCAGCATCATTGCTGAGGCGATGAAAGGGCCGAGTGTCTCGCCGAGAAGCATGGCGAAGATTTGGATACCGAAGTAGACTCCTCTGTAGATCATCGTTAGGAGCCAGAAACTCTAGGAAACCTGCTAAGAAGGGGGGGAGTGTGTATATGAAAGGCAAACGCAGCAGGAAAGCCCCGACATACCTCTTGTCCAAGGGTGCTATGTCTTCAACCATGGCAAAGAGTATAGACTGAGCCATGGAATCACTTCCACCAAAGAAACGACCAGCCGCAGAAACCCAGACATATCGAAGACTCCAGTTGTACGGATTCCAGGCCGCCGTGGTCCAGAACACCCGCGAAGAGAGCATTCCGACAGCACACCCGAGTAGGGCGACTCCTCCTCCCTGTTTCTCCGCTAGTATCCCCGAAGGAATGGCAACTAGAACGTCTGCATTCAATCCTATCAGCCATGGGTGTCCATCGTCCGCTTTCTTCTCCTCTCACAGCTTCCACATACCGGCTACGTATCCTAGGATCAAGGATCCCATCACGATGAAATTCAGCTCACCCTGAACAGCCGCCACGGTGCACTGTCCCTCTGGGATTGGGTCTCCAGAAGCCTTGTGGTCGTAGTACTCGTGGCAGATGAGGTCCTCCAGGCGCTGAATCGAAGGGACTTCGAACATGCTGACACCCAGCTGCATAAGGAAAGCGATGACCGCCAGCACGATCACGCCGTAGATAGGTGACTTGGTCCTCGACTCTTGCTCGGGAGCATCGTCGTCGGAGTCATCGTACGCAGGTGGCTGGGGCAGCTCGGGGATCTCGTGAGCGTGGACACTGCTGCTGGCACGAGAGGAGCGCGAATGCGCAGGCGAGAGCTCAGCGAGCTGGATATCGTTCTCCATGTTGGGCACTTTCCTTTCATGCAACTGTTCCAGAAAGAGGGAGGAAAGGAGAGAAATTATGTGAAATACTCTGAGATCAAGGGAAATCTGAAATGAATGGGAATGGAGGATGAATGGTGGAGAGTGAAAGAGAGAGTGCTCGGAGCTTGTCAGAAAACAAACATTGGGAACACGTATGGGCAACGAGATTTTAGTTTCAAGAAAAGCTTCATGGTACTTGTCGTCGTTTGCAGAGCATGAAAAATGAGGCAGGTGCTATGCCAACACGGGCCTTTGTTAAGTAACGACTTACTAGACGTGGTGGCAAGTCGACACTGCAACATGACTGACCTAACCTTTGTATGCAGACTTTGAAGAACTGCATGATGAGAGGTAAGAAGAAGTAGAAGACCATAGAGCATGCATGTCTCAGCATGGTGAGCAGTCTCGCATGCTAATTCACAACTTGTGCAGGAATTCAAGCATGCAAAGTGACACATTTTAGACTTCGCGACTGGAGAATAGAAAACTGATAAGTTTATCAATCTCAGTTCTGGGACTCATAGACTTGTTTTTGAAGTCATGTTGACGGAGATGAATCATGTTTGCTCAGTTTAATCGATTCGAGTCATTCTTTTTAATTTCTGTCCAGTGTCACATCATGCTATGGTACATGATAATATAGAAACCACTGGTCTTACTTTGGAGCAAAATGATAAAAACAAGTTATTCACTTTTCTATAGCTGGCCTAGCTGGCTGAAGCAAAAGCAGGATCCCATACTTTAAGTAACTTCGTATTGTCTGTCTCTTTGATGACCTGACCTGGACTGGTGCAGTAGCGTTTGCCATAGTATAAACCCAAGAATCTGATTCTATAACCACATATTGTTTGTAGCTTGTGCTTAACAGCTTGTGTTTAACAGAGAGGGGAGAGGTAGAGTTCTTCAAAGTCCCATATTACCTTGTCTAATCTGGTAATTTGAAATTTGGCTGGTTAAGAAGCAATTAAGGGAGTACTTATTTACATGTGGTATGCCTCTGAATATATTTACACTTCAGCCTGCCACCTCTTCAATCTGACGATTGCCTCAACATTCCGAGGGGTCGAGATCACCAAACGCATGAATCGAGGAAGTAGTCCCAAATTCAACCTCCGGCAAAAAAAGTTCTGTGAAAAGAATCGTCGAGAGAAGCCCTCTTCCTCACAGCACACGCTCCACGGGCATAGAACGCCTATCGCGCATACACGCCTCTTGATTACATATAAGAAGCGTCATAGTAGCCCGCGCTCGTGTAGTCATCTCCCAAGATCGTTTCGATAGAGACAGCTGCGCTCAGCTTGGTGGCAAAGCTGGCGCGTGTTCCCTCTGCACCATCGCCGGTGTTGTCGTACTCACCAAACAGAACATCCTCGGTGTTGGGCTCGCTGGACGACCACTCAGCCCAGCCGGCGCTGTTGATGACGTCGGACATGGTCGTGTCCTGGAAGACGACGCGGGCATACTCAGACCATGGGCGGCCGAGGTAGTAGGCACCCGAGGCGACGGATTCACCATCTGCGGCCGCGATATCGCATTCGTTCTTGAAAAACCCCCCCAGAGTCAGTGTTGCATTTCTCGTGCTGTAGACAGGATATTAGGTCAATGAGTGTGATGGGGGTGCAGCTTACAAAGACATAGTAAGATGTTCCGGTGGAGGAGGTACGGCCATTAGCTTTTGAAATTATTTTTATCAGCTTTGTACTTTTCTCCCAAGTCAAGTGGCCATGCGTCCACGCAAACACTTACCAGTGACATAGCCCACGCTGGCTTCGAGCACTCTGATATCGCAAGACTGGAACCAAGCTGGAGAGTACTGGCCAAAGACGAAGTCGGTGGCGCCCTCGATCAAGCAGCCCGCATACAGCTGGTAACCCTCCTCAGCGAGCACGGTGTCCTGGAAACCCGTGAACTGGCAGGCATAGTACCCAGAATCAGCATACGCCGACAGGGCGATAGCCTGGCTTCCATCACCGTACCTGGGATGGGGAGTATCGTGTTAGCCTTTCCCCAAACCTTTCATGTTGAATTCTACGTATGATATGCCCAAAATGGCAACTTAAGTGAAATGGATAGAAGAAAAGAGCACTGAGACGTACGTGTTTGCTACATTGATGTTGTACATCTTGAAGTTCGTCGCAAGAACGATCAGTGTACCCGTCTCCTCATCACTCAGTCCGCTGGCGGCGGAGAGATCATTGGTGATGGTCACGACGTTGGACGAGTAGGTCGAGGTGTCCTCGGTGTAGCCGTAGAAGGTCAGCTCGGCCTCGCGGGCGGAGACGGTGACCTGCTCGTTGTAGGAGCCTGCCTCGATGAAGATGCATTGTGCTGTGGTTGAGGTCGTGGAGAGCGAGTCGACAGCCTCCTGGATGGTGCTGTAGGTGCCACCACTGCCGGCGGTGATACACCCAGATGGTGCGCTGGTGCGGCTCGTGGCCAGCACCGCGGCAAACAAAGTAGCAAGCGTGAGAAGAGTGCTCATGTTGTGTCGTCTGTGGTCCAGGATTCCAGAATTTGGTAGAATGGTGGGTTACAGCCCAGGGGAAAGGAAACACTGGACGCCAAGGCTTCTAGATGATGCGGCATCTTTATGTTTCTCGTGATATAAGTGAACACATGTTATATGTTCTAATGAATTATACGTCCAGGTCACACTCAGGGATGAGGCGAGATCCAGATCGGCCCCCAGATCAGTCTTCATGGGGCCGCAATAACCATCAAGGATGTTTCAGTTGCGCTACCTGCCTATCCGGCTTGAGGTGCTCAAGCTCATTGGTGGACCAAGTCAAACAACATTGAGCCGCAGCCCTGAGAAAAAATAAGATGCAACGAGATCCACGGACTTGGCCAGGTGGTCTTGAATGCGGTGGGGTCACACAAGCCAGCAAATGACAGGGTAGGTCACTTGACAACCTTTTGTCTCTCTTCTCTCTCATTCTTTCTTGATTCCATTTCCCCGTCTTGGTGGAAATTCCCCATGATAGGAGGTCAAAAGAACATGGTAGCGGACGGAGGGTGAGTGGGTAGTAGGCTGTGATTAAGGCCCAGCGACTTGTTTGGTGGAGAAACAAGCATGTCAAAGCCGTTGGCGGAGAACCACTGCCGGCATGGGCCGTAAGAACATCTGCAGGCCGAGGCCGATGCCACGCTGCGGCAGCAAGGTCACCGTAGCCCACCAGCACTTGTGCTTGATGCCCTGTATCTGCGTCTTCTGTGCGTCAGATCTAAGCGAACCCCAACGTTGCAGATTACCTGGTAGTCGGCTCTGACGGCGGGAGCCAAGCTTGAGCTGTGTGAGGTCTCGTGAGTTTCCAGGTCGGCGCTGAAGTATGGCCAACGAAGGTAGTCGTCACTGAAGACGCATGTAAATGCGGATTCAGACCAGCTCTCAAATGAGATCTCCGCTGATTGGGCAATGTCTACAAGAGCCAAGCTTGCTAGCGGTGGAAGAATCCATCCGGACCCGGACACCCTTCATGGGCCCCTGGAAAGTCTACATGCGCATGCTAATTAGTTCTTGCAGCTTGTAAGTTGTCCTGTATGACTGAATATGTGATTGCATACGCATTCCTGGTGAAATCCAGATATGATATTCATCACGGACTTATAGAACTATGCAGATAGAGACGGATAATATTTTGGTTTGGAGGTCTTTTCTTTTATTTTTCCATTCTTCCTTTTGTTTTCTTCTTAGAAAGGGGTTGGGATAGGGGTCGAATACACTTTTCTTCCTCTTTTCGGCTATATGGGGGCCCCAAACTTTATCAATTAATTATTCGCTCTCTCCATTCTTCCCAGTACGAAGCATCGATAAATAACAAATTATTACCAGGTGACTCATCTCTTCCTACACCATACCTTAAATCTCTCGGCTACATAAACCTTCATCTTCTGATTTCAACCGGTCCTAGCAAAACGACACAACCTGCACCGCTCCAAGTAAACGGCATTACCGTTATACTACTATGTTCTATAGTATGGCAGTAGTCACTGTAACGCAGGAACCGTGTTTCACATCAAAATGCTCCCCAAGGATCCTACCTCACAAGATCGGTCGTGGATCGACCTAACCAACGATGCAGCCATCGTCAGGCAGTCCCCGTCCCCCCGAGCCGGCCATTCCACATACAGGGCAGTTAAGCAATACCACACGGGTTGCACCAATTTTGTCAAGGTGTACACGTGCTTGCTGTAGCACCACCCGAACATTTGTCATTGTGAATCTTGTATCTACTCTATGGAAGTCACAGTCATTATTCTGGCCGCCGGATGCCAACGCTCAAAACCGTCCCAGCCTGTCAACTCGAGTAACCTGCTGTCCATCAAAATATTCATGTGCTTTTGTATTCCTCAGAGTCTCGAAGTGGTGTCCTTTGTCGATATACTGCTTCTGTATAGAGGTATCTGAGACATTGCGGCGTTCGATTCGGAAGGACTGCGTTCTGTGCTATCTTATACGGACTTGCGCGGACATACGCCTGTGGGGTGTGGGCCGTCTCATCTGATGCATAGACCATGGTCTCCAGATCTTTGCTTGTCATGACTAATTAGCTGACGACAACTATCGCTAAATTCAGAGTTCTGGTCCGGATGGAGTACAGCAGATAGTGACTTTTTTTCCACCAGCCGCCGCTGTCTACGAAGCGGGCATATATCCTTGACCCTATACACTGCGCCGCAGACTGTTGTCAAAATCTAAGCCAAAGGCTCGCATCTGCGTTCCTCTCATTCTATTTGGTACGTGCATGGCTATATATATATATATGAAAGGGCAAAGACAGAAGGAGCGCAAGATAAATCCGAAAGAATACTTTAGATGTGATGTGTGATTATCATGCCCACCGACCTAATTATTTATCGACGAGAGCGATATAATAGAAGATTCTCGGTCCGTTTCATAAGAAGCCCATGGACAGAACCATCCATGCTCGGGGTCTGTGAAGAGGTTCTGTAAACCAAGAATACGGAGCCGAGCAATGTCAGGTTCAGACCTTTGGTGAATAGGGCCTCATAGCCTGTCGTTTCTATCTCGGACGAGTTCCAAGGGCTTTTCAATGTTGAAGTGTTGAGACGCCGAGGACTAACAGCGCCAACTGTTCGATGATGGGTCATGAGCAACCGAGCCAATATGCACATATCTACCCTCTTAGAGATATTGCCTTACAGAATACAAACTCGAGAAACTGTTTAGTGCCGAGGGTCTACTATTCCGCGGCTACGAGCCTATTGTGGCAGGAGACGCAGAATACGCGAGCTAATAAGTACTGTCACATATGTGGGAGAGGCTGTACTCAAAAATGAACAAGAGCATAATGCTACGCTTTGACAGTTTATTATCGTCCAATAGACGCTCTTGAAATCTCCGAAGAAGTAAAGGTGATATTCTGTCAAGGTTATAAAGATAATCCCCACTCCGGACCAGCGTTGAGGCACTAGTCAAACCTCAGGCCTGAGTGCTCCAAATGCAAGAATGCTGTGCCATACACACGGTATTTGAAGGCCAATCATGTCATGACTTGAAACGTACCCTAATAGGAACCTAGTTGAAGCTTTTGAAAGGCATCAACTGAACTGAAAAGCAGAGCTCATGCGACCCAAGATACTATTGCGGCTATTTCCAAAACGATGGAGATAATTTCGCTTTTCATCCAATCATACCCACAAACGCCAGATACCTCCAATCTTCACCACGTCATAGGAATTCTATGCGTCACCCAACATATTATCACCGTTGCCGTGTCACACTTTCTAAATACCTTCCGATGACTCCTCGCGTTTATCGTGCTGCCGAGAGGAATCTCGGGAATGAGACAAGGACGTGACAAAATCATTGCTCCATCCCGTAACCACTATGCATACCTGCCAAGCCGAGTACACTGGAAAGCTCTCATGACGCCGGGCAAAACAGAAGCCACCATCTCCTAGAAAAGAGACGACTTGATGGCTGACATCGAAAAAAGGACCGATTTCCTTTCTCAAAGACCGTAGCTCCCAGCGCCGACGTCTGGATACAAGTATGCGTCCAGATCACTACTAGCGTTCAGGACAGCCATGGACGTCGGGTCGACAAAATTAGCGGGCATGGAAGTGCCGGGTATGGTCTGGTAAGAAGAGGCCGGAATCGAAGACGCGATCTGGAGTGGATGTGCTGCATGGCTGTGGCTGTGGGAGTGGTGCACATCGAGGTGCGGGTGTGAGGGGTTCGACTTCAGCTTGACGTATTCGGCCTGCAGCTGGGCGTAAGCCTGGCTGAGCACATCATTGCGGGCGCGCGCATCGTTCAGCATCTGCTCCAGGTCCTTGATGCGCTGGTCCTTGCGTTCGCGGTAGGCTCTCTGTGAGGCCCTGTTCTGGGCACGACGGCGCTGTAAGAGGGGTGAAAATTAGTGTCAGGCCTTTTTCTTCTCCATTTGTGTGTGTGTTCATTGAGAGATGGCGTAGGGAGCAGTAGCCGAGAAAAGAGGGATCCATGGTGATGATTCGGTGTGACAGTGATAGTGGCATCGCATGGCGGCAATATAACAGCTTTGTATGCATATAACAGCAAAGTGGCGCCGCCACCAGGATGGAGGAGGAGGAGGAGGTGGTGGTGGTGGGCAGCCGCGACTGTAAAAGTCGCCTGGAATGGCAACCAATCCTTGACTCACCGAGAGAACCGAGGGCGGAGCATTCTTGTATCTATTCTCCCGCTTCCTCTTGGTCGCGGGTTTCGATTGTGTTGTTGTTACGGCTGTCCCTTCTTGTTGTGACTCGCACCCGTCATCCGCATCCCGGCTGTCCGGGCTGTGAAAAGCGCTTGTGCCCGTCCCGTCTTCCAGACAAGTCATATCGTACTGAGAGATGATGTGAGTAAACGAGACTGCTTGAAAAACAAAGGCAGCAGCGACGAAAGCCTTACAGGTGACGTTGCTGAGCTGTGTGATTCCGAGTGGCTGCCGTCGAGATACTGTTCGTGATCACCGTACAGATACTGGTAGCAACTGGATGGCGAAGAGACGTCGAGGTAGATGGTTGGTCCCTCCATTGTCGTATTTCCCAAGAACCCAAGACAGGATAAGAGCAGTCTCGAGGTTTGAGATAAGATTTGTTGTTGCTGTATGACCACTAGAACAGATAGTAATATTGTTGGACTGGAAGAGAAGAACGGAGGGCAGAGGGCATAAAGAAGGTGGAAAAGTCGGCAGCTTTATTATCATAAGCCTTGTTCGTCTCCTTCTCTCGCTCTCTTTTAAACTTGAGGGCAATACAGGAGAGTGGTAAGAAAGCTGCTGACAGTAATTATGTATAGTCTGGTTGACATAGCATAGAGTAGAACACCATGATGATGGTGGTGCTGTGGAGGACCAGGATGCATGTGACCACCAGGGTGACTTCAATCGCATGTCTGGTTACATCGGACACAGACACTCTGTCTCTGTCAATAGGGTAACGTCAGGCCTGGGGGGTGTTATAGGGGTACCAAAATACCATGAACTCATCTTGTACTGCCTACCCACACACACACACACACACATGGGTGTTACCGAATTGACCTGGTGTGACCCTGCAGACCCCGGATATTTCTGCCTAGACGTTTTTGAGATGTAGGGCTAACTGGTCTCTCAAATGCTGCAGCCGTGGAAGGAGTGTTTATCGCCGATCTGCTCGTGCTTAAGATTATGTAGATGAACCAGCTCAGCGGTGTATAATAGTCTAGGTTACATCAGCGTGTTAACGTATTCTACTGTAACCATGAAGAGGGTATACGATGTCCACTGCTTGGACTGCCGTGTAAGCAACTCTCAAATTTCTCCCCCAAGCAACAGGACCTGGGAGATGAACGATAGGTAGCGTCCTTGTTACATGGTATGCAATGCTTAGACGCTTCGCGTAGATGGTGCCAGGCCTTTTCTTCTTCTTTTCTCCCGCCATGTCGTCCCTCGTCAGACGAGAAAGGCGGGCGGAATGGATGTTACAATCCCACTGAGGGCTGGCGCATACGGGTGGGAATGGATCTCCGTTCTCGCACCCTCGAGCTGTTTAACAGGTGTGATCAGTACTTTTGTCGCATGCCGACTTGGTAAGGCGCCGCTCGTAATTCATGGTGGGAGGGGAGAGGGGCCACATGCTGACCAGGGAGGGGTTCGTCCTCCAGGGGCCTCGAATGCGGACCGTATCAAAAACCAGGCTTACGCACTGTGAGGATTCACAATTGACTGACATGTACATCGCCAGAAAGAGATGCCAGCTTGTGTAATGCCAAGGCTCTCCTCCGTCTCTTTCTGTATTCTATGATAGCCATCGACCCGGTTCGTGTTTGGAGAACTTCGTCGGGTCAACAAGTCTATTGGAAGAAGCCCAGGCAGTCTCTGCGCGTCTTACCCCAGCGCCACGGGCGTCCCTGGTATGGTCTCTTCACATACGCCACTCGATCTGGCTCCGCTGACCTCCACCTCCCTCGTCACGATTCATCTTTTTCAGTCCTGCCTTGTCCGTCTGGAAAGGGGTGGCATGGAAAGTAATCTTGCCGTGATGGCCATGGATCAGAATTGTTGCATGGTGCCGTGGTGCGTAATTCAGATCCCGCTGGCTTTGATGCTGCCACTCATTAGAATGGGTGGTCGCCGTACAGGGAAGCACATCGCTGCATTCGGGATTCGAGAGAGACGTTTAGGGAAGGGATCTTCCTCGACACGTTTTTTTTTTTTTTTTTTTGAGGTTACAGAGCAGAAAGTCGCCATTCTGCGGTGTCAGCTGCGTTGTGGATGGATTAGAAGATCATTGGCCTTCGGCATTTGACTCGATATTTGTCAATGGAGTTCTGACCTCCCATCGCAGGCCACCATGTCGGTTAGAGAGCCCGGTGACAACAGGCCTGATGGAAGGACTAGTGCGAGTGAGGAGAGAGGGCTTTCGAACCCATAACATGTCTCGACTCCGAATGCCGCTCTCGTTGTCGATGGCTTGCCTCATCGACACAAACCCTCTACAGCGGACAACTGGCCTCCTCCCAAGCCCACACCCCACGTGGGGGACTGGCATGGTTACAACGTGATGGCTCGTCTGAAGCTGGGTTCGATGCTGCAGGTGGTCTAAGACCAAAGGACTGACCCGATGCTGCGGCTCTCTGGCGGTCAGCCAGTCGATGTGGTCATCAAGCCCAACCCATCCTGAGCAAGGTTCCTCGGTGAGATGCGGCTTGAAAAGAAAGAAAGTTTAAGAAGCTTCAAAAATTCCGCTTTGGGTTCAATTCGCCGGTGAAGGATGACAGAATTATGCCCAACCATTCGCAGAAGTGCGCCGTCTAAGGGTATTACTTCTGCAGAAGAAGCAAGGCCCATCAAAGCCAAGGCAGTAAGTACCCCAGTGTCGAAGCTATGGCCAAATTTAGAAAGCTGAATGCGATTGACCTGGGGCTTGGGATCGGTGGGCCCGGTGAGGTGTGTGATGGGCCATAGCAACGGCTGTTAGCCCACGGTTCCTTCCTGAATTTCTTGATAGTATAATCAAAAGCTAATCGCAGCCATGGCTGGAGCGTGGTGGTCGACGGGCGGGGATCGGCAGTGCAGGAGTCTGCCAGGAGGCTTGAGGAGATGATGACGACCAGGTGAGAAAGCTAATGTCCATTCATGGCACAAAAGGGCAAGTCCTTCCAAAAGTAGGGTGCGAATTTGCAGTCTTCGGGGAGGAAGGGAGTGGACTGTGAACACAGTGCAGGCGCAACTTGTAGTGACTAGCGCGGTACTATTGTACCCTTGTACCATAGCAGCATAGGTCGCCCTCCAACTCGACATCTGCTACTGCAACTTGATCGACCCAGGTGATTGGTTCCATGTCCCTTCGCGGCTACCACCATGATCGTGCGTGTGTGCGTGTTGTTTTCTGTTGGTTTCGATTACAAGATCGCAAAGTGTTGCTCTTCTCTCTGCAGCCCTCCTCTTGGCATTGCATTTTGTTGATCCTCAATCTCCTCTACCACCCTCCCTCCCTCTTCCCACTCTGTTTCCGCGGAGGTGTGTCGACCATCTTTCCAGACTTGGGCAGCCACGTCGCCAAGCAGCTTGACCTGCCCAGACTCAGCACATCGCAGCGTCCTGGTCCCTCGACGGCCCCTCCAGTCCCAGCGCTTCCGGCCCCGCAGCAGCAGGCGGCTTGCGACCACGGGCATGCGGTCAGCATGGGTTTGGTGGGACCCTGACCCTCGTCCCTCTCTCTCTCACCCCAAGGCGTAAGCCTGTAAGTTTTCCCATCTTGGGACGAATTCTGCGAAACGTTGATTGATAGGCGAGGCTGTGGCTGCGCCTTAGACATAAAGGAGACTACCTGGGCCCCACCAACCAATCGACAGGCCCCAGCCCGTAAAGAATGCGAAGACAGGCGTGCTTCTCAGCCTCTCCTCGCCATGGATCGATCTCCCGGCTAGCCTACCACTGTTCGCGTTGACCCTCGTCGAACGGCTGTTGACCGTCCTGTCTTCATCTCGACTCTCCACAGCGGAGCAACTGGGTCGCGAGCTGTAAGCTGATGGGCCCTGTAGCCACGTGCTTAAGGCGGTGCTTCCTCCGACACTTCGTCGATATCGGATCGGTGGAGCCCACCCGTAGGCGGCCGCGCCACGGGGTTCGAGGCATATTGCGTTGCTTGGCCAGCCCTCCAGGACATGGGCGTTTAGGCTCAGATCAACGCTCGGAATCTTATTCTCAGCCTATTTCTGTCCCGCCTACCTGGTAACGCGAAACGGCGGGCCCCTCCTCTCCATTCCTCCTTTCCCTGCCTCAACGAAGCTGTGGTTACAGCTAGGTCTCAGACTGCCGCCAATATCTCAGCTTGCCTAGCTTGTTCGTTGTGGGGAGGGGGCCTGGCCCTCTCTGACATCCTCCGCACTTTCTTGCTAGATCGGGGCAAAAAGAGAAGCAGAGATATAGACCGAGGATGATGGATGATGGTGCGGCGGATCAACTAGATTGTTGATGATGTGATATCTGTAACAGAAGGATCCACGTACCATTTAACTCAAGTCATTCCAGTAAGTAGGTCAGAGGAAGACGCCATCTCGTCAATGCCGGCTCGGTGGTATTGTTTTCTAGCCCTACGACCATGTCAGACGAGGCCTGTCCGGTGCCGACCTCTGCCACTGCAACAGTCCTCCTGCAGGGGAGCGGCGTTGAAGTTACCACCACCACAACGACATGTCAATCATCAGGGCCGGGCAAGGTGAGACGGCGCTCGCAGAGATCTAGGCACCTGAGATACTCTCTCTCGGCGCCCTTAGCCGCCTGGGCCGCTGGGTGGTATGTCTGGCATCTCAAGTCTACAAAAGGAGGCAAGTGAATAGAACTCGTGGGATGTCAAGCGGATACTGTCTATCCACCGTTCCGCGATGTGGATCAAGCTTGCAATGTCGTACTGGATGTAGGTACCCACCAGACCGTCAACAGCCCTATGAGACGAGACATTCTGCTGGCTGTGCGGTGTGAGAAGCGCGCCTATGGCTGACATACTTAGCCCAGCTCTCTGGCCGAGTTTAGCCAAATAACCTTGTTCTCTAAACAACTCTTTCAACTGGCACGTTACGTGCTATCGTGCAGATGCATAGCAGAATCTCAGGCAGCAGAGGATCTTTTAGCCCGTATACATGCACAGACTCATCGACTCCATGACTCGCCAGTCTCGTGATATCATCACCAACACGACATCTCGTGTGTGAACTAATCAACCATGGCCACAGCCACACGGGCAGGCTACCAGTTCCTGGAGATTCACCTTCATGCGCCACTTACATATTTTCGTGTAAGTCTGCGAATCCTTCGGCTCTCATAATCAAGTGGTGGTCTTTTTTTTAAAGAAAGGGGGGGGGGGTCACCCGCCTACCCCCATTAGTACCACTGCCCATTTGTCCTGGAGAGTAGTTGAATCCACTGGGGTTCGCACAACAGGAGTGCCGTGTCTCAAGTCGTAGGATGGAAAGGATCACGATTTCGGCTGACCTTCTCGGCAGTTCAATATCATGATACCGCTGTATCCGTCTCTGGCAAGTATCGCCGAAATCCTAGAGGTCGACTGTATTTGCCCCTCTCTCATTGTTTACGTGATCTCTTTTCCTCTATTGCTATGTATATCCGATTGTAAGGATGACATTTTCTATAGAACAAAAAGAAACTGAACCATCCGTCCTCTCATGATCTTCGAAACGAGGCGCCTCCCCCCCCCCCCCTTTCTCCCACCGCTATGTCCCAGTGAAGCCCTCAGCCACCGCCGAGCTTCACCGCAGTAAGCCGCATGTAAACGATATCTCAACCACGACGAGGACTAAGGAGAAGTTCTTCATACCAAACCCTAGTTGCATCGACTGATGCGGCCGGACTCAGGCGGCCATCCAACGGATTCCTCCCCGGTCTGAGATCATCTCATCTCATCTCATCTATCTTCCGTTTTCTTCTTTACTTCTTTTCCCCATTTTTTTTTCTTCCCAACAATGGTCAAGAAGATTCCACGGTGCGGCCTGCGCACTTGCGGGCACATCTGGGTCTGGGTCGGCCGCCCGTATGCGCGCAATACGATACGCGAGATCAGATCAGGCAAGTCAGAAGGTAAGCAAGCTGCTGCAGCACCAGCGGTGAGTGGCCTTGTAGAGCAATGATGTTGTATCTATTCTTAGGATGGCATCTCAGACTGTGAGCGATAGACTGAATGGGGACCGATTTGACTACGGCCTATTTGAGGGAGCGCACGCGGGATTCAGGCTGGGATTATCACGAGGAGAGTGGAGAGAGAAAGAGCGGCGATAGACAGATCGTGACTGGCATATGTGCGGCATCACTCGAACAGTCTCATGCGTGCAAATGGAGAATTGAGCCGGCGATTAGCGCAGCGACATGGAACAAGTATCATTGTGCAGGGCTTGATGGGAGGTGGTGAGTGGTCGAGATTCGAGGGTCATGGTGAGATGACGTCGTGATTCGCTCAGCTTTTCACACGGATTGGCATGGGGAATACTGCTTTCTCTCCTTCTCTCTCCTTCTCTCTTCCCCTTTCTCTGTGCTTCTTTCGCCTTTGGGGTTGTTCTCTTCGAGGGTTGACATTTTAAGAGTCACAGACTACTATGGTAGGGCGCCGTTGCCTCGAAGGTGTGAGAAAACGGGGCCCACATCACTGGTCTACGCAACCAGCCTTACAGGATTCCGCTGCAAGATCCGCAACGGGCGTGGCCGAGTCGGGAGACCATTTGCTTTGGATGACATGTATGTGTCCATGAGACAGACCTATGCCAAAGTCCGATCAGAAAGTCTTGCGATGGCGGCGATAAGCAAACGGCGGGCAAGATTCCGCGGGCGGGCCGGCAGTGTGATTCCAAATCGTGATCACTCCCAGAGGCACAAGTTCGGCTGCGGCATCCCTACAGTTGGTCCCTGCGCAAGAGTTTGCGAGATGAGTTGTTTTTTTTTTTTCTTCTTTCCTGCCTGTCCGTCCTATCTTGACCACATGGCTATCCACTTCTTTCCTGTCCAGGCCAAAGAGGGGGCGGGGAGAACGATCCAGGGACAGTTGGGGACAGCCTGCGGCGCGTTTGCTGCAAGTTCTGTGGTAGATGCTGCCACTCACGTCCACCCGCCAAGGCTATCCTCGCTGCATGCCACCCTACCTGCAAGAAGGTTGCAGTAGTGATTGTGTAGTGCATGAAAATTTTTGTAGTGACGGCATTGCCGCAGAACACCACCCCAGACAGCACGTGGCCCTGAGATTCGTTGTACGAGTTTTTTGGGGGCGGCGGTGTCACTAACAATTTTCTGGTGGTTGTTCTGTTGCTTGTGAGCTTGCACCCAATCGCCGGTGCTGCGTCCGCGTTCTGGTTCATCTGAAATTGACGGCTTGCTCGGCAATTCGGGATGCAATGGTACATAGTACACATTGACAGCCGGCGCATGATGGTTGGGTGTCGAGGAGTCGGTCGGCTGGACGTCGTGCGACTGTATAGCCTCGCTGAGGTGGATTGAGTGAACAAACTTGTGAGCTTGTCGGCATGCTGGAGAGGGAAAATGATGCCATCTCTTGGATGGATGCAAATCGAACGAAGTTGCTTAATAGGCGATTAAGACATCAAGGTCCGCATGAATCGTTTTGAGTGCACGGCCAAGGTGTCTCCTCGATGAGATACGCCCATGACCGTCGCATACAACGAATCTCCGTTCGATGATCATAGCATACATAGTGAGAGCCTCACTGTGAAAGCCGCGCCAACCCCGCCTGAGCCTGCTTTACGCCCTCGGCAAAGCTGTTCTCCTCGCTGACCTGGATGGCACGTTCATATTTTCGACGAGCCACGTTATAGTCGCCAGACATCATCGCAATGTCTCCAAGGTTGACAAGCGCAACGGCACAAGCCTGGTCACATTCTGGAGTCCGCGCCTCTCCCGTGGGCTCTTTTGCGTGCTTGAGTGCGTTTTTTGCCCACCTCGCGGCAGATTCGAGGTGTTCCTTTCGTGTCCAGGTCTGACCTGAGGCTGCTGGGGTTGGTGATTCCTTGCCGTCTTGGCCGGGAACGATGCCGGCTAGTGTTTCGTAAGGTGGGCGAGGTGGATGTTGCGCAAACGATGCAGCAAGATTGTTCACTGGAACTTGTAAGCCTACTTATGTTCCAGCAATAGAGCCCACCCTGGGGAGTTGGGTCAGAACCTGCCCTGTGAGTTTGGAATGACTTACTGATTACTGCAAGGTGACATTGATCTCGGCAGAGCCGAAGTGCCTGGAAGAAGAGTGGCAGGGCGAGGTCAAACTGCCCTTTCCTCTCGTAGCTGTTGCCCAGGGCTGCGGATGTACGTCAGCGACATTGGCAGAAAACGCCGATTCGAGAGATTTTTAAGAGACGCATCACTCACACTCCAATGCACCACCAATCTCCTCGGGCGTCAGCCACGATCCCTCGCCGTCCTTGGTACCGTCCGAGGCCCTTCGCTGGAACTCTGTGAGGGCCGTCTCAACAGCCCACATCAGGTGTTCATGTGACTTGTCGTTGTCCAAGACATGCTCCTCCGCATACAACGTCCCTAGCTTGACGCTGATCTGACAGGACTTGAGCAGCACACGGGCGCGAGAAGATCTGACCCACTGCTCAAAGTCCTCTTGTGTAATCGATTGTGCCGACTGATCATCTCCGACTATGGGTCCCGGGCGAGGTGCTCCTGGTAATCTCTCAGGGCTTGTCTCAACCAAGCTCAGCCACTTCTTGTTCTCTGAGAGGACCAGATCCAGGACGCGAATCGCACCAGGAATGTTGCCCATCTTCTCGAGCCACGCCGCAAGCTGAATCTTGATCCCAATGACATCGTTGGAGAAGGGGTCGAGGCCATGAGCGGTACACTGCTCGAGAGCAAGCCTGTAGTACTTGAGCGCCAGCTTCGGGTCCGGCTGGTGGTTGCTATAGTAGAGGGCGCGTCGGAGAGACTTGGCCACGTCTGGCGGGTATCTGGTAAACTGCTCGGCATAGAAATAGTTGAAGTACATGTAGACGGCATATGCGACGGCTCCAGACGTCGCCAAAAGCCTGATGGAAACTCGTCAGTAATGTTCGATTCTCACGGGGTGGCGAGGGTTGCTCACAGCAATACAGCCAGGACAGTCTCCTCTGGGCTTTCTCGGAAGAGCTTCCTGAGACTCTGCCCGCGGAAGATGCTGGAAAATCGTAATGCACGACGCAATGTCTGCCAGAATGCCTCTTTTTGCTTGTTCGGCTGGCCGGATGGCTGAGGCCGCCGGCTGTCAGACGTTATCCATCGGGTCTGATCTTGAACGAGGGATCCTCTAGCATCCGGGAGGCCGTGGTATGGTGTGCTCGAAGGCAACGCTTTCAATGCTCGGGTATAGGCAGTCGAACGTCGAATTAGTAGGGTGGAAGGTCGGATGCCAGCACGAAGCATCCCGTACTGAGGCAGCTTCGCGCCGCGAATTGGGAGCATATCCGTCTTGAAAAGAAAGGACCAGCGTAGATCTAGAGGGTTAGAAACCAGGCAGGGCGAGGCTCTCCATCAAATTTTATAACCGTCGTGGCGTAGTTACATCTGGCGCAAAAGGGAAAAAGATCCAACAGAATCATCGCGAACTTTTTGGAGCTGTGGCATCTGGTAGCATTTCGATGACGGAATGCTTGCCCCCGGCAACTCACTCAACCGCCTGTAAGTCCACTATAGATGCACTGTATGGTGCTATGGCAGGTACCATACACGCCATAGTCCTGCATGGTAGGCGCACCGAGGTTAGAAACCCCGCTAATTGCTGTTCCAAGCTCCACCACAACTTCGTCTCCCGCAAATAACATACTAGAGTTACGGATCGCCGAGAACACGCCTCTAGGAGGGGATTGCATACGTCGCAACACAGGAAGACGACCAACTTTTTGGCCACACTTCAGTCGAGAATTTCTGTACCCGGGCCTGCCTTGAAGACTGCCTACCCTCTCTCGTCTATCAATTTCTTTTTAGAACTCCCTCTCATCGTTCATCGCAAACCTACCATGCCTGACTTCAAGCCCAAGGAGCCCGCGAAGCTGGCTCCTCCCAAGGACGACCCTATAAGTCCAGAGGAACTGGCTAAGGCTAATGGTGAGTAGTGACCGTCCGGGTCTTGCAGATTCCTCTCAGAGCCATGTATCTTCTTACTAGGAGGGACGAGACATATTGGCGCGGGAGCGCGCCCCGAAAGATGCTGGTCTCCGCTGTCTTCTTAGATGACCTGGTCGGCTGATCGTCCTGGCACAGGTACTGATGGTGGGAAATGCTATGTGGCTATCAAGGTAAGGAAAGGTCTATGATAATAAGTATAAGATACAGCTCCTTGTCTGACTGATCTTACAGGGCAAGGTCTACGATGTGACTGGCAACAAGGCCTATCAACCTGGAGGGTCCTACCATGGTGAGTAAAGCAGGAGGTTCTTGCTCATAGTGTCGTAAAGGCAGCAGCTCCTAATTCGTTCTGTGACCCTACGCTCTCCCTCTCGCACCCCCTCCCTCTTCCCTCCCCTCTATCTTAGGGTGCGAACGAGGCGCACTTCCTCCTTCTTCCACCATATATGCATTTCGTGAGTACTATAAGGCTAACCTGTCTATACAGTCTTCGCCGGCAAGGATGCCTCACGCGCCCTGGGAAAGACATCTACCAAGGATGAGGATGTCTCCTCAGAGTGGAAGGACCTGAATGATAAGGAGAAGGGCGTGCTCAACGACTGGGTGAAGTTCTTTTCCAACAGGTACAACGTCGTGGGTCTTGTTGAAGGTGCCACGAATTTCGATGACGAGGCGCCTGCAGCAGGTGCTTCTTCAGGGGCAGCGTTGTGAAATGGGGCAGAAGAATGATTCATCATGCAGACAAGTGGCCATCTATTATCCATTCCGAAACACGTGTTTGTTTTCTCCCACCCCTGCGATTGCTCTCATGTTGTATGTGTGGGTAATTGTGTGGTCCCGTCAAGTACAGCAGTGCGTGTGGTAGTGCCTTAAGCAAACTGAAGTTATGTCACTTATCTTCAATGAGCTCGATATTCAGCGACAGACTACGGACAATGGGGCCTTTGTGTGACGGAGAGAACCGGGGACCTGCATCTCATGAGGTCAGATCTCGTCACGCTGGGTGTCTCCCGTCTAGGCTAGAGAGATTCGAGCCGGCCCGTTTCCAAGTGCTTGATGAGGGCGGACCCAGACGGTAACCTGCATTATGATTCTCAGCAGGCGTCCCAAGGGGCGGTAAGAGAGGCGCAACTATCCTATGTCAGCCATATCCATAGCCTGCTATTCGTCCTCCCCTTACCAATGCAAGGCGTCGTGTCTACTTTCCTACTTGGACTCCTACGTCCGGGTGGACACATTTCTCATGCCGTGGCTATGCAGGGGAGGGGTGCTCGTAGCTTGTCTGTCATATGTTGCCAGACAAACGGGCACACATTACTGATTATTCGGATAGTGATCGATTACATATGCGTGGTGATCTGTGGTCGCAGGACGGTGCCGTGTAACGATACCATTCGCTCAAACTAATCGTGATTTCAAACTGCGCATTATCTTGTTCGGGCCGTGGCCCTACAATATGGAAGCTCGGTTCTCAGGAAACCTCCGGTCACAAGGGAAGCGGATCGACTGACACTTCAAGCCTCCCTGGCCTATCAAGGACCCTCTGACATGTGAGCAAGGAAGCAACTACGTGCCGGCATCAAGGATGCGGGAAGTAAATATCCTACAGCTCTTCACTATAGCCATGAGACCATGTACCCGAAGGCAGAGCCCTCATTCCCCCTTCAGGGCATCATGAAGAGGCCCATGCCTTTTGCTTCATCAGCGACGGCGCCGGCCTGGCCAGGTTGTCAGTCACTGGGGGCCACACTTAATTCATGTACTGGACAAGAAGCAAATGAAAATACTCACTGGGTTCCTGTGTTGCGACCTGGTGGCTCCATCCATTAGCCGTTTGCACAGCGGCTCTGTTGTTACTCATGCACCTGTCGCAGGCCTCAGGGACATCCCAGACCTTCCTGAGGACCTGGACGCCGAAGCACTGATGGTTTGGGTCGTTACGAGCGAAATGGCAGTAGGTCTTGCGCTTGGTGTAGGAGCAGGAGCAGCCGAAGATGAATTCTTCCCAGTCACACATGATGGGCGGGCTTTATTGTCTTTCTTCCTGAGGCGCACGTTTGAGTTGAATGGAGAAATGCCAGGCAGTGACAGGCAAGAAAGGTACAATGGGTTGCAGGCTCGTGCTCTCGGAGGCCAGAAGAGAAGATGATATACTCGAAGTTTTGTGTTGTGGTGCAGTCAAACGGGCGCAAATTATTATTTCCTCGATGTACAAAGTCAAGTGCAGACGGAGGCAGGAATTGTGGGCAGACGACTGAAAGATTGCATCATTAAGCGACGTCCCTTGGACTCTTTTATACATCTCGCTCTGCCATCATCAATTGGCGGTTCCGCGGGCACGTTCTCAACGGGTCTCTCTTGATCTGAAGCAAACTTCATAACTCATCAGGGCGCATGCAGTGTTGCTTTCCCTTCCCGCCCATGCATATTGAGGGAGTGGAGCCACCCACCGCGTGCAAAAAGGGTGTCCCCGACGGGCTTTCGGTACGGTATCTCACCAGATACTTGTCACTCATAACTAGCATTGGACAGAAGTATGCCGTGTGGTAAAGCCTCGCAGGGGCACAAACACTCCTATGCGGCATGTCTGCTCAGGGTATTGATGCAGGAACTTCCATCACACCTCCATCCGGAAGACGCCTGGACCACAAAGAGGCTCAAGAGCAATGTTAGGCATGTTGTATCTTTTGAGGTCACACAAGCCACTTCACCACAAGACCCTTGGTGTGTTAATAGAAGCAAGCACCTCAAAACGCCCGCCAACACACATGCAGCAAGTCGACTTCCGGACCAAGCCGCGTCAGTCAAGCAAGTGTGCGCAGGCCAACAAAATGCAGACAACTTTGTGCGTCCAATACGACGTTTGGGAGGCAGATGAGCAAACATGCGCGACGTTGCATTTGCAACTCTACATGGCATCCTGTGTGTGTGTGTGGTGATGATGATGATTACCCTGCAGGTGCAACGACGACGTCCAGTTCGTTCACAAGCCCACTGCATTATGTACCCTCTACAATTGTTTGTTCAAGAAACTGAGGGCAGGCCCAGTCCTGCTTCTTGTAAGCTCAGTTAGTGGAAGCTGCAACGGGCCGCGATGCATAAGATCCCCGAAGATTGTTCTCTGCTTCAAATCGCAAGACATCAGGCTGGCCATAGACCGATTCTGACAGGTCCTTTTTCTCCCCTTTTTTTCATTCTTTTTTTCTTCTTTTTTTCAGGAATGTTTCATGGGAACTGGGCTCCACGACTTGCCGTCCCAGACCAGGCAGGCTCTATTGTCGCCAGCCAAGTGTAGCCGTACAGGCAGTTTGCCTGAAGGAGATGTAGCGATCGAATGCAGCTGCTTCTGCACGACCAGAATAACCAGGTTCCTGGCTGCTCAGGGTCCTGGGGACTGGGAGTTCAGCAGTAAGATCATGCAAGACACCAAGCCACGGCTTGCTTGCTGTAGACTTATACGAGATGGCGTTATGACGTGGTCTTGAAGGGACAAGGGAGGGGGGGGGGAGATCTCACAAAATCCGTGAGATCGATGGAGTTCTCCAGCTCCTGCCTCTTCGTCTTAGGCCTCAGAACCTCACCTCGTCGTCGAAGCTGGACATCGCTCACCTCCAGCTCGATCACACACCAAAGCCTGCCGTGACATCGCGAAACCCACACCAAAGCTAAGAGTTACTTACCTGAGGTGTGGCGGCCGGATCCGTCCACAGTATGTCCGTGGCCGTACTGTACGTCCCGGTATGTGCTGCTGTGACGCGTCAGAAAAGCAGTACAAATAGTCTCGACTCAGCGCGGTCAATCTGCTTCCCGCGTCCGGTCTATGCGCTCATTTCGCTGACCCCGGCCCAAGATGTGACGATTGCGTGTAGAAAATGCTTCATGCCATTCAAGATGGCAACCAAATCAAGGGTCTGAAAATAACATCTCCGAAGTACGGTACTGTCATCACCCGCCCGAGTCGGCAGCTCCGACTGAAGGGCTCAGACAAGCCCGTCCAGCTTGCCTGAAGGGGACGGACGTCTTCGGCCGCATTACGCCCATTTCTGTAGATAAATCAAGGTTACCATGTCGTAGCACATGCAGCCAAACGCTCGAGCCCCAGAGGAGTTGTAGCTGACCAGAGAAGTAACGTAAGTATGACTTCTATCGCTGGACTCGATATCACGATCAGTGACATTTACAAATGGGTTTCTCAAGTGCTGCCTGTTTCCTAGGCCCCATGTATTCAAGTATAGGCATTATGGAGACGAGGTTTGCTCTGTGGATTGTGCTCTAGACCTGTTTTGTTATTGGTGCTATGGCTTAATCGATGTGAGGTTGACGATGGAATGGTATAGTACTGTGAAGAGCACGTGATCGTGGTTGAATTTGTCTTGGTCTTAGTGTCCTGTCTCCTCCTGCTTGTCAACTGCCTGCGATTCCTGGGCGACCCCTGAGCGATGTGGAAGGCCGGTTCCCTCTAACCCTTCCCAGCCCATCCCCTAAAAGGTGTCCTGCGCCCTGACCGAAAAAGCGTCCCCACTGCAACAGAAAAGCCTCTGTAGGGGTGTCACGCAAGACAATCTCATTGGTCAACACAACGCCCTCCTACACCGAAAATGCCCTGTGCCAGGGCGCCAAACACAAGAGTAAGGCGAACAAATGGTTGCCTTGCGGAGCCACTGCCACTGAAGAACTGCAGCTGCGATTCAGTACAGGCTAGTGGCCTGCCTCTTACTCGAAAGTGCAGAACTCGCGTCATCATCGTCTGCGATCCTAGCCATCCACCAACCGCCACTCTACAAACACTCACACACCTTTCCCCAGTGCTGTTGCATTTCCAGACCCCCGTGGCTCCTTTCTTCTCCACCCCACGCGCATGCAGTTTGCTCACAGAACATGCATATGGCGTTGCCGTGAAGACCTGCACGTTCCACACCTGCCGTGTGATCCATCGACCCCCGCCCAAGGTCTGAGAGGATAGCGGCATCGAGGCATTCGAACCACAAGCAAGCGATCTGGTCGAGGATTGTCGACTCGAAACCGATACACTTTGGTGTTAGGATGAGAGAGCCTGCGATCTTTGCGTGACCCAAGGGTGCTCGGACTCCTTCGTATTCTTCTTCTCCTACCTTGCTTTCTTCTTTTTTGCCGATGAATATGCCACCTTGGCCTCCGCATCCCACTGCGCTCGATATTACTTGGCATGAGAGGGGCTGGCTTGCTGGGAGCCTCTGATCCGCCATCCACCTACCTCTCATCCCATGCGTCTCTTTGTCTTCAGTGCACCACACGACATCTACGGCATTGGTTCCTGCAGGATTCTTGTTTTCTTTCTTTCTACGGTCAAAGGGCAAGGAATTGTGCAGGGTTTCTGTAGGCCTCTACGTTTTCAACACACAATGTTTGCGAGCGTGGATTACTGATTTCCATAGTAAAATAGACTCATGACTCAACCCTCGTCCACCAGGCAGGATCGACCTTCGGTATGCGGGTTCTGTCTCCCGTTCTCTTTGCCTCGTCTGATGTATATCTCACACTGCTTAGGCACCTAGCCCCGTGATGGGTTCCCCACCGAAGCCAGTCGAGGCGGCCCTGAACAGTGTCGGTTCGTCTTTACCGGTACCAGCGGCCAGTCTGGCTGAGCCCTTTGGTGACTTACAAACCACTGGCATCTACGTATCACCGAGCCCAGCTCACACCTTGATGGGACCACCTCAACAGGGCCATCTGATGCGTTGGGACGCATCCTCGGAGCCATGGAATCCCCTCGTGGGGAGAAACTCCACCGCATCGCAAACTGGTCAAAAATTTTACGCACACGGTGGAACACAGTTCGTGCCGCACCGCAGCCATGCACCTTCTTCTGAATGCGACACGCTCGGGCCTTCAGACTCGGGCTATGGCTCCGCGAGTAGGACAGGACCCAGCGTGGCCAACGGATCGGTCTACGGCGACTGTGATCGCTCCGGCGAGACTGCGAGCGTTGCGAGCCATTCGATGAGCCTTCCCTACGCTTCATCCATGCTATCCTCCGGAAATTGGAGGTCTTCAGATTCTGCCCTCGAGGGCGATTTCGGCATCAATGAGAATGGTAACGAACTTGTCTGCCACGTCTGCAAAGCCCAGGTGAAGAACAAGTCCGAGTTGAAGTACGTCTTCCCGCTTGCCCCATCATGTGGCTTGGCTAATGGGACCCAATGAAGGAAACACAGGGCTAAGCACGAGAAACCCCATCGATGTAAAGTCCCCGGCTGTCAGCGCATTGAGGGCTTCAGCACCACGAACGATGTCGAACGGCACATGAGAAGCCGCCACCCTGGCTCCAGCTCCAACGGTAAATACTACAAGTGTGGTGTTCCGGACTGTCGCACGAAAGGAAAGGTCTGGCCTCGCGCGGACAATTTCAGGCAACATCTGAAGAGGATCCATAAAATCTCAGCTGAGGAGCATCACATGGAAAAATATGTCTTCAAGTGAGCCACTACGACCACACCCCCCCCCCCCCCCTTCGTCTCCATTGCGTTTGCATGACTGACATGGCCGGCTAGACCACCGCCGCCGGCACCATCCATCGTCCCTGATTATGCTCTTGCCGGCCTAGGATCACTTGTCGGGGACACTTTCAAGTCCCTCGGGCCCAGCCGTAACAGCGGAATTCTGGGACCCAGTGACGACTGGGCTTTGTTCCTGCAATCAGTCTCGACGGAGGGACAGAGGGACCCCTCTACCGCTAGTCACCACATTCACCAGCATATATTCCAAGGTGCCGTGGTACCGGAGCAGCAGCTTATGATTACAGCCACCACCGCCCGAACCCGAGACCCAAGTACGGTGATGCAGATACAGCCGGTAGACTTCGACGTGAATACGGTCTTGTCTCATCTAGGGGCACGCTCTTTGGACCTTGAAGAAGGGCCGAGCCTCGCCAACGCTGTCGCGGGTCGCGACACAGATTTCCGTCCAATTTCATTTGTCAGGTCATCAGGACTGGACCACAAGTCTGTGGGGGAAGGGGAGCAGTCCCACACACAAGACATAGCAGTCCTGACACCCTCAGATGCATCATGCGAATTGCCAATAGGCCTCACACCACGTCATCGGAGCATAATTGGGTCAACCACCGATACGAAGCCCAGTGATGTACAAGACGATTTTATTGACGCGAGGAATCATGAGTTGTCTCCATTACCAACGCCTCACATTCCGAGCCCGCCAGGTGGCACCGAAACCGCACGGGTCTCTCGGGATGTGGCCGCAAGCCAGCCTGGGCAGTCTAGGGCCACTGGGGCGTCTCTTGGCGACCAAAGCACCGATGTGAAGAACAAAGCCACCGATCTCCTCACGGCCCTCGAGGACAAGGGGACGCTCGCAGAATTTCTGGGGAGGTTGGACAAGACAACTCTTGCAGAGGCATTGGGAAAATTGGGCTATGAGAAGCAGAGCTCAGCCGAGGCCAAAGGAGAGGTCAAGGCGGAGACCAATACCAATACGAGTACCAGCGTGTGTGCCGATGTTGTGAAAAACCCCTTCGTCTGCTCCGAAGACGATTGCAACAAGTCCTTTAAAAGAGAGTGTGAGCTAAGGTTAGTAAGATATACTCTTCCTGTCCGCCGTACTACTGACACACGCTGCAGAAAGCATTTGAAGCGTCATGTCAAGCCGTACAGCTGCACGTTTCCCGACTGCCACAAGAACTTCGGGAGCAAGAACGACTGGAAGCGTCATGAGAATAGTCAGCACTACCAGCTCGAGCTGTGGCAATGCAACGTAGGGACCTCGGTCGACGCAGATGTGACGTGTGGGAGGACTTATAATCGCCGGGAGCAATTCAAGACTCATTTGGCCAAAGACCACGGCATCACCGATCCTTCTGACATCGAATCTAGATTACAGAGCTGCCTCGACGGTCGCAATTATGAGGTCAGTTTCTGGTGCGGGTTCTGCAGGCAGATGGTCAGAGTCAAGGAGAAAGGCCTGAAGGCCTGGGTTAGCCGGTTCAATCACATTGAACAACACTATGCCGATGAGCTGGACATCTCCCAGTGGAAGAGTGTGGAAACAGGGATGGAAGTAAAGGTCGTGCTAAAGGAAGTCGACCCAGCAGTCCCATCGCTAAAAAGACATGTTGATGAAGATACGAAGCAATCAAGGCCGCAGAAGAAAGCCCGCATCGCGGTGTGGTATTGCGTAAGTCTCATGTCGTGTCACTGCTACGTCGTCATCTAGCTAATGATTCAACTCAGTGCGGTTGCCGGGAGCAGTGCCTCACTAATTTCAGCTCTACATGTCTCACACCCAGTTGTGGCGGCCATGAACAATGTAATTCTTGCAGTATGGACTATATCTCAGTAGATCCGGAGGCCTGAAAATTCTCCTCGTTGATGTTGAAGGTTGGGGGGGGGGGGCCACGAAAGATAGCAAGCGTGTCTTGGACACCCAAAATCTTAGATCTTATGTGACCCAAATAACACTCTCACGACGACTTGCAAAATTTGGCAGCCACATGTGATCCTGCTGGGAAGAGGAGAAGGGGAAAAAGAGAAAAGATTTTCAATTGCATTGGGGCTGGACGGTAATTTGAGAATCAACCAAAGAAGGGCAGCAGACACATCTCTGCCGTCCTTGCAGCACACCCCGGACGGAAGGACCATCGCTTGGTAGCATGAAATCGGTGCGTGTCACCGATCGACATGTTGGGCTGCAGAATGGCGGCCACATCGGGCTCTGCCAGTCTCAGCCATAGGGCCAGAACTGGTCGCCTGGCGAGGCGCTCTCAATCAGTGTCATGGGCTAGCAAGCCACAAAATGCCCGCGCGACCGAGAGACCTTCACAGACTAGCAAAAACCCGAATGTGGTCAAACGGCCTGCAATCGTCGGTAGGATGCTTTGTCAGGCACTGCCATTCCCAGCATCTACTCCGGTACCCAGCTTGCCAACACCAAGAGCGCGAATGGTTCACATCACCAATACTTGCCGCTGGGCGAGTTTTCTTTTCCAAATACCCACCCATGAATAGGATAAGATCACCAGGACTTGGCTGAAAGGATAGCCGTAGAGACCTGTTCAGCTCCGAGAGGACGTATATCCAAACAGAGTTTAGCCAGCTGCTCGCCAGCGTGTCACTGAGCCAGTGATCACAACCCCCCCCCCCCCCCGGCCTCTCTCTGGGATGTGTTTTTGGGGGCCAAGTCTATCAGGATCGCAGAAGAAAATCTCTTCATCTTAGAGACAGCGCGATGTCACCTTGAGGCTCAACAGAAGGGTCGATGCCTCAGGCCGCGCCCCGGATGGGGAGGGAGAGGGGTGGGAAAGAGCGGAGAGGGTGCAGGGCAGTTGGCCGCAGGCTGTGCCACGCATGAAGCGCTGGCTCTCGCGGCTCTGAGTGGTCTGATCTGCACCACCCTCACCTTGGTCGGGCGTAGCCATGACCCCTGCTTAGACCTTCTGTTGAGAAGTGTATTATGTACTATGGTAGTAGGTAGTAGCAGTTGTTGCTGTTGGCCTCTGTTTACTCACACAACCCACACACTGACTCACCCAGCCACCATCCCACCCACCCACACCCACATCCACGCACACACACACACACACACATACTATGGTACACACACACACACATGGGCCGGCCCTGTTGAGAGGCCATCATCATGGCACAGCGCCGAATGAGGGATCGACAGCTCAGACAATCGGCAATGATCGATGTCCAACAGCTCGATACCTCCTCAGCGCCTGTGGGGATCCTCACTCGGTGAAGCTGGCAGTTGGGGCGGTTGTGGAATAAAAGTCGAGGTTGAGTGCCTGTTTGACTGCCTGGTCCATCGTTACCTAAGCTTTGTGTAGACTCACATCGGGTGCGTCAACGGGGGGCGGAGCGCTGCATCGTGTCTCACAAACGTAGGTGTGCTATTGCGAAAGATCTGTATTACTGGGCCCGATCCCTCAGATTTTGCCAGATCGTGACCAACGGCAGAGCGGGGAGAGAAGGGAGGGAGATTGTCGGGACTTGTCTTGCGTTTGACAAGAACCCCCCAATGGCGGGGAGAGGAGAGCTTCTGTACAATAGCCCTTGAGAGGGGGGGGGGGGGGAACTGGCCACACCGGTGTGTGAGACTGATCCAGGAACCCCCACCCGCAGAGCCTCAAGCTGTATCCTAGGGTGGGGTAAGAGCAGCCAATCTCTTGCTCCTGGTGGTGGAGTCCACTGGCGGTTCGCGGACGAGTATTCAGGTTCATGGTCAGCAAAAGTACTAAGAGATGGTCTCTTTCTCCGTGCAGGTTCCCAGTGCCCAAAAGCGGCGCAGCACCTCGGCGGGGTCTCGTCCATGGTATACTCCACTCCCTCCTCCTCTTCCTCCTCCACATCCTCACGGCTCATTCTCATCATGGTCGGCCAGAACTCTAGTGCCGTGGACGAGGCAGGGGCTCGCATATGCGAGACAAGCCAGGCGTGGCACGGGCGTAAGCAGAGAAAGCGGGCAATTACCTGGAATGCCCCAATTAACCCAGGGAATGACAGGCCTACGCCGGTCGGGGAGGACAAAGCCACAAGAAAGTATTGGCTGGAAATCCCAACATCCCCACCATGCGGCTCTGCAGTGAAAGAGAGAGAAGTGTGTATGTATGTGTGTGTGTGTGTGTAAGAGAGAAGGAGGGGGTCGGGGATTGTGTTTGTACGCGCGCGGTCGGGTCTCCCTCAGTTGTTCATGTCGCAATAGTCCGTCATGTATTGACTTATATTTCTTATACATATCTGGGGAAACCTCTGGCTTCGCCACTCCGTCCACCATGGCTTTGATTACACCAAGCCACCTCTGTGACTTTCCTCGACCACTTTGACCACCTCAGTCTGTATGTCCTTGGGAGGTTTTCCTTTTATTCGTGCTGTCTAGATATTTTGTTTCCTCAATGCGCCCACGGTACCAACAACCCCCTATCTTTCTCCACGGCTAGAGATTACCAACGGTCCTTTTCAGGCCGACCGACCCACCAAATACTACCACAAGGCTGTGAAGATCGTACCTAGAAGCATTGCTCCTATCATCCTGCTCAGCTTAGATCAGGCGTCGGTTCTTTACGTAGCCTTGGCTCGAAGCACGACCTCAGGACGGCTTCCAGTATTGATCACAAATTATATGAACAACACTGTACGGCGGAATCAATATGGACTATTCCCATTTTCCCTTCGAAAGTGCCTATTCAGGCTTTCCACAATACAATACAGGTGTTGCCAGCCTCGACACGACAGATGGTTATGTCCATGACCTGGAACTCATGGATCAAGATGGTCTGGCCCAGCCCATGCCCTCCTGGAACCATGCCTCCCCTTTTGAGAGATTCTTGACGGACACTCAGAGGCAGCCATTCTTCGTCCCAATGCCCCAGCAACAGATTCCTTCATTGGCACCGCCTGTCGCCTCGATCCCTCCCGTGGCATCACATCATCGTGACGGGTCTCTTTCCTCGTCCCAAGAGCCTTCTCACTGCGGTAGTGCTCTCAGTCCCCGCGCCGACACCGACTTGCAGACCGACCACATGCCCTCGACACCTCCTGATCTGAAAATGTTCTCTACGTTCCAGTCTGCGTCACTTGATGCGTTCAAATCGCCCTCCCAAATCTTTCTCTCTGGCATGGGAGGTTTCCCCGGAGAGAGCCACTCTTGTGTCTCCATGTCAGAGGTTCATCCGGCCGACGAGGCCCCAAATGACTGGAAAGATTCTCCTACTATGCTCAGCTTCGACTCGCCCCAACGGAGCTACACATTGGGCAGTCAGGCTTCCATGTCCGCCACGACGGACGTCGCGAGCAGGCATTCTCCTGTCGACCAAGCTTACATCCGTGCAATGACGCCTACAGAGCCGACTGTTGTCAAGCAAGAGATCCACATGCCTCACCAGCCACCCATTGTGGTAAATGTGACAGATGCCTACCCAACTCCAAGTGCCAGAGAAAGCGAGGGCTCAGACGCCGAGACAAACACAGACTCTTTCAGTTGCAGAAGCGAGGAGGAGGAAGAGGATGAAGACGACGACGACGACGAAGACGACGACGATGACAGTGACGAATATCAGCCCAGGAAGCAGCAAGCAGCATCATCATCCGCACGACGGAGTGGTGGCCGTCCCAAAAGAGACGCTGCCAGCCGGCTAGAGAGCGCGCCCAAGAGAAATAAGACGACAGCGACGGCTTCTCCCCCAACAAGACCTTTCCCACCTTCCACGAGCAGCGGCGGCGGCGGCGGCGGCGGCGGCGGCGGCGCATCATTCCCCTGCCACGAATGCGCTCTTTTCTTCAAAGACGAGCCCACCCTCCAGGTGCACATCAAGAAGCAGCACACGCGACCATTTACCTGCGTCTTCCATTTTGCCGGCTGCAACTCGACCTTTGCCAGCAAGAACGAGTGGAAGCGCCACGTCATGTCGCAACACCTCGTCCTGCACTACTGGCTCTGTGACATGGACAATTGCCGAAACAACAAGAACAGCCTGTCGGCCCCCAAGCGAAAGGGCAGAAGCAAGACCACACAAGCCCCCGTCGAGCACACGCTAAGCCTCGACCCCATCGGACCACCCCTCCCCAACGGTGCCATCTTCAACCGCAAGGACCTCTACACCCAGCACCTCCGGCGGATGCACACGCCCGAGGAGGTCCGCAGCGCCAACAAGTCTGGCAAGGCGTCCAAGAAGAACACCGCCAGCGGCACGCCCGCTGCCGACTGGGACCAAGAGGTCAAGCGCCTCCAGAGCAGAGCCCTGCGCGAGCGGTGCCAGCTGCCCACCTACATGAAGTGCCCCGCGCCGCGCTGCACCGAGGCGTTCAACGGGCCTGATGCCTGGGACCACCGCATGGAGCACGTCGCGCGGCACCTGGAGAAGGCCGCGCTCGGGCAGGAGCAGGCCGTCCTCTTTGGCGGGCCGGCGGACCCCTCGCTGATGGGCTGGGCCACCAAGAGCGACGTCGCCATCGTGCGGCCCGTGGGCCAGGGCGGCTGGCTGCTGAACAACCCGCTCCAGGCGGCGAGCGGCGGCAGGGGCGTGGGGAGGAAGAGGGACGTGACCACGCCGGCGTTTCCGAGCCTCAGCACCGCGTCGTCCGTGTTCGACAGCGGCAACTCCAGGGCTGTGTCCTTCTCGGTCGGCGAGCTGAGTGCCGCGGCGTCGGTCAAGAGCGAGATCTTTGTCGATGAGGGGGATGAGGATGCTGAAGGGGAGGATGAATGATGATAAAATCGCCCGCAACATTCTCTCTCCTTAGGTCTTTTGTTGTCTCTTTGCCCTACCCTTTCTCTATCCCCGCTTCTTTTTCTTTTTTCCTGCAATTTCTTTTCGCGATGATCAAGATGTCTGGATAGTTATACCCTATTTCCCATGTCCTCTTATTTAGTCTATAGTTGGTTACTTACTTCGGTACTGTGTATTACTCAAAAGGAAAAAAAAAGAAAAAAGAAGGGGATGGTGTAACGAGGGGAAAGAAGGGAAGAAAGAAGAAGAAGAAGAAAAAAGCAGGTTGATTAAGCACTTTTGTCTCTTCCAACAAAACACACGCTGTTTGCTAGCTTGCAGAACCCAACTTTTGCTTTTCTCGGGGTGCAGTCGTCTTTCTGGTTTCCGTTTTTTATGACACATCATGATCAACAGTGCACAAAAATCTGTCACTACATTGGCAAGCACATACAATTGCAGAGAATAGCAAGAGAACACTTTTTGTATTGCCCAAGATCTTGAGATTTACGTTAGTGAGGGAGAAACAAGATCATACAATCCACTTGTTGAACTTGATCAATCCTTAGAGTTCCATTCTATCTTTACTAACAGGGAGCCACACATATCATCTTGCTTTTGGTAAGTTGGTATTTGGATCGTGATCACATCTTAGTGTCTTCATTGCTGTTCTCCTTCTCAGACCACTAAAGCAGTCCACTTGATATCTAACTACTTCAATGCATATACAGCAACTGTTTAGGATATTTTAATTTAATTACAATGTCATTTGTTTAATAATCCAAAATTTCGAAATGAATTGATTCGCCTGGCCTAGGTTCATATGACCTTCCTTCTTGCAATGAGCTATAATCAATAATAGACATTCCTCTCTTAGATCAACAAAGGCTGTCACTGGCACAGTAAATGCAGCAATCAAACCTCTTATATGACTTATTTCAATATGGCTTCCACATTCTTATATGTGTCCTCAGAGAGCTATATAGACTTCTCGGGTCGTTGCTAATCGTCCTAGAATAGAAAGAAGAAAACTTGGGCTCTATTTTCAAGTCAAAGTCAGCTTAAACTATCATCTTGAGCCCAGTTTCTTTATCACCATCTCTATATGTACCTCCACTACATATAAGTAGCTAATTAATATCAATCAATAGACGTTTTCTTTCTTTTTTTTTCTTCTTCCTTTTCACGTTTTGTGCATGCAAGAACTAGCTATGGACTTGGATGGCATTGGGCCATGTACGGGGAATAGTGTACTAGGATGACAGATTATTTTCCATAATGAACAACATAACCTAGTTTCACGATGTTTCCACACAGCTATGCTAGCCATTTCGTTGATTTGGTGGCTTTTGTAATTGCATGTCTATAGTGCTCGATCAAAACTTGAGCAAAAGCAAGATAGTTCTCAGAGTCAAGTCTCTGGTTTGTAGCCTCTGTGTATTATTTTAGGGCAGATGTTTGTAATACAAAGTGTTGAGCTAACCTTGGATCATATTGTTTTAACCCACACATTTTGAAGGAATCCTGCATGCCCAGAGAGTGGATGTTTAAGTACCATGAAAAGCAGGTCGAAGCGAAGGAATCTGTGTGCCGGGGGCCAGTGACTCACGGCCCGTCAGCCAGCCAACAGCCAGGCCTGTTGATAGCCTCAGATAGGTCGGCCTCGTGGCTTTTCTCTTTTTTCTTCTTTCCTCAACGCTTTGCAATACGAGCTCTGCATCCTCGCATGATCTGCGAGCCTCATCTCTTCTTAATAAAACAGCAAGTGATTAGGGAGACCTTTGTCATCTTTCGAACCTCAAGTGCCAAAAATATCGCAGACATACGTTTGGCCCGCTGCACATACGAACTCGGTGATGACTGCGGCCACAGCACTCGCCAAGTACACGTGCATGCTTAAGATAGCCCAGTGAGCGGGCGTTTTATCGTAATACGGTCTAGACCCAACCTCCCCTCATAAGCGCCGATACCTCCCCCATCCGCCAACATCCAACCCTCCATATTGGGCCAACGTGACCTCTTAGCGCAACGTGATCTGGAGTTTATGCAATAGTTAGCTGTTCTAGTGAGGCCGACGGACTTCCGAAGCAGTCACCAATCACGAGCCATGTTGTGTGATGTTGCTTACTTCCCCACTACGTGGCCTTTGGAGCTACCCGAGATTTTGGGAGCAGTCAGCTACCTTTTGCCTGATTCCAGGCCTCTCTTGAACAAGGTGTTCGCTGGTCTAGTGCCGAACGTTTTTGGTCGACGTATTTGCTAGAGACAAGAGAATCGGTGCAGAGGTGAAGCTACTATCGAATCATTCGCCACGTCCACTCCCGGATTACAATCTCTGAATCCCGGGCCAGCCATGAATGAATCTGTGAGGTCGTTAATATGTCTCAGTTGATCACCACGGAGCTCCCGGGCCACACCAGTTCCCCGAATCAAATGGAGCCCTCCCAGATGAAGCTGGTGGTCGATGATAACATTAACAAGGTCGTCAATAGCAAGGCTGGAGACGACAAGAAGCCCTGTACGGTGGAACTGCGTGGCTTCAAGCAAGGTGTGGGACAGGATCCGGATGGGGCCGAACCAGAGGGGTTGCATGATGTTGAGAATGTTGATCCACGCGAGGCAAAACCAAGAAACGAAACTGCTTCGATGGCTGTTGATGCATCACCCGGAGGCGACAACAAGGTAGACCAGGATCTCAAACTTCCGCATGCACAAGAGAAGCCGGCGGGTGCAGGAGGTCAAGTAGGCGGTGGTGGACCACATTTGCCTTTGACTGAAACGAAGGATGGCGGCCATCAATCGTTCCCTGCTCCAGCCACATGCCAGAGTTCATATGTCTCATTTGGGCCCATGATTCAAGAACCTGACGGAGATCACATACCCGACGCGACAAGACATGAGGCTGGAACAAATACTGAGCCTGAGGGTGTTCAAACCCCATCCAAAGTGAGCAAAGAAAAGCAGGTTGAGCAGCTAGCGGCGGTACACAAATCCACGCAGGCATCGCCAGCACCACATACCTCGCAGCCTGTGAGCAGCCTGCCTTGGGCAAAAGACGCGTCCGCCCCGCTTCCAAAGCTTCCCATCAGATTCGTCGATTGCATCGGCAGATATTATATATTCCCGTGGCACAAGGTCAAAACGTGGAAGGTGAGAGCTTTTGTGTGCGCCAGGCCGCACCCTGTTCTACTTCATCATTTGACCTAACGCCTGGTGTAGGGAATGAAGAAGTTGATTCAGTCAGCTTTCGCCAGGATCGATAACCTGCGACCTCATATAATGGCAGGACATTACGACCTTATCATTCAGGACGTATGGGTGGATCCGATCGCCGCCACCATCAAATCAACCCTCGCCAGCCATCCGTCACAATTCAACCCTTTAGAGACGGCTCTGTCCAGCTTCACCGCTGCTGGGCCCTCACTGAATACCATCACGCCAACAAGTCCCCCATCCCATCTCCTGCCGAAGCCCTGCAAGGGATCTACAATCCTTCCCGAGCTTTGGGACGATGTTGTCGAGCCAGGCATGATGATCAAGATGCTAGCTTGGCCTGGAGTCGGCCGAGATAGTGCATCAGCTAATACTCAGCCGCCTCAGCCTTCGCAGGCAGCATCGAGTTTCAACTGGCCTCGAAGAGGCGATCGCACACCACCACTATCGATACTCCCAGCGCCGCCCAAAGGCAAGACAAGAAAGAGACAGGATCGATTATGAAAGCAAGAATTGTGTTCCTATTAGTTACGTGGCAGGGTTAAGGCTGATGATAATATCCTGTCTTGTTTATACATGTTTACAAACTTCGTTCATACGAGTCTGACAGATTCATTGCTTGGAATTTCCTTTCACTTGACCATTTCTTCGATTGCTATTCAAATTATCTTCCTTATGATACATGTCAGAGATACACCCAAGGATCGGCCACTTGCACCTTTACTTTACTTCAATCATCATTTTCATTCGGCTCCTATTCTGTCCTCGATATATGGAAAATACATATCGGTGCGGAGGAGCTATAGAATGGAGTCAAGACCTCCTGTCTTTGTGAAACGTCGTGAACTTCTTTGAGGGTGAAATTTAACGTTTCCACATTGAGCTGGTTACGAGAACAGCTTTCTTGAAAGGCCGTCAGGGTTGCCACGTTTCTTTGTTTAATCGCAATGATGATGACAGCACTGGGGAAGAGGTCGAGAAGGTCTCTGAGTGTCGCAATCAGGGGCGTATGGGCTCTTTGGTCATAGGTAATGTCTGAACCAATGATGACATCGATCTCTCGACCTCCATTCCACACAGCTTCTTCGGTGCCAACCAACGCATGGCCCCACTCTAGCAGCCTTGGAGTAACAGCGGACTCAGCTGAAACGTTGTAGCTCCAATGAATGTCGTTGAGGGTCAAGTTGTCAGTAAGGTTGTCAATGACCTTCTCTGAGCCATCTGAAGCCGTCACATGAGCAGCACCGAGATGTTTTGCGCAAACAATGGACAGGTATCCTGTACCTGCTCCGAGCTCGAGTACTCTATTCCCTTGGATGAGATGGCTGTTGACGCACAGGTACTGTCCAAGATGAAGAGCGGCTTCCCACGTACGGAGGCCAGTTGTACCGCTGGCAGCAATGAGCGATCGATTTTCGAGAATATCAATCATGACAGGCGTTTGCAGCAATGATAGTCGGTACGAAACAATGCATCTCTGCTGTGCTTCGTCTAGCTCGGATGTTCGTGGCATAGACATGAGCTCTCCAATGCGATTCATGAGCCTGTCTGCAACTTCCTGCGGTGCAATCATATGTATTCAGCAACGGCGAGCTTGAGAATGCTTTCGGGATCTTGAAAATTTACACACATATACATCTGTCTCTTCATCACTGATGCTTTCCTGAATTCTTCTGACGAGCTCCTTCAAGGTACATAATTGGAACCTGGCTATTTTGGGTGATGGAGCCGATTGATCGACAAAAAGACGGTCGAAGATCTCTTCTTGTATTTGAGCAACCTTCAACAAGCTGCCGTCGGGATAGTCTAAGGACGGTTCCATCTGCAGATATTGATAGCAGAATCTGTCAACCGTGCATTGCGCGTTCGATGTGTGCTTCGCCATATTACTCGTCGCGGGGTGCTCAAGTGGTCTGATGCGGAGTTGCGGCGCCTGTATTGTGGCGCAACATGGATAGTGCAAATGAACACGCTCGCTGAAGCCTAGAAATGGCAGAAGAACGCCTAGTTTTATTTCACATGTATGTATGGTCAAAGTAGACAGAAAGAGAAAAGATTGAAGTACAGAGAGAAAAGACTCTGGAAAGTCGCTTGTGCGAAATGATCACGCGAGCAGGAAAGTATTAATAACATGATCCCCAATTTTCGGGCCACCTCCACATCCCGCTGTTTGAGACGCTGACAGAAGACAGTGTCGACCCAGCATACACACTCAATCATACTTGACGTCTGCATGCTATTTCAGCCTGAGCCAGTACCACAGACCAGCGCCTACGGGGATCGAAACTGCCCCGATTACCAAGCCTGCCGCTTTTGCGAAAGAAGGACCCAGTAGCCTCATAGTGAGCTGCTGAAACTCCTTCGGAGCATTGCCTCGAGGATACTTGGTAGCAGGTATGGGTTTCCCTAACCACGGGCATATCTGCTCCCAGCCGAACTCATCTTCCAACGAGAAGCATGCCAGGTTCTCCCTGGGGACAAGCTTTTTGACTTGATCGGTACTATATGATAAAGTCATCACTCAGCTGCTACTTTCCGCGACAGATGATTGATTTAGGAGAAGATGAGAAAGGAAATAAGAAACGGGGAAACCCACAGTTGGAGATAATCCTCTTTCAAGACTATGGCCATGTTGGGATCTTCGTTGTGCATACCATGATCCAAGCAGCGAAGTATCGTCACGTGCAGGGAGATGAAGAGTTTGATGAATGGATCATACAGCGCCATGAATTTCATTGCAGTGGAATTCAAGAGCGGTCTCACAGTGTGCCAGATATTCAGCACAGAAACCAACCACTTGTCGACATCTCTGTCGACATGAATATACTTGGCGTCTGGATATGCTGCAATGATGTCTTCGGCGAAGAAAGCGGGAATCTCGATCAATGTCTGGATTTGCAACAAAAATAAATATTAGGGTCAGCCACAAAGGCTCGCAGCGATAGAACGAAAGAGAAATGAATAATCATGTGCTTTTTAGATACGTACGTCGTAATCAGCAAACCACTTGTCGAACTCTGCTCTTCCGTAAGGTTTCCCAGCTCCGAAGTATTTACACCTCAACGCCTCTTCGAAGATGGCCATATGTGTATTTGTCTGCACAACCTCGTACATATGGTAAGGCTTGTAACCCAGGATTTGCAGAGCCTGGTACAGGGAAAAGGTTCCAGATCTAGACAAAATGAAAATCAGTACTTTTCTAGACTTAGACGTATATCAACTCAAAAATTTCCTGGCCACTGACCGACTCCTGCTGGTCACTATAACCAATTTCTCACGGACATGAGCCGGAGTTGGCAGACTATCTATGAGGCGCGACATGTCTTGTGAATTGCTCCGCACACGCCCTGCAAGTTGTAGCTGTAGATGCCGATGTATCTCGAAATGGTTGTATAGGGGATGTAATTAATTGCAAACTTGATGCACCAGAATCTCTAAGTGAAGGAAGCGTACGAATAGAGGGAGGAAGAGGGACACCCGTTCAACGCAAAGTTCTGCAAATATATACACATATGCGTCTCCAGTCACTTTGCAATATTCCATCTCAACATCAGGCAAGTGCCAAGACTAAGACTGGCGGGGCTCAAAGTTAAGTACGCCTCGTTCCACACCCACAACAGTTCCAGCAGACATGTATCATCGTAGCAGTTGGCGCACTATATCGATGCCCAGGTGCTTGTGGCCAGGGCCGTTGACCCAGCGCCTCAGCACTAACAACCGCTAGCGAGGTCTCCTGGATAAGAATGCCGACAGCCGACGAAATGCCAGCTTGATACGCTCTCAGTCGTCTTCATGACAACAAATTTCCGGGAACGTTGATGGATGTCTCAGCTCTATCCATAGTAAGCGCTACATCTCGATAATACGTAGCCAAGGATGAAGCATCCTAGCGAAGTGATTGGCAGCGCACCTGGCAGGGCGCGGCGGGTGTCCACATTTAATTCTCACATCATACTTGGAAATTGATCTGTCGAGCGAGGGATTCCCACTGTGGAACCATAACTTGCTGCCTATATGATAATTTGCTTATTACATAACAAGTAATCTGATTGATTCCCAAGACTCCAATCCGTCGTCTAAAATTGTACCTGAGGACTAAAGACAGCAAGGTGTGAAGCTGCTTCCTTCAATGCTCAGTTTTAGAAGCCTTAAGTCTACATAAACGTGATAACAGGCGGGTGACACTTACAGCCTTCAGACATCCATTCCTCAATTTAGGTAGCAGATTCGTTCCCGGGTATCAAAACTATATAACATCACACGTCCACTCGTCTTCATAAAGTCAGACAGACGCGTGCCATTGATCGTGACTACAGTGCTTTCCTGTTATCAAGTCATGTATCTCCGCTCACTCAGCACTAGATTACCCAGATGATCGAAGCTGTTGTTTCTGTGAGGAATATTTGGAACACCATGGGCGAGCATCCGGCTACCATGTTGTCGTGAATCCATCGTATAACACTCTTCTAAAAGCTTACAGAACGTCAAGTAATAATTGACATGATGCCTGCAGTAGGCCTGCAGTAGGCCTGCATTTTTATCAAGGAGCAAGTCAGATATCGCTGACTCGGATCTCAATGACATGCAACCAAAGGGTTGAGTTTGATAGAAAACTATATCCTTCATCCAAGTGCTGACGGTTTAGTCGGAAGTCGGTCTCTATTCCAAAAGTGGGCTGGCTTCCAGCACATAGCGACGAGCCGTATTGCCTACAAGATAAGGATCGCCCACGCAAGAACTGTTCCTTGAAATGAAATAAATCAGTGGATCTGCGAAATCTCAAAGTACCTAGTCTACATATCTTATTTTGGGTCGACGTATGAATGGTGTTCCTGAAATACATAGACAAGTATTGTGCTTCAGGAAAGAATCGGTCACTACATGACCAGAAAATTATCTATATAAAGTACTAACGGAAGCCTACGCAACAATGGCTACTAAACTTGAAAGGTTGTTCTCAAGTAATTAATATTTAGTACTAACAGGGACGTCTAACGCCTCAAGTTAAGAAAAGGCACCCGGCTACAATTCTTCATCAGCCTTGCCCTCAGGCTATGACCGTTTACGTCATGAACCGCGATAATTAGCGTATAAACGAGGCTCTCGAACTTAACCAACCTCGGGAACATGTGGCCAACGAGAAGAACCTGAACACGGATGACTCGATAATGATGACCCACATAGTGAGTCCACCAGAGCAGTGGGTCATCGAATTCGAAAGCCGAGGTCAACTCATGAACTTGTGATCTTATCTTGTTGTTGTCTTTTTCTCTCTTGTCGACTTGGTGGACTGCTCGTTCTTGTATCGACCATAGAGTTGGCTTAGAACAACTGTTATTTTCCATTGGATCTTCATTTCCATTTCTCAACTGTAGTCTTTCCTTTGATACTCCCAATCGTCTCCATCGAAATCGCCCATCTGGGTGTATAGACAAAGAATAATTCGCCACCCACCCGCCATCCTCCGATAAACCATGGCTGCAGCCACGCAAGCGTCGTCTCAGCTAGGAGACTTTGAGGCCGTCAGAAAGTCTATAATAGACCTCCTTGATCAGCCCGAGTACGATGATGGCAGTGCCGGACCGGTCCTCGTGAGACTCGCTTGGTATGCGCCCTTCTCCTTCATCTTCTCGTCCTCTTCCTCCTCTTACTACTCAGAGGAAGGAGACCTATCAATATTCTTCATCAGGTATTAACCTTACTGGACAGGCACTCTGCCGGTACTTATGATGCCGAAACCGACACGGGTGGAAGCAATGGCGCTGGTATGAGATATGAATCTGAGGGTGGCGACCCTGCCAACGCGGGTCTGCAGCACGCCCGTCTGTTTCTCGAGCCCGTCAAGCGCCAGCATCCGTGGATCACCTATGCCGATCTCTGGACTTTGGCTGGCGTCACAGCCATCCAGGCCATGGGCGGCCCCGAAATCCCCTGGCTTCCTGGGAGAACAGACTATGTCGACGACAGCAAGCTCCCGCCACGGGGAAGGCTCCCAGACGCAGCACTCGGGTCAGATCACATTCGATCCGTCTTCTACCGCATGGGCCTCAATGATAGGGAGATTGTGGCACTCTGCGGTGCCCATAACCTCGGTCGCTGTCACACTGCTAGTGAGTTTCTTTCTTAGCATCGCTCCCCCCCCCCCCCCCAAGAACAAAATTCGTGACTGTGTCCATCCCTCTAACAGCCACAAAGACTCGGGCTTCGAAGGAAAGTGGGTCAACAATCCGACGAGGTTCTCGAACCAGTACTACCGCCTGCTTATGTCGGAAGAATGGAAAGAGAAACGGCTGCCTGGTTCAAACATCCTTCAATTCGCAGCCTTTGATCCCGTCACGGAAGAAGAACTCATGATGCTGCCGACCGATATGGCATTGATCCGCGACCCAGAATTCTCGAAGTGGGTGAAGCTGTACGCCGAGGACAAGGCCGTGTTCTTCAAAGACTTTTCAGACGCATTTTTCAAACTGATGGAGTTGGGCATCAGCCGTGACGATGCAGGCAAGGTGATCAATTCAGATAACGAAAAGGGTGGCTATGTCAGCGCTCCGAAGAAGGCAGAAAAGCTGGGCCGGCCTGGGGAGGTCCAGGGAGAAGGCCAGGTTGGAAACGAGGCGGCGCCGCTGGCAAAACAGAATGAGAAGTACAGGGAGCGTGCGAAGCTGTGAATGCTGGACTATCGTCCTAGCATTTCCTCGTTCACATTGAGGCAGGCTGCGGTATGATAGAGATTACTAGACTGTTCTAGAGCATAGAGCCACAGTGGTTGTCAACTTAGAATTAGAACTGTTCCATTTTAAGTCATATACCTCAGTATCTTTCCATCGGTGGAGGTTGGACAGGTCGTTGTGCGTGGGTGCAGAGCACCTCCACCATTAGGCATTGTCTCCCACAAACATCTAAGCATTCTGTAGCCTGCTCAAACTGCTATATTTCTGGTGAATGTTCCACTTATGAAAATAACTAACTCATGCCAAAGGCGACGTCAGGATAATTGCTGAAATTGAGATGCGTCTGTATGCTTTCCAAATCCAATGATGACACCAAAGAGTGTAAGGGGTAGCCTCAAGATCCCAGCCATCGTGGATACTCAGTATATGATTTATTTCAATTAACTATGTACAAGAATCCTCACATATTGTTCTAATGTTTGCTAGGTGACGTGATGTAATTATATATCCCACAAGAAGCTAAACGAATATTCGTGCCTACTCAAGCACCAAGACAGCCATCATCAGTGCGATGGGCACGAAGAAGCCAGCGATGGCGTTTGGTGTTGACAAGCTGCCGCTGCTGCTGGAACTAGAACCAGAGCTGCCCGAGGATGAGTTACCAGATGACGTGCTTCCATCGCTGGTGGAAGCAACCACAACACCATCCATGGTCACATTGGAGTCCGAGTATGAGTCTCCTCCATATTGCGACGTCGTCACATCTTCCGAGAGACCAGGACCCTGGCCTGCACCATTCTCCATGTACTCATCGATTCCCGATGGAGGCGCAGGGATGAGGAGATCAGAGACGTCCCACTCATCTGACTGGGCCGGGCACGTAGAGGCATTTGTGCTGGTGCTGTAGCCTCCATCCCCGTCCGGGTTGGGCGTTTTGGCCAATGCGCTGGCCAGCTCGTCAAAGTCCTCATTCGGCGTGACCTCGCCATCTGAAATCTCGACGATGCCGTACCCATTCGCCTCGGTGGAGTATTCGTAGGCAATACCACCAGAGAACACCGACGTCATCTCGGTCGAATACAGAGCAGCGACCTCCCCCCAGGCTCTCTCATCCTCGATGCAGCCGTACTCAGAGAGGAACAACGGAATGCTGTAGCCAGTGTATCGCTGGACTTTGGCCTGCCACCCTGAAGTCACAAAGTCTGACGGGTCACACCACGAATAATCATTGAAGGCGAAGAAGTCGACGGCTGAGCTGTCATCCCCGCAGTCGAAATACTGGAGCTGCTGTTCAATATTCTCCGAAACGTCTGCGGAGGAGTATCCGACGGGGATAGTGCGGTAACCCTGCGCATTGATATAGTTCTTGATATCGCGGGTGACCGCACGGATGTATGGCGCCACACCGGTAGTGTCCTTGTCATTGATGACCTCGTTTCCACTGAAGAAGAGCAGGGTGTTGGTGTAGTTGGCGAAGCTGTCGACAGTCGCGAATACGGACTGAAGGTATCGCTCGTTGTATGAGAGGAAAGCGTCGGCTCTGTTGAGAGAGAACTTGGGCGAGTTGACATCCAGGGCGAGGTAGATGCCTGCGCTGGCGAGGAGTTCCATGCCTTCGTCGTGATTCTGCGAGTTGTCTACCGTATAGACACGAATAGTGTTGATACCCAAAGTCTTGAAGTTCTCGACGTCCCGCGTAAGACTCTCGATATCCAGCAATGGATCTGCAGCGTCTGCAGCACCACCCGGTTGGTAGGCTACTCCACGAATATAAAAGCGCTCGCCGTCGGCCCAGAATGCTAATGGACATCTTTATCAGCTATCATCCGACCCCCTTATTCTTGGAAAAAGGTTTGATCTCACCATTGCCTTCAATTGTCACCTCTGGCACACTGCTGGATTGCCGACGCAGAGCACCACCAGTGTGCCCTGCCATGGCCACTCCCAACAGAGGCACCACAGCCTGAATTGGCTTCATTATGAAAGTAAATTGATAAAGAATGTGTGAAGTCACCAGTTATCGAGTTTGTCGTCAGGAATGAAAGATAATTAGAGAAAGTGTCGAAAGTTGCGCGCGTATCAGGTGAAAAAGCACACCCTTACAGTATCAGAATTCGGGCGCTGTTGGAATTACTTGAGTTTGGTCCAATATATATGCGGAGAGGATGGTTCCTTAATCGATCGATAGGAAAAGGAGGTAACCTAAATATGCATGATGATCATCGATAATCGTGAGCCCACAACCCAGCATGCAACGGACTGCGTATCCAGACCCGCTAAAGGCGTTTGAATTCTTGGCCAAGAAAACTGTTGGTCACGGATTGTCGTTGTTCTCTGGGCTTCAGTACAATTGCAATTTGCCAAGTGTAGGTGCCGAGCCGCGTTCAAGAGGCCAAGCCCTTGGGAGTAATTAGGAGGCCCTCTTGGCAACCCTCTGTTGCGCAAGACTTGGCATCTCGTATTCTGTCCTGGTTCTTTGTCAATCTGCGATTCAGTCGCTCCAAATGCAGGCTTTATCAGGGGACGAAGAGTGCAAGAGATACTAAGTACTTAATCATAGAGAATGGAGAAAAGAAAAAACATCCTGACTTCACCTGCCACCTTGGCAGGAAAAGTGGAGGAATCCCCTATCGTCAACGCTATGAACTTTGAGACACCAGGGCAGTCAGGACAATATTCAATGACATACTCACCGCCTTATCAAATGACCACAAATTTCCAGGTGGACGATATTGAGGTCAATCAATGTAATACTGCAGGGCACTCGAACATGCTATCGTCTAGGGAATAATTATGGAAACAAAGGCGGCTGGTGGCGTGGAGAGCCACCTCCTATGTTTTCTTCGCATCGACGACCACTGATCCGACAGATGGACCTGTTGAATAGGCCAGCTATGAACATGGTGGCCTTCAAGCAAATATGTATCAGGGGACGTAATATTCCCTTGTGCTTGGGCGGGTGTTCGAGGTATGCCTCGCAGCATGATCTGCCCTCGACCGAACCACGCCGCTCCGCAATTGACCAGTGAGAGTTTCTTTCCGTTTCTCATGGCCTCCTGGCTCTCCATGGGAATCCTCTTCCTGTAAAGTCCACCTCTCCTCTCTTAAAATTCTTTTTGTGTCTACAGCGACGCTGCCTTGAGAGATCCTTATTGGTCATCGGCGATACTTCGAGCGACAAGCCTCTCGCCGTCTGGGACTCGATAGACGAACATATGGGGGATGAATTCCAGGTAGGAGAGTTGTGTAATTATTTCTGACAGGTTTCATTTAAGTCATTGCCTTTCCTATCTTTAATAGTACAGGTTCCTACTCTCGGCATGCCTCTTTGCCGAGCCAGGTGCGGTATAGTCTATCTCGCCGAAGCTGGTGAGGTCCTTTTCGAATGTGGCCTGGATCTTGGTGACTTGCTGAATCTGCTTGAAGTCGAGTTGGACCTGGTCGAAGGCAGCCAGGCTCTCCGCTGCCTTGACCACGTTCTTGATCTGACGACCATTAAGGTCGTACTCAGCCAACGTCTGGAACTCGTCCTCCGAAATGCTTACGCCGCCAGGGACCTTGTTGCAAAAGTTGTGCCAGATCTGCAATTTTGACTTGACGTCAAGATCAGTATACCGGATTGGAATGTGGATGCGACTCTTAAAAGCGTCATCGAGCGTTGCCACACGGTTTGTGGTAAGAAACAGGATACCGGCGTAGTACTCCAGTACACGCAGGAACACAGAAACCATGGCATTGCGGTGAAGATCGTGAAGGGCTCTCTGCTCCAGGAAGACGTCTGCCTCATCAATGAGGAGGACGGCACGCCAAGTCGAGGTCATGTCCATGATCTCGGTCAGTTGTTTGTCGAGCTCCTCACTCGTAACGCCAAGGTCGCCTGAGGAAACCATGAACAGAGGCCGCTTGACGTACTCCGCAACGCACTCTGCGGTCAAGGTTTTCCCGACGCCTGGCGGGCCGTGCAAGACGCAGACGAGTCCCTGGCCTTTGCCTTTCACAATGTCATCAAAGCCATCCTCTGCCGCTGGGTTGAGTCCCCTCTGGGAGTGCGTATACACAAGTGCTTGCACAGTCTTCTTGGTCGTCGCATCGAGAACAAGCTGGTCGAAGCACTGGGGATTCCACGTGATCTCGGAGACATTATCGATGGAGAACTCCAGGAAGCGTTTAGCCGTCATGGAATAACCCCTCACCATGGCACTGGCGAGAAGGAGATCTTCCTCAGTCAGCTCATCGACCGGATGATCCTTTCCGAAGCTGTACACCCAGATTGTATCATTTGCGTCGAGTCTGTGGTAAGTCTTGCAATCGATCATGATACGGCCGCCAGCGTCAAATCTCAGATATTTGCCCGGGGATTGAGGATGCCTCTTAAGCGCGATGCCCTTATACTGCATGAAATTCTGGCCGCTGGCGAGCTTCTGGAATCTCTTGCCCCTGGCCAAGAGCGTCTCGCGAATCTCATCGACGTTATCAGTAAACTGAAGGGGTCGCGCCGCGTCCGAGCTGATCTCCCTCACACCGGTGTACTTGGGGATATGCAGATCGAGTCTCCGGTATCCAAACGTGTCGCCATCATAGTCAACGAATCGGGTGTTTAGATTCAGGCCTGGTTGCTCATCATCATCTGAGTCGTACCAGTAATCCTGAATACGGAAGGCTCGGTCCTGGTTCTGGACCTTTGCATGCACGATGGTGCCGGGCGCAAACAGCGTCCACAGCTTGTCGTACGCGATGGCCTTGCTGTCGCTTGACAGGCACCTCTCCTGCGCAGCGATCTCTAGCTCGAAGTTGGTGTTGATCCAGTCGAGCAGCAGCCGGAGCTGGTCCGCCGACTCCGTGTCGCCCTCTGCTTCAAAGCGCTTGAGGCCGACTTCCTTGAGTTCTTTGCGATAGTGGAATAGTGAATGGTATGGAGAGGCAATCTGAACGTCGTCGACATCTATAGGGTCGGATGGATAGTTTCCAATGACTTCCTTGAGCAGCTGGCGCAGCGGCTGCGGGTTGACATAGAGGCAGGTTTCGTCCAGGTCGCCCTCAGAGTCATATCTCCTCACGACGCAGAAAGAGAACAACTGCCACCAGTCCTTTTTCTCGCCCTTGTCGATATCCTCCTTCTTGCGCTCCAGGAAGTAAGGCTTGTCCTCGCTGTCGAATTTTCTGTCGAGATGCTTGAACTCGCATTTCATGGTTTGGTCAGTGTCGTCATCTGGCTTTTCATCTTCTTTCTTGCCCTTGCCGTCTTTTCCATCCTTGTCGCCTTTGTCATCCTTCTTTCCAGAAGTGGATGCTGAGGCTGATGGGGAGGCAGGATCAACTGTACTGTCAACTGCATCGTCGTCAGGCAAGCAAACAGCAGTGCGCAGTTTCGAAGTGGCCCGTCTGAACAGGGACTGTTTGGCAGGCGATGTCTTGGCAGGCGTGTTGCCAACTGGGGTCTTTTTGTCGTCCATTGTGTCACTTGAGGAGGAGGTTTGTTCAGTGCCCGTGGTGCTTGAAGGCATGGCGGCTGAAATGTGCAGTGGATAGTTGGTTATTTTGTGTGCCAATGCTGTATGAGAGACAATGGGGTCTAGAGCAGGCACCCAGACAGACAAGGGGGGTGGATGTGGGTGAGGTGTGATTGTCTGAGATCCGGCCGGGGGGGGGGGGGATATCGTCACAAGAAGGCTGTGGAAACAAAGGTAAACTGGTCGAGGCTTGCAGGGGTCTCAGAGATGAAGCACTTGAGATTGTTGCGCAGATCTGGGCTGCTGCAAGAAGCAAGAATGAATGTAAGATTTGTACACTCGTCAATCTTTGAAAGTCGAAATGACAAAGATAGTATCGCAGACTCGAAGTAGAAGTCGTGAATGGTTCATTCGAAATGGGCAGATGAATGTGTCGTAGGGAACCTATACTTATAGGCAGCCTTACCACTGACCAGGTTTGCTACCTCTTGGCGGCGAGTGAGTCAACCGGGTGACCACCACGGTAATTGCAGATCTGATCAGCGTATGTAGGATATTCCAGTCTAAGCTGTGTTGCATTCGAGGTCTCCCATTCACCGCTTCAGGCAGCCGGAGCTTGCATGAGGCCAACTGTGCCCATATCTAGGCACTGCAAGAGGGGCGTTGGTTCAGGCAGCACTGCGGAGATGGCACTGGTGTCATAGCAGGCCCCATGCTGGTGTAGGAACGCCATGGCATCTAGGGACGACCCGCAGCTGTGCAAGCCAGTAAGCAAAAATTGATCAAGAGGGTTTAGTACAGCATTAGCCCAGTTGCATGCATGCACTTAGCCAACCAACGCAGCACACACACAGCCCAGCCCAGCGGCGCAGCCTCCCTCTTCTTCCAGCGTTCGTCTCAAAAGCAGGCTGCCACTGCCACAACTCTCATTGTGCTGGTCGACTTGGTCGGGCTGCCTCGATACCGACATTCTGTGGCAATTGGCATAGACGGAAGACACAAGCCTCGGCAACATACAGCTGTTGAGATGTCGATATCAGTAGTGAGCACAGGTGCAAGTTGCGCTGGCTCATCGCAACCTATGCTGGGGGCTCCTACCGCCAACCAGGCTCGGCCAGATATTTGCCTGCGTGTCGATCATGCCACTAAATAATGTCAGCTTATATGACCCACCTTCATATCAGTGATGCGGGCATATACGTGTAAACTCGTCAGAAGATGAAATGGCGGCGGAAAGGCGTGGTTCAACATCACGTAGGTAGGTAGAGTGGGGGACAGGGAAGCAAAGAGGGGCTCAACTCAGGGTTGGGGTTGCTCCGCCCGGAGCCGGATTATCTAGAGCGGGGACGTCCCGGAACAGCTTAGGCTAGTTGCTGTTGAGCGAGAATACGCACGGGCCACCCACAGATTGCAGCTCCCGCCCCAAAAAAATCTCTGGTGATTGTGTGGGCTGGCACGGGTTCATTCTGAGCCTGGCTAAATCGCGAAAATCGAACCCCAGTCAGTCAAACTTCGACTTCGACTTCGTCCTTCCTTTTTTCCTTACTCCTTCGCCCAGCACCCACCAACCCAACCCATCTGCGAACTTCGAAATCTCAGCCATTTCGACAATTCGACAAATCCTTCAAGATGGCGGACGCCGATACTCCCGTTACTCTGCGGACTCGCAAGTTCATCCGCAACCCTCTCCTGGGTCGCAAGCAGATGGTCGTGTGAGTATTCATCTTCCAGTCCATCCATCCGCCCACCTTCTCGACTCTGTTCTGCCCCTCAAATCAGCATCTATACCCCACAACTGCAAGTTCATCGATATCACCAAGCATTGGAAGAGGAGGAGACCACGAAAAAGGATTGCGGAGACGCACTTGTTCAATCAGAACAAACCGAATCGACACCGCGAACTTGGACCGGGAGGACTGGTGATAGGGCCTGCACAAACGGGGATGAGGGTGCAAACGGGGTCGAGAAGATGCAGTACATGGCAGTACAGCGAATTCGAGAGGTGGAGGGGCCGAGACGGCACGACATTGTCAAGCAAAGGCTCGGCCACAACTTCTGTCGAGACGCGAGAGAGACACCAAACACCTCCCCACACACACACACACACACACACACACACACAGCACAAGAATTGCCGAGTTTGTCGTGACTAGTGTTCTGACCTCTTTTCTCCATCACAGTGACATCCTGCACCCCAACCGTCCCAACATCGCCAAGGACGAGCTCCGCGACAAGCTGGCTGGCCTGTACAAGGCCGGCAAGGACCAGGTCTCCGTCTTCGGTCTGCGCACTCAGTTCGGTGGCGGCAAGACCACTGGCTTTGCCCTCGTCTACGACTCGCCTGAGGCCATGAAGAAGTTCGAGCCTCACTACCGCCTGGTCCGTGTTGGCCTGGCTAAGAAGATCGAGAAGGCTAGCAGGCAGCAGCGTACGTATCTTTGTCCCACGATGACCGTGATCATCCCCGCACCTCACTGTCTCGTCACAGTCTTAGCCGGTCATGTTTAGCTAACTTGTGTCCTTTTCCCCCCTAATACAGGCAAGCAGCGCAAGAACCGACAGAAGACCCTCCGCGGCACTGCCAAGGTCAAGGGTGCCAAGGCCAAGAAGGAGAAATAAGCGACTCGCCCCCCTCTTCCCCTCTCACGACCTCGTCTTACCGACACTGCCAATTCCCCGTTCCCTACTGCTTCTTATCCATCCCGAAGCATGTCGGTTCTCGAGTTGGTACTTGGTCGGGCTTTGCGAGGGCTGTACTGGCTTTGGTTGGCAGGTGTATGCACAGGCAGGAAGGCAGGCGGGCCGGCAGAGTGAGGATATACACCCGAGACGCATCATCGCCCGTGATGCTGCGTTTTCGAAAATTCGACATGACATGATGCACTACCACATGAGGTCTTGTTCGGCAACACCCACACAAAAGAGATTCTGTTTTTTGAGGTCATGGCGTCGTGAACACGGATGGGACTGCGGTGGTTATATGATCAATCATAGCATCAAAACAAATAAAGCACTCGCATGCGCCGCCATTCTTTCGACATCCTGCTTCCAATTCCGATCCAATCTCTCGAAAGTGGTTCAGGTCTTATTCGTCTATATTTGATTCTGGCCAGGACTCTAATCAGAGCAAGGCTTATCTTCTCTCGCTGACCAACCTCCCGTACCAACTTATATTGAAGAAAATAAGACAAGAACAGTGCCTCGAGTGAGGCAGGTATATTGACAGCTCCAGGCTGAACCCCAATGAACGCCACCAGCTTGATCCGCGTCCCACTTCTAAACACAAAAGCCAACTCCGACTGATCTTCCAATCGGGTTATCTCAGGCAACAGCAGCCCTACAATATATATCACCTCCGCAACACCAAGTTCACGACCACAACCGCACCCGCCGCAGCCGCAACCGCCGCGCTCCCTAGCCCTCCTCCCCCGATCGCTTGCCCCCCACGCCTGTCGGCCCCGCTAACGTGCACGACCTCCTCGTGCCAGCCACAGTGAGTTGCCGTGGCGGCGGCATACTTCTCACACGAGTAAAAGGTCACCTGGCTGTAGCCCTCCCGCGCGAGGTCCGAGTCGACATCTGGGTTGTCCGTCGGTGCCGCTGTCGTGGCAGCAACCTCGTCTTGCGTCGGTGTGGTCGTCTGCACTGCCGTGTCGTCGTCTCCTGCGTCGGCGGCGGCGGCGGCGGCGGTGGTGGCTGATGCGGCCACGGCCGAGGTGCTCGCTGGCGATGTGGCGAAACCGTCGCGTTGCTGGGGCCTGACGGGCGCCATCTGCACGTCTCGCAACTCAACTTGCTGCTGATCCCTCCTCGACCCGTCCGCCTCCAGAGATGCGGATGTTTGTAGTGCCGTCGGGGCTGCCGTGGTAGTGGTGGTTGTGGTAGTCAACGCTGTGGCTTGGCCGGCTGGTCTGGTGAAGGTGAACAGCTTCACATCTGGATTGGCCGGTCTCGTAAAAGGACTGGCGTAGGCGACGGGCGCCAGTCCGAGGAGCAGTTGCATAAAGATGATGGCCAGCATCGTATTCTCTTGTTTGAACGGTTACGGGGAAAAAAGAAGGTCGGCCCCTTTCGCCTTGTCTCCAGCGTAGATATGGAAACAATCAGCAAGATCTTGTGTAAGTCGTGATTTTCCTCGGCGTTCGTATTTAGAAATCCATCAAGATCTTGTTTGCGTATAGGGAGCAAAAGAAAACTCTCGTCAACGGAAAAGAAACGAGCTTCAAGCCCGGGAATGAAAAAAGTAAGGAGCGAAACAGGTACGGAAACTTGGTCAACAATTCTCGCAGAGGACTGGGAGGAGGAGCAGCCGTGAACACCAGATATATTTAACACCAGCAGCATACAAGAACAGCCTCTCCTAACCAACAAAGCAATATAACCCTTACTTACTCAAGCGCCTGACCCTGTATCATCTAATTCCCCTCCACCACTTCGCATGAAGGAGGGGGAGGGGATAGTGGTCAAAGATGAGCGACGGACACCAATACACTCCATTTTCCTTGATTGCAGTGCCTGATCAACTATCTAGCGTGAGCCACAGAACGTTGGTTGGCCTGCAGAACTTCTGAGTTGATGCTGCCAAGTATGCGAGAGCCTGGCATCTGGCAACTGGGTCCGGGGGACGACCAAGCTTATCTGCATGCTTGAACGTCATGGTTGAGTGAGGATGATCCAGTTTAGCTGTCAATGAGCAACAATGCCTTCTGTCGACTTCAAGCCTCAGTCACAGGCTTGTCAAAATGGCCGTCAGGGACTGGCTCAGAAAATTTCTCTGAAAGTTCTGAGAGTTCTCCCCTGGGGGTTCTAGATTATCACCTCGTTGCAGCTAGGTTCGATACCTGCAGCTCCGTGTCAAATGATTGGCTGCGTTCTACCAGCGGATGAATGCCAGTCCTGGTTGGTGGTGGTGGGGCGCACACCTCAGTGCGCTGAGCAGGGGTTTGGTTCCCAATCGTTCCAACTCATTCAATCGACCGCACTCACACTTGACTTGCAGTTGTGGCCGAACAGTCTAACACTTACCATAGTACTTGTGTGGTTGCAGTTTAGGGTAAGAACACGAAGTAATGTTGATCCCTTCCTCTAGTTATACAGCCATGATACAGCAACAGAAAGGAAAGGAAAGAAAAGGAAAACTCTCAAAGTCAGCTGTTGTATCACTCGCACCTGGCCAGGCCCACGGGAAAGCTCATACGTGCATTTTGAGCAGGTTTCTTGTGCCTTCTTTGTGATATTATCCCGCTGAGAACATGAGATAAACACTTAGCTATGGCGTTCCCAGCACGATGAGTAGACTTGGGATGATTCGCACCATTTTGTGGTAATGAGGTGACAAGACAACAAGGAAGCTACACAGAATTTCTCTCATCCAAGCCATGTCCCAGTGTGCAACCTTCTACAAAGCGTAAACCCACCACCTTTTAGGGCTTCTCATGCATTATTTGTATGAAAAGATCTCCCTCCGGGGGGGGGGGGTGACAAGGTCGATTACCACAGCCTCAATCTGCTAAAGGATCCTCACCGGCAACAACCCCGAGCTGCAGAGCAAAAGAGCCGATTTCCCAGCTCAACCAACTAAGCCATGGGTCCTTTCTAGAACCCGCCGGCCGACCATCTCTTAGCTCCAAATCGTCCAGAGGCTTTACGGCTCGGTCCTTGGCTTCCTGCAACCCAATTCGCGTCCATCGTGTCCTCTTTACTTGCAGCAATGGGCACGCTTGTGCCTCTTCTCGTTCTCGGACGCCGCGTCTGTTTAGCTGTCTTGGTAGCTGGCAGACTGGTGAGCGAGTCATCACCGTAGTCACCATCAACGCTGTCATCGGCATACATCTCTGTGTACTCTGGCTCAGGCTCTGCATCGCCGTCTTCTTCTTGCTCAAGCGCGGGACTGCTAGTCATCAGCGAAACTACCTGGCGGTCTTCTTGCACAGTGGAGCCGGGTTTCGCCTCCTGACTCTCCAGCTCATTGCCAGCGCCCTTTTCACCCGGTGTACCAGGGCCTGCTAGGCGTGCTGACGTGAGAGAGTCCCGGCTGCTATTCTGTGAGCGGGAGAGAGAGTCATGTGACTGCCTCGCTCGTAGCCTTGACACTGCCGGCGGAGAGATGGGTACATCCAAGCGGGCATTGCTCGATTTGTCTGTCTTGTCCTTGAATCCCGAAGGCTCACTCTTGATCTTGTCGGAAACAACCCCGAAATGGATCTTGGCTGGCTGTGAGCCAATGAACTCGACTTCTGGGAAGATACTTGAGGACCCGGTTGAGTTGGCGGATCCAAAATCACTCGCCGCAGGGCTTAACTGCGTCGACTTGAAAAACGCGGCTTCTGTACTCGTCGTTCGTGCATCTTGCAGGTCATCGTTATGGATCTGCCGCGAAGGCGTATTTTCGCGACCTTGTCCGTCAGACCTAGTTGCTTCATCCACTCCAGTCTCATCACCGAACCCATTGATCATCGGCGATTCGTTTGAAGAATTGACACCCAGGTTGTCGGAATGCGTGATGAAATTCGGATCCAGCTGCCTTCCATTCTGGTCACTGGCGGCGGTATCTTGAGAAACATGTAGTTTAGGATAAGGAACTTCTCCAGAGGAATCACCAGCAGCAGCAGCGACGGCAACATGGCCCAAGTCTTGCTGTGAGGGGTCCTTAGAGCCGTACTCTGACGGCGCTTCGGATAAGTCCCTCTGCAGTGAGCCTGCTAGGTTCGAAGGGCGCACTGCGGATGCAAGTTCTTCCTCCAGTTGACGAGATGGGCTTCCTAACTGCAAGAAGGCAGACTGGTCAATGGGAGATCCGACATTCTGGCGGAAGCCTACTTCGTTGATGAGTTGACTGATCTCGTCCCGGCGTGTTTGAGAGATGTCCATCGCGTCGCTGGTGGATTTGGCTTGTACGTAGTCGTCGTTGACGGCGACATCATGATATGTCTCAGCAATGAAACTCTCCTCTGCATCAGCACTGTCCTCATTCATTTCGATCTCCACGGCGCGGGATGTCTCTGGATCCTGCTCCGCTTCACGGCCATTAGCCTCGTAATCAAGTGTGGCGGACTGTTCGTTGCTACCATTGCACTTGCTCAACACTGTGCTTTTGTGCAAGCTCTGTTTCGGTTGGCTATCTGCCACTTCGACATCAGGTCGAGGCTGACGACATGCTGCGGCCGAAGTAAAGTCGGAGTTGCCTTGTTCGGGAGAACTGTCTTCGCCGGCGCCTTCGTTGGTGGCTCGTGCCTGACTTGCTGTACTGGCCTGTTGCACAATACGAGCGTCAAGCATTTGAGACAGGCAGACGTCTCGAATGCCAAGATCTTCATCTTCATACATGCCATCGTCCTCATCCTCGTCGGGAACCTCGAATTTGCCGTAGATCCGTTGTCCAGTCTCCTCATCAAACTTTTTCTCATTCTTATCGATGTTTCTGTCACGCTTGGCCAGTTGTACCTGGAAATTTTCACCGTCGTCATGGATGTCGATGACAGCGGCTGTCATGAAATCACTCAGCTGAGGCTGCCAATTGGTGGCCTCGGTGCAGAGCAATTGCTTCCACGCGACAATCAACCCCGTGGTGAGGTTCTGTTTATGTAGCTCGGGTAGTGAAGATGTATCTGGCGGCAGTGCTGGAAGGTCGTCATCGTCATCACCATTATTATCCGTTTCGACCTCGTAAATTCCGACTTGACTGGGTCCGGCGGGCCTGGAGTCGTATCCATTGAACGGTGGGCTCTCGTCTGGTTGGATAGGCGCATCATCGTAGTTCAGCGTTATATCTTCCTGGCTGGTCAAGAACGCTGTGGTATCCTCTTGGTGAAGGTAATCCTGGCTTAGCTTTGGCTTCTTGAAGTTGTTGCGGCTTCCTCCATCGTGTAATTGTGTATTATCACGGGACTTCCTCTTGCCGCCACGCTGTGAGCCAATTTGATTGTCCCACCGCTGTTGAGGGTCCCAGCGCTGTACAAACGGGAACGGAGGCACACTGAGCACTATCCCTTCCTGTACACACTCAACGGCGCGGTAGGAAATTTTCTGCCTCCACGCATCTGGATTCTCTGTCATCAGCCTCGAGGTCGTGTGAGCGCCGTTGGTCTGCTTGGTTCCCGCTTCGGATCCCTGGTTGAGTGTACTCAATTCAGTTCCCAGTGTCTGCAAAAGCGCCTTCTTCTTTGCAGCTAGATCGGCTTCCTTGACAGGTGTCTTTCGAGTTCCCTGTGAGATATTTTCTGAAGCGAGCGCCGCTAACAGAGCTGCTTTCTTTGCCTGGTTCTCAAGCCGCCGCCTCTGGTTGCGCTTCTGTGTCCTGGTCTTGCCTTGTCCAGGTGGCACGGGTATTTGAGCTGGGGCATCAGAGAGGACATTGGATACCGTAGAGGTTCGCGGTGTAGTCAGAGGCTGGGGTGAAGTGGTGGCTTTCGCCTTAATAGGTCGAGCAGCTTTGCTCGCGGGCTCAAAGTCCGAATCAGAACTTGAGTCGGAACTCGAGTTCAAGCTGGAGCTCTCTTCGCTGTCGTCTGTTGTAGAAGACGGACGCTCCCGGATGACAGGATCCTCTGAAGCAGACGTATCGGAGGAAGTGTCGCTTGTGCTGCTACTGCAGGACGATCTGCCTCTTGCATGTGGCTGTCGCTCGTCAGCGCGCTGATTTCGAGGCCTAGTCTGCCGCTGTTGTATCTGGACAGATTCTTCAGCTTCACTGTCGCTCTCAGAATCGCTCTCACTAGAAGAGGTCGAGAGGCTACTCAATGTGGGCGTGTTTCGATTGCGTTTGACAGGTCGAGATGGTCTGGGCGGGTTTTCTTCGCGAGTGCCGTCGCTCTCACTATCGCTCTCACTGTCGCTCTCACTGTCGTCAGGGGAGGAGTCGTTCTCGTTGTCGCTGAGTCCGTCTGATTCGTCGCTATCATCTTCCTCGCTACTTGAAAGGTCGTCCTCGTCGTCACCTTCGATGCGACTGACCTCACCAAGCGCCTCAACTGGGCTCATTGGAGACGATGATACTATCCGTATCTGCCGAGGCAGTTCCAGCTGAGTACTCATGACCATAGTCTCTGCAAGCCCCTGCCGTGGCTTGAGTGATTTTGCCAAGATCTGCCATGTTTTGCTCACATCCATGTTTTGCTTAACAAGCAGCGTCCCACAATCAACGGCAGTCACCTGGGGGAAGGCAAACCGGATAGCAGTGACTTTATCCTGGAGAGAATCATCAAGCAGGTTGACTCCAGCTTGAGCAGGGTTTCCTAGCTTAGGCGGAACATGTCTCTCGGAGAAGGGTGCAGGGGCAGTCGCAGCAGCCTTTTGCTTAACCCTGCCTTGAGGCATCTGTAACTGTGCTGTTCGACTTGGTGCGGCTCTCTTATTCCGATGAGCACCACCTGGATGGAGGTCTGTCTCGTCGAGGCCCTCAGCTAGGGTGTGCAAGCGTCCGTGTACCTCGTTGACATGAGAGCCGCGCTCGAAGAGAGCCTCCCCTTCCGCCTCCTCTTCCTCTTCGGCAAGGGCATTGAGGTCGTCAAGCTCTTCAGCCAGCTCCTGGAAGTCAATGTCCTCTTGTTCATCTTCATCCTCATCCCCGTCCTCATCCTCGTCTTCGTCCCTGCCGAGGTCCGTCTCGTCGCCACCTTGCTGACCCGCCCTGGCAATGTTCAATTCGGGCTTCGTACCAATGCTGCCAGGAAAATGCACGCGCCGATGGCCTGCACGGGGGCGTTTCTCGCCATGCTGGGTCAGGAGAAGCTGTGCCTGGCCGTCTTCGCCTTCCTGACGCCATTGTAGGTCGTGATCTTGGCCATCTGCGTCGTGGTCGGCATTCACATCCACAAAGTCGTCATCAGAAGAATCTATATCGACATCCTCATCCTGTTCGTAGGTCAAGCGGCGACGTTTTCGGGGGGCGATGCTGACGGGTGGGCGGGCTCTGGGAATTCGGAGGCGGGGACGGCCGAAAGGCACGCCATCAATGAGATGTTCTCCTCCGGCGACAATCTGATCTCTTCCAGCCAACCGGCGTTTTCTCAGGTCGATGGACATTAGAGGACGGATGCTATTACAAGAGTAGTCAGAGTAGTCAGCAGGTGGAGATACTCTCGGTAACAAAACGTTGGTATTTTGGGGGAAATTGCAGGAGCAGAATGATGCTGAGCAGGGCGACTAACAAGACCTCATCATCTTTGTCTAAAAGACCTGCAACGGGTTGAAAGTGCAGACACTCGAAGGCATGGCCGTTCTTGTCATGGAGCTCGACGGCGTAATCCTCCAGACCCCACTCGCCTTCAGCATCCTCAAGAGGGACGGTGTCGTTGACGTGGTCCAGGAGATTGGCGATGTTGGGATCGTCGGCGAGGGGAAGGTTGAAGAGGAGTCTGACTTCGGGCAAGCCATTCCGCCGCACCACCAACCGGAGACGAAGATTATTGTCCATCCTCGTCTTCGGAAACCTGGTCGTTGTTGGTGGTGGTTATGGGCTGGATGGTGTGTCGTCTTGCCGCAACCATGAACACCCGCACACGCGATGGTTTTTGAACTGGCAATACCAGGATCGCTGGATGTCCTACGGGTGGAGGATGGCGACGCTATCGACATGCATGGCCCATAAATGATCGTGCTGTGGAGATGTAAACAAGTGTAGTCTAGACGGGCCTGGGAAGTGAAAGAGGGGAGCCCTTGTGACGCTCAGCGGACGCGTCAAAATAAAACAGAAAATAATTTAGGCGGTACGAATTAGATGGCAACCGCCTGCCGCGTGAGGTGCACGTTCCCTGTAGGCCTTGGCGACTTTAGCGAGCTGGCAGGGCAGCAGCGCGGGGTAGCGCGCAACGCTGTATAGTGGTTTAGGCGATCCAGGTGGGGGTGATCTTTAAGGGCTTTTTTCTTATTGTCTTGGTCGGATGAGGGGTTGAATGGCATGCAAGGGTCCTCAGCATTTGTATGTACATACTATAGTAGTATCTGCTCTCCAATTGCCAGGCAGCAGGCCATCAACCATAAACATAGGCACAAACCCATCTCAGTGCATATCAATACCAATATAGCATTTCAGTACGTCGACCTAGACTTAAATCGCTATCTGATGCCATCTCGCTCAGTACATGGTAGTTCGCTCTGTTGATCCTAAGAATTATTTGGCGTTCCCTCCTGTGGCTTTTCTGTGACGTTCTGCTCTGTTCTGCATTCTGGGACCAGGCGCTGACTAAGGCTTACTTAGTTGTGTGTATAATGTATTACTCCACATATGCATTACGTATCGTACACAGCGGTTGGTGCAGGGTGTAGGCAGGTAGTGGGGCGCCGGTAAGCGGAACGGGCCCTTCCTGCCTTCACAGTCGGCTATGTTCTTTGCTCGGCCACCTCTCAGGGCACTGCGCTGTAGACAAAATTAATTGCCTTTCCTCCCACTGCAAGAAGCACATCGTTGAACCACCCCCTCCCCCCCCCCCAAAAAAAAGAAAGACGCATTACTCGACCTCACTCACGGCAGATAATACGCGAGCAGGTACGCCTTCAATTTATACTTGCAGAGGAAACCACGAGGAGGACGCAGTCCATGACGAGCAACTCTCTCAACCGGGACCAGCAGTACAACCGTCTCTTTCGGGTGCTGGAATTAAATCGATTCATTCATTAGGACTGCGCTCTCGAGACAGTCCATGGTCCTGAGCTTGGGCTTGAGTTTGACCGTTGGTCAAGTAAAAAGGCTCAGACACTCTCTCCATCGCAACAGGCACAGCCACCGGCACCACCGGAGACGCTTCCTCAAGTTGAGGCCCGACTGAAAAGTTCCGTTTCGGGGCCGCACTGGAAGGTTGAGCTGGGTGGCATCTGATCACATCAATTTTCCTACAATATGGCTGGACTGCCCTCCTTCTACTCGCCGCGGTCCACACCCCGTCATCCTGACACCGACCTCGATGACGACCTCCCAACCACAGCTCTCGAAGACGGCAGTGTGCCTGCAAACCACGAGTCCGACCAGGACGAATCATCGTCAGCAATAACCCGCCCTCCGCCGCCCTCGCTGCTCAGTCCGTCCTTCACCCCTCCCTCGACGCCGGGCACAAGCACCCCATCCACCTCGATCCCTTCCCTCACCGGGGCCCCGACCTCTCCCGCCGGCCCCTCCCTCCGTCCCGCCCGCGCCGTTCCCGTCGACTCCTCTCTTCCTGGCCCAGATTCGGGCTGCGGGTCATCGAAGCCCCGCCTAGTCGAACGGCTGCCCCAAGTCGAGTGCATCGTGCGCGCCCGCATCCCTACTGTCACCGGTACCGAGATGTTCCTCCATCTTTACACCAACGACGTCGATAATAAAGAACATCTTGCCATTGTTTTTGGTGACAATATCAGGAGCAAGAGTCTGGACGCCCCCAGGCCCGGTGAGACCGAGACGGACCGTATGGTCCGCGGCGCCTACGTTGGACGTCTCTACCCTGGGAGGACCACCAGCGGCATGATGGGTCCGGAACAGGTCGAAGGCCCCCCTGCGCGGAACAGCGATATTCCCTTGGTGCGCATACACAGCGAGTGTTACACGGGCGAGACGGCCTGGTCAGCACGCTGCGACTGCGGCGAGCAGCTTGACGAGGCCGCGAGGCTGATGTCACTGCCATCTAACCGCGCCGGGGGTGTCATTATCTACCTCAGGCAGGAAGGCAGGGGAATCGGCCTGGGGGAGAAGCTCAAGGCATACAACCTCCAGGATCTGGGCTCCGACACTGTTGAGGCGAACCTGCTGCTGAGGCATCCTGCCGACGCCAGAAGCTATGGCCTGGCCACCGCCATGCTGTTGGATCTGGGCCAGGACGAGATTAGGCTGTTGACGAACAACCCTGACAAAATCCGTGCCGTCGAGGGTCCGAACCGGGAGGTCGTCGTCAGGGAGAGAGTTGAGATGGTCCCCCTGAGCTGGAGGGGACGGGGAGGTTTCCGGAGTAAGGAGGTGGAGGGTTATCTCAAGACCAAGGTAAGTGCTGCTCGGATCATCTGCACAAACGAATGCTCACTGATTATCTACGTTCAGATCGAAAAGATGGGGCACATGTTAGACATGGAGTCAATACCAGGTAAATAAATAAAGTAAAACTTGCTGCCATCAAGATAGTCTCTCCCTGCTTTTGAAAGCCAAGTCCACGGGCTCAGGCTCACCCCCAAGAGTCCATGAGCAGTCCGTCATATACAGGACGCCATCAGCTGTGGAAGTTTTGCCAAAAACGCCGTCCGCTGGCCAGTAAAAGTGTATCGAGCAACACGTCCCACTGCAAGGCGCTTATACTGGGTATCAGAGCCCTGCCAACAGGTGCCGGGTGGCTGATGGCGCCCTCATTCGTGTATCTACACTCCTGGCGTTTTGGAACGATGGATCACGGGCCACACAGCAGCACAATCAGAAATCTTAACATTCTATCAGCAGCATCAGAAGCAGAACCTGATCGTACCCATTCACGTGCAATCCTTCGCGGCATCAAATGAATCGTCATTTGCTATCTCACTTAGAGACGCCTTACAGGTGGCGGTTCTGGGTCACACACAAGCCGGCTCCGGCAATACTCGGTATACTACGGGCAGATGACCGACCCAACTCGGGATGAAGAGTCACTGGTTCGAATTTGCTCCATCTGCAGCGTTGTGTGTGATGCTGCGTTACGTTGTTATGTGGTGACGTTCTTTGCAGTCACCAGCGTCGACATGATTTGTCACATACATGCAGGCTCCAAGGCTAACACTTACTGGCCGGCCCCTTCCTGCGACATTCTCGTACTGAGACCAGCCAATCCCAGCATCACCAGGGTCAGCTCTTACACCAGACCAAGGGCTCGGCAAATGCAAAGATTTTGGGGGCTAAAAGAAAATCTAGGGTTATAAAGACTGTAAGATGGGCCCGAAAAGTCGGGTGTCTCACTATCTCGTCAGCCTCTCGTCATTATCAGAAATAAATCAAGTGCCTATTGTTTTGTAACCATCAGTACGAGGCCAAGCCGAGTCTCAATCATGCGTCTTCTAGGTGCGCTAACTCTGCTCCTCTACGGCGCTGCGCGAGGCGAACTTACGGATTCAGGTATTACAAAAAGCCCACCCAAGGACCCAAGTCGCGGAATCGTATGCTGATCAAATGTGTAGCGGTAAGCGGCCAGCCGACCGTGGTCTCTTGCGTGGAGTGTGTGGATGGTACGCCAGCCTGTCCAGTTTGTCCCTCCAGTCAGGCATGCCAGATCTCTATCCCTCTTGACTGCACCGAATGCCCCACGGCGTATTGTGTAGATACATCCGTCTCTGGTAGCGAGATTGCGGGCCAGCCGACAGCGACAGGGACATCTGATGTGACTGTCACTGCAGTGAGCAAGACGACCGCCGCCGACGCCGCCTCTACCACAACCAAGCACAATTCAAAATCCACTTCAGGCACGTCCATCTCGGCGGACTCATCTTCTAGCGCCTCGGGTGAGACGACTACAGCCACGGCATCATCGTCAGGCTCGTCGCCGACGTCTGGGGCAAGCAAGATTGCGCAACATGGCTGGTTCAAAGCAGGGACTACAGTAGCAATGGCTTTGTTGGTAGGAGTCACGTGGCTCTAGAAATCGTCAGTTGTTGCCAGCTGTTTTGGGAAAGTCTTACGGCATGAATCATGTCGCCAAGGCAGCCAGTGTATTCTCCGAAACTGTTACGGAGAAGTGCATGGTCGTATCGCGGGGCTTTCACTTGAGGTCAATAATTATGTCAGATACGAGTACAAATCTGGCTGTTGTATATGTTGTGCTGCTTTGTTACAATGTATCAGGCACCTCTTACGCATCCCATATAGCGCAGGCGATTTTTTAATTTGCAATCGACACATGCATCGTGCTGTCTAGGAGAAAGCCCGGGGTATCAGCAAACTTCCAGTACATATCCCATCAATCAATTGCCGCTTGGCTATTACCCGAGAGCCTTGCATGGCTCATTAACTATCTATACCCTGAATAATTATGAATGTGTGCATTGTGTGCTCTCATAGAAATGCTCGTGATCAGAGCAGGTCCTTAAAATCAGAAATTGGATTTGTCTGTTTTGCAATTGCTTCATTGGTATTCATTAATAGAGGAACGCATGTACGATTGCCCTTGTTTCCTCTTCTCGGTCCTCAATGCTAATGATTCTAGCCGGCAAAATTCACATGAATGGCTATTTCACCCAGTTTGTGGAAACTGATTCTATCTTTCTTTCACAACTGAGTTCGATGGAAGAGGAATTTCCCCTCCCAACTCCACATCACTATTTCGCAGAAGAACGAAGTTGAAATTATTATTCTCTTTCCTGGATTCTCGTCTCCTCCACGGCGGATTACTCTCGTCATTCCGGGCTTACCTCGCACTCTTACTCTAGTAGCTGTTGCTATAGCGTGACCCACCACTGATGGCTCCACAGTCACACCACGTCTGCGGAACGTCAGAGAGCCAGGCACAACCGCAAAGGAGAATTTTCTGATTTGTGAAGAGACTCATGTGTATCAATATTTACTTGCCTCCCAGTGTTTCGATAGGTGGAAAATCGGTCTCTCTGGAAGCGGCGCCGGTCAAGCGAATTCTTCCTTTTATCGCCGTACGGGTAAGATGGCATGACTGAGCAGGCAGTCATGATCGTGAGCTCGTCTGTCTTTGATACCTATTCCATGGTCTATCAGGTAGTGTGATGCAATGCAATTGATGGCGAGACCACGATGGCGACGCTGCAAACATATAAGATGGGTTGAGCCACGATATGAAGCTTGACTTTCGAGGCCGGTATCGTCAGACTCATTCAATCGGCAACACAACAGTAAACAACTCCAAAATTCTGACACAATTAATTCTATCTCACTCAAAATCATCTTCTTGTCTATTACATAGAGAAACTCCATTTGAAACATGCCTCTTACCAGAGATGAAGCTGTAGGCTTCGAGGTGGACACGCCCGACACCTGGTCAACCTTTCACAAGCGCGTCCACAAGTTAAAACCTCAGGGAGACTACGATGTGACCATCCATATTCTTGCTTGTGGAGTCTGCGGTAGTGATGTTCATACACTCTGTGGAGGTTGGGGAGAGCAGTATTACCCCTTTGTCGCTGGCCACGGTAAGCGTTGTCCCGGTCCTCCCAAAAGTTCTCGGCTCTAAATCATTCCATAACCAATGATCGAGGACATCGGTTCTGATACTGTTGAAATATTTAGAAATCGTGGGGAATGTCATCCACGTCGGCCCAAAAGTCACGCTGCACAAGGTTGGTGACCGAGTAGGCGTGGGCGCCTCGTCGTGGGCGTGTCTAGAGTGCCGCCAGTGCAAGAAGGACAACGAGCAGTACTGCGAGCACCAGCTGGACACGTACGGTGCCAAATGGCCCGACAACGGCTATGTCACCAAGGGCGGCTATTCCTCCCACATCCGCATCCACGAGCACTACTGTTTCCCGGTGCCCGAGGCGCTCCCGACCAACGTTGCAGCGCCCATGATGTGCGCAGGGCTCACGGTCTTCTCGCCGCTCAAGAGAAACGGCTGTGGACCCGGCACCAAGGTGGGCATCTTGGGCGTCGGAGGGCTAGGTCACCTGGCTGTGATGTTTGCGAAGGCCATGGGCGCCGAAGTGTGGGCTTTTATGCTCGATCACAAGCTGGATGACGACGCTCTTGCCCTGGGCGCCACGGGAACGATCGTCATGTCTGATGAGGACTGGAGCAAGCCGCATAAGCGCACCTTTGATCTGATTCTCAACAGCGCGAGCTCTTCGGTCAATGCCTCCCCGTATCTCCCACTTCTTGATGTCCATGGGCGTTGGATTTCGGTCAGTATGCCCGACAAGAACGACAAAGGCACGGAAGTCTCGACGTGGTCTCAGATTGAGAACGGCTGTCTCATTGGGGCCTCGCACCTGGGCTCACGCAAAGAGGCTCTGGAGATGTTGCAATTGGCCGCAGACCATAACATTGCCACCTGGATCGAGACGGTGGACATTAATGAGGAAGGCCTGCATAAGGCCCTGGAGAGGTGTGCCAGGAGTGATGTTCGCTACCGTTTCTGTTTGACTGGATTCGACAAGGCCTTCGGTGAGGATATCAAAGACCGTGGGGTCTGAGGAAAGTCATGGTGAAGATAGAGAGCATCTGCGTGAACCAATAAGAGGTAACGTGTAATTAAAGTAGTCAAGCTAATGTTTCATTCGAGAACACGCCGTCATGTCCCCAGGTTTAGCTCTATTTGATTATGCTGCTGGTCTGGCTGGAGTACTACGTATTTTTATGTGTGCTAAAATCACATATGTACGGTCCACAACTAGATGATCTCGATGGTCTCAGTATCCCAATTGGCAGGACTATTTGAGCCTGGGTCTTTGAAGCGACCCCATTTAAACAACCCGATACGGTAATATTCTCGCGGCCTCCCAGTACTCCGTAGTAAAAGACCAAGAAGGTAGCGTCTTTCGCCTGTCAACCGAGCAGAAATCAGTGCCCAAGCCATATCATCACCGTGTGGGTTCGAAACGCATGCACACTGGGCCTTGAGATCCTGACCGTCGAAAAATACTTCTGCCCCACCGAGCCATACCTCTGCTTCAAATCGGCCCCCCCTCCCTTCATCCATTTCGAGATTGGCACTTGTGAGAAGCACCTTTGTTCGGACTTTCAAGAAGCCCCACGATACTTCCCCAAACCTGGTCCTTCCTTGAGGAGTAGTCGACGCCTGGATCCAATCGTATTGCGGCTTGAACGGACCGCAATGGTAGGCCAGGCGCACAGGTTCGCCACTGTTACGACTAACAAACGACCACGAAGGCCCGAAATATAGCTCCGAATCTAAGTCACGCGGGTTTGCGGCAGCCAAAGGAGGTGGGCAGGAGATGAAAAACGGGAGATCATTATGAAAATTATCCTCCCAACAACCAGCGTAGTATTTGCTTCCCGTAAGCTCGTGCACCCTTCTAGCAATGCCGGCAAGGGCTGGCAGGCGATCTCTGTCGCGAGAAAAGTCGGCTTCGGCAACCGACCTGAGGATGCCGCGAAATTCTCCGAAGACTGACGCTCGAACCTCATTTGATACAGGTCGTGAGAGGCTGCTCGGTAATGTTACACCTCCGGCGTTTCTATTGTTTGCGCAACACGTATCAGTATAGCCAGTCTCATTCGAGTAAAACCCCGAGCATATGAAATGAATCATATGAGTTCCGAAGACAATCAGTCTCTCGGACAACGCTCGCTCTTGAAAGGTCCAGCCCCGTGTATGCCAGATGGTTTCGTCCCAGTCGGCCGAGAACCATCCGTGCGCCAACATTGAGGTATGGCACGGCGTTACCAGGTAACTGCTTTCGAATGCGTCAGATGACGCAGGTCGAAGCCCCAGTCTCAGTATAGGCTTAGTCTCGCGTTGAAGAAAGCTAACCTGGCAGCTTGGAGATGAAGCAGCACAAATTGTGATATAGGCCTGCGCATATATCATATCCATGATCTCGCTTTCTTGTTCCCAATCAGCCCGAGCCTGGTCCTCTTGTCCCTAAAGTATGCAGAGAGCGTCGATCCACAAATAGCGGATGGATAGGTCCATGCACAACCGGATAGCATCTTTGGTGACAGCGGACATCTCTTTAAGGCTGATACTTTCCGTGCGTTTCTTGAGGTTCTCTGGCGTGGTCTTGGGTTGTATTGTGTTGCCCCAACAATAACTGAGAGCAGCGTACTTCAAACTGGGGACATCAGCCTCGGGTATGTCTTTAGTCTGGATCAGTCGCACGCAGCCAGACTCCGCAACTGAACCGAGATCCAATAGCCTAGTAGGAAAGCTCTTGAGTTGCTGCAGTGGATGGCATGAAGATGTGCAAAGCTCGATTGAATGTTTTATGAAGTCGATGTTCTTGTTGGTGATTTGTTTGCATGGAAGGCTAGTGAATATTGACGGGTGTTGTACTATATTGTTCAAGAGAAGAATGCATGTTAGCTCAAGGAGCCGGATGGATTTTGTACCTACTATTAGGGGGGGATTGAATATCTAACCTTCATCTGAGCCGATTAACATGTCGAATTTATGAAATTCTGTACCGCCCTCCGGCGATATAAACCTGATTTGAAAGCTATGAAGGATCCAGCTCTCCGTTATTCTGTGCTCGGAGCACAAGGATTCTCGTTTGGATACGGCTGTACCCTGGATATCGACACGAAATTCTGCAGGGCAGAATTGCCGCCGGGAGTTGGAAGTTTTTATTGAAAACTCCGATGAAATGAGACGGCAGAACTGGCATCCAGACAGAACTACCTGGTCCATCTTCAGACTCGGCCATGAAACGATTGTGAAGCCTATTTTTAAAAGATAGGCGTGGTCAAACACCATTAATACTTCTTGTCCCTCATGTGCTTGTTTGCGTAGGAACTCGAGGTCTTCCAGAATACGACATCTGTCGCATAGGCGCGCAAGTCCTATTTCGGAGTATTGGTCGACTTTAGAACTGGTCATATTTCATAAGCAATTGGGAAAGACTCGTAGTCGGCTTGAAAGGGCTGGCCGTGAAAGAACTTGGTGAAACACAGCTAATGGTTACATTGAAGCTGGAGGATATCATCTTTGTCAGGGGCTACCCCGCAACCCTGTTGTGATGCCTTAGGCATACTCGCATAAGCAGTCCTTGAGATCTGTTGGTTACACGAGGCTGTACAATGTGAATTCGAGGCAATCAAAGGGAGGGTTGTATGGAGAAGCGGATCGCATATACTGTATACCTCTTAGCAACCTGTGCGTCACTTGTGTAAAGTGGGCCACTGTGACCCTAATCCTCTCATATGAAGGCCGTGTAAATTACTCTGAGCCTGAGATGGCCACTCTGAAGATCTTCCTTTTGTTTAGATAGATTCAATCTAAACACTGTTTTGCCACTTCAACGCTCCTCAGTCTGTGCCTTGTCTTACTTCTCGGGGTCTCTAAAAATTGTGTTGTGCAATTCAGTAGCTAAAATCGACACCCGGAACAGCGGATCCTCGACTTAATGTGTGATTTAATCTAGTTAATTAGAATTGTCATTGACTCGATCTATAATCTGTTTTTCAGCCTATTTTCATCTTACTTGAGAGAACACAAGGGATTTAATCCTCTATCTATCTCACTTGAGTACTGTGCATCTTCCTAAAAAGCATGATATGCACCATTTAGTCCCAGACCTGTCGTCTTTCCTCTGAGCCCTCAGTCTTCAAGCTACTTCTATAGTAATCGCTGTCCTTCCCTCGAGTCTCAGTCCTCGAGCTAGACAGTAATCACATGTGCCATGCCAGCTTATAGACGACTCCTGCCTACAAGGGTTGCTGGGCCATACATGTCCTCAACTGTAGGGAAAGACCCCTCCCCGTCCGTCAAGTCTGCAAGACTCCGTATGGGTGACACAGCTCCCTCCTCCCAGCGAGATACAATACTGTTCCAATAACGCGATTCGTCCTCCACAATGAGCCCGCAATGCCTAGCTTTACTAAAAACAACCAGGTCCGTCCTTAACCCGTTAGCTGAAGCATGTTCCTTGTGGGATCGGATATTGTGCATGTCCACAATACCGTCAGCTTCCGATGCAAGGTATAGCCTGAACGCCGCCGATGAAAATATGTCTGGGCTGTTGAGCTGTTGCCTTATCGTCCTTGCCAGGTGTTTTCGTACTCCCAGTCCCTCGAGTCCGGCAATGCCGGCCACAACAAGATAGAGCGCAGCACAGAGAACAGGTCGAAGAGGATGCGTAAGCGGGATCGAGTGCGAGGCGGCGAGGTATGTGTTGTATACGCTTAGATCGCCAGGGCAGCTGTCGAACACGATCTGCCTCAGGGCAAGAGGAGTGTCTCTGCCGATAGTCGCCAGGATGTTATTCATAGACGTGACCAGCTGGATGGCCATGTTCGCCCCGCCGTTTGAGAACACGTGCAGAAGCACTGATGGATCTTTTCCTGTTGGAAGACCCGCTGCTGATGGAGATGCTGCCTGGTGGACGTCGTTGGCTTGTGTCCCCTCGATGATCCTCCTGATCTCGCATTGTGCTGGCCGAAGTTTTCGGATGAGGGCCTTTTCGCTCAAGAATGCATACTCAGTCGCGACGGTCCGAACGAGCAGGATACTCGAGTTGGGCCATGCTCTGTGGTAGCCCTCGGTGTATTTCTGAATTCGTTTGCTTGTCGCACCGCCTAACCATGTACAGAGAATAATGAGCGTCGGTTGATCTGTCGGTGTGGTTTTGGTTTGTTGTTGGCCACCACGTCCTTTGCCGCCTTTTTGAGCCACAGGCGTGTAAAGGAATATGCCGTTTCCGAGACTGCGAAAGTCGTGGAGCGACATGACGTTGGGGCTTGTGGAGTTGTGTGAGCCTGACCAAGCTTCATCTCGCACGTCCAGAGCTCTTGGTAAAAGCAACCCTTTTCCGGCGTGCGCGCGCCAAGCGATTCTAGGGCCCTGGTCCAGAGAATCAATAAACGAGCCGGGGGTTAGTTTTTAAACTTACCGGTACGAGGAGGAACAATGGCCGATACTATGGTGCGCCATAGGGCTCACTCTGCAAAAACCCCTTTCAGGGGTATACAGTAGGGGTGAGTATAACACATGATTCATGCAAGGTTTTTGGCTAAACAGATATGATCAGATAGGTACATATCTGAATCATGTATTGAATATATCTTTCTAAATAATATACTGAGCCCTAACGCTATCGCACAAATATAAATATCTCTGTACAAAGCCGTTCAAACTTCATATCAGAACGTACAAGGCCATTCCAGGCAATCCAAGGCCAAACATAGTTCTACATCATGGAATCTCACACCCCCTCTTTGCGCAGCAATGTAATTCATTGCCTAACAACTCGCAATTTCCATATAGATATAAAAGCACAAAACTCACGTTGGCAATTCTGTCCAGACTGCAATCTTCCTCTTCCAGCAGAGATCATTGACTTAGTTTCACCGCTGTAGCCATCTACAGTAAGTCATAGCTCGAGATATATATATTTACAAATGCTAACCAATGATCAGGCTCGTGCAAGACTAGCTTATAGCAGTATCCAACCTGTTGTTCCTGCTTTAGTTTTGCCTGCAGCTGAAACCCGCGGCAATCTTATTACATGCACGGAAGAGGCTATTCGGGATCATTATCGCAGCGAACAAACAACTAGAAAGCTCAAGAATCGATTAACAGCTCTGATTACAGCTCAGCTATACTCAGGCGAATATACAACTCGGACAGTTTCTGGCCTGGTTGTTCGCGATTATACTACAATTGCTTAGTACAGAAAGTTGCAATCATTCCCGTTTCTTATCAACCATGATTACAGAACAAACTATGCGCTTATCTAGGAAATCCTCAGTTGCAGTGGGATCGATTCTGATATACGCAGTAAGAACTGGCGTTTTGTTCAATCACTTACAGGCGGAAACGGAGCAAGTATTACTGAGCTTGCTACAAACCCAGCTTGTTTTACAAGTCTCCGATCAGTAATAGTTGCAGCTGATCTGAAGAAGGTCAAGAATGATGCAACTAATAATAAATACAATCTTTTCCTATTTCAGAATCTTAAGATTGAAATCCTCGAGACTGCTAAGAGCAGTAAAAAAAGGAAGATTGCAATCAAGTTCAAGCCTAAACAAGCTCGGATAAACAACCGATCACCAATGCCCAATATCAAACAAGAAGATCAGGATTCTACAATAACAGTTAAAACTGAATAGAGCTTAAGCAGTGCTATACAGGCATTGCTAATTATGATTAAACAAGAGTTGAATGAATCGAGTTCTGTATCTACTAAAACTAAGAATAATCAGTTAGAATTGATCAAGGAAGAACAGTCTTAGATATGCAAATAATTATTATAGTTTATTAGTATAATGCTGATTAATCTTTTACAGAGCTAGTTGATTAAGCGCAAACGAGATACATTATTCGATATTCCATTTAAGATGAATATATGCAAGATCATATACAGATGGAAGTTTGATAAGAATATCAAGTCTGAATAGCAGCTTGGAAGTACATTCGAAGATAATTCTAATCTGAAATCAATTGGAAATATAGAATAAATCTAGTACTAGCTTATACTAAACAATCTCAATATCTGTTTCATCTTTCAATTCTACATCAAGATTATTTACATTTACACCTCTCTCATTTAATCATATACAAAGGTATACAAGACTGCTTGTTTGTAATCTTACTAAACTTAGCTTTGATTCTAGCTCATCAGCCAAATACTTTCGAAAATCAAACTGCAATCTATTATATTCTACAAGATATGATTGCACTCAAGTCTGTAGTATCAAGTGCTCAGATAGTTTGCTAAAAGCATGAACTATATTATTATAGATCTTCATTATCTCATCTAGTAAGTATTTATCCAAGTCTATATCATCTTGTTCTATAATGCTTTAAAGCTCTTATAGCAAGTGAATTAGCACTTGCACACAATAATTCTTAATCTTCTCTGTATTAGATAAATTATAGAGAACTCAAGGCTTACCAGGCACAACATATAGCCAAGACTTTTGTTTGCGAATATAATAAGCATTCCAGAGCTGTACAAACTGTACAAACTCATACCGGATTCTGAGCATATAGATATAGAGAAGTGCAATTCTATCAGCAAGATTATGCTTGCTCTATATATCAGATTTCTCAAGCTGGAAAAAGAAATTCTATTATTAAGTTTTAGTAAGAGTAATCAAATATAATCAAGCTTATACATACTCTTCATCATTTTAATCATTCTTCATACAAACTTCCCCACTATTGCTCAATCTTCATATTATATATACTTTTGCTATAGATCCAGCACTGAGCAAAAAACAAATCTCATAATAGTTGCTCAGATATCAAGTAAGAATGCTAAGTATGAGTAGTTGATGAAGATATATGATCAGGTTCGAACATATCTGTATGCTCATCTGAAGCAGTTCGGATTGGTATAACAGGAACTTAACGATTGCTGAATAATAATGCTTGATAATGATTAGATTGTAGAATTGTATACAGCTATTCCAGTCTCTAAGCAAGATTAGCATTGCATGATAGATAGTAATAAGCTCTAGCAATTAATACTGTTTCTCTACTACAATCTGTACGAATCAGTAATAGCATATACTGATATTATTGAACCATGCTGATATATTGTACAAGAACAATCCAAGCTATAGTAGCTGATATATCACAGAAAAACCAAATAATATACTGTGAATAAGCATCAATGCTGGCATAGCATTCAATGCTATATCTGGATAATTTCATATAGCTATCAATTAATCATATAAAATTAGAACTATAGCATATCCAGCCTTCACAACATCTGTACAATCTGTTTCAGCATTCATTAAGACTAGCCTGATGGAAGTATGGATAGACCTCAGAAAGAATCGCTCATAGAATATCAATTATACATTGTTGAAGATATATATGCAACATATTTCATCCAATCCGTGCTACAAGATTCTCCAGATATTGCTCATTTTCGAAGAACTGATATAAATAGTTGCATATATCAGATATTTGTTAATCATTGCGCTGTCGGAAAATGTTCATTTGCTGCCGTATACGTTCAATTCCAGTGAGAATTACAACCCAATTCTCTTTCTCTGTCAGGAATGTATACATCTGTTGGTCTGATAATCCTTGTTCAAATCAAAGCTCAGCAATGCAGCATTGTAAGCTCTCGGAATCAATAGTACAGCCTTGAAAAGGCTTGAAGCCCCATGTTTGAATATGATTTCGAAGGGTTCGTTCTTTGACAGCAACATAATAAACTTCTGTAAGCTTAGTAAGAATATCAGAAATAGAGATTCAAACTTGTAAACAAGATTGAATAAGTAAACAATATAGATTGAGATTGATACGAGAGCGCTCTGTTGATTATGCTATAATCACAATTAAGATTTGAAACAAATAAGTCTAATCATATATAGAAGCCTGATTAAACTTATCAGAAATTTCATTAACTCTATTCAAGCTTAATCATATAATAATCAAGCTATCTCCAAAAACAATGCATTCAATAAACTCCGAACAGCCTTATATGCCAAACCATACTAACTAAACTGAATAATCATAGATATCTGAACCAAAAAAACGCTGCAGTATGCCCTATCCAACGCTAGTCATATCTGATCAAGCTAAATCAAACCTCTACTTCTCAGAATGAACACAAGCAAGAAGCTCAGTCTGAATCTCGAACTGAAGCATAGTAAGCGCTTCTATACTAGCAACCATGATCCATAAAGAATCTTTGTTAGCTCTGATCATGCCTATATCAATATAAATAGTAATAGCAGACTTCTTCTCATAGCTATAAGAATCTTTGGCACGCTTAGTAGAGACGTATATATCCGGATGCAAGTTAGCATCAGGCTGAATACGCTTGAAAAGCTTCGGAAGAAGCTGAACATCATTATCCGAAGTCTAACCCGAATAACTAAGCTAGAACTCAGCAATGCATGCCTGTTTAGCTGTAAAATGTTAGTATTAATCATATACAGGCTCGTACAGATATATACTGCGAATAGAACATTTCTTTGCACTTGATTTATATTAGCAATTCGCACATGCATAAGCAAAGAGATCATAGCTATCAAACATGCAGTATTGGAACAAATCCTTGCTATACAAGCTCGCACAAGTCTAACAAAGCTTGGCTAAGCTTTTATAATTGCTAAAGAGATATCCGAGGATAGCTGAGTATTATTGCTATCGAGTAGGCTCGAACAGATTCTTTTGCATTATACCATTCTTGAATATTAGCTTAAACTCAAGCAAATGCATAATAGTCTATAGACATATTAGTACAGATCCGATCACTCCTATAAAGACTTTACTAATCTTATTCTTGCAGTGCTTGCTAATGATCTTCTAACAGTTATTGAAATAACAATATAGAATCTTATCAAGGTAGTACGAGATAAGCTGCTTAGATGTAAACATCTGATCAATGGTGTTCGGGGCAGGCTTAAGACGATTGCCCATGTACAGCTAAGAAGTAATATCTAAAGCCTTCTGACCAGGCTTATCATTGCTAAAATGAGTAACCTTGGTAAGGAAAGTCTGATTATCCTTATCCAAATCCAGCTCATCATCATCAGACTCAGCAGACTTAGTATCATGTTAGTAGCAGTTTGAACCATTATTCTCATTAGAAGAAAGCTGTAGGTAAGTGAATAGAGCTGTCTTTGTCTGCTTGGGCTTGACCGAGGCTGTATCGGAAGTCTTGCAACTAACCGGAGCTGGCTCTAAGCATTTCTTAGTCAGTAGTTATATATAGCCAAGTCCAGCTTCCTTCAGCATTGATCGAGAATTATCAACGATATCTTCGAATAAAGCCAGAATAGTCTTTTGATCTAGGCTTGGAATTGTCTGCTTATGCTTATCCGAGCTGGGAGTGTTGCTGCTCATCGTGATCGTGGCTGCACAAGGCAGAGAAGTATGTAAAAAGCTGTAGATGTATGTAAAAGCCTGTATAAATATTAGCAAGTCTGTTCTCTAGCCTTGTGAAAGAAATCATCAAAAATCAATGAAGTGCGATCAGTTTTCAAAAAAAAAAAACTGTAGACAGGGATTTCCGTATATAGAGAATTGAATGAAAGTATGCTCAGGGTGTTATCAGTGCGGTGCAGAGGTCCAAATAGCTGATCAAATACGTACCGTTGGTGGTGGCAGTGGTGGGTGGGTAAAGAAGAAAGTTCGAGGAATGTGGGGGCAATTTGGCTAGCTATTGGTGGCAAATCCACCCTGGGGAGCTGCTGACTAATCGGAACCCTAACCCTGAAAAAAAATTCAGTAGCTTGTGCACATGCATATAGCCATAAACATGTATTTACTAAGTTGATTATGCTAGCACTAGTCTGCTCATACACCCCCTAAATAAGGGTGTGGGCATAATGGTAAACAGGGGTTTTTGCAGAGTGAGCCCTATGGCGCACCATAGATACCCCCCGCTGCCACGCTGCCGGATTCGCTTCGAAAATTTGCGGGCATTTTTTCAGCTCGTTTCTCAATAATTGACCTGATTTTGATCCTCAGATGCCAACCCTGCCACTGCAGCAGGGGGTGCGGCTAAGATCGCTGGTCCCAGAGCAGTGCCGCTCAGCTCAGTGGTTGCACAGACAATCGCCTCAATTGGTAGCCTGCAGCTTATGTTGCCTCTTACCCCCCTAGTCTAATGAGCTAAGGAGGGGCTCGAAAAGTTGACAGGACATTTTTAGAAATGTCATAGGATTGGTTATCTGTTTAAGGTTGGTGTTATTGCAGCCATGCGAAATTGTCCGTCTGTCTACTTTGTAACACTTCGTCATTGGGTGACACTGCAGCAGGCCTCCCGTCTGTCTACGCTGCCACTCAAAGCCGGTTCCCGCCGCATCCGGAGGTCAAGTGTTGTACGGAACTATCAGATCTTGATCTTTGAAAGGCCCAGACACACATTATGAGAAAAATGCGAAAAAATTTATAGCCTTCCGTGCTACGATCAGAAGGCGACGTGCTCAATATACACCTAGGTAATTAATTAGGCGAATTATTTAGGGCCAAGTGGTATTACAATAGACTATTCTATTTGCTCTCCTTCTTTGTTTTTCTATCCCCAACAGGTGGACATTCTCAAGGTCTCACACACATTGCAATTCGAACCCTCCTCTCGGAGCCAGCAGCTTCATTGGACACCACAGAAATTTGGCATCCCATCTTGGTAGAATTAGAATTTTATTTGTTTTGCTTTGGCAGAACCTCGAAAGTTAGGTCACTGCGTCGTCTTTTCGGCTGCATGCAGTCCTTTGTTTTGAGCCATGGCCTCTGCCTCCTTCTGCTCCAACGCACCGGGCTCAGTCAGGTCAACACCAAGCCGCATGGCCTCAGCTACCTCCTCCGCCGGACCGGTGAACCATCGGTGTGCCCAGAGGACCCACGAGCCAATAGCAAAAATGCCGATAATGCCCACCGCGACCACAGTGTAGTTCAGGGTCTGGCTGGTGACAGGGTTGGACTCAGGGAGACAGAACACGACGGTGATACACGCAATCCAGGCACACGCGCCTCCTGCAATCACTCGAGACATGCCTCCAAGGTTGAAGGGTCCTTTCATGGCCGTGAAGTTGCGGTGCCAGATGATACCGATGAGGATAGGCAGACCGTACGAGATGTACAGACCGATGGTCGCAATGGAGGTGGCAGCAGAGAAGGCGACAGTAGAGCCGAGGGATGGCAGAGCCAGGATGAAAGACAGAGTAGCAGCGAGCCAGATTGCCCGGATGGGAGATCGGAATCGCTGGTCGACCTTGTGGAAGAATTCGGGAATGCCACCGTCCCGAGAGAAGGCGAACATCATTCGAGAATTGGAGGTCATGGAGAAGAGGCCGCAGTGCCAGACACAGACTATTGTTGAGGGTCAAACAGTCAGCAACAACAAACAGGAGATACCAGGTATGAGACGACAGCGTCAGGGGAAAGAACGTACTTATGATGATGGAGAATACAGCCAGAGCCCCGTTCTCTCCGAACACATCGACCAAGATCTTCAGGACAGGCTGAGAGTACTCGTTATCCAAAGTATCGGCGAAGTTCTGGATGGAGAAGAGGAAGGCCAGCAAGACGAAGAAGCCAAAGATGGCACTGAAGCCGACGCTCGAGACGACACCGATGGGGGCACTCCAATCAGCTCGGCGGGTCTCCTCGGAGAGATGAGCAGACGCGTCGAATCCCGTGAGCGTGTATTGGGACATAAGGCAACCACACATGGCTACGTAGGCGGGACTGGCCCGCATACTCCATCCGATTCCTTCGAGGCCTGTACCATCGTAGAACGTGGAAAACCTGTTTTACCACAAGGTTAGTCATGGCCAAGATAAAAAAAGAAGAGACATGGAGAAGCATGTATTAGAATCAATAGTCAAAATTCACTTACACAAATTTTGCAGACTGGTGTGTCGGTGCCTTTGCCAAGACAGCGATGGCCTGTTCAACCTTGCGTTAGCCATCAAGAACAGGATAATTGTCTTACAAGATTGTATTCTGGGAGGATAGGATGTATGGATTCGAAGGCACGTACAATAGCAGTGACGCCCGCGCTGTGGAGGAAAATAGAGATGTTGTTGAGATATCTGAGGATGTGTACTCCGAAGGTATTCACCAGTCCCTGCTCTTTGTGTTAGTCTGGTGGAAGTGGTACTGGATAACTAACGTTTTCTACAAGAAAGACTCACATGAGAGATGAGCACGGCTGCGTAGATGCCGATCGTCTGTGCTGCGGTTCCCTCAAAGTCCGGATTCTTCACCTTGGCCGCCGTTGCGATCAGGCCGGCCAGGCCGAAGCTGATGCCAGTGGTCACGGCCACCTGGCCGAGCAAATTGAACCAGCCCGTCAACCTAGAAAGACCAGACGTCAGACTACGGATTTTGTCTCGTGTGATCACTTACACACAATATCTCCAGCCCCGTCTGAGACCAAGAAGTAAGACTATTACTTACCACGCAGCAAAGGGGCTCCACCGAGGAGGGGCGAGCATTGCAGCCCAGAAATATGGGCCTCCGCTCGTGGGAATGGCAGAGACGATCTCGGCCATGGCGATAGCGACGAGCATGGTGAAGAAGGAGACCAAGATCCATCCGACGCTCATAACACCCGGGCCACCCGTGTTGAGGCCATAGCTGAACAAGGTCGTGATGCCCGTGATGACACTGATGATGCTGAAGGACACACCGAAGTTGTGCGCCAGACCCCAGTCTCTCTTCAGCTCCTGCTTGTATCCGAACTGGGCCAGGCGATCCTCATCGTGCTCCTGTCCTGGATTGGAGGTTCTGCGCTCTACCGCTGGCTCGGCCATGATCTGGGAATGTCGCTGCCACAGATAAAAAATGCTGAAGGCGGTACGTATAAGGAATGGTCAAGTGAGGAAAAGAAACAAGAAAGAGAGTGGCCTTGGTTGAAGCGTATAGGCACTTGATGGTAATTAATCGATACCCAATGATATGACAGGATGTAACAGTGGTCAGCCCCTGCCGATGGGATTCAGAAGAGCCTGGCTGGCACGTGTTCAAGTGCCTGTCGAAGCTGGAGAGCGAAAAGAGAGAGAGAGAGAGAGGATGGGGAACGACCTGGTCGAGATCCGTCGAATCTCCCCCGTCTTATTATACCAACCTCCACCTCAGAGGTAGTCTTTCGATCTGGTTATCTTGTTCTTTCGAGTCATGATACGGAAGGGAGTGCGTACGCCTTGTCGCGAGCCCGGTGAATATATTATTATGGGGAAGTATATATCTCGTTGCGGCACTTAACTTTTTCTCCCTCTTACTTCTTCTCTCTTCTTCCTTGTCTTGACTGACCCCCCGTATCAGCAAGCGAGTGGGCATGTATCTTATTTGGAGGCGCCCCAGCGTTTTATCGCGGCGTAGCAGGCCAATCAGGAGGGCAAGAGAAGACGACGGTTCAGGGGAGCTTATCTTTCCGCCTCTAGCCCATATCAGCGCTAACCTTGATTCTCTATCGTGGTACCATACTTGTAAAGTACTCTGACAAGCCTGGGGGGCCTGTTCTCTCCTAATTGCTGTCCAAGTGCCAGTCCAGGGTTGTCCAGACCGTCCCTCCCGTCTAGAGAGCAAACGCCACTGTTCCGTTCCTTTATCAAGCGGGCAGTACTAAGACCGTGTCTGGCAATTTGAGCCGAGGCACGGTGGGCACTTCTCCCGGGCTCAGTATCGAAGGGTCAGTATTTGATATCCATTACCCTCGTCTCTTAGAAATGAATAGGCAATGTGCAGATCAGCGATGGACTTGATCTTGGAGCGTGAAACAATTGGTGAGACCTCTTTCAGGGGTCGTTGAGATTCCATTGCAATCACATTTTGATGTGAACTCATTTTGATGATGATTCATTCCTATGGGAATTTCGCGTACAGCACAGAACCCCCATCTCACCATTGAGGACGGATCAGAAGTGGACGATTATGGCTGATTGAGCAGTTCTGCGAGCGAATAGACTGCAATGTTACTTACTAATACTACATGTATCTTTTCATCAAGGCAAGAAATATAATAATATGCTGGCCTATCTGACCATAAGTAGGCATACTATCACTATCGCTACTACAATCATTACTTACATAAGTAGGTATGTACATACCCCTCCGTTTTGACCACCGAGGCGAATACAAACAGAAAGAAGAAAATCAACTTCCCACTTGACTAAGCGCTGGCCGAAATGCTGGCCTGGCGCCTTGGGTTTCGGTACCGGCTCGGCCAGAGGACGGAAATAAGGAAATACAGCAACGATGCTTCGCTTTGCCAACTGCACTGCAAAGCGCGATGGGCCGAGTGACGTCAAAGAGCGCCACGTGAGGGCGTGCGTTCAGAGAGTCAGTTCTCGTTTCTTCTGTGCCGATTTCTCACGGAATTTTGCTCCCACCACGTGGTGCAGGGACATTTTCCAGACATGGTTGATTTATTTCTCCTGTACATAATAGGTTGCCATACATATACATCTCTCCTTGAGAATTAGGAAATCCTTTCTGGCCAATACTATCCAACTTACCTGTGTCCCAGACCACTTTTCGTTAGCAGCGGCTGAGATCAGCAAACCCGGCGATCATTAGAGCCTCGATCTCAAGTCTGCCCTCTGATTTTATATGAACAAAAATCACAACTACAACAAAAAAGATGGTTGACAGAGATGAATCTCCCGTTCCCTTGCGGGAGAAGATGGGTGAGGAAGAGCTGGGAAACTCGAGTGCAGGGTCTTCGGATCAGCATTCTCTCCCCTACCTCCACGACCCTCATCATTACCATCCCAGGCCAGACGAGGACGTCGAGCGCGGAGTTCCCATGTCAGACGTGGAAACAGACCACAGCGGTGACGAGGACGAAGATTGTCATGATCCCAACGAAAAAGACCACCACGATGGTCATCGCCCCTGTGCTCTCGAGACACGGCCAACCTGGGCCCGCTCTCGAAGCCGGAGAGGCAGCCAGACAGACAGCCAGGCCAATGCCAGCGGTCTGTCGCTCAGTCGTACAATATCGCGGAGAGAAACCGTCTTGTCAAGGCTACGGAGCCGACCAATTCCCCAGTTCAGCCATCCCTTGACACACCAAAAAACAAGTCCCGCTGAGCTCGTGGACTTTGACGGGCCTGACGATCCCTACCGCCCTCTGAACTGGTCGACGCACAAAAAAGTCAGCACCACCCTCCTGTACGGCCTCGTCACCATGACGGCAACATGGGCCTCCTCCTCGTACTCTGCAGGAACAGATCAGATCGCCTCCCAGTTCCGGGTGAGCACCGAGGTGGCCACGCTGGGGACGACACTCTTCCTCCTCGGCTTTGGCCTCGGCCCTCTGCTGTGGGCGCCCCTCTCTGAGGTGTATGGACGGCGTGCGGCTGTGCTCACCCCCATGTTCGTCTCTATTTGTTTCTCCTTTGCAACAGCCACTGCTAGAGACCTGCAGACCATCATGATCACTCGGTTTTTTGGTGCCTTTTTCGCTTCCGCGCCCGTTACCAATACAGGCGGCGTCCTCGGTGATGTATGATTTTTCTCCCCCTTCCCCCCCCCCTCTAACAGATTCCCAGCCACATTTTCACCAGTGACCAAGATTGGCTACTAAAATTACCTTCATTTCATTTCAGCTGTTCTCACCGGCACATCGTGGTATTGCCATGGCTGGGTATGCCCTGGCAGTTGTCGGCGGCCCAACTCTCGGCCCCATCGTCTCTGCGGCTGTCGTACAAGTGCCCTATCTCGGCTGGCGATGGACCGAGTACCTCACAGGAATTCTGCAGGCCTTTGTGCTCCTCAACGCCATCATCTTCATCGACGAGACGTATCCTCCCGTCCTGCTTGTGGCCAAAGCACGGAGGCTGCGTCACGACAGCGGAAACTATGCGCTCCACGCCAAGTTCGAAGAGTGGGAGCCGACCATCTCTGAGCTCTGCCGAAAGTTCCTCGTCAGGCCGCTCCAGCTGCTCTGTACCCCCATCTGCTTCCTCATGGCCCTCTACGCCTCCTTCTGCTACGGAATTCTGTACATGCAGCTGGGCGCGGTGCCCATCATCTTTGGGGAAATTCGGGGGTGGAACCTACTCCAGAGCGAGCTGCCTTTTCTCGCCATCTGCCTGGGCAGCATCACGGGCGCCGTGCTGAACACTCTGAACCAGCTCGCCTACAACAAGGCGTATCATGCCGCGGGTGATCGCGCAGTTCCGGAGAAGAGGCTGCCTCCGATGATGCTGGGCTCTGTACTTTTCGCCGCGGGCCAGTTCATCACGGCGTGGACTGCCGAGCCTGAGAATGCGCCGTGGATTGCACCGGTTCTTGGGCTGTACCTCATGGGATGCGGATTCAACACTATCTTCCAGGCTGCACTGAACTACCTCGTCGACACGTTCAGGATGTACGCAGGTAAGTTGCACCAGAATATATAAGAGACTATACCCTACTCTTTTATCTCAGGATTGAGGAGGGGGGGGGGGAGTAAATTTTCGACTCTTAAGCCAGACTACTAACAAATCTCTCTGATTATAGCCAGTGCAGTAGCCGCGAATACCTTTCTACGCAGTGTTTTTGCGGCTGGTTTCCCATGTAAGTAACCCTGTAAACTCTGTTCTTCCAAAGAACTATACTAACTGTCCGGGAACAAGTGGCCATTAGTCCTTTGTATGCGAACCTTGGTGTCGGCCCGGGCCAGTCTATCTTTGCTGGATTCGCCACCCTGATGATCCCGGTTCCTTTTATTTTTCATCTGTATGGCAAGAAGATCAGGGCGTCAAGCAAGTGGAGCAAGGGCAGCGTGTATTGAAAGCATTCGCGATGACCAAAAAAGTGGTGTGGTGCATTGTTCGGTGTTGGCGGCGTCATCTATATAGATTTTGTATTTACGGCATGATTAATACCTGAGAGGCGGGTGGGTCCCTCAGTCGATAGCATGGTCACATGGTACTGCAGGTGAAAAGTGTGAGTGAGGTCATCTCTCATCATTTGCTATTTAATTGTGTGAAAACTGCCTGTTCATATGTGGACCTTGACCTTTCATTCAAGATAAGAGTTCTGTATACAACAAGGTCCCAGCCAGCGAAAGCCCCCTTTTTGTTGTTGGCTTAAATGATATATCTGAATCCTCTCTGCCCTCTGGCAGAAGCTGGCACGTCTTCATCCTGGTTCTCGTTGAAGATCCTGTCCAACTTCTTGTTCTCCCGCCAGAGCGAGAAGCTCAGGCCTGCCGAGACCACCGTGACAACAAGGCAGAAGGCGGTCGAAATCCACGACCCCTTGACGTAGTACGGCTTCTCGCTGGCCGGGAAGACATTCGTGCCCAACAAGGGCCCGCACTGGCCCAAGGTCTGGAAGACGGCCCAGCCTCCTGTACGCTTGCTCTCGGTGCTGTGCATGTTGGAAACCCACGACATCATCAGCGAGACGCTGACAAAGATCAGGATGGCGAGGTAGACGCCAAGATAGCGCGCCACCGGATCCCTGGACGTAGCGAGCAGGATGAAGCCCACGGCGGCGACGAGACCGAAGAAGCTGATAAAGGGGCCTCGGAGGCGAAGCTTGTCGGCGGTGAAGTTGACGGCCAGAATGACAAAGAAGCAAAAGAGGTAAGGAGGGGCGGACAGGCCGTTGGCTTGGATGGAGGTGAAGATGCCGATCTCAGCAATGATGCTGGGGACGAAGAGCGGAAGGCTTGCGAAGGAGACCTAAATCAAGAGGAAGAAAGTCTTTGGTCAGCGGTGTACGGCGCCATAATCATCCTGCTTGCAACCTCGTTTTTTTTTTGGGGGGGGGGGGGGATTTTAACATCGAAGGGAACAAAACTTACATTGCAGCCAAAGTAAATGATTCCAGTCACAAAGCTGCGCCAGTCCTTCAGGCCAGAGAGCATCTCCTTGACGCGCAGGCCAGTGTGCTGGCCCTCGTCGGTGTCGGCGACCTGGCCCTGGTTGACGCAGTACGAGGCGACCTCCTTCTGCCGGTCTGTGAGGAAGCGGGCATCGCGGATGCTGTCTGGGAGCAAGAAGAAGGCGACGATGGTCATAAGCATGGTGGGCAGGCCCTCGATGAGGAACAGAATGCGCCACGAGGGCACGCTGCTTTTGATGAGCAGGATGGCGTAGCCTAGGGCGCCACCGTAGGCGTTTGCCAGGGCACTTCCCGAGATGAAGATGCCCTGCCTGAAGCCGACCTTGTCGCGCGGGTAAAAGAAGGACAGGTAGACGGGCACGCCGGCGTACATGGCCTCGAAGACGCCGAGGAAGAAGCGGATGGCGGCAAGGCCGGAGAAGTTGTGGACGGAGGACTGGAGGGAGGAGAGGGTGGACCAGGCAAAGACGACACAGGCGGCCCAGATGTGGGCGGGAAACTGTTTCCAGCCGGTGACGGTCCACATGGAGCAGATGTAGCCGATGTAGAAGATGGTGCCGAGCAGGTTGTACTGGTTCCCGACGAGGCCGATGCCGTCGTCCAGACCGGCCTGGTGGGCGTTGCCCAGGTTGGAGCGGTCCAGCACGGAGAGCATGTAGATGACGAAGATGACGGGCATCAGGTGCCAGTCGAGCTTGCGGATGTAGGCAGCCTTCTCTTCGTCGGTGGGGGCCAGGGCGTCGTCCTCGCCCTCGTAGAACTTGTCTGCCTTTTCCACCTCATCGAGGTCAGGCTTGGCCAGGGCCGACGGGGTGTGCTCTGTGGATGGTGCCATTTTCTTTTTTTGGTCTTGCGTTGGCTATGACAGAGAGGGTACAGAAAATCAGCTGAAAATTCAGCTGTGATGGTCCGAGTCTCTCTCTCTCGAACTGGCCGACGACAACGACAACAACAGGAGGACGGGGGACGGGAGAGTGCAAGTGTCAAAGAGAGAAAAGTCGAGTGAGACAAAATGCGCAAAAGAGCGGCATAACGATTTCTTTTTATTCTCACCTTGCCCTTCACACAATAAGACAAGGCCACACTTATCTCTTTCCCCGCGTCATGTCTCTGAAAACCCCCCACTCAATCCTCCTCCTTCGTCTCCTCTCTTAGTGAGCGGTGATGCTTCGGTCAATTTCTGGGGAACGCGGGGCAACAATCTGGGGTGTTCTGGCGTTCTGCATGCTATATCCTGTCACCACCCATCCATCTCACCCATGTTAGCTGTGGACGAGGGCTCCGTTATTGGTTGAACCTCAAGGGATCGGCAGGCTGCACGGTACGTTGCAAGGATCACAGCTGCTTGGGTCTTGTTTGGGTCAGCTTCCCTCCTCCTGACACCGCCCATACATGAGACATACACAGAGTACATGCCCACTATACTTACACGGTCCTGTCAAAGTACTTTTGTACAAGAAGGGCGTGGGCGTACCCTCTTTCTATGACAGCTGCATGATACCACGTCAGGTCCATCACCCAAACTCGTCCTCTTACTGGAATTACTCACATTGCCTGAGCAGCAGGAGGAGGGAAAAGAAAATAAAAGAGGGGGGGAGGGGGGAGGAATTGCCATAGCAAGCTCATCAGCGAGAACCGCTGGTATCGTACTAGACCGTTGAAGTAACCATCGGAGCGGATCTGCGCAGCTCGTTTTGGACGGTTCAGGCACGGCGATAATTACCCTGTATGGAGCACACACACAAGTGGTGCTGTAGTAAGTAGAGCTCAACCATCAATGATGGGGCGCCTGTCAAGCTTTGTGGGTCGTGGGGAGACAGAGCCAAGAGCCTGGGGAAGGAACTTGGCACTGGGGAATGTCTAGTGTCATTGGTCTAGACCAGATCAAGCAATCCGGGGTTCAAGTCCAGCCCCACAGGTCGCCGCCTGGGTAAATAATGTCCCGCCGAGCGCTGTTCTATGGTACTCTACCGGTCTCGGCAGCGACTAGCAATCCAACGTGTGATATGGAGCTCCGCATTCGGCCCTAGTGGTATTTGTTATATACGCTTCATGATTCAACAAAACAAATTAAGACCAATGGAGGAGAGGAGAAAGAGAAAGGAAAGAAAAGGTCTCGTCCCATTTTCTGAGCTTGACAATCTAGCACGTCTTGTACGAATGGCACATTTAGTTCGAGATGATCAATTGGAGAAGAAGAAGCAAAGTACGAAATACCGTATACTTCACTTTGGTCAAATTGTAGCCAGTCATCCTAACCCCACCACCACATTCTTACCAGGGAAAGGAGTCATCGCTATGGATCTTCCCTCTGCCTGGTTGTGCTTCGGACGCCGAATCTTTTGTTTTCACCTTGGGTTTACCTATTGAACCCTCCTACCAATGTGAATCATCCACCTCGACAGCTCGTTAGAGACCTTATCAGCTCATCATCCTCAAGCTGTTCTTGATCTGCTGGCCTCATCATGGCTGCTGCTGAGGGGGCCGCCCCAGAATACATCAGCGTCCCGCATGAGGCCGCCCTGCGCTTCACCCAGCAGATTCTCGAGGCCCATTCCGTATCTCCAGAAGACGCAGCAGTCGTAGCTGACAATCTTGTCTCGGCCGACCTGCGCGGTGTGGACTCGCACGGCATCAATCGCCTCCCTTCGTACCTAAAACGTCTGCGTCAACAGGTTCTAGATCCCAAGGCCAGCCCGACGTTGGAGCAGGTCACACCTGTAGTTGCACGTATGTGATACATTGAAAACAAATGAAAGATGGCTTGAAACGGTACCCTCTTTGGCCATCACTGACTTGGCTACAAATGCCCAAACAGATGTCGATGGCCACAATGCCTTCGGCGCCGTCGTCGCCAAGAAGGCCATGACGGCTGCAGTAGACATGGCAAAGACATACGGCATCGGCATGGTCGCCTGCAACCACAGCAACCACTTTGGCATGTCGGCATGGGTAGTGCAGCAGGCCCTCGACGCAGACCTGATGTCGCTCGTCTTCACCAACAGCTCGCCCGCCCTGCCCGCCTGGGGAGGCAGGGAGCAGCTGCTGGGCGTGAGTCCTATTGCCTGCGGCGCGCCGGGGGAGCCCATCCCTTTTATACTTGACATGGCCCCGTCGGTGGCGGCCAGAGGCAAGGTCTACAAGGCCCTGCGGAGGGGGGAGCCCATCCCGGAGGACTGGGCGCTGGATAAGCACGGGAACCGCACGACGGACCCGGCCGAGGCCCTGGACGGTGGGGCCATGCTGCCCATGGGGGGGCCCAAGGGTTCAGCACTGGCCATCATGATGGACGTCTTCTCTGGCGTCCTGTCAGGCTCAGCCTATGCTGGTCATGTGGCGGGGCCCTATGACCCCTCGAGGCCAGGAGACGTTGGCCATTTCATCGTGGCCATGCGACCTGATCTCTTCATGAGTGCAGAGGATTTCAGGGCGAGGATGAAATATCTTTACGACCGCGTGGTAGGCTCGGAGAAGATGCAGGGGGTCGACCGTATCTATTTCCCGGGCGAGATTGAGATGGCGCGAAGGGAAGAGAGGCTCAAGTCGGGCATCCCATATGCAAGGGCAGAGATCGAGGTGCTGAACCAGGAGGCAAAGGCGGCCGGTGTAGACATATTGGTATGAAAGAAACAAACTGCCTGTGGTAAAAGAAAGGCAAAAGGAAGACGTGTAAATTTCCCGCCATGTTGAACCATAGTAGCTTCTACGCCTCATGTGCCTCTACTACTTCGTAGTAATAATAACCAGAAAGTATAAGAATACAACTGGATAAGAATATTGGCTTTGAGGACCAAATCTCATACTGCTTGATAAAAGTTCAGCGCCTATAGTGCTAACTGATTCCCGCGGGGATCCCCTGTAAACCACTGGGCCACTGTACTGTAGCCCCTGCTAAGCAGCCCGCCCGCTGCTGTGGGAACATTCTCCCACACAGCACGTAATCCAGTACATGTATAATACCATTGGCCAAAAGGGCATCGCGCATGATAGCCACCCTGAGAAGCTCTATTCCAGCCTCACTGCAGAGGAGGGAGTGGAGAGCGAGAGAGAGCATTCTCCTGAGAGACTTGTATCAGATTAATTATTTTGTTTCCTCAGTCAAACACACAACATGGCAGACCCCGAACGCGAATCGACACCATCACAACCCAAAGAAGATGGACAGACCAAAGCCTCTGTGCCGGACCACCTCGCGGATTATGACCTCAGTCGACCCATTCAGCCCATCAGAGGCATGAGACAAGGCCTACCCAACTATGGCGACCCGCACTTTGCCCTCTTCCTCCGCAAAGCCTTCATCAAGGCCCTCGGCTACAGCGAGGATGCCCTCTCGCGGCCTATCGTGGGCATCGTCAACACATATTCCGCCTTCAACCCCTGCCACGCCAACGTGCCGCAGCTCATCGAGGCGGCCAAGAGGGGCGTGCAGCTGGGCGGCGGACTGGCGATGGAGTTCCCCACCATCAGCATCCACGAGTCCTTCTCCTCGCCGACGAGCATGTTCCTGAGGAACCTGATGAGCATGGACACGGAGGAGATGATCAGGGCGCAGCCTGTGGATGCCTGTATTGTCATTGGGGGTAAGTGATGCTGCTGCTGTTGCTGCACATGACCACCCTCGAGAAGCTCACACATTCGAGCCCTGCTACAGGATGTGACAAGACAGTCCCTGCCCAGATCATGGGAGGCATCTCATCGGGCAAGCCTGTGCTGCCCCTGATCACGGGCCCAATGATGCCCGGCAGCTTCAGGGGCCAGAGGATCGGCGCCTGCACCGACTGCCGGAACAACTGGGCTGCGTACCGTGGCGACGAGCTCGACGTCGAGGATATCTCGGAGCTCAATGCAGAGCTGGCCCCTACCGCTGGGTCGTGTGGTGTGATGGGTACCGCGTCAACCATGGCCTGCCTCGTCGCCGCTCTAGGACTGATGGATCTGAGAGCTGGCGCGTGAGTACTGTCTCCTCCAAAGCCGTTGTGTTGTTTCTACTGTTGTACTGAACCACAACTAAACAGGACAGCCCCAGCGGTATCAAGCGCACGCCTTCGTGTGGCCGAAGACACAGGCAAGAATGCCGTCCTCGCAGCACAGTCCCTCACAAACAGCACCGACAGCCCGCTCTCCCTGGCCACAGTGCTGAGCGAGGCCTCCTTCCACAACGCCGTTACTGTGCTGCAGGCCATAGGTGGCTCCACGAACGGCATCGTCCACCTGCTCGCCATCGCCAACCGCCATCCCGGCGTGGCAGGCAAGGTCACCCTGCAGACGATTGACGACATCGGGCGCAGGACACCTCTGCTTGTGGACCTCAAGCCGAGCGGTGACAACTACATGACCGACCTGCACAACGCCGGGGGGATGCTGGCCCTGTTGCATACGCTGCGCCCGCTCCTACGGCTCGAGGCGATGACATTGACAGGGCAGACGATGGGACAAGTCCTGGACGCGACCCCGTTCAGGACCTTTCCGTTCTCGCGTGCCATTATCCGGCCGCTCGACGACCCCGTCTACGAGTCTTCATCGCTGCTCGTCTTGAGAGGCAACCTGGCACCCCACGGGGCCGTCATGAAAGCCAGCGCCAGCAAATACCGGCACCTCCTCTCCCACCGGGGCCGGGCGGTCGTCTTTGCCGGGCCTGCGGACCTGGCTGCGCGCATAGACGATCCCGACCTCGCCGTTGACAAGGACTCCGTGCTGGTCCTGCAAGGCATCGGCCCCATAGGCTTTTTGAATCCTGGAATGCCCGAGGCGGGGCTGGTCCCCATCCCAAGGAAGCTTGCCGTCCAGGGCGTCCAGGACATGCTCCGCCTCTCAGACGGGCGCATGTCGGGCACGGCGGGTGGGAGTGTCATCCTGCACATCTCGCCCGAGGCGGCGCTGCCCGAGAGCGTCCTCGGCGTCGTCAGGAATAGGGATGTGATTGTGTGTGATGTGGACAAGAGGCTGCTGGAGGTAGAGCTGAGCGCGGACGAGATCGCCCGCAGGATAGCAGAGAGGAGGGAGAGGCTGGATGGGACCAAGGAGAGCCGTGGTCCGAGCGAGAGGAGGAGAAAGCCGGTCCGGGGCTACAGGGGTCTCTATGAACGCCATGTGAACCAAGCAGAAGACGGCGTGGACTTTGATTTCTTGACGGCTGCAGGAGCAGAACATTCTAGCTTCTGAGCTGGGAGACCCTAGGCTGGCCCACGCAGCAGGATGGAGGTAGATGAGAAAGAGGAGGAGGAGGAGGCTTTCTATTGACGTCCGCCTGGGCGCAGACTTGATAGCCAATATGGCTAGGAGTCGTAGCTAGTCTGAGAGGACATGTATGGGATCTCGCAGACATAGCAGACTGTTTAAATCAATAGAAGTCCCCATGCACACAAGGCCTGATTCGTCTACCTTCTCAACATCATCATCACTCTAGTAAGTTTCATCGTTCCAACAGACTGGCGGCAAACATGTGTCATCTCGACCAAGTACAATTCGACTCGATAAGGTTTTCAAAGCACATGAAGGGATATAAAGCACCGTACTGTATGCACATAGTTACGATGAGAGCCCCCTGGATTTTAACTGTATCCCAGCTTCACCTCGAGCAGCAGCAACGCACATTCGCCAGAAGCTCACAATGAACAACACGGTCACAACCGAAAATCAACAGTCATGTAGCCGAGGATTTCTAGACAGCCCAATGAGAGCCATCGCAAATGAGCTGATGCAGTGCACGTACGAACCCCGTGGGGATCTATGTGGGCTGCTGGACGAGGTGTGGCAATGGTCAGGGGAGCCATGGTTTGATCCTCATCACAACCTGTGTATCATTTCTTTAGTCTTTGGTTTTATTTTCATTTTGATTTCCCAGAAGGGACGGCCCGAGATCGCATGGCTTCGCCTTGCATGGGCGGGAAAACCCCTCTCTGTGCACTGACGACGCTTGAAGTAAATAGGGCCATGATCCGGTGGGGGAGAAAAAGACACCCTCCCGTGCAAAGTATGTGTGTCTCGGATATTGTAGGCCAAGTATGAGTGGAGATCAAAGACAAAGGAACAAGAGCAAAACTGCTGTGGAGCGATCCACTTTTGCGGCTCTTGGGTGTCCATCGGTCACGGCAGATGGTCGAACGGTTTTTCTTGAGAGGACGCTAGTTTAACTGATTATTTAGATAGGTGGCGAGAGAGCGAGAGCGCGTTGCAAACTTCCTTCCATGGCGGTCCCAGTGGTGCGTATAGAGGAGATAGGTAGAGATGAAGGCGTCTGTTTCTCGTGGCATAGGTGAAAAGTGAGAATCACCTGACGGTCGACTCCGGAGCGTGGCGGCCAAAGAAATCTTGCTCGGCATGACCGACCTGCAGTGGTGCTTGCAAGAGAAGCGGATCCGGGCTCCAGCAAAACTGATCCCATCACGTAAAATCACGTAAATTTTACAGCATGGTCCAACAATGTTTCCACCTGGATCGCAACTTGCCACCACCCCAATCTTGGTCTCAAAGTCGATCAGCAACTGAGAGTCACTTGGTCCCCTGGGGAAGAAAGGAAAATGACGGCTTAAGAAAAGGTCGTGAGGGTTAACGTCGTGGGCAACGTGAGCATTGAGCAGATATAAAACTAATGGACGGCACCAGGCCCTGCCTCCGTCTTACCTCACAGGCTGTCCCAGCCTCGAGAGAAGGCTGCCTTATACCAGACCATCATATGAGCTATGAACAGCCTCGCCCGGTCGCTTCCGGTCCACTGGTCGGGCCAGAACCGGCGCACGTAGTCCGGACTTTTTGTGGATAGATGAGCAATGCAACCCAGGCTAGTGGGCAAGGCTGGTGAGACAGAGTCAGAAGGGTTTTTCTTCTCTTTGCTTTTTGCCTTTTGCCATCGTCAGGGCCCATCCGATTACGGCTCTCGGGAGTTGGGACAGGATCAACCGTATTTATGACTGTAATGCCCTACTATTGTTGTTGTGATGTCTGCCCTTGATCTGGTTCTTGAAACGCCCGACCAACACAGCTCTCTTCACGTACATTTTTCCTTCAGGACACAAAATCAGGCGGACTATCAACGTTGTCATCTCAGCCAGTCCGGATAATTAAATTCCTGCAACAGGAGATGAGAATGCAGTCCGCTCTGCGGGAGAAGCCTGCAAGGTCTTTGGACCTTGAGGAGGCCTCGGCTTCGTCTGGGAGTCCAGACAAGAAATCTGAGGAATCGAGCCCACCCGAGTATGTCAGGACAAGCGCCAGCCTGGCACGGGAAGAGGGTGAGGAGATCAACTATCATACCCTTTCATGGTGGTAAGTCAATCACTGGAGGAAACGCACCCGGCTGTGGAGAAGAGAAAACCTCGGTATGGAAAGCAACACAGCATTTCTGACATGGAATGGGGGGCAAAACAGGCGCGCAGCTGTGGTGCTGGTCGCAGAAACCGTATCCCTGGGCATCCTCTCGCTGCCCTCGGTCATGGCCACTTTGGGACTCGTGCCGGGAATCATTGTTATCATCATCATCGCCATCATCTCGGGTTACTCGGGCCTGGTCTTTGGAAAGTTTTGTCAGCTGTACCCAAACATCCGATCATTCGGCGATGCGGGCGGGGTGATGGGAGAGACGCTATGGGGGCCGGCGGCAGGACGCGTCTGCTTCTTGGTCTTGGGCTGGGGCCAGACCATCTTTATGGTCTTCGTGATGGGTAGCCACCTCCTGACGTGGACGATCGCCCTCAACAACCTGTCCAACAGCTCGCAGTGCACGGTGATGTGGGCCGGGGTTGGACTGGTCATCTTCTTCCTCTTCAACGTGGGACGGACGTTGAAGTACACGTCCTACATGAGCATCGCGTCGTCCTTATCCATCCTCTCGGCCGTTCTGGTGACCATCGTGGACGTGGCGATCGAGAAGCCGATCGGCAGCACGAGCATCGACATCTCCCGGCAGATTGGGTTCGCGACTGGATTCCTCGCGGCGACCAACATCTCCATCGCCTTCTGCGCCCACTCGTGCTTCTTCACCGTCATGAGCGAGCTCAAGGACAAGAAGGACTGGCCCAAGGCCCTGCTCGCCCTGCAGATCCTGGACACGTCGCTGTACCTGGTCTCGGCCATCGTCATCTATATCTATGTCGGACCCGATGTGCCGTCGCCCGCCCTGTCTGCTGCCGGCACTACGGTGGTTCGCAAGGTGATCTGGGGTATCGCTCTGCCGACGATTGTGATTGCGGGTGTCATCTATGGTAAGAACCTCCCACCACATCACTCCCAAATACTCCGACAAGTTGTTGTAGCTAACGCGTCACACAGCTCACGTGGCCGGAACCTTCATGTTTGAGCGGGTGTTTGGGGGTACAGAACATGTGGCGAGACGGACGCGGCTTGGAACGGCCGTGTGGATTGGGATGATGCTGGGGATCTGGGTGCTTGCGTTTGTGATTGCCGAGTCGATCCCCATCTTCAACAGCTTGTTGAGTCTGGTGGCCGCACTCTTTGTGAGCTGGTTCTCATACGGAGTGCCTGGACTGATGTGGCTATTCCTGCACAGGGGGGAATACTCGCAGCGGCGGGTCGGACTGGTCGCGAATGTCGGCCTGGTGATTGTTGGCCTCATGTTCTGTGCCGTCGGCCTGTGGAGCACAGTGGTCAGCATCGAGGGCAGCAGCTCGTCAAGACCGTGGACGTGTGCAAGCAATGCCTAAGAAGAGGAGAGTACAGTCGAGGCTCGCTCGCGCGTACTGTGTATTATAGAGCCGAATTTCAAGCTTTTTGTCAAACCAAACCACCCCGCTCGCAGAAGAGGGGGGAAAAGAAAGGGATGTCAGTTGTACGCTGCTCGTTGCGTCCTTGGGTCGAAGATCTGGCGGGAGAAGGGCCATGGATCGTCCTTGCGTTCTAGTTGTGGATATCGTAGGCCCATGGTCTGTCCTAGATCCGTGGTGGGATGTATTTCGCTCTGCTGAGGCCTGATCCGATCCAAATACTGTCCTGTCAGCATATCTTCAGGCTGTGTGACCTACCGTTTCCCATCAGAGAAAGAAGGCTCCTACTGGTGATGACGATCCGGAGGATTGGTCACAAGAGGCTTTCTAGATGGACAGACAAGAAAAAATGACAAGTGACCAAGATGTCGCGTGGGATGGTACAGCAGCATGTGAGATGTTTCGCAGCAGGGGCCCCACAGCGTACCAACATACTGTTCTGTACATCCCTGTAATCCCCCACACTACTACTCAACATATCGTACTACGTAGATAGGCTCTGCGACCATGAACCAAGCTTACTACAGTGGTTGCCCAGGCTGTCGGGGCCCTAGTACATCCCCTCTGGACCCTGAAATTTGGGCGCAGAACCTTGCTCCAGGCTGGGGCCCGGGCTGTACAAAGAAAGAAGGGAGAAAATGATGGCCATCGCTCGAACGCGGTTTCAAAGGGCATGTGATTGCGCAACTACGATTTACAATACATACTCTGCCTATCCCAGTCTCCTCCTCCATCTTAATTACTTATTTTATTCATCCTTGCCTAAGATACTAGGGTTGCAAAGTATCCTGCCTCCTGGGTCTTGTGTGCTGCACGTCGCCTCACCTCCCATAATATTGTTGGCTTCTAATTCTGTATTATATTTACTCTCTGGCGGTAGTGGCCACATGACGGGGCCCGATCCCTTCACTCGACCTCGGCCTCCTTTTTCCTATATTTCGTTCCTCCTACGCAGCCAAGAGCAGTTTCTTCTCTCTTGACCCTCCTCCTCGGCTGCTCTTCCTGCCCCTCACCACCGTGGACAACGACGACTACGGGCTCCTCTTCGTCTCCTCATCCTCTAGAGCATCCACTCCTATGCTCTGTCGAGCCCAACAGTCTTTACCGTCTCCTACCGCGGGCTCGCCTCCTCGGCCCTGACGCCTTGTCGACATTCACCCCTCCCCCTCCAGCCTCGCGATAAGGTCGCAGTCGCGCTTCCAGCCATGGGGGATCGCAAGTCTTTGGTGCGCGACGGCACGCCTTCCGGAAAGCCTTTACTCCAGAAGAAGCACAAGCCCCGCGGCTCCGACGGCTCCGACGGCTCCGACGGTTCTCTCGACCCTGACCTCGACCTCGATCTCGATACCGCCCACGACCACGATCAGCTCAACCGCGGCCGTGCCTACCAGAATAGCTACTATTCTGTTCCTCATCCTGCCAACCGCCGACCGTCTCCCCTCCTCGCCGGCGCCGACTCGGGCTCGCGGCCTGTCTCGAGACACACAAATGCCTCGGCCAGCACATCCGGCACGCCTCGCCGGCCTGCCTTCTCCAGGAGGAGTACGCTCCGCAGCCGCTCGCCCGCGACGAATGCGCGCCTCGCCGCCCGCAAGAAGTACACCTATGCTGCCGTCTTCCTCGTCATATCCCTCGTCTCCTTCTGTGTTCAGACGGAGCTGGCCGCTTACGTGCAGCATGATCTGGGGTGGAACAAGGCGTACTGCATGCTGTACCTGACCCACGGCAGCTGGGCGCTGCTGTGGCCCACCCAGCTCCTTATCCTCCGCCTGCAGAGGCGGGACATGCCGTGGCCCATCTTCTGGAGGAAGCACGTCTGGCTGTGTCGCACCACGGCGCAGATGGTCCACGGCCGCACCCTCGAGGTGCCACACTACCACCAGGCGCAGAGCCCCGTCCGCTACATGCTCAAGACCACCGTCTTTGTCACCAGCGCCCTCACCGTCGCGGGCCTGAGCTGGTACATCGCCGTCGACCTCACCACTCCGTCCGACCTGACAGCCATCTACAACTGCTCCGCCTTCTTCGCATACGCCTTCTCGATCCCCCTGCTCAAGGAGCCCTTCCGTCTCGACAAGGGCTTCGCCGTCGTCATCGCCATCGTCGGCGTCATCGTCGTGGCTTATGGGGACACAAAGCAGGGAGGAGGTGGAGAAGGAGCAGCATTGCCCAACGGCCCGTCGGCCAGCGGGGCGGGAGATGACGGGAACCGCTTCTTGGGCAATGTCATCATCGGCTGTGGCTCTGTCCTCTACGGTCTCTACGAGGTCCTGTACAAGAGGTTTGCCTGTCCGCCCGAAGGCTGCAGTCCGGGGCGGGGCATGGTCTTTGCCAACCTTGTCGGCAGTCTGATCGGGTGCTTCACCCTCTTGGTGTTGTGGTTTCCCCTGCCTCTGTTGCACATCGCAGGGATCGAGAGGTTCGCCCTCCCCACCGGCGCGACCGCCTGGTGGCTCTTCTTGTCGGTCGTCATGAACGCCACTTTTGCTGGGTCCTTCCTCGTCCTCATCAGCCTGACGTCGCCCGTCCTGAGCTCCGTCGCGTCGCTCCTGACCATCTTCATCGTCGCCGTGAGCGACTGGTTCCTGACCGGCCAACCCCTCAGCCTGGCCGCCATCGTAGGCGGCCTCATGATCATCGTGGCCTTTGTCATGCTTTCCGTGAGCACGTGGCGGGAGATGACCGAGGAGGAGCGCCGCAGGGAGCTGGACATTGACGACGCCGACGTGGATGCCGATGACAATGGCAGTGACGATGACGATGCAAGTGACAAGGCGAGCAGCCACAACGACTAGCAAAAGGAGCTCGTGCACTTTGATTCTAGGGGAGCGGAATGTTTTTGGATCGTCGTTTCTTTTTCTCTTTCCTTTTTTTCCTCCCTTCTGTGTTTTTTGGGAATGAGCAAGTACTGGCGTTTCTTCAAGGATATATAGACATGTCATGACACTGGCATGGTTTCCAGAAAGGGGAAAACCTCCCGATGTTGTCTGGACGGTTTCTGTATGGAGTGGGCAAACAACATGGGCATCTAGCATGTTGGTATATTGAGGTTGGGCCCGCTTGAATGGCGCCTAGAGGACCACCAGATGGTGGGTTTTTTGGAGATGGTCATGAGTGCATTACACGAGCGATATATATATACCCTCTGGCGTGGCGCGGTGGTGGCGTGGCGTGTCATTATTTGCTCTGTCGACGGCGAGAAGCCAGAGCCAGACTTGATATGATGGCTCCTCGGATCATGGGAGGGAAACATGTTGGGACAGCAATAAATGATGCATACATTGTATATCTCTATGATTCGTCTCCTCTACTCTTCGACAAGCAGACCCAGGTCCACGTTCTTCCATAGGAAAAATTGGCGGAGGATCCTATAATCATCTAGTATCTTGTAGCACTCTGCTTGGTCTCTCATGTTGCCATCCTCGAACACCCGGATATCCACCGTACAATGACCATCCAAACAGAATAGAGAGACACGGTACTCAAGTTGGCACTGAGTTGGTACTGAGCTCTGCGTGAGAACAAATCGTGCCCACCTGGCTAGCCTACTCGGAAGTTGAAGTCAAGACGGATTACCATTTTGTTTCTCGGACACAGTGCAGTTTATCTCAGAATTGAAAAGTAAATTCCAGGCTGTTGAAGTAGCGGGGACACCCAGATGGGCCCTACTGAATACATCCAAACCCCAGCGACTATCAGAGCAAGTGCTCCGATAGTCACAGGTTTCGCCGTGCTGTAGCACTGCTAATGAATAGAAAGTACTAAAAGGTATCTACAAAGAAAGAAAAATGTGATGTCCAATTCTCCGACGGGTGGGAGCGTGATCGACCATCGGCGGTGCTATACCGACAAAGATGAAAGAATTGCCAAAAAGACACTGGGCCCAGGTTGATCAGTGCTACGTGCCCAGATGCCCCATGAACACATAGGCCCAGAGTCCTAGCCAATATACTCGCTCATCTCCTTGCAGGATGTATTGACTCCCCAGCCGCCAAGGACAGAGGGCTTCTCCGTGTCGGAGTGGTTACAGTCACCGTACCCGATAATGACATTCCAGTTTCCACCATCGGCGTTGGTGAACTGCTGTCCGGCCATGGAATACCCATACAACATGGATCCAGTACTGCTGTGTATACAGCAGCGTTGCAGGATGTTTTCTCCATGCACTTCAATTTCCTTGCCCTTGATAGTGATGGAGTGAGGATTGTCCTGCGTTGCGGTTAGTACAGCTTCAAAGTAAACATAAGACAGCAGCAATTCGGTTCTTCTTCTTCTTACATTGCACGCATAGATTGCAGTGGTGTCTCTGCATTTGACACGAAGACAACCCGTGGCACCTATGGTGTGCAGGGTGTTCTCGTTCATGACCTCAGCAAGGAGCTCATTTGCCATGGCGCCATTGCCACCTGCTGATCTGTTAGATTCACTCGTTATCGTGGAAGAGGGAGAAAGGTCGGAAAGATCACGGCGTTTAGGGAGGGAAACAGACTGGCAAAGTTTCCGCAATACAGCATGCCATTCCGGGGCTCGAGAGACCGATCGTGGAGACCAGTATTGTCAACCCGGGTCTCGACGACACCTGCGGGAGATTCGCCGACTGGGCCTGCTGCAACAAGGCCAAGAGCCCAGGCAGCAATGACAACAGTTTCAATGATAAAGCTCCTCATTTTGAAGGTCGTATCTTAGACACAAGAGAATGACTATAGCAAGTTAGATGTCGAAATGAGTGTAGAATCCTTGCTTGACGAACCTTCAGAGACTGACAATTGCGAGCGGCGGTATGTCCATGATTTATATACCACGACGTCTTGTCTCACGAACCTCGGGCAACCGTAATTAATACAAACTCAGACGCAGAGTTGAGGCTTGAAAGCATGCGCCTATGAAATCTTGCTCAATTTGTAGGTGTCATGGTCAGCCTCAAAGGCGCGGGCCATATAGTCTGCCGAGAGATATAGAGGACAAAGCAAAGCTTCGGAGATACCAGATCCGTTACCTGAGAACAATATGAACAACTTGACAACGTAGCCTTTGACTGTTCATAGTACTGACTCCGAGAGAATACTAAGAGTGCCCATTCAGCCGCATCACGATGTTGTCCCAGTGACAACAGGACCGGACAGGGCGGATTCTTTAATTAGACAACAACTGTCGCTATAGACATATCGTCTTTGGTCTTGGGAAAGAGAGCGACCCTCCATGTGGGATGACAAAAATGGTGCTCAGGGCTTGAGAATCTTTCGGTAGATTAATACCGCAGTAGTAGCAGACTGGCGAGTTCTTCGAGCAGTCAGCTAAGGTCATCAATCGTCCTTTCCGATGAAAGTATCCTTTTAGTGTCTACTTGAGTACTTATCAAATCTTTAGAGAATAATTCAAATTTAGTCTCAACAGGCTGTACGTCGCCGTGGGAGCTTCTCCAGATCTCCATATTCTGGTTTCCACTGTAGAGCTTTCTGAATGAGGCAAGTCTTCCCTTCCATTGGTCTCCTTTCCATTCGGTCTCGTGTTTGGATTTTTTTGAGTATCTCCGATGTCTTTATAAGTCATCTCGAACTTGTCCACTTGATCCTTGCATTTCTTGGACGGTTGAGTTCATGATTCTGAGATCTGTCTGTTTCTCTGTCCACGCTGTTGCATTCCTCCGTACCCCTCCTCCTTCCCCCTCCTTTTCCCCGCCTCGACTATGTGGGGTGAGTGCTCGTCTTGTCCCTTCAGGTTACATCAGGAAGTGTAGTCAAGAACTTACTCATTGCAAGACGAGACACCCAGGTTCGGACCCTGGGGGAGTAGTGGCTCTTTGACCGATATTTCGCAAAATCCTCGGCTTGGCCTTGGTTCAGTAGGTCCGACACATGAGGATGATGGCTTCATACCAACACCAAGAGACCAGATCAGCCCAGCTCCCCCCGGCCTTACCATCGCCTTCGAAGTGAGGGGCAAGAAGGGGAAGAGGAGAAGGAGGGCTGCCCACTCTCGGGATTAGTCCTAGCTCCCGGCCGAATGCTTTCCTTAGGAAGAGTCCGTGACCAGGCTCTCCTCCCACTCCACTCCACCACTGTCTGGTCATGGTTTTGCAGCTTCTTATTTGGTCCTACGCATTGGACGGATGAGGGGAAACGACTCGAAGTTTAGGTCTGGCGGAGATGTGACGTAGAAGGAAAAATGGAGCATGAAAATATAGGTCCTCGTGCCACATGTCCACCATAGTTATAAACCACTGCCCCTCCTCCTTGAAAGAGCTGACAGTTCAGAGTCCTGAAGCAGATGCAACCCTCCCCATCCCCTTCAAATTGTTTATTCTAAACTCCTACGGTCCTCAAGTCCAAGTAACCATAATCGTGACCTCCTTCCAAAATGGTTGAAAAGAAGAATCACCAGCGCCCGCCGTTCCGCGCGGAGCACCTCGGCTCCCTTCTGCGGCCACAGAAGCTCGTCGACAAGCGGGTTGCCCTAGACGGCCAGAAGGCCGTCGTCATTGCCAATGACAAGGAGCTTCATGCCATCGAGGACGAAGCCATCAACGAGATTGTGAAGCTACAGCTAGACCTGGGCTTCCATGCGGTCAACGACGGGGAGTATCGGCGCCACCAATTCTGGGGCACCTTCTTTCCGGCCCTCGAGGGCATGGAGGAGATTGAGGACCCGCCCTTGGACATGTTCAGGCTTTACGTGCCTGATCTGGCTGCCTTCAGTGAGAGATCCAAGGCCCACATATACCGCAGCGTGCCGGCTGTATCACAGAGATCCAAGCTGACAATATTTTTCCCATGCAGCGGAGGCCGGCCACAAGCCTGGCGAGTCTATCGTCTGTGTGGGCAAGATCAAGCATGTCGGGAGCACTTATGTGGATCAGTGGAACTATCTCAAGAAGCTGCTCCCGGCAGACTACGTCAAGGAGGCCAAACTTACCCTGCCGGCGCCCGAGTGGTATCATCTCAGATACCAGACGGGAAGGGCCTATCCCAAGGATGTATACGCCAACGATGAAGAGTACTTCGCAGACATTGCCAAGGCGTACCACGCCGAGCTGCAGGTCCTCTATGATGCTGGCTGCCGCAATGTGACCATCGATGACCCCAACCTTGCTTGTGAGTGTGGCCAAAGAAACGCAGCTGCTTGCCGCACAAGTTGTTTCTGACGAGTAGCCAGATTTCTGCTCAGAGAAGATGCTCCAGGGCTTCAAGGACGCCGGTACGTATAATCCTGTGGAGGCGTGCGCGGTGCAACCTTTCCTTTCCGACGCTTGGGCAGCTCCCGAAGCAATTCGCTGATTTCAGCATCTCAGGCGAGGATTCGGATGCACTTCTAAACAGCTATATCAAGCTGTACAACGACTGCATCTCATCGCGTCCGGATGACATGCACCTTGGGATCCATCTGTGCCGTGGTAATTTTGCCTACAGCCGACACTTCAGTGAGGGCGGCTATGACCGGATCGCGACCAAGCTTTTCAGCGAGATCAACGCGGACACGTATTTCCTCGAGTACGACACGGAGCGTGCCGGTGGTTTCGAGCCTCTCCAGGAGCTGCCACCCTACAAGAACGTGGTCCTCGGGGTCATCACGTCCAAGTTTCCCGAACTGGAAGACCTCGAGAAGATGCGCGAGAAGGTCTATCAGGCGGCGGACTTCGTGGCCAAGGGAGCAGGCCAAACTAGGGAGGAGGCGCTGAAGAGGATTGGTGTGAGCCCACAGTGTGGTTTTGCCAGCCATCACCTGGGGAACAGTGTGACGAGAGATGATATGATCGCCAAGTTGAAACTGGTGAGGGACCTGGCCGACTCTATCTGGCCTGGTGAGCCTTGAGGCCGACTAGATCTGGGGCTTGACCGCATCAGCTTCCAAAGTATGGTGGCATGGAAGATTTGTCCATTTGAAAACATATGTTGGGAACCGTAGGATTCTTAACGACTCGCATCGCAGTACAAAATCGAACAGAGATCGTCTTCTTAGGGGAAATGAGTAGGTCGAAACGTGGCTTCGATACGTACGCTGGAGCATGATGACGGCACCATGAGTGATTATGAAATGATGGTGTACCGAACAGAGCCCCAGGGTGTCATAGCTCGGGAGTCTTCACAAGAATCTCTTTAAGCCGTGGACGTAGGTGTGCGCTCATGATCGATGGGAAGCCGCCGCCTGACGTTCTAGCCATCACCCCCGTCCTTACTCCAGTCTCGTAGCGATCTTCCCTTCCGTGAGCATCACGAGACAATCAGCGAAGGCTCAAATGACTGATCGATCAGCTCCTTGATGGCCGTATCCATCCTATCAAAGTGTGCCAACGGCAAGCTCCAGAATTTAGAGATAGCGTCAATGGCTCATGAACGACCTCGCTGCAAGATCCCTCAGTTGCAAGCCAGAGCTGAGCAAGGATTTGCATTACAAGCAGAGGCAACCCACAATCAACCGAGATTTGTATTTAGCACGACGGTTCATCGCGGATGAGTCGTGTTGCGTGAAGCACAGATTGGTCTCGGTTTCAAGGTTCATCATCGTCTCTGAGAGTAGTATCAGAGTATTCCTGTGTCCTAGAGGACCTTCTTCTGCTGTCGTGCTGAACGTCCAGGGAAGCGTGTTCAGTGTCACCCACAATGGGCTTGGTGTCGGGTGCCGGGGCCAACATGATGTGTTGTGTGCACTGTCATATGTGTCTTTCTGATCACGAGGCCTTCCTCATACATGCAAGGGCTGAGGGTTGTTCCCGACAGTCTTGTAGAGCTCCCTGAGCTCAAACTGGTCGTGATCACCTTCTGGGATCTCGCCGACGACGCGGGCGGGCTGGCCAGCGACGATGGTGAAGCTGGGGATGACCATGTTGGGCGGGACGACGGTGCCGTCGAGGATGCGGACGTAGTCCTTAACGATGGCAAACTCGTCGATAACAGTATTATTACCGATGTAGACGTGGGAGCCGATAGTCGCGGCCTGGACGACGGTACCCTCGCCGACAAAGACGTGGTCGCCCATGCGGAGGGGCATATAGGTGAAGACGCTGGATTGATCGCACAAGACAGTCAGCATGCTTGGCCCCAGTGCTGTCTTCTTCCCTTCCCGTGTACCCATCTCGTGCCGAGCCATACTAACCCCTTGTACATGCGGCCAGGAGGGCGCAGACAGCAGCCCTTGCTGAGGAAACAGTAGCGGCCGATGGCGATGGCGGTGTTGTTGGCCGGGGCCGCACCAGAGCCGGAGCTGGAGCTGGCGGTGAGGGCGGTACGGGCGAGGTCGCCTCTGATCATGGCATCCTGCATAATGACCGTCTTTCCGCCGAGCATGATGTTCTGCGTGCCGACCAGAGTCGCCTTTCGAGCGACCTTGTTGCCTGTGTCCTATAGCGTTGGTAACACGAGAAGCGGTCAGACTAGAGTCAACATCTCCTCCTGGTTTCCCAGGATGATAAGAAGGAAAAGAACGACATACCGTCTCGATGTACTCTCCCCTAGGTGTTCGTCTCGACGACATGGTGGGCAGTCGGTGTCGTGACTCAGTCAGTATCTGTGACGTCGTTTTTTACTTGTCCATTATTTAAGAGGCGTGAAGAAGGAGCAACGCGCAGAGACGCGCCTACTGCTAGACTGCAAGGGCGTTGTCAGCCCTAACCCTGATGTCATTGATTTACTCAGAAGAACAAAGCCCGCCCTCGTCCCTTCTCCCTTCTCACTGTCACGTCTCTTAGGAAAGAAATAACACGATTTAGAATCTAAAATCACGAATACAAAAGACGCGAAGGGTGAAAACCACTAGGCGAGCCTATGATTTTCGGTACAATATACATGATACATCGGCATCTAGTGGGCAGGTCTTCTCGTTGACCTTCCAAGCTTCTCGTCCTCCTACTGGACGGAGCCTTGAAAACTACTTCATTTCCCGTTGCTACGTCCTCGATTGTAAAAGTGTTTTTTGTCCCTCTCTTCCTTTCTAACTGCAGACGCTGCATGTAATATGTATGTATGTTCACGGCCTGTGCCTAGCGTATCAAACTCATTATTGCTTATTTGAGGTTCAACATGCGGACCTCCCCTTGGCTCAACTGGTCTCTTCCCGCCGCGATCCTGAGCACAGTCTCCACCGCCAGCTCTTCCTTGGCGCCGTATCCAAACAGCCTCCACTGCGCCGCGCTCGGAATCCCAAACCAGACAGCATTCAGCACCTTGAGAGCCCGCCACGGATGGCCGCTCGTGAACACCCTGCTCAGACATCTCCCGAACGTGGGGTTTGCCCCCAGCGGCGCCAGCAGCTCATCTGCATATTGTATGTTGTACAAGGCCAGAGCGTGCCTCTCGGACCCTACAAAGTGCTTGTCCTGCCACGCGTGGAGGCTGCTGATCTCTGCGCGCATCTGCGCCTGTGGCGGAAGCTGAATACGGCCGGACAAGACGGCGCATGCCCATCTCGTCTGAGCATCGAACACTGGTGCTGCCGGGCCTACGAGCTCGGCATGACCGATCATGAAGAGGTTTGGGTACCGTGGTGACATGATCAGTTTGTACAGGTCCACGTGCTTGGAGGGTGTCTCGGGGCCTCGGACCACGTCGTGAGGCAGGAAGGGGTAGTCGGATTGTTTGTATCCGGTGCAGGCCATGATCACGTCCACCTTCAGCTCCTCCTCTTCCTCTTTCTGATTTCCCTCGGCGTTGTCGTCCTCACTAGCAGAGATTATGATACCGTCCTGCGTAAGCCGCCTGACGCCTCCCCGGTGGATCACAATAGCCCCGGTCCGGACTTTTTCGACAAAGTCACTCCTGATTGTAGGACTCTGCTCGAGTAGTTTGTGCTTTGGCTGCATCACCTTGGGAGGTTCGCCTTCCAGGAATTGCAACAGCTTAGTCTGCAGCCACTGGGCTGTGCTCACGGGCAACCACACCTGCGTGGCGCGATCTTGTCTCATGGCGTCAGCCTCGTCGTTTGGCACGGGGGAGAGATACAAATAGCATCCTGTCTCACTCACTGTCCCAAGCCTCAGTCGGCTTGCCGAGTACATATCTTGGGAGCACCCATGCTCCTCGACGGCTGATGACGTGAACCTCGTCTGCACCTGGTGCCAGCTCACACGCGATGTCCACCGCAGAACTCCCGAACCCAATGATAGCCACCTTCTTTCGCTCCAACGGCCCCGGGCGGCGGTAGTAGTGGCTATGCAGAAGCTGACCCTTGAATGACTCCACGCCCTCGAACGGAGGTACAGACGGGCTGGACAGGTGGCCCGCACACACAAACACCGCATCAAAGATCAAGTCCTGTGGTGCCTCTTCTCGGCCGCGACCCTGCTGCTGCACACGCACGCTCCAGCTCCCGTCCTGGCGGGGCTCGCACGCGAGGACCCTCGTGTTGAGCTGCACGTGCTCCACGAGACCAAAGTGGTCTGCGTACTCGTGCATGTACCTCAGCTGCAGCCTGTGGCCGTAGTAATCCCCATACCGGGCCGGGTCGATGGGAAAATCTGGCAGGGCCGACGTGTCACGGCACGAGTTGAGCACAACGCCATCATACATGCTAGATTGCACAGGCGCAGCGGCACTCGCACCCTCGGGCCCGTCCAGGGGCACGTCCGGCTGTTGTGCCCACTGGCCGCCAAGCTCGGCCCGTGCCTCGAAGCACTGTACCTCGAACCCTTCCGAGAGACATTCCTTGAGGGCCAAGAGTCCAGCCAGACCTTGAATTACGCATCTCTGGTCAGATACTCATGTCCATAACCCCCACGGCCTGGAAAGAGCTCGAGGAGGCGAGAGGTTGAAGAACAAGGAAAAGACATGGGTTGGGGGTGCATACCGGCGCCTATCACGCACACCTTGGGCTTCTTCTGGGCGGCAGTGGCCATCCTTGGCACTAATGAATTACTCGTATATCGATAGTTGCAGGCAGCTGTTCAAACAAGGAGGCAGCTCGCAATTATGTCGTGGTCGGGCCAGGCAGGAAGAATAGGGGAGAGAGGTGAGACGAGATGAGTTCAAAAATTGGGTCCTGTGGAAGTTGTTTCCGAGCAGGGTGAGCAGAGAGTCAGCTCAAGCCAAGCCGCCATATTAAATAATATAATCTGGTTATACGAACACCATCTAAGAGAGGAGGATGCGTAAACCAACAATGGTCAGCTTCATACAAGGCCTTCGAAATGAAGCCGGAATACCCACTTGCAGAGTCACCACATGACAAAGGATCCTGTGCCGCATCCTTCCAATCTCGCCGCTGCATTAAGCTGCGCTGCCCACCTAAGTAGGCGTTGGTAGTAGTAGTCGAGATTCAACATTTCACATCATATCAGACAGACTACCAAAAATGAGTTGAGGAAACATATACCAAAGCGGCTACTATAGTGATGGTTTCACGGCACGTAATACCCCAGACGGTTGGCTTCGGTTTGCTGTTTTGTTGGCTCAGGTGATGCCTTGATTTTCCTAGTTTCTACCTAATTTTGTAACTTTGCGCAGAATGGGTGTGGGGGGGCAAAACGAGGGTCAACATCATGCCTCTCTCTCTCTCTGTGCCGCGTTACCAGGTCCAACTACCAATCCTCACCACCCTTCCATATTTCAGTGGGGCTTGGTCCCAGCCGAGCGAAACATCGGCAAGAGACATTGTTTCGGCGACCAACCCTGCCATGCCCTCTGCATCCCAGGAAAAAAGAAGGAAAAGTAACTGGACATGCTTCCCAGCCCAGGGACGCAAGCCTACCGAAAGAGAAGAGAAACAGAGAGAGAAAAAGGAAAAAAAGTTATAATAAAAACACAAGTCTGCCCAGCCCCCAAACACGTCGACGAAACCAGGTATAGAACCAGGTTTGCTATTCAAGTGTGTAGAATGACGAGAGAGAGGGAAGAGAATAGAAAAAATGATCCAAAAGAGTGTATAAGAAACATCATGTCCACCATCCGTTGCCACCATTCCGTTTCGTGATCTGTCTAGATCCAGGCATCTCAACAGGGAGGATCGACCTCGGTAGCCTCTGCCGGAGCAGGCTTGTGCATGTTGAAAGGCAGACATAAGGGGAAGGGGGCCATCATCGTTATTACGTAAGAACCCAAAGGATGGATACGAAGAGAAAGTCGGGTCGCGTTCGAGCCGGGTCGAGTCGATTCGAGCGGGTCAAATTTAGGCAAAGAAGATGCCGTTCTTGCGCTTCTCAGCACTGGTGAGGACCATCATGGGGGCCTTTCGCTGACCAGGGCTCTCGGTACCCACTGAAGGCCTGGCACCATTCCGCCCAGTGCGCTTGAAGACGCTGGCAAAGCTACCATTGCTGGCGGTCTCGTCACCGGAGCCGCTGCTGACGCTGTCGGCGCTCTTGCGAGCCTTCTGCCGGGAGCTAGGACGATCCGAGCCTATCGCGCCCCAGCTGCCGGTGCTCGTCCGCGAGCTGGGAACGCTGGGCTCGACCTCCTCGCCGTTCAGGCTACCGGAACCAGACCGACCAGACTCCGACTCGTTGTCGGTGAGGGGGCTCTGAGCCTCCTCAGCCGTCTCGGAGATGGGACTGATAGACCCGGTGCTGCCAGTGTGAGTGACTTTGTGGCGCTCCAGGCCGGCGCGCTTGAGGTTGTTGACAGCGGAGCGGCGAGTGCGGGCCAAGAAATTCTTGGAGCCTTCGTGCTTGGAGGTGGGCTTGGCCTTCAGTTCCTCGATGGACGGAGGGCCGCGGGGCTGGCGGACCGGGTGCTCGCCCGCACGGGCCTGGCCAGGCCCATAGCCTCCAGTCAAGGGGGTCAGGGGGAAGTTGGCGGTCCTAGGGCCAGCCGACTTGGGCGGGTCCTGACCGGCAGACAGGCTAGCATTGTTAATGCCCGCGAGCATCAGGGACGAAGACTTCTTATGTCCTCGGCGGAAGGCGTTAGCAGAAGGCGGGGGCAGAGGAGCTGGGTTCTCGATGAGGGGCGACTCGTTGCGGCGCGGCGGGGTCGCATGTCGGAACGGGTGAGCGGACTCCCTCGGGGGGGAGACCTCGAGCCGCGGGGCACGCTGCTGCTGCTGCTGCTGCTGCTGCTGCTGAGATTGCTGGTAGACACCCCCGAGCTGTGCCTGTTCCAGATACTGGCTGTTGGACAGCTGACCGGACTGATCGATGTAGTAGGCCTGTTGGCCAGTAGCGGGATCGATGTAGGTGTAGATGGTGGGCTGCTGGGCGGCCTGGGCGGCCTGGGCGACCAGCGCAGCCTGCTGCTGTTGCAGGAGCTGCTGCTGGTAGAGACCCTGGTAGCTCTGGTTCCCATTGAGGTTCATGGCATCAAGCTGTTGCTGGGCCTGAGTCAGGCTGTAGAGCTGCTGCTGAAGCATCTGTCGCTGCTGGGCCAGCTGCATGTTCTGCTGGAGCAGCCTGGCGTACAGGTCGGGATCCATCTGAGGGTCGGCGCCGTCTTGATCATCAATATGAATCTCAGGAGGGGCCAGGATCTGCTCCGGTGTATACTGCTGCTGCTGCTGCTGCTGCTGCTGCTGCTGCTGCTGCTGCTGCTGCTGCTGCTGCTGCTGCTGCTGCTGCTGTCCATAGCCCATCATGCTGGCGAAACCGTGCTGCGCACTGGCGGCGGCGTAACCGGGAAGGGAAGTCTTGGGCCCGTTGTTGAGGGCGCCCTCGTGGATGCCGTAGAGCAGGGACCTGCTCTTGGCATTGCTGTCCGACGAAGTGTTGTTGGCAAAGGTGGAGCCGGTGGCCGTCTTGGGCGCAGTCCGCAGACCAGCAAGAAGATGACCGCGGCTAGTCCTGGGCGTGGGCACAGCATTCTCCTTGGCATCGGCGGAGGGCGACTTAAGAGCCTCGACGGATAGAGGCTTGATAGGCTGGCCGCCGCGCCTCGAGGCGAGGCCGGAGGATGACATGTTGAAGGGGTTGGAAACGGGAGCGAAGGTGTGTTGGGCCATCTCGGACAGAGGAGCAGAGACCGCCGGTGTCGCGTGCTCGAGGAGATGGTCCGGAGAGTTGTGGAGGAGTGAAATCAGGATAGGATCCGAACGAAGGGGCAGTGGAGCCGAATCGAACAGAAGTCGAGGGTTGTGCGAGTGTCGGATCCGAACAGACGAAACTTTTTCGTATTGAAATAAATTACAATCAAATATATCGTGGAAGGCGGGAAATGGGCGTCAATCGTGCCCAGCAAACAAATCAGACGATGTCGATTAATCCAATCTGCAGGTAGGGAAGGAAAACAAAAGGTTAGTTAAAAGCAGTGGTCAACGGCCGCGATGCCGTGAGCGAGATCCAAATCTTGAAGGGTAATGAAGGGTGCAGAGGTTGTTGATGTTGCTAAGCCTTGCTAGAAAAAAAGGCAAGAAGTAGGCTAGGGCCTGTCGGAGGGTAAAAAGGTTGAGGGGGTAAAGGCGGTATTGTGTGGTGCTGGACTTACTCTTATGAAGCTGTTGGGTGTAAGTTGTGCTGGAGTGGTGTGAGGGTTTGAAGGGCGACGGCAATGCCGATGACAACTGGGTCTAGAAGATGCTGAGGATGGCGCAGGGTCGAGATTGTATTAAGCGCCACAGCGGTTTGTTGTCCTGTCTTCTTTTTTGTATTCTCCTTTCTTCTATCCGGTGTGGATGTCTAGAGATGGATGATGGGACCCGGCCTGACTCTGATGATTGTTGTGTTGTTTGTGTTGGAAGCAGGTGAGGATGTTGATGATAGTGCGCGAGGAAATGACAGGCAGTTTGTGGGCTGCAATTAAAAAAAATGAGAAGGCAGAAACAAGAAGAAAAAAGACACCTTGTTAGTTGCTAAAGGTGTGTATCGCAGATCGATCGATCGATTGGGAATAAATGAACGGCAAGTGAAGCAGTCGCGATGCTATCCTCCCCAGGTGCGAAATCAGAAGAAAAGTCGAAAAAGTTGCAAAGTCGCAAGGTCGAGGCCGAGGTGGAAAGGGAAAGAGAAAAGGTGGAGGAGGGAGAGGAAGAGTGTGTTGGGGTGTTTGTGTGTGTGTACGCGGAGTGGGGGGAAGAGGGCGAGAGAAATAAAGAGGGAGAGGGAATGAAAAGGACAGGCTGACAGGCACACAGGCATGCAGACAGGCGCGAGTCGAGGATTCGAGGCCAAGTCTAGTCTGGATGGGGACAAGTGGTGGGCCCTTGCTGTAGAAACTGGAAGGCACAGAAGAAGTAGACGAAGAAAAGAAAGTTAGGCCCTGAGGGTTTGGGAGGACCCAGACTGGGGCGATCACAATGAGGACTAGCTACAATGTGCCTGAGTGTGCTATGTACCACAGTACCACAGAGTGGTAGTGGCGGCCCAGCCTATTTGAGCCGCTGTGGTGGGCCCAGGAGAGCTTGAGCATGCCCGTAAGGCGTCCAGGTGGCCCTTCTAAACTGCCTGACTCTACAAGTTGCAGCACGTCCGGGGCTTTTCTGTCGAATCGGTCCCCAGGTGGATGTCTGCTAGGGGTTGGCCTACGCTACAGGGGGGTTGCTGCTCAGGTGGGTCGCACCACATGCAGCCACAGTACGGAGCGCACACATGCACAAACCCCCTGAAGTTGCCTGAACGATCGTAATGGCTGTGTGGTATTTGCTAACCTTTCTTTTTGGAGGTGGGGGAGGCACCAGAATGAAGCGAAGCACCCGCCAGAAAAGGCGGGCTCCCATTTCTTTGTCTCGGCAGCCAGGAAGAATGGGGAAACGATGTGAAATGATGAAGGCCGTGTTTGGCTATTTGCTTTGTGCACTTTGACATTCATACAGACATGTGCTTGTTCGCTCCCGAGCCAGGCCAGTTTGCGGACCGTGGGCTTTGCACTGGACGTGCGGATTAGAGCACTCAGCCGGGTCTGACGTAGCTTAGTGGACACGTAGGTGGGAGCGGGTTGAGTATCGAGATAGACAAGTGTGCAGACACGAGCTTGGCCAGTGTCAGGGTATTCAATAGTGATGGATGTAATAGTAGACTGAGGGACGTTTCATAGTTCACGAGGGGTCTTCGTTCTCTCCTTGTTTCTTCCCGAAATGGAAAGGCAGTTATGGCGTTCAGAAGTACGTGGCAAACAGGCCAGAGCAGTGAATGTGATCAAGCGATGTTTACGGAAAGTGATGCTATGCTGTTGTTGCTGACGGCGTGGAAGGTGATGGTGGTCAGTCGACTGTGGAGGCGTGTAAAAGCTGCGATGCGATGCCACGCTATGCGGTGTGCCATGCCACGCCACGCCACGCCACACCACGATCCAATCTGGACTTCGAGATCCATTGTTGGACAGCACCAGCACTAGCACCCAAGTCGTGCCTGCGTGCCTGGGCAACCCCAATGGTCAGTGAACCTTTCCCTGCCCCTGTCAGGCTGACCCCTAGAACGGAAAGGCCCCCGGGGGGGCCCCTACCCCCTGGAAGGCACAGGACCAGCATTCCACTGTGAGCACACCACACAGCAAGCAAGGCCCGGGATCAGATCCCCTCCAAGATCGACCGTTGATTGACTGCTTCCCCTCTCCAAGATCCGGTCGAGGGATTTCGCAAGCTTCCCAAGGGCTCCCACCTTGCACCAGCCCATATTCACGAATCACAAGCGCCAGCGCGGCAGGGAGGGAGGAGCCAGAAAAAGACGGTCAATTGATGGTTGCATGTCTTGGCAGTTACAGCGGCAAAATGCTGTCCTGTATTGGTTGTTTCGAAACAACCCAGCGGTGACCTGGCCTGCCCACTTGGTAAGCCCACCACCAATCAATTTCACAATCTTGCTCCCCCTCTCTTTTTGCCCCTCACTCTTTCTTTCTTTTTGTGTGCTCATCCTTCCTCATGCCCTCTCCACCTCGTCTTATCTCCTCTGGTAAATCCTTCTCTCTCCCCCTCCTCTCTTCTCTCTCCCTCTCTCTCTGTGTGTGTCTTTGTGTGTGTATGTGTTTTTGGTTGTTTTTTTAAATAAGCAAATGTTATTATTTTTCATGCTTTCAGGGGTATGGCCTTGTCGTCCATGCGATCTCTTTGTCTATTCATTCCCTTTCCTTTGGTGGGTGGCGTTGTTACGTGGTCCCCTGGTTGGTACACAAAGTACCATAGTATCGTGCCACTGTCACTGCGGCACGTGTGTACATCCCCCAATGGTACGTACAGGAGAGGGCTGTGGGGTGCTACTAGTACGTATTTGGTCTTCTTTTTTTGGCTCGTCTCAAGTTGTCGAGATCCCCGCCGTGTTTTGCTGCTACGGTTCGTGGGTCTCGTCTTGTTTGTCCTCCATCCACCTTGCTTCATCCCTCGATGCAGTTTAGGTCGTCGTATCGTATAGCACAGCATACTGAGGCTCCCCCTGACCTATCTGCCAGCCCTGTCAAAATCCCACCTCTACTTTTCCCCATTCTCAAGGGATCCCATCTCCCATGTACCGTTTACCATATATGGGACATGCGCATAGTCAGTCTACTATATCCATTTATGCTGAGAACGGGGGACATGCCAATTTGGAAGAACGCATCACTCTACCCCAGACATATACACACACCAATGAATCAATATATATATCTCCGTACGACCATTAGGCCAAATCGAGATGGAGAAAGGTGTATCAAATGAGAAAAGGAGGGATCATGTCCAGAATAGATCACACAACCTTTTGGCAGGTTTGTAGCCTCAATCTTTCCTGGTCTCCAAGAGAAAGTTAAACAGCCATCATCAAACTCATTACAACGGTAAAGGAGGAAGGACAGGCCAGACATACACAGCAAGGCGCCTAAGTACATCGATTACAACAACATAGGCCTGTCGACTCTTTCTCCGCCATCTACACGAGACGCAACGCAGAATCAGTGGCATCTCTACTGCATAACTGACATTTTGCTGAAGCACTAACAGTGGCATCTTTGGGTATTCTCTGCCTGGTGCTGCTGGTCGTGCTGCTGGTCGTGCTGCTACCTGTCATGGCGACGTTGTGAGGGTTGGGCCATGCTGAAAATCAACCCCCTTTTGTGCTGCCACACATCATCAATCCCACGTCAGAAATGTCTTCTAGAAAAATCAAGCCGGCACGAGCCTTGCATGACGGGGGGAAAAAAAGGCATCATCAGGCTGAGTGACTGCCATGGGATAGGATGAACACCACATCTGAACCCCACGTCACCCTTCTTTCACCCTTTCAAATTACCTATATCTCCGGGCATCTCAACTTGCTTGCGCGTCAGGGACTGTGAGGGGCCGCCTTCTGTAGCACCCGGCCAGGCAGATCCAGCAGATGATCAGCATCTTATGCGTGAGTGGGCTGTGCTGTGTGTGGTACGGTACGTACGTACGCTCTCGTATGCACACGGTCTGTACCAGAATTCTAAGTAGTACAGTATGTATGCTTGTGGTCGCCCTAGCCCCTGCATGACCAACCAAAACCCCCTCCCCGGCGCGGTTTCAAAAGCCTTCTCACTCCCTCCTAGGAAAGGTACCAAGTCCGTGCTATTGTCTCTTGTCTGTAACTCTTCGCCTCTGCCTCGTCTCCCGCCCCGCTCCTCTCCCAATACCTCCCTGTCTGTGCTTCACTGTACTATGTTCACTGCTGGCTCAGTGCTGGCTCATGTCCAGCCAACCCCACCGCCGTTCAGAAGAGACTTTACTTGGTTCCCAGGCCTGGAATGTTGCCAGGCACACCAGGGCAAGGTCAAACGGCAGGCCAAGCTCGCCACATCCGTGCCCCATCCTATGTGAACACTGCGGGTATCCGCAAGGCTGCATAAGCGTTCGCTCGTTTCATACCCATCCCTTGCCCACCACGACAAAAGCTCGGGCCCAGTCCTCGGGTGGTTCGGGGTGGGTAGACTCGTCTAAACACATCAAAATATCCGACCGAACCTGTCGCTGAACACACTGGGGCTTGACAGATCGAGGCACGCGGGGCAGAACTTGGCCGGGCATGTGTCTCTGTAGATGCTGTACTCTTAGTACATTTTTCTTCCTTATCTTTCTCTTTCCTTCGTATTCAATGGTTCTAGCCAAGAGATTCTGCTGTGCAGACTGCGCGCGCAGCATCTCGCATACCATTCATGTCATTTTAGCCATCTGATAATGACTCCGATGTGAGAAATGTACAATTTTTGTAATGCTTAATTGTCCAGATATTAATGCTGGGGCCGCATTGATCACCCGCGCGTCCCAATATCACGACAAGGCGCTCTTCGAACTGCCCACAATTTGCAATGGCAAAACTTCCCGATAGACAGGAAATTCACTCAAGTGCGCGCCGCCCCAACAGGCTTTACCTAGGTGCACCTTCTGGCTATTGCTATGGTATGTACTCAACCTGTTCTGCCATATAGAGACTGGATCGTTCAGGGAGGTGCTACTACTCCGTCCACCTCGTCCTCCTTTGTGTATGTGAAACATTGCCATCGTCCCCAGCCCGCGGGCTATGCTTGCAAGAAACCCGGGTAGGGCTGATCATGCGCGCTTGGGTGACCCTGCGACCCCCTGTCTTTAATTTGTTTGTTTCTAAATGCCCCCTTGCCAGCCTCTGTCTCTCTTTCTCTCTCTCGCTCTCTGTGTCACTCGATCAGCTCTGGACTGATATCTCCCACACCCTTTTCATGTGCTCCGCCTGTTCTCGTTGGTCAAAATAGTTGCAGACCCGTAAAACAAGGGAACAGTGCGATTGCCTTACACGTAATAAGGCATGCGCCATCGTGTCCCTAGGTAACTGGATCATCGTCGATCCCACGATCCGACAGTTGTGTCCTGACGGCACAACAATATCTCGTAACAGGCCCAGACTTTCTGCTCCAGCATGTGTGTAAAGTAGGCAACAAACTATAAGCCACCACCATGATTCCGCTCAGGGGGCTGTCCGCCCCTCCCCCCGGCGCGAGCCGTGATTCACGCAAGGGGTGGTGGAGTTGTATGTACCTGCAGCCGATGGGGGTGGATGTGGAGCAAGAGTCTCACAAGCAAATGTTCCATGAAATGCATGCGCCCTTTGATTTGGAGGCGGTCTCGAGGACAGATCTACGTGAGCAAGGTCTCACAGTCATTGGGCATGAGAGTAATGCCTCCGTCGTCGATCTGAGGATGGTCATGGGTCAAGATGTTGGCGATTCTGCCTAGGACCTGTAGAGCGAATTCCGCCGGCAGGTAGACTCAGTCAGGAGACCAGAAGGAGCTCGTTGACAATAGTGCCGACCTTTCGAGGGAGCTGTTGTTCAGTCACAGCAGGCAAGGAACAATGCATTGATACGATGAACAATAGAGAAGAAGGGCTCGTGACCTCCAGGTCGTCGTACTTAGTTTACAGAAATACAACGCACACTCTCTCAAGATGGCTGGGCTGTGACGGGACAGTGATATTGAATAGCCAAATGGAATGAAATAAACTATGGAATAAATTAATGAAACAATGATGAGAGGAGCATTTTCTTTGGAGCAAGAGAGAGTTGCCAGTCAACAAGGCCACCGAGGGCAGCAGCAATGGTTGTTCTGGTCAAGTTCTGGTCAACACGAAGATGGAGGAACGATGGCCAAGTACCTTTCTTAATCTTTAGAAGTGACCAAACTTCAACTTGGAATCCATTAGCAGCTTTATGATTATCTAGACTAGACTGTATCATCCATCAAGTATTTCGTTATGAGCTTGATAACACGAAACTTGGATAATTCCTCGCTTCCTTCGATACTGGCATCATGCTCGACCAAAGACCTAAACGAACGTTGTTGTGTTTCCCATTTCTCAAGTACACATAAGAGGCCTATGGGACTACAGAGAGGAGAGACTGTGTACATAGAATATGGTCTCCTTCATCTATAATTCTTGGGCGTAGATTACTGAGGTATGAATGGTGATAATCAGTTAGGGCCTCAACCACCATCGAGAGCCCTTAGGGCATGTGTATGTATCAACCGTTGAGCCAACCAACAACGCTCTCTACTTTACAGGTTCGTTCAAGTTGGAGATCACAGACGAGACATTAAGCGGGTAGTCATGTCAACATTGCGCATCTGTCTACTGATGGCCCAATCCTTGCGAAAGAATGGATGGGGCAGGGGCCGTGGCGTGTCCATTGCGATTGAAGCTCAATGTTGAGTCTGAAATGAACGGTTCGAATCAATGCGGGCCAATAGTCAATTAGCAGTATCAAGTCGTGTCACATCCATGGTCTTTGATGCGAACTATGAGCAAATTGCAGTTCACTGACACAGGACAGCTGTGACACAAATGTTGGCCGCCAGTGATCATCTTGATCATTGGCATAGAGGAGCAATGAAGGCACCATGCTTGAGAATTAGAACGACTTAGGATGTCAAGACGATGTTGCTGATTCTCAGCGTCCGGGCGAGAGTCCTGTCTGTCAATCAATCAGGTCAGGCTGGGCTGCTTGACTTATTAATTGTAGGCTTCTGAAGCACGTTCATCCAACATAGATGCTCGACACAACATGAACTGCCTACTGTTTTGAGTATCTATTATCAATCACGAATCGTTATAATGACTCGATTGAAAAAGCTACGTATTGGGGACCCAATATGCTATGATCCATCTACAATATCAAATTCACATGATACGTGCTTCGTGAGGCACGTGTCATATTCAGGATTTCCAAGACATATAATATATAGATAGACAAAAATGAGACTTAATATCAGAGCATAAATTCATACAATAGTTTTATTTAGACAAGTACCAACGTTACAGCAATGAACGAAGAGTTACCCAAGCACTCCGTGGATAGAGAGGCGAGAACAGGAGACCTTGCTGCATTAACATGAGTTCCCATTTTTTTTTGTTACATGTTTTTTTAATTTCTTACTTTGCTGGTCTAGGACTCCATTCAATCTATTTGATTAGTATTCATGAGGGACTTCTGTATGTGTGTCACCACACAGTGCGTCTAATATTTACTCAGGAGGCTACCTCTATTTATGTCGTCGCCAAGCTATAACGCCATGAAATGATTATGCCGAATTGATCCTGGGTCAGCTTATCACTTACACAAGCAAGGTCTCGCCAGTTGGACAGAAACCGCTCTTCCGATTGGCCGTCTCCTTGAACACCACTCTTCCTGAACCCCCCGGCCATCGACCAATTGCCTCTGTGGCACAAGACTGCCCTGCCTCATCACTTCACTTGGGTGGCCAATAATTACTCTCACCTTGGCAGACAAAAAGAAGTTCTACTTCTCAGTCAGCCCCAACACCCTATGGACTCAACTCCGGGGACTGCGGAAAGTTCGCGGAAAGTTTCCCTGCTATCGAGATGAAGAGAATCCTTCGAGGTGAAAGCAGTTGGGCCGAGGAACGGAAATAAGCCACCCAGATCGGAAAGGGGTCTTCTGTCAAGAGGCCAAAATGTTTCTTGCCTGGTGGAGCCGTGCACAGAAGGCTATCGTCCATTGTCACACAACGTCACCGTACCTACATCATAGGTCATCGATACCCTGTCTTGTAATTTTAATTATAATCAGGCTACACTATTGTTGGTCCTTCAGGAGTGACAGCCAGCACGATCACTAGACTCGGAGGGGCCTTGCGTAGTCCGGGGTTTGTCTTTTGCCTCAATCGCCGCATGAATAAGCTCGTGAGAATGCTGAACATAGCTTGAATCCTCCCAAGATCTATCGATTTAAGTTGCAGGAGGCTGGTTATTGGGCCGTTTACGAGTGACAAACTCTACACGCGTGGTGTGAGTGACCTGATGCCTTGCTGAGCGCACAGGCGTTGAGAGCATCAGCAAAATACTTCAGTATGCTGAACAGCGTCCAGGGGACGTAGAAAAGAGAGGTAGGATCGAAGTGGATGCTTGGGGTCTGTCAGAAGGAGTGAATGTTTTCCCACTATGCATTGCTAGAATGTCATAATTAGAAGCTATTGATTATGGGGAGTCCCAACAATATTTGATAATGATATAGCAACAACTATTGGGAATAAGTACCTCTAGTACCTCATAATACTAACTGGCAAGACTGTGTGAAGCGCCACTTGCCTCAAGTTATCTTGTGACATCAATGTGTTCATAATGTCAAAATATTGAAGCCCGAACCCAGTCTGCAACACATGGTAAATCGTCCAAATTGCAGAACTCATGACCACCTGTAGAGCCCTTTTGGAATGTAAAAATATTACAAGACCTCCCTCCAGCAGTCATCAATCATAGGAAACGTGATCTCGTTATCGTGCTCGATATCTAATCGGAATAAAAAGCAGCATGTATTATGAGTCTGCCATGAAGGTAGAGGAGAAAGACAAAAAGGAAGTCATAAGAGATAGGAAAGCCAAAGCCAAATCTGCAAAAGTAAACCTAAGATATATCGACTATATTGTCCGGAAAGTCTACCGCCGAAATGTAGAAAAGCCTCTCTATGCATAGATCGAACCGTAGAAGGAATTGAATGAAACACAAAGGAAAGCGACAGAGAAAAGGAAGCTAAGCCGATGACACAGGCACAATGAAGAGCATAGAAGGCGAGGGAATATACCAAAAAAGTGACCACATTCGTATCATCGTCTGTCCTCCGGTCGGACTCGGTCACCATAATATCCCCCTCCTCCGGCACAAGCCAGGCACACACCTCCACCGTACACTCTGGTGTGTCGCCTCCAGCCATCGCGGGAAGACGGATCTCCAAAGGCCTCCATGGATTCTCCGTGGGTGTGAACCAGCTCGCCGTCGCCGTGGCCATGTGGCGGAACAATCCTGATCCCTCCATCTACGACCGCCCCTGGGCCAGGAAACATGACGACGCTGGGGTCAAAATCTTCGGCGATGCTGGGCGGCGGCGGAGGGAGCATAGGCGAGATGGAAGGATACGAGGACGGAGAAAATGTATCCTCGGTGCCGAATGCGACATGGCTGCTGTGTCCATCAAAGGCTATGGCACCAGTAGTTCTTGGCGAGCGGAAATCTGACGACGCATAAGCAAACGGGACGCCCTCTGCGTGGTGACCGCCCGTCTGTCCCATGATGGCCCCTTCTTGAGACAGGGCGCTCGCAGACCCACTCCTGGCGTCGAACCCTGAGAAGGAAGCCGTCGTGGAGCCACTGTGGTTCAGATGGCCACCACCGGCCGTCGGCAGAGGCAGAGGTGGTGGTGGTGGTGGTCTGTTGAAATCCAATCTGTGTCGCTGGTGGCGGGACGGGGACCTGTTTACGATGAAGTCGTTGTCGTTGCCAGGAGCCCCGTGAGCGCCATATCGTATGTGCTCGTCGTCTGCCATATAATTGACCAAGGACGATGTGGCAATGTTGATCCTATCTTGTCGTCCCTGAGCTGAGCCAGCGACGGCGCCCGCGGTCGTCCCTCGAACCAGCCTTGGAGCTGAAGATGATGAGGCTCTGGCATTGTCCCTCAGTCCAGGCCCGGCAGCGGCAGCAGGAGGAGGAGGAAGAAGAAGGGGACCACTTGACTCCTCCTCTTCCTGCTGCCACTCGATCCAGTCTGTGCTGACTCCACGTGACCATGGCCCTGCGGTCGTGTACCTCTCCTCCTCTTCCATTCTCCTGTTCTTCTTAGAGGGACCGGCCAATCCCACCGGAGCTGTGCCGCTGGCTTCCCCTCCCCTGACTGTAACGCAACTAGCCTGCTTTTCTTGGGGGCCCTGACCCTGTCGGGATGACACCACAGTATCTAAGGTTGGTGTTGAAGTCGGAACAAAGTTCCTTGAGAGGGGGGCCAGCCCGGATGTCCAGCTGATGATGATGCGGCCACAGATGGCTTCTTGCTGGCGGACGATCCGTCTTACCACCAGGAATTGTATGAGCTTCCAGAAAGAGAACAACGACGAGATGGTGGCGGCGGCAACCACAAGGGTAAAGGTCAGGACCGTCAGCCGGGAGAAACAAGACCACTGCTGTTTGTGAAGACAGCAGTCGAGCGCGGGCATGAAATTCTTGCTATTATGGGTGCTGGTGGTATCCCTGGTGGTGATGATGGGCATGTCTCGTGCTGCGAAGACGGAGTGCAGCAGTAGTAGAGGATGAAGGCCCAAGGATGACACTGGAGTGAAGGCTCGAGATACAGAGGGAGCAGCTGGGCTTTTATTATATGAGACAATGATGGGAGGGAAAGGAAAATGAAGGAGAAGCCGTGAACCATGACGGTGGTGAGGCGGGAATCAAGTCCTGCGAGTTGCTCCAGAGAAACAATCACGAACCCATCGCGAATATGCAAGAGGGCCGACCCCACGACACGAGAATGGAGCCGACGTGAGTAAATATAATAGCAAACTTCAAGGAGAGACCAATGTATTACCTGGCTGGCTGGCAGGCCTCTTTGCTCTCTCTCTTTCTTTCTCTCTCTCCCTCTCTCTCTCCACCCCGGCTCGTCTCCCTCTTCCTCAAGGTACGACAGAGACGGTGGATCCATGTATGGCGGCATGGCGAGACTGACCTTACTTACCGTGATGGATCTGATCTCCAAGGGCAGGTAGATGGAGCTTATCCTGTGTACTGTTCGGAAAAGAGGAAGCGGTCCATTTGTTTCCTGTCAGCCAGCCCCTAGTAAAACTAGATCGAGGGGGCAGTGTCAAATAGTGGAGGTCATGGGCGACCAGCCAAGTAGCGTTGTCTGCTCAATGACCGCCGGCGCTCGGAAGGTGGTTGGGAGAGGGAAAAAGAGAGAGAGGAGGGGAGAAACGCGAGGTCGTTGATGGTGAGAATTGAGGAGGCAAGTCAAGACAAGCTGCCTTGCCCCTGGCACAAAACACAAAGCACCCAAAAAGTCGCCAGAATGGGGGGGAAAAAAGAAGGAAAAAAAGGGCCACAAGTACTTGAAGATGGTACTACAGGCAAGCCACGAACCGACTGGTATAAGGCTCTGGTCCATGTAGCTCAGCTACTGGATCGACTGGATCGACGTTGTGAAAAAAAAAAAAAAAAAAAAAAAAAGAACGCAGTTAAGCCAGGCCGGGGAGAACAAAGTGTGCTAATTACAAGGAAGTGCGGTGGGTATGTAAGTCATGTACTTGCTGGGGTTATTACAAAGGGCGCTGATGTAGATTGCAACAGGGCAATTCCACAGACAAGAAACAAGAAGGATGGGACAAAGGGAAGACGCGCGAGAACCTTCTTGGCCCCCGGTGTCGCTGTCTTGTCGGTGGGTGGCCCCATCAGGAGCCGCAGACAAAAGCAAATAATAGTTGGTGGACAATATTTCAGAAGCCATTTTCCCTTTGTTGTTGGTGACGGAGTTAAGCAAACGGTCATGGTAAGTAACAAGGGCCCCTGTCCTCTCAGCGCCAGGTTCACATAACTCAAGAGGGAAAAGAAGGAAGAAATAATAAAAAGTAAAATAAAAAAATAAAGAAAGAAAAGAAGAGGCAAGTCTCATGTTATGCAGCTTACAAGTTCCCCCTCTATCATTTAGCCTGTACTGTACTTACTGCACGGATTATACACATGGATGAACTCGGGGGCCGCTTTTAAACGTCAGCCATGAAAGAAAGGGTGTGTGTGGGCTGTGCGAATTTCGCTGTGAGTGAGTGCCGACGTCAGCGTACCTTAGGACTGAATTCGTCCTTTTAACTCTTCTTTTTTGGTTGTACATCTCTGTCCTGTCTATCTGTTCCTTTTCTTTCTTTCTTTTTTTCCCACCGTCTGTTTCTCCTCTCACTCCAGACCGATTCAGTCTTTTTGCCTCCCCGAAGGTTGAAAGGCCGTCTGCCTCTAGGATTGGTGGGCCAGCTTTCAGCTGAGGTGAGCGGTGAACTGGGCAAAAGCGGTTGGGCTCGAATTTGTCAGTCAACCTTGGAGAAAGAGACCTCGGTAGCCGAGGAAGACATACGTAACACAAGTAGGCAGCCTGGCAGCTAGCAGACCTGTCACACGGAGGGAAGCCCACGTGCTCTCATATCGATGCTCTCAGCAGCCTCCTCTCTTAGAAGTCCGACTACTAGAGTACTGACTTACCTGGGACGAAAAAGACTGCATTGGAACAAGCTGTCGGCAGCGTCTCTACAGACCTGCGCTTACTTTAGTCCTGCCATGTTCCCAATGTACACATATATCGAGAGCCGCGCTGTTCATGCCAAAGCGGTCACGAGTGGGTGCAGTGATGTGAGACGTGCATCGCGTCAACACTGCATTTGTATCCATCCACCTACATGCAGCCGCAAAACTACCCTTCTTGGCTACGGAGGCCCCTGGGATTGGCTTCCCAGGGTATGGAATCGATCATGCGCCGTCAACTCTGTCTCATATGACAAAACAAATAAACATGGGGCAATCCATGGGGACTATGAAGCAGAAAGTGTGGTGCACCACACAAACAAAAGTACTCTTCCATAGTCGTCACAGGTACCAGCGCCGTGATGGCCACGCCCGGGTTGTCTCTACCTGGGCAGCACCACTACAAGCGCTGTACCATGGTACACACCCTCGGCACCTGGAAGGATTCAGCCCTACGACTCGACCCACCCACTGCATATCGAAATACGCTCAGAGGGCCCTGCTGAATCCCGACGACCCGGGGCCCCCTTGGAACATGGTTCGGTCAACGTTGTGAGTAGTCCATCGCGTTATCTTTGGTCTCTCTTGTCTTTTGCTGTCTCGTTGGAACTTGAGCCATGTATCCTGCGAATTTACCCCAGAATTCAGAAGCTGGTCTGCTGAGGCAACATCGGCTTTACACGGAGCGGAGCGGATATTATTCGAATCCTAGAGCACAGGGCTTACCACGACCTTTTGCTAACCTCCCAAGGGATTCCCTCGCCGACTCCTTACCTCGGTGCCATTAACCTGGCCTCAGTTAGATGATGATGATGATGACGATGGTAATATCCTGCTCAAGCTGAAATGAGCATGATCATGCCACGGCCACAAATACGGGGTCGACTGGTTTGCATGACTTGTGATAAATTGTTATTACCTTTTTTTCCCCCTCCTTCTTTGCCACTGGCCCCATGAGTTCAGCTGCCAACTCCCAGTGTCTCTAAACATCAACCTGCCTTCTATTTCTTCTGGCCCCCCCCCCCCCCCAATTGATTGGATGGCACCTCCCACCTGCAACATGGTTTGATCACTGTGTCATGGTTCGGCCGCGAAAGACCAAGGCTTTAGTGAGAACCGCTGTCTTGGACCAGAGCGCTTGCGCTGCGCCAACCCACGGGCGCACAGACTCGCATCGCCGAGTTCAGCCTCCAGCCGCGACGACCGCAAGCAAAGAGAGGCGTGCGGAACCCCTGGGCACTGCTGTGCATACGCGAGAGGTCGGCAATTACCCTGATCCCTACCCATCTCAGCCTTACGAGAACGCTATGGCTGGGAAACTTTAGCTCAGTTGATCTGACATGAAAATTAGCTAGTCAGGCTGTATAGAATGACAGCGTCCTTGTCGCGTTTGTCGGGAACGGTCCATCTACCTCCGTCTCTCTTCCCCAAGATCTTATGCCCCAAGCCGTAGCCCACACCACCAACCTGCACCAACCTTTCTGCAACGCTATCTTTCATAGTCAGGGATCCTCCCTTCCTCTTCACTTCAGCAGTCATCCTGGAACTGGCTATCAGGTGTTATCTTGACCGCTCTTTTTAGTGAATGTCACCCTCGGACCAATGCTCGCTCTGCCTGGTTGTTGGTCTCCCCCTCCAATCTTGAAGCTGCAAGCTTAGCGCACCAGGATGTCCAACAAGTGCTGTTCCGGATAAACTGTTTGTCTGTGACCATTAGACTGTTGATTCTTGGTTTTGTTCCTTCCTTCCTTCCTTTTCTTCTTGCCTCTGGCCCCCACGATAGTGACAGCCCTTGCGTTGGTTCCTCAGCTGCGATTATCAGCTGGGAAACTACTACAGCACATCACCTGTAGGGCCCACATGGAGTCATCTACTGTGGACCTGCAAACCGCTATCTGAAACTATTTGTTTATTGCTGTGCTCTGCTTTAGCGCATCATGGTCTCTGTCTGTAATGCATTCCTTGGTTTCTTGCCTTGCGTATGCGTTCGCTTTCCTTCTCCTTCCATTTGAGCGGCTCAAGAGCCAAGCCTTGAGTTTGCGTGCTTTCGACGCAATGTCAGCAGTTGACGGCTTCTCGCAGCAGCCCCCAGGGAACCACGATCCCTCAAACAACAAGCTGGGGGAAAGAGGGGGGGGGGCGGTGTTCGTGACCCGCTGAAACAATGTTTTACCTCAGAGTAACCTTTTCTATAGGGCGGCAAATGACACTTAACCCCTCCTAGACTTTAGCCGCCCTGTTCGCCAAAAAAAGAGAGACCTATCCAGGCGAACAAACAGGTCATGATCAACCACTATCGGAGAATATATTGCAAAGGATGACTTTGATGTCATTGGCTGATACATGCGCCCTCACTTTACACCAGATTGATATGACTAAATCTTCTTAGTATCAAGCAGAGAAAAAAGCCCCCGAAATTCGTGTTGTGAGAGCTGTCGGTTTGCAACAACATGAGCACATGGCTATTCCATAGCCCACCTTCATCAACATAATCATTGGGTCTCGAAGCACAACAAAAACAGCAGTCCACAACATAAGCAGTCTAGGCTCAACACTTGAAACCAGTCGGGCTGCACATGTGACGGTGGTGATAGTCGGTTTGAGTCTCACTCACAGGTTACACACACCTCAAGTGTCTCTCATTGATTGCATTTCTAAGTTATGTTGTAGGCTGACAAGCAATCACGACTCAGGTGTATCCTCTTTTACAATAGTTTTAAGGCTCTCTCAGATCAAGACACTTAGCTGCATCATCAAACATCCTTGTAAACGAGCATCATGCAAATTTCCATACTCTTTATAGGTGCATGATATTCAGTATCTCCTGAGTTGAGGTTGATCAAGGTTATAAGCTAAAGAATGTCCCAGATGCAACACTTGGAACAGATATACTGAGACAGCCTGAGTATATTCAGGTCTTGATTGGTACCGATGTACTGACCACCACTGTTTTGCAACTCATTCCACAGCCTCTATAATTAGATGATCGTGCGAATTGCACTGGCTCTGACGAAAGTGCCTTACCATCAAGATTTTGAGGTCAGCTGGACAATACATGAGTTACCTGTGACTCAATGCACCTCACAATAAACACGCCAGTGGCTGTGCTGAGATGGTGGAGGTGTACGTTCTGCTCAGACTGGATGTTGAAGTTTGCCTTCATCACCAGTATATGCTTGTACAAGATGAAAAGAAAGAGCCTCCTCAAGACATCCGTATTGCTTTCAATTGGTATCTCACAAGACCAGGCCGTAGAACGCCAATAGCAAGTCTTTGCTGACTATCCAGACTCCACCAACAAAACAAGGCAGTGGGACATAACACCGAAGGGAAAAGAATGGAATACACAGGTAAGGCCTGGTCTGTTGAGCCTCACAGCCTTTTACAGGAAGGTCACATCGTGACCCAAAGCCTGAACAAAGAAGCCCATGCACACAAACCCACAAAAGCAAGTCCCCTTTCACTCCACATCAGACAGCTCCATAGCATCAGCATCGCCTCCATTGCCCAATGCATAGCCGCGTATTGCGCGAGTACCATTAGGATAGTCGGCCTCCTCCTCGAACTCCCGGATCATACTGTCCAGGTTGTCGTCGAGGCCAGGCGCCTGTGGCCCAAGACAGAGCTGGAGCAGATATCTGTAGCTCTCGATGGCCTCGCCGACGCCCCGAAGACCCGTAGCCCCCACCAGCTCACTCTCCGCCTTTCGCAGCTCTCGGACCTGATCACGAAGTTCCTGTGCTAGGCGTAGGCGCTCTTGTTGGTCGTTATCCCTGGATGCCTGGCTGCTGCAATCCTGGCCATTGTTGCCATTCACCTGCATACTCAGCTCGGTGTGAATCTTGCCTTGGACAGCGATGCGGTTTTGATACCGCAGAAGGGAAAGGACTTGCGTCTGTAACTGTGTCGCCTCAGCCTCAGTCTTGGCAGCAACCTCATCCGCTTCGAGCAGGTCCTCGTGCCGGCGCAGCTCGTCCAGCTGGGCCGCAAGCTCGTCCTGCGTGCTGGCCAGCAGCCGGCGGGCGTCCTGCTCGGCCTCATCCTTCTCCTTCCATTCATCCTCAAAGCATTCGGCGAGGTACCTGCTCTTCTGGAGCATGCTGGGCGCGATACGATTCTGCACAGCCTTGGCTGCTTCCGAGTGGAACTCGGTGTTGTTCCAGAAATCGTGCAAAGCGCTACTCAGGCTCGGCCGCCGGGGCGGTGGGGGCGCGAAGGGGGAAGACGAGGGCGGAGGCACTGCGGAACGAGATCGGATGCCTTCATTGAGCTCTCTGATCATCTCCTCAGCATACACACCCTTCTGGTTGGGAATGGACGTGGAAGCGTTGCGACCCAGCAGCGAGCGAATGATCTTGGTATTCTTATTCTCAGCGGCGAGATGGATAGCTGTATCCCCCCTCTGGTCCTGCGCATTGATGAATTGGTCGGTGAAAGTAGCGTCGTGGGATCCCTGCAGCCTGGCTAAAAGACTCTCCACATAATATCGAGCAGGTCTTCTGTGCTTAACAGACACGGCGTGAGATACAGCATGGTGCAGGACGGTGCGGCCCGAGAGGTCACGGGCGTCGATGGTCTCTAGGAGCTCGTCCATGATGGCGGGAAAGGTCTGCTTATCAAAGGCGTTGGTGAAATTGACAGCGTGCATGAGGGGGGTCACGCCGCGCATGTTTCGGGCGGTCAGAGAAGGGCCGAAGCGCTTCATGTGCCTGACACCGTCGATGTCGCCCATGGCGGACGCCCAGTGCAGGGCGGTATTCCGGTGCTTGTCGATAGGGAAGTCGGGCCTGAAATTGGTGGGAGGTTCTGGACGAGGCGCTTTCGGATCACTCATATCGAGCGCATAGTAGTCCAATAGGGACTCACCATACATTGTATGCTGGAGTGCGGTCAGTATGAAAGACCACCACATCAAGAACACCCAGGGAGGAGGACCGTGAGGTCTTGTCCACCGTAGAAGGGGTTAACATACCTTATGTTGGATCATCCTGTCAGCCTCGTCCTCAGCCATATAGCTACCAGATACGATAGTCTGATTGTCTGGGCTCTCGTCCCTATAGACGACAGATGATGTGTCGAGTTCATCGGCACGAGGGACATCTGCAATATATTAGCAAGAAAGGCTCGAGCATTGGGAGGCCTGCCTTCAGTAGAAAGGGGGGTGGGGAGGGGCCGAGACGCATGAGTGGAGGCGGTGCATCGTACGTTTGCGCTTGGGGCCATGGCCGGCCTGGAGCAGGCCTGGGGCCTTTTTAGGCTGCTTGGGCTTGCTCGCATGGCGCGGAGCAGGCGGGGGGGTGACAGCGCCGGGCACGAAGTCGAAGATAGGTCGCAGGCGATCGAGGACGTTGTGCTGTCGAGCGAGCTCACGGGCATCCTGGAGGGGGAGGTAGGTTCCTAGATTTTGGGCACAGGCTGGTCAGCAGAGGACAGACAATATTCCTCCTGGTCTCACTACTCTTTCTTGCCAAAACGCAAAGGAGGGTTGTAAAGAGCGACTGCCGTATTGTCGTACCTTGAAACTTTCCATAACCACCCTGCACCTTCTCATGATTGCCCTTCTGCACGTCTCGCTCGAGGATGCGGGTTCTGGCAGGCTTATCGAAGCCGGCAGCCTTGAGGATATGGGTTGCATTGACCCAGTTGTCGGACTGCCGTCGCATAACATGCTCTCGCTTGCTGTCGGCGCCAGCGAACTGGTATTCCCATACTGGATTCTAAACAGCAAGAAAGGGGAACGAGGTCAGCAAGGGCGAAGGGATTGGGATCGGGCCGGACAAAGGAGGACACCAAACTAACGCCATTGTAGGTGGCTGAGAAGATGCCATCTCCGGCAGCGCTTGTGGCAGCCATGGCGGAAGCGGTGGGGGGAATGCGTGAGGCAATAGCAGCTCCTTGTCTTCTTTGGTTGCTGTGTGTAGACTGGAGAGTGAGGATGTCGGAGAACGTCGTCCTAGAGGGATGGTATCGGTGGTGGGAACAGCTGACAAGGGCAGTACTCAGACAAAAACCCAGAGCTGCAAAAGGAGATGGATGTCTGAGGGCTAGGGAGAGCGAGAGATGCACACTGCAGTGTACTATGTCGCAATGAGGTTGTTGTTCAAGAATGGATTGCGACAGGATGTCGCGTAAAGTGAAAGATGATTGTGACCCTTGCTGGATCCCTGGCCCGAGTCTCGACCTTGACGCGGTCTGGGGGGTTGGTGCGCGCTACCTCTTAACGCGTCTCCGCTGGTTCAGAGTGCCTAGAGTGGGGAAACGAGAGGGGTTGGGCCACTAAAGACTCTAGGGAAGGAACACCCTAGCCAAAGAGGCCCAAATAAGGGTTAGGGCTTGATCTCGGAATGAGTGTTTGACATGATTACTCCCAACATACTCGCGCGCGCGATCTTGAATACGTAGGTATCATGCTTCAGAGCAGGCCAAGAAATCTCATACAATCTTCAATACTGTCAAAATTGTCTCCGTCTCGTCCTCCTCCTACAACCCCTGCAAACTGTCCCTGTTCAACATGACTTGCTGCTCCGACAGGTCTATTGTGGGAAGGTCGACCATGTGCAGTTTGGTGCTCCCATATGGCCTCAGCTCAACCTCGACGACATCACCCACACACTGCCTGTCCTCAGGAAGAGGCACCAGGCCCGGTACGCTTCCCACGTAGAGCGGCCAATCGATCAGACAACCTTTTGCCGTCATATAATTGGGCGGTGCGCCAGGCGACCAGATCGGGTTTGCCAGCTCCTGGCCCTCCACTCCTGCACCATAGTACGTCACTGTTGACACATCGATTGCATAGTTCCACGCCGACGTGTTCACCATGGTCCAGTCTCTCGCCTCGGGAGGCGCATAGCCCGCTGGCATGGGTGCGTTGGTGGTGTAATCGTACGGCACTGACGACGAATTTGTGCTGGAGATGGACAGCCCGTATAGCAGAGGGCCATAGTACAGCGCCACCGAGCTGTTGGCCCGCTGCTCCGCCCGAATCGAGGTCGACAAGTTGTACGAGACGACCACGCTGGCGCCCGCCGCGACACTGGCTGCCTTGTGGAGGCCACTCACCGCGTCGGGGCTCACTGTCACCGCCTGTCCTGTGCCCTGGACCGCCGTGAAGCTCTGGGCCTGGTCTGCCCAACCCGGCACTCGGACATAGAAGTCAAACGGCGCGCTGGTGCTGCTTACTGTGTAGACAATGCTCAGGTCGAAGGGGTAGTTGGTCTCAGCGGCGACGGTCACGTTGGCGCCATTCTGCAGCGTGACGCTTGCATTGGAGGGCGATAGCAGCGCGTGGGCCAGCCCATCCGACCCAACACGCACATAGGATCCAGAGAGGAACTTGGGATAGCCCTGGGGGTGGTTCACCGTGCAGCACGGGTAGTTACCCTCGAGCGTGTACATCTGGCCCACCGTGTTCACGTCTGAGAAGGGCGTCGTGCTCAGGTTCTTGGACCACGGCTCGTTTGGCTGGGCTACGTACTGCCGTGCCCACCAGTCTGGTGTGAGGGCTACCGGCAGAGCGTTGTATGCCGTCAGCTCCGCCCTGTCCGCGTAGTAACTGTCCCCAAGGGCCTGGTACAGGTAGCTGAGGGAGTACATGGTCTCGACCGCCGTGCACGTCTCCGACCTGCATAATCAATTAGTAAGTTTAGGCCCCAGTCAAGGCGCGCACACACTCCCTCCCTCTCTCTCTCTCTCTATTTCCCCCCCTCTCACTCACCCAATATATGGCTGGATCCCATTAATGTACTCATCAGCAAGAATCGTCCCGCTCGCCGAACCGTGGTATGTGAAAGTCCAGTTGACTCCCTGGTAATTTAGCGCCACGAGGGAGTCGTCATGCAGGAACCTCCTGTACACGGCGCAGGCCTTGAGACCCTCTCCAATGTTGACGCCGTGAAAATACTCCCAAGGCTGGGCATTGTAGAAAGTCTGGTTGAGCATGTCCAGCTCGCCTCTGGGGAAGACGTCAGCCTGGTACCAATAGTCCCAGTTCACCCCTGCGTCGTAGAGGAATTGCATGTTGTCTAGCAGGATCTGTGTGTTGTTTCTCGGGTAGTAGTCAAGTAGCCACTGCAGCGGCAGCATGAGGTCCTGCGCACGAGACAGCCCCCACTCTGTCGCGCTCTCTGGGTACTCGTCGCCATCGTGGTAGAGGAAGCCAGTGTAGTTGTCAGCCAGCATGGAGTGGGCGAGAACGGCAAACTGGTGCATGGCATCCACCACACGGTCCGTGTATGCCGTGTCGGCCTGGGCAAGCTGCATCAGGGCGAGCAGCAGGAGGTTGCGCGGCCACATGTTCCGGTTGGTCCCCGTCTCGTAGCCCAGCCACCCGTCGCTTTGCTGGTGGTCCAGAACATAATCCGTTACATTGCGGACCTGGGCGATGAGGCGCGGGTCGTCGATACCATACGCAAGGGGTACGATGCCGTTCAGCCAGTACGGGAAAGCCTCGTGGAGGACACTGTATTCGCTGTCGCCGCCTATCCAGGCGCTGTCGTGCACATACTTCCAAAAGTCCATGAGATGACCCCCGAGTCCGTTCGCCGACAGCACCAGCTGGTCCGCGAGCCATCCTTGCGGCCTGATGCTGCCAAGGTCAAGAGGCTCAAATGCCAGAGGAACGACTAAGAAGGACAAGCAAAACACTTTAGCCTATTTGCCCCAGGGGTGTATTTCTCTCTCTCTTCTCTCACTCTCACTCTCTGTCTCTCTTCTTTCCCCCTGGAGCTGATGCAGCGGGGGTGATTTGCTCACGAGCTTGGGCGTCGGCAGCCACTGGCATGGCAGCCAGACCAGCAGCGCCGACGAGTTTCAAGATGGTGGTGACGGCGTATGGCACCTTCATAATGTTGCGATGGTATTCCGACGGTCGGCTCAGAGAGGTACTACTTCTTCACATGGAAACGAGGGGCCTCGCACGTTGGGGAGGGAAAAGGGAAGCAGCCATGAGCCTCGAAGACAGGCCCGACCCTATACATACTTAGACCCTTGTAATAAAGCTACGGAGTCCTTCCTGTCTGGTGAGGTTGCAACGAGGGGAACAAGATCACGGGTCTGGAGAGGGGAAGAGAGGGGGGGGAGGAGATATCGCCAAAAAAGACGAACACTCAAACCGGATGGAATCGAGGGCGCCAAGTTCCTCCTGCAAATCTCGCCCACGTTGTCGCTCAAAAGAAAAAGGCTATGGTAATGTTGCATGGGACACGAGTAAGCAGCAACCATCTCAGGTTGCATCCGGTCTATCAACCTGCGCGGGTTGACAGGATCGCCCGCATGACTGGAAAATAAACCACCAATCTCAACAGAAGCCTGCTGAACTAAGAAGAATAAAGGAGAAAAAGTCCTCTTCTTATCTTGATCTGGTATCTTGAAGACTGATATTGGTGGGGGTTTCCCCTCGATGGACATGCATCGTAGCAGTGGACACTGGCAGCGAACTGTGTGGTACTATGCAAGTGCCAGTAATATGGTACCGCACTGCAGTGTGACCTGATCTAGCTAGCCCTGAATCGACAGAGTACATCCTTTTGCCATGGTATACATGGTAAATGGTAGATATGCTCGAGACCCTCTTTTTCTGCAAGGCGGCTCCACCTTGATCACGACCCAGAAAACGGTGTCGGCTCCAGGGCTCAAGTACTGTACAGTGGGTTAGAGCGTGCTGCAAATGTCAAGTTCATCTGACTCTTGGCTTTTTGATAGAGTTGGAGAAGCATTCTCTGTCTCTCTCTCTCTCTCTCTCTCTCTCTCGCACACGCATACGAGAAATTCAGCTGACTAATGAAATAGAACAAACGAATACTATAAGAGAAGGACGTCCCAGACACACACATCTACGAAAGGACAGTTAATAGTAAAGAAAAGAGTGGACGGTGGTTCAAAAATGGCGGCGGGTGGCAGGTGGGTAAGAGATGTGCTGTACGGTGCAAGCTTTTTGGCACTAAAGCACTCTTAAACCGTCCCTTTTCCTTTCTCGATGGAGAAAAGAGCCAGGAGAGGGCCGCTGCGGCTGCGGCTCGGGAATTAAAACGGTTTTTTTTTACTATTATCTCCCACAGCGTCAATCGGATGGTGCCGACAACGACTCGAATACTCTAACCATGCCTTGCGTCATGGCACCGCAACCCCCCTGAATCGTGACTCCAAGCTCCCCGTCCACAACACCCCAAGTACCGCTCGTACTGTACGTAAATGTATCCTGTAGTAGTACCTTAGTAGTAGCATGCATGAATTTCGTCTCTGTTGCTTGACTAAGTACCCACGCATCCTACACAGCAGTTTGCCCCAGGCAGTTCAACAACAGGCCCAATCCGGAACTTCAGCCCGGCTGAATCATGAGAAAGAAAGAAAAAAAAGAAAGAATGAGTAGTAGTAGAATGCACGCCCTGAGTGGATGATCTGCCTGCCTGCTTGTTCACAACATGCCCCAAAAGCGCAAAGACTGAGTTCAATCGGATGGCGTCCCTTATGTACGGATCCGTACATTGTACAGTAAGTAGTACATAGGGCCGGACCCGGTGTCCTTGGCTCAGTCCGACCATAGTATGGTGCAAGCACACATATGCAGACTATTTCCGTAGTACATTAAAAAATAAAAAACAAAAAAAAAAACGACCAGCCCTTTTTTTTCCCTTTCTTTTCGCGGCCATTTACGCGGCGTTATCACGGCGCAAAAGATATCTGTTGTGGGTTCTGTACGCGAATCGATCCCTGTCTTCGCAGTCAAAAGCTTGACGCGGCGAGCTGCTTTCTGGGGCCCAAGGAGGAAGAACAAGCTGTCGGCTTTTCCTCCTGGGGCTCATGAGAGTGGGGAATGACGATATTACCCAGTCCACACAGCTCTCACTCTCGCTCTGTCTTTCTGTCTGTGTGTGTGTGTTGTCTGGTGCCGGTCATCCAAGGCGGGAAGAGAGGGAAAAAAAAAAGAGAGAGAGCTGTCTTTCCTCACTAGGGGGCAACCGGTTTGCGGAGGGGAGAACGTGCACACCGACATCGACAGACCAAAAACACCACCACCGCCAACCAACTCACTCACTTACTCAGTCACTCACTTCGGCCTTTCTACCCAGAGCAGCACACCAGCCGCCCACCCTCGTTGCCCTACTGTGACACACGATTTTGTACAGCACTACTGATCTCGCTCTCAGCTCTCTCTCAGCTTTTTCTCACATCTCTCTCAACTCTCTCTGTGTGTGTGTCTGTTGGCTTCTCCTGTGGTTCTATCCTCATGATCTTGAGCATTATTTACCTTTTAAACGTATCCTCCTCATCCTGGTCGGCTGTACACCCAGCACCGTCGACCCGTCGCCTCCCTCCCACCTGTTCGGCTTGACTCGTATGTCCATTTCCTTAGTCTGGGCTTGAAGAGAGGGAGGCAAGGAAGGGGCCAAGGGCTGCAATATAGCAGCAGCATCACTAGACAGTCTGTCCACTACTTCACGAGAGGGGCTGCTTTCTCCCCTCTTGAGCTCGCTTCCTGTTGTATTGAGGATGTCATCGGCACCCAAGACGGCTTCCAAGGGCACTCGAGACTCTCAGGGTAGTGGCAGTGGTGCCGCCACAACCTCTGCCAGGGCGACCAAGAAGAGTGCTTTCTCGTGCGAGCCTTGTCGCCGACGCAAGGTCAAGTGTGGGGGGGAACAGCCTATCTGCAGCCGTTGTCAGGCAAGGAACGACGCCTGCGTCTATAAGTTGTGAGTAAGATTTCCTTCCCTCCTCTCTTCTCTTTCTACCAAGCCTATCACACCAGGCTATCGTCGTCAGCATCAGTATTTCGGGGAGGGGAGGGATTTTTTTCTTCTTGTGGAGGGGGGGACTTCGTTTCTTCTTTTCCACGCCTTAAACACCGAGTCGTACGTAGCAAGGCCCATTTTTGCTGACACGCCAAGGAACCCGACTCTGTCCTACACCCAGCGCCTAGAAGAACGTATCAAGGAGCTCGAGGATCAGCTGTCGAGGACGCAGCCCTCGTCTTCACTCCAGACGCAGCCCTCGTCTTCACTCCAGACGCAGCACACCCCTTCGGAACGCCCTGGTTTTCCACCCAACGAGGGCTCTTCCCAGCGTCATCTAGGACGCGAATCCAACGAGGGTCTGACAGGCACGTTCAAAGGCCTGAAGCTGGACGAGAGGGGAGTGCTCACGTACCATGGCGCAACCAGCTTCTTTCACCTGCCCAGTGAGTACTCCGGGCCAGAGAGCGACCTGCAGACCTCGCCTTATTCAGAAAACCCCTTGAACGGCAGGAGGGAGCGCCTTGTAAATAATGCATGGCAGCAGCGTGCCCTCGAGAACTTATCTGATATACCGGTATGTCAGCTCTCTAAGCCTCTGCTTCCCCTTCTCTCCCTGGACAACAGCATAAAGAACAAGCAGAAGCAAGAAGAAAAAGGACTACCTGCGCGAGTCTGTATTTTGGCTGACGATAAGTTCGCTGTCTGCCCTGAATCAAGGAACCCTTTCAGTATCTCCTCAATACCCACTGGTGCTGGATCCAGGTAAGTATCTTGTTGTTCTTTCTCCTCGTTCTGCTGCTTGCAGTTGCAGTACCGGTCGTGTTACACCTGTGCTGTGGAGATGCTGACCTGACCTCCTACTCACAAGCCCCTTTTTAATTTCATCTATCGACCTGCTTTCACTCGCGACATGCAGCTGCTCGGGCCATACTATTCTCACACCCTCCTGAATGCCATCCTGTCCCATTCGGTTCGCTGGGGTCGCTGGGACAGCGTAACCCGCGAGCGTCTTGAACATGAGTACGATGGCGGCGCAGTATTTGGTCGGCACGCCCGAACCATGGTCTTTGACGAGGTCTCCCGCGGTGTTGCCACCATTCCTACCGTGCAGACCCTCCTGCTCCTCAGCGCGCAGGAGTGTAGCCAAGGCAATACCTCACAGGCCTGGATGTACAGCGGCATGGCCTTCCGGATGATCGATCATCTGGGCATCTGTGTTGACAGCCAGAGGTATACTGGTGATATTCCGTTCAGCGACGAGGATATCGAGATTCGTCGCCGCCTGTTCTGGAGCTGCTATTTCTGGGACAAGATCATCAGCTTGTATCTCGGCAGATCGCCCAGCCTGCAGCACTCGACCGTCTCTCCTCCTCAGATGATGCGTAGGCACCCCCCCCCCCCCTTCTCCCTTTCTATCTCCTTCTTTCCATGCTGGTAACAAGACCATAAGAAGCGTGACTTGTATTGACGGTACTGTGTAGTCGATGACTCCAACGAGAATGAGATGTGGGCACCCTTTGGGCTCAAGTACCCTGACGGTGTCAAGTATCCTCCCATCGCGGCGCACTCCACATCATGTTTCATGCTCATGTGCCAGCTGTCTGTCATTTTCAACCAGATCCTCGTACATATGTACGACCCGTTGCAGCAGAACAGCGAGGCTGAGATACAGGAATGCCTGGCGAGGCAGGAGGCCGCCTTGAGAGAGTGGTGGGAGGCTCTGCCTAAATTCCTCAAGATCGAGGCCAGCATATTGCCTCCTCTGTCTCCGCCTAGCCACGTTGTCACCCTCAAGTAAGCGACATCCTGAATCTTGAAAAGAAGCGTTCTCCCTCCCCATAACCTATCCACACAAACATGCAACGCAATGATTGTCATGACTCTACCTCCGATCATGTTAATAACTAATTGGGCGATCACAGCTGCCTGTATCACACCTTCAACATCCTCCTCCACCGGCCAATGCTGTCACGAGAACGCTCTTCTGCCGATAACAACCGGGCCAGGCACCTGCTCGAGTGTGTCTCCTCGGCCACCTCCATCATTGCCATATTTGATCTCTTCTGCAAGTCCTTCGGCATCTACCGCTCAGTACTGTCTCTAAGCTACAGCGTCTATATCGCGTCGTCCATATTCCTGCTGCAGGTCCAAGCAGCTGCCGGCTCTTCAGGAACCTTGACAGAAGAAGAGCAACAGCAGCAACAGCCAGCCATTCGTAAGCTGGATTTTTGCATTCGAGCCCTGTCACGCCTGAGGGACATCAACCCCATCGTTGGCAGTGCAGTGAGCCTCATCCTGCGCGAGCTGGCCAACCTGGGCATTCAGACGCCTGTGACCGCGTCCGGCATCGATTTCAGCCGCTACAGATCATCAAGTCAACAACAACCACCACCACCACCACCCACAACAACGACCTATCACCATCAGCATCAACATCAACACACAGTTTCGGTGCCACCACCAGCATCCAGGAACAGACAGGACTCTTTCGCCTCGTCTCGACACCGCCTGAGCCACCATGAGATCATGATGGGCAACACCGAGGTTCACATGTCAGGCTCGGATTCGCCCAGCCCCACGCCATCATTCGGCTATCAACAGACCTTGTTTCACTCTCCTGGTCAAGGACCAGGCGGCGACAAGTTTGACCATAGTCTCCAGCATCATGGGATTTCCGATCACATATTCGAGGCCGTCTCTTCGGTCCAGCCAATAAGTGCCTCGTTTGGAGATATGACAAACCCCGATCCATTTGGGCCACCAGGCGCCTTTCGATCCTGATTATGCACACGAGAAGGCAGGCCAAGTAGACAGCCATGCTACATGTAATTACCCTGATGACGCGGTGGGTGCGCAGGCGAACCAGAGGGGGGGAAATATGCATAATAACCTGGATGAGGGCAGGCTCGTCCATATCTCTGTGATTTTTGGCAATGGTATTGTATAGGAGCATCAGTCCAGGAGTATGGTGTCTTTTGGGGGAGAAAAAATGTTGATCTCATTCCGGGGCCTCGTAGCATCACAGCATAGCCTTCTTCGTTGTCCAGATCCTGCTGATGAAAGAATAAATCCAAAAATTTCGTCAACCAACCACATTGCACCACCGTGAAGGCTTTCCTAATCTAGTCTTAGGAGTTGACTGGTACTATATATTCAGCAATCATCGAGGGGAGGATCACCATACTGAAACTGGTCAATAGCCTTTTGGTTCTTATCATTTTGGCCCCCAGCAGACCTCCCTTTTTATTTTCTTAAAGGCTCCAGGGTTATGATATCCCAAGGGTGACCGAGGATGCACTTATATTGTATAATATAGCTTGTGTAAGTGACAGGGTAACGTTGTTGATCACACCTACGCGGATATCGAACAGAGGACAATAAACTGGCTTGCGATCAACCTGGAGAACCATTAGTGCTCTCACCAGGACCCGAGATTGCAGGAGGCACATGGGTTCGAATTCCATATGATCAGGTCTCAATGCCAGCACCGGCCTTGAAACAAGAGCGTAATAAGTGCCAACTGGCTGGTCTGATTGTTGGTCTAGATAGAATTCACCGGAAACATTGAGGCGCGTATACAGGAATTTGTCGAAGTGTCAATGACAGTGTAATCTGAACGTTTCAGAGAACCTGTGAATATATTGGGCATGACGCGAAGCATTCATAGCCCATCCAATATTATTCATTTCCAAAATGAGAAAAAAAGGAGACAGAAAAGCCAGCTGGTACAAATGATTATGTCGTCAGTGGACTGAGCTCGATACACCAAGCTCTCAGCGAGCCAGGTATCCCCACCATCGACGTACGACAGCCACTATAATCAGGGCGATACCCAGCAAAGAATTTAATTCATTCTGCCCCTTCTAGTGACAGTAGTATATGCTATACAAATAAATAAATAAAATGAAAAGGGGGGCCAAGCCCACCGGTTGCGTGATGCCCTGTGCCGCCTGCCAGGCTCGCCCCACCATACACCTCGCTCGTCGAATCGCAGTGACTGAGATCAAAAACGACATCTGTACAAGATGGTGTCCAGCTTCAGGTCCACAGCTCTTTCGCATTATCTCTAAATATGCTGTCGGCAAGTTGCTGGTCGCCATCGCACCAGTTGATCACGGCCGTGATCCATGGCCGTATGTCGAGTCCCTCGAATCTCGTGTGAGGCCAGTCGGTAGCAAAGACAACTCTCTTGGGGGCAACACGTCTGTTTTCATACACACACTATCAGCTGACCGCAGCATGACCCGGGAGATACAATTTGCAAAGGAGCCTCTGCTCACAAGATTTCTCGAGCTATTGGCTCGACATGCCCAATAAAGTCATCGTTTTCAGAAAGCCGATAAGGGGCAGACATTTTGACAAAGGTATTCCCTTCCCCAAGCAACCTGATCAAAGAGTCGAAACCCTCGAGGCTGTACGGGTCGAGGGGCAAGTTCGTTGGAAGATGAGACTTGAGTCCCGGAGCACCCATGTGGTCAATACAAATTCTCACTCCTAATGTTGGGATAATATGTTCCAAGGCCCTGACCATGTTGAGAGGTATGTAGAGCTGGATGATCCAGCCCAGGGGTCGCACGGCGTCAGCACACCGGCGGAGCTCGACCTCGACATCCTCCCGAGCAACGAGATCCCCGGTGGATTTGATGTTGAGACGTACACCCCGGACTCCCAACTCGTGCCATTCTCTGAGACGTACGATACTAAAGGTCTTGTTCTCTGGCGCAAGAGCCACGACGCCTCTTGCCCTCCCAGGGCCCAGTACCCGCAGAGCATCGAGCAGGCAGGAGTTGTCATGACCATATATGGAAGGCTGGACGATGACGACGTTGGACGCCCCAACTGAAGATTCGAAGGCCATAGCCTGAGATACAGTGTAGGTGCTCGGTTTATACGCGGCGGTGGGAGACAAAGGATAGTGCTCCTCGTCGCCCACTATGTGCATATGGCTGTCCCAAGAGCCTGATGGTATACCAGGAGGCGAGGACTTCTTGGCGGCAGCAGCGTTTTGTGGCCGACAATTTGTGGCAGCGTATTCATTATGGGATGAAGATGGTTTGTTGACCGAATCGACAGGTCTCGTTGGCGTTAGTTTTATGGGCGAAAACGTTCCTTTGTCGAGTACTCCAGGGCGGAGGGTGTTTCTGAGGAGCATTGCCATTCTGTCGATGGTTTCAACCCAGGGGGGTTAAGGAAACACGATTGTGGTCCACTGCCTGGTATGTATGCTAGAATAGCACAGGAGCGAACGAACTCTTGTGCTGAGGAGCTCTTTTGAAAAAGCAAGTTAGATGACGTGCTCACCAAGGCATAATAGTAGCGGTGACCATGAGAGAGGGAGGCGTGTGTGTGAGTGTGTGTGTTTGTGCGCGCGCACACAGAGTCTCTCTCAAGAGCCTGGGAAGACAACAAGAGCGACTGGGAGTTTCTTTTGTCGTAGGAAGTGAAATATGTGTGAGTGACTGTGTGTGAGAGAGAGGGCGGGGAAGATGAATGAGACACAGAATCAAGCCTGGCACCACCTCCTCCTCCTCCTCCTCCTATTCTTTCTGACCCGGATCTGGCGACGGCTGTCGGTGGATACTGCTAAGCCCATCGATCAGAAAAGGTCTCGATAATATGGTACATACTCGTATGTACTATACTATATGTACATTTTGGTATGTATGCACGTAATATGTAAGGAGGAGCCAAAGGGATCACCATGCTGCATGCATCACGGACATGTTGCTTACCATGCAGGAATCAGGCGGGCCGCAGAGCCTAAGCACTAGGGGGGTGTAGTGGTAATTAAGTATTGTCAGATAACGAATCGGAGACGGTGGCGAGAGCAGCCGTCAAAATACGCCCTGGCGGCAGCAAGAGGACGAACCGCCCCTTCACGAACATCTGCCGCCATTGGGCCTTGGAACTAGCACCGCTGGTACCAAGAGAGAAAGGCAGCTGCGACTTGACCCCAATCTAGGCAAGGCACGTTTCGGAAAGTGCCAGGCGGGCCAACTCCCCTGGAAAGAGCGATTTTGGAATGGTCTAGGCTTTCCGCAAAGCACTGGCAATACTTCTGACAGGACATGATCTACGGCTTCTGACCGAATATTTTGACAGACATCGGCGGTTCTTCCCTAGGGCGATCACAAGTCTCTCTATCTGCCTGGTCATCAAGGTGTTTGGTTTTTCACGTTTTCCTGGGCCCAGGTTCGGACGACGTACATTGGTATGTTCACGACACGTAAACAACTGTCTGGTCTTCCCTTGATCATATCGTGAGCTTCTGGTTATATCTTAATAGTCGACATATATTACCCAGGGCAGAGTTCAATTCAAACCTGGATTACGTACATCCAAAAAAGCAGGAGACTTGGCGATTGCTGCCAGGCTCGGTCAACTTCCGCCCAAGCATATTTCATCAGCCCCACCACCAGGACCCACCACGATGAGATAACGGGAGATGTCAGTGGAGGAGTCAGTGGAAGTTTTTTCTCCCTTCTCCAACATCAACAACGCGGGGCTGTCCAAGCTAGACCACGACGAATCCTGGGGCAAGGCACACAACGCACGGCTGGCACGACATTGCTCACGACTGCAGGATTCCCCAGTCGCGAGATTCTCGATCCGGGGACAGACCCCTGTCCCATTTGCCCCTCCCCCCCCACCTCTCACCCTTCCAGCGGACGACTTGAGGGTGAGCTGTCACCTCGACTTGGCATCGCGCGTGCATTCCCCGGTTCTCGCTGAGTGGAAGAGGCAAGGTGCCACAAGGACAAGTCTGGGCGCGTGTGGCACAAACGGCGGGGCGCAGCCGAGGGCCGCAAGACCTGGGCCTGGTTGCGGAAAGGTGATCCAACAGCGCCAGAGGTGTCGGAAGGAAGATACACAGCAGGCCCACTCCCCTCGGAAGGGGGAATGGTCCGTTAAATCCCCCTGGCTGTGGCATGTCCTCCTCGACCATGTCTCCTTCGTCTGCTGCCGCCTCGCTTGGTCAAGGATCAGTCAACTGGTATTATGTCCTCACGATATTTGTCATAGGCTCGGGGTCCATCCCCAAGGGATATGACGAGGGCGGCTTCAGTGCTGCCCTTGCACTGCCCTCGTTCAAAAATGACTACAATCTCGACGCCGAGGAGTGGCTTGATAATGCCTCAGGCCTGGCTAGCAGAAAAGCTAATATCACCTCCTTGGGGGTTCTGGGTGCTGCCTTTGGCTCACTCCTTGCCCTGGCCATGACGGACCGCATCGGCCGCGTTAGAAGTTGGCGACTTCTTACGTGTGTGTACATGAGTGGTTATCTGATGCAGGTCTTCTCGTCTGGTATCTATGGCTTCCTCCTCTTTGCCCGCGTCTGGGGCGGTCTCGGCGCTGGGGGCCTTACTGTTGTCGGGCCCCTTTATCTCTCTGAGATCTCGCCAGCCAAGAGCCGTGGCATGATTGTCAGCACTTCGATGGTTTTCCTGCTGTCTTTCTTGTCTCTTGGTGTGTAACATCCCTCTTCCCTTCCCCTGTACCTCTTTAATACTGGGTGGGAGAGAAAAGACTCATGACTTGTCATTAGGTTTCTTCATCAATTATGCCGCCAGTGTCACGATGCCGGCCATCCGAGCGCAATATCGACTGGTCATTGCCATCCCCTTGATTCCAATGGGGCTTGCCTTCTTAGCATCCTTCCTAGTGGCTGATACTCCCAGGTGGCTCGCATCCAAGAATCGGGGCGACGAGGCGCTCGGCGTTCTCGCACGGCTGCGGAACACCAAGGTTGATGACAAGCAGCTGCAGGTGGAGTACCTCGAGATTCAGGAACAAGTTCGATCCCAGGAGAAGCTGCTGTCCGAGACGTCTAACTGGTCCCTGATCAAAGAGATCTGGAGCGTGCCCTCATACCGCAAGCGATTCCTCCTGGCCACCGCTATGCAGACCGTCGCGCAGTGGTCCGGAGGGAACGGCATCACCTACTATATTCCCCAGATTTTTGTCTACGCGGGGGTCACCGCGCACAACAAGTCACTCATCACATCCGGCGCGTACGGCATCGTCAAGCTTGTCTTTACTATGGTATTCACCTGGGGTATGGTCGATATCATCGGCCGCCGGCGCTGCTTCATCGCGGGGTTATCTCTGCAGCTTGCTGCCCATGTCTTCATGGCTATTTACATGGGCGTCTGGGTCAGTCATGACCATGCCGATAAAGCCGCATCAGACGCTGCCATTGCAAGTGTATTCGTCTATGCCGTGGGCTGGTCCATCGGCCTCTGCACTGTTCAGTATCTGTACGGCACCGAGATTTTCCCCACGCGTATTCGGAATGTGTGCTACGCATTCAACATGGCCCTGCACTGGTTCTTCCAGTTCGCAGTAGTGAGGGTCACGCCCAACATGTTCGTATCACTCCACATCTATGGCACATACATATTCTATGCCGTCATCTCGTTTGCTGGTCTTGTCCTGCTGGGGCTGTGGGCCCCGGAGACCAAGGGCGTCCCCATGGAGAGGATGGAGGAGCTTTTTTCTGGACACTGGTGGTTAGGCTGGAAGGCAAAAGTTGATGTTGAGTCGAGCGAAACCCAGACCCTGAGAAGATCTCGAGCTTCATCGCCCGCGGGCATAATAGAGAGGGCTTACGATTATAGCGAACGGAGCTCAGTAGCAGGTCCCTTTCAATAGAGTCATATGGTGAACCAGAACTAGGGCGCCGTCGCCCTCGAAAGAAAAAGGGACAAACAGCTGCCGAAGCAATGGGCAAGGGCTCGTGCAACCCAAGCATGCCTGTACAGATGAGGACAGCAAACTAAGGCTACACGGGCGCAAGAACAGGATGAAAAATCTGTCTTAGACCTGTCCAAAGAGTTCAAAATTGAAAAGAAGAGAAAGGATGCTTTTTTTTTTTTTTTGCTTATAGCTAAAGAATTTGAAAAGTAAGTGATATTCTTTATATGTATGAGAACTCTTGACTCACTATACTTCATATTCTACAGATTATCATTCTAGCTATTATAATAGTTCTCTTCTAGCAACTTTCTTTCAAAGTTGCAACAAGTTCAATAGTATGCTAGATCTAATCAGAGAGAGAAGAAGTAAAAGAAATAAGAAATTCATTACAAACTGCTAAAGGAAATACTGCAAACCAAACTATTTCTTTTAATTTAATTCTTATATTTTTCTTTATTATTTAAGCTATTATTCAAATCAATACAGGAATATTAGTATTTATTTTCAGTTTATTCATAATATAAGCATAATCTGAATAGATTCTAATATTGATTTCTTTTCTGTTTCTATCTGCTTTCAAACTCTGCTTGAGCAATAGCAGCAGCAGCAGTTCTCTTCTAATTCTGTATTCTTATTCAACGAATTCTTTTGCAGTTCGCTTTATATATATTCATCTTAATAGCATAATTGAATTTTATTCAATTCGGAGAACTTACTGAGAGTTTAATAGAATTAAAGCTATAAAGCTTATTTTATAGAAATATATAAAGCTTCTGAAATTTATTAGAAAAACTGAAAAGCATAATATTGCTGCTTCTTAGTTTCTAATATAATAAAGCTTTGATAGTATATTCAAGCTTAGCTATTTGCTATATTAATAGATTAATTATTAGTTCTGAACTAATAAGCATTTCTTAAGATAAGAAGAAGTAAGAATTAGTAGGAATTCCGGATGAAAGTTGATTTAATTCTGAGCTAATATTATATTCTCTTAATAAATACAAGATTAAGCTAGCTGAAGCTATACTTTTTCGAGATTATTATTTTGATAGAATTAGGCTAGATGCTTTACTTGCTCTGAAATTCTTTAGAGCAAAGATTAATATATTTCTTCTTATTCTGTTAAGATTGCTTTTAATAAATAGTTTAAACAAGTTTACAATTTCTTTTATAAAAAAGATAATATTTAGCTTATAGATTATATTTAGTATTCTATTAGCTTTTATTTATATAGCTTTGTATTCTTAAAGCGAAATATTTCTTCTTAATAGCTAATTAGAATATTATATATAATTGCTATATTCTAGTTTATAGAAGAAAGCTTAGCAGTATAAGCTTGTTATAGCTATTTCTGTATTCTATTCTTTTATATTTTGTACAATCTCTCTATAATTAAGATAGAAAGCTTGCTTTCAATCTGAATAGCTATTAGATGATTAATAGAAATTAGTAAATTTCAGAATTCTAAGATAAAATAGTTTGATTATATAGAGTAGAGCTGTATTCAAATTATTATCTAGCAGTATAATTGGAATATTCTTGAAATCTTAATTCTGATTAGCTTTAATACTTCTAAGCTGATTATTCAGATAGTGCTTGCTTATATAAGCTAATAGAATATTGCTAAATTTATGTATAGCAATATAAAATCCTTTTTCAGTTTTTATATTAAGCTAGAATAAAGTATAAGCTAAAGTTGCTATATTAACTGAGAAAAGAATTTATAAGCGCTTTTGCTTAGCTGTAATGAGCACTGCAGCAATCCGAAGATTTCAAAGTATACAAGGAGTTTATGCTAACAAGAGCGGTGCTAAGTACAAGCTTTGAATACAGAAATACAACTGAGATAATCGTGCAAGTATTCACTGCCTTTGAAGCTATCAGAGTAAAAGAGTAATCTGATATTTAGATTAACAACTGAAGAGCTATATACTGAATCTATTTAATGATAATGAATATATAGTTATATATTCAGCTCTTTAGCATGGATTGCTGGGATTGCTAGCAAGTCTAGCAATTCAGAGTATAAAGCTTGTTAGAATTGCTAGCAAGTTTAGCAATCCTCCCTTTTTTATAACTCTAACTCTGGATTATATAATTCTGCCTGATATCCAATATTAAATCGTAACACCTAGTCCCTTTGTTATAACTCATCCAACATGCAGATCATGAAAACAGATCACAGGCAAGCAAGAACCAGGTATTATAACTCAACATCAGATAATCAATAAGAATTATATAATTCAGGATTAGAATTACAAGCTGCAATCAATTAAGAAGGAACTGGAGCAGTTGATAATCAGTTCTTGCAATTCAGACAGCGAATTGCAATAATCAGCTACCAACTCTTACAGTTCATACTGAAGAGCTGAGTATATAATCGCATATTCATTACTATTAGATAGATTTAGTATATAGCTCTTCAGTTGTTAATCTAAGTATTAGTCTAAGTATTAGATTACTCTTTTATTCTGATAGCTTCAAAGGCAGTGAATACTTGCATAATTACTCAGTTGTATTTCTGTATTCAAAGCTTATACTTAGCACTGCTCTTATTAGCATAAATCTTCTTTGTATATTTTGAAATCTTTGGATTGCTGCAGTACTTATTACATTTTGATAATTCTTGTTCAAGAATAGTTCAGTATTATCCTCTTGAGCAATATGAAATATAATAGCTTCTCAAGAAATCTCTTTATTCTTATACGCTTCTATTTAGAAAGAACTAGTTAACTAGATATATTAGCTTACTTAACATATTTAGAATCTGTATAATTAATAGCAAGCTTAGAATATTATTATTGCTAACTAGCAAGCTCAGCTTACTTAATATGCTTAGTAAGCGTAGTTTATTTCTATAATTACTAGTAATGCTGAAAAGATATACAAGATAAATAAGCTTGCTATATATAATAGCAATTAAAAAATACTATATAGATTTCTTATTTATTGCAGAGCATACTTTTTGCACTATATAATTTAGTTTACTAAGGAATCTAAGAAAATTATTCTTATAGAAACTTATTTCAAAAAGAATGCTTTTATCTAATACAAGCTTTCTCTATATAATTATTTGAAATATTAGAATAATCCTAATATATATATTCAGAGTATTAAGAATATATTTAATTCTTTTGTAAGCTTTGAGAAAGCTCTTAAGAAGATCTTTAGCAACTTAAATAAAGAATATATTATAGCTTAGCAGCTTATAAATCTCAAGCAGATCAAATCAGCTTTTGCTTATATAGTTAGATTTAAGCAGCTCTTAGCAAGACTTCTGTAAAAAGATAAGAATCTTATAAAATACTATTACAAAGAATTTAAGAATAATATTAAGAATGAAATCTTCAAGCAAAATTAGCTAAAGAACTTTGCAATATTCTCTAATTAAGCAATCTATATTAATAACTATTTATACAAATAATAAGTAAAGAAGTTTAAAAAGAAAGAAAGCTAAATTTGAAAGTTTCTAGCTAATATAAGCAAGAAACTTCAATACAAAAATAGCAATCAATAGAGCAGTATAGCTTAGAGCAGCACTATGCATGCTAGTCTTATAAAACTTAATATAGCTAATAAATAGTATAGTAAAAAGAATAATATTACTTGCTATAACTGTAATAAATAGAAATATATAGCATACAATTGCTATTAATCTTAAAAGAATAAATAGCAATTAGTTTAGAAAGAATGCTAGATGAATATTGCTTAGCAATAGAAATCCAATTAACTAAGCAAAAACATTTCCTTAGAGCAAATATCGAACTCTGTTAATTATAGAAGTTTCAGCTGAATATTCTGCTATAATAATAATTGCTTAATATATCTCTCGAGTAAGAAAAGCTCAGAATAATTCCTTTAGAAACTTAGATGCTACAGATAGATAGCAATAGGAAAGCAAGAATATATGCTTAGTATAACTATAAGCAGCAATAATTCAAACTACTTTAATATTATTGAATAAAGCATTTAAATATTAAAGGAGAAATTTAGTAATAATACTCTTTATCATTCTTTATTATCTATACTAAGTATTATAATCAGAAATATAAATAAGAAATAATATCTTCTTAGCTATTAGTATAAATACTTAAACAATACTGAAAATATCTCTCAGATAATGAAAGAATTAAGCTAGAGCAGATAATCTAGCAATTCACTAGAGTCTTCCGTAAATAGCGAACTCAACAGCTTTATAAAAGTTAGAAAAGAAAGATTTCCCTTTAGCATTAAATAAAATAAGAAAACAATATAAATTGAATATCTCATTTATAAGATAGAGCTAAAAGAGCTCTTTATCTGCATTTCCTTACAAAATATCAAAGTATAATAAGATAAGAATCTTCGAATTAGCTTACTTTATAATCTATACTATAAGCTAGCATAAATCTTCCATATTTATTATAGCTGCAGAATGCATTTCTCGGAAAAGATATAGCATAAATAATTTCTTATTAGAAAATTAGAATAAATTCTTTAAGCTATTAAGAAATAAGAGCTTCGCTTTAGAAAAGTTCTTAATAAGTAGTATAATAATATATATATTAAGCTATCAGATAACTGCTCTAAGCAATACATAAATAAGAAAATAGAGTAGTAATAATATAAAATAATGCTTTATATAATTCATATTAATAACAAAATCTGCAACTAGTATTAATAGAGAAAAGATTAGAAATAATGATAATATAAGCAAAAGCAAGCTAAGAAACTTGCTTAAGAAGTAGCAAAGCAAGCTTAAAGAAAGAGCAAGTAGCTCTTAGCAATTTCAAAAAGCTAGAATCGCTTGTAAAGGAATTGCAGATAATTAGATTAGAATAATTTTTATATAAAGCTTTTAAAACAAACTATGCTTATATTAAGCTCGATATATATATTCAAGAATATAAATATAGTATATTTTTAAATAGCAGCGCTTAGAGAAACTTTATATTCTTATATATTATTAATTAGAT